GGTTATGTTCGCTTAATGGGATGGGGGCATGAACGCTGCCAGGGTTGGGGAGGAGAATGAATGAGTTCGATCAACACCTATCAAAATGCATTGTCTGCTTCTTGCGACCTGTTGTTACTGCCTGTTACTGATGCCCGCGTTTCTACGGTCGGATCTGGCGCCCATCTCGGAAAAAATGATGACTGCAGCGTGCCGCTGCGCTAGGACCGGGAAACTAAAATCACTAGGGCACGGATAGTCTCAACCTGGGCCAGAGAAACAGAGAGAGAAGAGCCGAGAGGAGCAGGGGGAATACAGAGAAGATGGAAATAGATATCTGAAGGCCAGTAACAGGAGCAGATCGAAGGGAGTCTGCGAAAACAGGCAGGAAAAGACGGCGGATGTCTGGCGGATATGCGCCCCGGCGTACCGTGGAACCGCCTGGCGGAACCGCTGAACCGCTGAACCGCGCCAGAGCTCAGCTGACTAAGCTGCTCCCAACTTCAACTCACCGCCAGAGTCTCTGATAGCTTTGTTTTTCTCCCCTCAATTTCTTGGGCTTTTGTTGCTCTCCAGTAAGCGAGTCTAGACTCTGCCCAATCATCTCCCTGACTTTCTCCCTTCAACCCCTCAGGACTTTACCCCACTCTCAATCAACACGCCCCCCCCCTTAGCCTCTGCAGCCGCCCTGGCACCTCCACTGTCCAGGCGGTTCCTTATCTCTTTTGACTCTGTGAACATATCGTGGCGAGATCGCCAGTCTGCGGGATGTCGATTTCCGTGCAAGAGCTGGACAACACCGTCCGTGCCTTGTTTGAGGGCAAAGGTGACCTGGTACGTTGATCTACGTCAGACCCCTCATATCCCACATCACCGACAGCTCGATTCTATGAATCTGCTCCAATACTGACATCCATGATGCTGCCTAGCAAAAACAAGCCCAGCAGACCTTGACTGAAGTAAGAATTACCCCTCCAACCCCTCCACTGGTGTCAAAGACTGATTGGGAACCCCTCTTTTCAGTTCAAGCAAAATCCCGATGCCTGGGTTACCGTGGGCAACATCCTCCAGGAGGCCTCATATCTTCAAACAAAATGTGTGTTTTGAGCTCGAAAGCGTCTAGCAGGACGCGTTCAAGGCGAGAGCTTTGCTGACTCTGATAGACATTGCACTTCAAGTCCTGGACGATGTGATTATGACCCGATGGAAGGTTCTCCCAAGAGACCAATGCCAAGGTAAAAGCCACGACAACTTTGTTTTTCTGTCGAGTTCTAATCAAGTTTCTCTTTCTCTTCAGGCATTCGTAACTTTATTGTCCGGTTCATCATCGAAAACTCCGACTCGGAAGAGAAGCTACACGCGGAACGGCCCTTGTTGAACAAGCTCAATCTGGTACTCGTCTCGATTTTGAAACAGGAATGGCCACACAACTGGCCGAACTTTATCAACGAGATCATTTCCTCCTGCCATGCAAGCCTTTCGATCTGCGAAAACAACATGACTATCCTGCGCCTGCTGTCAGAGGAGGTCTTTGACTTTTCGCAAGATCAAATGACTTCTGTCAAGGCACGGAACCTGAAGACATCTATGACCTCGGAGTTTGCGTCCATCTTCCAACTTTGCTCGGAAGTTTTGAACACTGCCACCCAGCCTAGTTTGGTCAAGGCAACTCTCGAAACTCTCCTCCGCTTCCTTAATTGGATCCCGCTGGGCTACATTTTCGAAACACCCATCATCAACACTCTCCTCACTCGATTCCTCGGTGAACCCGAATTCCGAAATGTGACCCTCAAATGTCTGACTGAGATTGGTGGACTCCAAATTGGAACACCCTACAACTATGACGAGCGATTGGTGCATATGTTCACCGAGACACTCACCACCGTTTCCAACGTCATTCCGTTGTCCATGGATTTGAAGGAGACATATGCTATGAGCAATGGAAGAGACCAGGAGTTTGTGTCAAACCTCGCTCTTTTCCTCTCGAGCTTTTTCAGCGCACACTTGGATGTATGTGGGACCCCTGCTTCTCGTAAATCACTGCTAATCTACCGTTTCTTATTTCTAGCTCATCGAGAAGTTGCCGAACCAGGATTACCTAACACATGCCCACTTCTACCTTATTCGCGTCAGCCAGATCGACGATCGGGAAGTTTTCAAGATTTGTTTGGATTACTGGACTCGATTGGTGCAAGAGCTCTACGAAGAGATGCAGCAGCTTCCCATCACGGACATCAACCCGCTTGTATCAATGAGTGTCAGTGGCCTAGCCAATGGCGGTGCGCCCAACCCCAATACCCTGGCAAATTATCCTTTGCGCAAGCACAAGTACGAAACTGTGCTATCCAACCTCCGTACCGTGATGATCGAGAAGATGGTCCGTCCGGAGGAGGTCTTGGTTGTTGAGAACGATGAGGGCGAAATTGTCCGTGAATTCGTCAAGGAAAGCGATACCATTCAGCTTTACAAGACGATACGCGAGTGTTTGGTTTACCTGACTCACCTGGACGTGGTCGACACTGAGACCATCATGATCGAAAAATTGGCGAAGCAGGTTGATGGATCCGAATGGTCGTGGGTAAACTGCAACACCCTTTGCTGGGCAATTGGTTCGATTTCCGGTGCCATGAACGAAGAAACCGAGAAACGTTTCCTGGTTACCGTCATCAAGGATCTTCTGGGACTCACAGAACAGAAGCGTGGAAAGGACAACAAAGCCGTGGTGGCCAGTAACATTATGTACATTGTTGGACAATACCCACGTTTCCTGAAGGCCCACTGGAAGTTCCTGAAGACCGTTGTTAACAAGCTTTTCGAATTTATGCACGAGACGCACGAAGGTTTGTTTTCATCTTCCATATTTTAAGGTTCTACTCACTGATCCACATATAGGCGTCCAAGATATGGCCTGCGATACCTTTATCAAGATCGCCAACAAATGCCGACGTCATTTCGTGGCACTTCAGCCGGGTGAGAGCGAGCCCTTCATCGAAGAGATTGTTCGAAACATGCGAAAGATTACCATGGATCTTTCGCCCCAGCAGATTCACACCTTCTACGAAGCTTGTGGCTACATGATCTCCGCTCAAGGCCAAAAGACTCTCCAGGACCGGTTGACTGAGAATCTAATGGCCCTTCCCAATTCCGCCTGGGACCAGATCATTGCAGAGGCCAACCAAAACCCGGCAATTCTCCAGGATGGCAACACCATCAAGATTGTTGGAAATATCATGAAGACAAATGTCGCAGCCTGTTCCTCAATTGGCACTTACTTTTATTCTCAGATCGGCCGGATCTACCATGACATGTTGAATATGTACCGGGCAGCTAGTCAGCTCATTAATGATGCAGTCGCGAATGATGGGGCTATCGCTCCCAAAACCCCTAGAGTCCGCGGACTTCGGACCATCAAAAAAGAAATTTTGAAGCTTATCGATACCTACGTGGATAAGTCAGACGACGTCACCATGGTTAATGACAGCATGGTGCCACCACTTATGGAGGCCGTTTTGATTGACTATGCCCGCAACGTTCCTGATGCCCGAGAGGCTGAGGTCCTGAATGCTATGACGACCATCATCCACAAGCTTCATAACCTGATGGAGGACAAGATTCCCGCCATCATGGATAGTGTTTTCAACTGCACTTTGGAGATGATCAACAAAGATTTCCACGAATACCCCGAACATCGAGTCGAGTTCTTCAAGTTACTTCAGGCAGTCAACCTTTACTGCTTCCAGGCGCTCCTCAAGCTCGACGCTGCTCAGTTCAAGTTTGTCATTGACTCGTGCATGTGGGCATCAAAGCATGACAACCGAGAGGTTGAGAACACTGGTTTGACCATGTGTCTGGAGCTAATGAACAACATGGCCGAAACCGACCTGCAAACTTCAAGTATCTTCTTCCGCCAGTTCTATATCTCCATCCTTCAGGACGTTTTCTTCGTCTTGACGGACAGTGACCACAAGGCTGGTTCGTATGCCCCTATCATTTTGGCACACAGCAATAGACTAACAGCTTTATAGGATTCAAATCCCAGGCTTTACTTTTGCAACGCATGTTCTTCTTTGTCGAATCTGGCAAGATCCAAGAGCCGATCTATAACCCCGATCAGGCCCCAGCCGGAACTTCAAACAAAGAGTTCTTGCAGCAGTACATTGCAACACTGCTCCAGAATGCTTTCAAGAATCTTCAGGAGTAAGTTTTGTTGCCCACTGGGATCAGTGCCGGTTGCGAAATCATTACTAATTCTCTTTTTTCAGGGGACAAATCAAGCAGTTTGTCATCGGGTTGTTTGAGTTCACCGATGATCTCAACAAATTCAAGACTCACCTCCGTGATTTCTTGATTTCTCTGAAGGAGTTCTCCGACGACAATGCCGAACTCTATGCCGAGGAGAGAGAGCAAGCAGTGCGTGATGCCCAAACCGCCGAGCGCGACCGTGCCATGAAGGTAGGAGGCCTCTTGAAGCCATCGGAGATGGATCAGGAGGATGAGCTATGACTAGACCAAGAATTACGCACCGAGTTCATTGCTTCCACCGGTTCTCCCGGACATGAACAGGCTTCGAGGTTGATGTCCAGAAATGACGGCCTTGATGGCTGGTCCCTCTACGAGCTCTAGATCACGGGAAGCTGCGAGGCGTGACTCAAGGTCCATGGGGAGATGAGTGTGGATCTATCATTCTTTTTCATTTCTTTTCCTTGGTTATCAGGCTTGCGACATAGACCCAATCTCTGGCTAAGCGGCGGATTCTCTGGGACTGGTGTATGAAGGCTCTACCTAACGGAACGGATCTACCAGTTTCATCTTCTTGTACACTCGACCTATGAAAGGCGGGATAGTTTTTCATCAAATGGTTTATAAGACCTAAAAAAAAACAAAGACAAGTTCCAATTGCAGGTCATTTCCTTAACATGTAGCTATCGAATCCCGTGACATGGAAAGCGGTGAGGTCCTTATCAGTTGCATCATCTGAAAAAGTTCCTGCTTCACATACCATAACTTACATCCCGTACACAATGTCTCGAACACGTCAGCCGATGTCAAATGGGCTTCAAACAACGACTGAATCCTCTCGGGACTCTTCAGTGGCCCGTGTTCCCGCAACCCTCAGATTACGAGCGGAGGATGCACCAGCCAACACTCGCGAAGAAACCTCCTCGAGTCGCCGCATAAGATGGAGCGAAGATGTCGTGGACAATGAAGGCATGGGGAAGAAGAGCTCTAAAGGTACTTTGAAACATTATGCCTCTCCCTCATAGGGAACAGAATCCCTAACAGCCCTTAGTATGCTGCATCTACCACAAAGCCCGGCCGGTAGGAGAGAGCAGCTCAGAATCTGAATCAGATTCTAGCTCCTCCGACTCAGATAGTGACAGTAATGATGACAGGGCTAAACGAGCAAATCACGCTCGCCACTCTCATGCGCGCGGACGGAACCCTCATGATGAACACCACGCAGCTAACCCAAACGTGGATGAGTGTTGTTCAGATCATAGAGCACCAGAGTCGAAGCGCAGAAAGCCAAGTCCAAATGCCTATGAGAAAATGCCTAAGCCATCCAAGGCCCATTCGAGGGGCACTTGAATACCTTAAATTGAGAGCTGAGGCTGGTGGCAATGAAACCCCGAGAATTACGCATGACTTGCCCATATGCATGTTACCGAATCACGTCCCAAGGTGTTACTGGTCTACGGTATTCGCACAGGTCTTAAGACAGATATCCCCGCACGGCGCCATGCAGCAGCATAAGTGGCATGATCCAGACATCAGGGACGAAGAGCTGTTCTGGTGCTCCCGGGGTCACATCCGGTCCATAGAATGTTTTCAGCGCTGGCTGCGGATGACCTTGGTAGTATAATGAGAGAATGGACAATGTAATGAATTTCTAAAGATCGGCATTGCAGGGGTATCTGAAACATAACTCCAACCCAGGACCGGTCTATAACGATTGTACATACATGATGCAATAGAGATTTTGATCTCAAGAATAAGAAAAGGAAAAGGAAATGAAAGACGAACGGTGACCCCTATACCATCATACTTCTTCTTCGTGCCGCGACTCGCTGGCTACGCCCCGTTGAGCTTGTTGGTCCTACTCCGAATAAGTCCTCGTCTTCCGGAGAGTCTCCGGATTGCCCAAAGGACGTTCCACTGGGAGAAAGTGGTTCTGCTGGGTCGAGATCGTACTTTGGTTTGCTTGCACTCGTACTCTTGGGGTTTGATGAGTGTCGCCGTGGCTGTCGCCTCGAACTCGATGTGTCCTGAGATACCTGGGCAGAGATGTCGGCAATGCTGTTCTCAATATCCTTCTGTAGACCATGATTTGGACTCCAAGACCCAGCATCGTCTTTTGGAGCCGATGATACCTTGCGCTTTCGCCGAGACACCATTGCCATGAGTTGTTCAGAGGACCCATCCTGGGAGAAAAGATCTGGATTCTGCTCGGCCGAAACAGAAGTTCCGGAGAGACTCCCAGTGAGCTGAATGTCTTCATCGGTTAAACTGTCTCGACCAGGTTGGAAACTTGACGACCTTCGCGATCCAAAAGCAACGGCATCGATCATTTCTTTGGTTGGACGACGCATCTTGTCTCGTAGGTTAGGCTCTGCATAACTGACAACAGCGCCACGACGTCGTGAAGGCCGAATTCCGGAGGACAGGTCGGACTCTGTCTCCACCTTCAAGGCATTTGGGTGAGGTGACAATGCTGGGGGCCTTGATGCAGGTTCTTCCTGCTCGGAAGGGCGACTGGTGCGTTTTTCCTTCTTCGATGAAACAATCTTGGAAACACGCGGTCTCTGATTCAAAGTTTTCCCGCCGAGTTTCTCGACCTCCTTGGTCTTCTTTGGCGAGGTTGTGTTCTCGTCACCCCTAATGGGGTTTTGTAGAACCTTGGAGTCATAGCTCATAACCGCGCGAGCCTTTTTTGGGGACGACAAGTTGGAATTAGAACTTTCTGGTTCATTTGTTAGTCAAAATCATCATGGTAATAGGCGAAATTAAAGAACAGAGGAACATACTTGGTTCAAGGACTTTCCGCTTAGGAGGTCCAAGGCTTGTCGATCCTCTTGTCATTTCAATATTTGTCTTGACAGGCGACTCAGAGTGACTTTTGACGGGTGACTGCTCTCTTCGGGTAAAGTCTAATGGATTCATCTGCTTTTTGGGGCTATGAGTAGGTCGGCTGAATTGGAACTCATCGTCTTCCATGTTAATGGTCGAGGATATTTGATCATCGTCTTCGGGGCAGAACTTTCGCTTGGATCCCGATGTTTTAGGATTTACTGGGTTGTTGTGCGGGCTCGTATCCTGCTCTGTCGCTGTAGTGACAGGTTCGAAGGGGGCGATCGAAGTCGACTTCTTTTTCTTCTTGCGGGTCTCGAGGGTTGGGGGGAGTACTGGCTCGGGATCGGGCTCTCTTAGAGAATTGCTATCGACTATGGAATTGTAGGTTGGTTCTGGTGGCGAGGGACTTGAGCTTTGGATATCTTGATCTTCGTGATCTTCCAGTAAACTGGGCTCTCGTGGGGAATCGAAAATGCTGTGGTCCCCGTGGACCATGTTTTCAAGCTCTTGGGGCCTGAAATAGATTTAGCAATCAACAAATAAGAAGAGTGGTGGAGATCCGTACTCTAAGGTCCGTCGTGGATAGTATTTATCCTCAACGATGGCGGGGAGTCTTCCATCATCATATCCCATAGTGTCTTCATTTCTGGGTCTTGGCTCTGCGACTTTCGGCCGATCAGACTGTTCATCGCACATTTTATCCATTTTTCGGGGCAAAGAGCCCAAGTCCGTTGCCAAACTGCTGAGTTCCGCCAACTTCGCATCCAATTTGGATTTTATGTCGTAGATTCCATGGTGGAGCGACTTTGCTGCTTCCAGTCTCTCCGTTTCTTGCGTAAGGTTGATGACTTGTTTTCGAAGCAGTACATTTTCCGACAGTAAATGCGAAACCTCGGACTCTAGGCTGCGGATGCGAAGAGATTGCAGAGAGTTCACTCGCGCGATCTCACGATTTTGTCGCACAAATCGACGCTTTACTATAGTTAGGGGAAAGACAACACGCGTCAATCGATAGCTCCAGAAAACACGAAATAGATTTCACTTACAGGCATCAATCGACTCGGCCGGAGCCGCGTAGTCATTCAACCGAGCCATTGTGGAGACTTGGGACAGCGACCACTGCCTGAAGCCGACGTTTGGGGTAAGCCAGTAGGTACAGGGTGATTGAGAATTCAATAAAAGCCGAGTCTTATCCCAATCCGAAGGGTGGGCGAACGCAAAAGACCAGAGGTTTACAGAGGAGAAGGTAAACAAAGGTCAAAATGCCACACCCGTGTTGATGTTTGCCCGCATCGGGCTTAGTGTGCTGACTCATCATCCTGCCACGAATTGATGGGCAGCGGGGGGCAATCAACACTTGGACAATTCTTGCAATTCACGCCCTCTGCACTCGGTGATTCACAATGGCCTATCCAAGACCGACTTCTATGCTTCCCGGCGGGTCTGGTGGACCTTCTCTTCGCCAGCCCGGCTCCCAATCAACCTCCCAACAATCCTCGGCCCTGTCCGCCCGCATTGCGGCCAAGAAGGCGGAGCTAGAGAATTTACGCCAGTTGCGCGATCTGAGTGGAACACTGGCAACACAGATGCAAGCTTTGGAGACCAAGGTTTCCACGCTGAAGGATGGCACCGAAGGTAATGACTCCCTCCGATTCGGCCGGGACGCCCGCTGATTATTTCTAGCTGTTGCCTATGTCTTATCTAACTGGGACAATGTTTTACGAGCTATCACCCTTGCCTCTAGTAAGCCTAGCACTCCACCAACCGTTCTCATCGGTACTGATTTCCGTTCTCCATAGAAAAAGCGAGTGGACTCCACGAAGCCGAGCCGGAGAACAAGAATGTAGACATGCAGCCCGATGCTCGCTTGCCGGCAACGCTGGTTCGCATTCCAGCTGAGCCACGTGAGAAGACTGGCGAGTGAATCAGCTCGTGGGCATCTGTCTCACTATTTCTGGGCTGAAGCCTCGGGGCTGAATCCACTGTGGCTGGGAAATAACAAGCGCGCCATCCTTCTGCCGAGCCGGTAGTTCGCATCATTGGAAGTCCAATCTGTGTACTGTTTTGGGAATGCTGAACACCCGAACAGCTCCAACCATAAAGGCCTCCCCCCCCCCAAAAAAAGGCAGAAGAAGAAGACGTCTAATCTCCAATCCCAGTCGGGTATTGGTGCAGATCTCAGTGGAGATGTGGATGCGAAATAGCTTGCAAATCATGAGGATCCAGGAGAAGAGTTCGCACACCATGGGACATGCAATAAAGTTGGGTTATCTCGAAATGGTCAGCAAATCAGCCGTTCCCAGTGGAGAGACCGGGACTATCTTCTCCTCATGGCGACACTTGGGAGCCTGCGAGATAGTTCGATCCAGGTGTTATGATTGGGTAGAATGCATGCAGAAAGGGGCCTGAGTCTTTTTCTCAGCAGATGACACCAGACGCTCTGATGCCGTCGATCCGACGGAATGACGATAGTTGCCAGTTTGAGGGACCTGCAGCAGGTTAGAAACTAAAATCGAAGGGGAGGGGGGGGGTGAGAAATACCGAGTCAGCAGGTAGATATTGTGTGATGGTGTCATATGTAAGGTACCTTTCCCCAAGTACCCCGATCTATTTTTCCCTTTGATTTCTTGTTAAGCGCCCGAAGCCCAGCAAATCGTCGTAAATTCCAAGGTTCTTTTTGCTTTTGCCTTTCCCCCCCCCCCGCAATGCACTTCGGTACCTACATACTCTTTGACACTTCCAACTTATAACGCTATACATATTTCGCTGTCCAGTGGCATGATCTCGTGCTTTATCTTCTCCTCTCTTGCCCTCTCCATTTCTATTCTTCCTATATTATACTATACTCTCCCCCTCTCCCCCCTCTCTCTCTCCCATATTCTATTCTGATCTGTCTGCTTCTATCCATCATGTCAACAGAGTGGTCCTTGGATTTCTGTCTAGTTTGTGATAGACAAACACCAGGAGCTCCCTATTGCTCCCAAAAGTGTCGCCTTGCAGAACTGGACTCGGAATCGTCAGATACAACATCACGACGATCGAGCCAGGCATCAACACATTGGGAGACTGGCCCGTCGCAACCATCGGAATCCAATGCTCGCGAAACTGCCCAGTCCTCTCACATCCTATCGGCTTCCTCATCCCAAACCTCACTCTATTCTCTCAAGAGCAATGCATCTACTGCCAATGTGGCCGATCGGCTCCAAGATGAGCTCCGTGATTATGCCAGTTGTTTCGACCAGGTCCGCGACCTCAAGCGCCGCCTGACTACCACTTAATGACATCGAGTCCACCTGGAATCTCCCCTCCCACCCGCTGCATGAAGCGTGATTCTCGAGCTCAACGAAGATATGGCTCAACTGCATACAGCTCTCATGCTGCCACTCAAACAATAATTTGCATATACTTGGAAGGCGTCTGTGATGGAAAAGATACATTTCCGGTTGTTTTTGGACCCCGCTCTACTTGAAACCTATACCCCTCAACCTGTTATACCTGTTATACCTGTGCTATCTGTTTTGTCTGTTACATATGATCATTGGAAGGAGTTACAGGTCTTCTGACCTCGGTTATTTTGGGGGATTACTTTGTATCTACCAGATTGCCTATAATCAAAACTGGATGAACGATTTTCAATTTATTTGCTCTCCGTAGATCATTCTTGCAGCCCAATTCATCGGGCATGCTATTCATGATCAAAATGCTATGCGGTGGGGGGGGGGATTTTAAGGAATGTGCCCGATGCTAACCATCGCGGAATGCTGGAGCTGCGGCAGATGCGACTGGTACCAGGTGTCCCTCTCAACTTGTTCAACCCCGATTCGGCATCCTGCAGGAAGTTTCATGATTCGCCAGGTCATGCCATCAAGGTTGAGCTAGGACCTTTGACAGAGCTTTTTCATCCTTCGGCACAAAACGGACCTTGTATCGGGATGGAATGGCTACCAAACTTGCAGGGTCCGAATTGCCGCGGACGGGATGACAATCGGTCTTGTCATGAGGTTCGAGGCGGAAGCTGTTGAGGGTTCGAATAAAGACCAGGTATAGTTCACGATTGGCCAGCAATGACCCTGCACACATCCGATACCCCATACCATAAGTAAAAAGTGGAGCATCAGGTTGCTCAAGCCATCGCTCGGGTCGGAATTCATCCGGGTCATTCCACACATCAGGATCTATGAAGTGGTCAGTTTAAATCTGATGATCTGGTCGATAGGCTTACCCATGTTGCATGCCCAGGCATTCAAAAAGAAGACTGTGCCCTTGGGAATGACAATTCCATTGTAGTTGATGTCCCGGATGGAGGTACGGGGTAGGGCTAATCGCAGAACGGTGAAAAATCTAAGCTATCAGTTTAATGTTCCATGATTCAGACCATTATACATACCGAAGACACTCCTTGACCAAAGCTGTCACATATGCACACCTCTGGTCATCCTCAACAGAGCACATAGGCTCATCTTGGCCATACATTTCTTGGATTGCCTTGGCTGCCTTGTCCTGAATGTCAGGCCGCTGAGCCAGCAACCCAAGACTCCATGCGACGAGGGTGGTGACTGTGTCAAGTCCACCAGAAAGCATCGTCAAACTGATGGAGGTAAGTTCCTCGCTGTTGAGCTTGGCTTCCTTGTCCAAGATAACATTCGCTTGGATACAAGGCTTATGGGTGCCTTTTTCCATTCGATCATCCAAGTCCCGATTGAGCGACCCTAAGTATCGATCACGGCGCATTCTCATCTCGGCAGCCTTTTTGGAATTGGAGCTGAACGGGTTGAGGCGAAGGAGAGGAATATAGTCTTGCAAGTTTCCCGTGGTGCTTCGGAATCGACTGATCTCCTCCTCCACATGGGTGATTTCGTCAAACATGTCCTCTTCCTGGGAGGCAATACGTACACCCCAGTTAAGAGTCAATGCCAGACTCAAACTCAGACGCTGAATCATAGGCATAGGATCCACGGGGGTCTTTCCCTTATTTCCGTATCTGTGCAGCTCTTCCACAAAGGACTTGGACTCGACATCCAAGTGAGAAACATATGTTTCGACCGAGGGACGGTTCAAGGCCGACGCGGCACCCTTTCTACGTCTCTTGAGCGAGTCGCTATAGGGAGAGGTACCGATGGTCGTTCCGGCAGTGTTGGAGAGGATCTAAGACAGCAACAGTCAGCGGTGCATATGAAAACATACCAGATGAATGACACCGACCTTGTGAAAAGTATAAAACTCTGGTCGCGAACTTAAAGCCTGCGCATTCTGACCAAATAGCACCTTAGCTGAAGCCGCCGAGTTGACCACTACAACGGGGATATTTCCCAACATGATCTGATACACCGCCCCATGAGTCTTTGACCAGATGCGATACTGCTCTGCAGCATTCGTCCGAATTTGCGATAGATTTCCAATCAACGGGAAGCCCCGAGGACCATTCATCCCCTTGACACGGGCTGATGCACGGATGACTTCATTGAGGACAATATAGAGAAGAGGAACGACCACAGCCGCCACAGCCACTGAGTGCCATGGGTACTGGATCAGACTGCGTTGCAGCGTTGACAGTGCAGAAGCGATGGCCATGATGAGTTGGAAATGTGCAGCTTACATGTCAGGCCAGTCATGATGAGCCTAAATATAAGTTCTGAATCACCATGACTGCAACCAAATGGAAGATTTCCGTGTAGAAGGAATTCCGCCCTCTGGCCTTTTACCCCACATTTCCCCAGCTTTGACAGAGCTTGTTCCGCACTCCGGAAATCTTCCGTCTTAGACCCGAGGTGTCTTGTATGTTTAGGTGGCGGTTTGGGTGTATGGGGTGTAAGTGTGAGATGAGATATCTCGGATATAACCTTGGGAGTTCTACGTTAATGTTGACGTTATAACGTACATAGTAAGTGGACATGCGATATATTTGCCAGATTCCCGCCTTCTTTTTTTAAAAAAATATATATCTTGGATCTTCAAATGTGAAAACCCATGGATTGATACAGTTACCCAGGTGAAATATTCGCTGATTACTATGCACTTGAACTTCTCGTCCTCTCCAGGGCTGTTGCAGTCACTGATGTGTTGCGATATCACATGATGTCATGTGATGGTAGATAGTGCTCCCTCGTAACTATTGTAGATGAGACCAGATGACGAGAGCTTTCTTTCTGTCTTGTCTCTGCTCTCCCCAGTCCTCCTTAACCACAATTTATTATCATCCATTGCATCCCTTTGTCCTGTTCTCATGACAGTGTGTGTAGTTATCTACACATAGAGCAGAGAGACCCATGCAAGAAAGGGATGAGACAGGCATCATATATTTCCCCTGACCTGGAATACTTGTCAGGTTGCCAAGTGTTCACGACTAGAGTGTATATAGTAGACATTAGCCCGGGAACAGTATTTAAACATGTAGGTCCAGACCCTGTCCTATTAAACACTACCGGGACTAGTGACGATCATATCCACCTGGGCACGCAAGGACACTTTTTATCTTATCTAAAGGGATTTGATATGATTTTGAATGTTTATAGGTGGAACGGAAGAGAGAGCCTCATGTGTGTGTGTGCACTGTAGCCACAGACCGGTTTGTGGCGTGCCAAACCTGCAGGGCCCAACTCATGATGAAATACCAGAGGGGAAACCGGAATCCCTGTGGAGTATAAGAAGAGAGCTGGGGACACAAATCCCTGTGGATCAGATCCAGACATGTTCACACGGGGAGGGCCCCTGAGCGGGATGGGTCTCCGAGTGGCCCCCTATGAGTGGCTGATATTCATAGCACTCGTCAGGTGGCCTTGAAGAGATTGAGTTCCGAGATATCAAGCCGCTCTCTCTCGGCTTCCCGAAATAAGGACACGTTTTCACAGCGTGGATGTAAATGAAATATGGCGTGTGTAGTACCTATCCCTTGCGCGAAAAATCTCTGTTTACGGGAATAGAACGGAGGAACCGTCAATTGGTGGGAGAAAAAGGGAGAACGGACGTCACTGAGACCCACAAGTTTTGCTCCAATCACGAGCTGTGTTGGGCCCATGACGCAGAGCTTTGCTGTGCTCGTGACCTGGTTAGGACTGGAAGGTATAGCGATCAGGTATTTGGGTCTCTCTTTTCTGATGACTTCCCCTTCTCTCTCTCCTCTCCCTCTCTCTCTCTGTCTCTGACTTCTATCTCTACTCTTCCCTTTGGGATTCCTATCAATTGCCCCAATTGATCCCTTCCCTCCCTTTAAATCCTCCGCAAGGAAGAAAACAAAAAAGAATTTATAACAGATAATGGCCGCTCGGCATTCGCGCAAGCTTTTGAGACCTCTCCTGTACACATCCGCGGCTGCCGCCGCTGGTGCAGGTGTTCTCTACATTTCTTATCGCCCGCGAAACATTCCCGGCCTCGAAGCTCCCGCCGTTCCTCCTCCTGGCTACCGTGAAGGCAAGCTGGTACCTCCTAGCTTCCCTCAAATTAAGTCTCGCCTCGAACAGATTGAGGATCTCAAGCGCAGTAACCAAGAAGAGGAATATGACCTGTTGGTGATTGGTGGCGGTGCGACTGGATCCGGTATCGCACTAGACGCCGCCACCCGTGGCCTCAAGGTCGCAGTGGTGGAGAGAGATGACTTCAGTGCCGGAACCAGCAGTAAGAGTACCAAGTTGGTACACGGTGGTGTCCGTTACCTAGAAAAGGCTGTTTGGGAGTTGGATTACAACCAGTAAGTTTTTCCGCTTCTTTTCTTTCACGCGCTCGGTCGGTTGGGGGATCGACAATTGTCGTATTTGTGCTGATCGCTTTGTGCTACAGATATGCGCTGGTCAAGGAGGCGCTCAGAGAACGCAAGTACTTCCTGAACACTGCGCCTCATCTGTCATCATGGCTTCCGATCATGGTCCCCGTTCAGAAATGGTGGCAGGCTCCCTATTTCTGGGCTGGTACCAAGGCCTACGATTTCTTGGCTGGTTCCGAGGGTATCGAGTCCTCCTACTTTTTGACCAAGAGTAAGGCCATTGACGCCTTTCCCATGCTCAAGCGTGACAACATTATTGGTGCCATGGTCTACTACGATGGTGCTCACAACGACTCCCGTATGAACGTCTCCCTCGCCATGACTGCTGCGCTGTACGGTACCACCGTCGTGAACCACCTGGAGGTTACCAGTCTCACCAAGGATGCTTCTGGCAAGCTTTGCGGTGCGCGCGTGAAGGACATGATCACCGAGAAGGATGGTCAGACGGCTGCGGAGTTTGGTATCCGCGCCAAGGGTATCATCAACGCCACTGGTCCCTTCTCCGACTCTATTCGCAAGATGGATGAGCCCGACGTCAAGGAGATTGTGGCCCCCAGTGCTGGTGTCCACATTATCCTCCCCGGTTACTACTCCCCCTCCAACATGGGTTTGATCGACCCCTCTACCTCGGATGGACGTGTCATCTTCTTCCTGCCATGGCAGGGCAACACCATCGCCGGTACCACAGACCAACCCTGTGAAATCGAGACCCAGCCTCAGCCCACTGAGAAGGACATCAACTGGATTCTTTCTGAGATCCGCGGTTACCTGGCACCCGATATCACCGTGGACCGTAGCGATGTTCTTGCCGCTTGGTCTGGTATTCGTCCCTTGGTGCGGGACCCTAAGGCCAAGAACTCCGAGTCCCTGGTCCGTAACCACTTGGTGACCGTCTCCCAGTCTGGACTTCTGACCTGCGCCGGTGGCAAGTGGACCACTTATCGCCAAATGGCCGAGGAGGCCGTTGACGAGGCTATCAATGTCTTCAAGCTGAAGCCCCGTGAAGTGGCCACTCTCCCCGATATCTCCGGTGTTGGTGGTAGTGGTCTCGTGGCTGACGGTGCCGTTCTCGACGGTAGCTGCCAGACCCACCAGGTGCGCCTGATCGGTGCTCACGGTTTCTCCAAGACCCTCTTCATCAACCTTATCCAGCACTTTGGTCTTGAGACTGACGTGGCTAAGCACCTGACCGAGTCCTACGGTGACCGCTCATGGCAGGTCGCTGCTCTGTCCTCTCCCACCACTGAACGTTTCCCTGTCCGCGGCTGCCGTATTTCTCCCTTGTACCCCTTCATTGACGGAGAGGTTCGCTACGCTGTCCGTCACGAGTACGCCCAGACTGCTGTCGATGTGATTGCCCGCCGTACACGTCTCGCTTTCTTGAACGCCGAGGCTGCCCTCGAGTCTCTTCCCAGTGTGATTGACTTGATGGGCGAGGAGTTAAAGTGGACCACCGAGCGCAAGGATCTTGAGTGGAAGGATTCGTTGACCTACCTTTCCTCCATGGGTTTGCCCAAGAGCTTTATGGGTCTCTCGCGCCACGATGTGCAAGATGGACGTGTCAAGCAGGTTGATGACCAGGAGCGTGCTACATTCTCCCGAATTGGTAAGTATTCTATGCATTTCTCCTAAAGACCACTATATTAACCATCTCCAGAACCCCCTGCGGATATCCTCGAGAGTGACGCTCGTGTGACAACCCCTGCACCCCCTGCTGTCGCAGTCAAATAGATAATGTGTGGTATATATAGATCGGGCTTTGTATAAATAGAAGCGTTTTGGTTCTTTTGGTTTCTTTTTTTCTTATCATCTCTTGGAGATTTTCCTTTTCCCTCCATTTTGGCCTGCAGTTGCCCGAATCAAATATATTTCACACGGAAGCTACGATTGCCGTAGCTCCAACTTCCAACTTGCAACTTCCAACCTCCCATTTCTCTTCCCTATGGAGTTTTGTCCCCCATTTGATCATGGAGCTGCACAATCAGTCCAGCTTTAATCCACCCGCATCCATGCACAAGCTGGATACTCCCCAGAGTTCTATCTCAGAAACAGGACCAGAGGCAAAGGATCCCTTCGGAAATGAGAGCGAGACTGGCGTGAAATACAAGACCATGGCTTGGTGGTGAGTGCCCCTTCTGATGGCGGGCCATGAGACAGACTCAGAGACTCATTCGATATACAGGCAGGCTGGAATGAGTAAGTTCTTCAGCACTTGTGCCTTGTTAGACTTACACTGATAGCGCCAGTCATGATCGCGGAGACTATATCGCTTGGGATTCTCTCGCTGCCAAAGGCACTTGCCACACTGGGTCTTGTCCCGTATAGTGTCTCCTCTACGTTCGCAGTGAAATGAGCTAACATGTTTACCAGTGGCATCCTGACTATCCTCGCGATCGGGCTCATCTCCACGTATACTGCATACACCATTGGGCAATTCAAATGCCGTTATATGCAGGTTCACAGCATGGCTGATGCTGGTCATATTTTGATCGGCCGAGTCGGACGCACTACCCTCGATATTGCCCAGCTTGTCTTCTTTGTTCTGGTCATGGGGAGTCATGTCCTCTCCTTTTCGATCATGATGAATGTCCTCACTGAACACTCAACCTGTACTGTCATCTTTTCCATTGTTGGTTTACTCGTATCATTCTTGCTGACCCTCCCACGGCGACTTGAGAAGCTCTCTCATATCTCCTATGTGAGCTTTGTCAGTATCATCGGAGCAGTGGTGACAGGTATGATTGGAGTCGCTCTCGTCAAGACAGGAGTTACCCATACCCCAAGCTTTGTGCCCAAGCCTAAAGTGCATGATGCATGTCTTGCTGTTGCAAATGTCATCTTTGCATACGCCGGCCATGTTGCATTCTTCACCCTCTTCTCGGAGCTCAAAGAGATCAAAGACTTTCCCAAAGCTCTCGCGCTGCTCCAGTTGAGTGAAATGGTCCTGTATACGGTCTCGGCCATCGTCATATATGTGTACGTTGGACCAGCTGTTGCCTCCCCGGCTCTCAATTCTGCAGGAGAGTCATTCCGCAAGATTTCCTACACCATCGCACTTCCCACGGTAGGTACATCGATACACTCGGTTTTGATCGAGCTGACATACAATTCAAGATTGTGATTGGGGGCGTTGTGAACGCCCATGTCGCGGTCAAGTTCATATACGTTCGTGCTTTTCGAGGGACTGACTCGATGCACAGTCGGTCATTAATGGCGCGAGCTGTATGGGCCATGATCGCCGCGGTACTTTGGATCTTGTCCTGGATCACTGTCGAGGGGATTCCCGTCTTCAACGATGTACTAGGGCTCGCGGTATGTACTATCTATTCACCCTTGACCCCCAAAAGCAGTGAGAACTGATGATTCCCGCCAGAGTTCCTTGTTTGCTAGTTGGTTTTCATTCGGCTTACCGGGGCTCTTTTGGCTCTACTTGAATCACAGCTGTTATTTTTTAAGTTGGAGACAGACTGTCCTGTTTGGCTTCAACATTTTCCTCGTATTCCTCGGATTTCTGATTGTGAGTGATTGAAATTGACCCCGATAGAAAAGACAAATAAACTCACGCCACTAGTGCATTGTCGGGTTGTATTCATCCGTTCGGTCTATTTTCCACCACACACGAGAAAGTGTTGCGGGAGGCAGCTTTTCTTGTGCCGACAATTCGGTGTTTTAGGGAAATGCTATGGTATCGAAGCGAATCTCGGGAGGGTTGGGGGAGAACACAGCATTGACGTTGCGGGTACCGAGAACATCCCCAAGCGAACTCTTTAGTGTATGAAGATAGGAATAAATTGAGTTCTCTTGGTACACCAATGGACTGCATAACTGCCTCCGGAGCCGAGACTTGAGACTGGAACGGCCAAGGCTGTACGGCAATTTGATATTACCCCAATCCTTGTCATTATCGGAGCAAAGGCCATGCTACCCTTGAACACGAATCTCATTGGGGGAGAACGCTCCGTGCAACTGTCCTATTACGGTCAAAACCCACCTTTTTTTCCCCTGAAAAAGGCTAGATATACGGGTGGTACCGACGCGGCACTAAGCAATGACTCGCAGCGAGACTAAAAAAGGATTTCGGAGATTTGCTAACGTCGTCATGTACGCCTACCTGGTAAATCTGTACAGTACTTTTGTTCGATTATTAATGGGTTAATTAAATGGCCAATATGGAGGGGGGGACAAAAAGAGCGGCCTTCCGCGATTCCCTTGTACATAGTGATCTAAGTGAACGGCTATACATCATGCGACTGCTCATATATTCTTCTCTCCCCCCGGTCTTGAATATTAAGTATGATTAATTGTATCGTATTCTTACGTCTTGAAAAAAAAAATAAAAAAAAAACAAGAACTCGAATCTTGGGCGCCGCCCTTTCCCCCTCCTCCTTTTGTAGGACGTAGAAGCCCGACGCATGTAGGGTGTCCTAATCAAACAGGGATCTGAACACCCCTTGACTTATACCTTGTACATGAAAAACAAAACGCTCGCTCACAGGAAGACAAAGTGCGCAAGGCATACATGCATGACCCCCGCCACCTCGCCGGCCTGTACAACCAGTGAGATGGGCAACGTGATCAGGAAAACAGTTCCTTCGATTTGCTGAGGAACATCACTGGGTTGATTCTCGATAATCCAATAGCAGATATGAGCCCATCCTTTCCCGCCCATCCAGAATCAACTTGTAGAAAGACCGAAGTGGTCTCGTGCAGGTTCCACAGGGGGGAGGGGGAAACAAAATGATACCCGGGTGGTGTGTACTGCTCAGGTTGAGTTCCTGGGCTGGATAGGGTGCCCATGCAGTGAATTCAGAGAGAAGGAAGAGCGGTGGAGGCTGCAGATGCCGGACATCGGGCGCATCAGAACCACGCTCTTGCTGCATCTCTCGTGACGGTGAGCAGGATTGAGTGGCTCTTCACCCCCCTTCCTCTCCACGGGGAGGTAAAGAAGACCTAGAACAACATCTCTTCACCCAGTTTCAGACATCATGTACCGGTGTAGATATTGCAATTCCCTCAGCTATTTCTTGCTTCCATTGGGATCGCTCCCCTGATAGGTATTCCAGAAACGAGCCACAGCACGCTGAGCGACGGGTCCCGAGTATGATAGCCGGTAATAATTGAAGAGGGCGAACTCGTCCGGACTAAGAAGATAGGTGTCTGGCTGAGCCTGTATCCGCGCCCACAGCTCCTCCACGACAGCGTCTAGTAGAACTTTGGCGGCAGGGTCTGCGTTGAGGTCCCGAGCCTGCTCGAGGGCCCGACGAATTTCCACCCAACTTCTAGACAACGGTGGATTGGACATATCGGAACGGATTCAACGGCGTCGGCGCAAGGAAACAGGGCGGTCTTCCTCTTGGGACAGGAGATTTGGGGGATAGAGAAGAAAAAGAGGAAGACGCGCCGCGAGGGCTCGACTAAAAGGAAAGAGGATTTCCGAGCGGCAAAAGTGAAACTCTGCAAGCTCGGGAAAAAACTGAATCTTTTCAATAAATAAATGGGGAACCGGGGTGGAGCAACGGGAGGGGGAAAACCGGGCCAGTGGACCGAAACCTATGTTCATATGTTCATATGTTCATAGAGTGTGACATCCAAAGGCAGAGATGCCTCTGAGGTCAGGAACAGGGTCGGGAATCCCGGCTCGGAGATTGGCAGTGAGAAGCATAAGGAACCAGAAGGGATCGAGCTCTCTCTCCATCACGAGAGAAGGAAAACACCTTAGGCCGAAGGTGGGGTGTAGTTTGCGGGCTCGCCCGTGGCAGGGAATGTACCTTGTATCTTGGCGTAACGGTTTTCTCGGACAATTTAAGGGATGAACCGGCATGATTCGATAGAGATTCAAGGGCCAGGGTCGCTTAACGCCTGTAGACCAACCGAGAGCACCAATTGGGCTCTCTGGGGGGCCAGTGTGGCCCCCCAGCCAATGTCCGGTGCGTCAGCTAGGTGGAGTTTTGAGGCTCGTGGGACTTCATTCCCGGAGCTAGACATTCCAATCAGTGCCGATATACACTCTCTGAGCCTAGTTGGAATCCGACTGAATGATGCTTTCGGAAAATCCCCATTGGTGTAGGGGGGGGAGGGGACCTCGGCCGGTGACCTCACTGGGCCATTTTGAAACGGCTGCTTGGAGCCGACCTGGATATAGACTCGCTTCCGAGACACGCAATTTTCTTCTCGGAAGCCGTGAACCTTTTTTTTTTTCCCCTTCCCTCTCCCCTTTGTGCTTGATCCCACAAGGGGTTGTTCGTCCGAAACAAAAGGCGCGGTGCATCTCCGGAAGATCGAAATTTGCAGGGACCCATGTTGCTCCGTAATAACCTCATGGAACTCCGGCCGGCTGTTTTGCCCTTTCTCTCAGCATCATCAGCCCATCCCTCTCAGAGTGACGCGTTTCCAGCGATACAGAATGTGGATGATGCCCAATTGTGCTTGATGAGCTGGAAATTGGGCTCGTCAATTTCCACGGGTTAAATTGGAGGAATTCTAACTTCATGTTTGCCGAGCATATCCCGAGGGTTCCGACCTCGTTGCGAGGTTCCGATCAAAGAGCTATCGAACAAGGCTAGACCATCGTCGGGAGAATCACGATCAACAAAGCCCAAAACTTCCCAGTGGTGAGGAGGCGAAGAGATGTGAGGTCCACAAAAGGCGCAACTCTAAATCGGCCAACTTCCGGAGATCACCCGGCTTCACTTCCTCTTTCTCCTGGCCTTGGTTTCTTCTTGGAAACAGAGTTGTCCGAGACATATTCTACGAGCCACTGACACCACAGTCTATCCGAATCGGCCAATCTACCAGATCTGCCCAGCATGCTTGAGCTTCGCAATCCTTGATCTCTTGAAGAACTGTCCGGGCTCGGTTGGCTCTTCCGAATACGAGGCCCCATATTCTATTTGCAGCTATTGACCGTTCCCACCAAGGCCGGCAAGGTGAGTGGGGGACTCATGGAATATAGCCGATATGAAGGACTCCTACACTGCAAACCAAGACCCGTTGAAATACGGGGACACGCGCAGTGGAACGGAATTGAGATTATTTTGTTCAGAACACGCCGAAATAAACCACCAGCGCATCCCTAGCTCCATGCACTTCACTTGCGCTACTGTATTCTGTCTCTCATGTGTCTTTATCGCATGACTCGTGGAATTGGCGTGGGGAATATCCAAGATCATGAGCTTCATGAGCTCCAAGATGGCGACTATGGTCCGGGTATCTTACTTCTGTCAGAATTAGGCTTGTGCCAATGCCTCAGTATAGTCAGATCATGCTCATGCTAGAAAAAAATAATAACAAGTCCAGACGAAATGTTGATGTCTGCTACAGTAAATAACCTCCAGGGCTAAGTCACCTGTGCGGATAGAGATGACTAAGCTATAGATAGACTGATAAACGTTCCCCCACCAACATTCAAACTTTTGACAATTGTCACGGCGGCATTTGACAGTCGAGGATTTGCCATGGTTTACTACTTCACATCCAATGTGGTCTCTCCCTCTGCCTTCATCTATGTAGGCAAGGACAAATTCGAAAGTATGCCGTTGAAGAGTCTCCCCAGGGAAGCTAGCTAACGTTGCCAGATGAGGACCTCATTAAATACGGGTTGGACAATGATGTCTGGTATGATAGCCGCTACCTACTGGCAGAACCATCTCACTGATTCACTTGCGCAACAGGGTTAGTCCATTCCTCCCACATGCGCCGCCCTGTCTAATACGTCGTACCTGGATAGTTCCACGTCGATAATTTGTCAAGTGCACACGTCTACGTACGCCTTCGCGAGGGTGAAACGTGGGAAAATATCGCCGAGCCGCTCCTAGAGGACTGTGCTCAGCTCACAAAAGCGAACTCTATTGAAGGTCAGCCACCGACAGAAATCCAAGCATCGCGGTAACGGAATCTAAATCTGCGGGTAGGCAACAAGAAGGACAACATTACTATCATCTACACTCCCTGGTCAAACCTTAAGAAGGACGGATCGATGGCGGCTGGCCAGGTCACATTCCACAATCACAAGCTGGTCCGCAAGGTCTACGTGAAACAGCGTGAGAACGTGATTGTCAACCGACTCAACAAGACCAAGGTTGAGAAATTCCCGGATCTTCGAGCTGAGAAGGAGGAGGATTCGAAGAAGAAGCTGCGCAGTGACCGCAAAACACGGGAGGAGATCCGCATGAAGGAGAAGCAGAAACAGCGAGAGCATGAACAATTAAAGTGGCAGAAGGATCATGCCTACGACGACATGTTCACCGAGGAGAACATGGAGGCTAGCAGCAACCAGGATCGCGACTCGGATTTCTTCGACGACTTCATGTGATGCCCTCGAGAAATGACTGTTGTGCCACCATCCCAAATGAAAATGATACCCTGTGAAGTGCGAATCTCAAATGGTCTCCATGATAGAGTCCAAGGATATGGGAAATGGGATTTATTGTGGATATGTCTCTTCAATGCCAATGCATATATACGCATGATTGGTGAATCTGCTTGTCATACTATCAATGAATGTTGTGTACCACCCGTAGCAAGTGAGTATAGTGGACACGGGGCAAAGGAGCATTGATCGGTTCATTGGTTAGAGGTGACTTTGAAGTCAATTGATTTCAATTGAAATTGAGAAGAAATTTGGAAGTGAAACATTCGAGTCAAGTAGATCTGGATGAAGTCCACGGGTAAAACCAGGGGATTAATCATCGCCGGAAAGGGCCAGCCGCGCTAGCGTGTTGACAGCTTTCGAACCCCAGCAATTCACCATCTCCCCAACACCACACAGCATGACTGAGGGCATTCCATCGGCTATCGCTCCAAGTAGGTCCATTCTTATCATTGACTTGGAATCCACTGACCCCGCTCAAAGGCGCCAAGTCGAAGAAGAACAAGAAGAAGAGTGCCAAAGCCAACTCCGACCCCCAGGATAGCGAGCATCCAGATGCGCCAGGTCATGATGATACGAATGTATGTGATGTAGACAGTCTGATTGACAACGTACCTGTTGCTGAGACCCTTCCCAGAACGAGCCCCATGATGCCAGCGAGGCTCCCATAGAAGATGAAGAACCGGCATCCAATGGCGCCAAGTCGGACACGATAGGCAATAGCCTACCTGATCGATCTGTCAATAATAATCAATTGAAAGCTGCCGGCGACGCTGCTGCCACTCCCAAAAAACAGTCCGACCCCGCCTCCGAAGGCACCGAACCCAAGGACCGGTTCGACGCACTCGTTCGAGACCGCGACTCCTTACGCGCAGAAGTAGCCGATATGCGGAAGTCATTGGAGGAAATACAATCCAAGCACAGTGCGGACATGGAGGCGTTGCAGGAGAAGTTGGACGAGGCAGAGACCAAGAAGGAACAGGCTGAAACGCAGTTCCAGAAACTCATGGAGCGAGTGAACACCATCAAGTCGCAACTGGGAGAGCGACTTAGGGAGGATGCGGTACGTTCAATCACCTCCAGTCTTAGGGTCATTTGTCTTATGATGCTATACAGGAGGAACTGTCTCAAGCGCGGTCGCAAATTGAGGATCTCGAAGATAACAACAGCAGCCTAAAGGAACAGCTCGAATCCAAGTCTACCCAACTGACGGAACTCTCGGCCGATTCAGCCAAGAAGGATATGGAGCTGTCTACTCTCCGGGATCGTACAAGCCTATCACAACAAAACTGGTTGAAGGAGAAAGAAGAATTACTTGAGCAGGAGTCGTACCTTCAATCGGAATTTGAACAAGCAAAGGAGGCAATGCACAACTGGGAAGTGCTGGCTATGGAGGAGCGATCTATTCGGGAGAACCTGAACGAAAAGGTTGGGGACCTGGAGGAACAGCTCAGTAGCCTGAGAGATGCATATGAAAAAGCTACCGATGAACGCGACACCCAACAGTCGACAGTTGACGGATTACAACGTGCTCTTCAGGAAATTCAATCGGCACGAAAGCAAGAACTTCGGGAACTTGTCGAGAGCTCCGATTCTCAACTTGAAGATTTGAGACGCTCCCTGCGCGAAGCACAGAAGCAAGCCACAGATGCCGACAAGGGTCTTCAGAATGCCCAGGAAGAGATTGAGAGAGTCCGGCCGTTCGAGAAGGAAGTCAAAGAAAAGAACCTGCTCATTGGAAAACTAAGGCATGAAGCAGTCACGCTGAATGACCATCTGACGAAAGCTTTACGATTTCTCAAAAAGGGGAAACCAGAAGATAACGTCGACAGGTTAGCCAAACAGAAACTAGGGCTTGACCAACTGAACTGACCACAAACAGGCATATTGTCACCAACCATTTACTGCACTTCCTCGCCTTGGATCGGTCTGATCCAAAGAAGTTCCAAATCTTACAGCTCTTTGCCGCGTTATTGGGCTGGAATGACGGTAAGCACATACTGAATGTGAGAGTTACTCGAGTGTATCTAACAATCGGTTATAGAGCAACGTGAACAAGCAGGCCTTGCGCGGCCAGGCGCTTCAAGTATGCCCGGGAAACTCCGAATCCCAGGCACACCTATGCGCACCCCAAGCACGCCAAACTTGGCCACAGACTTCATGGATAACGGCGCCTCCAGCAAAGAGACGCTGGCCGAACTGTGGTCCAACTTCCTGGAACAAGAAGCCGAGGTGGGCAACACGAACACAATGAGACGAGGAAGCCATCAAGGGCCTCCCAAGTCCTAGACCGCTTGTATGTATAAATGGTAGAACTTGAATATTGATATTTGATACTTGCCCCGATGGTCACCGCCTTCTTTCTGCCGGATGTTTTCGTAGCCGCATCTAGAAATCTACCGCTGTCGCATTCTGTCTTCGTATGCATTTCCTTTCATCTTTCCGTACTATTTCAGCGTCGTTCAGACCCTTCAACCTTGCCACTCGCTTTGAATCCACAATGGCTCCCAGTGCTGGTAAGCGACCTATGTTTCATGGTCATCATGGTCATGGTCTATAATCATAGGCCATGAACCCCGCCACTTGAGCAATGCGACAGGACCAAATCTAACATGAATGATCAGTTCAAAAGTTCCGCCCAGTTGTGATCTCTGGTCCCTCTGGAACCGGAAAGTCGACCCTCCTAAAGAGACTCTTCGCTGAGTTCCCCGACACTTTTGGCTTCTCCATCTCTCGTATGTCAACTCGAGGCACATGGCCAACCCAGTGCCAAAAGAAGTGAACTGTCGACAATATATAAGGAGCAAATACTGATCAGAAACTTATCCAAAGACACCACTCGTGCCCCCCGCGCTGGCGAACAGGACGGCCGCGAATACAACTTCGCCACCAAAGAAGCCTTCCTCGATCTTGTCGCACAAAATGGATTTATTGAGCATGCTCAATTCGGTGGCAATCACTATGGAACTAGTGTGCAAGCCGTGAAGAACATTGCCGAGAAGGAGAGAATCTGTATTCTCGACATTGAGATGGAGGTATGTATTTGAATAGGGGGGATTGCGACACTGGATCTAGATATGCTAATAACATATACGTTGCTACAGGGTGTTAAGCAGGTGAAGAAGACCGACCTCAATGCTCGCTTCTTGTTCCTTGCGCCACCTTCTTTGGAAGAGCTAGAGAAGCGCTTGCGGGGTCGGGGTACCGAAACCGAGGATAGCCTACAGAAGCGTTTAGCGCAAGCACACAACGAGCTTGAATACTCCAAGCAGGACGGTGCCCATGACAAGATTGTTGTCAATGATGACCTTGAGAAGGCGTATACCGAACTACGCGATTGGGTCGTTGACGGTGGTCGTTTTGGAGCTTAGAGCATTCACTGTGCATGCTATACAAGTGTGTTCATCTGTGGTCAATTGTTATGAGTGATTCATATGGGACATATGAATGGCTAAATCGGCAATTAACAACTTGCTCGTTGCTGTTTGATACTTTATCTATATTCGCATTTTCTTCTCAAAGCGAGCGAGACACAAATATCTCCAAGAATTAAAAGTTTCTCATGAATTTAATTAAGAAAACTAAGTACATGGAAAGTACTAGAGTTGGCACAAGCGCTAGAGTGCCAAGTGTTTTCCCCCGAAAATACAAAATCCTAAACAAGGAATGGAAAAAAGGCTCCCAAGAAGAGACAAGATGGGATGCTGGATACAACATGGGACGGGAACGATAGGAGACGCAAAAGAAAAAAAAAGGGATATCTGCAAGGGCCTGCTGGCGTCAAAGAGGACAGTAAGTTTTCGGAAGGACATCTGCTTTCCGTGGCGCAACAGTCAGAATGCTGGCATCAGATATTAACACTCAAGTTTAGTATCCGTTCATAGCAGCACGCTGCGAATTGCGGCTAAGCTCACGGTCAGCTGAGGGACTGATGGGCCGGCTGCCACCGGTGTGGGGACCGCCGCCAGCACTGCTCTCCTTCAGGGCAAGCAACTGCTTGGCACGGAAGGTCTCGTAGTGGATCTGGCTGGTGGTTTCGACCAGATCCTGAAGGTGGGTGCGGGTCAGGAAGTTGCGCAGGTAGACAAATTCACAGTGGTTCTCGTCCTCGACGTTGATGACACCCCAGCGATTCTGGCGGCCGCGAACTTGCTTGCCGTTGACAACAATGGTCTTCTCGCTACCAACAACGGAGAAAGGAATGATGTCCTAGAATCTGGGGTCAGTATCCGATCCAAATCAATCCACCAACGACAAGCATACCTTGATCTGGGCGTTGATAGCCCGCTCCTCATCATCAAGCTCGTCATTATCATAAGGGTACATCTTCAGGTTGTGGAAGGAGAATTCCTCCTTGATGCGCTCCTTGAACGCCTGGCGCTCTTCCAGAGTGAGGGAATCGGACTTGGCAATAACCGGGACGACGTTGACGACATCGGAAAGCTTCTTGAGAACAACAATATCAATGGGCTTGAGACTGTACAAGAGTCACGAATTAGTTCAATGGACTGGGGAATGCCGGGAGAATTTGCGGGGTAAGCTCACGCATGGCCGGATGGCTGGATGAAGAACAAGCAGCAGTGAATACGGGTATCTTGGATGTAACGCTCACGCTGAGCAGTGAGTTCCTTGCGGAGGTATGCCGAGTGCTGATCCTTGATGTACTTCACAATAGGGTCCCAGCTGTGGACACAATTAGCCTAGTCCTCAAAGAATTCCGTGTGTATTTGTGTCTGTGTGGGAGAGAGAGAAAGAGAGAAGGAGAAGGAGATCAAGATACCATCGGTCGTTGTTGACCTGGTCGCCGTATCCAGGTGTGTCAACAATGTTCAAGCGGAGACGGACGCCATTCTCCTCGATGACTAGACACCTCGTCAGCTATTTTCCTCCACGACAGGTTCTCCAATCTCCAAGACATACTGTGCGACACGGTCTGAATTTCGGTAGTAGAGCGAACGGGCTCGGAGGGGGTCAGACGGCCCTTGGAGTCGATCAGGTGGGACGCGAAGATAGTGTTGACAAGAGTCGATTTTCCGAGACCAGTTTGGCCTACCGCGCGATTCTCGATTAGTTCAAGGCTTGGGGAGTCGCAAACGAGTATCACATACCAACACACATGACATTGAACTGGAAGCCGCGCTTCAACAGCTTCCGTTCGATCTGAGAAGTGATGCTGTCGAAACCAACATGGCTGTGGGGGAAAACAGTAGGCTGTTGAGCCGAAGCTGTGGTAGTAGCGGCCATTATGGAAAAGAAGAGACGAACGAAAGACCGACAGACAGAAAGACAGAAACAAAAGAAGTTTCCCCCAGAGATGCGCAAGAGTTCCAATATCACCCCTTATTCTGTACCTTCCACTCAGGGGTGGGCTATACCCAATTGGGACTAGCGTGGCTCTGGAGAAAACTACGATCTTCTTTTGCTTCATGATAGCTCAACTAGTTCGATCCCGCCTTTCTCCTCCACAGCTTTTTCGCCCTCGGACTTGTCGCAATGGCTTTGCGCCTTCTCCCCTTCGCCCCTGTGGCCAACGTCTCGCGCTCCCTTCTCTCCGAGTCGGCGCCTGTGTCCGGATTCACTCGGTTCCTTCAACCTATCGCGACCAGTGCTCTCCTACAACCCGTCTCCATTTCCCTCAACATCCCGGGAATTCTGTCTGATCTGTGGGAATCTGTTCTGCGCGCCGTTCCCAAGAAGAAGACCTCCCACATGAAGAAGCGTCATCGCCAAATGGCCGGCAAAGCGCTGAAGGATACCGCCAATCTCGTCAAATGCCCTGGCTGTGGTCAAATCAAGCGTGCCCATCTCTTGTGCCCACACTGTGTCAAAGGTAGGAATCCTCACCATGGCTATCAAGGAACCTCGTTCGTTCTGGGATCGCAGAAAGGCTGACTTAGTGAACAGACATCAAGGAGTCGTGGAAGACCTTGGAGACAGCATGAGGTGCTTCGAACCGGATATGAAGGATTGGGCTGGGCTTGAGAAACCTCACCGTCTTGATCACACGCCCAAGAAGTGATTGTACTACTAGAATTGGTTGTGGATATATGCTGCATGGCAACTGGCGTCTGGTTTTTGCGGGGAAAACTTATTTTCGATATATGACTTTACAATTCGATCCAATAGATTGAATAGCAACACAGTGAGACTTTTAACATAGACTGAGGCATTCGTAATTGTATTTCCAACCCAATTGAGACAACATTGGTCGTCGTAGTGCTGATTGTCCTGTAGCCGATAAAGGCGGAAGCGGGCGTCGCGAGGCCCCAAACGTCATCGTTCCTACAAAAACACTCGTTAAATCTCAACCAAGCTCTCAGAGAGCCAGACGTTCCCAGAATGGTAGGTTTGCTTCTGTATGAACGCTTGATCCTGTTACTTACCGTGATATAGTCGAAACAATATCTCTCGTGGGGTGCTGCGGATAATGGTGGGCAATATTGACACCGTTCATCGGATTTTAGCTAACTTGATTCCAGCGCACTCTGTTGACATATTCGCTCTGGCTGTAACAGACAAGCAAGTTCTGTCCGTGTCAGGCTCTCCTTCTATTAAAGTGCACTCGACTGCAGACTCGGAGTTTCCACTGGTCCAATCCATCGATGATGCCCACGAGATTGGGTGCCACCACATCGTGACCGATGCCCGTGGCTCACGTGCAATCAGTGCTGGATTTGATGGTAAAATCAAGGCTTGGTCTTGCCAGGATGGCTACTGGGCTGCCGACCAACAGCTGATTGGTAAGTCGAGTTTCTGCATTTGATGTGACTCCCCCCACAATGTGCTAATGAGTTCCCAGCCGACCTCAAGGCAGTTGATCTTTGGGCCATTGCTCTGACTGAAGATGGACAGTACCTTGCTGGTGTTACCAAGGACGGGCGCGTCAATGTATTCGACTTGGCTGCTGGCGGTACTCAAATCCGAAACCATGAGACTAAGGGTAGCTTCGGCTACTGTATTGACTTGGTAGGTCCCACAGTGCTGTACGATATTATCGCTTCAGGCTAATAGATTTGGCAGTCTGCTGATGGTCGATTCCTTGCTACTGGCCACGAGAACGGTGCCGTCTACATCTTTACTACTGAAACAGGACGTATGCCGTTCTCCCTCTCAGGTATGTGGAACTGAGTCAATTGTGCAGAGCCTCCGTTTCTAATTGATCATAGGATTGGTCAAGCCCGTGAGAAGCGTGGCCTTCTCTCCTGGAGGAAAGATCCTGGCAGCAGCTGGTGACTCAAAGGTGATTGTGCTCTACGACACTTCTTCTGGAGAGCAAATTGCCAACCTATCCGGTCATTCTGGCTGGATCATGTCCCTTTCTTGGAGCAACACTGGTGAATATCTTCTAAGCAGGTGAGTGTGCCCCTTTTGTACCAACATGATCCACAAGCTAATCCTGCAAAGCTCATTCGACGGCAAGGTAAAAGTCTGGTCCATGGAGACCAAGAACTGTGTTGCAACACACTCCGAGACAGAGAAGGCCCTGTGGAGCGCCAAGTGGCTCCCAAAGATTGGGAAGACTGAGGGATTTGCAACCGCTGGTGCGAACCGAAGCATTGCATTCTATCGCGAAGCCACGGGCTAAAGGAGCACTTTGACATGTTTGAAAGAAACGTTAATACTGTGACGATATCAATGGACCATAGGCATGACTACTAAAATATGCATAAACCTCATAACATTCGTACTGAAAACATGTACTAAAACGCCCCAAGCCTAAACCTTAGTTCATAGCTTCCACGAACAACTTGCGCATTCGCTTCAAGAATGCTCCAAAGTCTCGATCGTCATTGACAAGGTCAACCACGCCCTCCAAAGCATCTCGGTCCACCTTGGGACGTGTATGGAACACCTCGTAGTCCCGGCTAGCAGTGCCCAACTCAAACCAAGCCTCTGCTTCCCAATCTTTCTCCAGCAAGTGGCTGTAAACAAACTTGAGTCGGTCTTCCCGTCCCGCACCTTCAATCCGTATACACAAATATTCCTGCCAGAACTCTAGCTCCGGGAAATTTAGACGAGATTGAGCGTCCAATTGTTGGGCGTGTGTCTTTTGTGCCTCAAGCTTTACATTGATAGCTTTCTGAGTCTCTGCGATCTGCTGCTTCAGACGATCACGCTTGGTGAGGCGGGAATCACGTTCCAGAGTGATAGAGGAGATGGCGGCATGCATTTCAGCAGCCTCGGCGGCTTCTTTTTGGAGAGTCTGCTCGTGTGTTTGGGTTTTCAACGTGAGAATTTCGATATCGCGCTGTCGCATCCGTTCGTCCTCTACAGGGTTTGTTAGTTTCATGACAAGAGGACCAGGTCACCCATCATACCTTCGAGCTCAGCCATATTGATATGGAACTGATTTCGCTCTTCCAACACTTGCTTTCGGCCCCTTTCAATAAATGCATCGAATTTGATTGTAAACTGGGCCATTCGATTGCGCAGGTCCTCGAATCCAAAGTTGATGCTGGGCAGCGAATCTGCCATTGATGGCGCATCGGCCGAGGCAAGTGGAGGGCGCATGCCACTTGTTGAAAGAGATGGTTCAAAAGCCATGGTTTGCGACACACTACTTTGTTCAGAGGGGTGTGAGGTTGAAGTTGCCGCGTGAGGTTGTTTTGGGTTGCGGCGCAACGGGGCCCAAGCGTTCTTATCGATAACAGAAAACTTCCTGGCTCTTCAACTTCCATACATCGACAATGGTCTGGGGTCTCGCACTGACAAAGTGCACAAGTTCTGATGGATGAGAATCCTGACAGTGCTCTGCATTATGGGCATTTGGGACGACCTGTCTATCTTCCTGATACGAAGGCCTGGACATTCACTCGTTCCTTGGCTAGAGGTGATCATCTGTCTGTTCATATTCTTTCAAGCTTGCTAATGTTCTTTAAGTTCCCTCTATCGAATATACTGGAGTGACGGAAACAAAATTACCGTCACCTTACTTTACAGAAGCGCGACCTTCACCGAGGGTGCCTGAAAAGGATGCCGGGAAACTCATCGCAAGCTCCCACCCCGAACTAGCAGCCTCGTGGTCCTCTTTTCGTCAAGAACCTTTGTCAAAAGCCGTGATCAATACAACCAAGCACTATGATCCCGAAGTATCTTCACTTTTTGATATTGGTTATGCCCTCGATCTAAGGCGCCGCGATAGGAGGCTTCGCTCGGTCCCAATCGCAGTGGCCGTGACCGGAGAATGTCGCAACATAATTACATTCTTACCAATGGAAGAGGAAACTCTACATTTAGCAATGGAGGACTCTACGATACGTGTCCCATCAATTCATGACTCAGAAAAGTCTGAATGGTCCAAGTGTGGTGCGCCGATCCGTCAGGTTCACTTTGCCCGGTCCTTGGAGGAGAAGCCGATTTTCATGGCCGCTCGTCTTCCCATAACAACCACAATATTCCGACCTCTCTACCACTGGGAACCTGTGCATATGCACTTCCCAGTGGATGTCATGATGAAATCTCCAAAATCTCTACAGAACTCTCGACTTGATGCAAATCCAATATTGGAAATATCGATCGCGGAAACCGGCGGTTTCTCGCATGCCGATGTTGCATTCAACCCTTGGTATCAAAAACAATTTGGCATTGTAGATGTCAAAGGTAATTGGTATGTTTGGGAAATCACAGGCAGGCAGCGATCAAAAAAGGCCACTTGGTCAGCCGTACCTGTGCGGAACAATAAACTGCCTTCAGTGGATCACAAACCCAAGTCGCGCCGCCCTCAACTTGATGGCTGGGCATGTATCGAGTGGATAAGTGATGTTGGAACAATTCTTGTCGCCAACCGCCACCATATCTTGATCTATCCAATTGTTGATACTCAAATTCAACCAAGGACGGTTGAACTTGGGATGTCAAAGCAATCCGAATGGATTTTAGCGGTGCAAAGAAACCAACGCAACCCATCACAGTTCTTTGTGCTGACAACGGCTCGAATACTGTGGTTTGATGCTGCGGTCTTGACTGACAAGGAACAAACGAGTCCGTCGCTATACCCCCCTTGTCTCTTGGAAACACTTCAGAGACCCGGAAGATACAACCTTGAGGTTGAGTGATTTAGTTGTATATCAAGGTATGCACTGATGCCACTACGACAAAGTTTGAAATACTAACATGTCCAGACTTGTACTTGGTTTTATTCTCACAGCTCACTCAACTTGTGCAAATATTCCCATGTCCATTCATAGCCGACGAACAGACTGAGGCTTTATCAGTTTCTGACCCAATGATTCTTGATGCACCGATTTTGACGGACATATCAACAGTGCAACGCGATTCGCATGTGGGATTCTCATCATTCATTTTCAAAGAAGTTGCCCACACCGCAACGCTGAGCAAGAACTTTTACAATCCAAATTTGACCATCATCAAGCTTTTTTGGATGGATTCCAATCTTGCTATTCATGAATCGATCTTCAAGGGCCCTGAAGGAGACCCCGATGAACCGGACTTATACCGCGAAGACAATATTCTGCGACCTAGAAAGCGATATGCTCCAACAAAACTTGTCCGAGTCGACGATGGCTTCATTGTGGATGATTGGGACGAATCAGTAACAACGCAGAAAATTGTTCATCGCCCCCAAAGCAAGAAAACTCCAACAAGGGCAGGATCTGATCTCCAGTGGACCCTGGACTTTTCATATATCTATGAACAAGCGATTGGGACAGCGGAAATCATTCAGACGAAGTCAGCCCAGAAAAGGCGGTCGAAGCCAAAATCACGGACCGTGGAAGAGTTGATTGTGACTCTACAAAGCGACATGAAGAAAACGAAGCAGACTCCAAGCAAAACACTGTAAGTGGCCTATATAGACGTCTTCGGGGCTATGCTAATCCCCCACAGGGTCGAGATGGGCGGCAACAGAATTTTGGGGGACGACCTCGACCAGAGCGCGGATGATTTGAAGCGTCTCGTGTCAGAACTGATACCCAAAGCCCAGGACCCTGACGCCAAATCTCAAATCATGACTTTGTCGCTTGGATTTTCGAAAGAATTGCAGGACTTTCCAGTCACTTTATCCGAAGACGCTGACATAGGGCTTCTTCAAACATACGATCGATTAGTCGATGATTGGGTGTCCAATCTTTCTCACCATATCCCTACGCACACCCGAATTATGAAAGAAAGGGTAATTCGAGGAGTTGCTGTCGATCTTCTTTTATCACGTCTTATCCGCGTCTCCAACACCTTGGATGCCGTGATCCAAAACCCTGTCGATCAAAATGAAAAGGCCGTGGCACAGAACAAGTTCTTACATTCAAGCTACTTGCCATCGTCACAGATCCCTACAAGTCAGGCGCCAATCTCTGGTAGTGCTCTTGGTTCTCGACGGAACCCAGGCTCGATCAATCAAACGAAATATGCTGCAACACCAGCCCTGAGCGGCCTTTCAGCATTTACTACCTTCAAGACTCCCCGTGCGACCCCCCGAAACGTGGAAAATCTACTTTCTCACTGGTCAGTGGGACGTCATCCCTCTCAATATGTTTGGGAGAGAATTGAAGACGAAGAGACACGGCGTGCCACGAGGGCCAACACACCCAGAAACAGACGAAAGAAACGCTCTCAGACTCGCGACTTATCCCTTCCGCCAACCCCGGCTGTGCCTACAGTCCGAGCATGGGGTAGTCAACCTGATGGCCCTCCGCGTAGCAACTTCACTAGTAGCCAGCCCATGGAGGGTGTCTCCATGACCCAAATGGAGCGAGGAGTCTTCGGAGCTCGCGATCCCTTCAAGAAGCCCAAACCCAAGAAAAAGAAGCGAGCGGCAGGATTTTAAAACAAATTAGTATAACGAAACCACGAATCTCATGAATCTCATAATGCTATACCCTATATAGCATTGAACTATTGAACTATTGCCGGATTCCCGCAAACGCAACCAATCGCGAATATCTCTCAAAGGGATGGAACACGTATGACAAATGCAAGCCCCTAGAATAATTTGGAAGGGCTGCATTGAAACCTTTACTCTTCATCAATTAGTTACTCTTTTTTTTTCCTTCTCAATTTCTTTCAAACCTCCAAAACCTCCTTTCATCTCCGAAGCTGCAGCCGTCGCGTCCCATCCCACTCACCTCCCCGCAGCCCCACCAACTTTCTTCCTCCAACATTCCACCATGTCTGACCACCTGTACAAGTTCAACGTGACTATGACCTGCGGTGGCTGCTCAGGCGCCGTAGAGCGTGTTCTTAAGAAGCTCGAGGGTAAGCGACTCTTCCGCGAACATGCGGGGTCCTTTCAAGACGTGCATTTGTTGATTCGGTTGTCACCCATGATAACAACCAAAAACCCCAAGCACATACTCTGGACTAACGTTGCTTTTCTCTCTCAGGTGTCAAGAACTTCGATGTCAATCTTGAGTCCCAGACTGCCAACGTCACCGCCGAGCCGGCGCTTTCCTACGATACCGTTCTCGCAACGATCAAGAAGACCGGGAAGGCCGTGACTGGGGGAGAGGCGGATGGACAGACCATGAGCGTTTAAATGTCTGCGAAAAACATCTATTTACGTACACTTCGGCTCTGATTTACCATCTGTTCGGGCGCTCGCTACGATTCGAAAGGTTGTAATCCATCAAGGGCCGACGCCTGAAGATTGAACTCGAGGTCCTTGATAGCGAATTATACACCCAGTATGTCGTATTCTGGACTATTCTATATGACCGTGACGAGACTTGAATGAAAATAGACAATGGGGGACTGAGTTTTCCTAATTATATTGAAACCTCGTGACAGAGTTGTAAAAATATGCAGGGTATCATGAAAAAAAGGCAATGCGATGCATGCGAATGGGCAGAGTCCTTAAACATCACATCCTCACGCCGGAAAGAAAAAAAAAAGTAGGAAAATAGACATAGTTGGGAAGTAAAACGAGATTCGCTCAATCAACGATCACGATAGGTCTTCCGTCAGGGACGGGATAGTAGGAGGGTCTCGGATCGACTCGCTGGACGTAGACGGGTCGATTCTGTTCCATGGCCAGTGAAGATGGAGGAAGACCAGGTGGTGGTCGTCTGAGTCTGTGTTAGCAAGAGTCTATAGTAACGCAAGGGGAAAAATCTCTATTGGTGAAATAATTGGCTTCCCCGACGAAGGCTTACCTCGAGGAGATAAACCCGCCACTGAGTGGTCTGTGAATCTGAGAGGGGGACACATGAGGTTTGGTTTTCCCGGGTGAAGATTCGGATAGTGTGCGGACGTGGTTGTTGGAAACAGGGGTCATTCGTGGGCGCATGGGCAATGGACCACGTTGGTCTGGGGAAATCTGGGCAAAAGAAAAAGGGTTGGAGCCAGGATAATCAGTGGCCCTCTTTCTAGCAGGTAGAGAAAAATCTCCAATCGGCTTGGCCTCAGGTCCAGAGTGCCGGGCGACGTATTCAAGCGGAGGGGGTTCCCGGATGTCAACGTGGCGAACGAAGCCGTCGGCATACAAAGTCCTGTCCTGATGAAGCTCTTCTGGCAAAAGGCGACCACCATCAATGCGAGTGCGTGCGCGTGGTTCATTCGGCATGCGAATACTACGATCACCGTGAGAATGCCAAGCTCCAGGATTGGAGATGGCCGGTGCAGCTCTGAAGGCGCGATCCCCCTCTGAAACAAGAACGCTGGAAAAATGTTCGGGTGGAGAGCGATGATGACGAGGACCCTCGATATGCTGTCGATCCAATGGTCTTGTATCGTGGCTGCCGTGTTGGGGATAAACATAAGAAACGGGGCTCCTCTGGCGTCCTACGACGGGTTGCTCCATTGGCAGATAGTTTCGACGAAGATGAACTTGATCCTGGGGTCGATATTCCGGAGCTAGATCAATGCGACGATAGGATTCTCTCGGTCCAAGCTCTTCGGAAACGGGAATTCCAATGGGCCTTGGCCCGGAAAGAGGTTCGGGCCGAGAGCCTTCGTGATACAAACGTCTTCTTTTGCTGGATTTGTCATTGTTGCCATCCTGTTCGGTTTCCTGGTTATGATGCATCATGTCCCCTTGGGGACGGCCTGGCGTAACCGACCGAAGCGTCATCCTTTTAGCCATGTTGACCAAGGGAGCTGAATTGTCAACTCGCCGGCTCTCTAGCGACCAAGGGGTTTCAATGGACGGTAAGATACGCTCTGGTTGTTTTGAACCTGGTAATGGGTAAAGGGTACTGGTGGTGTCAGGACGACGCCCAAAGAGAGCTTCGCTACTCTGGGCAGTGTCATTGGGTCCGCTCACAAACACGGGTGCATTTGCTCTGTCCTCCGACTGAGGAGGCAGTCTTTTGTACCGAAACCTGGAGTCCATTCTAGTAGTAGGGATATCAGGTGCCATTTGAGCACCTCTTGGCCCGGGGAGTTTATCCAATACCTGCAGTTTAGGCGATTCCTGGTTAGTTAGTCCAATTGGCCTAGTGTTGGGCTCAAAGTTTGAGGCTTTTTGTTGGAGGTCCGAAGGAATGTAATTTCCTTGGACGCCTACATTTCCCATAGCCACCTGCCGGTCCATTAGTGGTAAAGTAGATCGTTGAACCAACTTTTCCATACTGGCAGAGCATGGGATGATTCTTTTTGAGCCTCTGCATGGGGGACGATGTGGCGCCCGGAAACAGGTGCTTCTTGAGTGAGAGTCCGTTGCGTGGCATACCGTGGGCTTTTGTTCTCAGCAGTGGTACCGGCAAATCTTGTTTGCTGGGTATCTTGCATGCCCTGCCTGTATTCCTGGATGGCACGGTTCCATGCCTGGTACCTGCTGAATCCTCGGCGGTTGACAACATTATTTGTTACCGCCATTCTCGGGACAAACCTAAATCCAGGCGGTGCTTCTTCGGATAGCTCCCGGGGAGTTCCTTGGCCTGAACGGTTCGAGTTGCCGGGTAGCGGAGTCCAAAGCTTATGAGCGCGAGTCTCGCTGGGGAGAATATCCACCCTGGTGCTCTGATGCTCTGCACCAGTGGTTGCATCCTCTTCCGACCCGCTGTCTTCGTCATCAGAGATGACGATCACCTCACGAAAGACATCCTCAAGGACTGTCTGGCCATTCTCATCATCTCCTCGCCATTCAATGACAAATTTGAGAGTTTCATGCTCAACACTGTGTCGTGCCTCATGGAAGGACAACTTTTTTAAAAGGCTATCGTAGTCAGTTTTAGTATGACGAATGTGTGCTACCACTGCCAACTGTGCCCTTCGAGCCATGGGCAATTCGGTGGCAGTCCCGACTTTTTTTTGACCCTGGGTTTTGCAAATATCAGGTTTCCCACGTCCTTTTTTTCTTCTCAGCTCAAGTGGGTATACGTACCTTTTGAAATGCGGTCTTGATAATTTGGTTGAGATCTTTATCTGGAATGTTGGGGAACAGATCTTTGATTGCATCTCTAGCATCTGTGTTCAAAGTTATTTGGGAGACTTCAGATCCAGCCCGAGAGCGGTTCTCTCTCATGCCCATGGCGTAGATGGGGAGAGTCTTGCCAGTGCTTGTGAGGTAGAGGCCCAGCTCAGAGCAAACAGCAGCCACTACAGTGCTTGGAAAATGGTAGCCTATCCGATGCACATGTTGAGAAAGGTTATGAGTGCGAGCATGAGGGGTAGTCTAGAAACCATAAGCGGTGTTTAGAACCTGGACTAGCCAAAAGACATCCTCACCGAGACTGCATAGATTTGAAGATTCTCCTTTCGACATCGCTCTTTGCATGAGGTGGTGAGCTGAGGGTTTCCTGCTGGGATGAAGGTATAGCCACTTGGTGCTTTGGCCTCGAAACAAATCTGGGTACTTTGTTAGACTTCAGAGGGTTTCGTGACAGAAAAGATACGAACCACACTACGGAGCTTTTTCTTTTCTTGAGTCACAGACTCCATAATTACTTTGTGCTTGCGAGCTCTCCGCTGAACTGCTCGACTGGGAGCACGCCTAGCTGCGGCCAAGGCCGAGCCCGCTCTTCCCATAACACGGGCCATCCTTCTGTGACAGTTCTTGGATGAACCTTACTGGAAGGATGATCTCAGAGCATGGCTCACCATGGAGAAGAAAGGGAGCTTTGGGTGAAGTGGTGTGTATAGGTTCAGAAGTAAAGGGTAAACTGTAGATGCACGTGTTCTGGATCGCGGTTACCCCAAGTTCAGGGACAAACACCCAGTCAGACCGGCGCCAGTCCGAACCACGGCACAAGCAAACAAACAAAGCACCTTGAAGGCTGAAGGAGAAAGTAAAGATGAGGAGGACAGATGGAGAGAGTTGGAGTGATAAGATTGTTGCGGCCCAAAGTTGACCTCTCCCGATCCGGTTAGTGCCTGAGGCTACAACTATTCCACCGTCTTTTGGTCTTTTACGAACTTCCCTCCAATACCAATTCGACATTTGTACTCCAGCCTTCCCGTTTATTCCGTTGCATTATTGGGGTGTGATTCCCAACCAGACATGAATACTCCCATCCAGGCCATGGTGGATCGACGAGCGGTGGTCCACGCATACCGTCACCTCTACCGACAGGGGTTGAAAGCGATTCAATACTCAACACCAGGGCGCTATATGGTACTCAAGACAATACGCAAGGCCTATCGTTCCCCGTCTGAGCAGTTTGATCCTACGAAGATAGCCAAGACGCTTCGATTTCTCGAACAAGCCACCGAGGTAGCAGGCATGGAACATAAGATACTGAGGAATATTTTGATGGCTAGGTATTGGGAGCAGGATCATCTTACAAAGGATTCCCGGTGAGTATCGTCAATTCCAGCGGGGAAGAATGCTGCTGACCTTGTGCTTTAGTCTACGGGGCTTGGGACTCGGCCATGTAGAGAACCAGTTGCGGACAAGTGCCTCTGACCATTTAAATCTGACGCTTGACCGTTTGAATGAAAGTCTAGGGACGTGTCTCAGGTGATTGTGGTCTCTGCAGTTCTCGACTTTTATTTCGCGCCGATCCGACCCGCTATACCGAGTACCAGACCATGCATAGTTAGGCCTCAGTGCTTTCCCTTGGGCATGAACTCAAGGTGAGGCAAGGCAACCCGCCCAATATGGATAGCCTCCCCTGGATATCAGCTCGGCCGAAAATGCCGGCATACCTTCCAACTACAACATCTCGTGAGGCCACGGAGGGCTGGTGACTCTAGGGTCATTCTCATTCCTCGTGCTAGACTGCAGGAAGACCAGACAGACTGGGCATATCATGGTGAAGAACGCACCGATTCCAAGGCTGTTATTGTATGTCATGGTGTTCAGTGCAGTCAAGCCTGATCTCCGCCCACTATTCATGACTGGATTAGTTTGGTCCAATATATGTGAGTGAGCAATGAGATTGGACAGAGGGCAGTAGCACAATAAAGAGAAACATATCAAGACACCTCCTCATATCTGCTACCATTAAACCATAAAAAAATAAGTAAATAAGACCAATGAATATGCATACAGTACAGTAGAGAGCCCTGAAACCTTGGGAACCCGAACCACCTGTGATGATTCAGCACCCGGAGATCGGAGCCTTGGGAGGCGGTGCCCGGAGACGTCACATGCCACTCATGATGGTTTGTTTCAGCTCCAACTTGGTTGTTTTTGGACTTTTGGACTTTTGGACTATAGCATGACTTAATGAGATTGCTTGCAGCCCTTCATGAGTGGCCTCCTCGAATCACTATTGATTGAACTTGGTTTACGATCTCACCCTCTGCCACCCCCGCCGGTTAGCCAGCCACATGACCACCAAGCTGAGTCTCGCCTTAACGAACCGCCAGAGGCCACAATAAGCGAACGCGAAGAGGACAGTCTAGCTTCCAGGCCAGATCAAGACTGCACGCATAAAGCAAACTGCGGAGATGCGGGGTCTCTGCATAGACCTCCCTTCTTCACAACATTACCCAAAGACATGGATGGACGAAATTTGCAGCCGGAGAGCAATCAAGGAGCCTCCTACAACACACCTGGATCCATTCACAATGTAACTGCTGTCACAGATGGTCCGTCCGATCACACACATGAAGCAAGTGTCAATATGCAGCAGGTCAGTTCTGGGAACACCCAGGACTCGCGTCTTGAGACAGTGAATATGCAAATTCCGCCACAAGATATGACTGCTTTGACAGCAACAGAGGGTTCCAGACGACCAGTAAGCAATGCGTCTGATTTCGATGGAGCGGGTCAGTCTTCGCTTCCGGCGGATGATGGGATGGGTGTTCTGAGAAGCAGGATCATTGCCATCAGGAACCTAGAAGTTACCAATGGAGAAAAAGCACGAAAGGTCCATGACTTGATGACAGAAAGCTACAACTCGTTGCGAGAACCTTTCAATGTCTCTTCCACGAGGTTGTTATCCCCGCCCTCGAGCCCACTGAGCGGTATATCTGAATTGCACCAAACAGATATAGACGGTATTTGTCAGTTTGAGAGCTCCTTCAATCTCACACCCGAAGATTTGCAGCCCACCTACGTGCCCAAGACGGAGCCTGAACCACACGAGTGCGAGTTGGGCGATGAAGATCTGGATACGGAAGAGTTAGAAGAGGCCACACTTGGCTGTGTGCACTACCACCGCAATGTGAAGTTGGAGTGCCATACTTGCAAGAAATGGTACAACTGTCGGTTTTGTCACGATGAATTGGAAGATCACCCCCTCATTCGCCGAGACACAGAGCACATGCTGTGTATGCTATGTGGTCATGCCCAGCCTGCGGCACAGGACTGTAGAAAATGCGGTGAGCAGACAGCGCAGTATTATTGTGAGATATGCAAGCTCTGGGACAATGACAGCAAAAAGAGCATATACCACTGTAACGACTGCGGGATCTGTCGAATTGGACAGGGTTTAGGAAAGGATTTCTTCCATTGCCTGGTAGGATTACCCCATGTGGCTTGAGTCAACTTTCAACCTTGCTGATGATGCGTTAGACTTGCTGTGTTTGTCTGCCGATGTCGATTGAAACCACTCATCGTTGCATTGAACGATCCACCCAGTGTGACTGCCCTATCTGTGGAGACTATATGTTCACGTCTCCCGAAACCGTTGTCGTCATGCGATGTGGTCACAGCATTCATCACAAGTGCTTATCGGAGTACTCCAAAAGTTCTTTCCGTTGTCCAATCTGCAGTAAGACGATTACCAATATGGAAGCCACTTTTCGAAACCTAGATCGCACCATTGAGAGTCAACCTATGCCTACAGAGTTCAAGGATACCAAGGGTCTTGTTTATTGCAATGATTGTGGCTCAAAATCAGTTGTCAAGTACCACTGGTTGGGTCTAAGATGCGAGCTGTAAGTATCAATTCCCGAGGACCAGAGAAGTTTGCTAATGTTGACCAGATGTGAATCATACAATACCGCTCAACTTCGCATTTTGCATGGAGATATGTCAGCTCAACCTGAGGAAGATAATGCTGAACATCTTCCATCTCGACCTCGATCATCTTCAGTCATGGAAAATGAGGACTCCATGTCATCTTCGCTAGCCGGATTAACTGTCGATCCCGGCTCGGCTCCCCGTTCACGGCTCAGTGTACCATCAGTGGAGCCCGAGAGACAGTTTGCATCGTACAACATTACTCGCGGTCGTGCTGTCTCGCCAGTCGTGAGTAATTACTTTGGACTTCCGACTGAGCGTGAATCTGAGAAGCCTTCGTCATTGCCCTTCTTTGGAAGTCCATCATCGCGCAGTGTTAACGAGACCGACTTTGGCGCATTCAATTTCCTGAGCAAGAAGCTCACTTACCCATACGGGCTGTTTGGAGGCGAGACAAAGGCTGCTGATAACATATCAGAAAGCGGCGAGGAAGACGAAAATGACGCACAGTCCGATGACTCTGCTGAATCAGCTGGCTCTCAGGGCAACGAGGATGACGAGGATGAAGACCACCTCGATATATTTGGCCATCGATGATCGGCCCATACGATTTACTGCAAATGGCTCAAATTGGCAGCGCTCGTTCACCTGATTGCTGCCCAACGAAGCTCTTCCGTGATCTGCTGTTCAGTAATCGGTTGGTTGAGCACTTTGCAATTACCCTAAATTAACAGTCTCTCCACGTCCTCGATCGCCCAGAAAACCTTCAGTCGCCAGGGATGAATGGCACTGCTTTGGAACGACATATCAAGTCCGAATAAGTACTTGGATCAACGTTGCCTCTCGAGATACACATTACATTGGCCCTGAGGCAATCACCTGGCCTGATATACTGGCAAAAGGTCACAATTACTAATCACAAGGATGTTCCTTTCACATCTCTGTGAAGTCTTGTTGATGGTTTCGACCCAAAATAGCTCACGGATCAATAAGATTGGTGCATTTGGAGCATTTTGGATTTGCATACATAAGCAGCTGGATTTGCTGCTGCATAGCGCTCACTTTCTTCGGTTTTCAAGTACATGGACATCATGACGCCACGATAGCAATCTGCTTGAATACATTTCTCGGTATTACTTCCATCTAACAATGTCTATAGAGATCTGTAGTTCTATGTATTCACTCGAAATGTTTCATCGGGTCGGATCAAACAGAGGACCTCTCCGGCACCAGGGATGAACGGGCTCGAGAAGCGTCCTCTACATGATCAGCAGGAGCTTTGCCTCCTTCATTCATGACAGCCATAGCCTCACGCTTCTCAGAAGTCCCTTCACATTCTCCGGCTTCGACATTATCAGGCCCTCCGAAGATCTTGTCCATTCTTTCAAGGGACACGCCCTTGGTTTCAGGGAGAATAAAATAAACAGATATCTGTAGGTGCAATTATCAGTTAGCTACTTGGGGATATGGAAACAATCCAAGATTATCAATGAACTCACGCCAGCGGCTAAATTCAAGCCAAACAGTAGCCAATAACTGTGGCCACCGACCTTCTTATTGAAAGAGGGCCAGGATTGCGTGAGTAGAATCAGCCAGCAGGTCTGACCCAGCATCGAAAGACCGAATCCCTGGAGATAGTGTTGGTTATTTGTTATTTGTAGACTTTAACTTCGTTCAACTTACTTTGTCTCTCACATGCTGAGGAAAGATCTCTGTGACCACCGTTGGTGCAATAGGGCCATTGGACCAACAATAGGTCAAGCCAACAATGAAAAGCATAGCAACCTCGACAATAGCAGCCGCCTTGTTGTTATTTGATGGGAAAGCAGTGGTCAAACAAGACATGATCAAAAGAGCCAGTGACTGGATAGCAAATCCAGCAAGCAGAAGACCCCGACGGCCAAATCTTTCAACGGTGAATGTATTCACAAATACGATAAGCAGTTGGAGTACAGACTGGATTCCATTGATTGACAATGCTTGCGAGCCGGAGTCCCATCCGAGACTCTGATAGATCAATGTGGCATACATGGTCAGTGAAGCAATGCCTCCACACTAAGAAGCTGTTAGTCGTTTGATTGACATCGGGCTATATATTGTATAGAGTAACATACCTGTTGGAGGCCTGCGGCATAAATACCATACCAAAGCCGCTTGCGCATAGTCTTATCTTTGAGAAGACCAACATAGCCCGTCTCATAGCGACGGCGAAATTCATACGAGGCCACCAATTCATGGAACTCGGTACGAATCCGTTCATCCGTTGGTGCTCCAGATCTAAGTCGGCTGAGAACTTCAAGAGCCCGTTCAGGGGTATCGGGGTGCTTCTCCAGCACAAATCGTGGGCTTTCGGGGTACCAGAACGAGACCACGACAAACGCCAGACCAATAGGGATCTGGACGATGTTGGACACACGCCAGGCAATGTTATATGGTGAGGTATGGAAGGACATTCCGTATCCAGTCCAAAAGGCAATCAAACTTCCCAGTTGATAGCCAAACTGTGCGACTGTCCCGACGAAGCTGCCTCGAAGTTTGGTGGGTGCACATTCGGCGACGTAGAGATTTGTAGCAATATAGACGCATCCAAAACCTAGACCTCTGGAAGTTGTTCAGTATTTGTGTAAGATACGGATTTCCTCGGGATCAATCAACTTACGTTAGGAGTCTTCCTAGGATTAGGACTCCAAAGTTATTTGGAACAACCTCGACAACCCTAGAGTTGTGTGTCAGATAGCAATCCCTCATAGTCAACTTCTTTGAGTTTCAACTTACACTCCGACAATCATGATGCAAATAGAAACCCGCAAGGCCCAAAGTCGCCCTAGCCATGAAGCAAGAGTGCCTCCAAGCCACAGTTGGGCCAGGGCTAAAGAAACTCCTTGTCAGCAACCTTGCTGTAACCTCAAAGCAGTGAATATTACCTGTCATCGCCCATGGGATTGTTGCAACTAGACCAGATCTGTTGTCATCGATATTGTAGTATTCGATAAACTGCTTGTCGGCCAAAATAACTGTCATGATCCCGGCATCATATCCGTTGAAGCATGTCGAGAAGACCATACCATACAACAGAAACGCCGCAAAGCTAAAGAAGCATTAGCAGGGCGCCATTTCAAGCCCATCCAATCAAATAGATGAGAAAGAGTGCCTACCGGTCATCCTTAGGGAGAAACTTTTCGACTAAACCCATTTTGAGATAGAAACAAGCCCAAGTTTGCCCAGGGGTCTTGTGAAGAACGACATATATATAAAACCTCCTAGCCCGGGACCCCACATCCGGAAAAGCGTAACTCGGATTCCCCAGTTAAGCTAAGACTAAGCTGGGGAAACGATCAGACGAGAAGCAATTGATAGCCGTTGGACTTCTTTGCCCCCCGCCGGAGTCCCCGCCGGAGTCGGAGCCTCCCACTCAAGCCCTAAGTGCCGGCGGAGATCTGACCACTGACCTCCTGAACCCGGGGAACATGACGATATCAACGTCTTGCTTTCTCTCCTTCAATCCCGGAGGGGCTAGCCGATATCCGATAAATATAAGGAATACTTAAAGACTGCTCTCGTCTTGCCTTCCTGGAGTGCTCCTATCAGAACCCTTGTTCTATCACATCATGGCTTTCCCATACTATCCACAAGAAAGCTTTGTCGCGACGACCTTTGCCCCAGGATCCTTTTGGGCACGTCGTCGCGAAGTCGTACGGACTCAGACACTGCGGCATCAACTGAACATGCTCAAAACCACAGGGAGATATGACGCTTTCAAGTTAAAATGGCACCCAAGCTATGGAGATCCTCCCACGGTGTATCCTGTTCCAAACCACCAATTCTGGGACTCTGATGTGGCCAAGTGGATTGAAGGAGCTTGCTATTTGTTGATAGATTATTATGATGCAGAGATAGATGCAGCTGTGAAGGAGCTAGTGCAGATGATCCAGAGTGCCCAGCATCCTGATGGATATCTTAACATTCATTATTCGGTTGTCGAGCCAGGCAAGCGCTTCACCAATCTGCGAGATATGCACGAGCTGTACGTTTCTACCTTCACACAGGGGAAAATGCATGATTTAGCGCGGGATGGCTAACATGGGCTGTAGATACAACGCGGGTCATCTCATTGAAGGTGCACTTGCCCATCATCTCTTCTACAAGAATGATGACATGCTGTCTCCCATATTGAAGTATGTGGACCTTCTTGCAGCAACGTTCGGAAACCATGATGCTCAAATCCCGGGATATCCTGGACACCCAGAGATTGAACTCGCTCTCCTGAGGCTGTACAAAGTCACAGGAGATGAAAAGCATCTCAAGCTTGCTCAATTTTTCATTGAAGAACGAGGGAATCCGTCCAGTGGAAGCACAAATAGGCACTACTATGACATTGAAGCCGAAGCAAGAGGCGAGAAAGAGCATGAGCGACCTGCCTACTTCCCCGCTGCCAGAAGCTACTCGTATGTCACTTTGCATATTTCCTTTTCATGGAGAAGTATTGCTAATTAATGAATTAAATTAGTTATCAACAGGCACAAGTCCCAATTGTGGAGCAAGAAACCATTGAAGGACACTCAGTCCGAGCCATGTACCTGCTCACAGCAGTGACAGATATGATTCGCATATTCCGACCTGACAGTAAAGTGGGAGCCACTTTCTTACCCGTTGTCAATCGGCTTTGGTCCAACATGGTGGAGCAAAAGTCCTATGTCACTGGTGGAATTGGAGCCATCAAGCAATGGGAAGGCTTTGGCCTTGACTACTTTTTGCCTCATGGGACTGATGAGGGTGGTTGCTACGCAGAGACATGTGCTGCAATTGGAGTCATGATGCTTGCTGAAAGGCTGTTGCAGGTAAGTCTGCACTGAATTTCATATACATAGTATGGCCAATACTCACAGAAAAAACCTATAGATCGATCTCGACAGCCATTACGCTGATATAATGGAGTTGTGTCTTTATAACGCAGTATTGACTGGTATGAGTCTGGATGGTAAGGCATTTACCTACGTGAACCAGCTTGCTTCCTCGGACAAGGATCTTTCTGAGCGCTATGAATGGTTCGAATGCGCTTGCTGTCCACCAAATGTTACACGTACTCTGGGCTACTTGGGTGGGTATGTCTGGAGTCACAGTGCGACGGAAAGCAGCGCCGTTGTCAATGTGCATCTATATACCTCGGCCACTCTACGTGTTCCTATTTCGGGGTCAGTAGTTGAAATCACCCAGAAGACTGATTGGCCTTGGAACGGCGATGTTTATTTCACCATTGAGACAAATGGACCCCCTGTCGACCTTGAGATGAGGCTGAGAATTCCTGGCTGGGCAGATTCGTGGGAGGTAAGTTGCTATATCATAATTGAGATAATCTGCATGCTAACGATGATCAGATTACCCCGAGTTCCAGATCACTAGATATCCAGAAAGGATACTTACATCTAAATGCCGAGTGGCTTCAACAAAACTCCCAATTCCGACTTTCTTGTCCAATGCAACCACGAGTCGCCCGGCCCCATCCACTCACCAACCAGCCCGTGGCATACATCACACGAGGGCCGATTGTGTACTGCGTGGAAGACTACGATCACCCATGGGAAGAGAATCATTTCAAGGTAATGAACGCCTGAAAAACACCCTTTCAAAACAGAAGCCTAACAACGCAATCAGAAAACTATACTTGACCCCAATGCTCACTTGCGAGAAGAGACACGATCTGAGCCCGATCAGTACGTGGCTATTATTGCCGAGAATGGAGCCAAAGGCCAGCTTGACGCATCAGCTTGGAACAAACAGATTGTGGCCGAGGCAGGGATTATTGTCACCGGAGAAAAGAGGGATCTGTGCTATATGCCGTATTACTTGCGGGCCAATAGGGGTGGAAGAGGACAGATGAGGGTGGGACTACGTATTGAATGATTGTGTTAAGCTATTCAACCTTACTAGACATTTATTTGCATCCTCGAAATTGAATAACTTGGAACTATGGTCATACAGGCACCGATCCCTGGGATTAGACTATGTTGATCCCCTTGGCCTTGGGCTCTAGTATCAAGTACAGGCTTTCCCCCCCCTCACCTTTCTTCTTCTGTTCAACAATGAGCAATATAAAGCTATAATGACAAGGTTATGAAGTAACAGAAGTATAGCCCTGGAGTCGGGGTCCTGGTATAGATCTGATTACTAACGTAACTGGGCTTATCTAAGCGCTGACGTTATTCTGCATGCGGCCATCGGATTCCATAGTTGGAGACTCACCATCTGTAAGCCAGCTTCGCTACCTGTAACTCCCTATAACTGTTCCGTTTTCATGATGTTGACGATGATCTCTCCCTTTGCATCATGATCTTCTTTTTCGTTGTATCCTGAAACGAAGCACGGATCCTTCCGCACCAGTGCGCCTACTCTTCATTTCAGGACCCCCGGATTACTCTTTATTTCTTCCCCTGAGCTCCCCTAAGGTGCAGATTCACTGGACCTGTATTTTGTGACATATTTAGTCAAGAGAAAACACGCGAATAGTCCCAACTACCTCCTACGATCTCTTATCAGTCGTCCTCTTGCCCCACCGCGCGTGCATTCCTCTCCCTGGCTCTGCGCCCTCTTACACTCCCAATACCATGATCCGTCGCAACTCCGACATCGAGATCCAGCTCCCGGATGCTGGACCGACTCCTCTTTCGCCCGAGACCGAATCCGATGTGGAGATGCTATCGGAGGAACAGGCACTTCCCTTAAGCCTCCCACCTCACATTGCTGCCCGATTCTACCGCAAGAGCAGCATCTTGCGTCGCTCCTCGGCTGCATCGTCTCGCCGAAGCTCAGTCTCGTCTCTTCACTCGCACCATTCTGCATCCTCGAATGGCTCGTCCACCCCAGATCACATTGCCCATCACCTTCGACGCGCGTCTATCTTGGAGAACCGAAAGGCCAGGCTCGCTGATCGAGCCTTGCATGGGGAGAAAGTGAGGTTGCGAGCCGCCTTGGCTAAAGCAGCCACAAGGAATCTTCAAATCGAAGAGAGAGCGCTGGCTGCTCAGCAAGCTCGTGAGCGCCTGCTTGCGGATATCACAGCCAAGTGTGAAGATCAGGTCAAACGAGCCAAGAAGAAGGCCGAGGACCAGCGGGAAAAGAACGCTGCCGAAGAAGCCCGATTACGTTTGGAAATGGCGGAGAAGTTTGCGGAGGCCGAGAAGCGACGCATGTTGTACCAGCAAACGCACCGACGCCAACGCACAAGCAGCTTGCCAGTTGCCGCAGAGAAGAAAATGTCTCGGGAAATAACTAAATCGCTCACACAGGATGCGGCTGCGCGCAAGATTCAACGCGTGTGGAGAACCCATAACGCCAAAGTAGTCATGGGCCAATTCCAATCGTTGAATCTCTCCGTGGAGCGAGTCCGTAACGAAACGTTTGAGCAAGTTGGTAGGCTACTATCCAACAAAGAGCTGTTAGATACCATGACCAAAGTTCTCCGACTTTGTGGGTTACAAGATATGGAAGGTGGAACGATGGGCGAGAGGGGTGCCGTGCGTACCTTTCTCAGCAGTTATCTGATTGTTACCCATCCAACCGAAGTTTTGAGTAGCAACGGAGAACAAGAACAAGACTTGATTGACAAGGCTGGAGAGCTGCTGGGAGCCTTTGATCAGGTCACAGCTTTGCTCTCGTCGGGCTGTTGCTCTCCTTCTGTTATCACCGCGGATCTTCAGACCCTGTGTGAGAGGCATAATGTCTTTTTTTCCGCTTTCCATGCCTGGAAGTCTCACGATTCCAGTGTCTTGATTGAGATCATGGTTGCACAGTTTGTCGAGCTGGAGCTAATCTGGCAAACAGTCAAGAATGACCAAGCTGGTGGTGCTGCAGAAGACTACAGACAGGGCATTAGACAGAACCAAATTTTGCTTCTCGCCCGTCTGAAGCGACTTGCTGGACCAGACCGACACATGGAACTGGTTCGGGACTCGCTAAAGAAGGCCAAACGGGAAAAGAAGCGTGCAGCCTCCAAGCAAGCTATTCCTCGATCTGCTGAGGCTGCTACTCCATCGGCGGATGTTTTGACAGAGAGCGTCACCTCGCCCATCAGTGAATCCTTCAACAACCTCGATTTTGCGGTGCTCCATGAGCTGGACAAGCACCGGACCTCGCCTCACGAGCGGTTCACCAAGATTCTTACTCCCCTCCCTGAAAACCGGGAATTAGTACATGAACTTCTTATCAACAAAGAGTTCAAGATTGAAGAGGCGCCATACACCGAGCCTCGCCGGGTGATCATGCAGCAAATGTGTGAAACAATGAGGCAAGGGGTCGAGGCTGGGCAGGCTACTAACTGGATTGTAGCCATGGCCACAGTGATCCAAGATCGTTTGTTACGCTCACTTCAGCGCGGCAATTCGCTATATACAATAATTAGTGAAGTCTTGGATCCAAAGCTGGTTCAAGGACAATGTGACGCTGGCACGTTCTCTTATGATAACTTCTTTGAGTTTATGAACAACATATTACCTCGGCTCTGTGCTCCTTACCGAGATCCCATTGTCAAGGCGTTCATCGAAGATACGTCAGGTGATGAAATTGACCGGTTGGCCCGGTTGATGAGCATCATCGACCTGCTATCGCTGGATCAGACAAATTTCATGATTCAACTGGCTGCACCTCAGCTCATTGAAGAGGCCCCAGGATACGAACAGCGGACATTTGATCGGGGCATCACAGATGGAACAATCAGTGTCAGAAAGACCCGGCGATTCTGGCGCACTCATCATAAGATCATTGTTGACGAGATGAAGAAGCGAGACCCTGAGAACATCCATGGTGAACCGCGTCCCCATTCGGCACGAATTTATGCCCAGGGACTTGCAGATACCGTGTTGAGCAATGCAGTTGTGTCTGAGGATTTGATTCCAGAAACATTGAGTCTTGACCGTCAACGACTTGAGCGGCTACATGCCAGAGCATTCCAGATCGTTGCAACAGCCTCGATATTGTTGACGGCGAAGAACCTCCTCAAGCGGGATGCTCGATCTCAATGGAAGCCGGAGGCAGACCGCATCCTTTCCCTGGACTTCAACGAGATCAGCGCAGAGCGCGTACAGTCAATCCTGGAATCAACACATCCAATGCCACCCGCTGCGAGTGCCCAACTGGCAGCAACCATCAAGCGAGTTCTTGGACCCGTCGCCACAGCATGTCTCGCAGCTGCACCTCAGCTAGCTGTGGTTTCATCCGATGTCTCTGCGTCCGAAATGCGCTCAACAGACTCACAGGCAAACATGCCCAGCTTCTCGGACCCAGTAGCCCGACTCATGCTCTCACGTCTCCGGAGTCATGTTCTGTCTCGACTCAGCGCATCAAGTGCCTCTGAGCGAGTGCGAGCTACTACAACTGCCAGCCAGAACCTGGCTGCTGCTGGTATGCCAGAGTTTGTCAATGAAGTTGGACAGTTGGTGGAGGAATTGGAGAAGGTCCGCGAAATAGATTGGCTTTGTCACGGGACGGTATACCAAAGATTATATGAAGAAGATGTTCCCCAGTGATCGGAGGCTATAGATGGCTTATACATATAATGATTGTGTTTTGTTTGGGAGGTTTGGACTTGGGATTGGCAATTTGGCAGGGCATGATTATACTTGGATTTAGATAATGTCGTCTGTTTCACTCAATTTAATTCGAGTTTAACACCAGATCCTAGCTAGATCATCTGGACTGTTATCCTGTTCATAGACAAAGAGGAAGCTCATCGTATATAAAGTCGAGCAGAAATTCACGTGCAACTCGAATTACTCAGAATTACCCCCCACTGCTATCTAATCTCCCCCACACCAAAATTCCCTCGACTTGAACTTCAACTTCACCTTTACATCGCCAATTCAAAATGGCGCAAATCAATCATCTCTCAGACCTTACACCCCCCTCTCTAGAACGAACCTGGCTCACAGCTCCCCACCCAACCCTTCCGATAGTCGCAACCTGCAGCTCCGACAAGACAGTGCGAGTATACTCGCTAACAAACTTCACTCTCCTCTCAACAATAACAGGCGGACACAAGCGCAGTGTTCGCACAGCAGCCTGGAAACCCCACATCACTGGGGAATCTGTGCTAGCAACCGGCAGTTTCGACGCGACAGTAGGAATCTGGCGACGATGGGATAGCTACGGACGGGAAGACGGCAGTAGCCTGAAAGCCGACACAGGCACCTCGGACGGCGAAAAGTCCGAGGACAACGCGGAAGAAGACGAGGAAGAATGGCGCTTTGCAGTCCTCCTCGATGGCCACGACAGCGAAGTCAAATCCGTCTCGTGGTCGCCTTCCGGCATGTTACTAGCGACGTGCTCGCGCGACAAATCCATCTGGATCTGGGAGGATCTCGATGACGGCGATAACAACTTCGAGACTGTAGCCGTGATGCAGGAGCATGGCGGCGATGTGAAGTGTGTAGCATGGCATCCTATGGAGGAGTGTCTCGCGAGCGGGAGCTACGACGACACGATCCGATTGTGGCGGGAGGACCTGGACGATTGGGGCCAGGTTGCCTGTATCAAGGGTCATTCGGGAACAGTATGGTTCTTGGACTGGGAGGGCGCTGAAAATGTGCCGTCCTCAGCGTCGACTTCGGGTGACGTCGCATCGCAATGGCGTGCGCAGACGGCGCTTTCAGGCCCGCGTCTTCTTTCTTGCTCCGATGATCACAGTGTGCGAGTCTGGCGCCGCCAGCCGAAGGAAAGCTTGATGGCGGCTCAGTCATCTGCGGCGACGGGAATTCCGAGTATCATTCGGCCTACTGGGACGGATGAGATGTGGGAAGAGGATGCTGTTCTGCCCCATGCACACGAGCTGGCTGTTTATGCTGTCGCTTGGAGTAAGAAGAGTGGACTTGTTGCGTCTACTGGAGCCGATGGGCGGATTGCATTATACGAAGAGCGATTTGTTACACCTGAGAACAAGGATCCCGATGCCATGGATACTGGGACTGGAGATGATGTTTTGAAGACGGAGTGGGTGCTCATTGCTGTTTACGATGGAGCGCATGGCATTTATGAAATCAATCATTGCGCCTGGGCGAAGAGAGCAGATCGTGGATCTGAATCTGGCGAGGAAGTGCTTGTTACAACGGCTGATGATGGCAGTGTCAAGGTTTGGACAGTGCAGCGGTGATCCTTGACCTGACTACATTATAGATATCAAAACCGATGATAACTAGAAAGATGCAGAACGCATATCGATATCAGGATTTCTAATTTCATTCATATGTAAATATTAAATGAGATGCACAAATACCGTTGACACCGCCGACTTTATACAAATGCACCCAAAAACCAGCTTAATAAGATCGGATTCGTCATGAAGATGGGCGAGATTCACCAGTTTTGGGTACTGGGTGAGATGCCTCACGGTGGTCATCGTCATCATCACTCGCCTCACCAACAGCATAATGTTCACGGTCAATACCAGGGGAATGAAGCTGATCAAGCTCGGACTCGTCAAAGTCACCAGCCTCAACATCTCCACCAGAACGCTTGTTTTGGAATCTGTTGAGAATAGAGGAACTACCCATCATCTCATTGTCCGAAACGCCCTTGTAGCCCTTGTGCGAGCGGCGACTGCGCCAGATGAAGAAGCCCCAGACGGTAACACCAATGATGACAATGACGAGGATGGCCTCGCCAGACTTGGTGTAAGCATGCATCTCAGTCTGCTTCAGCTTCTCCTTCTCGTGCTGCTCGGCAGCAGTGCTGTTGGGATGACCACCAACAGAAGTCTGAGGTAGCTTCTCGCCATCGATACGAGAGTCAGTTGGCTTACCGCCGATGCTTCCAATATCAACATTCATGAAGCGGTCCAGCATATCACGACTCTGGCGTGGCATATCAAACGGCACCATATGGCTGGCATTGTAGAAGAGCACGTAAGTGAGGTTACGAGCGTACTGGTAGATACCAGCAGGCTCGCCCTCAAAGGACCAATCATGACGGGGAGCCCAAACACCCGGTGAGGTCTCAAAACCGGTGCCATTCTTCCACTTCATGTTGTGAATCAGAGCCTCTGTTCCCAGGTGGTTGCAGATGAGGTCTTTGTCGCCACTGAATAGCAAGATATTAAGACCAGATTCGATCAATTCGGGGAGCATGGTGATAGCGGGAAGAGATTTTCTCGCGCTGAAAGCACCACCGACCATGCCGGAGCATTCTTGCCAGCCGGTTTTCTTGGCTGAGTTGATGTTCAAGGCCTTCACCACATCTGGACGCTGAAGATAAGGCGTCATGTATTCCAAGTCTGGGGGCCAGTTCATGCCGCATGAGGGGTATTCGTCTCTAAGGCGGACGTCATACATGTTGTAGCATTGTCCATCCTGGGTTGTGAGCGAAAGGAGTTCTCTCATAACCGTTTCACATGATTCGACATCCAACTTGTTCTTTGCACCGGGGGTTTCAAGTTTGGAAAGGCAGACGGAATTCAAAGCATCTAGCTTCTTGTGGGTCTGAGATCCTTGTTTGACAAGACCTTCCCTCTCGGCGAAAGGAAGATATGAAGGGTACTGGTCTGCAGGAGAGATCCAACCATTGCCAATCAGCATACCCTTTAAGGGCCACTTCCTCGCACCGTTTGCCGGCGCGACCTTGTTGCGCTCTTGGATAGCCTTCGCAATGTATGGAATATGTTGTCCAGCGTATGATTCACCGGCAAGATACAGCTTCAAGACAAGTTAGCATTAACTCCCAGATGAGACGGAGGGGTTCTTATGCCAAACGTACGTCATCGTTCTCATATTCAGGGAACATTTCAAAGAATTTGGTCAAAAACACCATAAACTGAGAGGACATCTCATCCAGCTCATGTATATAGCTATCGGTGTTGACATAGCTGAACCCGGTACCAACCGGCTGGTCCACGAAGAGCAAGTTGGCAAACTCATCCCAGCGGCCAGGGTTGTACTCAAGCGTTTGATCATCCTTCAGTCGGTATGGGCCAACCTCCATTAACGCGCCATCCATAGAGCTACATCCGGGGCCTCCATTCAGCCAAATAACGGTGCGCTGGCGGTTCGCGATGTGGCGGTTCTGGAAGTGCCAGAAGAACAGGTTACCGTTGGTTTCCGGGTTGACTTCGATGTGGCTGGATAAGGCGTTAGACAGATTCTTTAATATGTCCTCATTGATTGATTTCCAATCCGCAGTCGTCCCGCTCACTCACCCAGCATGCATCTTCAAGAAAGGGCCCTTCGGGGCTCCTGGTAATGAGCGTACATAGTAATCGGCGGATGAAGCGGCTGACACCAGCGCCGGGCTCAGCAGTAGTGTTAATGCGGACAATAGCATCACGACAGCACCGCCCCTCTTCACCGAAGGGAGGAATGGAATCGAGTACATCTACCGATCGTAGGAAACCATGAAGAGATACGAGTCGGGATCGAGGATTGGGGACACTGGTCACGAGCGATCACAAGCGGTCCCAAAGGAATAATCGCGGATCACCAGGTCATCGAACTGGGGGTGGAAATAGCTCAAAAGAAGGAAAACTAGAATCCAAGGCGAATTTGACAGCACATGAGGAATGCAAAGAAAGGAGCGAGAAGGGGAGACGGGATGCGTGGCAGTACTGATACCGTAATTATTATCAGTCAGCCCCCCACTTGGCGGAGCGATAAGGTTAATTACACGTATTGACAATACCAAGATGCACCCTATGACCGAATTCGGCACTCTATAAGCCTATTGAGCTCCGAGTATGGCTTCAATTGATCTCTCTACTGGAGAGCTTGGTGAATAGGGTGAAATCTTGTATTGCATGGGTACTTTTTATGTATTTTAGATGAAACAACTGCAACTGAAATAGCTGAAACACCGAAACATCAGAACAAGTCATCCAGAGACTTGTCCGCGTCCTTGTTAATCAGAGCCACCATTCCCTGCCCTGGTTAGTTTTCTTTCCGCGGCTGGAGACACTGGACTTACATCAGGCATGATAGGCTTGTTCTCCGCATCTTTGACATAGCGGAACGGCATCTCAGTGCGCTCATGCTCGTTGATCTGCAGCTCGGGATAGTCCACGTAAGGGATTTCCTCGAGGGGCACTGTCACCGTTAGTCGTGGGGGCCAATGTGAAGCCAGGGCTTGACTCACCCTTCTCGTGGACCACCATCCGAGTGACTCGCACTGCAGTGTCGGTCGTCATCTGCTTAGGCCCCAATCGGCGACCGACATAGCCCTTTTTCCGCAATTCCGAGGTGCGATCTAGAAAATGGTCAGTGGCAGTGAGCAGCGATGTTAATATCGAGACATACCTCTCGGTGGGTCATCTCCTAGTCGATGTTAGTTTTCAATGGCCTCAGAAAAAAAAGAAATATGGAACATAGGACATGATCTTAGTATGGCCATTGAGGACGTTGGAGGGGAGAAAAAAAAGTCACCTACCAAGAATTCCACCGAACAGAAAGACTTCAAAGTGGTCCCCATCCTGCGGGCTCAACTCAGTCTGCGCAGAAGGATCCAACAGACAGACCTTCTCCTTACGGTCTGCAAAGATTTCCTCTACGCTGCGCTGCTCGACCTCGAGACCCTTGGTGGCGGCCAGATCGGCGGGCATCTGCAGCTCGGCGGGCACAGAACTGAGCAGGAATCGAGCCCCGCGAGCGTGAGACTCACGAGCGATACAGGCATATTCCAGCGTAGACCAGGGGCCCAGCTCAGGATCCAAGTGTTCAACCACGAATGTCTTCTCCATGATGGGGGGGGGATGAGAGTGTGAAGATGTTGGTTCCACTTGGGAGATGGGAAGACGTGAAGATGTGGTTACGAACTACTTTTGGTCTCAAGAATTGAAGAGAAAAATAATAGCGAAACTGCAGTAAAACCGTCTAGAACAGAGGAACTAAGCGAATGAACAGAAATCCGAGGAATATAACCTACTTTACAGAATTGCCATTGGCGTCATCGGAATAATGCCTCTCTCTCTCTCTCTCTCCACTTAACTTTCTACTCACACTTTATAACTCTCTCTTCTCCCCTCCCGCTCTCAACTTCTTCAACTATCATCATGAATCCCCATCAACAGAACAAAGTGGACTTGAACGTCAGTGACCTTCTCTCCCCATTGAATCTTCTCCTTCTCTCGCTCTAACAACCTTCCAGTCGCTGAGCCCAGAGGAGCAGCGCCTGCTGCGCCTCTACGGCAAGATGCCCACCAAGAAGGACGTTCTCCAGAACAAGCTCAAGGTAAGTCGGCGCCTAATTCAACCTCACTCGATTACTTTCTTTCCCGTCTGCCCAATTTACCCCTCCTTGCTATTCCCAATCAATACAAACTACAAAAATACATACCAACCACCCAACCACCCAATCACAATACTTGGGACTAATACCACTCACCACAGGAACGCAAGTACTTCGACTCAGGCGATTACGCCCTCAGCAAGGCGGGTAAGGCCTCCGATGTTGGCGTAACCAACATCGGGTCGCGCCACCCAGTGCCCGAGAACATCCCCCACTTGACATCAACCTCGCCGGGCACCAACAACCCCGCTCCCCACAACGGCAGCATCGGTGGTAGTGTGAGCGGTCAGGGCCAACAAGCCCCCGGCAGCTTCAGCGGCCACCCAGGCTCGGTCGGGTTCCAAAGCCGCAGTCCCATCAAGGAGGGCGGTAGCTTCTTGCATCGCAACTCCAGTCTCAGCGAGGGCGAGTCCGGCTCCCGTCTTGCTACGGAGAGCAAGGAGGATGATCTGAGTGTGAGTCCCCCGCCGGCCAGGGAGGGCGTTCCCATTCGCCGGTAGGGGCGTATGCCATTGAGATCGAGATACGAGATACTGAGATATTGGGGACGGGGGGATATCTGCATGCATATCTTTTGAAGAAGGGGTCTGTGATTTCTTTTCAAGAGTTCGGCGCTATGGGATCTTTCGATTTGTCGTCTTATTTTTTTTTTCTTTTGGTTTCTTTGCGAGGGATGGAGGATGGGAAAGGAATGGGACGCACTGCGGGACGGAGTGGGTGAAAGCTTGAGCTGAGCTTGAGCTGAGCAGAGTCGAGTAGAGAGAGAGATGTTTATCACTCAGTGTTTAGATCGTGACTTGCACTTGGCATGGCACTGGGTCATCGACCTCGGCTCGACTCGCTCTCTACTTGCTGTCAGTGACTCGTCTTTTTTTTTCATTCTATTTATGCCTAACGTAATTCACAACCGAGCGGCCACCACAACCGAGTGGCCACCTCCAAAACACATAGTGAATGCAATATTTTAGAACCTCATATTTCAACAACCACATTATTGTATGACTTTACTAACTCTGGATAGATATCGATAAGGATCCTTGGTCCTATATATCAATTTTAAGATTCTCGAAAGGTTACGTTATCGTGGTTTTGAAAATTAGACTGCATAGAGCCAGAAATTTATATATTATCGCATTTACAAACCTGTAACAATACTCAATCTCCCTAATAAAGCTAGTTACACCTAAAAAGTAGTAGGCTATCAGAAAAAAAACTCTATATAGATTTGTTGTTGTTGAGATACCAAGTTGTAATATATCGGATTTACTATGTGTTTCGGAGGTGGCCACTCGGTTGTGGTGGCCGCTCGGTTGTGAACTACGTTATCACCATTTATCATTTATCATCAGCAATTCTGGCATGAATTTTTGTCTTCCTCTTCGATTTTACTTGTTTCTGTTCGCTATTCTGGTATTCTGAGATCCTGAGACTCGCTTTCTGTTCTGGCAGTTCAGATGCGATGAGACTGTTGCTATGCATCCGACTGAATTTCTCTATTGGTTTGCGAAAATACGAGTAGGTATGGAATGGATCTGGGCTTTAGCTGTTTCACTGTGTCCTGTCTTCTTATCCTGATTCTATGACCCTTCTGTACTTCACTTGATTCACGGTGTGACATATCAGCCATCCAAGTTGTTCAAATCTACAAAAGATCATGGCATGAAGTTCCCTTGGCAAATGGAGTTCGATCTGGCATAGTGGAAGTAGATTGGCTATTTATCGCTCCAGTATTAAGTTAGATCGATGCTCCACTCAAGTTCTATAACTAGAATTTGGACCGAGGCTTTCTATCAACCGCCCTAGCGCCAGGCAAAAAAAAGTACAAGAGACAAGGAGAAAGAAAAATCCAAGTATCCTATCCTATTTACAAAAAGAAAAGGGTGGAAGAGCAAGCCGTCAGATATACCTCGGCTACAAATGAAGCAAGACTCGATTAGAGGGGTGGAAGCAAAGCAAAGAAAAGAGTCGGAGGACAGAAGAGGGTATAAGTGCCAAACGGAACAGGTCGAACAGTGATCAGGGTAGATGAAAAAGACACAGATAGAAAGAAGAACGAGAGCAAAAGACGCAACATAGGTTTATCTGGTATCGTCGGCTCATGAAAAGGGGGATTGGAGAACAGGGTAATATCTTCTCCGAAACATAGGCGTAAGTAATATGACAGCGGAATCAAGGCTTGTGGCACACCCTATTGCGGGGCTACGAGACAGCTTGAGCCTATCTCTTGCATATGCGAGGGTTTTTCATAGGCCAAATGCAGAGTATGTCGGGAGAGAAGGCAAAAGGAGAGACGGCGTGGGACTGGAAGATGCCCGTCAAGTGGGACGGAAATACGGCATCAGCAGAGAGGAGGCTGCCCCGAAGAAGACTCGCTCTGTGACTGTAGCAACGCGGTGTCGGTGAGCGACTCGAAAAAATCACAGCTAATGTGGCGCTTTTGTATGGGTAGCTGCGGGAGGGGTTGCTTTTTTGGCCGGTTCCCGTCCAGGCTCATACAGAAAGATACAGCGAATTTGGTTGTGATGCGTGGACCGTGAACCGGGACCCGTCTTCATATCCTGACCACGAGATCTGTAGCGATAAGGAGCAAAGTGCAGGCATGTGGACTCGTTGACTCAGTCGGTTTTCCAGTGGCCTGCAAGTCCATTGTCGATATCGTTGTGCTCGCCGAGCCATAGTTCCACTGCGTACAAACTTATTGTGCAGGCCAGGTTGATCCATCGCCATGGGTTTCCCCCACCTCCACCCTGGCTGCTCCACCATTCACCGCTGCCGCCCATTGCTTGCGATGTTGATGCGAAATGCTGCATGAGCAAACTGGTGTAAACGGAGATAAGGATGGTCGGGGCGAAATAACTAAGGAAGCCAAGCACCTGGCCTGCTGCGTCGGAATCGTCGATGGAGGCTTCCTGGTAAAGAGCGCGAGAGCCAGCCTCGCGGACAGCTGGGATGATGCGGGTTGAAGCGTAGAGTACCGAAAGGCGGTAGGCGAGCGAGATGAGGACAGATGGCGTGACAGCACTGAATACTGCGGTGATAACATTGAAAGCCGCGTGGATTATCGACGGCATGAGAGACAGCGCATGCATAAGGGTGGTGTACGAGGCCATGATAATGGGAGGGAGCGGCGGGAAATCTCCGGCCTGCGAGGGCGAGGCAATCTGTTCCACAGGGTGCGATGGCTTGTAGTCGGTGAAGATCTGGTAGATACACAAGACGATGTAGGCGAAAAGCAGAGAACTCTCGACGGGGTTGCCACGTCCACTGCCAATACCCCAGGCACACAGAATAACGGCGCAGGTGATCGACACACCGATCAAGGCCGCATCAACATTGGAAATTTCGGGAAATTGCAGAACTCGCCAGAGGAAGTAGACGGAGCTGGAGATAATGGTCGCAGACAGTACCAGAAGGCCAATCTAAAACAGGTGAGTGCGTGTCGTGACAGATCGGGATCAAAACATACCATCCAGCTATCACTGCGCCCACCCCGATTCACGAGCCAGCGCGTGATTTGACCAGCAGCTTGGATAACAAGTAAGCTGCAAAATCCTTCTGCCAGTTGGAAAACAGGCGTTGACCATCTCAATAGTCTGTCCCAATTGCCCAAGGCCACGGTTTCCACCAAGCCATGGCGGCCAAAGAGCCAGTCTTGAATGGAGCTATCCTGTGCCCTCTTCCCACTGAATGTGCGCTCCACCCATCCACTTGTATTATCGGTTTCAACAGAGAATCGATTCAGCGACCAAATGAGAAGCACACATATCACGACCCATTGCGTGCCCCGGAGGACTGCGATCACCGACGAACGGAACCACGAGCGGTCAGGGGTACTGAGTTTTAGCAAGGAGAGAAAGAAGTAAAACGTCGCTAGCGACAGCGAAAAGGCTAGACCGCATGTCTTGCCGCCCACGTCGAAAGCTAGTGGGATGGACGAGACCGTGACGGCGAGGAACAAGGCCGACGAGAAGACTCGAAACAGCCACATCGGACCGCCGAAGGGACTTACGCGAAAGTACGCGAAGAAAAACGGAGAAAGAGTTGAGAGAGTGTGTGTGTCAAGTTGAAGTTGGAGATGTGGATAAGTTAAGGAGGGGACGGTGATTTCCTTTTTCGAGCTTATCGTCTTCACGTGGGAAGGGACAGAGGTTGGAGATTTTCAGGATTCCTTACGAGAACAGAAGAATATCCGAAGACACTAGAAAGACACTAAAGAGGTCAAAGAGCCTAGACCTCCAACTGCCAATTACCATATAAGATCTAAAACTACGGCAGTGATAACGCCTGGTGCCTCAGGACACCTCGAAGACGGTGAAATGCAGCAATTCCACGGTTCAGAGCTAGAGTCACATGCTAGCTGGTTGCCCTGGGACTGTGCCCTAACTACCCGATATGGCCAGCGCTGATAAGCCGCAGCCAGCCAGAACCCGCCAATTTCTATATGTAATCCAGCTCAGACTCTGGTTTATGTTCAGAACAAACACCTGGTTAAAAATGGCCGAAACTGCTGCTAAGAAGCTTAAGACCTCGTCCCCCTTGATCGGAACTCACAGGTGAGCCTAGTTCCAGGAGATCTGCGAACGATATATTGACTGTAATAGCGGCCACTTCCACGCCGATGAAGCCCTGGCTGTCTATCTTCTCCGCCTTCTACCTACCTACGACTCCTCACCCCTTGTTCGCACCCGTGACCCGGCTGAGCTGGAGAAATGCCACACTGTTGTAGATGTGGGTGGTGTCTATGACCCCGCTATCAACCGTTATGATCACCACCAGCGGACCTTCTCTACGACCTTCCCTCAGCGCAAGACCAAGCTTTCCTCCGCCGGTCTGGTTTACATGCACTTTGGCAAGGCCATCATCGCTCAAAAGCTGTCTCTGCCAGTAGACCATGCCGATGTGGATCTTCTATACGAGAAGCTCTACACTGACTTCATCGAGGCTATTGACGCCAACGACAACGGCATTTCCGCCTACGACAGCGCCGCCGTTTCCACCGCTAACCTGGAGAAGCGCTTTAAGGAGGGTGGTGTCACTCTCATGTCTATGGTCGGTGATATGAACAACCCAGATCCCACTAGCCCTCCCGGCGAACCCCAGGACGAGGACAGCCTATTCGGCCGCGCCAGCATCCTCATCGGCAACGCTTTTGCCCGCAAGCTGCATCACGCATGCACCTCTTGGATGCCAGCCCGCACAACCGTCGGTGCCGCATATGCCTCGCGTAAGGAGGCTCACCCCTCCGGCCGCATCCTCGTCCTGCCCCAGGGCGGCGTTCCCTGGAAGGAGCACCTATACAACTTCGAGGCCGAGGCTTCCGGCAGCAAGGAGATTGACCCTGCTAACCAGGTCAGCTATGTTCTTTACCCAGAGAGCGCCGAGGCCGACTCCAAGTGGCGCGTGCAGTGCGTGTCTGTCTCCGAGGGTAGCTTCGAGTCGCGCCAGCCCTTGCCCGAGTCATGGCGCGGTGTCCGCGACCAGGACCTGGATGGTGTCATGGCTGCTGAGGCTGAGAAGAACGGCCAGAGCAAGCTTCCCGAGGGTGCTGTCTTTGTCCACGCGTCTGGATTCATTGGTGGTCACAAGACCAAGGAGGGTGCTATGGGTATGGCCGAGCGTGGACTTGGACTATAAATCAACACGCTTTTACGAAAATGCAATGAGCTCAAAAGTTGAATTCAATCATACGTCATTTCTACCTAAACGGGCTTCTGATATCCTACCTTTTCCATCTCGCTTCATCTCACTTTTCTCTTACTTCATCGAGTCTGGGGAAACGTGAGGGTGACATTCCACCGTAGACGGATTCTGGTATCAGGCGACAGAAGATTCGGATTAATTACGATCATGATCCCCATTGTTCTCTCATTGGACTTTGATATAATCTCAGGATATTTTCAACTCGCTAGACATTTTTGGGTAAGGTCAATACCTTTAATCTCATCCATTGGTATGACTATGAACATTATATCATTGATGGGACTAAAATCAATTCTCTTCAACTGATAGTCTGGAGCTTTCAAAGGCCCGCGTGTGCTTCGGTACCCAAGGTAGAGCAGATGATCGTCGGTGTCTGTCTCGTCAAGCGCGGTCGACGATGGAAGTTGAAACCAACCAGATTTTCAGGAGCTGGTAAATTCAAAGAGGTGTCGATGATTGGCGGGTGAGACTGAGCCAGTATGGGAGAAGGGAATGGTTTTCTCATCCAATGACTCTTCACAAGCTTCATGAGTTGCTGTGACCTGATTCTCCCAAGGCGAAGCGGATTGCAAGTGCGCAACTGCGACGAAAGGCAGGGCTATACGATACCGATGGCGAAGGTCTCGATATAATGTGAGCACGAGTGCGCTAGTGCTAATATTGATGTTCAAAACAGCATGATCAACTTCAGTGACGGATGTTCAATGCGCTTATATCTTCAATGCTGCCGGAACCATCTCCGGATGCTTGCATGTCCTTGGGCTCAGCCTGTGCACTAGACTCCTCGCGTTCACCCATGGCGCGCTGGATGAGTTTCGCTTTAGTAGCGGCACCCTTCAGGCGCTCATCCACATCGTTGACAGCTTCTTCCGTGTTGTTCATATCGAGCGTAGCCGGGTCAACGAGCTCAAGTAGTGTTTGCAGATTCCTAGCCAATCGAGTACTGTGTGGTGGAAGACTGGGCATGTCTTTACAAATCGATGGATCGAGAGAAAGAGTGTCCGACGCGCTCTCCGTTTCAGATGAAGGCTTTGCGCCGGATTGCTTCAAGTCAAGCCGCTGCGCCCAGACTAGGGCTTTGCCGTACAAACGTCCCATCTCCACGAACTTCTCAAATCCTTTTTCCACGGCGAAAACACTGCCTTCGGTATACCCCGATTCCGCTCCATCCACAGTGCCCAATTCGTAGCCCTCATTGTAGAACTCCTCCTCCAGATCAAGAAGACTATCCAAGATATTTGGGTCCATTGTGAGTAATGTGAGCAATATGCGAAAGGTGCGAGGAAGTCAAAGACGTCAAAGAGATATCCCAAAGTCCACCACTTTTTTTCCCGATATGTCACGAGATAGCCCACTTTTCGATTTTCCCGCCTTTGCCCCTCCACTGATTCTCAACTTCAACCACAACTATGTCGAATCCGATCTTGCCCAAAAAGGGCGAGCGCAACATCCTTATCACTAGTGCTCTGCCCTACGTGAACAATGTGCCTCATCTGGGCAACGTCGTGGGCTCCGTGCTAAGCGCCGATGTCTTCGCTAGGTATGACTCAACCCCACCTCCAACTGGCATTGAGTCACGAAGCTAATAGTTACGCGCAATTTAGATACCACAAGGCCTGTGGACGGCCTACACTGTACATCTGCGGTACCGACGAATACGGAACAGCAACAGAGACCAAGGCACTTGAGGAGAAGCTGTCGCCGCAGGAACTGTGCGCCAAGTACAACAAGATTCACCAGGAAGTGTACGAATGGTTCAACATCGGCTTCGACCACTTTGGTCGCACACCCACAGAAAAGCACACCGAGATTTCTCAGTCAATCTTCAAGCGCCTGCATGAGAATGGCTTCCTGGGCGAGCGCACCGCCGAGCAGCCCTACTGCGAGAAGCACGGATCTTTCCTAGCTGATCGTTACGTCGAGGGTGAGTGCCCACGTTGCCACTACAATGATGCCCGTGGAGATCAGTGTGACAAGTGTGGCCACCTCCTCGATCCCTTTGACTTGATCAACCCGCGCTGCAAGCTCGACGGAGCTGCCCCCGTCCGCCGCGAGACGAAACACATTCATATCCTTCTCGACAAGCTCCAACCGGAGATCGAGAAGTGGGTTCACCCCGCCATTGAGAAGGGTAACTGGCCCAAGAACTCGCGCATCATTACCGAGTCTTGGTTGAAGGAGGGTCTCAAGGACCGTGGAATTACCCGTGATTTGAAGTGGGGTGTCCCCGTTCCTCTGGAGGGCTACGAGAACAAGGTGCTCTACGTGTGGTTCGAGGCTTGTATTGGATACCCCTCTATCACCGCCAACTACACCCCTGACTGGGAGCTCTGGTGGCGCAACCCGGAGGATGTCCAGTTGTGGCAGTTCCTGGGTAAGGACAATGTGCCCTTCCACAGTGTTATCTTCCCCGGTACCCAGATCGGTACCAAGGACAAGTGGACTATGCTGCACCACTTGAGCACAACAGAATATCTCAACTACGAGGGTGGCAAGTTCAGCAAGTCCCGTGGTGTTGGTGTGTTTGGCACAAACGCCAAGGAGACCGGTGTCTCTGCCGATGTGTGGCGATACTTCCTGCTGAAGAACCGTCCTGAGACTGGTGACACTCAGTTCGAGTGGCGTCCTTTCGTAGAGAGCAACAACAGCGAGCTCCTCGCTAAGCTGGGTAACCTCGTCAACCGAGTCATCAAGCTTGTTGCTGCCTCCTACGACTCTGTCATCCCCGAATACACCGTCCCGGAGAGCTTCGCACCCTTCCAAGACGAAGTCACCACCCTCCTCCGCCAATATATCGAAGAGATGGAAGGCGCTCACCTGCGTGCCGGTGTTCAGACCGCCATGAAGATCGCCGAAGCAGGAAACGGTCTCATCCAAGCCAACCGTCTGGACAACGCCCTTATCGCCAACGAGCCTGAGCGCGCCGCCGCAGTTGTCGGTACCGTCCTGAACCTGATCTACCTGCTCTCCAGCGTGTTCTCGCCCTACATGCCCGCAACCGCCAAGTCGATCCTGGAGCAGCTCGACGCACCCGTTCAATATATTCCTAGCCTCGACGATCTCAAGGACGGCTGGAAGCCCACCGCTCTCAAGGCCGGCCACAAGATTGGTAAGGCCCAGTACCTCTTCTCCCGCATCGACCCCAAGAAGGCCGAGGAGTGGCGTGAGATGTTTGGTGGATCTCAGGCAGACCGCAAGAAGAAGGAAGAGGAAGCCGCCAAGATAGCCGCCAAGAAGGCCGCCGCCAAGGCCAAGAAGAAGGAGAAGAAGGAGAAGGGCAAGGCCGGTGGTGTCGAGGCCTCCGCCAAGGGTGGAGCGGAGAAGATCTCCGCCACTACCGATGGCAAGACCGACGAGGCCGTCGAAAAGGTCACTGACGGTGTTGCTCAGGTCACTCTCCCTACCTCGTAGAGTAGAAGCAAAACAGTTTACTAGACTACAGAAAAGTGTTGAGTGGAGTGGAGTGCAGGGGAGTGATCTTATGTCTGATGTCTTGACGGTTTCACATGTTCATTTTCATTTTCATTTTGGTTTCTCTCATGCTGAAGCGGCTTATGAGAGTATGCATTGTTCTTGGGTTTGGGGATATCTACTCGGATCTTGGGCAATTCTTCCTTTTTCTAAGGTAGCTACACTACATATATCATATATGAATGCAATGAAGGTGTTGTGTTTTGGATACCATTCAAGTACATGTCAATTGAGCCTTGGCTAAGTTAGAACTCAACAGCTTACTTTATAAGACCTTGAAGCTATAGTGGTACTACACTCTACTTTTCAAGTACTGCCTTGAACACTTGCTATTGCTAATAATGTAGCTAGGCTAGAAAAATCCCATTGCACTCTTTAATCAATACACGCCGATATGGTAAGAATTTCATTACATGCTCGTTGTAGTGATGGAATAACAAAACCCGTCCAGAGACAAGTCCTCCTCCCATCAGGAAAGAAAGAAACGACCTCAGCTCAACGCTTCCGCGTGTTTGGTCGCGGCTTAGTTTCATCGGGTCCGATAGGGTGCAGCATGACCTTGTTGGTAGTCTGCTGGGTGTTGGCGGAGTAGCCCTTGCTCCAGTCGTAGCTGACAGAGTAAGCGAAAATGTTACCGGTGCGGTTGAAGCCGGTAGTAGTGATAGGGCCACCGACAGCCGGGTATCCCTTAAGACGGTGCTTGGCGTCCTTGTCCCAGAAGTGGAATGTACCGTCGGAGCCGGCAGTGCTGAATGTACCATGGACGGGGTGGAAAGTGATAGAGTTGACGGAGAAGATATTGCAGACGTCACGCTGGGCGGGAGGAGTCTCACGGTGGCACTTGAAAGAGAAGTTGGACGCGGAGTCCTTCTCCTCGACGTACTGGATAGCGCAACGACCCTCGACAGAGCCGACAGCGAAACCAGATGCATCAGCAAAGCAGCTGACTACCCGCGTCTGCCACTTCAGGGGGGATTGCATGGTCTTGTAGAATTTGGTAGGCTGGTCGAGGTTGATGATGTTAATGTAGCGGTCTGCGGTACCGACGACCAGCAGCTTGTTCTTGACGTCCATGGTGTAGATGCGCTCCTGGCACTCGAGCGAGGCGATTGGTGTAGATTGACGCAGATCCCAGTATTTGACCGTCTTGTCCCACGAACCGGTGATCAAGAGTGGTTGGCCGCCCACGGAGGGATTGGGGATCATGTGGCAGCTTCGGATGGGCGCGTCGTGCGCGGCAACTTGAACGGCGGTCGTCTGGCCTGCTCCGAGGTCGAGCATACGGGCAGCCTTGTCGGCACCGGCACCGACAACCTTGGTTCCATCCTGAAAAGCAAAGAAAAACAACGGTCAGTGGTGTGCACAAATTAAATTGGGGGGGGAGAAAATGCATATGCATTGCAAGCGTACCGGAGACCAACAGCAGTTCAGAACTGGAGCTTCGTGCTCGAAAAGTGCCTTCCCTTCACTCTGACCTTGGTCGTTGATTTCGTAAATGCGGACTTTCTTATCCCACGACGCCACGGCGAGGTGGTCGCTAGCAGGGGAGAAACGGAGATCCGAGATACCATCCTCGGGAGGCTGGTTCAGAGCGACATCCTTGGAGATATCGCCCGTGGTGTTTGTTGCGCCCGCCGCGGCCGTGGTGCTGCCGCCGACACTGAAAAGTGACATCGCAAAGGGCGCGAGAGATGTGTCTCCGTCGAGGAATCAAAGAAAAACAGGTTTCCTTGGAATCAAGGTGAAGCTGAGTTCAGAATTTGGTGGTCATGCAGAAGAGAGAGAAAGGGAAACTGGAGCTCAATGGGAAAGAAAGAAGTTAGAGGGTCGTGATAATTGGAGCTCGTTCGCAGAAAGCAATGCGCGATGAGGGCAGAAAACATGTTCACCGCCTTTGTCCTATACTTCAGCCTGCGGACTCGTGGATTCCGAACTGTGATGATAATTTTATGTTTTCAAATGGATGCTGACTTTTCATTGGCTTCAGTGTATTGTTGGCCGTCTATATACGAGAATTTACTCAAGCCATTGCTTGTTTGAGTCATAACAGTCTAGTATGGGGCATTAGGCATCACTGTCGGACTGTCGTTCTCCGTTGCGATCATTTCCTTGAAAAGCCCTTTTGGCTAAGATTGTATTATGCGGTACTTGCCTAATTCTCAGGCAGATACTGGGGTAGAGAGTGAGTAGAAAGTGACTTCGAGTTTGGCCGTTTCATGACTTCCTTTGATGGATCATATCGCACACTGAAGGACTTGGATGACATTTGATTTTGAATGAGAAATGGCGACATGCGGTGTATTTGCGTATATATATAGCCCTATTGCCATCCTTTGTTCAACTGGAGCCCTGTATTTCTGAGTCTACTCCAGCTTATATCGAGTCCACCAAGGACGGCCAGAGCAGACCACCTCCATCTCTGCCAAGTCCACCCCCTTGTATACCGTCATTGGAAAGGTCCCAAATTAGAGAACAAATCCCGCCGAGTCAATTCCCCAAAGACCATAAATTAACGATCGATGCATGAGCACGCGACCTATCAAAGCAGCGGGTAACTCGGGGGGACAGACAACCAATACCACGCACTGCTGCTTTCTCCGACGCTTCCCCAGCCAATATCAGGGAGACGCGAAATATTTCTAGGCCCACTAGCGAGGTCTGATACTTCAGAGCTAATCATGTCATGACATGCTCTGTTTCCCAACAGGGTTGGGTTTGTAGCATACAGGAACGCCACCATTTTCCAATACGAAGTGAACAAAGTGCACGAAGTGAACGTGGGAACAGTGGACGGGGGAAAGAGGAAGTGGAAGAGTGGTCTGATCAATCAGGTGATGCCAGCAGCAATTGATCGTACGATAACCTCTGATTCCCCCCCCGTTCACTCACCAGTTCCCAGCGAGAAAGCCAGTAAATATAAGCAGTCGATCGACGCAATTAAGTGGAGAAAATGCGGGGTGCAGCACTAAACATTGGCTCCGCTCTGATGTTGATGTCAGTCCACCGGGGTCTATCCGAGGGGGGCCGACTGTGGGTTATATCATAGAATCATGGTAGAATCATGTTGGAATTATACGGGGATCATGGAATAGACTGGGTTGGTAGAAGAAAAAGAGAATAAAGAGTCAGAGTAAGAGTTCAAAGAACGACACGACTGCGTGGATGATGCAGTCTGTAGCATGACACCTTGTCTCTTCCCCCTCTCACAATCAGGTCATCAGGTCACCTGCTCTCTGCTCTCCTTTCCCCTCCTTTTCCTCTGCTTCTTCTACTTCCTCTTCCTCTTCTTCTCCCCCATCTTCCGGTCTTCACTACAAGATACTTCCAATCATCATGTCGGTTCCTTTAACCAAAGTCGATTCTGCCATCGCTGGCTTGTCCATAGCGGATGAGAAGCCTGCTTCCACTGAGCAAGAGGTCAAGAAAGGCCCCAAGAAAGATCATAGGCGGGCTTCCTCGACGGCAGAAGGCGTCTACAACATCAAGGACCTTGGTGAGAGACTCTGTCATCCACCAAACTACACAGTTACTGATAACTTGATAGAAGAAAAAGGCATCGAGATCACTCTTCCCATCGAAACACAAAAGACGGGATGGTAAGAAAGAATCCCACCTTATCCCCTGGCAATGTCCAGCATTGACGGATCCATTGAAGGAAACTCAACACCTCCCCCAACTCCATCGAGGACAAGGATATCCTCAAACTACAACTCATCAACCCCCCGGTCAAGAAGATTGACCTACACTTTCCCTTAGGGCTGGAGGTCACGGCTCGGAATTCAAAGGGCGTAACAATCAAGGATGCAATGGATGCCATCCATAAACAATTCAAGAAGAAGGCAAGTAATCCTCCTCGACCAAACCAAGAACGTGTTCAAGATGGCTGACGCAACCCCGCTAGGCGGATGACGAACTGGACAAGCCCTACCTCGCTGGTTTCGAGTGGGACAAGGATGAGTGCTGGACACGTCTGATTGTGCACCAGAAGAGCACAGGACCGGCACAACAGCCAAGCAAGAAGTCCAAGAAGAAGAGCAAGGACGAGGCATAGATTGCCCTCCATCGGCAAAGTCCTTCATACAAGTATGGACACGACCACCAACTGCTTCTGAACTCTCTTTTCCCATCATTCCTTCATGGTAATGGACCCAGGGGACTATTGACTCCCCTCGACTTGATTCTCGTTCTGTTGATTGGTCCCACAGTTCTCGTTCGGCTGCTCTGTGTTCACTGCGTTTCCTTGTAGAAACAAGAATTAAGACGGCGCGAAGGAAATCAGTCTTTTACTTTGCTTTTATCCTATTCATTATTGGTCGGCCATCACGGCTGGCTCTTTATGTATCTACCCTGGGTTGACCGGTCTTGTATCGTTCCCTCATTTATTCCAGTGGAGGTCAATCTATTAATTCCCGAGGGCTCATTTCTTGGTAGTTAAAGTTACCACGTAGGGTAGACAATATGTAGAGTGGAAGTCCCAGAACAGTCGAGTCCCGTGACCGTACATGTACGGGCTGACATTGTTTTCTCAGCTGAGCCCAGCTTAGCCCTAAGTCCAAGGTGTTTCCATCAGGTAAAAGAACCGTGTTTATACCAACTAATCACTTGAACTTGAACACGAGAAGGAATAACAAAGCAAACAAAGAGCACAATCCCCGTTGACGCCCTCAAAGCAAAATAACAATGCCATTTAACCAAACAAAGCCAATTGACAACAAGCAAAGTCTATTGTTCCAACCCTCAAACCGGACAATATCTCGAATAAAAACCCTCGACCACCCCTCAATAACCAAAGCACTCCAGCATAACAAGCAACAATATTCCGCATCAAAATCCCATCCACCCAGAAAATGGACACAGCCCACAACCACAGGACACACAACACAAACAATGAAAGCCCACCCCTGTCCCAAGAAATAATATCAGAAGAGTCCATCCCAGACACCTGCCAAACATCCCCCAAAAACTGGGTAACAGTCCACTTCAGCCGATGGGACTCCGCCCTATCGGAAGTAACCCTCCTAGACCGCGTAGCGGAATACATTCGCGCCGGACGAGGAAGCATCTCATCCCATCCCAAAGATAGCTATCTATCATGGTGTTACTCTGTAGCTGTAGATCGGAAGCCTCAATTCACTGATCAGGATGTATTGGATCGGGCTGTGGGGATTGTTGAGGGGTTTACATTTGATGTCAAGGCGGGACTGTGCCTTATTAATGCTCGGGAGATTTTTCTTTGATATGGGGGAAAGATATTGCTTGGAAACTTATAAATTATAAACTAGGTGTAGAAACGTGGGAAAGAAAAGACTGTATTTCAGCTATCACTGGCTTATGTTTATTGTGTATTGACATGAATGATCAGGCGTACAGTTACTTGACCCGGGCTATCATGGTCCCCCCCTCCGCCATAAGAAAGATTAAAACATTTCCTAGACAGAAGTTGGTTCAATTTCAATCTATACTCGAATCATATCAAAAAAGACTTCAATAGAGAAGTCAAAAAAGACGTCAAAAAAACGGGTTAAAAAATAGTAAAAATTAAAAGTCTGGTATAAGAAAACGTTCATTGTTGAACTGAATCATAATACAAGATACCCTATGCACCCGGTACTTTCTCATCTGACAATCCCCTGTCCCCTCCACAAGGCTGTGAATTTGCAGAAGCGTGACTAGATCCTGTCGAGGGCCCCGAATGTAAGCTCCCAGAGGGACTTGGTCAGCTTGGTCAGCTGCCGTCACGCTTACCGCGACTTTCAGGAGCTCAGAATAAGAAGCATCTTCTTCCTCGCCGCTACGTTCTACGTACGTATCCCTTGCACCGAGCCCTTCCCCTCAGCCCAACCCGGCAGAGTAAACACGAAGCGGTCGACACCTTCTATTGAGGCGAAGCATCTCAAGCGTCCTCATCTTGATACAAAGGCTCTGGATTTCACACCAACGCGGAATATGACGACGGCGATGACCCTGGACAGTCTCCTTTTCGGAGGGCGGCCTCCACGACTCTTTCGGCAGCCGTGGTGGGAACCGCTATTAAACATATATTAGCCGTCACTTGTTTAGCTTGACGCCTTTGTGGCATCACTATTGATATTACAAATTTGTTCTGAGAAGCGTCTTCTTCAGTTATTGACCTTCTACTTTCTTTAAACTTACATTAAAGGTAGTGGTATCACTATAAAGTAGGTATTTTTGTCTAGTTATTATCATCATGATAATATGGGATGGTAGAACATGATGGTAGAATAGGATGGTGGCTTCTTTCGTTATAATATAGAGTGTGTATGCTATTTAAGGGGGACGAGTGAGTTTGGGTCTGTGTTTGACATGGAGTATGTACATATTCAGCGACGAGCAAGAAAGAGAATTTCGCAGTGTAGCTCGAAGCACAAGCAGAATGAGAAGGAAGATGAGAAACACAAAACGCCGTTGTGCCATGGATGAGACGAAAGTAGAAAACTTAACAGAAATCAATAGTCCGTCCACTTTATCAGAGTGATTGGAATATCACTCAACGAGGACGGTTAGGATTAGCGCTGAAAAGGACTTGAACAATCTCATCGAGCATCGTGAATACTAGATGAGTGTTCAGAGGTTGATTATTGAGTGTAGCGAAGATTCGCCGCGCAGCAGCCTGAGCATTCGCTCTACCAACCACATTACCAGCCAAGTCTGGAATCAGAGTAGCCAAAACGACCGTCGCCTCAGCACGGCTCTTAAGCCGGTCGACCGCTGAACGTGGTGGGACTTTGCGGAGAACACCACCAGGCCACATCGTATCACGGGCGAGCGAGAGATACCGCAGAAGCGAGTCGTCCTGCGTGAACCCGCGAGCTCCTTCGCGAACTTTGCGCTCGATAGTCCCACCAAGGAGTTGATGTAGTACAACGACGACTGCACGACCACGCAGCCAATTGTTGCCACGGTTCAACTCGAAGGCTTCAAGGAAGAGGTCACAGATTGGTTTTATGAAGGGTTCGAGCTCTCGATCTTCGAAGGCGTTGAGTTCTGCCTCTGCCTCTGCGGCTGTGACTGCATCTTCAGTTGCGAGGCTCGAGTCAGGGGTTATGGTGATGCTTGTTTGTTGGGTTGCGGCTGATATGAGATTTTGTCCTGCGGTTGAGAGTTGATCTAAGACACCGAAGTTGCCCAGGAAGTCGTCCATTCCGTCTGCAACGGAGTTATAGATGCGCGTAACTAGGTCTTTGGTTTCGCCTTCATTGTCGCGGGTGGTGTTTTCTTTGTGCGGGAGAATTGCGCGTTGGGATAGGAATGCTCGTAGATCACGGCTGCGGCAGACTTCAGGTAGGAGGAGAAGGTTACGTAGATATGATTCGAGGGCGAGTCGTCGTTTGTGGAGGAACTCTTTTTGTAATTTCATGACGACGCGCCGACGAGGGAACTCCAAATGTCGCACCGAGGGATAGCGCTGGCGAAGCTTTTGGTGAAGATCATGGAATTCACTGTATCGCCGTGCTACAACCCAAGACGCTGCAGGCATTTGTTCGCCAGCATTTCTTTTGACTTCCACGACGTCTAAAATATGGTTAGCATGGAACAAGAAGTGCGTTGCAGAGTCATCTTACACATTGCAAATTCACGACCATCATCTTCTTCCTTCCCCACAACAGTTGACTTGAGGCTGACACTTGATCGCCCGAACAAGCTATTGTCGCTTTCCTGAAGAATATACTGTTGTCTTTGCATTTCCTTGCGATGCATTTCACGCTGGATGCTAGCCTTGGACTTCCGTAGGATCCTCAACTCGGCAGTGTTGTTTGTCAATTCAGCCTTGCGAGTCAAAGCCTCAACTACAGAATCTTGAGACGCGAGCTTGTCAATGTCTACAGAGAGGGCCTCAATAGCTTCCGTCAGACCAAGATCACCCGGTGCAGCTTCGTGAACTTCATCGGCCGGATCCTTCTCGTCGGCACCGTCTGGCTCCTCGTATTCATCTTCGATGAATTTCTGCTGATCCGGAAACAAGTCATCATCAAAGACACCCATACGGGATGCATGGTCAACCAGGCCGAGCGATGCGATGCTTTTTCTCATCTTTTCGTTGCTGCGGCTTTCCATTTGGGAGATTTCGGAAGAATTGTTTGGCGAAATGATCGAACGCTCTGGTCCGAATAACCCAGATGGATCTCCTTTGAGGTCTTCTATCTTTCCGTTTTTCGGTTCATTGGTAATTATGTCATTCAGCGCCGCCTCCATTGTTTCAAGGACCTGGCTTTGGCTGACATCATTCTCGCCATTCTGAGAATCTTTACCCAAGCTGTGAGTGGATGTAGCAAGATTGTCAGTGTCGTAGTCGTCGTCAAAAAGGGCAGATCTTTCCGAGTCTATCGATCTTCGGGGTGAATCATCGTCATCGAACAATTTTCCCATTCCTCGCACATCACTGGAAGAGACAGCAGCTCGGCGAAGATCCTTCGAAGATCTCATTCCCGGCTGAGAGGATGTTCGCGACAGCAAAGGAGGAAGGGGTCGTCTCTCGGGTGCTTCAAAGGTAACTGATATCGGTGAAGATTGAGCTGGTGTCTGAGAATTGGCGGCTTCGTCGGACGCAAGATACTTCCAGTATAGATCAGACTCTTTGAACTTAGGATAATGAACCTCTTGGAGGTGCTCTAAAACAGCAGACTGGGTGGTCAACACCACCATCCGTGCTTTGCGGTACTGTTCAGAGGTCGCACGCTTCCCTGCGCCCAAAAAAGCTTTGACGGCTCGGCGAGATTCGTCTGAAACCTTGAGCTCTGTTTTCGAGAGATAGGTTTCACTGATGAGCGCCAAGTCGTTCCTGTCTGCTGATGTCCATGTCACTGTTGTAGGCGAGGTTACATCTCCAAAGTCATCTTCCAGAGGGTTACGGAACCCATCAACAACGATCCAGAATTGAACAAGGGACATCAATTTTTGTCTGTCCATGAACTCCATGAAATAGGAAAGCCCGGATGCATTATGCATCACGTCTACCAGGGGTTGTTCATGGGTGGAAAGTGGCCTCTCGGGTCGAAGATCGAGAGCCGGAGGGATGTGGGATCTCCCACCAGGTTGAGCAAGGTTGGCCACTTTCTGATCAAGCACTCTTTTTCCGGTCTCCAGGCGTCTCAAGTAGACTTGGTCTTGTCCCTCCACTGTGCTCTCCCGTTTCAGCTGACTAGTAACGAGGGCACGGAATCGGCGTGCATCAGAGAGATTGTTACATTTCCTGATTGCTCGGACGAATCTTTCAAATGCTCTCTCGGAATCATTTGCAGACAATCGGGGGAATGGCTGCCCCCTTTTAGATTTTGGTGCAGGCGATGCATGTTGATCCAAGGCGGCTCGCAACTTGCGAACGGTCTTCCGATCTTGCAGAGCTGTGCGGCCATAGGCTTCCACCAATTGGTTCCATGTGTCTGGGTCTGACAGGGCTGTGACTATAGGGAGAAGCACAGCGCAGGATATGATTTCGCGAATTAAAACAGATACAATTCGGCTTTTCAGCACATTTTCTGGAAACAACTGGGGTAAGAGACCCACTGCTATCTTTCGTAGATATTCTTGTTGAACAGACTTCTGGTCTGATAATGAAAGTGCAACTGCTGGGTGTAAACGACCTTCGCGGTACTTGTTTGCAACGGCAAGATCTAGTTCCTCGGATTCTGTCACATTTCGGCTCAAATTACGTCCCCGAACTGAACGCTCTGCAATGTCGAATTCCTTGAGGTGCGTTGTCAAGATAGGAAAGACTCGCGATACTACCAATGAAACCAGGTCCTCTGCAACCAACCTGTCCCGGAAGCTTTCGAGAGCAACACGGATGGTTCGATCAATCTCATTGGCGAATGTGGGGTTCGGACTGATATTGTGGTACCACGATGAGACAAAGTCTCGAGTAATGAAGGACAAGAGTTCATCTAAGCCTTCCGACACGACGAACGATTGAGGGTATAGTGGTCGGGGTCGGTATCGAGTGCCTCTGCGGATATGAAGCACTTCCTTGCGCCAATTTTGGGGCTGTATGAAAGCGACCGAGACGTTTTTGGTGAGATTTGCCTTTTCATTGTGTTGTCGGATGGTCAAAAGCACAAGGCCTAAGAGACCCACAGCCGTCAACACGGCGCCCAAGGTCACGGCATATCCTAGATACCGGAGGATTGGCAGCCAGTGAACCGCGAAGCCCCAGGCAATAAAACCACCGGCGCCTGCCAAAGCAAGGTCGCGATGACTAAGGACCATCTCCCCGCGTTCTCTTTAGAGCTTCACGGCTCATAACGGTCACTCCCAGCTCGGGAGCGAACTACTCGGCATAGTCTCAACGTCACGGGTTTGCGATCGACGGGGAGCTTAGGTATCAAGGTCCCAAGCAATATTGTATCAAGGGACGCGAAAGATTCTTGAGAAAATGATCAGACAAAGAGCAGCGCGCTATCAAAAAGAAAGCGAAGGTCGAGAAAGATAGGATCCCGTGACCCCGAGGAACGTCATTTGTTTACTTAAGCGGGTTTCCCCAACTGTCAACTGTCCCCCGGGGCAAGCTACTTCTTCCCCTCTTCTCTCTTCTTCTCTTCACTCCTCTGTGCTTCTGTGCTTCTCTGGACCAACGACTCTGGTATCATGGCTTCTCTCACTGATTTTATTAATTTGTCCTCCAAGCCTTTGCTATGTAAGTCTCTTCCAATCCTCAACAATTTGCATGTGATTGACCCCAGCAGGGTCCGCCGCATCCATCTTCTTCAACCCAATTTTCTGGAAGTGAGTCTCAAATCCATGTGAATATTTAGAAAGAAATCTTCAATCCTATGCAGGAGCATCGGCTAACAAAGTCCATTTCAGCATTGTTGCCCGCACAGGTTGGCTAACTCCACCCGAGAGCTGTCTCGACCTAAGCTAACCACAGCAGAGCACCGCAATCACTTTTTAACTCGTATCTTCGGAGGCGCTTATAATGGCTGCTACGTCCTTGCTGTCACGATCTTCTCTATCGGAATTTACCGTGATCACCTCTACCAGCTTGCCCTGCAAGACCAGCCCTTCTACGCTCCCGTGTACCAGCCAGTCATTGGAGGCATTCTGTTCTCCATTGGCTCCGTCCTGGTTCTCTCCAGTATGTGGGCTCTTGGTGTGACTGGAACCTATCTCGGTGACTATTTCGGTATCCTGATGGACGCGCCTGTCACGGGTTTCCCTTTCAATGTGACCGGATCCCCTATGTACTGGGGTAGTACCCTCAACTTCCTCGGCGTTGCTCTCTACCACGGAAAGGTTGCTGGTATTCTCTTGACTGCTCAGGTCTTTGTTGTCTATTGGTTTGCTCTTGGTTGGGAGGAGTAAGTTCTCCATTCTCCAAGCATGACTCGAGCTAAGCTGACTATTACTAGCCCTTTCACTGCCGAGATCTACGCCAAGCGTGAGCGTGAGCGTGCCAAGAAGCAGGGCGGCAAGCGCCAATAAGGCACGCGCATGTACCAGGGTTGGGACATTCAACATCCACAATCCGCACTTGACTCTCAATGCAGAGACCAAGAAGCCGGGCTGCCCCATGCAGTTTGCACCAAAAATCTGGGATTTCCCATGAAAATTGTCCAGCACACGGACTTGTCCCATCCTTCAACAATGCTGGGCCTGTAGACGATAGACCCATTTTCCTTGTCCTTGATACCCATCAATCCAGGACAAGGCCTACTGTGACTTCCCTACGCGACACTACACAAAAGACATAATTCAATCCTCCCATCGCGACAAATTCCATTACGACTGAACGAGTAAACGATTTGGCTCAGTAGAGTCAGCTGCCATGTGTTCCTATGGCTTGTAGGAGTTCTACTTTTCGTTGTGGAAGAAACGGAGATGCCACTAAAGACTAGAATCTTGGTTGTCATTTTTGCCGCAGCTTCTAACATCATGTTTCCCGTAACTCTGTTGCAATATCTATCCTTACGCTCTATCCTACAGGTATGCTTTGAGGTTCTGGTTTTCCGGAGTCTACTGCTATGTCGTATGCCTTCTGTATCTATGATGTGAACCTAGATGTTGAATACATTCCACGTCTAGTTCTCGGATTCAACCAAACATTTATGTACTTATGGGCAATTTCGTATGTAAATACACAAGATTCAACATTGGCAAGTATAAACGAAGAATACAAGCATACATACTGATCTAACAGACTGAGAGCATGGTGAGCTCTCAGTAACCCGCACACAGTCACCCACTGGAGGGATATATGGGCAACTGTATGCAACGCCACTCCGACACCGCACTGAAATGGATCATTTCTCAGCTCCAGACTTGGCTTCACGTCAAAGATGTGTATGATTAAAACATAGAAACAGGTATGTTCAAGGGCCATTCATCCATAGACACCAGCAGTGCCCGGAACCTAGATCTCCAAATCCAGGGCACCAAAACGGAGCAACCACCGGGGTTCAACATGGAAGTAAGTTGAGCCACGCCGGTCAATAGTGACTTGCGAGATAGTCAAAGCGGTAATGCAAGATATGAAGCTGCAAGCAGGTCACAGAAAGCCGATTGGCTAGGCAGTACAATTGCAAGAAAATGCACAGTTGACGAGATATTGGATTTTCCGGTTTGAAGTGGTAGATGCTGGTGCAGAGATGCGTGATCATGGAGGCTTGATGCTTCATCGTGTTCAAGTTTCAATTTCCGCATAACAATTTCCCATACAAACCGACTTTTGCTGCATCGCAGTCATCTCATTCGGACGCCAGGCACATTATTTGCGCCAGGTTGTTATCGACAGCTCGTCGCCCCAGTAGTCGAATGAGCAGGAGAAAAGTTCGTTTGTGACAGGTCTTGGAGGCCCCTAGCTGTTCAAAATCGTCGTCATAGGACATTTGGATGAGAAAGCTTCGAATGATGAAGCGAGATATGAGAAAAGTCTCGTCTGTATTGTGCAATCTATAATGCGGGTTGAAGAATGGTAGCATGTAGGGAAGCCACTTCTTATCTTTTGACAAGGCTGCCACATGGTTATTCGAGTAGCGTTCTATGTGAGAACCGGACTTCTGTCTCGGGTTCGAAGATGGGTTGCATTCTGCCATAGCATGGGATTTTGATTCGTTTTTTCGGTCGTATTGTTCGACAGATCAAAGCTCATCCATATTAACTTGGCGCAATTGAACGATTGAAACTGCAGATTATTGAAACTCCCGGCTAGACTGCGGGATGTCAACAAACTATTCAATGAGATTTCAGAGCCGAAGGTGAGCAGGGTCAGGGTATTTTTCTGTTTTCGCTGTCATCCAGAGCATCGAGGTACCATGAGGCGCGTGAGACTGTTTGTGAGACGCGGCCAAAGAAATCTTGAGGATTGACAATGCAGATTCGATATTGATATTTTTGCCAAGTACCGTGGGACTGCTGGCTGGGGTTGTCGCAATCTGCTCGGGAATATGAAAAGCATTTAGGATGAAGAAGAGGTTATAAGAGAAGGTAAGAAGGTGAGAGGGTGTCTTAAGATAGGAGAATATGATAAAAGTGATATGCGGCATCCTGAAGATTTCAGTGCTAAAGTCGATATAGTTGAGCTCTGTGGCAAGTCACCAGGTTGAGGTAGAACAAACGCGAAAGTGAGAGCAGAGTAACTTGCGTATTGGCAGGGGGAGATGAGATGATAATTGAGCGGAAAGGTCACATATGACTGCTTTGAGGGGACACGTTAGTTAGAATATAGGGTAATTGGCTTGTCCAGTGAGTTTTGACTGAGCTGATGCTGGAGGCATGAGAGCAAAAGATGAGCGAGGTAAGAGGGCGAAAAGCGAGAGAAGAGCTAGAAGAGGGAGAAAAGGAAAGAAAGAGAAGAGGAGTATGGAATAGTCGGGCAGACAAACATCATACAATTACAACAATCAAAAGCAGATTTATTATGAAAATGAGGGTATATACCGACGCCACATGAATCAAAGAACCAACTGCCAGAGCAGAAAGTATATGTAGGTACATGACTGAGACCTTCAACGCCACGCTAGGATACATGACACCAAATCAGAGGGAAACACAAGAGCAATATTCAGAAGGGAGTTTGACAGCGTTTACTGTCGTCTCCCTCGCCCTCTCTTCGCCTGGGTACGACTCTCATCAACAGTCTCGACCTCGTCCTCATCAGTACCCTTCTTTAAATCCTCTCCTTCGGTAAGGCCCCATTTCTCTCGATCATACCAATCCTCCCCGTCACTCATCTCGCCGACATGGCCCTCAGCCTTGCTCCATTCCAAGACATCAGCTTTCATGCGGCAGGCCTTGATGAGGGAGTCGAACATATGTTCGAACCCACGGACAGTTTCCTCCTGTTTCTGAATGTAAGACCAGAGCAATCTGCGGGTCTCTTCAGCCTCTGCGGCGGGGAGACCGAAGTTGGCGTCTGGGCGAACGTTGTCTGGGATCATGAAGAGGGGATGTGGGGTTGGCAGAGTGTCTGCTGTATCGACTGATGAAAGGGGAGATTGATTGCCATCGCTTGGATTTGTAGCGTTGGCTTGTGCGCGAGTTGTCATGCGCCGCGGCGGTTCTGGGGATGAACCGTCATGCATTTCGGCGTCGTCTTCCATATCGGCATCTTGTTCATTTTGATCGGTCTCTAAAGTCGGTTCGCTGTCTTTGGGATTTTCCGATTCGTGCTTGCCGTTGGCCTTTGTGTTTGCTTCATGGATTCCGCCACTGATAGCAGTCTCGGTGGGGTGAGGTGGGAGATCCTTCACTGTAGCATCGGTCTCTTCTGACTTGAATTCTGTGGGCTGAACAAGCGCATGATTGTTGATAGCTTCACCCTCAAAGCTTGCCGGGATTTCTGACATCTCCACATCGTTCTGTTCCTGGGTATTCTCGGTCGATTGTATTGTTGCAGGGACCGATCGCGGCGCTTCATGCGGAGCAGCAATTTCTCCATTAACAGAAGGAGAATTGATCAAACTTGGGCCTTGTTGACTGGCCGATATGCTTGTCTCATTGCTGACAATCTTAGGCTCGAAGATCCAGCGGTCATCTGGTGTCTCGAGGGTGCCACACGGCATCCAGCCACCGTCACCCAAGAATTGCCTGTGGAGATTGCGTGCACGCCATAGCAAGGCGCGTTCCTGACGAAGTTTAAGATCAACAGCCGTTGTCATTTGCTCCAAGGCTTGTGACGTGTAGGGTTGGGACAAGGAAGGGTGGATGGCTAATTCCGAAGGATGCTTCAGGGGACACAAGAGGGCTACAAAGAGAGAAAATAAGTCAGTAACAAAGACTCATATGAAAATCGAAGAGGAAACATACTCTCAAGTGCGATCCCAGAGAATGGGTTGTCTTCTGCGGCCGCAGCGTCGGCCTCGGAATCTTCGTCATCCTCGTCAAGCTCGTCTCCCTCCGAATCGTAACGGATTGGATTCGACTGAAGAATGTAGCGCGTGTAGCCAGCATGATCAACCTTCTATTCCCCGGAAACATAGGTCAGTTACTCAAAGATCCATCTTATCGTCAAACCCAATCTTGGTTCTTCGCAAAACCACGCACCTGCTTGTAGAAATCCTCGGCATTGATGTATCCCATAGCGCCCTCACGGACATACTTTGCATTAGCATGCATTTTGTTCCCACGGTTTGTCGGTTGCATGATAGGATCGTCCGGACCGGAGTCTATCGAAGGAAAGAAAGAGAAGACGTCAGAGAAAACATTATGTCTGATTTGGAGGCGGGAGTACTCACCCTCACGCTCTCTGCGCAAGGCCCTTTTCATTCCAGTGATTGTATCAGCGATCAACGCTGCTTGCGCCGCCATGGTGAAAGGTCTGCAACGAGACTGTCGAGTCAAACACGTCCGCTGGCGCGTTGGAGGGGGTTCTCGGGCGAAATGAGGGCCTGAGTAGTGGCTCTAGAGAGGGGCAATTTATGAGGTTGGATGTTCCAGTATCCAGGCCTCAGATAAAGAGTGGCACACTGCGGGGAATGATCAAAGCGGGCTGTAAGGCTTTGGTTGACTGTGATGAAGCTCATTGACGGCGAGAGCTGCGGAAGACCGATCGCCGCTAGTCCGTATTCGGAAATCCGGGTTATGTGATAAGGGCTACACGTGACCGCGTACAAAGTGATTTGGAATGATTTGTATACAATTTCTTGTCATGAGTTCGATTCATCTACAACATATAAGGAATATGGCAACATCGTTCAGTCATCTGCGTCAACCCATACCAAAACTCCTTTCTTGTCAGATCGCATGTCCCCTGTTGAAAGGACCCGAAGCGTCTTGTTGAAGTAGGTATCAATCACCACCAATTGTGGTTGAATCCATAGGCCACGTTTGGCAGCAAACAAATTGAATCGCACTGTATGACGACTAAACGGCATAAGCTGCACAACCACTGACTTCGGCCCACTGAAGGCAAAGTGCTCGCTGGCTTCCATAACCAAATTGAAGGTGAGGAAATGGGTGGATGGGTTCTCAAGCGTGTATGACATATGAACCAGCCCAGACATGCTGCTTGATGAAACGGCCGACGCAAGCACTCGAGGCTCTCCCATCGGGACGATGAATCGAGGGATATCAAGAACAGAGGTTGTGACAGCGTTCTCCATATCAGATGAAGCTGCAGGCTCGGGTGCCTGTCGTCGCCAACTGATTTCCAATGCGCAATTGACTGCGGTGGGTCTACGATCCCCGAGAATGAACTTCTGAACATCGAGACAAAAGTTGGATTCTCGTAATTCCTCGGGTCCTATGTGAGGTGCTTCCGGGCTGACAAGCTCTTCCGCGTCAACCTTGCAGACAGCGCCTCCGTTGACCTCTAGAAGAAGAAGAGACATCTTCTCGATGACTAGCGGCTCCAATGCAAACGATACAACCTTGGAATTGAGGCACCACTTCTGCTGTAGGCCCCCAGGAGTTGATGCAGTGTTACTCCCAAGAAGGTCATCCCCGACGGCGAAGAAGTTTGGCCACGGTTGAGAGTGAACCCGGGGCAGGTATTCATAATTTGCCTCGAACGGTCGAATAAATGATAAATCCACGGTAATGGTCTTCATAATCGGCGTCTGAATATCGGACACCAAATGATAAACAGCTGAAACTTCTAATGTGAAATTCGTAGCGTCATGAGTGTCGGACAAAAGAATTGTAAGGGTCTTGTCAGAGGAACGCTCCACAACTCCCACAGACCGCTTCAGGAAATGGGAAGGCCCTTCAATGGGGGTGCTTCCGCCTGACTCGGGAGATTCAGGTTTGCTGACGCCATCGAGCCAATGGATCTGTGTAGTAGATTCAGAGCTACCCAAGAGCCTGATATCAGCCGATACATCGGCCGCTTCGTCCTCTTCATTATGGATTCCAATCTGAAGAGCCACCTGTTCGTTGGTGTAGTAGGTTTGTCTTAGATTAGGGGTTGTAAGGCGGATTTTTGGAGGCTTGGGCATGACCTTGCACCTCGCTGTATCCCGATCCTTACCCACTCTTCGGCGAGTCACGCCTTTCTGGGTTTGCTGCCACCACCAAGACTCGTGCTGGTCTTGGTGATCGGTGATTGCATACGCAAGATCGAATTGCTCCTCTTCGATCAACATAGTCATGGAAGCTATTCTAGCTTCACCAGCTTCGCGAGGAATGCAGGTGAGGTTATAAATCTTGGTCTGAGAGGGCCCAATAGTAAGATCTGCGATACCACCCAATGTGGGCAATGCGCCAGTCGGAGATTGAACGGTCGTGTCTGGCAGGCTACTCGGCTCGCGCAGTGGGAGAGATGCAATGCATGCTGGGGTTGTTGTGTCAGCATTTTCGTTCTGGTCTGACTGGATTTTAATTGGGCGAAGACATCCTTCAAAAACCAGTTTGATTTCTGACAGGCGTATGGGGGCAGATGATTCGTGGGCACAAGATGTTATTGCAAGCTGGGCTTTCAAAGGCTCGCCAACGTTGCCATCGGATTTCTCGAATACCAGCGATGCAGTTACTAAACAGAGTGGTCAGCATATAGCGCTTGCATTTCGAACGAAACAACATACAACTTGTTATGACATCCTCTGCACGAAGTACAAGTGACGGCTTTGGTTTCTCTGAGGAGAGACCTTCGAGACTTCGGTGAATGTTATAATGCCAAGCAGGTCTCGGTTTGAAAGCTAGCTTGATGTTAGCACTTAACATTCTAGAGTAATGGCAGAAAAACTTACCCTTATTGAGCAGCTCCCAGTCCACTCGCAGTACTGTTTCACAGTCCCGCACTCTCAGCGCACATTCTCTGAGTGCCCATCCAAAGTTGACCATCAAATGCCACCATCCAGAGCGGCGCCAGGTGAGAGTCGACCACAGGGGCTGAAGAATCGCATGTGCTTCAGGCCATGAGCCAATCCGCATGTATTCTTCGGCAGCCTCGAGACTTAAACTCTCAACCTTCCGCGTTTGATGGCGTTTTGAAAACTCCGTTAGTGCAGCCTTCAGAGTGCTCAGTATCAGTGCAGAATGATCGAAGCCAGTTCGTCCTTCCTGTGGTGCTTCAACGTGAGTCTCTGAGACAAGATATGTATCGTATAGATAGGATTTATTAGCGAGCTGGGAGGCGGGTGACTGCCCAGGAGATATCCGATCTTCGGCAGGGATTTCTTGGGCGAGTGACCGTCGAGCCATACTATGTTTTGCTGAGCGGTGGAGCCAATATCCCTCATGGTGCATGTTTTCCCAAGGGGTAACTCGTTCCCCGGTGGGAATCGATTTCTCCGGTAATGTATACAGTTCGCCGGAATATTCAGGAGAAATGTCGTCAGAGATTGGCGAAGTCTCCGCACGGCGGATAAGTTGGGCCATTACCATCGACCAGCGAGCCTCCCAGGCCTCCCATCCGTAGTTCTTACTCCCCTTGCCTCTGCGGTTGACGATATCCTTCACACGGATCCTGTGGTCGACCCAGAATCGGACGGCAGTAGTTGTCTGACTCGTCCAAAGCAGGCAACGAATGATTCGAATTGCAAGAGCGTCCGCTAAGAGGCGTGCATCATTGAATCGGGGATTCCATCCTGCAATAATTTCGAACACCTCCTCCCCGAATAGAGTTTCATAAGCACTCTCGTAATTGCGACAAGCTGCATCCATTTCCTGGCGAAATTCGGCAAGAATCCCAAGTTTGAACTCGTAACGCACGTTCCAGCCCTGAGATGATAAAGTTTGGGAAGTGCCACTCGTCGGCGGTGCTGTTGGAGGGGGAATAGTGCCTCGATTTCGCTTGCGCCTAGCATGTTTGGACAAATCACGGTAATATTCAACGACCGATGGCTGCAGAAGAGAAAAGAGGGACTTCACAAAATCTCGCAATTCCGACGTAGTTGCATCTGGTGGAATCACAAGAACCGACTTGGGGTCCAGATTTGTTGCCCGTCGGATTCCTGCAATACGATCATCGATCTCACCCTCGTAGCCACCCTCTTCTCCATCTTCCGATATCAGGATCACCAGAAATCGCGTCTTGTATCCGGAGGATTGCCATTCTTTCTTCAAGCTGTTGATCTCGATCTTGAGCTGATTATCGCGCAAAGAATTCATATTCGGATCCAATGAGAAAGGAAAGAAGTTTATCACTGCAGCAGGGACCAGATTCTGGTGTTTTGTTACCCATAATGGCGTAAGCAACCCATCTGGGAACGTGGGAGAACCCGGTGACAGAGGTGATATCGGGGAGTGAAGGACATAGTGTGGGCTAGTATCTGAATCGTCGTTCTTGTCTGTGTGTGGACTAGCTGGTGGTGAGGGAATAGGAGGGTCTGCTTTTCGTGGAGGCAGTCTGCACGACTACATGGATGTCAGTAAAAGTCGGCTAGTAGAACTATAAGATCAGAGAGGTCGAGCTCGACACCTACCCGTCCAGAGCTTTTAACTCGATAACCAATGTTTGAAGTAGTGGTATTCGCGGTCAAGTTGATTCTAGATTTCCATGGCATCTGAGAGCAATCCTCTTCCAGGAGTAAGCTCCGCAGCTCCTCCGCAACAGCCCCGCTCAACGGTGGGAAGTCGGAGAAGATATGTGTTCCCTTCTCCAACAACAGAGGATAGCTCGACGATGCTTCTGATTCATCTTCAGAGCCAGCCTCTAGTCCTGAAAGAAGGACAAAAGGCAGGTTGTGGTTGACGTAGTCTTCAGGGTAGGCGTCCATTGCGGGGAATGGCTGGTTTGCGGGGCGGTCAACGCATGTCTAGCATGGGCTTTGGACTCAAAAGAGTAGATTCACAGAGCCTGCCACGAGATAAAAGCTCCGGTATGTGTGTGAAGTCAATCGCGATGTTTTGGGTAGCAAGATAACACTGGGGGAGATACTGCCGTAGTGGGCGGTCAGTGTTTACTCCGATCGGAGATCACCTGCACTGTCCATGCATCCAAGTTGTATAGACCCAACCTGACCACTCTATGTGATCCTAGCACTTGACAGTTTCCGTGCTGTCATTGCTTTTACTGCAATTGGACTCTATTAATACTATGTATGACTTACAGACTTTTAACCCGTCCAGTCTTTGCTATCAATACATGTCTATCTGTCCGGAACGAAGTGTTTATATTGTCCACTCAACAATCGACATTGTGGGCATAGTCTGCCAAACCTCGGACCTGGCGTGTGCCACCCCTCGAGAAACCTGATCTACATCGTATTCGAACATAAAAATTGGTGTGCCCCAATGTGAGGAAATGTCGATCTCTCGGCAGGCGACCCATATAGAGAGATCGGGTATAAAAGGGGTCTTCCAGAATCAACCCAAAAAGCTCAAGAATTTAGGGCTCCACGTGGGAATGCTCCAATACGTAGTGAGACCCTGACATGTCTCAGGAATAGATTATCATGTCTGCATAGATAATCGGTGTATAAGGGAAGTCTCCCAGTACCGCGCACACGCGGCCAATTCCAACCCTCTCACCTATCTACTCCGAACAATGGGCGGCACAAAGTGGACTTGACCCAATCCATGGGTCGATTGACATGGAAACGCGAACTCTCCGGGAAATTAAGATCCCACGGTGGGGATGGCGCATACGCTAAAGATCTCCCTATAGGAAAAATCATGACCTCTTTTCTCCCCTTCAGCCCCTCGATCACGGGAGTCGCTCTTTTTCCCTTTTCTCTTCCTTCTCTCGGCAGATTACCTATAACTCTCCTTTATATCAAATCTAGGTTTTCAACTCAAATCTCTCGGTAAGGGGGTCGCAAGGGTCAGACACCCTTATCAAACACATCTACATACTAGATCATGCGCGCGCCCTTTACGCTTGATCCTTGACGTTTGGCCAGGACGGTTACACCCCCCCTTGACTATTGAACGCCATGCATTTAAACGAAAACGCCCCTGTCCCCGTGCAAGCAGAGTCGGCCCTGCTAAGCCGTCGCCGCCGTCGCAAATCACTACCTTCGCGCAATGGAAACGCCGATCCAACTTCACCCGAAGTCATTTCCTCTCTCATTTCGTCTCTTTCTACTATATCAGTGCCTCTGAACTCTCATTTCGATACCGTGCCGAAGATTGACACCGACTCCGATCCTGGCTTGCCGGAAGTACCTCATACGGCGCCTGTTTACTCGATCCCTCCGTCGGAACAACATGGGTTTGGAATGAGCTACGGTGCCTATAAGCCCACGACTGAGCCACCTGAGCGCCCTAAAAGCCCATTCTTGCATCCCGATGATGCTGCATCGTCGCCTGTCATTCGTATGGCCAGAGCGCCTCCATCACCCAAGATTCCCAAGTCCCCGCGATCTCCAAGATTCAAATCATTCAAATCTGCCGACTCAAGTTCCATTCGTCCGACATCGAGAGAGTCGTATACATCTGTAGTTGCTCCGGAGACCTCATCATTTGGAACAATCAGTACAGAGCCGGGTCCCCGTTTGTCAACTACTCCTAGCATTGCCTCAAATAGCTCTGCGGGTCGGACACGAAGCTTGAAGGGAGGATTTGGTTTCTTGAAAAAATCATCTTCACGAGAATTCTCAAGCGACAAAGACCCGCAAGTCGAGCGTTTGCGGAGGACCACCAGTCACAACGAGATTCTGCGATATAACATTCCACGTAGCCGAGCAAGCCTACGCTCATTACATTCCATGGCGGAAGTCACAGAAGAGGCCCGTCCGGCGGATGTCCAAGAAGACCCATTTGAAGAAAAATTTGCCAGTACTCCGCCAACCAAAGATTACCAGTCCTTCCAGGGCACTCCAGATGCTGGAAACCCAGGCGGTATTGGGAGTGGTAGAATCATACCTACTCGCGATTCTTCTATACGCCATCGTCATAGTCAGTCTTCAGGCTCAAAGGCGCGCCGGTCAACTCGCCACAGTCGATATTCCTCGACTGCTAGTAAAGAATCTGGGGCCGACAATGGCTTGCCAGGAACGAACAATGACGCTGAACAGGTCACCCGACGGATCCAACAATTGAAAGATCAACAACAAAAGATCAAAACGGAACTGGAAGTGGATGATGGCCCTGACCAGTCACCTAAGCCATCTCCAAAGAAACCAAAACCAAAGGGCTCAAAGGCATCACGAGTGCTTGGTCACGATGTCAATCAAATCCCTTTTAAAGACGGTGATCACTTGCTCTTCAACGAAAGTGCCCCGTCACCGTCCGTCATGACAGGGAAGAGCCGCAGCTCGAGCAGACCAGGCGCACCTCTTGGGTCAAAGGCGACTAGTTTACCACACTCTGTCTCTCAATCATCCATGGAAAGGACCGACTCTCAGAAAGCTGCGTATAGACAATCACTTGAGCCAATAGCACCATCGCATCGTCGCACCCCGTCTGGTCATCTGTCGAACGGGCGTCCCTCATACAGCACGGAGCGTCCATCCAGCATAGACTCAATTGATCTTGCTGTGGATGACTACATCTTCTCCCCCAAGCTGACCCAGAGGGTTTTGCACCCAGCAACTGGCCGCAGCATTGCATTTTCTGAAGTCGGTGATCCTAAGGGCCATGTTGTGCTTTGCTGCGTCGGAATGGGACTTACTCGATACCTCATGGCATTCTATGACGAGTTGGCCCGAACGCTCAATCTTCGACTGGTAACTCTGGATCGCCCTGGCGTCGGTGAGAGCGGACCACACCAAGTAGACGAACCCAGTACCCCTCTCAGCTGGCCGGACGACGTTGCTATTGTTTGCAATCACCTCCGGGTTACCAAGTTCTCTATTCTTGCACACTCAGCTGGTGCAATCTATGCTCTTGCAACGGCCCTTCGAATTCCGCAGCACATTCGTGGCCGCATCCATCTTTTAGCCCCATGGATCCCTCCTTCTCAGCTATCTACCATCGGCTCTCAGAAAGATCCTGCGCCCACCAATGCTGTTCCTTACGCCCAAAAAATTCTTCGTGCTCTTCCAACTTCCCTACTCAAAGTGGCAAACTCAAGCTTCATGAGTGCCACAAGTGCCAGCATAACCAGAAGTGTGCCCAAATCACCAAAGCGATCCAAGCGCAAGGCTGGCAAAGAGACATCCAATGTAAACACTGCACCTGCAGTCCCGACAATCCCTTCGGCTGGGACCAATTTACAGTCTCAGCAACGGTTGGAAATACCTCAGACCATCAAACCATCCGCAGCTGCTGCTTCTTATCGTAAGAGTGACACTACTCTAGCGTCTCGCGCCAAGTCTCCAGGAGATGAGCGCGAGCGACAGCAAGATTATGACACACGTCTCACATACAAAATCTGGGAGTTGGCTACCACCAATGCCAACCCGGCCGTTGATTTGCTGATCTGCTTGGAGCGTCGCCAGGACATTGGGTTCCGATACGTGGACATCACACGATCCGTGGTGATCCACCATGGCAGAAAAGACCCTCGTGTACCGGTCGACAATGTTCAATGGCTAGGCAAGACAATGCGTCGCTGCGAGGTTCGAATTCTTGAGGGGGAAGGCCATGGCCTCATGGCATCAGCCAGTGTCATGGGCAGTGTCTTGACTGAAATTGCCAAAGAATGGGAAGATTGGACAATTCTTGTGCAAGGCAAGCGCCGAGCAACTGCTAATCACGCTGCTCGACCTGGACTCTCGATCCAAACCTAATGTCTTGATGTTTCATCGCATTTTGACAATACACCACACAAGCCCCGGTGGCCCAACATTCCTTAATCACCATTCTTCGACACACTTTGGGCCGCAACAGGTTTGCGGCTGTCTGTTTGACTCACATCTGCAATATTGCATCATATTTCTATCATATAAACCTAATGGTGCGAGGTTGAATAATGCCCTGTCATGATATTCTGCGACATGGGTTTCGGACAAAAGAACACCACTGATTTAGCATAATACCCAGTCATGTATCCACTAATCAATATTTATAATCATTTGTATTTATCTCGCGAGCCTCTTCTGGTAAAATGGTAGTTTTTCAAGGCAGACTAAGAATAATACATCGTCCAACACACGTGCTCTGCGACTTTCGTTCCAAACCTCATACGGTTAAGCAATGTATACAGTTGTCATCGGTGCATCCCGTGACGTCTATAGCTACTCCGCCAAGCATCGCGCCGCCTCCCGCAATCAGGGATGAACTTTGGCCCTTCAGAACCCCACAACTCCTGACTTGTTTGAGCTTTGATTTCAGTCACAAAGGAGCATCGGCCCCCCTGCACAATTATCCTAGCAACTCGGATGTCCCGCGCCATAAATTAAAACTAACTCAAGCCCGGAGGCGCATCTCTTGGCTTTCCTTGTCACGTTCTGGTCGCGTGGATTGACCAGATTCGATGGTCAACACTCGGCACTGTCAAAAAACATTGACATAGCTTCGAACATAGCGAAGCAATATATCAGAATGCCTTCTCACCGGCGTATGCGACTCATTGTCATTGGAGTTGTCGCATTGCTTTTCTTGACTTTTTACTACTCTGTACGTGTTCACCTCCGCCTTTGTCCCCGCTGCTTGAGACTTCCCCCTTCAAGTAGCTAATGCAGAGTACTATGTAGGGCGAAGCAAGCAAGATCCAAAACCAAAAATTTTACCGCTCGACTCTTGACGCCATACAAGCTAAAGAAGCGGCCAAGCACGCCAAGACACAAGAGAAGATCCAGAATGCTATGCATCCGCCAGGACAGGATGGTGCTGCAGTTAAGGCGTCTAGCGCAGATGCCGAGAAGCACGCTATTCCACCAGCTACGGGACATGAGGAAGTGGAGGAAATCCCCATCGCCGGACGAACAAAGATGACCGTGCCAAAGAAGGCGAATACGGATACGGATACGGATACACAAGCAGAGATTGGCTTCAGCTCCAAGGTTAAGAGCGAGGAAGAGGAGAAAGAAGAGAGAGAGCGAGCGGAGAAAGCAAAGAAGGAGGAGGAAGCTAAAACGGAGTTGAATGCGATTCTTAAGCGCGCTCCAGGTATGTCTTCTCTCCTACCCTCCACTCATACACTTTCAGTGGAACCCAGACTAACGCATCTGCAGTCATCATCTTCTCCAAATCCTACTGCCCCCATAGCAAGAGAGCCAAGACTATCCTGCTTGACCACTACACCATTCAACCACAACCATTCGTGGTCGAATTGGACCAGCACCCTCTTGGGCCGTATCTGCAGGCTCTGCTCGCCCAGAACACCGGGCGTCGCACTGTTCCCAACGTTCTCGTGAGTGGGCAGAGTATCGGAGGTGGAGATTCTATCGCTGAATTAGATCAACGCGACGAGCTGGTATCGAAGCTGCGACAATTGGGTGGGAAATGGATCGTGGACGTCACACACCAGGTTGAGGCTTCACTGTGAGATTTTTAGCAGGACTTGATAAGTGGTGTTGCAATAATTTGAACTGCACTGTACTGTACATAGTCATATCGAACAGCCTTGAAGAGAAGATTAATCAGGTGAAGAAGTCTATTGTACCGGGGACCTGGCCTACCGCCACACCGCCCATACTCAACTAGTACTGGTACATCACCTCTTCGATAAGCTGATAAGGAACCCTAATGGCGCTAGTCCCGATGTGGCCCTAAGCGACGCACAATCCCGTGACTGTTCAATTTCGCTCCACCACCAAGTCCAATCCGAATTTTGAACCTCCCCGACATCGACAATCTACCACCCCTCGGCCAACACCAAAAGTCACCAAGATGCGGTACATTCACTCCGAGGAACGGCTGCCCATTCTGGACAATGGTGAGCGACTCTTTTTTTGCGAATTTGGAGGATTGGAGGGAGAAGTCGGTCGCACACAATCACTTGATCCCGCGAACACACGATATTCAACAACGAAAAAAAAAATATGCAACCATACGAAACCACGACCAGAATCAGCACCGACATGAGAAGGAGAATTGTGTGGACCGACGACTCGCTCCGCCAGAAATTTGGGCATTCTCTTCACAAGCAGACCAACTAATTTGATGTTTTTTCTCCCTTTACAGTGAAGGTTCACATTCGTTCCCGTGTCGTGACCGTCGAGGGTCCCCGTGGCAAGCTCGTCAAGGACCTCTCCCACATTGCCGTCACCTTCGGCCGCCCCGAGAAGGATGTCATCTCCATCGAGCTGCACCACGGTGCCCGCAAGGGTGTTGCTACCCTCCGTACCGTCCGCACCATCATCAACAACCTTATGATCGGTGTCACCCGTGGTTTCCGCTACAAGATGCGTTACGTCTACGCCCATTTCCCCATCAACGTCAACATCGAGCCCAACCACGAGACTGGCCGCGCTGAGATTGAGATCCGGTATGGAATCCCCCGAGAGAATATTACTGGACTCCAGGAATACAAGTATGATGGACTGCGACTGACATTTATATAGTAACTTCTTGGGTGAGAAGTACGTCCGCCGTGTGACTGCCCAGCCCGATGTTGAGATCACTCCTTCCGCCAACGTGAAGGATGAGCTCATCCTCGAGGGTAACTCCATTGAGGGTGTCTCCCAGAGCGCCGCCGACATCCAGCAGATCTGCCGTGTTCGCAACAAGGATATCCGTAAGGTAAGTCATACACTTCTATCCAGTCTACCAATTTACCAGACCTTCCTAACACCATCTAGTTCTTGGACGGTCTCTACGTGTCGGAGCGGGGTAACATCATCGAAGAGTAAATGTGACTCTTGGGATGTATCGGGTGTCTGGGAGAGGTTTCTTTAATTTCGCCTACTTGCATATAGGGAAGCAAAGCGAAATGTCAAAAACAAAACGACCCTTTTGAAATTCACTATTCCCTAACGCGTTCATGGCTTGTATGTGGCATGTAGAAATGTGCGCCCGTGGCAATTCGATTATACTTCAATGTTCTTCCAGTACTAGACGTAGCTGAAGTTGAAGATGAGATTGATGATTCGGGGAATATATGGACGGGTCTGAGCTCGATGACCTCAACGTTCAACCTCCCTCCTACACTCGACCGTACATTCCGACACAAGTAGCCACCACTGCCTACGGAGTATATTTCTTTACTCATTCTTTTATTGTTGAAGTCATTCAATGGTCTCATAACATCGATGGATACCCCGAAGTCCCACTGAGCGCGTGACAATAGCATGTGAAAGCGGCCGTCTCCATCCCGCAAACACCCCATTCTTCTCAGAAATGGCTTCCTGGTGGCTAGGGCTGTGGAGTATCCTCAGCGCAGTCTTCAGCATGTTACTAGAAGTGACGCGGTTCTGGAAAGATGTGAGTGTTCCTCCTGAGGTCTAGCCCGTTGGTTCTGGAGCTTGCATGTGGGGGTCAACGGTCAACTTCAAGCCGACGTTGAACTGAGAAGACCCGGCATACCCTGAGATCTGCTTCATATGCTTGATTTGATTTAAGCTGTCTGCTAATCAAGTGATACTAGAAATTACTATCATGGCTACATTCAAAATCACCCCGAGATCGACTCTTCCATACGCTGGCCAACGCGCAGAGCTATGAAGAATGGGAAGAAGCCGCGTTTGAGCTCGATGAGCTTCTGAGTAAAGACCTTTGGTATTAATATATTCATTTCAGTGGTTTTGGCCCCCAGCTAACTCAATTAAGGCGTCAAAACCCAGTCAGTCGACACTACGACTACAGACTTATCCTCGGCCGCCTTGAATCACTCATGAGTGCACGCGAGTCCGAAGACATCCTAACTCTAGTAAACCTTCTGCGCTCAGGTCTAGTGCGCAATCTTGGAAACATCAACTCAACCAAACTGTTTACGCACGCCTATGCAGGCACGAAGCTCCTAATAGACGATTATATCACCCAAGTTGCGCTGTCAATCCAGTATATGGCATCTGTGCAGCCGGCACTTGTTAATCCCGGGGGATTTACCTCACAGGCTAAACTGGAACTTCTGCATGATACGCGGCAGGCTTTTGGGAGGACGACGCTTTTGTTACAAGGTGGTTCGGCGTTTGGGCTGTGCCATCTCGGCGTTGTGAAGGCGTTGCATTTGCAGGGTCTTTTGCCGCGTATCATCACCGGTACAGCAGCTGGTGCAATGATCGCCGCGCTTGTGGGCATCCACTCGGAAGATGAGTTACTTCCATTGCTTGATGGTGCAGGTATTGATCTGTCTGCGTTTGAGCGGCGGAAGAAGGCGCTTGGGGGTGATGGCTCTGTTGATGGGCAGACTTGGTTCGGGACTTTTTATCGGCGCATGAAGCGGCTTGTGCAGAAGGGATATTTGTTTGATGTTGGGGTTTTGGAGGAATGTGTTCGTGCCAACGTTGGTGATCTCACGTTTGAAGAGGCGTACGCGAGATCCAAGCGGATTCTCAATATCACGGTTGCGACGTCAGGAAAGAATGGCACTCCAAATCTGCTGAATTACTTGACTGCGCCGAATGTGGTATGTTTCAGACTATCCTGCTTAAGCTCATGTTATATCTGCTAACATCCATCAGCTCATCTGGTCCGCTGCAGTGGCCTCAAACGCCTCCTCGTCAACAGCACTCTACTCGCCAGTAACAATTTACTGCAAAGACGAAACAGGCAAAATAACACCATGGCCACACACTCAAGACGCAATATTCCGACCCTGGCGACACGTTCATTACAACGAAGGCGAGTCACCACTATCCCGAATCTCGGAACTTTTCAACGTAAACCACTTCGTCGTCTCCCAAGCAAGGCCCTACCTAGTACCTTTCCTCCGCTCAGAGCTCAATCTCCTAGACCGCCGCCAAACAGGCTGGAACAACCTCTCCCGCTCAGCCATGCGACTAGTGATCGTCGAACTCCGCCACCGGCTCCGCCAACTCGACTACCTAGGCATCCTCCCCGCATCACTGAGCAGACTCCTAATCGACGAAACCATCCCAGGACCAAACCTGACTCTAGTCCCAGATCTATGTTTTTGGGATCTGAGAAAGCTGTTCCAAAGTCCCACCCGTGAGAGAGTCGCCGAGTGGACGCTCAAAGGCGAGAGGGGTGTTTGGCCTGCTATTAGTGCATTGAAGGTTAGGGAGGCTGTTGAGATCGAATTAGATAGGGGATATCAGCTTGTTAGGCGACGAAGACCCAGTGATGCTTCTTTGTCGGCTTCTGTGCCGAGGCCGACTAATGCTATGAACGAGGGGGTTCCCAGGCAGAGGAGGGGTGGAAGTGAGAACGAAGAGGGAATCCTAGCTGATCGAGAGTGATGGCTCTGGTCTTTTTTTTTTGATCTATTCCTTTGGGACTTACTCGGGCTAGAATTCGGGGTTGGATGGAATGTTCATCTTATGATGTCTCATTCCTTGTTTTTCTACCGTCACATAGTTCTGACTTGGTTTTATACAGGTTCATATATTAGAGCAATTTGTCGAGGCCAAGATCATAATTTTGGATCTTAAAATGAATTTACCAATCGAACTCGCTGGTTGGGACATTAAATGCTTTCTTTGATGGCGTTACTCGAACCTTCTGTGCACCCATTGCTGCTGCGGATTCCTAAAGGGGGAATTCATGGTAGGCTTACCAAAATTGTAGCGAGACAAGTCCAGTTAGGACTGGATTATCTACACCAGAGGTATAGGACATGGAAGTAGGTTTTCCTGATATCTTAAATACACGTGAGAGAATTTTAATACGTGAATGGTTCAGATCTTCCTACACGCAATTTGGTCTTCACGGTGCCTCGAATAAATCATGAATCGGAGAAATAAATCATTGAAATGCTTGGAAGCATTGAAATCGGCAATGTCCGAAGAAGTGATGGGAAAGCCCTAGGACCTAGCCTACCCGAATATATAGTTCGGGCTGCAATCAACCGAAACAATCGAGATCCACAAAGATAAAAAGTTCGAAGAGCTTTTCCCCAGCCACATTTTGATGCCTGCATGACAACGCCCACATTTCTGATTCAACAAATGCAAGTCACAGCAAGTGACGCCCTACCTACTAGATGGCGTAATATTTGGGCTGAAATGAAAGAACATCACAAGCCCCGAGAATCCCCCGGACCTGGCCTACAGGAATGGCTGCAGGAAGTATACTTTGGTACGCCAAAACAGGATTTGACCCGCAAGGATCTAACTAAACTGGGGCAGATCATTGGGAAGCTTTTACATTTTGCACGAGCATCTGCGCGAGAGGTTTTAGATGAGCCTTGGTTTCATGCGTGACTAGTGTTTAGTAATGACGATGGCCGGATAAGTTGACGACTCTCTTTGGTTCCAAGGTTATTGGGGTTTGATCATCAAAGTTGAGTGTAAGCAATACAGATCGGTAGATCTCAAAAGAGGGGGACCGAGGTATGGTAGAGGTCCAAGCGAACGGAGCACGAAGGAAAACATGCCTTCCAGACGTGCTGCAAATGGGATCAGATCGGTGAAGGAGAGACTTGATCCATCAAGCTAGTTGCACCGCCACTTTGATGACCCAATCAAACCCGTGACAAAACCGTGTTATGTGGCGCTACGTGGCTCAATTGGGGCTTGTTGCATCGACTGCGCCCTGGTTGGCTGACTGTTGGCGCGGAAACTCTTGGCAGCGTCATGAGCTGTCGCAAAGCACCCAAGACCGCCAAGGCCCCCCGAAGGTACCGGGCCTGATCTGCAGCTTCCAATCTCGCTTGCTTTCTCTTTTCTCTGTCAGCCCTGCAGCCCTACCTAGATATTGTTGGGAGCTTTCGAGTCTGCCTAATTTTACTCCCTGCTTCCCCCTTCCCTAGCCTCTCGGAGTCCCCGCGCAATTGTGTAATCACCCCCGTGCGACTTAGTCCACGACTCTTCTCCTTAACACGGTTTCTTTCTGAGTCGCTTCAATTGATCCGATCATGGCTGAACCTGTTGCGCAACACGCTAATGGTATGCGATGATTTCAAATCTAGAACCGAGAGTTGCACATGCTGACCACGATCACCTTACAGGAACCGTACAAAATGGTGAGGCCGCGCAGGTGACGCGAGGCCCCAATGATCGCTTCAGCCTCATCTCGGGTCCCCTCCTCAACCTGAAGAACATGCACTACGACTCCGCGACGGTCTGGCATGGCAGTGTTTTGGTTGTCACAAAGCCAGGCCAGGAGCAACCACAGTTGCGCCTGCGCCAAGTGGGTCCCGTGAGCGACGGAGTCCAGAACGAAGGCGACATTGGACAAAAGAGCCAGACAGTGGAAGGTCTGAAGCTTTACGAAGATCCCGAGAAGGCCTTCTGGCGTTTCTCCTTGGCTGTGCCAGTCGAGGTCTTCGAGGCGCGCTGGGCCTATGACATCCCCGGTCTGTACAACGAGTCCGGCGACCAAGGCACGAATTCATGGACGTTTGTGGTTCCAGCTGAAGAGCAGTCGATGCGAATCATGTTCCACTCTTGCAATGGATTCTCTGTCGGCACCGACATGAACGCCTGGGTGGGACCTAACCTGTGGAACGATGTGATGCGCGTGCATGGCGAGAAACCCTTCCACGTCATGGTTGGCGGTGGTGACCAGATCTACAACGACGGTATCCGTGTCGACGGTCCTCTCAAGCCTTGGACTGCCATTGGTAACCCGCATAAGAGACGTAACCACAACTTTGACAACAAGATGCGCGCTGACTGCGATGAATACTACTATGCCAATTATGTCCGCTGGTACAACACTGAGCCTTTCCGCACTGCCAATGGCCAAATTCCGCAGGTCAACATTTGGGATGACCATGACATTATCGATGGCTTCGGTTCTTACACCGATCACTTTATGAAGTGTGCCGTTTTCCGCGGTATTGGTGGTGTCGCATTCAAGTACTACTGCTTGTTCCAGCACCACATCGCTCCTCCAAAGTCGACCTTCACCACCGACGCCCCGCAGACTATGCATGCTGTCAATGGCACCTCCGGTGTGGACCCGCGTCAGGTGGAGAATGTCTACGTGCTAGAGAACCAGACCGAGGATGACAGCTGGATTATTGGCAAGCGCCCAGGTCCGTATGTGGAGGAGCGCAGCAGAAGTTTGTATATGCGTTTCGGTAAGCGAATTGCCTTTATGGGGCTGGACGCCCGCACAGAACGTACCCGCCACCAGGTCAACTACGAAGACACATATGACCTGATCTTCGATCGCCTACAGCGAGAGATCGGGGCGGCTGATGGCGACATCAAGCATTTGGTCGTGTTGCTAGGCGTTCCAATCGCTTACCCACGTCTTGCGTGGTTGGAGAACATCCTTACATCCCCGCTCATTGCTCCAATCCGTCTACTGAACAAGCGCTTCGGTGTGGCAGGTGGTCTCTTCAACGAGTTCGATGGTCAAGTCGATTTGCTCGACGATTTGGACGACCATTACACAGCCCGCCAGCACAAGCGCGAGCGCAAGATGCTCGTCCACCGTCTTCAGGAGCTGGCCCGCGCCAACTCCATGCGTGTCACTATCCTCGGTGGTGATGTTCACCTTGCTGCCATCGGTCGCTTCTACTCCAACCCGAAGCTTAACCTGGCCGGTGAAAACGACCACCGCTTCATTGTCAACATTGTCAGCAGTGCCATCACCAACAAGCCCCCTCCCAAGGCCGTCGCCAACCTTCTCGCGCGTCGCAACAAGATTCATCGCCTAGACCACGACTGCGACGAAACCCTCATGCCTTTCTTCGATAAGCAACCCGGTGGCCTGGAGAAGAGCGCCACTTGGAACAAGGTCACCATGCCGTCGCGTAACTACGCCACAATTACCGAGGTCATTGCCCCGACCTCCAACGGAGAGACTCCCTTGGAAACAGCCAAGCTAGATCGCCTCCCTAAGGATGGCCATGCGCCCCTGCACAAGGGTGAGGTTGATGCCGGTACCACTCATCGCGCCGCCAATGGATTCAGCAGCGATAGCGGCATGTACGGAGGCCTCGATGTTTCCATTCAGGTGGAAATCGACCCTCACGACCGTACCGCCGCCACTGAAGGCTATGGATTCAGCAGTGCGTTTCCTCCCCCATATTCCCTGACATGATCATGGCTAAACTCTTCCAGTTCCTCCCCTTATGTCAACCGAGGGACCTCCTCAGGCTCACTCTCGTCTCAGCTTGCACTCGCGCAGGTCGCACCAGGGCCGCCCCTCCACGGCTCACTAATATTTACGTCGTCTATTATCATTTTATAATGTTTGTTCGAGTTTGAGGATAATTAGCATCCCATCGTTTGATACCTCTTTATGTTTAGGATCACACAGCAATTCACATAAAGTTAATGCCCTGAAATTCCCTTCCAAGTTTTATAGATCGAATGCGGAGAACCCCCTCGCAGGGATTTAGTTACTGTTTGGGGTTAGGCGTGGCGTCTCTTATCTGCGAGCTTAGTTTCCCTTGAGAAATGGTCGACTATTCACGTTGAACTCTTGCTATCTGGTCCACATGCAGCCAATACACTAGTTAACTGCAAGTTGGCTGCAAATCTCAATCCCTTGATAAGACGCAGTTCATCAATATGCAGCTTCAGCCACTTCCCAATCGGTGAACATGATCCTTGCCTCTTTACAAGCCTTGATCCTCGTCTATCCTGGTTGCAATATGCGATAACCCCTCAAATTTGAGCTCGTATCTGGTTTGGTGGCGTCGCATGCACGTCCTTGATACATCCTAATCGCGTATTCTCTGCAGATTGGGACAGGTTGTATTTCAGGTATTTGATCACCCATCTGTCCGCTATACTTTGGCCTGTCTCTTCTGGATATAATGTGAGCTGACAAGTCCAGCTTGTGTCGTACTACTCTACTTCTCTCCACCATGCTGAAAAAAGAAGCATCAGTCGATGCTCATCCAGATCAAGAGAATGGCACTATTACCTCTCTACCAGAGAATCTCGAACTTGATCGCCTGGGTTACAAGCCTGAGCTACAGCGCAACCGCTCGGTACTAACCCTGCTCTTTCAAACCCTTGCCATAGCTGCAATCCCCTATGGCGAAGGCTCACCCCTACTCTCCGCCATCTATGGAGGGGGACCACTATCAATCTTCGTCGGATGGATAGTCGTCTGCCTCTTAGACCAATGCATTGCCTTCTCTCTGGCAGAGCTAGCATCACGCTACCCAACCTCAGCAGGGCCCTACTATTGGACCTTTCAAATATCCCGCGGCAACAAGACCACCATCTCCTTTGTAAATGCCTGGATCTGGCTTATTGGCAATTGGACCATAACGCTCTCGGTCAATTTCGGCTTCGCGTCTCTACTCTCGGCCACAATATCAATGTACCACCCCACATGGTCAGCGAATAGCTGGCAACTCCTCCTCATTTTCTACGCAGTCTGCTTGGGCTCCCTAGTAATCTGCGTCTTCGCAAACAAATACCTCCCCCAAGTCGACATAGCCTGCGCAACCTGGACAGCCGTCACAATCATAATAATCCTAATCGCCGTCTCCGTCAAAGCCTCCTCAGGCCGACACACGGCATCCTACACCCTATCACATTACGACAAATCCTTCGCCGGCTGGGGCGGCTTCACCTTCTTCATCGGCCTCCTCCCAGCAGCCTACACCTTTTCAGCCATAGGAATGATCTCCTCAATGGCCGAAGAATGCAACAAACCAGCAATCAAAGTGCCTCGAGCAATCGCGCTCTCCGTCCCCGTCGGCGGCACAGCAGGCCTCTTCTTCATCCTCCCCCTCTGCGCAACCCTCCCACCACTAGAAGACATAATCGCCGCGCCAGGTGGTCAAGCTCTCCCCTACATCCTGCACACAGTAATGGGCAGTCCAGGCGGCGGCCTGGCGCTCGTCTTCCTCGTCCTGGTAATAACGCTCTTCTGCTCAATAAGCATAACAGTAGCAGCCAGCCGATCAACCTGGGCTGTGGCACGCGACGAGGCAATCCCCCTCTCAAAGACGTGGGCAACCGTCCACCCAACACTCAACGTCCCCGTCTGGTCGCTCGTCCTCTTAACCGCCATCCAGATGTTACTCGGTCTCATCAATCTCGGCAGCACGAGCGCCTTCACAGCCTTTGTGTCTGTCGGTGTCATCGCGCTGGCCGCCGCGTATGCCATTCCTATCTTTTTGAGTCTCTGGCATGGGCGGGACGAGGTGCGGAAGGCGCCGTGGAAGGTTCCGGGGGTGAAGTGGTGGGTGTGTTTGTCAATGTACTTGCGCTTGCTTGGATTGCGTTTGAGTTGGTGCTTTTTAGCATGCCGACTGCTTTGCCGGTTACGGCTGTCTCGATGAATTATGCTTCTGTTGTTTTTGTGGGGTTTATGGCTATTTCGGGGGTTTGGTATGGGCTTTATGCTAGGAAGTGTGAGTGTCTTCCCCCTCCTCCCCCCTCATTCTTTTCTTTTGGTTTCGTTTCAATTTGAGGTTTGGTTGGGGTTATGCTGACTTCTTCTTAGCTTACAAGGGTCCGCCGGAGTCGGATGCTTTGGATTAGGGGGACTTTGGACGTGGGTTTTGGGTGTTTGTTTCGTTTGAGTTATTCTATACTTTGTTTCTGGTGTACAGCGCTGGTTGTGTGATGTTCTGACTTTTCTATGAAGTTGGGGCTATATGGCTGGACCAAGATGTGACCAGAACTTCTATCGTGCTATCTAACTATTCTCTAATACAAGCCATTTTCCTTAACAGGGAATCATCCAAATATTCAGACCAACTGAATACAAGATAGTTCAAGCAAGCGGGAACACTTCCGTTCGGATTCACAGTCAATGCGGATAGCTGAGGTTTGGCTAGTGGTCGATGTCAATTAGGGCTAATTGACAGCAAACGGAGCGGTGATGCCATCCGTCTCCTACATCGTAAAACAACGATACGGGTGACTGCTTTAGGTATTTTCAAAATGGCAGTTCCACAATGTCAGAGCTATGGTTTTTTTTAGGGTTTTTTCTGCCTCTTTTTGTGTGCAATGAACTAACACTGTATCTACTGCTATGTGTATGTACGCATCTATTGCTAATCCCGTGATCAGTAACAGGCCAAACCTTGGAATCCCATGGGATGCGTTACCAGTTACCTATGAAAAGTCAAGTAACTACTAGGCTAGATATTCTAATAATTAGAATAAGTCAGTCATGAATATCCGGCGTATATGGTTGAGTTTCCTACCTAGTAAATACCAATACAGAGCAGCCAAAAAAATTCCCGGAGTGCCGAAACGTTCAGTACAACCCTCTCGGCTTCTGCGTGTCGAGTTTATAAGTGAGATATAAGAAATAAAAACAAAAAAAGAAATTGAGGGTGACCCGTCTCGATCAGATAACCTTGTGAACTGGAGTCACACGCGCTGCCAATTGCGCCACACCCCCAATTGGTTGATAAGCGAGGCCATTTCTGGCACTATCACGAGCAGGACATGAGACAGTATTGAGCAGAATGTGAACTTCCTATTCAAAGCCACCAATTTATTTTCTTGAATTTTAATTTTTATGAAAAAAATCTTATAAACACAAAAAGAATTTGCCGCTTATTTACCTGAGAGTCAAATTTATTCATGTAGGTGGTTGTTGAAACAAAAGCAAAAAAGAATTGAGGGTGACCCGTCTCGATCAGATAACCTTGTGAACTGGAGTCACACGCGCTGCCAATTGCGCCACACCCCCAACTGGTGAAAGAACTCTCATTCCATGGCATTATACCCCAGAAGCTCAAGATAGTCGCTTGAAGCCCTAAGTCTTTGCTTCATGCCAGATTCCTTTCAAAATTTAAGTGTACGGATTCGATTCCTCTAGGATTTATGGTGTATTAAGGTAGTATAAACACTAATGCGGAATGTGTCAGACTCTCTGGGTTGCTATAAAAAAAATATGTTCCAACCTTGGTCTCTATTATATATATCTTTAACCTTATACAAAAAGACAAGATATCACCGGCCAGCATGAAATAAATCAATTACGAAGCTGCCTTGGTTTGATGAGCACCACTGTGTATGTACTCTTCATACCCTTCTAGATCCCAAGACTTATCGATATCAACCGAGTTGATCATATAGACATGCTAAGAAGAACCACAATCCGCGATTCATAATGGAAATCTATTCCGAATCGAGAGAAGCAGAAGGACTAACCTTGAAGTTTTCATGCGTTTGTAACGTGTCATATTTATGACCACTCGAATCGTTCCGTGCATAGCACCCTCTTCCCTTGCATGACGGAGTACAGCCTAGTTATGGATATCATTCACCGCAAACCATGACCGCACTGAAAAGGTTAAATCTGGGCACCCACCATTAGCGAAAGGTTATATCTGAGGTCCGAAAGTCGAATACATGCCAGAATCCACCAGTGAATATTATACAAATAGTCGGTGACCTCTGCTGCACAAGCCTTACTCTTCATGTAAGCAGATATCGAATAAGGTTTTAGTATTACATCTTGAAACGATTGGAATTTGGAGCAACATTTAGTTAATAAAATAAATCGAAATAACAGAAACAAAAGAAATTCATCAAGATAAGTGATTGGTTCAAGAAAGCCAGGCTCCCATTTCGATAAGCCTAGCACGAGCATCCAACCTAGAAGTCTCAGCCGGAACAACCCTCTGTTTATCGGCAACAGATCGATCCAAAATGTCGACAGTCTGACTATAGAACAAATTAGAAACAACAACTTTCTTCATCTCCTTCTGGTGGTACTGCTCAACAGTCTTTCCGCCGTGAGCAGCAAACCAGGAGTCACGCGAGCTAGCAGCAATCATCTCACGCATATCGTCCTGGAAAGGAGTATATGTCTCAGCAAACCATATACCATCCCCAAAAAGAAGGTCAGCATGGTCACCCAGAAACTGCAAGAATTGAATAGCAATCACCATGTCAAAACCAGCATGGAACTCAAGCTTAGTCTCACCATAGTGGCGGAACATACCTAAATCAAGGATCTCAATATCATTTTTCATGGTGTGGTCTACCATATCCAAGAACTTGTGGGCATGCACATCGATAATCAACCGGCCCTTATTCCATGCCTTATGAAGATCCTGGTATCCATCGATGGGAGTCTCAGACTCAATGAGATAGCCCTGAAGATTAAAAGTTGCCAAATCAAAGCCCAGCACCAGCTTGGTGTTGTCGAACTTGTTTTCAACCTTGGGAACGGGAAGACTCACAATTACTACTGTTGGGGTTGTGCCTGTGGGTATTTTCTCGGAAGTTAGCTGTTCAGTGAGACGTACTCGTGTGAATGCATCGGTCTCAAGGAGATGGCACTCCTCCAAGCGGTTGATCGCATCTCGGCCACTCTCAATGTGAGTGAGATAGATATGATAGTCGACTAGACCCCATGGGTGGCTCATATAGAGATTGAGACGCTCTACATAGGTCATTGTTGCTTTCTTAGACTCAGTGCTAGAAGATCCAGGGTTAGCAGACTCCAAGAAAGTACCGCGGCGGGGTGTGGTCACAGTGACGGTCTGGGAAGACTTGCGGCTCACCATTGTTGCGGAATTTGACACGGTGGATACTTGCTTTTGGTGTAAAAGGGCGAGGGTATTTTTGAAGAGTTGGTAAAAGTCGTAGAGTAATCCGTTGAGGATAGAAATGCTATATGGTCTGAAGATGGGATCAGAGAAGACGGTGTCTCGATCTCCTCGGTAAGAGAAGAGAAACAGGCTATATAGAAGGTAGTAGAGTACACACAACTGTCCGGTTCGTACTATGAGGAGTAGGAATGTCACTGATAAGTACCGAACAAAGCTCATAAAATGGTGGGACAGAGGAGTAGATTGGAACTCACTGTGTTAGTGAAGCGTGTGGATGAGAATGTGATTGTATACCCCTCGGTATGGAACTACCAGACAATTTATAACTCAGAGGGCAAGTCATTATCCATGAGCCATGGTTTCTTCATGGCAATGAAACAATGGGTATGAAGACATTCTGGATCAAAGGATTCTGATCCGAGAGTTCGAAGGTAACTACCTTTGAAGCTCGAGTTAAGGAAGACAAAGAGTATATACCACAAACTCTTATTGGAAGGTTTCTTGGTAATGAAGTACTCAAGTCACAATACGTTTGTGACTTGGAAGAATGAGCACTCAAAGGAAGATAGTAGTCGTGCCATTGTCTTTTTTGTACATACTCAAAAAGACAAGGCGATTGATACGGAGACTCTTTCACAGTGCCTCAAAACGGATAGAAGAAAGCTAAATTCTCGAATAGATTTGCAGAGACAGGGATATGAACAAAGAATATGCCTATTGCGGTCAAGGCCGTTTCATGCATAATGGAAATCTCGAGTCAAGGGCTTTCAAGGGCCTTCAAGTCACGGGGTAGTCAAAGACACGGAGAATTCCATTGTCACAGAAGAAAGCCCTTTGGAATCACCCCAACACAAAGACAAGGATACAACATAGGTCTCGGATGAGAATATATATACAAAGGTACAGTCTTCGTCAGTCCCTTTGACCACCACCTCACAATCTCACACTCAGAATACCCTCATAATTTACCCCAACACTGATATATTGTATCATTTTTAACCTCTCGAGCCATCAAATTTAACCAAAATGGAAAGAAAGAGCATTTTCATCAATGTGCACAACGGCCAGGATGGTGAACACTACCCCGAGCCCATCGATGATATGTGGTGGGTAGCAGTTTGCACACCAGGCCGCATGGAAGACCCAAGCGTTCGAATGAATCGTGACAGGGAGCTCCTTGAGTACGTGATAGAGTGCATCGTAAATGGCGATTGCTTCATCGCCGATGAGCCACTGCACCACACTACCGGCGGATGGATCTGCATGCCAGTTCCGATCAGAGAAGGACAGGAGCGGAAGCATATCTACCAAGACGCCGAGGATCTCGCAGAATTCTTCACTCAGCAGATTTCATCCCGCAAGATGCGTGTTGACCGAGAAGCCCTTTGGCATAGTCATCCCGCATTCGACATGGAAGACTCCTTGCTTGCCCATACACAGATCATCCTCCCAGGCGAGGACGCATCCAAAGTGCCAAAGTACCCAATCTGCTTTGGAGATGTTTGTCCGCCTCGTTCAGCTGATATCACCAGCCTTACCAGCCAGCTACAGACCATGGAGGTAAGTGACCCAAATGCCGAAATAGCTAACCTTGTTTACTCTGCCAGGACCATTGCTTCTCGCGCCCGATCCTGCGATGCGAACAGTGAAGCGATCGTAGAAGCTTCAATTCGATTTGAGGAGATGATTAACAGTTTCGAGGATAGTCACTTCCAGGACAAAGACACAGAGGCATACCTTGCGGAGATTAGATCGAGCTATTCAACGCTATCCAATCTTCTCGAAGATGGCTGCGTGACTTCCCAGGAAATGCAAGATGCCATTCCAATTACTGCTCATACACTCGAGAACATTACTGACAGCTTTAACAACATGCAGGTAGACGGGCCTGTTGTGACTCGTGCTCATATCCCACATCACTTTTATCACTGAGCGCATACCGCAATCTATTGAGCGGTGGGAAGCAATGGCTCAAGCTGTGTGCGATCGCAACTTAGATGATGACGAAGTCGATATGCTCTTGGAGGAGCGTGAGATTAAGTATGCTGATTTGGTCCTCTAATTGAGAGTGATTGCCAGGATAGGGCTGCTAAAATGGAGGATGAGGAGATGGAGTTCTAGATAAATATTGCATGGGAGATAAAGGCCCGAAGATCAGATTGGCATTCCAGACTGATAATTTATACATGTTTCGACGAATTGATTTAGTGAATGACACATTGTTCTAAAAGCGTAAAGCACCAGTAGATGAGTAGGATAAAAGCGAAATTCAACCACGAAAACACCGGTATAATACAAAGAGCATAGAGCAGCCATCTTCATAAGAAATGACCGAAAATCTAGAAAACCAAAGCAACGATTAGAACCACTTGGATTCTCGGGCCTTTTTCTCGCGCTCCCTCTTTTTCATCAGAGAGTACCCGCATCCCGCACCAGCAACATATCCACCCAGATGAGCAGCGTGGTCCATCTTAGTCAATCGAGAGAGGGGGAACACACGGAAGAAGCGCGCAGGAGCCAGCAAGCTGAAGACCTCAGTTCCAACCAAACAAGCGAGGAAAACCCAACCGTGAGTCCAGATCTTCTCTCGTAGCTCATATGGAAGAATCCACATTGTGATTTTGTCACTACAGAGGGTTAGTCATGCTTGGCAGAGGAATAGAAAAGGAACAAAAGAACATACTCGAAGTGGGACATGCACCATGCAGCAACGATACCACTGGTTGCAGCACTGGCACCGAGAGAGGTCATACCCAGACGACCGAGTAGAACGCTGCGTGTCAATGAGAAGATAGATCCCATGGCACCAGAAGCGAAGTAGATAGCCAAGAAGTTTCCGCGGCCGATTTCGTCGTGGACTATGAATTAGTGCACATTAGCATTCTGCTATGTATATTGAGGGAAACTACTCTGCTTACCTCGAGTACCCATTAGTGCCAGAACCATCATGTTCGTTCCGAGATGCCTCCAGGTTTGGTGACTGAAAACGCTTCCAATCATGCCAAGTGAACTAGGATAGAACGGGACAATCACAAAGTAACGGTTAAGCAATCTCCACGAGGGAGGGACGTATTTCCAGAGAAGAGTGACTGCCAGGTTAGCTCCAATAATGGCTCCAACAGTCGCCACAGCTGGAGGAACATCTGGCATCAAACGGTCCTTTCGTGCGGGGAACTCATAGTATTGAGTAAAGGCATAGCAAAGTCCAAGGGTCACGATAGTGAAAAGCAGTGGAGCGAGTAGACGTTGAGCCTGCCAATAAGATTAACAAAAGGATTTTCAAGGAACATGGGTAGTCCTTACGGTAGTAATGTTCACATCTTCGGGTGTCTCATGAGTACCAGCAATATGATGCTTTTGAACCCAAGCAAGATATGGCCTCAAGGCAGGATCAGCACGAGGGCGAGCTAAAAAACGTCAATACCAATCCCAAGTATCCAGAACTGGCCATACATACCCTCAGTAAGAGCGGCCTCCTGATATTGCTGCAGGGAAGTATTCTCGCCAAATTGACGCTTCAACCTTTCCTGTTCTTCCTTTTCACCATCAAGCCATTCCTGACGCTTACGTTCCTGCTCAGCCAACAAACGCTTCTCGTTCTGTTCACGGCCTTCCTTAAGAACACTCCTGCCGTAGGGAGAACCTTCCTCGCCGAGCTCAGCATCATAAGATCCACTCTGGGGTTTGTACAGGCCTAGCTTTTCGGCGCGGCGGATGAGCTTCTCTTCGTCCTCACGCTCTTCACGCTCAATGCGGACCATAATAGCGGCATCCTCATCAACCGGATATTCACGTCGAAGCCAGTCAAGCGCGGTATCGATCTGGTGCTGGGCGCAGGCGCGGTTGATATCAGCTGGCAAATTCGCGTCGAGTGTACCGTCCAGGCGGTGATAGTGCAAAACCGCAAGAACACGGTTAGCCAACTTCGTGGGGAGGCTGTTGCGCCCAAATATGGCCTTGACTTCGGCATCGGTGAAGGGTTTCTGGCGGGGATGGACCTCCGACGGATCCGATTTAGGAATCGGGGCGGCAGTCCTCTTGAATCGGCGGGGAACGGACGGGGCGAGTTGCGGGGAGAACGGAGGTGACCTCGGTCGAGAGAAAGGTGTGCTTAGTCGACATGGAGAGCTCGGTAAGCCGAATAGTCGCTGTGAGGTGCTGTACATGCGCCATGGGGTAATGCGGAGATCGCGACAGGCAGGGCGGAATGTCACTGGGGGCAGCACAGAGGCACGAAGCCCCGGGCATGGAACCCGCCATGCAACCCAGACCGCATTGCTCATTTCCTGAGACTTGCGAGAGAGATCTCGGAATAAGCCAAGTACGAGTTGGTGGTTGCGGGATGTTTTTCGATGGGCCCACGGCTGAGGAGTTGTTCCGAGATCTGAGCCATGTGCAAGTGTATGTTCAAGCTCTTGAACGACCAAGGCGATATTGCAGTGAAGATTTTTATAGCATTGAAGAGTCTGTTTAGTTTCAATTTCCAGTCAAATCGGATTAAGACAATTCAACTGCTGTACGCACAAGTCAACGTCTTCTTTGTATACTTCGCGACTATAAATCCCACACGTGATGATAACCACCTCAACCTCACCTTCTCCTCTCCGCATCTCAAATAAACCCAAAATGTCCACCGAATCCCTCCCAATCACGCCGGGAGCCTTTACAGAAGCAGTCAAAGAGCTCCCACTCGCTGTGCTTTACGCCAAAGTGTCGGAGCTTACCAATTCAATCACACATCTGCACCGCTCCAACGCCGAGCTCCGCGCATTCCTGCTAGAAAGCTGCGACTCAGAAGAAGACAAGAAAGAGCTGGAGACGTATGTCAAGGAGAATGAGAATGTGGCAGTTTCCATGAATGAGCGGATCTCGTTGCTCAAGACTGAAGTTGAGAACCGTGGACAGCCGTGGATTGAACTTGATCAGCTGAAGACTGATCCCACGGCGCCGGTGACGAATGGCAACGGCAGTGGCGATGGCGCTTCCGGCGCTACTCAAGATACACCTGAAGATGAGGGTGGAGAAGATGGAGTCTACCTGTGAACAGTCGAGTGGATTATTGCGGTGCTCGTTTCTATGAGATTGCTCGCATTGTTCACTTCCTCAGAGCGTCATTTACGGTACCACTGGCTCTTGGCACTGCTATCTACAGGCACTTTATGGCATTTAACGGCATTCACTCGTGGATCGAAGATCGGCCAGTGTCAAGTGGCTATGTTTACATCAACCATACTTTCACCACTTGAGCTGAATCATTGAAGCCCAGACACAATCAAATATCTGGACAGCTGGTCTCAGACCTGCTCAGCCAATCTGGTTTGGTCAACACGCTTGTGTTAAGGACCGAAATATCTACACGAATGAGAGCATGCCGAATTATGTCATGGAATGTCAATCAACCCGATGAAATTGTATTGCAATGAGTAGTTAGAAAACCGTGCAACCATGACCAGCTGATGCTGAAAATAAGATATGCAGAATCAAGGTAAATATTCAAAGCGCATGCTAAATGCTCAATCAAAGCCCTGACTTTCTGTTGTATCATCGCAAATCCACACATTTCCCAAATGGCGTAAAAAAGCAGAACACGTAGTAAGACAGTGCGGCCCAACGCCAGGTTAGAGGACATGTCATAGTCGTCAATAAAAAATGAACTCCAGACCCGCGGAGCTTAAGTAGAGGCCTGCTGAGCCTGAGCCCAGTGACCACCATTGAGCGCCTCGGGAGGAACTCGCTGCTGCTTAATGAATAGATCGATCAGAGGCTGCATGGGCTCCATCTCCTTATCGGAGACGAGCTGGTAGTACTTGCTAACAGTCACAAAATGAACGAAACACATGTTCAGGACATCGTGCTTGTTAATGTGCCAGAAAGGGTTCAGCCAGTGAGCGTGGTACAGATGGGCGTAGCAGCGGAACATCTGCTTCATGATTCCCTGGCAGTCCTTGTAGAAAGTTTGCGGGAAGCCGCTGGACTTGCCAATCCAGTCATCGGAGGCTGGGTTGGCGGGGTCTGAGGGAGCTGTCGATGTGCCATTGGCCTCTCTGATAGCAGATGTCTCGGGGGTACCAGACACCTTCTCGGTAGGGAACATAACGGGATCATGGATCTTGCTCACGATCCACTTCTCGACGCGGTTGATGAACTTGGGGGCTGAAATTTTGGCAGCGCGGCCGTCAACCAGCCAAGTGTAGGTGAGCCTTCGGATGGTTAGCCCAGTTCGTAATCGACCCCACCATTCTACACATACCGTCCAGCAGACATTGTCGGACAAGTGGCTTCATTGCAAATCGGATGACCGTTGACGCTGTTTACCTCCTGAATAACCTGGAGCATGCCGTGGAGCAGACGATATTGTTCAACAACTGTATATGCATTAGCACCCCCACCCTCATTTCAAGCTTCCATATAGCTTACTCTGGTGAGCTAGCCACTCGCCGAGCTCCACATTCTTCGGACAAGCACACAAGGTCAAAAAGTTGCCCCTCACGTTCAGTGGGGCATACTTCTCCTGGAAGAAGTATTTGGGCCCCTCGGGATCGTTGGCGAGGTTATCGATCGACAAACTGTTTGACAGCGAAGGGGAATTCGACATGTTGCTTTGATGGCCCTGAGAAGGAGGAGGCTGTGCTGGGCTCTTCGGTGGGTTATTGTTCTTATTGTTTCCTCCCCGGCCAAAGCCTTGGCGACTAGATTCAAGATAAAGTTAGCGGTTGTGGCGAGGGGTAGCTGATAATCAAGACAAGATGAGGTTGGGAGATCAAAGAAAAGCGTGCAGACGCAGATAACACAAAGCAGGCCGTCGTAGCCATTAAACTTCGGGGACCGGGATACTGCTTTGTGTTTGTGGCGCCGGGTCTGCTTCGTGCAGTATGAGGGGCTCAAGGCGAAAGAGACGGTCAACGACCGATAAGAACGGCCAACGAAGGCGCGCAGTACTTACACACTCTGGAAGAAAGTCGCCATTGTGAAATTGGTCTGCAATGATTGAGTACAGGAAAAACAACGGAGACGAGAGACTGAGACGGTGAGATGCCACACGTTGTGATCCCCTTTTGGTCTGGACCAATGGGAGGCTAACCCCGCTGGGGAGCGGAACCGGATTAATGTTATTGCAGCTACAACAATGCACTAGCTCAAATTAGGTCCGGGACGGGTATTGTGTTAATCCGCTGTTGGAGTCTACTGGTGAATAATGAGAGCTACGATGGTTATAGCACTAGGACAACTTCCCCCGTCCATTGCTCATGAACACTCGCATTCCGTTTTCTGTATCTTATTGCTGATTGTTATACGTTCATACCCTCGAAAAATCCTGCAAATTCCCAATTTCCAAAATTATGTCTTCCGACGACGAAGGCGTGCGTCGCCCCGGCCGCACTGGCAGTCCCGCGCACAGCAATGCCAATGACTCTGGTGCTGAGAACCATACTGGCGGCAACCCAATGGATGAAGATGATGATGCTGATCTCTTCGGCTCGGACGGAGAAGGTGGTTTAGACGATCTCAAGTATGTATATCAGACAAACACAGAATGCGCTGGATACTGACAGCTTCTTTAGCAATGATCATCGCAGCATAAATGACGAGCAACTTGACTCGGGTGATGATGAGGGCCGCTATGACCGACGCGAAGACCGAATGGACGAGGCCCCCGACGAAGAACAGATCTTCAACGTTCAGGACCTAGACCTTGCGCGCGCTCCAGTGCCAGCAACCAATGATGGAGAGGTAGGGAAAGCTTCTTCTATATCAGATCGCTCCCATATTGATCTCACAATCTACCGCAGGTCTACTCAATGCGTGTCCCTGATTTCCTCTCAGTGGAAGCCGAAGAATTCAACCCTGCCACTTATGTACCACCACCTTATTCGCAAGCCGCTACATCCCTGTGCTGGCGCAAGGACCCAGAAAACGACGCTCTTTTGCAGTCAAATGCCCGCATGATCCGATGGGAAGACGGCTCCGTGACCCTCCAACTTGCCTCCGCCCCTCTTGAGCAATATCGCATTGCTTCCAAATCCCTTGCACCTCTCAACAAGGCTGGCCAATATGACACAAAGCTTGACTCCCATGTTTATCTGGCTGCTGGTTTAGAGGCAGCGCAAGTATTCCGCCTGACCTCGCACGTCACACATGGCCTTACAATCCTCCCTACGACCCTGGAAACAGATGACGCTGTTCAGCGTTTGCAAGAATCATTGGCTGCGGCCGCCCGAGGTAGCAAGCAGACTGCCGATGGCTCTGCACCCATTGTTGATACTAAAGAGGATCCTGAATTGGCCACGAGACGCGCCGAACTGATGGAGAAAGAAGCTATCAAGGCCGAGCGTCGTCGCCAGCAACTTGCTGACCGTGAGGCTGACCGCGGTCGTCGTGCCGGTGCTCCTCGTTCCCACGGCACTGGTCTCAGTGTCGGTGCTCTTGAAGATGGTGGTCTACTAACGACTCGCCCTCGCGCCAAGCCTCGTCGGCAAAACCGCCGTGGAGAGATCTACAGTGATGACGAAGAGGACTACTCTCGTGGCGCTCGTAACCGCGAAGACGAATACGACGAAGACGATGGATTCTTGGTTGGCAGCGACGAAGACATTGAAGAGGAAGAGGTTGATGATGAAGAAGAGGAGCTCGAGGATGAGGACATGGACGCTGAAGGTGAAGCTGATGATGAAGTTGCTCCTGCAAAGGCTGCCCGAAGCAAGCCCGCCCCCAAACCCCAGGGGCGTTCTGAGACACCTCCTGCAGCCCGGAAGAAGAACCGTTATGTGGTGGATGACGAGGACGACGAGTAATCTCATCTGTTATCAATTGTGTCTTGCCTTTCTTGCTTCATATTCACACCCGGCGTACATGGACTGGCATTGAATAACAATGGAGTTTTCGTTCATATTTTATGCTTGTAACAAAAATTAATGAAATGGTCAATGAACTCATGGAACCCAAACTCCATCCCAGCTATAGATTGTACTTTTCACCCTGTAAATAGAAGATGGTATATAACGTAGATATCTTTTGACTGTCTCGGCAGTAATAAATGTGGTATGCGCGTAAATAATCAAACAGCCAGGCCCTAACATAAATCATAAAATAACGTTATTCAGCTTATTAACCATCCATTCGATCCCTGAAGGTGACTGGTTCAACACCCTCGGGGTAATCGCTAGGCTCAAAGTTGAATTTGGCAATTACATGCCTGGCGCTTCCAACCACACGAAGACATAGATGCTCTTTTTCTTGTTGCTCATGCTCTGGCGGTGGATTATGAATTGCACTGGAAGAACAAGGCGACTGTGAATTTTGTGGTTGATGTCGAAGCCATTGCCGGTGCTCGACCTCTTTGATAAGAGACAGCAAATCAAGCTGACCAGAACAACCAACCACAGCACCTGGCTCCAAGTGGCCGCCAATAATGGCACGGCGAACAATCTGATGGAGCCAGCTCTTCCAAGCTTGTACTGGTTCGGGGCTTTGTTGTATCCGAGTCACGTATTCTGGTGTTGCGGACTGCTTCCCTAATTCGACGGGATCGGCCTGCGAAACCCGTAGCCATGAGTCCGCAACGACAGTTAATAAAGTCCCTACAAACATAGTATTTTGCATGCCTGTAGCGAATACCTTTGGACATTCTTGGCAGCTGATCACGTCTTGAGCTGTTCGTGCGGCGATGTATAATGAGCATAGGGTGTGGGAGTTGACAGGAAAAGAGGCGAGGGATGATATGTGACTGAGACACAGGTAAAGGTAGGATAGACATGTACAGCCAGTTATAGTACCATCAGACGAAACAGATGTCGGAGGAGAGAGCGGTAGGGTGTCCATGCCCTGGAGGTTTGGTACGGGGAATGGCATGGCTGTCGCTTCGGAGACAGTTGAGAAGTCAGGCCAAGGGCTTGAGGATGGAAAGACAGGTAAATTCGCGGGTTTTAGAAGGTCTGGTCGCCCGGTGTGGTTGTGGTCTTCTTCGCCTGGTAGTAGATCTGGGGTGGAGTGGGAGTGTGGCGAATTCCCGCCAGGAGTCCAGAAGAATTGCGGACAAAGGTGATCGGAGTCTGGGAAAGTGCCGTTATTGAGACTCGGCCCAACTGAGGATTGCTGTGAGTTCTCTGGACTTGGCCATATCTCGCCCTGCGGCATGGGTTCAAGCCCCTCATCGTCTGTTCGCGCTCTCTTCTTGGGCGGGCGGCCCATTTGTTTCTGCGAAGAATAGTTGCAGCGTAATGATTGTTTAAGACATCGAGCACAGCCTGTTAATTCACCAGAGCATTTAAGCTTGCGTTTCCCTGTCCAAGTAGACGAATCAGTGAAGGCCAGGCAAGGGTATTTTGTAGGACAACCTACGACATTCATCACACGCCGCATGCCGTTTTTGCTCACTAGACGCCTGGATATCAAAAACAGGCGCCCCTCCACCAGATTCAGCCATAAGCGACATCATTGGACGCTTTATAGTGAGTCGCGAGAAACTAAGCGGAAGATTGACGCTTAAGTCATAGATGCCGATAAGACGGGCGGTCATGTGGGCGGTGAGAGCCCCGAAATTTATCCAAAAAAAAAATCCATGGATTGGCGGCAACAGACCAACATCAACTGAACGGCAAAATGAACCCCAAGGCTGCTTCGAAGAAGCGCAAGGCCGTCACTCGTGATGTGGAAGAGGAGGCTGGTGTCTTCTCTGGCGACGAGCTGACCAAGGAAAACCTGGACGGAGCTTTGTCGGACAACGCCAACGAACTTTCCGAGAGCGAAGACGAAAGTGACGACTCGGACTTCGAAGTTGTCGACGATTTCAGCGAGTCGGAGGATGGAGAAGAGGAATTGGACAGCGATGAGATCCCCTCCGATACCGAGGAGGATAGAAAGCCCGCTCCTGGCGAACCCAACGTCCGCATCGTGAAGGACGCCAATGGAAATGAGCGCTATCTCTACGACGAAATCCACCCGGACGACAACTCTGAATACTCCGAAGCTGATGAGAACGCCAACACCATTGGTGACATCCCGCTCAAGTTCTACGACGAGTATCCCCACATTGGTTACGACATCAATGGAAAGAAGATCATGCGTCCCGCCAAGGGTGAGGCCTTGGATGCGCTTCTGGACAGCATTGAGATCCCCAAGGGCTGGACTGGTCTCACCGACCCCGCGACCGGAAAGCCTCTGGAGCTCAGCCAAGAGGAATTGGAGCTGATCCGCAAGGTGCAGATGAACGAGGTCCCCTCTGATGGCTATGACCCATACGAACCCCTTGTGGAGTGGTTCAGTAGCCAGAAGGAGATCATGCCCTTGAGCGCAGCTCCCGAACCTAAGCGCCGCTTCGTGCCCTCTAAGCACGAGCAGAAGCGTGTGATGAAGCTCGTCAAGGCCATCCGTGAGGGTCGTATTCTTCCTTACAAGGCCCCCGAGGAGAAGGACGAGAAGGAGGAAGAGCTCATCAACTACGACTTGTGGGCTGACGAGGTTGAGAGAGCGGATCACGTTATGCATATCCCAGCACCCAAGCTGCCACCTCCTGGCTACGAAGAGAGTTATCACCCACCTGCCGAGTACTTGCCCGATGCCAAAGAGCGTAAGGAATGGGACCAGATGGATCCTGAGGACCGTGAGAAGGACTACCTTCCCAATGACTTTGGCTCGCTGCGCAGAGTTCCCGGATATGAGAGCTTTGTTCAGGAGAAGTTCGAGCGTTGCTTGGATCTGTACCTTGCTCCGCGTGTGCGCCGCAGCAAGCTGAACATCGACCCCGAGAGCCTTCTGCCCAAGCTGCCCAGCCCCGAGGAGCTCAAGCCATTCCCCACTGCCTGCGCAACAGTTTTCCGCGGTCACAAGGGCCGTGTGCGCTCTGTTGCCGTGGACCCCACAGGAATCTGGCTGGCAACTGGAGGTGATGACGGTACCGTCCGTGTCTGGGAACTTCTTACAGGTCGCCAGCTCTGGAGTGCCAAGCTGAGCGACGAGGATGCCATCAACGTGGTCCGCTGGCGGCCGGGCAAGGATGCTGTCATTCTCGCTGCCGCATCAGGAGACGACATCTTCCTCGCTGTGCCCCCCATTGTCGACCCAGAGATCGAGAAGGCCAGTCTGGAGATCCTTGACGCAGGATGGGGTTTCGCCGCCTCCAAACCCACCCCCAGCGCCTCAGAGGAAGGAAAGAAGAACAACGCTCCTCAATGGATCCGTCCTTCGTCCACTCTCCTGGACGCCGGTGTTTGTGCGGTCATTCCCCTCAAATACGTTCCCAAGTCAATCTCGTGGCACCGTCGCGGCGACTACTTCGTCACAGTTTGCTCCGGCGCCTCGACCCCGGCCTCAGTAGCAATCTCCATCCACACCGTCTCCAAGCATCTGACGCAATTCCCCTTCCGCCGCCGCCTGAAGGGAGGTGGTCCCCCCAGACCGCCCACTTCCACCCCTCGAAACCTATTCTCTTTGTGGCCAACCAGCGCTCCATTCGCGCTTACGATCTGTCCCGCCAGCTGCTAGTCAAGATTCTCCAGCCCGGTGCGCGCTGGATCTCGTCCTTCGACATCCACCCAACTTCATCCAGCGCCTCAGGTGGTGATAACATCATCGTCGGTTCCTACGACCGCCGTCTCCTCTGGCACGATCTGGATCTGTCCCAGCGGCCCTACAAGACTCTCCGCTACCACCGCAAGGCTATTCGCGCTGTCAAGTTCCACCCCAGTGGTCGGTACCCGCTCTTCGCCGATGCCTCCGACGATGGATCCCTGCAGATCTTCCACGGCAGCGTTACCGGCGATATGCTCAGCAACGCTACCATTGTTCCCCTCAAGGTTCTCAGAGGTCACAAGATCACTGGAGAGCTGGGTGTTCTGGATATCGACTGGCATCCTCGCGAGGCGTGGGTTGTCAGTGCTGGTGCCGATGGAACGTGCCGCTTGTGGATGTAATGTTGGGATGGGGATGCATGATATCTGACATTTTTTCTGGGCGTTTTCTTTACTTTTGTGCATAATTTCCTTTTGTATAGTCTTATAAAAGTCGTTTGATTCTTTAAGCCCCCATGTATACGCATCTTACCGCGTACGCTTGTAGCTGGATCAGCTACACTGTACCCGAGTAGCACACCAAAGCATGAAACGAATGATCAATTCGATTAACCAAATATCCAGGTATCTATGTCCGACCCAAAGCCAAAAGAAACCTCTAGATCTTTACATGAACTGTATATGCTAAGCAAAAGTATACACGTCTAAGCAGACACGAGTAGAATCAAACCACACCACCGCTCCAATCCCTCCTCAACTTCTCATACTTCTTCAAATCAGTAACACTAGGCCGAACGAAGGACTTAGCCGCAACAAAGTCCTCAAACTTGATAGCATCCCTGCGCTTGATAGCCGAATAACCAGCCCTGCGTAGCAAACTGCCAAGATCGGCACCACTGAAACCCTCACACTCCTCCGCAAGCCTGCGAAGATCCTCACTAAACTCAATAGACAGGTTCCGCACCAGCGTCTGCAAGATTTCCACACGCTCCAGGGGCGAGGGGAGGTTGACGAATAGAAGCGTCTCCAACCGACCAGGACGTAGCATAGCCGGGTCAATAATATCAGGTCTGTTCGTAGCAGCAATGACATAGATGCCCTGGCGACTAGAGCCCAGACCATCCAGCTCGGTGAGCAAGGTGTTGACGACACGAGCGGAAGCTTCAGAGAGTGTATCGTCGCGGCGGGGCACGAGAGCATCCAGTTCATCGAAGAAGATAACACAAGGCACGGAGGAGCGCGCACGAACAAAGACCTGGCGAACAGCACGCTCGGATTCACCGACGAACTTGTTAAGCAGCTCTGGACCCTTGACGCTGATGAAGTTGGCGCGGGACTCATTGGCGACGGCCTTGGCCAGGAGGGTTTTACCACAACCGGGCGGACCCCAGAGGAGGACGCCTGTCGGCGCGGTAATGCCGACGTTGGCATAGATGTCTGGGTTTTTGATAGGTTCGACGATGGCCGTGACAAGCTCGTCGCGGATACCGCCCAGTGCGCCGATGTCTGACCAGGTTGTGTCTGGGATTGTGGCGAAGCCTTCGCGCTTGGAGGAGGGCTGGATTTTAGGGAGGGCAGTGAAGAAGTCTGCGTTTGAGACGAGGACGACGTCTGTTTCTTCGCCCATAGGGGATTCTTTGGCGTGGGAGATCAGTCGGCGCAGTTCGCGGACTTTGGGGCTTAGTTCGTCTTCGCCTTCGATTTCCATTTCCATTTCCTCGCCGCTGTTTGACTTGAGGATTTCCAGGTAGCGTTTAATCGCCGCGGAGCCGGCTGTCGAGACTAAGTCGTTGAGATCGGCGCCGACGAAGCCGGGGGTTCGCTTCGCGAGGGTTTTCAGGTCGATGTCATCTGCCAAACGCATCTTCCGTGTCAAAGCACGGAGGATCTGTTCTCTGACTGGTTCTGAGGGGACGGTCATGTTAATTTCCTTGTCGAAGCGGCCACCACGACGGAGAGCAGCATCGAGACTGTCTGGGCGGTTGGTGGCTGCGAGAACGATGACGGGCTTTCCGTCTGTCTTTTCGAGAGCAATCTCGTCCATACAGGTCAAGAGCTGAGCAACAATTCTCTTCTCCATCTCTCTCTGTGCGCTCTCACGCTTGGGTGTGATGGCATCGATCTCATCGATGAAGATGAGACATGGGGCAAGTCGCTTTGCCTCCTCGAAGTACTCGCGCAGAGCTTTCTCGGATTCACCCGACATACCTGACACAACGGAGGGCGCAGAAATTGAGATGAACGGCACACCCAGCTCAGCCGCAAAGGCATTCGCAATCAACGTCTTACCACAGCCCGGTGGACCATGTAGCAAGACTCCGCGCGGGGGCTGCACATTGGAGGAGAGATACACCTGTGGACGGGTCATGGGCAAGATGACCAAATCCCCCAATTCCCCAACCACTTCGTCCAAGCCACCCAGATCCGCCAAACTGACATGTGTAGGCGGGGATCGATCAGCAGGCTCGCCCTTCCGACGCTTAGAGGCCGACTCGCTTCCGCCTGTTCGTCGTTTGGTGGCCGTAGGAGCCGGTGTATTGGCAGAAGATTCGGGCTTTTTTGGCTTAGCTGTAGCCCACGAGCCGACGATGCTCTGGTTCAATCCATTGGGTTCCTATTTAATCGCAGTTAGTACATCAATTCCCACCGTCAAATTCCAGTGCGCGCCATGACATACCGCCGCAGGAGGCTCTTCGAGACCCTCAAAGTCCCCCTCCATTGAGTCCTCATCATCGTCACCCAGATCGGCCTTGACGATTTCCAGCACTCGCTCCAGACTATCCTCAATTTGTCTCTTTGGTTTGCGGTTCAGGCTTGAGTTAGACTTCTTAATTACTTCAAAGATTGCAGGCACCGATAGGCGGATGCGCCCAGTTTCGGGTTGATCGTCGATGATTTTGCGCACGATTTGGTAGACCTGTTCTGTCAGAAAGGGAACTGTAGCCATTGAAGTTCAGACTTACCTCGCGGTCCAATCCTGCACTAAGGGTCCTGCCCTTCCTTGGAGGCATGTTGATGTGGTTGCGATAAGGAAAAAAAATCGGGCGACGAAGTTACGGTATTTTTACATCTCCGGTATCCTCACGTCATCCGATTGTCGTCTCCCGGCCCTCCTTCTCTTCCTCTCTCTCTCTCTCTCTCTCTAACCATGGGGAACTCGAGTAGTTCACAAAAGATCTCTGCCCAGGATCGGTGAGTCTGCCTCTTTCACCTTATACACATATTCCCCCCAAGCCTTTCCGATCCAATATACCTACAGCTATCTCCATCTCCTCACGAGACCCCCCTCATCCCCACTCGCAACACTACAACATACAACCCTACAACACTATAACACCACACCAAATCCTCCCAACTAACAAGTCCGAACAGGGCAATCCTCGATCTAAAAAACCAACGCGACAAACTTCACCAATACCAACGAAAAATAACAGTCCTAACAGATCGCGAAACAGCAATCGCAAAGGAATGTCTAGCACGCAACGATAAACGCCTAGCTCTCCTCGCCCTCCGACGCAAGAAATACCAAGAATCCCTCCTAGCAAAAACAGACAGCCAACTCGCGCAGCTGGAGCAACTAACAGGCGATGTGGAGTTCGCGCTCGTGCAGAAGGACGTCATGTACGGATTGCAGCAGGGAACTGCTGTTTTGAGCACTATCCACAAGGAGATGGGCGGGATTGAAGGGGTTGAGAGGCTGATGGGGCAGACAGAGGATGCCAGGGCCTATCAGGAGGTATGTTGTTCTACTTTGCTTGGACTTGGACTTGGACTTGGATCTGGGTTTGGGTTGGAGCGTGTGTATAGGCATGGTATTGACGCTGACGATTGTGTAGGAGGTGAGTCAGATGTTGGCGGGTCATTTGACGAATCAAGATGAGGATGAGGTTGAAGATGAATTGGAGGCCTTGCAGCGGGAGCTTGCTGGGCCTGTTGTGTTGCCTAGTCCGCCTACTGCTGTTCCTGTTCCTGTCGAGGCGGAGGCTGAGCCTGAGGTCCAGTCTGGCCGCGAGAGGAGGGAGCCTCAGGCTGAGACGAGGACGGCGTTGCCTGCTTAAGGAGTATATCTTGAAGGTCTGTTACATGCATGCTGCGTATTGCATATGTTGATCCAGAGCATTTATGGCGTTGGTGGCTTTTAGCCTGCTTTTAGTGGTGTCTCTCTCTTAATAGACTTTTGTTCATGGAGTTGGTGGACTTGGTTTGGTTCTTTGCCGAATACATTGCTGTAACTCATTGAATGTATCATGCACAACATACGTACAAGCGGTAGTCAATGTATTCAATCTCAGCAATACAAGCGATAGCAAGTAACAACCCATCGCAGAAATCAAGAAATGTACACAATACAATGGTTATCTCGTTAATCATAACATCCAGCATCCCAATCTCAGATACAAAACATCAATCCCATACCAAACTACTGACCAGGCATAACCCTCCCCCCAACTCCACTAACCCCAGGAATAGAAACATGATCCTGAGGATTCGCAGCAGCCTCATAAAGAAAACTAATGGGTTCACGCGCTAACTTCAAAAATTGGCCCTTGAACCCAATATAACCAACCTGAGTAACATCCTCCTCGCCATCACTCCAGTTATCCTCGAAGAAGAGGGTGATAGAGGTAGTCGCGTTCCAATGAGCGCGATTGAGCGGCAGTTCGAAGACATCGGCACCAGGAATGGGTTGTGGGACTTCGATTGTTTGCGTTGGGGATAGCTCCGAGGCCATGGAGAAGTCTAGGTCGTCGCGGTTCTTGAAGAGCTTGATGGTTTTCGGGGCGGAGATTGTTGGGGCTGTGTATATAAGTAGGGAATGGACTTTGACTTGGCCATTGAATCTGAAGTAGAATGAGGTCTTAGTTTCTTTGTTTTGGGGTTGGGTTTGGCATTGCGATAAGGTGAGGGGCATGGCGGGGTTGGGTTTGGGAGTTTGCGATGCGAGAGAACCGGACGAGAACAAGGGACGTGCAGCTGGTGATGGATTGGATCTGGTCGGACGGGGCTTACGGAATGTTCATGAGCAGTTGCTCGTCTGCGTCGCTCTCAAGCTCGGGCTTGTCATTGAGTCGCTCGGCCCAAGTCTTTTGCGTGATAGCTGCGCCGGCCTTGGGGACGGACTCTGTTGTGGAATGTCAGTGGAGATCTTCAACCTGTTTTTCTCTGGAGCCTCGGTATACCGTTAAGTGTAGTGATCTTGTCGAAATCAATTTGAGAATAGAGCAGGGATTGGATGGCTGGCGTGATATCGTTGGAGTGATCGTGATCTTCGCTGTGGCAGTGGCCGTGGCCATCGCCATGGTCGTGGTGATGTCCCGACATTGTGAAGTGGGGGATGCGAGTAATGATGTCGCGCGTGTTGACAAGGAAATGCGCGCGATCTGAAGTCGGAGGTGTTTTGGAGCTCTCCGCTCCCGTGACGTTGCGGATTTTATAGATTTGGCGTCAGTCAAACCCTGGGAGCTACTTGTTTTGGTCATTATTGATACTAATATACTAAGAAATGCTCCCAATATGATCTATGAAAGCACCGTTTTCTTCTCATGGTATTGCAGATATTCATATCAATTGCATTCCTGGAACGCCTGGGTATTTTGTACGAATGGCTAGTCTATTTCCTGACACATAGTGACATTACCTGACCCTGTAATAGTCGGGAGCATATTCCAGCAGGTAACTTTTCTCAATCTTCGTCATATCGCGAATATAAGTTTTCTCGCCGGTTTGCATGATTTCATGGAAGATAACCCAGTCTGCCTTGCGGTTCTGTAAAGAGTCAGTAAATCGAACAGGATTGTTTACGGGATTTGGCCACTTACAAACATCAATGAGCTAGGGTGCGCATGAAGAGTGAGACCCCCGCTAACAGTCTTAAAAGTGCCATCAGGCTGCATCTTCGCTGCATGGGCGAAATAGCCCGTGGTGAGACATCTTCGAATTCGCTCGGGTTGGGAACTCAGATCAAGGGCGCCATTGCGAGCTGACAACGTCTCATCAGTTTGGATACCAAAGCGTTCAAGATATCGTTTCAGTTGACCCCGAATGCTCACTGCTCGCAGGAGAGCCCGGTAGTTCAAGAGATTGTCACGACACCATTTCGAATCCTTCTTTCCCTTGGTGACGAATGCCTGATATACATTCAGGTATGTCAAATGATCACCTTCTTCAACGGCAAACTTGCGACGATTGCTCTCCGCAGATCTCTTATCTCCCTCATGCTGAACCCACACAGTTCCCTGGAGACTGACCATCGCCGCGATTGTGAGGATCTCGCTTAGACAGTTGAAAGATGGAGCGGCAAGGAGAACCTTGGCCATCATTGGATCGACTGCAAGTTCCGCCATTCGTGTTCCGAGAGGTTTCGTGAGTTTGGCATAGTCGTCCACCGCACCGAGGGACGAGAGAAGCTCGAGTGCTCTTATGACAAGTTCTGCCGGGGGAGGAGTCAAGAAGTCAAACCGAACGATGTTATCAATACCCAGTGCTTTGAGCTGCATGATGACCGGGGCCAAATTTGACCTCTGGATCTCAGGCACCGTTGCTTCGGGTAATTGCTCGTAAGCTTCTTGGGTATATAAGCGAAAGCATTTTCCCGGCTTGGTTCTTCCAGCTCGTCCAGCTCGCTGTGTGGCCGATGCTTTTGATATTGGCACTGCCGTCAACGTTTCAATTCCGGTGTTTGGGTTGTATGCTCTGAGTTTGGCAAAGCCACAGTCGATCACAAATACGATCCCGTCAATGGTAACCGATGCTTCTGCGATATTGGTCGAGACAATGACCTTTCGAGTGTTTTCTGGTGTCGGCTCGAAGACATACATTTGTTGTTCTGTTGTGAGTCCAGCGTAAAGAGGTAGTGGAAGCAATGAATGAGCTTTCGGATGGAGATCAGCCGCTCTCTCGGATATCAACTGAATGGCAGTGTCGATCTCTTCCCGGCCCGTCAAGAAAATAAGTACATCGCCTTCTGCTTCTTGAGAATGAATGTCAAACACAGTCTTGACTGCTCGTTCGATATAGTCTTCCGCAGAAGTCTCTAGGTAGAGCATATCAACTGGGTACATTCGTCCTTCCAGACTGATGATCCTTCCAATACTTCCTCCCAAGTCAGCCGGCTCTGCATCAGGTTTGTACTCCTCGCCTGCGAAGAAGCTCAAAAAGTCTTCTGCCTGAAGCGTTGCACTACTCACGACAATGCGGAGTTCAGGGCGCTTTTTGCAGATCTTCTTCAGGGTTCCGAGGAGAACATCGGTGCTTAGAGATCTTTCATGTGCTTCATCAACCATGATGACAGAATACCGGGAGAGTAGAGGGTCGACCAAAGCCTCTCTGAGCAGCATACCATCTGTCAAGAATTTAATTCTTGTTGCAGCAGATGTCAGATCTTCAAATCTGATCGAGTAGCCAACCTCTTCACCGACTTTGCAACGCATCTCTTCTGCTACCCGAGTTGCAACTGTCGTGGCAGCCACTCGCCGAGGCTAAGATACGAGTCAGTTGCATCTTCTCCTAGAGCTTGAAGGACTTACCTGGGTGACAGCGATAGCTTTTCCATCTTCGCACCAGCCTGCTTGGTCGAGATATTGTGGAAGCTGAGTTGTTTTGCCGCTGCCAGTTTGACCCACAACTATCACGACAGGATATTTCTCAACCAAGTAAAGCAGGCTCTTCTTGTGCCGTGCAATAGGCAGTAGAGCAGCCGGCTTATACAGGGCTGGGATGAAAGATGTTGAAAGCTCTTCAGAAGCCATTGTGAACAGTATTCAGTCTATGCTGATATTCTTGGCCTTGTATTAAGAGAAGTCAAAACATGATCCAGCCATTGTGAAGTTGTCCAGTCCATTAAAGATAATCTCCTGCAGGACGATCTGTATGGAGCTTGACCGCCTTCACGTGCACCCCACGTCACTTGGAGCTTCCCCGATCAGTTCCTCGACATTCTCCAGGCAACTCTTTTCTTTTCTTTTCTTCATCTATTCCCTTGAACTGCTGAATTTCACTTCAAGATGTCCGAAGAAGACAAGAATGTACGTACTTCCCACCTGATATCGATAGATTTGGCGCATGAGGCTCACTCCAGATGCAGTCCACTACTAGCAAGCCCTTGGCTGCGCTCAACTCCCCCACCAGTCTCAGAGCCGAGTCACCCACTACCGCCCGCCCGCTTGACTTTGACGATGAACCCCAAGAGAGCGGAGTCACGACTTCCTCTCCTGCTGCTGCACAGCCAGCTCCCGCCGAGGATGCCCCGCCAAAGCCGCCCAGGCCCCTGAGCCCGAGAGAACAGTCGGAGATCACATTGAAGGAGGCTTTCCCAAGCGTTGAGCCCGGCGTTGTGAAGGCGATCTTGACCGCAAGCAATTGGAATGTCGAGCGAGCATTTAATGCGCTTCTGGGTTTGTAGTTTCATTGTTTACAGATGGACAGAAATATTGATCTGGAGTGTAGGCATGACCGACCCCAAGGCCCAAGAAGAAATGGCACCGCCACCGAAGCCACCCCGTCCCTCCCAGCAGTCTCCCTCTACCACGCAGAGACAGGTGGATGCAGATGAACAGTACGCACGTCAGCTCTCCGAGCACTATAATGCGACAGGGCGTCGCGCGCCCCCTCCCGGCTGGGAAAGTGATCCCAGATACCAGCGACCCAGAGGAAGTGAAGAATCGGATGACCGGGAATATAACTTTTTCGATGGTAAGGATTGTGGTCTTGTGACATGTGCACATGCTAATTGCGGGTCTCTGCAGATGATCTACCCGTGATCCGCGAGAATATCCGCAAGGGTTTCTTGGAGACACAGTCCAAGGTGAACTCTTGGGTAACAAATCTTAAGAAGAGGATTGATGGAGAAGAAGGGGATGAACAGGCCGGACCTACCCAAGGAGAGAGTGCTGCATACGGCCGTCCCCGGCGTAGCGGCGATATGGGCCGTCGCAGCGGTGATCGTGAGCGTTACGACGCAGACCCCCAGGTTCTTGGTGATGACTTCTCTGCCCTTGAGCTGAGAGATGGCGAAGGTGTGTACTAACAACTCTGGTTTCGCTGAACTCCGTTAACCTTGCATAGCTCCTCCTCGTCAGCCTCCCCGTCCTCGTCCCAGCGTCAAGACCTCTCCTTCGCCAGACCGACGCCGAGTGTCCTTCCAGGATGGACCTCCTACTGAAATCGATAACCTCTACGATGCTCCCTCCTCCAAGCGCAACAGCTCCACGGGCAACAAGCCTAGCAAATGGCAGCCTATGTCCGCCGTCGAGCCTTCTCCTGTTGCCGAGAACGACCCATTCAGTCTCGGTGATAGCGATGATGAGAAGGATACTAAGACCAAGGAGCAAGTTACTGTTCCGGAAAGTGACCAAATCAAGAAGGCCACGGCAGAGGCCATGTCTGATGAAACCCCCAAGGACAAGGACGACCTCAAGTCCGCCAGCAAGCCCGATGAGTCGAAATAGCGCGAATGATTATCTTTTGTTTGGATATCCGCGATTTGAAACCTATGCGAATCGCCTTTGTTTCTCCTGCATCTCAGCCTACCCATTCCCATTCCCATTCCCATTGCTCCCCGTTCCCATTGCCGTCCGCATCATTTACCCCATATCCCCCCGATTTTACGATACCTAGGAAGGCAATCAGAAGTTCCCAAGCTACCCAGAAACCCAAATCAAAATAAATCTGTATTTCTACCACTGAACCAACAAAAGGGTATCTCCGACCGACTGGTAAACATATTGCCCCATGCAACTTAGCCTCAACGCCAACAAAAAAACATAAGAATTCACAAACAAGACCAATAGGAAGTAAGCGGGAAAAAAAACAGTCTCTAGCCTCCCTCCCCGATTCCACTTAACTTACTCCACAGCCGGAGCATTAGAAACGCGCTTGGAAGCCCCCGTCTCCTTCCGCAGATCCTTAATAACAGTCTATAGACCAATTAGTCTTAGTCGCCTCAACCGTCACGTCCGAACACGCGTGCTGCATTCTCGATCGATCGAGGTGTGAGATAGAGAAGGGGGAAACGCGTACCGCTAGAGCATCGGGATTCACCCCATTTTCAATCAACGATACGCAGAGTGATAACTCTGTTCGGTCGAGATCCGTGTTCTACAATATCAATGTATCAGTCTATGCAATTCCATATCTGGATCCGCCTTGTCTCTCGGATTCACTATGTATAACGTGATGTGAATGTGACTGCGACTGCAGTGATCCAGGCTGGGCAGAGGCAGGCAGAGGTAGAGGCAGACAGGAGTGGACGCACCAACAGGTCAGAGATCTCTTGGAGAATATCAATGACTTCACGCGCAGCTTGGCGCTTATCATCTGCCTGGTCTGCTTTAGGTGGCATTTTCCTTCAATGATCTGGGCAGTGTTGGAGTGAAGTTGGAGTTGGGTTTGGTGGGGAACTTTTCACGGTTTGGGCTTTGATCAGATTAGTTCGGGTTACTGTTGTTGGTACTGGATGTTCGAGTTGAAATAGCAGCTCTCCATAATAGAGAACAATTCTTTTGAGGTAAATTCTAATTTACGTCTCAGAACTCAGGTATTTCTGTTTTCTGCCTTTCATCGCGCGCCATTCTCACACGCCGATCGTGTTTCACCGGCCTATCCGAACTATAACTACGGTATATTGGATACTGAAGTGTTCTATTCAACGGAGATATTCCGATATGATGACACGGATGATCCAGTGAGAGTATCGTGCCCAGTTCTGCATAAGGTCAACCCCCGGAGAAAGCGCAGTCACCAAGACGGCCTGGGCTTACACAAAGGATACGTAACTTATCTCAAGCTCCGACATGCACACGCTGACAGAGTATAGTACTGTAGAAAATTGCAGAGATAGCGGGGCAGAGAGACACAGCAGGTCTGGTTTAGGAAGATTCTCCGATTCCACCTGAATGAAATGACAAGTCTTAGTCCCAGTCTAGCTATATTGGGGAGGGGGATGGGTGGAGTGATAGTACATTGCACCTGTCTGCCACAATATACATGGAACAATATGCCTTTTTGCTTCAGAGATAATTGTTGGAATCGGAACAATTAGACTGCCTCACCGGCCAAGAACAATGAGTTTGTCAACCCTAGCCCCTATCTTGTAAACTCCCTGTCCTCTCTATTGACTCCAGGACTGCCCAGCTGGTTACCAATGCTGACACGATGATTACAGGGGTGGATCCAGGATCACTGAGCCTGGGATATCAGGCTTCACTTGGATACTTGGATGCAGGCTTGAGACATGTCGATCGTTTCAAACATACATGAAACAGACAGGATAGACCACGGAATTAGGCTTGATTTATGCTTAATTGACGCCAAGAGAGGAATTCGAGCAACGCAATTCACTGAATAGTTCTTCTGACTGGAGGCCATATGGACCATGGCTCCACTTATATAGATTGCTTTGTCTTGAGCAAAAACAAGCGCTGTCCCCTGGGGAAGGATTTCGATGTCCGAGAAAACGTGGTAAATTGTCAAATCTCCAGGCTGGTCATCTCTAGGCTGGTCACCACGGTCCCTGATCATGGACCTCTCGCGTGTTTTCACGTCGCCACGGCCAGCCGGGATTGATCTAAGTGAGAATCGGACGCCCAGACAGAATGCCGTGGTCATTGCGATATGTGCTGTGGCTGCAGGGAGTGTGGCTCTTCGGTTTCTGATGAGGATATACTACCAGCGATCCAGGCCCGAGGTCGATGACTGGTTGATCGGGGCGTCGCTTATTCCGTTGATTGCATTACTTGCTGCTGCTGTGGTTTGTACGTGGAGCCCATTTTCTCTGTCTTGGAAAGCATTCATTAATCTCGTCAACCAGGCGGAGAACATGGCCTGGGCAAGCATATCTGGAGCGCATCATTGGGAGATCTGATTCTCTTGCGGAAGGTAAGCAGCAGGACCAGAAGCGGACATGCGAGTGATGTTGCCAGCTACTAATTCATACACCAGGCACTCTTCGCATACCTATTGATCTACCTTGCCGAACTCCTGCTCATCAAAGTCTCGATATTGATGTTCTACCGCCGAATATTCGGCATGAACTGGTCAATCTGGGCCTGTCTTTTCATCAGCTATGGCTGGACCTTCGGCAGCATGATTGCCACAATATCTGTCTCCAATCCAGTCTCATATTTCTGGACACAAGGAACAAGCACAAGCACAGGAGAGTACAGATTCAATTTCTACAACTATCTGATTGGAAACGCAGCCACCAACGTCGTGATAGACTTCTTGATCCTCCTCGTCCCTCTACCAATTGTATGGAGTCTCAAAATGCCAACCATGCAAAAGGTCGGAATATGCAGTGTCCTCCTACTAGGAGTTGTGTAAGTCCACCCCAACACCCAGCACCCAGCACCCTCCCCCAACCTAGAACCCAACCAGAGCATAACTAACCCATAACACCCACAGCGCCTGCATCACCAGCATCGTCCGAATCCACACTCTCACGTACCTGAAAACAAGCATCGACCTGTCATGGGTAATGAGCGACGTATACGTCTGGTCGATCGTGGAACCCTGCATCGGAATAGTCTGCGCCTGCCTACCAGCCCTGCAACCATTCATCCGCCTAATAGCGCAGAAACTATCCAGCCTGGGAGTCCGCCGAAGCCGGGGAGTGAACAAGGTCCGGAAAAGTCCCGCAAAGCATAGTCACAGCAATGTGTCCAGCACGCACAGTCTATCATCTACTCGCAGTCCCCTTCCTTTTACACATTATGACGATGAGCGTGCTCAACTGACTACTTTCACGACGCGGGTTGAAATGGTCAATCCGAAGGAGAGGGATCGCTTGGAGAAGGGGTTGGATCCTATGGCTATTCGCGTGCAGCAGGTTGTTCATTGGAGTGTTAATTAGGATGGATGGGGGTGATGGGATGAATTGTTGTTTTGGAATTTTAATGTGTAATAGTTTTGTTTCTCTTGGATGTTGTATGCAGGATCTCTGATGTGGTTGTTTTGACGTCTGGGTTTGAATTGTATTCTTTGCTGTCTATGACTCGATAAGTTACTGATTCGACTGTGGCTCATCAACTCCGACATGAGCCTCTCGAGGCAACTGGAATTCTGTCAAGTATGAACATGAGCTGGTTCTCAAAACGAGAGGAGAGGACTGGGTCTACAGAGCCCCGTAGGCCAATAACAGCACACATGCAAAGCTTATTGCCATGATGCTCGACGCTCAAAATGAATGCGTGGATATACCAACCATCTTTCTATTACCCTTGTATCCTTCCCAGGTCATATATACACATCCTCCGCTTCAATGCCCCAGCCAAATTCTGCAGTAGCGAGACCAGACCCCATTTCTGACATTCTTGTTCCAGTCTCAATTGCCCTTGAACGTTGTTCTTGGTCCCAGGATATTCGTCCAGAAAAACACCCTGTATCAGAGTCATAAATCGAGGTTCTCTCTTCCCTGAACCATATCTACCAGTAGTGGCGAGTACCATCGTCTTCAGGACTGTATAATATTCTTGTATACAGGACATGGGAGTCACCATAGTATATATAAAGGCCTGCAATCGTAGACGTAATAGCAGAGTCAAGGGCCGTCGAGCAGATTATCAAACCATCGGAGCAAAGGTGATATTCTACGTGAAAGTTATTCCAACACTCACAATGTTTAGGCCCTAGCCTCAGATCACATTGTCTATGCCAATGACCGGTTAAGCATCCCACCATCCTTCTTGACCCGAACTTCCAACACTCTCTCTTTCCTTCCTGACACAGACATGCATCGTTGAAAGGTACGTCGTCTCACATATACTGGGTCCACGATGGCCTGATCAGAGCCTGAGCCTGAGCCTGTGCTAGCTACCAAGCACCAAACCAAGACAGTAGCTAACCTTCAACCCACCAGATATCCCACCTCAACGTCAACTTCAACTTCAACTCCACCACCACCAAGAAACCACCAACCCAGCACCGTACCCGTACCTCGAAATGTGCGAATACACCCGAAGCTCGCGCGTGTACCGGCCCTGCACCAGACGCCCCAGACACATGGTCACCATCCGAGTGTACGAGCTCTGCTGGCGCCAGAGTGCCTACGGGATCCAGCGACACTGTCCGAACTCCACTGACAATGGATATGACGGCGGGATCACGCCTGTTATTGCTCCTTGCCCGACCTGCCAAGACCCGAATGTGACTACGATTGAGGTAAGCTGGGCTCTAATTTATATTGATAAAGGTACGGGCTGTGAGTGAGGTTAACAATGGGAATTGATTAGCGCTATGCTGTCGTCCAGTACGAACAGAGCCGTGCAAAGACTATTGCCTGATATGGATATGAAGCTCGTGAAGCTCATGCGTGTGGGGGTGTGGTAAAGGGTGCAACTTATGGATTTGGTTCGACTTGGAATTGTTAGCTTGTGCTTCAATCGTGATAACTGATATGGGGGAGAGAGGAGGGGGGAGGGGGGGGGATTCTCGAAATTACCTTAGATCTCCGGTTGAGCCTCTGAATCCGTATTGGTCTTTTCTGTATTCTTCTCCTTTGTAGCAGTCCCTTCCATGGAAGATGGATTAGACTGTTCCAGACGCATTCGTATCAGGTCAATATCACGAATCATCTCCTCAGCACTCTGATACTGTCTTAGCCAGCACTTGCGAATGATCTCACCTAGAACCATCTCAGCAGTGTCGGGATATTGATCAGCCACATACAACTCGTCAATCTCGTCGTAGCTTTTATCCTGATACGGCTCATTCAGAGTTTCCATCTCGTAAAATGCAGACCCCAGGGCAAAAAGCTCAGAACGGATCGAGGGAGAAGTGGACAGACACCGGGGATGCTCGGCACGAAAACTAGCACACATGGCAGGCTCTGACCCGTCGATACTGGACCCAGCAAAGTCCGACAGCTTGATGTTGTCGGACCAGTCCACCAACATGTTGTAAGTGGCGATATCGACTTGGAAGACTCCGCGAGAATGAATATGTTTGAAAGCTTGTGCGACTTGAGAGGCCCAGAGGAGGAGCAGGTTAGCTGCGGGAAGCAATCCCACGGTCTGGATATCAATGAGTCGTTGTCGGAGAGTGCATCGGAGTCTTTCGAGGTAGACGTTGCCGTCTTTGAAGGCGACGAACGTGGTGATGTTGGGGTGTGGTCCCAGTCGCTGATAGATTGCAGCTTCCGTGACAAGGTGATGCTGGGTTGACATGTTTGGTTGAATATGGGGTATCTTGACTACTATCGACGAGGACATTAGTCTCACGATGGCGGAGGTGCCGTTGCCCACCCAGGGTAGTTGGAGGGTTAGATTCGTGGGCACAGCTGGGGATGGATCCATGACGAAGAAACGACCAAAGACACGATGGATCCGAAAGGTTGGCGGATGAAAGATGGAAGAACAGCCCAAACATGGAACCTGACGTGGTCTTGGATTTGGCTACTGCTTCATTCTGGAAAGGTCTGTCCTCGCACTTGCCTTCGTCTGCTCCCCTAGAGTAAGAACAACATGACTCTTTTGCTGCAGTCTTTCATAGACGATGTTCTGTCCGCAATAGAGAAGCATCGATGATCAATTCATCTGATAAACTGTGTTTATGCGAGAATAAGTCGACTTGGGGGGTCAGGAACGAGTTAGGTTGACGATGCTCCAAAAGATCACTGTTAGCTTGGATCTAACACCTGAGAGATGCTGAGATGTCAATTGAAGACAAAGATGAAACGAAATCAACGAAATCTCCCCTGGGAATCTCAAGTTTTATAGATCTGAACGCAATTCCCATTGGCCAAGTCAGGTGGGGCCACAAAACTTCCATTACTCTCATTGTGAACGTCAACTTGCTACCTTACCTGGGCATAAGCATACATCTAACATACATCTAACATACATCTAACATACATCTGGCATTCATCTGGCATTCATATCGCTTTCATCTGGTTGATTCCCAATTCAACCCAGTCCATGTCATACAACTTAGGCCAAACTCAACTCTGTCAGCCTTCGGAATGGCACTTGATCTCGGAATGTCCAACCTCACCATATCGGACATCCATTCCTTAAATAGAAACGAGGCACTGGAAATTCTTGCCCAGATCTCACGCGTCGAGAAAAAAACCTTCCCCACCAATGAGGCATTCCCCTTTGGCGAAGAACTGTAGAGAAAAAAGCCCAACACGCGAGTTCTGTACGCGACTCGAGCCAAGGGATCGCAATCTGATCTGATCGCCTACGCGGTCTATGTCCGACAGAAGGGCATGGCGCTCTTACACAAAGTCTGTGTGACGGAGGCTAACCGCCGTCAAGGTGTGGGCCAGGAGGTCATGTCCTACATTCAGCAGCGCCTGCGAAAGGAGGGCTGCCAATACATCCAACTGTGGGTGGACCAGGCCAGGGAGCCTGCGCGCGCCTTGTATGCTCGTGGGGGATTCGAGGAACGTGAAGTCATCCCTGATTACTATGCCCCTGGGCGGACAGGCATTAAGATGATCCTGGATTTGGGAACGTGAGCCCCGCCGATGCCTGCAGGACAGACCTATTTTCTTTGACTAGAAATGTGCCTTGCCTTGTCCCTTTCGAATGAGTCCGAGGGGCGAGAAGTCATGCCAGTGGTTGGGTGGTGCGTCGGTGGCTCCTGTACCCCTTGCATGAGCCGGGCATCTTCGAAACGTGAGCCCGGTGATAGCGATCGCGCCCGCGTTCATTCTCCGCTGTCATTCTGCTACATACTTCCGTGACATCCAGCATATCTAGGTATGGCTTTTTGGAAAGGGCACGCCTTGAATGTCTCCCTTATTGTCCCTTTGGCTCGGCCAGGGACTGTCCTTTTCAGATCAGTGATACTCTTTCATCTGCATCCTGATTCTCTTTTCTCCTCTTTTGACTACTTTCAATACCCTCCGTGAGATTAGATGCGCTATTGGTGATCCGGTGAGCCTGTGTCTTCACTTTTACACAGTTCGGTGCTCCCGCTTCCTCATCAACCATGGCGCTCTTTCTCATCATCCTGACTATTCTGTCAGTAGTCAATGCAGCGGCTTTGACAGCTAATTATCCCATCAACGCACAACTGCCACCTGTCGCGCGCGTCTCACAGCCTTTCCGCTTTGTATTCGCCCAAAGCACTTTCTCTCATAGCGATAATGACACAAAGTACTCGCTATTGGATGCACCATCATGGCTCAAAGTCGACAGCAGCACTCGCACCCTCTCGGGAACTCCAGACACAGACGACAGTGGCTCTATGAAATTTAAGCTCAAGGCATCCGACGGGTCGGAGAGTGATAGCATGGAAGTTACTCTAATTGTGACCGCCGATCAAGGTCCGACTGTGAACAAGCCACTCGTGCCTCAACTGCAATCAATAGGACCAGTTTCGTATCCTGCAACTCTGTTTGTCCATCCCGGTCGCCCATTTTCCATCGAGTTCGACCCGGATACTTTCGACAACACCCATCCTTCTACGATCTACTACGGAACCTCACCGAACAATGCCCCGCTACCTTCATGGATCAACTTTGACCCAGCGGCCCTGAAATTTGCCGGGAATAGCCCAGCATTTCCAGGCGCGGGACCTCAGACATTTACATTCCAGCTGATTGCATCCGATGTAGCTGGATATAGCGCGGCCAACATGACGTTTGAGCTGTCAATTGGTCCTCATATCCTTGCCTTCAATGAGACTGTCCAAACTTTCAACCTCACTCGAGGTGACAAGTTTACCAGCCCCAAGTTCACTAGTATTTTGTCGATGGATGGCTCGCCAACTTCGAACAAGGACCTGGCCAAAATCGATGCCGAACTGCCGGACTGGCTGGACCTGGATGAGGACAATATATCGCTGAGTGGAACACCACCGGACGATGCCGTGAACCAGAACATTACCATTTCTGTGATCGATTCTTTCCAAGATCAGGCAAAATTGATGGTCCGCCTAGAGTTCCTCAAGTTATTCCTTAATACTGTCGATGGATGTGAAGCAGCAATTGGGAAGGACTTCAAGTTCGAGTTTAACCAGTCTATGGTTACCGATGACTCTGTACAACTAGATGTTGATTTGGATAGCGATCTCTCCTCGTGGCTCACCTACTTCCCTGAAAACAAGACACTCTTTGGTCATGTTCCAAAGGACATGGACCCTAAGAAGTTCACTATCCCTCTCACCGCGCACCAAGGGTCAACTGAAGACACAAGAGACTTTGTACTCGATGTTCTCAAAGCAACGGACACTCATACGGACCCTACGAGTCCGTTCACTGAACCCAGCAGCCCCGACCGCAAGAAGGCTGGTATCATCGCCATATCCGTTGTCGTCCCAGTGGTGGTGATCTTGAGTCTTTTGATTCTCTTCTGCTGCTGGCGTCGTAGAAAGAGCTCACCTACCGTTGAAGAGGGACCGACCAACACCAAGCCGGCGCCTCCACGGCCAGTCAGACCGGATGTTCCCAATTGCCAACCGGCCATGACTGAAAGGTCTTCCCGTGACGACAACTCGGAAGACTGGATGAGTCCTATCTCGCCTACATCTGATCTCCCCAAGCTTGAACTAGGACCAGCATGGAATGTGTCCTCCTTCGACAAACAGGAGCACCCTATTAGCTTCTCAATTCCCGAGCCTGCTGTTCCTCCTCGTTCTCCTAAGCGACTGTCACCTGTTCGCGGTGCTTTCGTCCCACTGCGAGACGAAGTCATTGCAGAGGACAAGCCAGTTCAAATCTCACCTACCAAGAAACAGAACAACCGTCTTTCCTATACCAATACGAATAGTCCCGTCCGTCGCAGATCCACCAACCGATCCAGACGTCAACCCTTGAAACCCATTCAGCCGCGGGCGATGAAGCGAGAGTCTATTCAGTCATCCAAGTCGAAGCGGTACTCCAAGCGTTCAAGTGGCATCTCATCTATTGCTTCCGGACTACCAGTACGATACAGTGGTGCCGGCCATGGCGCTGGCGGCTTTGGACCACCTGGACACGGGGTCGTTCACATGTCATGGCAGAACCATAGGGCATCTGTGCTCAGTGACGAGGCCAATCTCAATAACCTCGCACCGCTATTCCCCCGCCCCCCTGCAGTCGCCCGCATGAGACACAGCATGGCATCCAGTATCCCCGAGAACTACAAGCGACTCACGCTACGAGCTGTGGAGCCCGACGAGTCGACCATCTCAGAAGCGGACTCTCTTGAAGCCTTTGTCCATAGCCGTGCTAAGCACCGCAACTCGTCCAACCCTCTCTTCTCCGCTCAAATCAACCGCCGCACTTCGTCCGGTCTCCGAGCCCTTGAACGAGCTCGCAGTATCCGCAGCCGCGCCGACACAGTCTCAGTATCAACATTCAGTGATGAATACCGCCAATCCATTCAAGAGCGTCCGATGTCTGGAGCGATGTCAGTTTCTGAATATGGCGATGACAACCGCATGTCCCACTACCAAGGCTTGCAGGCACCCGGCCTGTTCCCTCTTGCCGAGAACAGCGCGGGTCAGAGCCAGCTGAGTCTCGCGCAGGATTACCGTGGCGTCATCTCCCCATTGCCTCGCTTCTGGAGTGAGAACAGCCTGAGCAGTGCCCGACAGTTGGACAGCCAGCACCGGTCGCACAAAGTGAATGATGAGAATGCCATGCCTCAGAGTTCCTCTATGGTCTCTGATCTGGATGAGCATCTGCGCAAGGTCAGCCCTCACAAGACTGACCCTCAGTGGCGTATGTCTCCATTAGAGCCTCCACCCCCAGTGAAGAGCGGCAGCAAGCGTGGTCTTCCTGTCGCCAGTAGTGGTGAGCTCGCTTTTGTTTGATTCTTTCTTTTGCTTCCTGTCATTCTGTCGGCGTTCTCGGGCATTGCGCACATGATATCCATTGGCTTTTTCTATATGATCGGTATACTTGTACACTAGCTCTAATAGCAACTGCACTCCACATTGAATGTTATATAAGTGAATTGGTAACGTGGTAAAGTGGTCCAGTGGCTGCCAGGCAAGGAAGCACTGCATAGGCAGCAAACCTCGGTGCAGCATCAAATGACCAATTGCGAATTCCCCTCCTCACGTGACAGCATCACCAAAGCGGTAAACACGAAATCTCTGCCTGAAAACCCCTCGAAAGCAGAATCCTAATACCTTGAGAAAAGAGAGCTTGATATTGTTCCAGTCTCTGTTCAGATAGATTTCCCCTATCTGCCGTCATCCATTGTTCCCCACTTATCGGATCCGCGAAAGCCCTGCGCCCTCATCTGACTCTTCCCCTTCCCTTCAACCACCTCGCCTTTCCTTTCAATCCCACAACCCCCGAATTAATACTTGTCAATATGGGTCAAACCCTGTCGGAGCCGGTGGTCGAAAAGGTGAGCCCTATTTGAGATGTTTATCGAAGTTGTGGTGCTTTTTATCCCCCCTCCCTCGGTCACTCCACCACACAACCCCGACCAAACCCTGTTTTGGACCAGGAAGCTCAAAACTGAGATATTTCGATTCTACCTTTCGAATACACTAGCTATCCGATCGTACTCGGGGAGTTGTCAATTTCCTCGGGTTCGCTACATGCGGGGTCTCAAACTGTTGGGCTGGAGGGGCGGTAGTGGGGTTTGGCAGCACACGAGAACTGGTATAGCAATATACCAAGTTACTCTTCCGATGCTCTACAATGTGCCCCCATGTGTTCCAAACAAAGACTGACATGATGATTTCACTCTAGACCTCCTCCGAGGGCGGGGATGACTGCTGCATCTACGGTGTGTCTGCCATGCAGGGCTGGCGAATCAGCATGGAGGACGCCCACGCTGCAGTGCTGGACCTCCAGGCCAAGTATACGGGCACTAGCGACGACAAACCGACGGATCCGGAACACCGCCTTGCGTTCTTCGGTGTTTACGATGGCCACGGAGGTGACAAGGTCGCATTATTCACGGGCGAGAACCTGCACAAGATCGTTTCTCGCCAAGAGGCGTTCGCCAAGGGTGATATTGAGCAGGCCATGAAGGATGGATTCCTTGCTACCGATAGAGCTATTTTGGAAGGTTTGTGGATTATCGGCTTTTGTGGGGTATCCGATGGCTGACTCGTGCAGATCCCCGATACGAAGAGGAAGTGTCCGGCTGTACTGCTTCCACAAGCATTATCTCAAAGGACAAGATCTGGGTGGTATGTAACGGGTGGTGATTGAATTTGATGGATTAAAACTAACCGGTAATAGGCAAACGCTGGTGACTCGCGTTCAGTGCTAGGAGTCAAGGGCCGCGCAAAGCCGCTCTCGTTTGACCACAAGCCCCAGAATGAGGGCGAGAAGGCCCGTATCAGCGCTGCTGGTGGCTTTGTCGACTTCGGTCGTGTCAACGGCAACCTTGCCTTGTCCCGTGCTATCGGTGACTTTGAATTCAAGAAGAGCCCCGAGCTTTCCCCCGAACAGCAGATCGTCACCGCATACCCCGATGTCACTGTTCACGAGCTGACAAATGATGACGAGTTCCTTGTGATTGCTTGTGACGGTATGTTTCTACCACTCATTCGCGGACGATTTTACTAACAATCATAGGTATCTGGGATTGCCAGTCCTCTCAGGCCGTTGTAGAGTTTGTTCGCCGAGGCATTGCTGCCAAGCAGCCTCTTCCCCGGATCTGTGAGAACATGATGGACAACTGCCTGGCCTCCAACAGTGAAACCGGTGGTGTTGGATGTGATAATATGACCATGACCATCATTGGTCTGCTCCACGGCAAGACCAAGGAGGAGTGGTATAACCAGATTGCAGAGCGGGTCGCGAACGGGGACGGTCCTTGTGCTCCGCCCGAGTACGGCAAGTCTCCCGAGGAACCCGAAGCCAATATCACTTCGTGCTGACGGCCAGTTCTGCAGCTGAGTTCCGCGGCCCTGGGATCCGGAACCAGTTCGAGGATACCCCGGATGAATATGACTTGGAGATGGAGCGGTCCCGTGGCTTCAGTGTGCGCTCCGGCCGCATCATCCTCCTGGGTGATGGCACCGAGGTGATTCCAGACCAGAATGAAGAGCTTTTTGACCAGACGGAAGAAGACGAGGACCTTAGCAACCAGGTGCCGCACGACCCAAGCACTCGGAACGACCGCGAGGCAACCCCGGGCCCTCAGGGGAAACAGGAGGGGACTACGACTCAAATATCCGAATCCCCGGCCTCCACTGACGCCGAGAAGGACAAGCCTACATCTTCCTGAGTGGTATTGGTTCTGATGTTGCTGTTTTCTTTTTCGTCCTGTCCGAGTTCTTCTTTTGTTCCTCTCATTGTTTTTCTTTTGCCTTTTGGTTTCTGTTTGCCAACGACCCCCTGATTCTACGATCATTTCACGATCTATGCCCTATGTTCTCTTTCTGTTTGCGCTTAGTTATGCCCGGGCTCTGGTTCCGAGCCTGATTCTCCCTTCCTCAACTCCCGAATTGTCAAAGTGAGGAATATGGAGGTCACCATGTGCCATGTGGAATGAATGCGATGTGAGAAGGGGTGAGAGGGGGATTGATCCTATGAACACGTTTGTTTTCTTTATGCCATCACCACACGAGATACCGCAGAAAATGCCCGCTATTGACGAGCCTTTACTTTCACCCATTTTCATTTCATCCCAACTATATCTCGGAGTCAGAGGCTTGGTAGATTGAGCGTTTTCAATTCCAGTCCAAGAAGTCCGGTTCCATTTTAGTGTCGCAGACAACCCACGAGATCAAGACCAGATTTCCGATGTATGACGTATTTGATCTACCCCTGAAGCGTAGCAGTTGAGCTAGGTCCGCCACCGCCCTACCCCATATCTAGGCTAGGGACCAAGATTGGCCGTATATGGGCCGTATGTTGCCCGTAAATTGTCCGTATAGGGGCTCCCGTATACCGTATCAGCCCGGATCTCGCCCCAGATCAGACTAGTTTCGTCTACAAAAGGCATGACCACACGTGGTCATCTTGGCACACCGCCAAGACCTCCAACAGCGTCACGTAATAAATCAGGGTGACAGCGGAATTGCAGCCCCCACTCAGCTTCCCCAAACAGAAAATTAACCCCCTAATTCCCTGCTCGTCATTCAGGGTCTCATCTCCTGCTCTCTCTCTTCCCCTCCCATTCCACACCTCCCCCCCCCCCCAAAAATGTCCTCAACATCTCCAGTCGGTAAGCGCAAGCGCAGCGCCTCGCATCTTCCAACCCCAGGTCCCAAACCAACAGACCTCCAACCCTCTTCACGCGACGCGTCCGGCGAAGAAGGCGAAGACTCAACCGCCTCCAATGCCCCCAATGTCATCAACACACCCAAATCCAAGAAGAGCGTGAACGAGACGGTCCCGCCGTCCAAACGCGCCCGCAAGGCTTCGGGCGATGTGTCCCACTCCGACGCTAACGGCGCTCTCGGAAAGGAAGACCCCGGCGAGCCATCAGAGACAACGGTTGCCAGTAGCGATATCGAAGGTGGTGCCCGCTCGACGCGGCCCGGCTTACATATTGATCTACCTGAGGAGGAGAAGATCGAGGCTCAAATGGCACCGCCTGTGTTCGGACTGCAGGATCCTGTGGGTTATCACACTAACCCGCCGCCGACGGGCCGGGCGGTGCGGGTTTATGCGGATGGTGTTTTTGATTTGTTCCATCTCGGGTAAGTTGTCACTCTAACGGCCTGGACCATTGAGGATGGGAGGGCCGGTTATCTTGGATATGACGTGGATGTGTGCTGACGAATTGATAGTCATATGAGACAGCTGGAGCAGGCGAAGAAGGCTTTCCCTGATACGTATCTGATTGTCGGTGTTACTGGTGATGAGGAGACACATCTGCGGAAGGGATTGACGGTTCTCAGTGGCGCCGAGCGCTCGGAGACTATTCGTCACTGTAAGTGGGTGGATGAGGTTATCCCCTGCTGTCCTTGGGTCGTGACTCCGGAATTCTTGTCGGAGCACCAAATTGACTACGTTGCCCACGATGATCTGCCATATGGCGCTGCTGAGGGTGATGACATTTATGCTCCTATCAAGGAGCAGGGCAAGTTCCTGGTGACGCAGCGGACAGAGGGTGTCAGTACCACCGGTATCATCACAAGGTAATTTTTTTGATTGATCTCTCGATCCATTGCCAATGCTAACATAATAACAGGGTTGTCCGTGACTACGACCAGTACATTTCCCGGCAATTCAAGCGCGGAGCCTCGCGCCAAGAGTTGAACGTCTCCTGGCTCAAGAAGAACGAGCTCGAAATCAAGCGCCACGTCGTCGAGCTCCGCGACAACATCCGCAACAACTGGACTATGACCGGTCAAGAACTCGGCCGCGAACTGCGCCAGATCTGGCAGAACAGCCGACCTGGCAGCCCAGCGCCCAGCGCCCGCAACAGCATGGACTGGACCGGTGGCCGTGGGCCCCTCGCCAGCCCTACCGGCGGCAGCAAGTCACACCTATCGCGGGTCGGTGAAGTGCCCATCCGGCCGGATAGCCCCATGGGCTCTCGTCGCAACGAGGACTTTGCTACCGGTTACAGCCTGGGCTTGATTGGCGGCGTTCGCGCTTGGATGGCCCGCAGCCGGCAATCCCTGCACGAGCCTCCCAGTGGGTTGAACTCCCCCACAGACGAGGAGCCCGAGTCCGAGCATGCCAATGGCTACGAGGAGGAGGTGCGTGGTCGCACTGGTCACGTCTCTGCTCAGTAGACTCCATTTGACTTCCTCTCGCCTTTTGCATCCGATATCCACTTGATATCTTGCCCCTTTTGCATTCGGTTCGTGTCTTATACTTTACAAATTGTGCCGTAACTGGCGGTTTTTCCTATGTGTGGCGCATGGCGTCTCTTGCTGTTGGCTGTCATCGCCACTGCTCTGTGCAACATTCAATTTCACTTCTCAATTCCGTTCTGTTTTGATTTGATTTACTTGTGTCTACTTGATCTGATCTGCCGGAGGATTCTTCTGGTATTTTCGGCCACTTTCTCCCTAATACTCTTCCAATGAAATGTTCCGCTTCTTTTTTTTGTTTTTCGGTCTTGCGGTTTGTTCTATGTTCTATGCTCTACGTTCATGTTCATACGGATAAAAAAAGCTGGAGGCACACGTCTATGGGTGATTGGACATAGATTAAGATTAGTCCATTATCTCTAAGTTATCTCGTTGAGTTCAATTGAATCAACATCTGCTCAATACTCTCACTGCTCTAACCGCCATGACTGTACAAAAAAACAAAAAAACAAGGGTATATCAAAACCAACTAAGCAGCAGTAATAGCCAACCGAACCCTCCTCCCCATCAATCCGACACAACGCCCCTTCCCTTCCCCGTCTCTATTCCTCTCCCCCTTCCTCTCCCTCGGCAAACACAAAACCCGCCTCAAATCACCCCTCAAAACCCCAACATCCCGAACCAACCTCTCCTCAACCACAGCCCGCGCCGAAGCATCACACCTCGCCGAAACGGCCAGATCAAACCTCTGCAACCCACGCACCTCCAACAAAGGCCCAACCCACGCCTCCCGAATCCCAAACGGAATCTTCTTATTCCCGTTCCCAATACCATGCCCAATACCACCCTCACCCGCACCTGCACCCCCCAACTCCCAAACCGAAACAACCCCCAAATCCAACCCCAGCCCCAACGCCCGCAACCCACCCAAATCCCTCACAACGGCCCAGAACCGCTCCCAGAGCTCATCACTGTGCGTATGAGCATAGATGCTGCCGCGATGGTCTAGGCCGGCCATCGGGGTCCAGATGGGCATCCATTGGACGTTCAGTCTTGAGATGGAGGCTCGGGCTGGGGGGGGAGAGGGAGGTGGCAAAGGCGATGAAGGTGAAGAGGTCGTCGACGTCGAAGAGGGTGTGTTTGTAGAGGATTGGTTCGGCTTCTTGGTAGATTTTGCGGCAGGTGCGGAGGAGGGCGGGGGTTAGGGTTGTTAGGGTGTTTGGGAGGGAGGGGTGGGTGTGTGGGTAGAGGAGGCGGGTTGTTTGGGGGGTGGGGGTTTGGTTTGGATTTGAGGGTTGGGGTTGGGGCTGGGATGAGGGATTGGGATTGGCAATGGGAATAGGTAGGGAGGGTGTGTGGCGCCAGTGGGCTGGTGTTGTTGGGCAACAGGTGCGTGTTTGGAGGGGTTTGGTTTTTGGAGATGATGCTGTAGATGTAGATGTAGATGCAGATGCAGATGCAGATATACTCTCACTCGACTGCCAACATCTCACATGCCGGATCTTCCCTTTGATTTGGACTAGATGTACAGTCTGTGGGTTTCTCTCTGGGGTGTCTGTGTCTGTGAGGACGTAAGACCAGATGAGAAGTCTGATTTCGGCTGGGAGACGGAGCAGTGGCGAGGATTCTTGGTTGGTTTGTTTGGTGCAGGGGTCGATGGGAGTAGTTCTTTTGAGGTCTATATCTTCAGAGCTTGGACTGCAGATTGCTCGGGTGTGGATGAGGTCGCGGACTGTGTCGCGCCATCTGTGGCCTGTTGGGTAATAGTGCCAGATTGAGTAGGGGTCGCGGAGGACCCAGGTGTCGAAGTGGCGCATTTAAAGAACTGTGAATGTATGGCTGGATGGTTGAAGGACTGGAGGGAGGGTTGGAAGGCGAGTATAGAAAGGAACTGTAGATGAGTTCAGTCATAACCACAACTTCCAAGACTTATAAAGAGTATAAGTGCAAATGAAGTTCGGAAGTGAACTGTCGGAGTGTAACCCTATGACGGAGATGCCATCTGCAAGCCTCAAACTCAATGCGTCTCCTCGGTGGCGTCCTTGAACCCCTCAACATCCCGAGATCCACGTCCACTTCCGTCACTTTGCGCTGGAATCGACGGACTCTTTCCACCCTCGACAGCCACGTAAACGGCACAAATTAGAATCAATCCCGATCCAATCCAACTAACCCCAGACATCGTCACGCCCCACACAACTTTATCGTAAAACAGCGCAAACAGCATCTGCATATAAACCATCGAAGTAGCCTTGGACCCCTGCCCAACAACCTTCCCGCCGGAAACCGAGGCAGGAGGCACATACGACAAACCCGCCGTCAACAAAAACTGCAACAAAAACCCACAAACCCCCAACCCCGTCAACAACGACCACTCGACCACCGAGCCGGGCAATCGGAACGGCACACCAGGCACAAAAGCCATGGCCAAAAACGAAATGACCGTCGTAACAGACGAGAAATAAGTCACCGAAACAAGCGGATGCGCCCGTTTCCCAATCATCCGAATCGAAGTATACGCACCAGCGGCACCCACAACGCCCACAAAGGCAACAACCGTCGCCAGAACATGGTGATAAGCATCCGCGTCGCCAGGCGTCTCCTCCGACCCACCATTCAGCCCCATAGCCCAAACCGACACAGCAGTCGGCACCGAATCAACCTTGACGCGCTTCCCAAACGGCCTGGCGATCAGCACCACGCCAGCAAGCGACACCAGCGCCGCAGCCTGCTGGCGCCGCGAGAACGTCTCACCGGGGATGAGCAGCGAACAGGCATAGCAGGTCATGATGGGCGCGAGGAAGGTGATCACCGTCGCTTCGGACAGCGGCAGGTACTGCACGGAATAGTATAGTCCGTAGACACCCATGAAGCCGCTGCTCGCTCGGAGGAGGAGCAGTGGTCGCACGGGCTTGGTGCCTAGCGGGTGCGGGACTGAGGCGTAGTACATGTAGATGTAGCTTGCCAGGGCAGTGATGGACATTCTGGCGAAGAGGACCTGGTGGGTGTGTTAGGGTTTTATTTAATTTAATTCACGTTACAGTATCTGGGTATAGGGTATAGTGTATAGGGTGTAGAGCATGGCAGGGAAGAAATTACCTGGAATGGATGCATGGCACTATGGATCTCGAGGATCTGCGTCATGACATTCATGGAAGCGCCGAACATCTGGGCTAGTAAGACGAGAGCCATGCCTTTGTTCTTTAGCCAGAGGACCTGCCACGCATGGCGGGGTCGGTCCGCGGGTGAATAGACATGTTCGTCATCTTCATCTTCATCTTCGTCGATGGGACGAGGTTCGGACTGGGCGAGGGCTTGGTTTTGGGTTTCAAGGTCGCTTTGGCTTGTACTGCTGTGGCAGGTGTATGCATCATGTTCTTGGTCATTAGATTCGTGGTCATTTTCTGGAAGATCGGAGTATTTCGCATTCGATTTGGAACTCTGGGGTAGTGGTGCATCGGGATGCTCTTCTTCATCCTTGTATGGTTCGTGGATGTGGACAGGATCTCCCTTTCTCATCCTGGCTTCGGTATTGGAGCCCGTTGGTTCCTGGGCAGGCTGTGGGGTCGAGGTTGGAGACATTTTAGTCCGGAGCTGGAACTGGACTCGGGGCCTGGAACTCGGAGCTGGGACTGTATTATGCTTAATATATTTGAGAGAGGTGAAAGAGAGGGAGATCTCTGCTTCTGGAGAGAGAATATATTCAGTCCAGAGAGTCTGGAGGTTGGGGTAATGCGAAAGAGATTTTCGCGCATGACAGGAAGTGGAGCCGTGTTAGTCCGCTTGACTTGAAGGCTTCGTGAGAAAGTGATAGTTGAGGGTTATGGGAGTAGAGTCTGTACTGTTCTATTGTTCCTTTGATTTCTTCTATTGAACTTGGATATCTCTAGAATAGTATGTATTGAACTTATGTAGTTCGCAGACAGAATGATCTACATACTCGGCTTACATGTATGTGGAGGCAACCTTGAAATAGAGGGATATAATTGCACTGTGAAGCTGCTAAGCTGCTGGACTACTGAACTGTACAGATTAAACAAAAGTAAACGTATCACCACCCTTCTCGCGCAACATATTTCCAGCACGCGAAGTACCAACAACCCGCTCAACCTTCAGCGCATCCCACTTGGAAAACAGGGCACGCACACACCCCCTCAGCTGCCCCAACCAACTCAGCTGGATCAAGACCCAAGAACCCAACGATCTCACTATAGAACAGGGCGTTGTCCGGTAATCCGTACATAACAACCCTCTTCACGCCGCGAACCTGATAGCGCCGGAAATGATGCGCGCGCTCGGTGTACAGCAGCACAGAGTGTCTGCCGGACAAGAAATGACTGCGAGCTCGGTTGGCCTCTTTGGACTCGGTGTACTCGGAGATAGCGCCAAAGGCGATATGCGTGGTCTGGGCGGAGGTGGCGAAGTGGTTGCGCACACGCACGAAATCCAGATACGACGGGATGAAGATGAGGGTTCCGGTGCCGCCGTTGCCGCGTCCGTGAGTAATGTTCTTGACGATGCTGGACAGGATGGTGGTGGTAAAGTGCTTGAAGCGGGCGTCGGGGTCTTTTTGCGGGGAGATGCTGTCGATGCGGGTGAAGGTTTGTTTGACGGAGACGGGGAGGGGGAGCTCGGTGATGGCGCCGGCGTAGGTCGTGGTTGCTTTGATGCGGCCTGTGGCGTTGTGCATGTGGTGGGAGAAGAGGGAGTTGATTTCGGGGGTGATGAAGCCGGACAGGACGATGGTTTGGCGGATGTGTTTGGCGTGGTTGTCTAGGTACCAGTTACGGACGCGGCCGAAGTCGCAGCCGTGCGCTTCTTTTGGTTGCAGGTTAAGGTGCTGGAAGATGTAGTCAATGTGGTCCCAGTTCTGCATGAGAAGGGCATCGGCGTGGTCGACGATTACGACTTCGATGGAGGAGAGGAAGTCGTGGTCGCGCTTTTTGGCGTCGGCTTGGTCCATGATTGTGCGGAGTCCGAGGGGACTGGCGAGGATGATGTCGGAGCTGTAGAATTGCGCAAAGTACTTGACAGTCTTGCGGGTGAACTTGAGACCCAGACGGAACATGTCGTCGTCGTTGCCGCCGAATAATTCACGGAAATCTTCGGTCTTGTGCTCCCACGCGGCATCCTCGGGCCCGGAGAAGCTGTCCGTGAAGCGCTTCTTGTTTTCTTGTTGTTCGGGCTGGTAGAATCGGGTGATGGCGTCGAGGACCTTCACACAGGCCTGTCGGGTTGGTAGAATGTACAGCACCTTGGGACGGGTGAAACCCTGGTCACGGCATTCGATGTCGGTATCCGGATCCTTGGAAAGACGGGCGTTGTTCTTCAAGACGGTGTCGCGAGTCTTGAGAAGGTGGTTGACAGCATGCAGAGCGAGGATATCACGCATCTCACCCGAGTTCGAGGCATTTCGGCCTCCGTAGAGAACATCCTGGTAGTCGAAGATATAGGGTGCAAGGGTCTGGGCCTGGCCATTGATTTTGGGCAGGAGTTCGGCCGCACGAGACTTCAGTTTATTTTTGAGCTGGAGAAGTCAGTAGCTGCCAATAGATAGAAGTGAGCTACGCACCTTGATGTTGATCGTGCTCTTCATCGCCGGCAGCAATGCCGCACCGGCTCCTGCGTCCGGGGTAGTCTGGACCAGTCGCAAGCCATCTACCTCTTTTTTCGCCGAGACCCATTTGTTGGAGGTGATTTTCTCGACTCTCTTGTTCAGATCGGCGCTATCGACAATACTGAAATGCTTCTCAAAGGCACCAGTAGGGTCATCGTCCTCATCGGCCTCCTCTTCTTCGTCGTCCGATGGGGCCTGAGCTTGGAGGTCGTCATCCCCCTGCTCTAATTCCGGCTCTGCCATTTTAATCTCCTCATTAGAGTCGGTGCCAGTCTTGCGCTTCTTCCGCGCTGGCCCTTGCGAGTCGTTCTCGGTGTGGAGCAGCTGAAGTAGCTCGTTGTACGGGCGATCGGTGCTTTCCTCTTCGTCCTCACTACCGGATGAACCCTCGTCCTGATCCATATCATCGACCTCCTCTTGCGATTGTTCACTGACATTATCATCTTCTCCAGAAGAATCATCGGACCTGTAGTCTGTCAGTAGCTATTCACTCTGCCCAATGTCAAGGCGACTCACTCAGACTCATTCAATCGAGACGTAGCGAACGAACGACCTCCGCGACCACGACCACGGCCTCCACGGCCACCACGGCCACGACCACCTCGGCCTCGTCCTGTACCTCGACCTCGAAAAGAACCGCGTGCAGGCATTGTTGTAAGCTCTAGGATTCGCAGCGGACGATGTTCTCGTAGAGAATTTCTTATCTCTTATCTTAGCGCGAAAATTCCCACACACAAAGAATCGGAACATCTCGACTCCACTCAAGGAAAAATTGAACCTCCGGAAGGCTTGCTGAGTTTGGCGTTCGGAATTCCTCAGGGCTCATCATCATATCAATCATGGATTCTTTCTTGCACCTTGCTCGCCCTCTGGGTCCCGTCAGCGTGGGGACTGCTCCCACTACTGCCCCTCTCAACGTGGTCATCCAGCCCCAGGTAAGGATCTAATCGTACGCTGAGGGGTACAAAGCTCATTCTCTCCAGGCCATCTTCTCCATCCTCGACCACTCGTTGCGCCGGAATGCGGACCAGGAACGCGTCATCGGTACACTGCTGGGAACACGCTCGGAGGATGGAAGTGAAGTCGAGGTTCGATCTGCCTTCGCTGTGGGCCACTCCGAGGCCGAGGACCAGGTTGAGGTCGATATGGAATACCACAAGCAGATGCTCGCCCTGCACCTGAAGGCCAACCCGCGCGAAGTCCTTGTTGGCTGGTACGCCACTGCTTCCGAGCTCAACACTTTCTCCGCCTTGATCCAGAACTTCTACAGCGGCCAGGGTGACGGTACCTGGCCTCACCCCGCCGTCCACCTGACTGTCTCGACTCAGCCCGGCAAGGACCTCGAAACTCGTGCTTACATTTCCGCCCCCGTCGGTGTCACCGCTGAGCGCGCTGCCGACAGTGCTGCCTTCATTCCCGTTCCCTACGAGCTCCGCTACGGCGAGGCTGACAAGAGTGGTCTCGAGTCGATTGCCAACGCCCAGGACGCCGAGGAGCGTTCTGCCACCATCACCTCCGATATTGAGTCTCTTGAGCGCGCCGTTGAGGAGGTTCTCTCTATGATTGACCGTGTCTCGCGGTACGTCGAGTCCGTGATTGACGAGGAGACCCCCGCTTCGACAGCGATGGGTCAGTTCCTGCTCAACGCTCTCGCTCTCGCTCCCAAGGTCGAGCCCGCCGACATTGAGCGTGACTTGTATGTGTTCCCCCTCTCTTCAAATGACTGATAGCTAATTACCCCCGCAGCAACAACCACATCCAGGACGTCTTGGTGGTCTCCTACCTCGCCAACACCGTTCGCACACAGATGGAGCTTTCCACCCGTCTAGCAACCGCCCAGCTGACCCTCGGTAGTGGCGAGGGAGCTGCTACTGGTGAAGGCAAGGGCAACCAGCGCAAGGGCAACCAAAACCGCCGCCAGGACCGCGAGGAAACCCGCGCATAAGGAATTAAGCGAAATTGATGCATAATGTGACCTGCGGGAGGAAACCGTACCATCCAATCCAAGTGAACGTTCTTAATTCTACGTTCTCTCTCTCTCTCTCTCTCTCTCCCATCCTCCTCCCTTTTCTACCTCTTTTTTGGGTCTTGTTTCTCTGTTACTATCCCACTTCTCTTCCTCTTGTTCTCTTTTTTCCGCTCCGCTTTTCCTTTTTTCCCCTCCTCGCGAGCGTCAGGGCACAGGACTACGACCCAGTCCTGTTTCCCCTGTCTGGCTTTCAGATTGGAGTTGCCGGTCTAGATGATCAGGCATCCTCGGTCTTAAACACCAGTGGTGGGATGGATCCTCGCTTTGAACTGAGGTCTATCTACTCGAATCACCAATGTATTGGTATATGTGTTGGTGACTGGTGTGCGCGTTTGGAGAGTGCTGATCTCCTCGGGTTTAACCCGGTTTTTATGAAGTCGCATCTACCTGGGCGCGGCGTTTTCAGATATGATGAAATGGACATAAAAGTTCTAGAGATTGCCTCTCGGTCTGTTGTGCTTTTATTAAATGCTATGTAGTATATTGTAGAAGTCCTCGGCAGGCGATAGCTGGTTCCTAATATACGTCCACGGGTGCGTGTTCAACTTCATGCATGTTTGTCCAGGCAGTTAGCACTGATAAAACCATTCAACGGAATGGAACGTTTCACTGCGCATAGGTTGCATTTCCCTTATGCTCTTATAGGCCAATCGTGACCCTCGGCTTTCCTCTTACAGCCCTATAATCCGCCCATGGATAGATAGAATTGTGCCTATGTCTCTAAGTTGGCGGTATCTCCATCATCCTTGTCAAGAATCCAGATCTGTTTGCCCTATATTTTGTTCGATATGCTGTCTGGAAGACATACAAAGTCATGCTCGCCGTGTTTGCTACAAGCTTCTGGTATTCTGAATTTGACATGGACATCACTTTGGCACACAGAATGATATAATGGAAACATTCCCAGATGCATGACCAAGAGCGATAATGTTTTCATACGTCGCCATACAGGTAGGCCGGCATGCAGGAGGAAGCCACAATGCTTCTTTCCCATTGAGTTTGATCCACTGATCATCTGACATCGAAATTTCGATACTGTCCGCTGGTGAATGAAGGAGACTGTCACGACTGGACTGGGGATTGGAAACGATTTGAAAGAGTCCGATATTAGTGATTAGATGTCGGCCATCAGGCGAAAAGGAAACTGACCCAATCAGATCAGGGTGCTCCAGGGTCAGATGGATGGCACCCGTGATAGTATCCCAAACACGCACTATCTGATCTATGGAGCTGGACGCTAGTAGTCGACCATCAGGCGAGAAGGTTACTGAGTCAATCTCGTCTGAATGACCCGAGGCCCAGGCCTGGTCCTTGAGAAACTGCTGAAATGTGCCCGTTTGCGCACCCAGAGACGCACTTCCCGGTCAAAAGAACAGGACGCCAGTGCTCGGCTATCAGGCGAGAACGCCACCGAGTTCACGTAGTCAAAATGACCCTCGAGAGTCTGCCGCAAAACACCTGTAGTTGTATTCCAGAGCCGTATAGTCATATCCATAGAACCAGATGCGATTAGTTGGCGGGAATGCTTAAAGCCGATTTGAATGAATGCAGTATATGACTGACCAGGCCAGCTCCTAAGCCAGCTCCTAGGTCAGTTCCTATTAGGAAGAAATGAAACAGCGTGTTTATGGAAACCGGAGTAGCAAAGATACTGATAGTACCGACTGTTTGCTGAAACTGTTTCCAGCCCCCGCAATATGCGCATCTTCTTGTAGCCAGGAGAGTGTAGAGCTTGGAAAATATGTGAAGTGATATAGATCTTGATTCCACGGTACCGAATCTCAGTTGTGCCTAATCTCGACGCCAGGAAACATACGCCAGTCCTAGTAACGTTAATATCCAACAGTCATGTATCATCATATACCTATTTTAATATCCCAAATAGTGAAGCTGATATTCTACAAGCTCGTGACTTTTTTTCAAATGAGGTTTTCTATGAGTCAGAAATGAGGACAGATTAATTATTAGAGCCCGATGTATTTTACTCGCGTAGATATAAAGGACTTCGGGGTGATATCAGGATGCGGAGGTTACTAAATGTATTGAAGTAACGTTCATGCCATCCTTGGTCTTAAATTCATGTAAATATCATATTTATTAGCTATGCAGCCCTACTTAAGGCTTCCAATCTGATATCCTTGGTTTCATGTACGTATATCAAGGAACATATATCAAGCTTTAAGTTTCCAGCGTCGAGGAGCCAATCTTTCCTTCCGGATGTCTCTTCCCATTTGACCAAAATATCACATTCACCAAAGCCACGCACACATATGACAGCCGAGAAGATTCACACGGTTACATGCGAGCGAACATGTCGCTTATTCGACTTATGCAAGCCGTGTTCAATAGCAGTCCACTCCCTGGATATCTCTGCCCTTTCCTGAGGCGTGGACTCCCGTACCTCTTCAAGTCCCTGTGCAATTCGCCCCATGACAATCATGCATTTCTGATGTCTACCCAGTGAGTCGTTGATCTCCCTGAGCACCCCACTCAAAGGATACCCGGCTAGACCCCAGAGCCCTGAGCAAGATTGAGATTAGCTTGCGAGCCCTAAAACCCCTAACGGAGAATATCCATTCCACGTACCTGCTGTCGGCTTGAGAAAAACTCCTCCCACTGCTTTCCCGATACCCTTAAAGAACCCCTTGGTACCTTCACGCTTAAGACCACGATGCGGATGTGTTCCTATGCCTGTGATACCGAAGTAGAATCCGTCTCGGAGCTCCTGTGTATATGTCAATATCAGAATATCTAGCTGCAGACTAGCGCAGCGCTGGCATTGCATGATTGTTCCTACCTTTCCTGCCGCCTTGAACCCGCTTCGAAGACTGACCACTTGAGGGACGTCGGTGACGGTCGAGTCATGATACAGTTTAGGTGCGTTATGGAAGCCTCTCGCCATGCTCACTGACAAATCAGTCGGCAGCCATAAAATGACCTTCACGAGCTTCTTCGACGTGACACTTCCGTGCACAGCAACTTCATGCAAGATGGTGTATTTAGGTGGTTTCGAGGGTGTCATCGAGCTGCTCATCGTCTTGGCTTTTTCAAGCTGGAGGTTCCTTTTGCGCTCCAGGCTCCGAGTTCGAGATATCTCGTTCATGGCATCCTCGTTGCCCTGGTTAGAGATATCATCCTGTGTACTATCTCCTTCTCTTGTTTCTCGATCCTCCAGTGCATTATTCTCGATCTGGTTCTGATTCTCTGTCCCAATCTGCAATTGCTGGCTCTCACTTTCAATTTGCGTCTCCTCGCTTTCGATACTGTTCTCTTGAGAATCCGGTTCCGGTTCCGGTTCCAGTTCTGGTTGCAGTGAAGCAATTGCTGACTGGCATGCAGCGCGACGATCGAAATGTTGATGCGGTTGGCGGATCGAGCGAGCAGCAGATATGACATCCTGTACAATCGCTCTTGGCGCATCTGCAAGCCCAGCCACGAAGCTGGTTATGGCTCCAAAGAGTACCTGAGCACTGGCAGTAATCGGGTCGGTAGGGTCCAATAATGTATCGTATTCCATTGGACGGTGACTAGAAGTGAATTAGTAAGAAACCCGCCCAAACTGTGTGATTTCATATCAAGGCAAGACCTACAGCACGAGCATGTCTGGGCTGAGCTTCCCTGATTTCACCAGAACCGTTGCTGCAAAGGCACTCAAGTTAATGTCCGAATGTTTGAGATGCCAAGCAGCCGGTTGAGTCGGGAGAATCGAGCATCTGAACGACTCAGGATCAAGATGTCGATAAAAGCTATCCACTCCATGGCGCACGCCAGACTCTTCCTGCATTTTCAGCGCAATCGCCTGTGCTCTTTCTTGAGTACTGCTCTCTAGCGCTTTATTTATTGCGTCTGAGAGTTTCTGCACGGTTAATTGTTTATGTGGGATTGGTGTTGGCCCAGCTCCTGCGCGCGCAACGATACTTCCCCAAAATTGCTGGTCTCCAAAGAAAGGGACGATAATGGTCGGTCGACCTAGCGCGAGGCCTGCTGCTGTGGTGCCAGCACCGCCATGGTGGATCACACAGGAAACCTGCCGGAATAGCCAATCGTGAGGACAATTTCCAATCATCAGGATGTTGTCCGGCACTTCGTCTGCGCCTAAATTCCCCCAGCCTTTGGAGACAAGAGCCCGCTGTCCGGACTTTTCGACGGCTTCGAATATAATCTTTGTCAGCTTGGCTGGGTTGTCGACTACGATCGAGCCAAATCCGATATAGATTGGTTTGGGTCCTGCTTTGAGGAATTCGGCTATCTCTTCTGGTGGAGTGTAGTTGCTGTCTGACAGGAGGAAGCCAAAGCCGCATATATCAATGTTATCAGCCCAATCTGGGGGCTTAGGTAGTAACGAAGGAGACCTATTTTGAAAGATTAGAATGGTGTGATTGACTGGTATATTTTTCTTACCATAGATACGAATGTGGCACATGTAGTCGATGTAGAATGCTCGGGGCAGTCATTGTATCCAAGGGTTGGAGTGATAAGGTGTTTTTGCGAAGCGTGTTTAGAAGATCGCCTAATCCTTCCCATACCATTATATTCACAATGTTATAGGACACAAAGTTTGCGACAGTTGGTTTGCAGCCCCGGTTGTGGACATTTGCCAATGGATGGGGAAAGGACTGGGTTGGTGACCAAGGCATCCTATAATTCATTGGTTGTTTAGTACGTGAACTAGACCAGACAGAAGTATACAAGACGGGGTCAACTCACGTAAAGATAATATGGAGAGGAATGCCTAGTCGTTGAGCGCAATGAATATGCGCTAGACTCGGAGGGTTGGCAATAATAGCATCCGCCACAAAGGGCCGTTCTCGATAATCCGCAGTTTTACTCCATGGATCGTTCTTGATCTGATGAAGACCAGTGCCATCTCCCTTTTCAAAGCAAGACCTCCAACATCCATTGAAAATTTCTCTCATTTCACGTCGACGCCTCTGAATATCTCCGCTGCGTATTGCCTTGAAGCCCGGTAAAAGGCCTGGATTTTTAACCATGAAAGCCATCAGCTCCGCGGGGTCTCCGCCAATATTGAAAAACTCCAGATCACTATCAAGAACGAACTGTCGAAAAGCCAAATGCGTCGCCAATCTGACTCGGTGACCCTGTGCTTTCAATTCTCTCCCCAGCGCAACAAATGGTTGAATATCGCCTCGAGAACCGATGACCTGAATGACGAGGTTCAAGTGCAGCGGAAAATGCTCATCCTTTAATGGCCGCTCTGCACTGGAAGACCGATCGGCCTCCCTGTCTGAATGCATATCCGGGTGCTGGATGTGATTTAACAGCCCTGCGAGGTGTGGTTTATGCTGATCGACATGGATGTCTAACCGGCCGTCACCTACGACAAAGACGTGGTCCACGTTAGGGCAAGGTTAGTGAATATGATCGGAGTATCATTCACCTAGAATACGAGCGCCAGTATTTAGTCCATCTTGGAGAATTCGCACATGGTCGTGTTTATCCGAGGATCGCTTGATATCTTCTCTCGGCAGACGATCTGAGCGAATGGACATCTTTCGCTCAAGGGACATCCTTCGCTCGGGAGGCCTTGCCGCGATCATTGTTGCTACAGCTGCCATTTTTGATAGAGTTATAGAGCGTAGACTGAGAAGAAAATATATGATTGACGAGGAAAGTTATGGTTAAGGGTGGTGTAACTCGCATGAAGTCCAACGGCGAGATTCTCTCGTATTCTCACACTATCGGACCCTCGCTTTCTCATAACTCCGAATACGATTTTTGATTACTTATCCATCTCTGGTAATCTCTAATAATTCGTGGTTTGGGTGTGGTGACGTCAATTGGCGCACTCGGCCCAGGGTAAGTGAAGCTGCGGCTCTATAAGGAAGATCGCGGGGACAGTCTAGATCAACAACTACATCATCTATGTCGTCCTGTGAAGCCAAAGATTGGTCATTCAATACTTTGATTTGAAGAAGCATCCTGAGGGCGCTTCTTGATTAGAGCTAAATGTTCTGCCGAGGGGCACATGTAAGCAGCTACGGCACTTTGGACATTTGCTGCAGTTACGAGCTGGTAATGGGTTTATTCTGATGTCAGATAGATAAAAAGGATATAACTAGGACCCCCAGCCACTCTCTTGTAAATCTATCTCTATATGGCTGGTGGATAGCCCTCGATAACATCGCGTTGGAATATGACCAAAACCGTACTAGTTATTGGAGGAACAGGTGCCCAAGGGGTCCCTGTCGTCAAGGGTATGCTGGATTTATAATCTCTGAGCAATCATCTACTGACATTATTGATAAGCTTTGGCCACTGGATCCAAATACAACATCCGGGTCCTAACACGAAGCGCATCTTCCCAAGACGCCGCAGCTCTAGCAAGCCTACCAGGCGTAACAATTTTCGAAGGAAACGCGTACGACGAAAACACCCTCCGCAAAGCATTCAAAGACATAACCCACGTATTTGCGAACACCAACGGCTTCGCCATCGGCGAAAAGGCAGAGATATACTGGGGCATCCGACTCTACGAGCTATCGCGAGAGTTCCAAGTCGAGCATTTCCTCTATGCAGGCCTGGAGTACAGCTCTAAGCTAGGTAACTTTAATTCCAAGTACAGATGCGGTCATCTGGATGGAAAGGGCAAGGTAGTCGATTTCATCTCCGCGCAGCCAACATCGCCGATGGCGTGGTCTGTCTTAACGTCTTGCATGTATATGGAGACATTAGTAGAATTTCTGCGCCCGTTCCCTGATCCGCAAGATCCAGGGACGATGGTTTTTACAGCGCCTCTTGGAGAGGGAAAATGTCCTCTTATCTACCTGGAGGACTATGGGGCTTATGCGAGATGGATGCTCGACAATCCCGCATCGAGTAATGGGATTGAGTTACATGTTGCAACTGAGGATATCAGCTGGAAGGATCTCGCATCGACTTTTTCAACAGTTACTGGCCAAAGGGCCGTTTATAGGGACGTGACTTTGGACGAATATTTCAAGCTTGGGATCCTTGATCCGAATAAGATTGTTGGCCATTCGACTGATCCCAATGATTCGACCTTGCTCACTTACCGAGAGAATTTTTCGGGGTTCTGGAACACGTGGAAAGATAATCTGACGAAGAGAGACTATCAACTGTTGGATACTATTCTGCCGACAAGAGTGAAATCTGTGAAAGAGTGGATGGAAAAGACACATTACACCGGGAAGGCCATGCCGGTACTGAAGGATTACCGCGACAGGGCTGCAAAGAAGTAGTTGAGGACCGGTTGCTTGGAATACTTCTCAGACTCAGCTTCAAAAGCGTCCAATAGTTGCCTTGCTAATGTGCTCGCTTCCTAGCAAGGATTATTGTCTGGGGGTGTACTTTATCGAGTGGTCAACAGACCGAAGGTTTTTCTCGGCGTCAGACCAGGGCTTTACTTTCTAAGAGCGTTGAGGTATTCAGCATATACTATACTCCGCTCTTGATGTAATTTGAATTCTCAATTTCCAGACCTGCGGCTTCTGAATGTCTTTAGCAAATTGTTTTGCGTCTCATTACACGCAAAAGACTTGTAAGAATTCTTGTGAGCGTACTGAATTTTTTTCTCTAGCTGTAAGTTCGAACGGCACTTGGCGTTAAAATAATAAAAGTGTCTGATGTCAATCACGTAAAACGAACGGTTGACATGGCGTCGAATGTAGCCGACTTTGGTGTTCAATATACCACCACTTGGCGTTACAATTTATTCCAGAAGCAGGGGTTTAATTAAAGTAAAGTACTTTTATATATCTATGATCCGTGTTGGAGATAGTACTTTGACCAGTACAGAACCATACAAGATACCTTCTAATGTATAAGTTGCGGATATAGGTATCCAAAATATATATCAATCCACTATCAGGATTCCAACAAAGCATACATCATCAATGCATAACAACACCCCCATCAACCTTCAGCGCCCCACCAGTCATAAACTGCGCATCAGAACTTCCCAAAAACGCAACCAATGCCGCAACATCAGCAACCTCAGCCCACCTCCCAAGAGGAACAGTAGCAAGCATACTCTCCATCTTCTCAGGCGACCAAGAAGCAAGAAACATAGGCGTATTAACTCCAGACGGGTGCACCGTATTCACACGAATATTAAATTGCCCCAGCTCAGCCGCCGCAGAGAGACACAGACCGCGTAGCGCGAACTTTGACATTGAGTACACCGATAACCCAGGGGTGGCACGGAGACCAGCAATCGAGGAAACGAGAATGATACTACCCCCGGACCCGGCTTCCTTCATTGCATTTCCGCAGTGCTTCACGCCCAAGAAAGCTTCAGATCATGGGGCATCAGTTACTCAGCCTCCAATAAAGACAAGATAGGATGGTAATACATACCAGACCGAGAGTTCACTCGCATAACCCTATCATAAACCTCAACATTCGTTTCCAATACACTCGTCGAAGAATACGAGACCCCAGCACAGAGCACAGCAATATCCAATCTTCCGAACTTCGACACAGTCTCGTTAACAGAGTTCAAGACATCCTCTTCGACCGTGACATCCGCTCGAACAGTAAGAATGGCCTCATCTGCCACCAACTCGTCAGTACACAAGGGGGATTTGGTCAAAGAATCAACAAGCTCCCGCTTGGATGTTGCCAGCTTATTCTCATCGATATCAACGAGCACGACCTTGGCCCCTTCATGTAAAAGCCGACATGCGGTTTCCAAGCCGATATTGCCGGCGGCGCCGGTGATCAGGGCGACAAGGTCTTTGAGGCGGGATGGGATTGGGGATTGGGGTTTATGGTCGGGCATGATGATGCAGTGGTAGTTGGGCTGGTAGGGTTTGGTATAGATGTAGATGGGATATGATGTGGAGAAGGGCAACGTTCACTACTACGGTAATTATAGAGTTGTTTGATGGAATGATCGGGCGAGAACCCCTCGCTTTTCAGGACTATCTGTCAAGATCTTGGTTCGCTAGAACGGGATATGTTTAGCCGGGTTGCCAGATGTGTATGTTTTGGCTTGTGGGATCATTGTTGCGGGATAATCATTTTACCACTATGACAGGGTCTACGGCGTGTGGGGTATGCGGAGGGAGAGAACTTAGGGCTGGTGTGGTTCAGGCATACCAGGATATATTTCTAACTTCATTTGTACGGGCAGTGGATTTTGAATTTCAATGACTCGTGTAAATATATTCTTATAGATATAGATAGAGCCATAGACATATATACTAAAAATGCAAACTTGGAAATGATAAGTAAAGTAGGAGGGCGATTGATGAGATTGCAAGGTCAAGCTGAAGATTTCGAGCTAGTACATCTACTAACATTTTTTGGCTTATATAACCAAAGATCGAGTCACCATACATCAAACAGTTTCCTGGTCTAGCGGTTATGATTTTCCGTTAACAATTGCTTCAAGCATCTGTTCCGGAAAGGTTCTGGGTTCGATTCCCAGGGAAACTATTTTTTTGTATACCGGGCAGAATATTAGTGGGGATAGTGCGGGCTTCACTCCATGTTGCTGCCTTTTTTTTTAGACCCAATGTAATTGAACATTCTTTCAGTGTCGGGCTGATTGGTATACGCGGGCAGGCTTATAGGCACAATTAGAGATGTAAAGATAAAGTAAACGGCACTTGGCCAACATTTCATTGCGAATTGGTATCTTGAATTCTCCGCATTAAGTAAATCCCATGTCCTTTTTTCATCCATATGTCCAGGCCATAATCCCATGCAAAGCAGCAAAGCCTAAAAAAGCCGCCAGCGCCGAAAACAATGATATTTGTGTCCGAGCCCGAACCACAGAAAGAACGACAAACGCCATCCATAAACCATGCCGAACAGTAAAAAAAGCAAGCTAAAAACCAGCGAAAGAAGACTAGTTCAGAGTCTTGCGTTTCTTCGAAACAGATTCCTCAGTAGCATCCGAGCCACGACGAGGACCGGCACCACGTTTGCCCTTTCCCTTAGCCTTCTTCAAAGCCCCAGCGGTAGCAGCAGCCTCAGCAGCCTCGGGGTCCTCTCCGGCGGCAGCAGCCGCAGCAGCCGCAGCGGCACCCTTTTTGCCGGCGTCCTTGGCGACCTGATCATCATTTTGATCGAAAGCCTTACGAGCTTCCTTCAGCTCACGCTCCATGCGCAGCAATTCCTGAACACGACCAAGCTTGTTGGGGTCGCGACGGAGAGCGAAGCGGAAGTCCTCGACCTTGATTTTTTGGCGACGGGCATGATGCGCGACTTGAGCGGCACCGTGGCACACCTCCAAGACGAAGTCGGTGACGATTTCATCGAGGACGCGAACTGTTTCTGGGAGAGGCTCGCTGGAGAAGGATGGGTGGGGGCTTGGATCTCCATATGCGAGGAGAAGGAGACGAACTAGATTTAGATTAGAATTGCGTTCAATTTTAGCTTGCGGGGGAACATACGCTCTGCGGGAAAGTTCATCTGACCCTTGTGGCGGGCGACTCGAGCACGGGGTTCAGCCATTCTGGACTTGGTGGGATTATTTGCGCCCTTGGATGGATATGATGCAGAAGAGAGGGATGGAGCAGCTTTGTCAACAGCTTCTTTGGAAGCGTTGGCGGCGGCTTTGGCGCGATCTTTTGCGGGAGGTTCTTCGGAAGTCGGACTCTTGGTAGCCCACTGGGGTTGATAGCCGTTGCGGATTACAATTCTGTCTTGCTCGCTGAATGGGTGCCAGAAAGTTTTTTTGGCTGGCACATGACCCGATGCAGGTTTGCCCAGCGAATTGCGAGTCGAGGGAGAGGCAGTCGGGGCAGATGTTGGAGCTGGGTCAGTAGCTTCATCATTTGGCAGCGCAAAGGTTACCCGCTTTCCGGGGCCCGTGCGCCGTTTGGCGGACATGGCTGGCAGAATCGGCCGCGACTTGGCCCTGATCTACCTTCCACTTGCTCTCTCCACGGCCCACGTTGCGGGCGAGGTTTCGAAGGCTATTCAAAATGGTGAGTTTCGCTTGTTTGATTGCTGTTAGCAAAGCTGGTGAATGATGTCTTGGGACGTATTTCACCACTGTTGCATACTGGCCTTAACGATCACAACGCTAACGTGACAATGAACGTACCTAGACGGCCCTTTTCAACTTTCAATCACTGCTACTGGTGATTCTGCTCATAATTTGCACGAGCAGCTATGCACACTCAATTATGCCTGGAATTATGGACCGGAACCGGAATGGGTAGGTGGTCACTTCGAGGCGCGGCAGGCAGCGACGGGGTAGCGACGAGGGTGCTGACGACTTGACAGAATATTTGGGATATTCTGGAAGTGTGCTCGTGTCGGAGAACGACTGAGCCCATACGTGAGCATATGTTGCGTTTTGATGGCTGTAAGTGAAATATATGAGCTCTTTGGAGTCTCCGAATTGCTACTAACTGACATTCTACTGAATAGGTTTCAATCTTCTTCGGTGGTTAAACTTGATTAGTTCGCTTTCCATAAGAAGAATACCTGAACACTCGAGCATTGCCTTCACGAGTCAACATCAAAGTGAGACGAACGGAGCCTACACTTTCCACACTTGCTACAACGGGCCTAGGTGCTCTGAGATACTCGGGTAAACACAATTCATGATGCAATGTATAGTACAAGATATCCAAATTTACAAAAAGTTAAAGAACACTTCAAACACCAACCGAAATGCTCCCATGGCTAAACCACCGAGGCCAGCAAATAAAAAGAACGAAAGGGTATCCGATATCACAGCTTAGGCTTCATTTTCTCCAGGCCACGATCAATCAGCAGATCACGCTCCTTCGTGTCCACGTAAACCTCAGAAGTAGGTTCCGGCATAGGATGCACAGGAGTAGGCGTCGATCCCCTCTGAGCGTGTTGATCATCCAACTCCTCCATGGAAACCCAAAGACGCTCAGGGTCCCGCAGATAGCGTAGACTCTTCATGGTGTAAGGATCAATGGCGAAACCCTGCTGCTCCATCATCTTGATAGCAGCAGCGGTCTCGGGGATATTCTGCGCATTGGCATACCCGTTGATAATGGTGTTCCAGGTAACATCATTGTACTGGACGTTATGCTTGGTCATCATTTGTCTGACCTTTTCGGCTGCGTCGGGTCGGTGGTGGTAGTTGAAGGCGCTGAGGAGGATCGTCCAGGTTCGGGGGTTGGCTGGACCGGGTGGAGAGGGATACCATCTGCGGTCTCCTTTGGCATAGATGATGGATCGAGCATGTCCTCCACGAGACGGACACAGCCTCGTAGTCCACGATCGGCTCTGCGGAAGGCAATGAGGAACTCGTTGTAGACATGGTCGGTCTCGATGAGAGGGGCGATGGACGGGTGGCCCTGCTGTGCGAGAGTGCGGAACTGTTCATACATGCGATGCGCATGGTTCTGTCGGTTCTTGCAGCGGAAGAATGTCGAAATCATCAGAAACAGGGCTACTGGGGAGGGTGGGCCTCTGATTGCTTGGGTTGGTGGTTGGGTGTATTGCGGAGGGATCATGTGAAGTTCTTTGAGGGGGGTGATATCATGGAGTCTGTTGTACATTTCAAGCATAGAGTAGAAGACCTCTGAAGGGTCTGTATTAGGGTCGATGTGCTTGGCGGTAAAAGTGTAGTGGGCGTGGAAGATTTTGCTGAAGATGTATGGGTTCTTTTGCAATTCCTCTTGCATCTCCACTTCCTGAACTAACTCGTCAACACGGCCTCGGTCACCTCGAGAGACTGCGTCTGTGAGAAGAGTTAAGTAGGTATAGGAATCGAAATCGAGGTTGTGGTTCTTCATGAACTGGAGCATATCAGATCCTAGCTGAGGGTCACCAGTTTTATAAGCATTGGCAAGCACGACGTTCATCATGTCCCGCTCAGGGTTGACACCCATCTTGAGCAACTGAGGAAGAATTCGAAAATTGCGTCCGCCGTCTTTATCCTCGACAGTATCAAGAGTCAAGAGTTTGCAGCAGTGTCGTGTGACACCTTCAGAGTTCATGCCGAATTCGGGGTCTTTGATCTTAGGGAGAAATTCCAGGGATTCCAAGGCCCGTTGTGTGTCCTTGAATTCTGTAAATCGGTTCATGAAGCAAAGCGCTGTTTCAGCAGTCATGAAGATACCTCTCTCCTTCACTATTCGAAAAGCCTCATTGACACTATTTGCGCTGGCGCGACGAATAAAGAGCCTGAATCCTTTGTGAGGGGGTTGCACTATGGGCCATTCCTTTGGATTCAGGCAAGTCTCAATAACCGATTGGAACGTGTGATGTCCGCTTCGCCAATTCTCGAGCGAGTCCTCATAATGAAATCTCTCCAGGTACATCAGACAATCAGCGACCAGAGTAAAGTCCGGCTTTTCTTGAGTCGCGGTCGTAACAAGCAGAAATTCCAAGGCCAATGCAGGGTCATTCTGCAGCAGCCAAATGGCAAGGCGCTGCCAGGCAAATGCCTTCTGCGGTCTCGTCATAGCTTCCCACTTTTCTCGAAATTTGCCATGACAGTCACTGCGGACCATTTCTAGCAGAGCTTCACCATCGCCTCGTAGCGTGGGCAGGACAGCTTTGTTGATGACCTCGCGTTGGTATACCTTGGCCTTGTAGATGGCTTCGTATGCGGGCTTCCATTGACGAAGTCCCAGCTCGCGCGTATATATGGAGTTTAGGCGCATGACCGTTGTGAGATATAGTGACCGCTTCTTCAACGGTCTGCCCTGTTTTTGAATTGCAATGTTGATTCTCCTAGATATAGGATTCACGAGACTGGGAGCAAGACCTTGCGCATGGATAATCTTCCGTATTTCCGTCTTCGACATAAGTGGGAGTTGTGCCACATTTCTCCGAGCTTGACGGCTTTTCGATGTTGAGTTCTCCACGGCATTGGCATTTTCATCCGTTGTGAACTGATTCGACTCCTCGGGGTATGGGATTTTGGGATCGTGGTTCGGAAACTGCGAGATGTCGGAGCTGCGGAGGTCATCGTGTTTTGCGCCAGGCTCTAAAATCGCAAAGGATCGGGAGGTCGAGATATGCTGCACTCTATGTCCAAGATTTGGCGCCCCGGGGTACCGATACAATCGGCCTGCGCTGCGGCATTGCGGCGAAAGCAACCCGGTCAGGCGGGTTCGGACGAGGTGCGGACACAATGACATTCAGTTGTGTATAGCCGCATACATTGGAGAGCCCAGAAGAAAACAAGCCCGGAAAGTCGCGCGGAGTGAGGAAGTCGGGGAATGGTTAAGTGTTGAAAGTTGATTTCCGCCCGATTTTGCCGTGGCTGAGGTGTGGCGCACCACATCTTTTATCATTCCGCTCTTCAACTTTCGCGGAGCTTGAAATTACTCTATTTCAGCCCAGTCACTTTTTTCCCTGGTGTCCAACTTTCAAACCTTTTGCGGCAAATTCCAAACAACATCCAGCAAATGTCGTCGAACCACGCCAATCTCGATGCGGCGTCCATCGACCGCAAAGCCCGCCTCGCCAAACTCGCAGCCCTTAAGCGCAAGCAACCGGAACCCGAGACAGAAGATGCCGGTGCATCAGAGGAGCTTCCGGATGCTGATGCCGAGCCAGATGTGACAAAAACATACTTGTCTGGCCGCAACTACGACGCCGAAGCCCGCGGCCCCAAGTTGGGATTCGAGGAGGGCCCCCAAGAGGGCAAGGTGACGCTGGAGACACAGGCAGCGGAAATCGCAAAAGCCACAGCAGAACAGGCCAAGAAAGACGCAGAGGCCGAACAACCGATTGATCTATTCAAACTGCAACCAAAGAAGCCGAACTGGGACCTGAAGCGGGACCTGGATGAAAAGCTTAAGATTCTCAACGTACGGACGGAAAATGCCATTGCTCGACTGGTACGACAACGGATAGAAGCTGCGCAGCGCGCTGCAAAGGAGCGTGGTGGAGCATCGAATGGAGAGGGCGAGGAAGTGGGTATGGAGGGCGAGACGCTAGTTGAGGGCATCCATATGCGCGAGCGAGAGGAGAAGGACGACGATGAAACGATTTGAATGTGATACCCTTGGCAGGACTGGTTTTGTCTAGCTTTTCTGCCTTTACCTGTGTTTTCTATATTCTGTCCATTTGATCATTTTACAGTTTTCATTTCTCTATCTCGAGGCGTCCGATTAGGGCAAAGGCATGCTGCCATACTGCAGATAAAATCGAGGCGTTAGGAATACTTGCCAAATACTTGGCAATTCAGTTTTGTCTTTTTCATGTCATTATTGACATCTTTTTGTTTCGCTATGAAGGCAGATAGGTTGGGTCCCCCGCCTGAAAATGCTAATAATACACTTGTTCGCATATGCCAGTGGAATTTGAATTCATGTCCCATCAACACATTGCGCCGTAAGAAACCTAATGTCTCAGAACACCATTTGAAATCAATTTACCTTCCATGGTTCATGGCCTGAGTCAAAGCCAAACGTTTGCTGAAAGGACTCAAGCTCCGTTCACGAGGAGGCTGGTTGTTCCGCATTCTGGTATCTTGTCTAAACTGTGCAGGCTGAGACTGGCGTGGGGGGCTTGCCCGATCTCTGTAGTGACGGTCACGGGTACCATCTGGAGTTGGAGATCGCTTTTCCTTTGGAACACGAGTCTTGTCTGCACTCCTGCTACGGTGGTCCCGGCGCGAGCTATGCCTTCCAGCAGCACGGTGTCGCCCTCTTTCCTCGGGGCTGGATTCACGACGTCTCCGTCGGGTATTGCGGTCGTCGGTGCGTTCCCTAGAGATAGAGCGAGGTCTTTGTTCTGAAGAGTGTACCGAGCCAGCACGGCCCTCGGAAGAATCACTGTAGCGTCTTTTCCTGGACTTGGTTGGGGGTGGTGATGCGGAGTCCCGGTGACCATCGTGTGTGTCACGTCTGCTCCGGCGAGGAGATGCGGAATACGATCGGTTGGTTGATATAGTGGAAATTGAACTCATTGAGTGCGACGAGATTGATCTGGCCCGCTTCGGAGACTGAGAGTGGCGGTCTGTAGTATCTTCCAGGTCTCTCTTTCGGCCACGTTCCTGCTCTCGTTTGGCAAGTAAATCATCAGCCACGCCAGCTCTGCGTCTTTGTTAGTCACTTTATGGGCATGGACAAATGTCTCAACATGAGAAGCACTCACGACTCCAAAAGCTGATTGGGATTTTCATTTGAAAGCTTGGGCATCAGCTTGGGGTTCAAAAGTTGTTGAGTCCGCGATGGACGAGCCATATATGGTCGCTCTTGCGCTGTGGCTTTGCATTCATAACTGTAGTGCCGTGCATTGAAATTAGTCCAAGCCCTTCATAGTATTTAGGGGGCACATATCTCGCTTCAGGCATTTTTGGCACTGTGTGTTTGCGGAGGCCTTGCTGGGGCCTCGGAGCGTCGGAGCGTTTCTATATCGGTTCATTGGAAAGTGTAGAGTGGCGAACGGAGTCAAAATTTGTAGAAATAGATCGTTAAGGCCTCAATAAATGGTATGAGCAAGATTGAGCTCGGGTGTATATGCAAAATCTGGCGTAAAGTGCTTCGGCGCAAGTCGTTTGATCGGCGGCTGTTCTTTGAAGCCCAAGGAAATTGAAGCGCGCGGATGGGGCGGTGGGGCGCGGCAAAATGCGCCCACGAATCTTCAGGTGTTCAAGAATAATCACACTTCCGGTTTCCCAACGCTCCTGATCGCTATCGATTCTCTGCTGAGGTCTATCAATTCTTGGGTCATTCATTTCCGCCGGCTCGGATAAGTACGTGGGGTTGTTCGCCTTTTTCAAGGGGTGCTCGATCCACAGGTATTCCATCTCAGGACGAGGTCTTTATCTCCCTGAACATGAGCCAGCTTTGATATCATGTAAGGACCCTGGCTTGGAATTGAGTGTGGTCGACTTGCCCTACTGAGGCAAATCTACCCCCACTTGATTTTTTGGCTCAACTGCCTGCCCCTCTACTCTGCTAATGCTTAATGTCCCCAGCTTTCTCCATGGCGATCGCCCTCTTTCAGAGATATGTCTTTCGTTTTGGGCTTCAGTGAACCGGATTTCCCCAGCAACCTACTTTCAAACCAGACCTGTTTCCGCTTCTTCCAGATTTGAGGACCTGAGACGTGTTAAGTGCAGCTGCAGCTTGGCTTGATCTCGGCATTTTTTGTGATATCTAAACAATTTCGACAAGCATCCCGCAGAGCATTGAGATGGCATCCCAAAGTCCCCTCGGAGGAGATGGTCCACCCTCTTTTGCAAAGGTATGTCTCATGGATAGCGCTGATTAGAGTACACTAATGAGTGGATCATCACTAACGCAAATCACCAGATTGCCGCAATGGCCACGACCTCCAACCCCCCAACTTCTTCAGCATCCGATGAGAACGATATCGGCCAATCGGTGACCTCATCTTCTCGCGCGGAAGCGCATGACCCGAGTACCAATTGCCCCAGTCAGCACACCCTGGAAAAAACGCCAGAGGCCAACTACATTGACCTGGCTGTTGAGGACCTAGGAAGAGGGGTGCAGGATATTGGGATTACTCTTAGCAAGCACCGTGCAGGCTCAGACACTTTCCTTGGTGGTCAGGAAAATGGCTTGCTCAAGCGAGAGAACTCCTTTGATGATGACCGTACTCATCTTTCTACGTCCTCTACGAAAATGACCAATTTCGACTCGAAGAGTCTTGCTTCTGTGACCACTTTCGCAATGGATGAAAAAGACTCTGTGCGTCCTGATGACAGTGCGAGCGTTCAAGCCATTGACGAAGAGGATGCACTTTCTGGTCCTGCCTCGGGCGCTACAAACTCAATAGCAGGCTCGGAATCTGACGGTCGTGCATATCGTGACCATTATCGCGATGGCATCTCTCTACAGCCACGCGGTATTCTTTCTGTTCCTGGTCCTCTATTTAATGGCACTGAGCCTGGCAATGGCATGATTCTCCCAGATTCAGTCGCAAACAACTTCGTGATTCCCACCGACCCGGACAGCATCCAGGACGGTCAAAATTTACATGGATTCCCACTTGATCCAGACGAGAAGCTTTTGGAGGCAATGAAATCACCAAAAGATCGTCTGTTGATTCTGCAGCTGGAGGAGAAGATTCGCCACTTCATCAAGGACTCTAGGTAAGCAATATTCATGTTCTTTATGCATTTCCTATGAGGTAAACTAACATCATTGTCCCAGTGAACAATCGTTAGAGCTGCCTCCCTCAAACGCATTTGGACGACTTCTTGCACACAAACTAGGGGATTACTATCATTTGACACATTTTGTCGACAACAATGTAACATCGGTCAGACTGCACCGAACGCCCTTTTGCCGACTGTATGTTCTTCTATTGACTTTTAGTCTCATGGACTCTTCGCTGACCTGATTAGACCCGCGCCTTTGGCAACTGTGCATGCTTCCACCCACACTACGCCCCCTCCAACTGTTCCCGCAATGAAGATTATGCGCCGAAATGATGTCGAACGACCCGATGGAAGCATCGGAGGCTCCTCAGCGCCGTCGAAGGCGACTTCAGAGGCAGGTGATAGTGGTCAAGATGGAGATCGAAACGGATCTTCATCTGGTGCTACTCCCGCCAAAGATCGAATGAACATGACACGAGAGGAGCGGGAAGCAAAATACCACGAAGCCCGCGAGCGAATTTTCCGTGACTTCCCAGACAGTGCCAAATCAGACACAGCCAGTGGCGAGTCGAACCCCAACATGTCGCGCTCCAGCTCAGTGAATGGTCGCAAAAAGAACCAGAAACAGAGAACTCCGCATGACGACAGTTTCGAGGTTCGCTCCCAGTTCAACGCCTATTATCCAGGTATGCAACATGGAAACGGTTCCGCTCCATACAATGTTGCCGCGAACGACAACTCATACTCGAACCAAGTACCCTACTTGGTTGGTCCCGGTGTGCCCCTGCCTTCGGGTGGCTATATGCCATCCGGTCAAATCGGCGCCATGTATCCTGGGCAGATGCAGGGACAAATGCAAGGCCAGATGCCAAACCAGATGCCAAACCAGATGCAGGGACAGATGCCAAATCAACTGCAGGGACAGGTGCCAAATCAACTGCAGGGACAGGTGCCAAACCAAATGCAGGGACAGGTGCCAGGCCAAATGCAAAACCAAATGCAGGGCCAGATGAACATGAATGGCATGCAGTATCCTATGGCCATGTCGCCTCAAATGACTCCCAATGGCTCATGGCAGGGGGGCAATATGTCGCAGCAATCGCCGTATTCTGGTTACGCTTCGATGAACCAGCCGGGAATGATGAGCCAGCAATCCTCAAACAAGTCCTCGCCGGCGATGAACAACTACGCCGTCCCAAATACCGCACCATACCAGCAAAATTCTAACTGGAACCCTCCGTCTTACCCTACAAGTTATCAACAGGGCCAACCTCAAAGAAACGGCCCGCCTGTCCACTGGCCCGGCTATCCCCAACATCAGCAGTCCATGCCGCCAAATATGGGCGGATATCCTTATTCTCAGTACCCTGGCCAGCACCTGAACCCTACAATGCAGAATGGAGGATACTCCAATGCCAGATCACACTTCAACCCACAGACCAGGTCATTTATCCCAGGTGGCGCACCCTTTAGTCGCCATCCGAACAAAGTCCCCCAGCATACCCTGCAGCCCTACAGCAACATGCAACCCGGCCCCCAAAGCCAGTGGACCGGATACCATGAAGTCGCTCAAAATCGGAACATGGACCCTTCCGTAAACATGGGTTCGACCCGTATCCCTTCCTCGGGTCCCCGCGACTCAATTGCTAAATGGGGCACACCATCTCACCTCCCCCTAAACCTCCACCATCCGAAGTCCCCTCTGAGTTCGACATGAACACACGAACCGGCCCCTCCTCGGTTACTGCACCATCATACGCGAATGGGATTCCTAGTGTCAATAACGGACCGTTGGTGGTTTCGGGGGGCACCACTATCACAAAACCAAACTGAGCTATTCATTGCACAATTTCCTGTTGCATCGCAACTGTGTGATGTGATACTGTCAAGAAACGAGGCGCTTTGAGATATATCCATGAGATTGCTTTTGCCCGGTGTGTTATTTGTCCAGCCAGCCAGCCAGGGCAGTGCATAGTAATCGAGTGGTTGACTTCCGTCCGTCATCTCCTAGGTAATTAGAACTCGTATTACCAACCATTCCGTTGCTATTTGTAGAACCTTTGTAGCAGCCACTGGCTATGAATAGACGGGCATATATTATTTGCGAGACAGAAAGTAAGCGTTTTCCTACGGATTCTACATACATATGTATCTACTGTTCGCGCCCTTTGACGCCCTACTTTAGTCTTTCGATCTGAAATGGTCTAGGGTAGCGGCAGCAGTGTAGCCAAAGGTAAAACACGAAGGACATATCTTTTGAGGCCCACGGCCACTACCTTCGTAGGAGTAGTTTTATTATCCAGATGACTGTATCCCCACGACTGTTTCCTATTTCTTTCATGATTCATATCCGGTCTCTCTGTTAATCGCGTCAGGACTCCCATGTACTATTCAATATCTACTCGGACTTCTGATGTTTAAAGTGGTATCGAGAATATCAGTCGTATAAGCACAGAATCATAGGGGTTTACCTTACAATACCGTTGTGTTGAGACTAAGCCAAGCACAGACTAGCGTATTTCGGAATTGAGTTTCGGAAAGAACCCAAGAACGTAAAATAGTAAAACTTATTTCGACTTCATATCTTCATCGGCTCCGTACTTGACCACCAAACATAGGGATAGTATCATGATCTGGAGAGGAATTGGAATTTTTAGCACACAGATTGCTCGTTCAAAGTTGGAGACCTCTAAAACTTCCACAAGATAACCGTATACGTCTACTCTACCAAAACCTTGCTATTTCTGCTTGAATGACAGCAAGAAAAAGCGGACGAAAGACCTTAGAGATGGTGGAACAAAGCAACCCTCAGAAATTGCATTGATGGACATTTGAGCGTGTTTAAGCAAATAATTTACCACCCAGTGTGTAAGTAGCTCACGTCCTCAATACGCCTAGCTGGCTTTCTCTTCATCGCCGTGAAACAATTTGAGCATGCCCTTGACTGCGTGATCTCCAAGGGCATCAAGGGTGCCCATGCCCATCATTTCCATTGCACTGATATCGAACCCGAAAATCGTCTTCCACCACTGCCTTACTTCAATTGCCACAAGGGAATCCATTCCTATATCAGACAGAGAGCATGACGTCAATAGCTCCTCTTCTGGCTTCAACATCAAGCTGAACACCTTTTTTCCAATTTCGACAGCGAGAAAAGGGGCTGAGCTGGATCTACACAAGAAAGCATGATCACTCCTGGCCGTCCTGAGGAAAACATTTAAGTCGTCATTGGAAGCAGAGGTTGACGTGGAGCCGGCTTCACCACCATTGTGTAAGGCTGCCATTCGAATATCCTTCTTCCAGAGGGACCGATTTCCGGGATCGTTCAGGGACGTGCTGGATCGGATGCCAAGACAAAAGTTGTTTATAGTATCAGAGGCAATGGGCGACAGCTCGCTCGACGCCGATTTCATGGCCCTCTCTATTGCCTCAAGAAGCGTGGACTCTGAGACTGTTTCATTCAAGACACCACGAGACTTCGCCATCTGCATAAGCGACTCGTTCTCAGCTGTATAACCTACTTCATCGACGGAACCAATCTGGATGGCACAGGCTGGTAGCCCCAGACTCAAGCGGTATTGAGAGAAAGCGTCCAGGAAAGTGTTGGCACCAGCATAGTTGGTTTGACCGGAATTTCCAATCAGACCAGAAATGGAACTAAAAAGAACGAAGAAGTCAAGGTCTGCGTTGGCGGATACAGAGGCATTGTGTAGATTCCACGTTCCTTTGACCTTAGGATCAACAGCCGTGTTCCACTCGTTCAATGTCATACGGATGAAGCTCTGATCAGCAAGCACCATGGACATTTGCAAGATACCTTTCAGTCGACCTTGAGCGCATGCGACGGCCTTGGTCACATCGTCAAGACTGGAAACGCTGCCTTGAACATAGTCGGCGCGGCATCCCATGCTGGCGAGCTCTTGGGAGAACTCCTGATGCAGCAGACTTGACCCCGCACTTCGGGAAAGAAAGATGAGGTGGCGGGCTCCGCGTTCCGCCATCCACGTAGAGACAGAGCGGCCCAAGCCTCCGAGGCCACCGACAAGCAGATATGAAGCGGCGCTATCGAGGTGGGTAGGCTTCTTCCGCTGCTGAACTAGATCTCCAAGGTTTTCTTGACCAGCAGCATCCCGAATCGACACGACGATCTTGCCTAGATGGACACCTTGCTGCATGTACCGGAAGGCCTCGAGGATATCAGGAGCTTTAAAGACCTTAATTGGTCGAATAGGATGGATGTGTCGCTCCCTGAGTAGTTCGACAATGTCGATGAGAAGCCTTGATGATATTTTAGTAATTGAACGGGATATTGTATTAACCTCCGTGACACTTACTTTTTCGCAATAGTCGGCCTTTTAAGACAAACTTGATCCAAGTCGACAGAGCAGTAGTTGCGGTTGGATAGGAAAGGATTCATGTCAAGCTTTGCAAAGCCGATCAGGTCTCGCTTGCCAATCTCTACCATCGTACCAAAGATGGTAATGCACTTCCACGTAGCATGCAGTAGCTCGCCAGACAGCGAGTTCAGTGCCAAATCAACGCCTTCTCCATTAGTCTCCCGCATAACGTCGCTGACGAAGGAGGTGTTACGAGAATTAAATATTCTGTTTCGTGGCAGACCATATGTGTCCATGAGATACTGGACCTTCTCCTCGTTACCGACAGTTGCATAAATTTCGGCACCAACCATTTGGGCGAGCTGTATGGTTGCAAGACCAACTCCACCACAGGCACTGTGGATAAGAATGGACTAGAGCAGCTATCAGATACTGAACCAGAAGTTTAGAGAGTGTAGAGAAAACCGACCTGTCCCTTCTTCAAATTCCCAATGTCGAATATAGAGTACATCGCCGTAGCGAACACGCAAGGCATGGTAGCCGCGTCCTCAAAGCTCAAACCGCTCGGGATTCTCTCACAAAGATTCTCAGAGATAATTACTCGTGTCCCAAATGCATAGCGAGGCATGAGCATGACACGGTCACCGGCCTTGAGACCCTTCACGCCGAGACCGGCACGGCTCACGACGCCGGCAGCTTCAAGGCCAAATCCATTATTGGAGGCTTCAACAATGCCCATGGCACACAAAACATCCTAAGGACTGGTGTCATTATTCAGGTTTTTCTCATCTTGTGGGTTTTCTGACTTACCTTGAAGTTCAAGCCAGTGGCATATATCTCCACTTCCACTTCGTCATCTTTCGGCGCTTCAATCTCCCGGTGAGCCCAGTGTAAAGCAGTCAGGCGGCCAGGCTTTCTGGTGCAAAGCGCGATACTGTCAGTCGAATCAGATGTCAAGAGCTCATCTTGCATCGAGAAGGAGTGAATACGTCCAACGTGAACAGTATTCTCGACGACAGCGTATTCGAACTCGGGCTTGAAACTTTCGTCCTCTTGACGGACCTGGAATCTCTCAAACACGTCCATGATTTGGTCTAGGGAAGTTCCGACATTGTCAACCTCGCAGGTAGCAAAATCGACGAGCATTTCGGAGCGAATGGTTCTGGCGATACCGTGGACTTGGCCGAATCGTGGGTCCTGGCATTGAATCTGCGAAAGACTAGTCACCCAGAGAATACCGCAATTCTGTAAGTTTTCCACCAAAGTTTTGAAAGAACTAAAGCGCTGTTCATCTATGTTATCAAAAAAGGGACCTTCATCGTCAAGCAAGGCAATCACATCTTGGCCAGCAGGTAACGGTAGGTCATTCAGTCCGCACTTATGCACAGCATATCCCCTGTTCTCTAGGCCTTGATGCATGGCGCTCACGTTCTTTGACTCGGGGATATTCAAGAGCGTGACACGTCTCTCGGGGATGTTCTCGATTGCTGGTCTAGCTGCAATAAGGACGTTCAGGTGATTTGGCTCCGTTGAATCAAGAACCACAGCATCAGGAGAGCGGAATCCAGCAGCCTTCAGCTCCCTTTTCCAGCGTTCGGCATCAACGTATGGCTCGTCTCGCCGGTCATCATGCTCGCCTTCCCACCAACCGGCTAGAATTCCAAAAATGTAGTTGATGCTTTTGAAAACTGGGGTCAGTTCACAGAGCAAGAGCCAGCCATTAGGTGCGAGCAGCTGTCGGACATGTGTCAAGCTCTCATTGAGGGACTTAGTGGCGTGGATGACGTTGGTTGCCAAAATGAGATCGTACGTACGACCCTCGAACCCCTGCTCGGAGACATCTTTGCTGATATCGAGAGTGGCATATTCCATGCTAGGATACTTACTCAAGCGCTCCTCGGCTCCAGCGAAGAAGCCAGATGAAATGTCAGTGAAGGTGTAATTCGAGTATAAGGTCTTGTTATCAGGCGTCAACAATTTCAGAATCCTGGCAGTAGATCCACCTGTTCCGGCCCCAATCTCGAGGATTCGCAGATTAGGCTTGCTGTGAGTGAGATGTTTGAAGAACAGAGATACATCGGAATGATCCATGGCTATATAGACCTTTGCCAATAGATCGTCTGAGATGAGGAGGTCCAGTGCCTCTATATCACCGGTGAAAATCTCTTGGGCATGCCTAGAAATTTTTTGAATGGCCACGGCAATAGGAAAGGCCGGACTTTGTGACAGTCCGGAGACGATCTGTGCAACTCGCTGCTCAATAGCAGCATTATCGAGGTCGTGGAGACTTTGGAGATCCACAGACTGGAGGCGGCGGTCGATCCATGATCGATACTTATACATATGGCTAATTGAAGTTTCCAACCCTGCAATAACACGCTTTGTGTGTATCATGCACAAGTGAGCCAACTCCGTCATCAAAGGCTTTTCGTTGTTGTGACCAATAGATGGCTTGATAAGAGTATTAATATCCAAGAAGTCAATATGAGGACCCCATTCTGCGCGAGCAGCGGCATCGCCAGAATTTCTGGTATCATGATCATCAATGACGGAAAGTCGGATTCCAGAGCTGCGTAAGACAATCTTGCCATCGGGGGTAACACACTGCCCGCCGCCAACGACCGAGCCATTGGGAGAATAAGATGCGGCAGCCCGGACTTGGACATCCTCATAGCAGCGGTAGATGGATAACTCTTCAACGCTGGTAGGCACCATCATTTTGGTTGCTGCCTCAGCAAAGCCCTTAGATGCAGCAATATTGATTAGCTGTAGTAAGGCATCAATTACCGTCGGATGCAAATGGTAGTCCTTGCCATCAGTGCTTTTTGCAACAACTTCCGATGTTGCATTCTGCGAAATAGTGCCGGACCGGACATCCTCCAAGCGCTGAAATGCTGGCCCAAAATTGAGACCAGAAGTAGCCAGCGACTGGTAGCAACGGCGGGTGCGGACCTTTCGCACAAGAGGCATGTTGTTTTCGGCATATCCCAAGTCTTCGCTATATGATCTGGCTTCACCAAAGCAGTGCTTGGTCCAGACAGTACCGCTGTGAGATGCGATAGCAAATTCCCACCACTCACTGTCGAGTGAATCTGTCAAGCGATGGCGGCGCAACGTAGTCATGATCTCAACTGTATCGCTGCCGTTCAAGACAAGGGCAGTGCTGATGATGATGTTGCGTAGCTTGAATCCCTCATTCACTCCGGTAGTTTGTCGTACTGCCTCTCCAATCATTGCAGCGTACCCAGCAAAAGGGAATACAATATCATCACCAACCTTGTGGTCACGAATCCATGATGCGTTGTCCATGTGAAAGACATTTCGGAAACGAACGTCAAATTCAAGACTGTCCGCGACCCGCATGCCCAGCAGATTGTGATGCTTGTGCTCCGGGTGTCGCCACTCCTTGCTCAGTCTGGACTCGTACCAGAATTTCCTTGAGTGGTCCCATGGATATCTTGGGAGGTCTGGTAGAATCGAACCCTTGGAAATTACCTTACTCAAGTCGAGGGCGGCATTGAGAACATGCATCTTCCCGATGGCTGTGAGGAATGATTCCTCGTCGTTCTGGTTTCTGATAAGGGTAGAAACATATGGAGAAGAGGTAGAGTGCTGCGCCTGGATTTGCCGCAAGGGTCCCGCAAGAGTTGAGTGAGGGCCGACTTCTAGAAAGACCATATTCTTCGCAATGTCGTGCTGAATGATAGAGGATATGGCTGAGTGGAAGAGCACCGGAGACTCTAGATTCTTCCGCCAATATTCAGGGCCGAGACTCGAGTCTTCAGTAAGCAGCTTGCCCTTAACACTACTGAAGAACAGCTTTGTTGGATTCTTTACAGAAACTTGATGTTCAATTAGGGCATGGTAGTCGTCACCTATCTCAACCATGTGGTGAGAGTGGTACGCCTTGTCGACTTTCAGATGTCTTGCCGGTACATCAGGGCGGGCCTCTTTGATCTTGTCAACGGCGAGTCTGACTGCTTCGGAGTCACCAGCGAGGGTAATACTCTGATGGGAATTTTCGCAAGCAACAATAACCCCAGGCTGCAGATATTCCTGAACCTCGTGAGAGCCCATGCCGATAGCCGCCATCGCTCCAGGCTTGGTTTGTAGCTTGGTGATTCGGCCACGATAGAATGCAACTGCGATTGCCTCTTCCGCCGTGATAGCGCCGGCAGCATATGCAGCGGCCACTTCGCCACTGGAGTGACCAACGACAGCAGTGGGCTCAACTCCAATGGAAGCAAAAGTGTCAACCAGAGCAATTTGAATGGCCGTGCAGAGAGGTTGAGACAGCTCGGCTGAGCCTAGCCTGCTAGTCTCGGGCCCCTTCATAAGCTCTTCCTCAATATTCCATTCCGGAGCATCTGTGAGTGTCTGTAGATGTGTGTCGAGAGATCGAATACTTTCCTTGAATACAGGATAGCTGGGGCTGTCGATCATCAACGCACCCATTTGCGGCCATTGGGCACCTTGACCCGTAAATACCATCACGATGCTGGGTTCTTCTCCAGATTTAGAGGGAGTTGCCGCCGTAATATTACCCACTGTATTTGCCACAGCAAATGCCCGACAGGGCAAATGATGTCTTCTGTTGCCCAGTGTAAAGGCCAGGTCACTGACTCTGCCTGGGTTGGTTTGGACATAGGTTTGGTATGTGGCGATCGTTTTTTTCAATGACTCAACGTTGTTGGCCGAATAGACAAGCAGTTGTGGTGACACGGTAAGTTGGTTAGGAACAGAAGATATCCCAAAGCTTTCGGCGGAATCGAGAATGACATGGGCGTTTGCACCTCCAATACCAAAGGAGTTTATGCTAATGCGCGCGCTCCGGTCCTCAGGCCAAGGCGTCGGCTCTGTTGGAACAGATAGTCCATACTCATCCCACAAGATATTGGGATTGGGCTTGTTCAATTTGATATTTGGAGGAATGATGCGGTTTTCCAGAGCCATTACGGACTTGATCAGTGATGTGAGACCTGAGGCTCCTTCGGAATGACCAACATTCGGCTTGACTGAGCCAATTTGGACGCCACCAAAGGGACCAAAAACACGACCGACCGCTGCAGTTTCGAGAGGATCTCCAATCGGTGTGCCTGTACCATGACACTCGACGAACGCCGTCTTCGAGTAATCCGTAATTCCAGCCAGCTCATAAGTGTGTCTGATCAGAGCCTCTTGGGCGATGTCATTGGGAGCTTTGATCCCACTACCGCTGCCCCTTCCGTCGCAGTTTGATGCTGTTGCCCTAATGACGGCTCGGACCGGACTGCCATGGCGGATGGCTTCGGCCAGAGGTTTGATAAAAACAGCAGAGACAGCCTCTCCTCGCGCGTAGCCATTGGCATCGCTAGAGAATGTTTTGCATGAGCCGTCAGGTGCAAGAACCATTTCGTCCGCAAGGGCAGTGGTCAAGCCTGGGCATAACATCAAGTTGGCGCCGCCGACAATGGCTCCCTCACAGTCGCCCCTAGAAAGTGACATGCATGCTTCATGTAGTGCAACAAGACTCGATGAGCAAGCAGTACGGACGGTCATGCTATTTGATCCAAGTTAGCGAATGGCATTGATCAGGTGAAATGTTGATTCACAAACCTCGGCCCCGTCAGGTCCATCTCATATGAGATGCGATTAGGCAGCATGAAGTCTCCGGTTCCGCTTGCACGGTTTGGACCATACTGCTGGCTGTCTATGGAAAACATCTCAGCCCAGTCTTTGCCGAAGGTGCCCATGAAGCAGCCTATCGGTCGTCCTTCCCAATTCATTTCGCCAGCATCTTCCATGCACTCTCTGGCAACTTCTAGCATTTGTCGTTGGCTAGGATCCATTCTTTCAACCTCTGACTTTCCCATTGTGAGAAATGACGTGTCGACGCTAGCTAGGTCAATGCTCTCATCAAGGAAGTATCCGTACTCGGTCTTGGTGCGGCTGGGGATCACCTCCTCGGAGAAGTAGGCTGAAGCATTGTATCTTGATTTGGGGACTGGACCATGGGCATCGCCCTTGGCCACCAAGAAGTCCCACAATTGCTGTGGTGAGTGTAAGCCTCCGGGGAGACGTACGGACATGCCGCAGATAGCGATCGGCTCCAGGAGAGCGACTTTCGACACATGGGTTTCATTGGGAGAGGATGTATTGCCGTTCAAATTCGCACATGAATCTTCCAAAGATGTCCCATCTGTGCTAGCATGGGCATTTGAGCCATTGACATCTGCAGTCAACGAGACCATTTTCTTGATTCTGTGACGTGGAGTTCTAGTGACAAAATCAAGATTTCAGATTGATTGTTGGTTCTGAACAGCAGATTATACAGGGTTTTATAAGCCACAGGAACTGATAAGCAATATGATCTTGATTTCTATAGCGAAGTTTACTATATTGATAGACCCATCTTACAGATCATATCGTATCCTAGGTGAGTAGTGAGACTTTGCTTGCTTGAGCATTACAGTTTGCGTCACACCGTCTGTTTCTATTACAGTAACTATGCAGGCGCTTCTATATGTATCCAGTTGAAGCAAGAAGTGATCAGTACCCAACGTCCTCAGGACTCTGATCCATGATCGCAGGATCGGACCCTTCAGGTTGATCATTGGACCCAGACTCAGTGTGTTAGAGCTGAGAAAAGAGCCCAATCTAGTGCATGAACTTGGCATCGTAGCGGGTTGCGTTTATCCTGTTTCTTGGGTACCCGGGTTGAAAGGCAAACCTTTCAATACCACTTCATCGATCATCTTCTAGATCTTCACAAAGAGTGAACTAATATCTCCCGGATCTTCAATTTCCCTACACTCAATGCCTCTTAAACTGGCTGTTTCCCGCCACGTCTTCTTTTTACAGTTGATTAAGTTCGGTCTCTCTCGGTCTACGCAGTCTTTTACGTGCTTTTTTTGGGCAGAATTGTGAGGTCCATTTTAATACGTTCAATGACTTGATGACCCACTTTTCTTGTTGCTTGCATGGTCTTAGTGGGAAGCAGGTAAAGAACTCGATGGTGTGGTGTAATCTGAGACGCAATATCGTGAACTTTAATCCAGGCATTTTAGGGAACTCATTGTCCTTAATGAAACCTAGATTTTCGAGTCCTTTGTTCTCAACTCACCGGTCGAATTACATTCTCTCGAAACTCAATTTAATGGTAGGTAGTGCGCTTGGCCAGTGATTTTGTTCGCACTGCGAGAATTCCAGCGCAGAAACTAGCCCTATGGTACGGATCGCCACCCAAAACGCAGCATCACTTTAAGACTTTTTTTTGAAAAATATTTCTAACAGCCATTGGGGGATATGTTATCAAGTGGCTAGCGTGCATGTGCAAAGCAATAGGGAATGATGCGTTTTTTACAGCAAAGTACAATGAGGTCAGTCATAGATCAAATAACAACCATGAGTATCTATTAGAAAAAGATGGCATTTAGCAATTTTAATCCGAAACGAGGTGATTTCATTGAAGATCTGTGACATTTCTGAGACTGGTCATGAACATGAAGCAGTCAGTTGAGCTGCATACATACATGGAGGTGCCACAGCAGTGCGGGATCGGCACGTTCACGGAGACGAGTGGATAAATCATGCATGACTGCCGAGGGATCTAAGTAAGTAAAACTAGCGGTGTAAATCTTTGTGCAACTAGATGCTGTATGTCTGCCTTATCTCTATAGGTTTTGAGTACTCGCCAGGGAATCCGGAATATCTCCAATGTCCTGAAATCACTGGAAAGTGAACTTCTTCAGGGCTTTCCAAAACAATACAGGACCACACCGACGCTGGTCTGGAATCAAGCTTCTATTGCCCTAATCTGCTTATTTCTCGTTCAATCTTTGGTGAATATTCATCATGGGAAATTCAGAGGTACGGGATCAGTCTGTGAGATCCGCAAGACTCAACGAGGCTTTCGAAAGGCTCTCCTCAACTTTGCCGCTGGCGAGGTCGCCAATTTCAGTCCCAAAGCCAGATTTTCACTCTGTTCTCTTGACTGGCTCAACAGGATATATCGGGTCCTACATTTTAGCTTCGCTATTACAGGATGAGACCGTGAATCACATATACTGTCTTCATCGAGGCTTGAATGGAGCGGCGCGACAAAAGACCAGTTTCACAGAAAAGGGGATTCCTATTACCTCATCGTTCGACTTGAAAGTCGAATTCTGTTCGGTGAACCTCTATGAGAAAAAGCTTGGTCTCAATGATACAGCATACGACAAGCTAACGGATACTGTTGATATGGTCATTCACAATGCGTGGTCAGTCAATTACGCATTTTCGCTCAAATCCTTCGAGGAAAGTGATCTGCTCGGACTACGGAACATCGTTGATCTTTGTCTGCAAAGTAAACATCGACCACGTTTGCATTTTATCTCATCGATTACTACAGTGGCTCATTGGCCACAGTACTACGATGCCCCTTTGACGGAGCGTATCGTTCATGACGCGAGACTGCCTATTCCGATAGGGTACGCCGAGTCAAAGTATGTTGCCGAGTTATTTCTTGAGAAAGCTGTCGAACAGTCAGGCTTGCAATGTTCCATCATTCGACCCTCACAGATAGCAGGCCCGACAACAATCCGGGGGATTTGGAATCCAAATGATGTGGTTCCGATTTTAGTCTCTACCTCAATCAACCTGGGAGTGTTTCCATACCACGCGACAGACCGTCTATTAATTGACTGGGTCCCCATGGTTCGTAGGCATGGCCCAATTATTTTTGTGCTCACAAGCTAACAAGCACTAGGACATTTGTGGAAAAGTCATTGTCGAGATATTGATGGGAGAAAACGGCATGCCAACTGACAAGATTGGAGTCTTCCACGTTCTGAATTCTCAGCCTATCTCTTGGTCTTTGTTAGTTTCAACAACCCAAGATCTGTATCCCGTCGGGGTGATGCCACTAGAAACATGGATTTTGAAGGTGAAACATTTGATATCAGGAAGTAAAGGCGGTGCCAAACACGAGCTTTCGCGAATTGCTCCTCTGTTGCCATTTCTGTCTTGGGTTGAGGCCAATGGAGCAGGGTTTTCTCAGTTTGAGACAGCCAGAGCCAAGAGATATAGCCAGACCATGAAGGCTCTCGGTCCTGTAAATGGAAACTTGGTCCAAAGGTGGTTGCAGCAGTGGTCCTTTTATCCAGAATTGATGGTATATGATTAGATATAGTTAGACATCAGGTGCAGACTTAGGTGCTTAGCAAGGGGATTATCTGAGTAGCAAGGATCCGTGTTGCGTGATTGCTTCTCAATGAATCTGAAATTTTTATCATTCGCCATTAAAGTAAATATTTTATCTCTCGCACGCTCAGAAGTTATTCCATGCCGCCAGTAATATGTCGCACTGATAAAAAGACAAAAATGTTTCCGATTATTCCCCATAGTGGCATTGGCCCCCTGGAGTCGTACACTTGCTATCAACTGCAAGTTTGTATTGGTATTTAAGGAAATTTTTGAAAGAGAATCCAATCAATGCGTGCTGCTCTGAAACGTTTCATAAATATATTTCGTTCTGTCCCATTTCTGCTAGTGAAGGGGCACAGCAACATATGTAGTAGCGGAGGATTAGTACTGTACTACGCAGTACGTCAACAAATACCTTGCACAACATTCTTACTTTGTTGAATCTCCAGAATAGCCCTCACTCCATCAAGCTGGATAAATTTTTACTATTCAGCGTGGTGAAATCATAGGAATACTATTGTGAGAATCACGTCTGTTTTTTTCTCTCGGAACGGGCGGTACGCTAAATTCTATGATAGATCTAGAGAGAAGCCACCGGTTGTCGACGTGCCATTGAATAGCCCTTTAGACAGCATGATCTCCCTCGTTCCAGTATACCTTTACAGTACAAATACTTTGAGGTTCCCAGTGTTGAGATTTATGGTGGCCGGCCATGGTTCATGCCATGAATGAGCCATGACGGCAATAGAGATTATTCATCAACTAAGGAATCTAATTAAGACTAGCTTAAGGCAGATCTTTGTAGTATATAAGGAGTTTCTCATATAAATGAGAATCTCTAGACTTAAATGACTCGGTAATCAATTCAAAGATTATCTCTCTTCATCAGGAACACGACTAACTAGGGCTATTGAACACCTAGTAACGGAGATCTATCGAACCGAGTACCCGAAGACTTAAGGGACTGACTCAGTTCCTTAAGATGATGTCAAGATGGATGATGATATACTTACTCGCTCACATAACAGGATCATGTGAATCTAGGGGATGAATAGCAAGCCCACGCTGATTCTAGGAATCAGGGTTCAGACTACTTCTTACAATATATACAGTATTCTTCTTATTGTATACGCTATATCAGGCATCTATCTCACTTACCCATTTACAGCCCCGAAACTGGCGTACTGTAGTCTCACACTCTTATACCTTCTTTCAGTCGCTAACATTCCCTACCTACATCGTAACTTTTAACACCCAGTCCACCGCTCTTTTCAAGTCCCGGCAAAATGAGAGTTCCACGGGTGCTCGTAAATTATCTCCTGCTCTTCATCTTGGTTGTGCCTGCCGGACCAGCTGCCTACGGGGTATGCCAAGCAGGATGTGCCACGGTCGTCATGGCTTGTTACTCGGCAGCAGGCTTCACCTGGGGAGCTACTATGGGTGCTAGTGCACCTGCCTCCGTAATTTATGCAATTTGGCATTTTGGGAAACGCCAGGCAGCCTGTGCCGCCGTTCTATTAGCACCGACACTCTGAGATTTGAGGCTGTCACGCAGACTCTTCTACACTCAGACGCGCTGGCTGCGAACAGGGTTCGAAAATTCACAAAAGGTGAAGAATCAATCTCTCCTACTTTCACAATATTAACACGACTTGAATATTGACAAAAGCAGGGGCTGTTTCTCTGATAGTCTACAAAAGTTATTTTCCTGTCTATGTATTGGGCTGGGCTTAGGATGGTAGGTTGATTTGATTGAGTACTTAAAGATCCATAGACTACAAATGTTGAGCTTGGTGCAAAGCTCATCGGAAAACTTCATCTCACATTATGGATCTATATAAACATGAAAGGTGTGCCTACAGTGCACGCATGAGATAACCGGAAAACATTCACACTCAATCCACAATCGTAAGAAACTCTCCTGTTAGCGGTATATCTTCAACTTCTCAAGCCCAAACATATAAATTGCCAAATCAGTAAATCTGACACTCAACGCACAATTTCATCCACTTTCATATCCCCAACACCCAGCTCAATATTCTTCAGCCCATATATCCAAATCCAATCATCTCAAATATATTCAAATCCCAATACTCAAATGCCAACGCCAGCTGCATCAATCTGAGCCTTGGCCTTGTTCCTAGCCTGAGCCTCGCGGGTCCCATAAATCGCAGAAGGAACAATAATCACAGTAAGAAGAACAATAACGCCCAAAATAGCACCAGCGATAATCCATTGCCGCCGATGAGATTTTCGATGACGCATAACAGTACCGGTATCTGTCATGGACTCCGAGTACGGCCTCGGATTTCCAGTTCCATTGCCATTGCCGGTTCCTGCGCGCTGTCGACCAGACTGGTTCTGCTCCGTCAGGTCCACGGCTTCTTTCTCAATGTCTGCCTTGTCGTATTTTTCATCTGGCATGCCGTTCAGCTCGAGGTTTAGAGAGCGATCGCTCAATTCTAGCGTGACGTCTTCATGGTTTACTTGCAAAGTGCAGTCACTGGCGCTGGACTCGACTGTTGGCGGTGGATGCGATCTTAGTGGTGAGATGACGGAGACTTCTTTGTATGTGTCTACGTCAATAGGATGGGGTGGACCGGTGTTGCGGTAGCGCTTGGGGTTATCGAGAGACATATGTTTGCTTTTTGGGGGGGCTATTGAGTCCGTTCTTATGCACAGTGGTGGTTAGTATACGTTATCTTGTACTCTGGTTGTGGAGTTGGAGGAACCAGTTGCATACTTGACGTAGGATGGGGGTATAGAACGGCGAGAATGTGGAATAGAATCTGAGACAATTGAGATGAAGAACTATCAATTCATTGAGGGAATCTGAGACAGATGAATTGGGAATATGAGTGCTGAAGCTTCTCCCCAGCGGGTTCAGTTGTCCTGGGGATCTTGTTTCTTTTATTCAAACAGGCTTGACCGTAAGTTCAAGTGTGCTAAGATCATACGCTAGAGGAATCTACTATCGATAGTTTTGCATACACTCCTGGTGCCCCTTGATTAACAATATTGAGCGAATAGACGTTGGCATTGCAGTTGATCTATCAGATTTCACGAAGCGAGACACGGAGTCTTCGTAGTCAAGTAAGTACCCAAAAGACAATTATGTTTCTATAGTAGAGAAATGGGCTGTTCCATCAATTACATCACCTGATTAGTGCTTCAAACTGAATTGAAACATTAAGGAAGTTGGTCTGGAAGAAACCTAAATGCTTTGTCGATCTTCTGTCGGCAGCAGCCACCAATGTAATATTATCACGTCACCTAAACTTGCTGGCCATATCCCGCAAGAAACCAATATTGACAGCTAGTGTTGTTCTATGATCTACCTTGCAGTGCATGGGTTTCCTAAAGAAGCCCGTCAAACTTTGTATCAGGCCTGATTTCCTAGGCAGCGCGAGCACCTTGCAGCACACGGACTTGGCCAAGGAATATCTCTCGAACAAAAGAGTGCAGTTGGGTTTACAGCCGTTCTACCCGCTAAGTTCACCGGTTTACACAGAGCCTTGCAAAGTACAAAGGGATAGCAGTAAAGAGGTATCGGAATCTTTTATACAGAGGCTATGTCACATGCGCAAGTGCAAACGAAGACGAGATGCCAGAATAAACAGGACGAAGACAGAACTCCTGATAATACAACAGGCAATACAAACAGAAATGGAACATGAAATGGTTCCATCTTAGAGGAACCCTCTCAAGAGCAGACGAGAACATAATCTCGAAATCAAAGAGAAAGCCAAGGGAGAGCCATCTACTCAACCCGTTACTCCTTCTCGGCCTTCTTCTCCTTCCGACCAAGGCTCAACTTCGAAATAGCCCGCTCAAGAACCTCAACACCATCCTTCTGGAACTGCGTAACCTTCTGAACATTCAATCTTGTCAGACCGTGCGGCACATCACGGCCCTTGGAGCGCTCACGCGCCAATGTAAGCGCCGTCATGGCAAAGCGCATATCTTTAGGACCATCGACCAGCTCGAGGATTGCCATGGGGTGCTGAGGTTGGGGTTTGCGCTCGGGGGGAGCGAGCTTGCTGCCCTTCTTGACAGAGAAGTATTCGACTTTTTGGGTGGGTTCAACGCGCAGGACTCGTGTGTAGCCACCTGGGCGCTCTGCGTAGCGTTCGCGGAGGGGACCGAAGAGTTTGGGGAGCAGGGCGTGTGGTGTCTGATATGTGTTAGTGGGTTTGTTTGAGAAGGGATTTTGATAGATGCATCGGAAGGAGTGGCAATTGAGAATTGCAAACTTCGCAACAGAGAATGAACAATTGGATTGTCTACTCTCGCAGCCAAAGTTGGATTCTCAAGTCGATCTCGATGTGAACTTCTTCCGGGTGTCACGTACGTAGAAAATCTCCAATGCCCGTCTCCGGCTTGCCTCGGTGTTCTTCTTTCCCAGTGTAATCAGCTTGTCGGCCAGACGCTGGGCCTCCTTGGCCTTGGCCCATGTCGTTGTGATAGTCTCATGCTCGAAGAGGGAGGTGACCAGGTTGCGAAGCAGGGCTTGACGATGCGCGGAGTTCCGGCTCAAGTGTCGGTATTTGCCTCCTCCGCCGGCCATGTTGACGAATTAAAGGTTGAGTGAGGGAGAAAAAGGGAGGGTAACTTGAGAGTATCGTTGGAAATGCGCGGTCAAAGGGCTCCAGGTGTTGAAGGAGACGATGTTCGAAGAATTGTCCCGGGCCCACGGCCAATCGGAGCTCTTCCGCCCACTGCCCGACTTCAGTTTTCCGCGACTTGACATTGTTGCGTGTCGTTTTCTTGTTTTGATTCGCAGGCGAATTGTTTTACTTATTACAATAGTGGATTTGGGTCTGTGGCTGCTGGTATCTTTTCAACGAACCTGACCAAAACTCGGCGAATCGACGACTCGCACCAAACATGGGCTTCTTCACCGGCTTCGTACGTTTCCTCGTTATGAAAGAAGAGCATTGACTAATTTCATATTCCCTTAAACAGGCCAGTGGCTTCGCCCTCACAACTTCAATCCTCTTCATCACCGTTCAAGTTCACCGCTCAAATCGCATCGAACAGCGCAAAGCCATCAGCGCCCAGGTTGAGCAAATCAACTGGCTGACCTCTTCCATTGGCGCCTATGACCGCCGCAATCTACCGGCAGATGTTCCACGGCGGCGCCGGGAAGAGCTTGCGGCTCAAAGCCCCTCAGTGCCAACCATGAAAGATATTTTGAAACAGAAGTGGAACACGGAACTTGAGGTCTTGACGCGCAAGGCTTATGAGACGAAGTGGGAGGATGTGCGAGATGCTGCCACCGAAGGCTGGAAAGCTGCTGCCCGTGTGGTTAAGCGGGATTAAAGATTGAGTCTGGATCGAGACATACCATTTTGGTCTTGTTGGGCTGCGAGTGAGATATCGCGATGCATGATCATGTTTGTTACTTTTGTCTGGATTTGAGCCTTGGAGTTTGGATACCCTCATTTGATTATTGTTATATTTTACATGCATTAGTATGATATTGTCCACAGGTGCATTTGTAACGCGTCCAGCGCGTTCCGTGGCAGTATGATACGCTGGTGTAGGACTTGGCAGTGCCCTAAGAACCCTTGACTTTTTAAGCAGGCAAGTAGGAGACAAAGCCTGAATAGTCAAGGTCCATGCTGGCAAATGCCATATAGCTGAGCGAGCTAGCAGCTCACCCGATATGCGACGAAGGCGCAGTGGTCGCAACACTCTCGGAATCACTCCAAATATCCTTGCTCTCTCGCTCCACGGTGCGCATAGCCTGAGCAACCTCCTCTAGTTTGGCAACAACATCCAACACGCCTTGATTTACCCGGTCAAAGTAACGATCATTAGCCTCACGACGCTTACGCGCATGTATAATATCTCTCTCGGTCTCTTCGTCGAGCGTGTGATGTGAAAGTGAACCACGTCCCGCACTCTGCTCAGTTGCGGTATCATCCTTGGCATTTGCTTCGGTGGTTGCTCGTTGTCGGGCCGTGCTACCCTTAGCACTTGCCCCATCATGACTGGGATCAGCCACTTCATCATCTGCCTCGCTGCGCGCCCAGGCTTGCGCAAGTCTCAACTGCTTCTGGCGTAGATCTTCTAAGGCTTCTGAATGTTTTTCTCCAAAAACGTTCTCACTTGTCACGGCGCTGAGTTCGACCTCCGATAGGGCGCTCTGCATCTCCTGCCAGATGGCGTCGGATCCGTCCACATCACTCTTAGACAGGCGGCGCGATACAAATGGAGATAATAGATTTGGCTTCTCTGCATGTTCGCCTTCATTACCTAGACGAGATCTGTTCCGCTGCGGTGGTGGAGGTTGGCTTCCAGAGGGTGTTGGCAAGGCTGAGGTTGCGGGTGGTACGGATAAGGAGATGTTGGAAGCATTGTGTGATGGCGGACCCTGAAACAACGCCGGTGGAGGTAGTCGCTGAGAATTGGTTGTTTTCCTTGCAAGGTCCATATCCAACGTGTATTTTGTGAAGAAGTCAAGAGTAAAGAGCAACCTTAGAAGTCTTCCAGGGTTAAGTTCAGTTGTACGTGTATGATAACCTTGGACTAGATGCTATCGATAGCCGATAAGCTATCGTTATCAGCTGACATAATACAGGTGGGGGTTACGCCAGTCCCGTGACTCGCTTAGGGCTTACCGCACAAAGTCACCTGAGGCGCATCCAAAGCGAGTGTGGTCCAAGGGAATTCCGGAACACTTCGACTTTTCGACAATCGACCTCCAGCCTTTGGCGACAACACCCCTTCCCAGTCGGTACGTATCATCGATACCCTGTTATTCCTGCCGTCCTATTGTTTGTGTTTCTCGAAATTATTGGAGGATTCTTCGCGAGCTCCCTGATTCCATCGCATCACGCACAAAAATTCGGCTTCCCACAACCATCGACAACCATCGACAATTCTACCACACAACCACCGTTGCAACCGACTCGAGGCTAACATTCTTCTCTTCGCTCAGTTGTACCGTCGAACACATAAACCGCCAACATGGGTAAAGGAAAGCCACGTGGTTTGAACGCCGCCCGCAAGCTCCAGGCTCACCGCAAGGATCAGCGCTGGGCTGACGACCACTTCAAGAAGCGTCTCCTCGGAACCGCCTTCAAGTCTTCTCCCTTCGGTGGTGCTTCCCACGCCAAGGGTATCGTCCTTGAGAAGGTCGGTGTTGAGGCCAAGCAGCCCAACTCCGCTATTCGCAAGTGTGTCAAGGTCCAGCTCATCAAGAACGGAAAGAAGGTCGCTGCTTTCGGTGGGTATCCCTCTACATCTTTTTAACTTGTTCAACGATGAAATTTCTACGGAGTCGAAAAGCAAACGACAAACCAGAACCATCGAACAAACAGGAACCATCCGTCGAACCAAATGCTAACTAGCATCTTCTATTAGTCCCCAATGACGGTTGTCTGAACTTCATCGACGAGAACGACGAGGTCCTCCTTGCCGGTTTCGGTCGTAAGGGTAAGGCCAAGGGTGATATTCCCGGTGTCCGTTTCAAGGTCGTCAAGGTCTCCGGTGTCGGTCTCGCCGCTCTCTGGCGCGAGAAGAAGGAGAAGCCCCGCTCTTAAGCAAGTCAACAAGTTTTTCTTCTTTGTTGTCCGATATCAAAAATGCAGCGACCGGGAGCCTCGGTGTATGGGAAAGGTGCCGGACGGAAAGCCCGCCTCAACAGCGCCTTGATTTCATGAGATCTTTTCTTTTTGGGGAGTCCCCCGGCGGGTTTTTTCGTCTGGAACGTGATGGATACGCTATGCGAATTAAACACGATTGATACAAATTCCAAAAGATTATGGCGCCATGACTTTGTTATCCTTGACTATCCTGACTCTAGATTGAGTTTTGATATACTTAGTACTTGGACGTAGCGTAAAGCCGTAGGGTGCTTGCATTTGACGACTTTTATATACATTGTCACTTGGCATATGCACCTCAGCCCTGCCATCTAACTTTTATGGTTGGACATGTCGAACATGTTCACGCTATCATTTTAGGTTATTAGTGCCTTAATGTGGAGTTGCCCTGCAGATATATTTTGACTGTGATAGCATTTAGTACTGAATGTCATGTCTATATATTCCCTAGACATTCCAGTGGTTCTAATCCTCCCCCCACACATCAATCGTCAAGCATCATTCCTCGGGTATCGTTCGTGCATGTCCCTCAATTTTGGTTATTTTCGTCCATGATCTACTACAGCTGTCTGTCACCTCCGCTTAGAAGCTGATGTCTTCTTTGCGGTAGTGGTCTGACACAATACGGTAGAGGTATGATGGAGCATGACCACCGCTGGAAAAAATGTGTCAGTGAAAAGGCTGGTTAAAACATGGATAATTCAAACTTACAGGTTAGTGATGTAGAGATCCACCAGTTCCGCGGGAACGTAATCGTAGATGGGATTTTGGACATCGATTTGGTCGACAAGATCACCATCCTCATAGGAAAGGACCTTGCTTGCATCGCCGTACTCGATCAGGGAGTCGAAGTCGAAGGGATAAACCGGGCTGAGCTTGTACACTCCGCTCACTACCACAACGGGGGTTTGGTGAACCTTAGCGGCACGGGCGATGACACGGGTACCGGCTGCGGCGACCAGGCCACCGTTAGCGAGAACTGAGTGTGTTCCCAAAATGACCTTATTGACCCGGGACATGAGGGCGAAGACGGCGGAATCTGGGATGAGGATCACGGTGATGCCGTGCTCGATCAATGGCTTCTGGAAAGATTCGAAGCCGATGTTGTCGTCATCCTCCATGCTGCCACCGCTGACGGTAGCGTGTGTAGCTTCGTGGTTATTTGGGTATGATTCGGCGTGAATGACAGTGAACTTGCGCTTGGCAGCAGCCTTGAGCAGGAATTTTTGGACCGTCGTCGACGATGTGTGTGTGAGAATGATCTCGTTCGAGTGAATGTGATCCAAAGCATAGGCAGCAATCTGGTCATCGACCTGACCCAGCTCATCAATAATCTCACCAATACCTTCCAAGACCTCAGCCCGGACGTCCTTGGTGGGAGCGTGGCCAGGAAGGCGTCCGCCTGGGGATAGGGATCCCGGGGTGCTCGGGAGAGAGTGCTCGGGTTCTGGGTGGGAGAGAAGGCTGAACATAGAAGTCAAAGGGGGGCGAGCGGATCTATCCTCGGATCTGATAGAGGTCGGGTCGCTACTCAGAGGCAATGATGGATCTAAGAGTATGTGTGAGTCACCGGTATAGATATTGGACAAGAATCTTGAACTGACCATCATATGCGCGGGGTGTTTGGGGTTGACTCTCGGAGCCAACATCACTGAGGGCGAACTCAGCCTCGCGATCATCTTCCGCTTCGTCGCGAATGAGACCGAGGACTCGGCGCACAATATTGCCTACGACCATCTCGCGCGGTTGCGCGGCCATAAGTCGCTTTCCCACACCTTGCACCCGCTCGATGAGTTTTGCGGAGTCTGCTGTGCGGCATGCTGAGATCACACTGCGCAGCAAGTAAGCAGTTGCTGTGGCACATGAGCGTGAATGGCGGATTTGGCGGCGCTTGAGCAATCTAAATACCAATACTTTGTTAGCAACCCGATCTCGGCGGGGTACTTTGGACGAGCTCGGTCTCTTGATACATACGAAATGAGATTCTCGATAGACGTATCGATTGGGTTTGTCTTAAGAGACTTCAGAAAAGACGCCAGGCCCGGCGTGAGGGCCAAAGACGTGGCCGGCATGACGAAGTGGGATTTCACGTCGTGAGATGTCTGCGCTTATTAGCGGTGTTGGAGCAATCAACTGTACAATCCAAATATTCAACACACTCTGATTTCAATTTCAAACAGTTACAGCCAGGTCAGTAGCTGTAAATGTCCGTCGAGGGGATGTTTTAAGTGAAAGCCCGAACAAAGTGGGAGACAATGAACGATTTTCTGCCGTTTGATCTTGTCCGCTTCCCCACACTCTCCGATCCTCACTTTCTTGTTTCCCAACGCCTTTCGTTTTAAGACTTTCGCTTTCAGTGTTCTTCTTTGGCTCTTTGTGCTTTTTTTAGAGCTTCCTTACATTTGCCGCTTCGAACTCGCGGTTGAAACCGGACTGGAGTTACGGAAACAGTTCCGAGGCACGGGTGACTGGCGCATCGAGGTCGGTACCCAGATAGAACCTCAACATCACGCTCAGCTTACGCCTCCTTGCCCTCCCTTTCTCTCCATATTCCCACCTCATGGGCCGCTTCAAGTGGTTTTGATAATACGCTCACGATCCGTCCAATAGATCGCTGTGCCCCTGTTTCCCGTGGGCCTTTGAGGGAAGATGAACTCGCTGAATATCCTGTCCTCGCGAGTCATTGGCCAATCCTCCGTCTCTCCACGTCCACGATCGCAATCCCAAGGCGATAAGAAACGCGCAACTCTCCCAAGTGACTTGTCGAAACTCCGTTCTTACAGCGAGAATAACTTTCGAGACCTCGACACCGAGAAGAGCTATAACGATGGCCCGCCGCCGGTGGACGAAGACGCAGAGGAGGATACGACATATGGCTTAGACGAAAAGACCTCACTACTGCATGAACCTCATAAGGATAGCACTATCACGACCCGAACTACCTGGCGACTAATCACTCACCGGATTTTCGATGCGATTACAGAAGCCATCAGATTCATTCTATCTACGCTTGCTTCTCCCGGTGTCTATGTGGCACAATGTTTCCAAGCCGATGATGGTCATTATTCCCTGCTTGCGCCGGTCCGGAAGTTGCGGCGCTCCTCTGCCGAAACAACGACCCGGCCGGATAAAGGGGAGAATCGACGGCGGAGTGGCTCCACCCGCAAGCTTCGACCCCAGGCATCACATGAGTCTATGATATCAACTACCTCGGAGTCCGATACAGATCGAAGGCTTTCCAGAAATCACAGCGGAAAGAATCGGCCGACGAAGACGAAAGGCCACGACCCAGATCCAATCCCGGAAGAGAATACACCTCGACGTTCCATACGAATCAAGCTCCATAATGAAGAATCTCACAAACAACAGCGACATCGACGATCACAGAGTGCAGAACTGGGGCCACCGATGCCCGAAGGTGTTTCTCGAGTCCAGGGCGCCGTCCAGCTGGACAGCTTAAAATCCCCGACCTCTGGCTCCATCCACCGTATCACCAAGTACCCGCACTCTCCAACTCCACCCCGCCCACTTCTTCCACAACGGGTGCCTTCGTATACTGCAGCTCCGCGCAATGCCAGACTTCCGCAGAAGACCTTGGTATTGGACCTTGATGAGACCCTGATTCACTCCCTCGCCAAGGGTGGCCGCATGTCCAGTGGCCACATGGTAGAAGTCAAGCTCTCCATGCCTACAACCACTGCATTGTCGCCCGGTGGGCCGCAAACGACGTTAGGGCCTCAGCATCCAATCTTGTACTATGTCCACAAACGACCACACTGCGACGAATTCCTGCGCAAGGTCAGCAAGTGGTATAAGTTGGTCATCTTCACGGCCAGTGTCCAAGAGTATGCCGATCCTGTGATTGACTGGCTCGAACAAGAGCGCAAATACTTCCAAGGTCGCTATTACCGCCAGCATTGCACGTTCCGCAACGGCGCGTACATCAAAGATCTCAGTTCTGTAGAGCCAGATTTGAGCAAGGTTATGATCCTGGACAATAGCCCAATGAGCTACATCTTCCATGAAGGTAATGCTCACGTTTTCACTCTCAACGTAACCAACTAACACCTGCCTCCAGATAATGCAGTTCCTATCGAAGGCTGGATCAACGACCCCACGGACAACGGCTTACTCCACCTGGTCCCCATGTTCGAAGCTTTGCAATACGTTACAGACGTCCGGGCTCTCCTGGCGCTCCGCCGTGGAGAGACCGAGACATAATCACGGGTTTGGCATTTGCATCCACGGATGCGCATGTAGGTGTATAAGGGATTTGTGTTTTTTTTAGAGCGAGGTCCACTTCATGCCAATGATAAAAGAACAAAAAAAAAAGAGAAACAGACGATGGAGCGAATTGAGGACCGACCGACGCGATCATGCTAGCGCAGTTATTCATAATGGGCATTGTGTCTTTTACTATGTTACTAGGAATGGAATGGAAATCCGTACATATGATTCTATTTTACCGGGTATTCTTATACGCCTAACAGTGCCATCAGGTCTTTTTATACCAGACGCTTGACGAGCCTGCGTCTAAATGAGCCGAGTCACATAGACATTGCTGGCTTGCCCTACTTTCCTCTATCCCCAAGTCCCTCCAGAGAGAATAAATCATGGTCTTTATCTCTTCCTTTTGGGTTCTGATATTCAAATATAACCTCTATCTGTTTCTATTTCATTTCCTGGTTATTTTTTTGTCGTACATAAGCAACCTGGTGTGGTATTATGGACCGAAATTGTGAATTTCTTTTGATTATCTGCTTAGTGGAGTCCTATTGGTGTTAAGTTAGTAGAATTGAAGATGAATATGTAGGGGATCAGACGAAATAGATAGGTCATAGTATGTTTGTACTATTAACTTATGTGAATTACAGTGCATCGATCTCAGCAGCAGTAGGAAACCAAAAAAAAAGTCATCTCAGCCGTACAGTATGTCGCTTACGCCCAATGCGATATACAGGGCTAACACAGGCAGCTTTTCCAAGCAATGAACCCCAAGTGACTTTGAATTACCGTCTGATTCGTCGATAATAAATCTCCAGGCAGAAGATCCGCAGTGGCTTGCAGACGCTGGTGCCCGACGCAAGACAGTTGTACAGCTGAGCTCTCCATTCCACGCCCCCTTGATCACAGATTCTCCAGGGGCTGGATCATGTATATTACAATCATGCCTAGACATGCTGAATCTCTACTATTGCACAGATACAGTACTCCCACCATGTCCAAGCTCCCAACGTTTCTCATAATCCTCCTTACCTGCGCCCACGCGCTATGTGCCGATCTCCGGGAGATCTACAGATTTCCCAACGGAACTTGGGTCGAGAACATCGCAGCTCGACCAAACGGCAATCTCCTCGTCACGCTAATCAACAAACCAGAGCTCTGGCAGATCAACCCTTCCATCCGATCCGGCCCTGGCTCTGCACAACTCATCCACCACTTCGAGGAGGCGACACAAATGAACGGCATCGCCGAGCTGGCGCCGGATACCTACGCCGTGATTGCTTCCGACTCTGTCTGGACCATTCGTCTCGGTGAGCATGGCAATGCCTCTAATCCAGAGCATATTGCGACATTCCCGCCGGGACTCTTGAATGGGATGGCTGCTTTGGATGGAGGGAAGGCGGTTGTGATCTCGGATTCGGACCGCGGTCTTATTTACCGACTTGATGTTCGGACTGGTGAATATTCTGTTATACATCAGGATGAGACGATGGCCCCGGCAGATTATCTGGGTTTGCAGCTTGGGATCAACGGTGTGAGGGTTGTGCGCGACTATCTGTACTACAGTAATACGCCCAAGCGGTATTTCTGTCGTGTTCGGATTGATCTTCATACTGGCCAGGCGAAGGGTCCGTATGAAATTATTAGTGATGGTGTTTTATCTGATGATTTTGCGGTTGGGCCTGGCGATATCGGGTACTTGGCTGGGGCTATGGATAATGTCGTTACGAGAGTTTTGCCTGATGGGACTTATGAAGTTATTGCTGGGTCTAAGGACTCGACTGCGTTGATGACTGCTACATCTGCAGCTTTTGGAAGGGCAAGACATGATCGTGGTATCCTTTATGTTACCACTGGTGGAGAGACGGAGCTTCCTGTTAACAGCACTGCTAGTAGAGGTGGAAAAGTCATGGCTCTTGCCATTGACTCTTAGGTGTGAATTTCATGCTGCGTATGCATTGGAGGAATTTGACGAGATTTAGCCAAGACCATACCCAGAGGGTATCCTAGGCAGTGATGATGCTGCCAATACAGTGAGTTATGCGAGAACCAAGTAATTCAAAGCCCTCATTTGTAAACAACCACACATTATTGTCGTTTTGTACATTAGCTTTGCTTTATACGAGCGAGTACCATTGTCTGCTAAAGTCAATCGAAAAGAGGCTTGTTCAGCCTCAAAAAGCCGATTAGTCGATGATGCGACTTTCGAATTAATTCAGATTCAACGCTAGAGCACAGCTGTAAAAAGGAGAACCAAGATCGGACTTAGCCTGTTCAAAGCCGAAGATATGTTCCTGCTGACAAGTGGGGAATTTTCTAGTCTGTGATTGGTGAATGTGGAATTTCTAACTTCTAAACGCGACCCACATTGTTCGAAGTGCCTCTTGGCCATGACGTACCGTAAGCAGACTGCATGACTCTATACACAGATCTAGTGAGGTCCAAGGCTCTTGGCAAGGTGTTCTCAATTGCCTTGGAGCCTCTGGCAGGAGAAGGAAGCATATAGGATTTGTACCTGAATATCAGCACTAATAATCCGCAACCGGATGACCCAAACTTGAAGATTTCTATAGCAACAAATGCAACACTACATAAATCATAGAGTGAAGTATTGACGCACCAAATCCCTTACCATGGATCATGCGGGATGCCGAGCGTCTCCTCTTATCGCCGTCTTGGCACCGCCGTTCTTGTCAGGTTACATTAAGTGGCCATTCTCAGGGCATATAAGTTATAGTATGATAACTCGAACTCCTTGGCTGTGAGGAGATCCTTGGCACTGTTTTATTATAGGAGCAGGAGCTTCTATGGTTTTATCCTGATAAATCGCACCACCGGCCTATAGAGCACAATGCAAACTCGCAAAGCAGTGGCGCCACAACGACGAGAGGTCGACCGGACCTTACGATTCACCAAGGATGGTACATTTCAAATATCAGTATTTAGTGATTTGCATTTTGCAGAAGGTATGCTCCCAGTTTCAACACCGTGGCATGATTTCGTACTAATAGCATGACAGACGATGGAAAGGACAACAAAACACGAGAAGTGATTGGAACAGTGCTCTCATCAGAGGATGCCCAGCTCGTCGTATTAAATGGAGACCTAATATCCGGCGAAGCGGTCAAAAGCGCCAATTCTTCCGGCAAATACCTCGATCGGATCGTGGAACCAGTAATCGACGACGATTTACCATGGGCATCGACATACGGGAACCATGACAGTGAGCTCAATCTTGATCCCGAGGACATATTTCGCCGAGAAAAGACATATCCGAATTCCTTAACGCAGCAGCAAGTGTCGGGCTCTACCGCTGGAATAACGAACTATTACCTGCCAGTCTTTGCACACGATGCTTCGGACGATGCGACGCCGGAGTTCATATTGTGGTTCTTTGATAGTCAGGGTGGCCACTATCACATTGATAAAAACTATAACGGGACCTCGGTTCCGAGGCAGAACTGGGTCGATGATTCGGTGAGTTCACGCAATGTCCAGGATAGAGCAACATGCCTTACTGGCCAGTCCAATGTCCTCCCATTTGGAAGATCTAAACTAACAACCTGCAGGTTCTGCAATGGTTCAAAAAAGCCAAAGAAAATCTCACAGACACATACGGCGACCCAATCCCATCTCTGGCCTTCGTTCATATTCCAGTTTACCCAATGCGTGCGTTCCAAAAGGCTGGTGTGAGTTCGAGTAAGGAACCGGGAATCAATGGCGAACGAGTCCAGCAACAAGGGTACGGCAATGATGGCATCGAATACGACTCTCAGGATAGTTCCTTTATTCAGGCGTTGTTGAACACCACAGGGCTTGTAGCGACGTTCAGTGGTCATGATCATGATAATGATTGGTGAGTTATCAGCCTCCCAATTACCGTTTGCAAGAAGCTTCCCCTATTTGCAACATTTATATCTGGATATGAGCTGATCCCTCATTGGCTTAGGTGCTTTAAATGGAACGGTACACTATCCGGTCTCGACGTTGAAGGGAACGGCATCAACATGTGCTACGGTCGACATACGGGGTATGGTGGATACGGGGACTGGGCTCGTGGGGGCAGACAGATCTTGTTAGATCAGCAGCTGCTTGGAGATGATGTACGCACTTGGGTTCGGTTGGAAGATGGGTCTGTTTCTGGAAATGTCCATTTGAACAACACCTATGGGCAAGATCAATATCGGTTGGTGGAGAAGAGAATGACTGGCCAGGGTGACATTCTTTCTTCGCAGATTTCCTCTGTTGTCTATATCTGGGTATTTTTCTTTTCCTTATTTATGGCTCATAGATATTGAGACTTGTGTAAGGTTCACTCCTTTACTTGCTCTTGCTTTTGGGGGTATATATGATGATTTTGTTTCGTATATAGAATCATCTGATGTTCTTGCACTGTTGTAATGTATCATAAAGAGATGTGATATCTCAGCCTCTATATCATCAATTGATATAGAGTTTATGCCTTGCAAGGAGGCTCCAATAATAAGATCACGTGAGGACGTCCGTGCTTCCATCAAGCATTTTAGCCTCAGCCGCTGTTTCAGCCGCCCAGTGTCTCTTGTCCTCGACCAACTTCGACCTCCGACTGAACTAAAGAGGCACATCAATCTAATGAACAACACATGGACCCTGAGGCCAAACCCCTGTGGGTCAGCACTGCCTGATCGTCAGAACTGGCTCTCCCGCTTCTGACGTCAGAGACCCCTGGATTCGCCCCACTGGGGTCCGGGATCGGTCAATTTGCACACGGAGTTGCAAGGGATTGAGAGCTTGAAAGTCAATAATCAGAGAAGCATTCGGAGAAATCATACAGTACATCCAGTCCACCAGAGATTGGCACACGACTGGGGAAAATTGGAGAGTGTCAAAACATGAAACCATGAGTCCCCCAGAACCACATATTGCTTGTCTCGCACTTACACGCGTTGTGGGCTTGGCATACGTTGAATCTGACCGATGGTGGGTATTCTCCAACCCAACCCAAAGATCCGCAAACAAAAAAACCTCATACTATTCGTCTGCACACAATTGACCCTGGGTTGGTGGGCATTGTAATTTCCACTGAATGCAAGTCTAGGGGCTGGACACCAGGCAACCCTTATATACTGTACGGTTCATCCTCGGCCTTACTGGTGGCAAGATAGATCTACACTGGGCTGATCGGCACACACTTGGTAGTCAGAGGCCAAAAGCTTGCAATTCCCTTGGGAAAAGTGGAGGCCCTGAAACTATTTTTAATTTCATTTGCTCATACATCATTGTCGCATCCCCGACTTTCTCTGTCATGCTAGATCCCATTCTTCCCCCGACCTTCCCCCTCCGCGCCCATTCCGATTCTATTCATGATCGATCTGATACAGAATGCAATTATCTGGCACATGGCCCATCCTTGGTGGCCTGATCACATTCTTGATCTTCTCATGTTCAGTGCGGGCCCTTGAATTAGATACCAGTGATCAAGGTATGGCGCAGTGAACCCGTCTTGCCTGAAGAAGAAATGAGACTAACTTCGCGGTCGAATAGACTCGGTTCAAAATGCCGCCAGTACGACGGTCTACGCGGCCATGAAATACTATTACGGAAATGAGACTGGACAAATTCCCGGTGCTTTCCCCGACAAATGGTGGGAAGGCTCAGCACTGTTCATGGTGCTACTTCAGTACTGGCATTGGACCGGCGACACAACCTACAATGATGAGCTGAGCGTTGGACTGGAGCACCAAAGTGGTGATGACGGAAACTACATGCCCAGCAACTACAGTAGCTACCTGGTGAGAACCACCCCTTTCGCGCTCTTTCCCCAGCCTCTGTACACATTCTAATCATCAAATAGGGTAATGACGACCAGTCATTCTGGGGTCTTGCGGCAATGATGGCAGCTGAATTGCAGTTCCCTGATGTCTCCGATGGAGGGTTCTCCTGGCTTTCTTTGGCTCAGGGAACCTTCAATTCGCAAGTTAAGCGATGGGACACCACAGCATGCGGTGGTGGACTTCGGTGGCAGATCTTCCCTTATCAGTCCGGATACGCGATGAAAAATACCGTATCCAACGGTGGTCTATTCCAATTGTCTGCTCGTCTTGCTCGCTACACGAATGATAAGAAATATTCCGATTGGGCGGGAAAGATCTGGGATTGGACCGAGGATTCAGTTCTACTCAACAACCAGACATGGTATGTTGCCGACTCGACTGATATGTCCAATGATTGCAAGACCAGTGGCAACTACCAGTGGACATATAACTACGGTACTTACATGATGGGCGCTGCCTACATGTACAATCTGGTAAGTTGCATCTTCATAATACAACTCGTGCTATGTACAACATACCGCAAGTTAGCAACAATCACTAACAACACACAACAGACTAATGGTGATGATATTTGGTTGACACGCGTAAACGGCCTCCTCACCAAAATGTCCAAGACATTCTTCATCAACAACAACGTCCTGGAGGACGTAACCTGCGAACCAACAGAACAATGTAACAACAACGAAATCCTCTTCAAGGGACTCGTATCATCATGGCTTGCATTCACAGCACTCCTCGTTCCATCAACCTACGACACAATCGTTCCAAAGCTACAAAGCTCCGCTCAGGCCGCCGCAAAATCCTGTTCCGGAAAAGGCAACAACACATGTGGTGTGACGTGGTATAAATCCGAATATGACGGCTGGCAAGGAATGGAAGAGGAAATCAGTGCCTCGAATGTCTTCCTCGCCAACATGATCAGCTTCGACAATGGCAAAAAGGGGCCTGTGACGGCTGATAGTGGTGGTAATAGTACCAGTGACCCGAATGCGGGTGAGGGCAATGGCGACGACTCGTCGAGCAATATGCTCGCTCCTATTAGTACCGGCGACAAGGCCGGTGCTAGTATTTTGACTCTTATCTTTGTCTTTGGGTGGGTTGGTGCCATGGGTTTCATGCTTATTGGTGGTTGATTTATCGGGTATATACTCTGTTTTGTTATGCATTGGTTGTGATTATAGGAGGAAACTGGTTTCGGTAATGTATATATAGAGGTTTCTTTTTATCATTCAAACATTTACATTCTATCCTAGAATAATTTTGTAAATAGATCTTCTTGGGAGTGCGTTTACTTCACTTGAGTTACGAAAATTGATTCATTCGTAACATTATTATATTCTTAAGTATCCTGTGTTGACCTGCGCTGGACGCAATGCCGGTGAAATACAAACACTAGCTGCTCTGAGCTCTGAGCAGAGCTACATTTTTAGAGCCTAGGGCGTAGATTCCACCTAATACTTCATTGGCCGCAAAGATGTTACTCACTGTCCCAGCTAAGTCATCTGTAATTGATTGAAGTGCCACATGGTTTTCAAGACCACTCCTGCCTAAGAACTTACGGTGATGATATAAAAGAGTTAATTAATGTGGCTGTCATAGAAAAGACGCAATGCCCAGGTCTTTCTTCACTTTTAATGGCTCCATTCACTTACGGTCTATACTTACAGCTTTCTTTGATCCAGCACCTTTCTTTGATCAAGTTAAATCTAAGAGCAGCTTAGCAGTCAGCGTAATAGAGATTCCGCTTGGCATGATTTCGCTGACGTATGGAGAGACTGGTTGATCTGCACGAGGTTAGAGGGCTGATATTTGCAAAACAAGAGTCAACTAAATGCCCGTAATAGAGAGCTTTCACCTCCCCTTCTCCTATTAATTCAGTCGTGAGTGAAACCTTCTCGCTGGAATTTGATCTATTTTTATCCATGTGTTTCTTTGTGGCAGTTCAAAGAAAAGACTTCGGCGTGCTCAGACACTGCCGAATTGTTAGACAAAGCGAAGTCGCAGCTTAGCCAACCATTTGCGATTCAAGCCCTCGAAGCGATGCTCTTTGTTATGCTAGCTTTTCCAAAACATTAATTTCACCGAGTTTCCCATTTCTGTTCTTGCTCATCTAGTTTTGCTGGTCTCATAATTAGTTGAGTTTTCCATGTTTAGCCTGCTCCATTCACAAAACACCATTCAAGTTATTATTACCACGTCTTATTCTAAAGATGGCACGACGGTACAACCTTCGCCGGAGTACTCGCTCTCGACGGTTGAGACACCATCGACCAACAGGCGCTCCCCAAGATCCGACTCCACGACTTCAGCTCGACATGGAAGATCTAGACCTGGATAAATCCTATTCTAAGCTCAACAGGTCAGATTCAAGCCATCGGCCTGAAAAGCAGAGACAATGGCAAAAATGGGACGAAAAGGAGCCTCTTACGGATCCAGCCAAACTTCCGAAAGGTTGGCATATGAATGAGCCTGACCTTGCCACTGAGTGAGTATTGACTTGTCTGTTGTATGTGGGAATTTGTGTGCTAAATGTGTTTAATAGTGATATAGAAAGCCAAATCAAAAGATGCCATGAGAGAATCGCGGAAAATATAATGCCTCATATTTTTCAGCAGCGACTGAAGGAGTATGAGGCCGCAAAGACCGATAGGGAGTAAGGGATCGCTTTCACTGGCAGATTCTTGAAGATTGCTGACCATTTTCTTTTCCAGGCAGAAAAGATCCTCTGAGGATGAAGGCCTTGACGATGAAGTCAAAGACCGATTACATTACCTAGAACTTGTTTTGAAGGACCTAGAGGAGAAATCTGTCAAACATAAGCAGATTCCTAATATCAAAGCTATTATGGAAGCATATAGACAGCGCCAACTCGATTGGGATGGTATGTTAGTAACCTACTGGTCAAATGGAGACCAGCTTTGCCAACCAAGACCATTCGATTGGGATGAATTTGAAACGATCAACAAGGCCCACAATGGCAAAGAGGGATTTTGGACAGAAGGAGTACGTGTATGTCACTGGTGTTTTTAACGCATTTCGCTCAACTTTAAATTTCAGTTACATTCGGCCCAGGGCAACTATGCTTCGACGATTATGGGCCCAAGAACCCCAAGCCACCACACTCCAGTATGGATCTTCCTCCCACTTTGTCCACTTGAACATGCCCTAACTTGATGCGTAGATGAAAATTGCTCTCCGTGCTCCAGGACAGGCATGGTTTGCCGAGCTTGACTATCTCCATGACACTGGTTCCTCCTGTATGTCAATCTATGAAGAAGACTTTGTCCATATCGTTCATCCAAACGAAGCACCATATCTTCCTGTTGTCTGTGAGCAGCGAGTAGGCGACAGTCATGGAAACTTTCAAACTACTTTAATTGTCGAACTTGAGGCGACAATTCTTGATGCGAATCGCCACAGGATGACAGCCTGGACTAGGGTCCCATGTGGTGTGAATCCGGGCAGATTCAGCCCCACCGGTGTTCCCCGACTCGATGGACCCTGGGTAAGAGATTTGTTATATGTTGGGGGTGCCCCGGACGGCCAAGGCCTTATGTGCCTCGCGAATCGCTTGGTCGACCTCAAACTACCAGACCTTGATCTGGTCAAGAACCCACCACTAACATTGGCACAAGGCCGATACAAGGACCCTAATGTTTCCAAGCAGGTAGCAGGGCCTTATCCAATATTAAGACCTCGAGGGTACTTTTACAAGAAGTGGAATTGGATGCCAATGCCACCTGCGGCGCCTGGAGCCCCTTCTTGATGAACAGTGTCGCTTGTCTCCCATGAAGCATCGATTTAATATTTCTGTGGTCTTGTCTTGAACTCTGTGTACATTTTCGAATGAATCCTATGTTACGATCTAAGACTTATCCCCTGTCATTTCTTGTGTTGTATCCCTTTTCTCATTTCACTAAGTTAGTCAAGCCCACCTTACCAAATAAATTTTCATAAAACCCGTATCCCATTTCCTCTGAACTTATATTCGTGAGTACCCAGTTTCAAACATGACCATCAATTGCCTTATCTTCCCAAGGTCCCTTTTTTTTCTAAAAATGAACGCGCAGTAACTGTCATACTATACCATAGATTTAGCTCTCCAAGGCTGTCATAGGGATTGAAAAGGGCATGAAATACATTTATTTATTTCAGATCACCAAAAACTCTCCAACAAAGTATTCATATTTTTAAAAGTGGCAGTAGACCGATTTTCCGGATGTAGTGGCTGTTTGGATGTTGTGTTGCATTCCTGGCCACCGCACGCGGCACTGTAAATGTCAAGGGCCGCATATAGTATACCGCAAGAATGCCAGGCAAGACCACTTCATATTGCATTCAATGATTTATTAATATCCAAATGAATCGCATTTCACAATTCCGAGGCAGATAGCCCATCATTCACCCGGGCATAATCACATTGGCGCATCTCACCATGGGTTCTCCAATGCCCCAAAGGACCTACAGGATATTTTCGATCATTATTGCGCTTTTCATTTCTTACATACTATTTTCACTCCTGATTGGAAACACCCCAGAAACTCTATGGCCGCAGAACCTATCCCGGTTTTCGCAAAGTGGCATTCGCGATGGAGCGCTCGACCGCATCTCCAATGGCACCCTCGGGGTGAGTACTCAGTTCTTACGAAATGCGTGATTGACAAAATCAATTTTAACCTTTCCGTTATTACCTTAGTTCGAGCACGTATATGCTATTGGCTTGAAAGAGCGTACAGACAAGCGCGATTTCCTCACGGTATCAGCCGCGGTTTCTGGCTTTCAAGTGGAATGGCTCGATGGTGTTCGACCACAAGAACTACAACAGAAGGCACTACCTGAGGTATGCAATTACATGAGGGACTTGCAGAGTCTCTGCTGATTCTGAACGTAGGGTTACAACCTTTCAGTGACGGACCCCAATGCGATCGGATGTTGGCGAGCTCACATGAATGCATTGAGCAAGTATGTTGATATCTCTTATTCTCTATTTGGGTCATTTTTCCTAATTCTTACTGGTGAAAACTTAGTGTTCTAACAAACTCATATTCAACCGCCTTGATACTTGAAGACGATGCCGACTGGGACGTGAACATCAAATCCCAACTCCAAGAATTTGCTCACGGCCTACACTCTCTGAAAGGAAGCAAACCAACTGAGCAGACTCCTTATGGAACCGACTGGGATCTACTTTGGATTGGAGGATGCGCGTCAGGGCCAGATACGAATGAAACCCGATACTACGCCATACCCGAGGACCCAACAGTCCCGAGTGTCAAAAATCGCGGTACATGGTCCGGACCCCTTGACAGCTGGAAGGAAGTCTTTCCTGAAGACTCAACGCGGTTTGTCTACCGCGCCAGGGAAGGCTGTTGCACCTATGGTTATGCCGTCTCAAACCGAGGGGCGAAGAAAATCCTCACTGCTCTCGCCATTGACCACATAGAGGCGCCGGTCGACAATGCCATGTCTGAATTGTGTGGTGGTACTGGTGATCGTCAGCGGATTGAATGCTTCGCGCCATTCCCTAACCTAATCGGCACATATAGACCAGCGGGTCCGGCATACAAAGATTCAGATATCCAGAGCGGCGACCAGACAATTCACGAAGAAGTTGCCCATAACATGGTATACAGCACGAGGCGCAATATACACAGACTGATATCTGACGAGGAAATCATTATCTCGCAATGGGGCAAGGAGTCTTGGTCACCAGCAGAAATCCGTCCCAAGGAGTTTGTCTACCCACAAGGCTACCTTGTTAACTAGTTTGGTTGCTACACTCTGTATTCTGTGCTCTATTGACTTATACTTTGTTTTTATTCTAAATGAGGTCCTTTGTTGTTCAATACATGTATCAAGAGCGGCAGCCACTTTGTTAAAACGCAGATATCGTGAAGACAGCGATTTTGCAGGTTAGCTAAGAGAAATGGTTGTAAATAGAGAAGTGGCCAATGGAAAAATCTAAACAAATAATATGAAAAGAAAAGTACTACTTCCAACGTTACTTACGACGTTTGCGGAAAGGGGTGGTATTTGCCCTATCCGCAAACGTTAGTTGACCGATGAATTTTGTGTGATATAGGTACAAGTCTATCCTATATGTGAATTTTCTCAGTTGTCCTCTGCTGAGCAGAATCAAAGATGTTGACCTCGTTCCGTGAGCTCAGGTCAAAGCTCAAAGGGGCAGAGGGGTGGTCTCGCCTGCCATCCTTGACCGGCTACTCGTCACCAGAAACAGAAGAGACGAAATCGTTTGAAGAAAGTGATAATTCAGAGCTTCAGCCGCTCAAGCAGCCAGCAGATGGCGAGCGCAGAGCCCCTGGAAAGCTTCGCCTCGTGCTATCCATCACAACCAATGTTGTTTCGACAGTCTCTATAGTAAGCCTTACGAGAGCCGCAAAGCTTCTCATCAGCTAACAAATTCAAGGTCTTCACAAACAAGTACATTTTCTCAAACGAAACACTTCGCAATTGCCAAATGGCATTCGCATCCTACCACTTTTTCATCACCGGTCTCACTCTGTGGGTGATATCCCAACCCTGCTGCGGGGGTTTTGTCGCCAAGTCAATTCCTCTATACCGCAACATGCACTTAATAGTTCTTATGGCCGCTCAAGTCATTCTCCAAAACCTCTCTCTGGCCAACTCGTCGGTCATATTTCACCAGCTCGTGCGACTACTACTCACACCGGCAACCGCCCTCGTGGGATTTCTACTCTATCGGACCGTCATTCCAAGAGCCTCCATACTTCCAATGATAATTTTGATAATGGGCGTGGGGACCATCTTCTGGTTTGATACACGATCTGCGACTAATACGGCCGTCGCAACGTCGTCCAAGGGTGTTATTTGTGCATTTGCCGGTGTGCTTGCCAGTGCTATCTACACCGCACTTATTGGAAGCTATCAGAAAAAGCTACAAGTAAGCAGCATGCAGCTTCTACTTAACCAAGCACCGGTCAGCGCGGGCTTGCTTCTGTGTATGGTCCCTTTTCTAGATGCCCCAGCTGCAACTACTGAGCTTTCGCCATCATTATACCTCGCAATCTTTGCGGTGAGTTGTTTATTTTATTTCGAACAAAACCCCCCAATTTCGGATGTCAGAAGCAATTACTGATGTTTTTCATTCTCTTCAGAGTGGTTTCTTCGCTTGCCTCGTGAACGTGTCCCAATTCGCCGTCATTGACGCCGTGGGTCCTGTTAGCAGCACAGTCATTGGACATTTGAAGACCTGCACGATTGTCGGCCTGGGTTGGTACCTAAGTGGTCAGCCTATCGCAAGACAAAGTATTGCCGGGCTTGCTCTGACTCTGCTAGGAATGGGCTTGTAAGTCTGGCCTTCTGCTTGAATATATCCAATTCTAACCGTTTGAACAGATACATGGCCGCTGTTCTCAAGAGTCGCCGTTGAACGTCCGCAATTTTATGATTTATGACTTCGAGGCTGCGGGATTGAATCTTGTGACAAATTTATCCCGTTTCATGTATTGTTTTATTTATACTTAAAGTTATCTTTCTTCGCCTCATTCATTTCCTGTTTCAATTGCCTCGCTTTCGCTATCTATATCAGATACAGGAAGCGTGAAAAGGCCACTACCTACCTTCTGATACATTATTTACCCTATTTTGGCTCATCTTTTAAACATTTCTCCTATCATCTCTCTACCACGGTAGGCTAATTATTCACTTACAGTAGATGATAAAAGTTCGAGATGTAAAATAATTCATTGGTCTTGTTTTATAAAGCCGCAAACAAATGCGTAATGCTTCCATGTATCATAGTTCTATCACTCTAAAAATCGTCTAACTAATATGTTAAATCGAGTATTCCGCGTCATGACAATCTCAGGTGTCAAGCTGTTCAGCTGCGGCGCAACCTGGTGCCAAGCGTGATAAGCAAGCTGATTCGGGTACATGCTGCCATTATTGCTGGCAAGGGTTTGTTCAAAATCCCAAGCCTGGGTATCAGTAAGCAGCTCGTGCATATACTCAATAGCGTCCCAACTTGGCCAGAAGAACACCGATGGTGCCAGCTTGCAAACTTCTTCAGGGAATTCCAAAGACCACTCCTTTGGCAGCATAACCGAGTGAGTGTTCCACTCGCCCACCTCAAACGTGCTGTAACTTTCCTTCCAGCGTTTCATGAAAGCGGAGCCCTTTCGGCCCAAAATGATGCCGTTGCAAAGTCCGAAGCGGGTGAGACCCTCTTGGCCGAGGACCATGTCTTTGGGGCTATGCAGCAGGTTGTCAAAGGGGTGCAGCGAGATGATATCGGTATCAAAGTAGATGCCACCGTCGCGCTGGAGTATGTCTAGCCGCATCACATCCGAGACATGCGCTAGATGCCAGTTTTCCTCCACTTGTCTCGGATATTCTTGTTTCATGTCATGGTGAACCAGGGTAATATTGTCGCGCAGCTTGATCAGCCACTCGTTGTTTTCGTTGAGATCTGTGTAGTGCAGATTCAGTTGCTCTGGCTGGAGAGATACCAGTGCTGACCGTATGGCTAGATAGCTCACAAAGGAGAGTTCTGTCCGGTTGAGCCATATAAAGTTCACTATCTTGGGAATCGGGCTGGAGGACTTGATCCCGCTTGAGAAACAGTGTCGCTCTTCCGGAGTCTCCTCGGGGTAATCGGCATGTTCGTCCTTTGGCTTTTCCAACTCTGAAGAAGAATGCGAGCCCTGGATCAGTTGTGCAACAGTCTCGTGGGTAGCATAGGTTTCGCTTGAGTCCTTGTGTTGCCCAGCTCTCAAGTGGGAATAGTATGTTGCCAGATCATGATATCCAGCAGAAACACGACTGAATTTCCAGTCTGACGGCGAAGAGGGGTATGCGATGTATAGCACGGTCACCAAGGCAATCACCAGAATTAAGAGCTTGGAGAGAAGACTCAATCGAGGCATCTCGAAAGATTGAGATACCCTACACCCGTGAGGAGCAAGGGGTCAAGGAAAAGATATCTGTCATAATATTTGCTTCAGGCTGTTGATATAGTATGAGCAAAAGCGTCGTCGATGCTCCACTGAAACATTCAATGATACTGTAGCATACGCCGGATTGGGCATTGCAGCCGTTTGAGGCTTTCGGCTCAAGTCGCTATCAAACGATCCAACACCGTAAATAGTTGAACTCAGCCTAGGCCAATCAATCTGTGAGCTAGTATTCATGCCATGTATCTTGAGGCCTATTTCTACCATAATTATCACGAAATATGAAGTCTTGGCATGAATTAATCATGCCTTGTTTTGCAGGCATCAACATATCCGAAAACAGGTGGAATATTTTGACCTACAGCTCATTATTATTTGCACTTTTTGCGTTAATTATCATATTTTTCACCGCTAATATATAGCAGCTAGCATGCACCATTCACGACTTTCAACAAGTAAAAGGACAGCCCCAGACAGTGGCAGGTAATGAGCTACGCACCCCAACCAAAACGCGTCATTTTATTGGACCTTCCTCCTTTAAGCACCTACCATGCCACTAATTTGTACTGATTATTCTTAAGAATTTCGGGGTAGAAGGGTAGAATGTTCTTAGCTATATGGTTTATTCAGAAACAGCAATCTACCTCTACTGTATACGCGGAGTAGCGCGCTGTTTGGATGTACCCAAATCCACACTCCGTGCGCGCCTCGATGGGGTTTGAATCCGCGCTAAAACCTGCGCTAATAGCTATAAATTGACAAAGATCAAAGAGAAGTCGCTTTTCAAATGATTTCTTTGAATTGATTATCTCAGAGGAGCCGTTCGACACTCGACTGTACGAGGAATAGCCAATCTTCCACTCGTATCACGTGGATCCACTCTAGTCCTTTTAGTTGGTAACTGTTACGTTATGTAATTCATGAAAAGATATTTTAACCTATCGAGTGAATTCTCGAGGCGCTACGAGTATCATCGTGGCATAAATAAATTGATACGACTCGACATGATCTTCACGGACATGGCGATCTCCGAGATGCCAGCCACCAGCTGAGAACAGCAAATATTACTACGAAAAACAGACTCATTGTACAGAATGTTCCTGAATCAAATGGACCCTTGCTTGAAGCTGACTCTAGCTAGTGTTACTCTTCATCGCTTTAGTCTCCGATGTAACACTATGTACGGAGTACATGCGGGAAGTACAAAGAAAGCGTATTGAATGGCGTATGTGGCTCATCTCAAAGTCGATCTCTGACAGAACTTTTCCTCCGTTGTTGATTCTTGATTGCATGGTCTTAGCGCTTTCGCCAAACATAAGCCTGATTGCGCTGGTCAAATTCCTTGGGCTTGAGTTGTAACGTTACAGTATACCCACTGGTTAGCTAAGACGTTGTCCTTATGAATTGCAATGCCTAAAGAACGTCCTACAAGTATTCTACTCAGTAGATCTTCAAGCGGCACGGGATTAACCCCTGCATGATGTGGCCCAGTTCGTGACCAAGTCATACGAGTTGGGGTACATATATCACAATGCAGGTATCAATAGTTCATGCATGTCTCAGCTCGCCATCATGAAATGTTCATGGCTGTCGAGTTTCCCACATACAGTAAAATAATCAATATAAATATATTAGTATCAGCGTGTTTATCCTCGCACCTCCAATCTCCCCACAACCCACTATCTACCTCAATCCCACTCCCAATCCTCATATCAACAACATGAAGGCCTTTTTCGGACTTGGCGCTCTCGCAGCCCTCTGTAACTCTGTTTATGGCCTGACTAGTGGAACCTACACAATCGAATCCGTCATCTCTCAGGGAAACTTGGCCCTGACTGCCCATAGTAGCTCGCCCGGCATCCCTCTCGACTTTACTGAAAAGCATGGCGACAAGAGTCAGATTTGGGACTTCCATGCAATCACCGATGATGCAGACAACAAATACTTCACGGTCCGAAACCTACGTGGTGCCTACATCGACTGTGGTACCGAGCAAGGCTCTTCCTGTGTCACCGGCCAACGCTCTCAGGCTTTCACCCCAGAGTTCGTGGGCGATGGCAAATATGAGCTCGTTGCGGAAAACTCCGGGTATTTCTTGCGTTCCAGTGATGATGGACAGTTGCTATTAGATGGATATGACGGAAGTGACTCTGAGCGCTTTTTCTTGAGACCGGCTCAAGGTCAGTGATGTGAATCCTTGTTTCAATTTTGGTTTGATGCTGATACTTGAATAGTTGAGTAGAGTAGTCTTTGTCACGTCAATTCCATGAAATATGAAAGCAAGTGGTTTTTTTACCTTGCTACGAAGTGCTTTAACTTAACTGATACTATCATGTTGACTCAAATAAAGTCCTAAGTCTACTCTATGAGCAAATCCAACTCTGATTACAGATCTCACCTTATTTTCTCTCGAGTCTACTTTCATAACAGCCTAGGCTGGGGAGAATTTAACGTAAAAAAGTGGTTGGCCTTTGCATTCACATCACGATATGGGGAAAACCCTAGACTCTAGGGCGAAAACCCAAACCAAGGCACCCATGTGTAAAATAAAACCGAAATCCTATCTTGCTCATAGAGCTATGACAAAGAGCACAACCTTTTTTCTCCAAAATTTTGAGGCGTTTCTTGAATGCGATAATCAAGATTAGCAGTGAGACCGCAGTCGAGGTTTTGTCCTCATACCGTGTTCCATTCTTCAAAGACCGAAAAGATTCGATAGCTGGTAAGCTTGATTAATATCATAGTTCGGATGTTTTTGGGGTTAAGGAGAAATGCTCACCACTTTTCTAATCCCAGTTCGGTCGTTCCTGGGTTTCGCAACTGATTCTTCTTCGCGGTCGACGTTACCTACCAACTAAAGGTAATAATTGTATCAGTTGGGTTGCTCGAGCGTTGAAACTGATATGTAGGGAATTTCTCACATTCTAAAAATAAATAAAATCATCAGTTCTGCGCATTGAGGTGAATTGTTAGACTTTGATTGTCTTACCTCCTATACAGCGGATTCTTGTAAGTCTCACGATCGAGTAGCAGTTCAACTTTGGGTCTCAGATAACTCACGGTCTAGGATGGTTAGCATTGAGTATATGAATTCATAGGATATACATACGCCCTGTAATTGCAGATCACTCATCAGCTCTGTCTACCAGCAGTACAATCCTGAGATTCGGGGTAATAACTCACTTCCTAGAAGAGGAGATTCGGTCAATATCAATTTCAAATTCTCGGGATTCATACGGAACTCACGGTCTAGCATTGTCATGTCCATTAGATTCCAGGTTGTTGCCGAATTCAATGGAGTTGTGGCACTCACCAACTGGCGAATCGCAGTCAGTCATATAAGCACGCGAAAGATCTTTGATACCGAATATAAACTCACTCTCTTTTTTGATGGTTAGTGAGGCTCAATTGCAATGGAAGATGTATTTTCTTGATAATGTGACTCACATCCTAAAACAGACATTTGTTAGCGCCCTCTCCCAAGAAATTAGGTGAGCGACATCGAGATCATTACTTACCAACTGTATTTACCATCCGTGTTAGGTTCTGATTTGATCAGGTCACCTATAAATGAAGCGCAGGAGTACTCACAAGCTAAATCATCAAGACTGTCAGTATTTTTCCAAGGATCGTGGACCAATTCGGTAAACTTACACTCTTTTGATAAACGACCCCGTAAGCTTTTGATCGAACATCATCGTTTTTTCTGCAGACTTTCTATTTCACTCACATTCTAAATTGAATGTGTTATCAGCAATGTTTTCTCGATCAAATGGCCCTGCGTTGACCAACTAAGAGCCGAGAAGACTTACTATCTGTAGGTGTCAAACGTGTTAGTTGACCGTTGAGTTTGATTTGCTTTGCTGGAATCATAACTCACAGACTATACATATCAAGCGATGTAAGAATCCACCTTGTTATATCCAATCTCTTTGTGGGATACTTACAGGCTATGGCCAGTTATGTCAGCCCCGGCTTTAATAATTGAAAGAATCTCCTAGAGGCTGGAATCAAGTGTGTACTCACAACCTATCGAGTCCATCTATGTTAGGGTCACGTCGAAGATGTTGGTATTTTGGTGAGAGAATCCACTTACAAGCTTTAATCCCATTAGTACTGATTAATCGTCATGGTAAAATCAAGTATCTTACCGGGCGTTCAAAGACTTCTTTTTCAAGCCTATCACTTTTCATAATCGGGGCTGCAAGGGTGAAACCAAAAAGTAACATGATCAAGAAAAAGATGGGCTGCATGTCTGCTGTGTCGGGTGTACCTAAATCTGTTATGAACGGTTAGAGGGGGGGGAATAAACGAGATGCGTCGAGTCGGTAGGTCGGGAGGGAAAGTTGAATAGATTGTGAGCAAGCCAGACTGGAAATGACATCTTCTTTAAATAATCCAATTGGATCGTTGTCAACAGACAACGGTCAAATATTGACCCCCTGCTGGTGGCTCATTTTCAATTCGCGAACCACCAATAGAAATGGCTAATTCAAGCCTTTGCTGATATTGCGAAGGTTTTGGCTTACACATATTTGAGAGTCGCCCATGAAGTTCTGGCCGTTGCAAACTAGGGCTGTCATTTTAAGGGTCCGGGGGTGAGGAATTTGTCAAAAAGCTTCTCAGCCCGTTGTTTCTGTGTTTAAAGTTAAACGGACATTCCATTGACCAGAAGTCCAATCAACGTTTTACATTCTTCGGCTTATTGGTCATATTTTGGCTGTGCATTTTGGAGGGAAAAGGCGATTTGCTCTGTCGCAGTTGCTCTAGATCTGTTTGTTTGGTGTCTCATTCTTGTACAAGTTCAATTGTCGTTCGACTTGGGACCTGTGATTCGAGTGTGATACTTCTAGCGAAGCAACCCAAGCAATGCACAGGGCCGGTGTCCCACGTCCTTGTTGTTAATGCTATGCAATATTAGCAGACTAATGATGGATGTGGACATTTTCTCTCAATAAATTTGGATCTGACCCAGAAACATGACACACTTCACTCACCAGACGTATATATATAAACCTTGTAGGTTGACACATCTGAAGGAGTCTTCCGCCGCGGCCCAAATACGGTTCCTAATATATACTTAGGCCTTGAATTAATATGTCAAAGCTATAATCAAAGAAAAAGACCACTATAATACCTCCTATCTCCAACATTGTAAATCGATACGCAAATCTATAGATCAATTATAACGTTTGACGAGATGTCTTGGCATGACTTGCTGCAGGTACAACAACACATTAAGGAAGCCGCAAATATCAGCAGCCAATCAGCAATTCCAGCTGTTTGATGTCTTAGCATCATTGGTCTAGTGGTAGAATTCGTCGTTGCCATCGACGAGGCCCGTGTTCGATTCACGGATGATGCACATCTTTTTTTGTTTTTGAGCCTTTGCTTTTGAATCCTTTTTTATAACCTGTTATACTAACTCGAGACTAGAAGATACTAGCAGCTGGACCCAATTAACCCCTCCCACGGAAACAAGGAGGAAGATCTACAACATTGACGTAGCTCCGAGATCTTAGGGCCACCAAGCCCAACTCGAATCCACGAGTGGAGCACCCAACTTTATGGCTCCAGAAACTATTGTAATGGCAATGATGAACCTGTTCAAAGTCCACCAAGATGGACCCTCCGATCGTCGTTGTATCACCGCCGATGGGTACCTGACCAATTTGTTCAACGCAGTCAATGCAGGGGGCAAATATTTCTGCCAATTCAATCGGGACTATCATTGCCCTTTTACCCTCAGACAGAATTCCAGAATCTACACAAAACATCCACACCAATTGAATCAGACAATAATCTATGTTTCGCCAAACACACAACGCCTGAAATGTCCGAAACCCCCGATGTGTCGGATCAAAAAGTGATATTAGTCGATTTCGAGGGCGACCATCCTCAAGACTGGCCAGCAAAACGAAAATGGATCATCATGGCTACCATTTCGATCCCGCTATTCTTGATGCCATTGTCGTCGACGATCACCACTCCCACTGTCGGCTCTATTGAGGAGGAATTCCACGTCTCTTCTTCGATCACTGGTCCCTTGGCGTTGTCATTGTTCTTGCTCATGTACTCCATGGGTCCAATCCTGCTCGGTCCATGCAGTGAGTTGTATGGACGATGGCCTGTATTGCAGACTGGCAGTTTAATCTACCTAGCCTTCAATATTGGGTGTGGGTTTTGCACAAGTATCACCCAGCTATTGGTATTCCGTCTCTTGAGTGGAGTTGGTGCTAGTGCATCCCTGGCTGTAAGTGCATCTACACTCCACTACCTCTATTGTTTGACCAAGATCTAATACTGCTCCAGGTTGGCGCGAGTATGGTTGGTGATGTGTTCCGCAAAGAGGAACGAGGCCTCCCTGTTGCTCTGGTTAGCCTAGGTCCAGTCTTAGGATCATGCCTTGGACCCCTTGTTGGCGGATTCATCGCAGACTACACCACCTGGCGGTGGGCATTTTGGTCAACATCCATTTCCGCAGGGATATTTCTTGTTCTTTGTCTCATCACTGCGCGAGAGACATACGCTCCTATTCTCCTTCGACAGAAGAAGAAAGCCATCATGCAAGAAGCCAAGCAACAGGGCAAGGACCACGACTTCATCTGGAAGACGCCATATGAGAAAGATGAAACCGTTGGCCAGCTCTACCGACGCACCATCTCCAGATCGCTATTCTTCCTCGGCACACAGCCAATTATCCAAGCTCTGGCATGTTACTACGGCTATCTCTATGGGATCGTCTACCTTCTTCTCTCTAGTTTCTCAGACCTATGGACCAAACAGTACCATATGGCAATCAGCACCGGATCCCTCAACTACATCGCACCCTGCTGTGGGTACTTTATCGGTGCCCAAATCTGTGCTTTTGGAACCGATCGTGTCTACAAGTATCAGGTAGCCAAGAACAACGGTGTTGGGAAGCCGGAGTTCCGTCTACCAATTATGGTCCCGGCCTCTCTACTTGTCCCTATTGGGTTGCTCTGGTATGGCTGGAGCGCGGAGTACAAGACACATTGGATTGTGCCTGATATTGGCATTGCACTTCCTCTGATGGGAGCCACAATCATCTTCCAATGCGTCAGTGCATACCTTTTGGATACATTCCCCGTGTACGCAGCAAGTGCCAACGGCGCTGTCTACATTGTGCGAGGATTGACTGGGTTCGGCTTCCCCTTGTTCAGCCCCGAGATGTATGCAAAAGTGGGATATGGCTGGGGGAACACCATCCTAGCACTCGTGGCATTGGTGATCGGTTGTCCCATTCCATTTATCCTATGGCGATATGGAGAGAAGCTAAGGGCAGCAAGCAACTATGCAGATCAAACTAAGTAAAATAATCAAGTTAGAGTAAATTCCAACCTCGTCAGCTAATTATGCTTCTAATTTTCACTCTTCATTCATGCGCACAATCTCCTTCATCATATCATAACACACTTTCTCATCGACATAACCATCCTGCCGGTAATCCTCATGTCGACTCACAAACTCCCTCATCCAAGACGCCGGCGTTGGCATCTCCCCACTGGCCCGTTTCCCCACAACATCCAAGTACGGCGCAATCCTCTCCTGCTCCGCCAGCGGCATCTCGCTATACTCAAGATAATACCGCACCAGCGGTATCAACCCAGGGAACCCCCTATGATCCGCCTCCCCGTTAAAAATCTCATCAGCAGTCAACAAAGCAGAATCCACACCCTCAACACGAGTCTGGGCCTTTTCCTTGCACGCCGATCTCGCCGGCCTAGGCAGATGAGTCGACTCAGCCAACCACCCCGAGTGACGGAACCATAAGCGTTCGTCAAGGACTGCGTTGCGCTTACTCGCAAACTCCATTGACTCTCCCACTTTATCAATTGGGATATAGAAGTTCAAATGGAGAGCCACAATTGCCCTCGAGAGGAGGTAAGTGAATATGGCAAAGGCAGCATTGTCCCTATCTGTGAGTTGAGCCTCCATTGTTCGGAACTCGACGCACCAGCCTGGTCCGCTGTCCGAGACGGGGGGTTTGAAGCGCACTGAGTGCCATGTGCAGCCGTGCAGGAGCTCGAAGAGTTTGGTATTTGATGTGTTGAAGTGGGACATGTCATCTTGGGTTAGGACGAGGGGGTCGCGGGAGAGGATCGAGGCGAAGTGAGTTGCTAGTTGGTCGTCCATGTCTCCGTCTAGAAGGCGCTGTTTGATTGTTTCGCTCATTGGTTGCAGGGGGGCGTGGCTTTCCATTTCTGGGGGTCTCTCTTGGGACAGATATATTCGATTATAGGTCCAGCGAGGAGGCTTGGGGGTGGAATTTTTGTCAGTGCTTTGTCCTTTGAGGCTGTGTCATATTGGCTGGGCTGGGAGGCATACCGTATGCTCCATCTCGTCTGGTCGGCGGTCGTCTACTATATCTCCGAATCGCTGCCATCGAACATCCGTGTCAACCAGGTATCCTTTCCATATTGGGACTGCTGCTGTCATGGCGAGAAAGACTGGCGCGAGGGGTATAAGCTGGTCATATAGCCAGCGGCATTCAGCTTCATTCGATGTCTGGAATGTTGTCTGGAGACTGCTGCTGCCTACTCCGACTTCGATATGGTCTAAGCAGATAGAATCTTGAACTCTCTCTTGCGGAGGCGACTTGGTCGTTTGCGAGTCTTGATGGATGTAAAGGCGTGTCTTTTTAGGGTTACCCTGCCTCCGACCATGTATGCTCCTAAAGAGACTCCTATATCGTGGAAGCATGCAAAGAGAGTGACTCGTTTGGGTCGGTCCCTGTGGCGTTGTCCATTGGCCATCAACTCCAGCGCGAGGGAATGAGCCTATTGAGATGGTGTGTTGATTGGAGGCGAGGGAGCGATTGATTGTTTCTCGCCTGAGACTATTAGTACCAAATCCTCCAGGAAGTGGAATAGAATTCTCATACCTCTTTCTCATGTTTGCTTGAACACTTAAAAGATCCTCGATACTTTCCGAGTATGGCTTGGCTGGCGTTGTTTCGACGACGTATTTAGCTCCTTCCCACTGCAGAGTCACTCTGTTCAATTTTTCATGTTAGTGATTGATGCATTGAGACTCTTATCGCAGCTATACGTACGGCGATTCCGTGCTGGAAGGATCTCGCTCCCACTCTCGGATGACTCTCTCCTGTTCTAGCAACATTGTCGCGCGCGATGCATCATGGTCCAGATCAACCAGGTTGTATTCAATCTGAGTTTAATTGGCATCTGTCTTTGGCAAAGTCCGTATCGATAGTCGCATACCTCATCACCCCACGTTGCGGAACTGTCGCTACGATGGCGCTGTTTGTGCCAAATACAAAGCAATTGCTGCAAATATCAGCCAAGTCCAGAGTCAAAGCCAGAGGGCCAAATGTACCTCGGTCGCCCATTTTTGAACGCTTGGTCCAGCCTTCTCAGTCGTATCCCAGTCAATGGCCGAACCCTCTACGCTATCAGAAGTTAGAAATTGTTTCTCTCGTTGCAAGGGATGACACGGTAAGCATACGGTAAACCCATGATAACACAATTTCAATCGAAGCGCAAAAGAATAAATGTCAAGCACCCAATAAGTGGAAATATTTTCTCCTTGTAAAATTAGATCTGGATCCCCTGGCCATTTTGTCGATCGAGCAGCAGCAAGAAGATCTGCGGACGATCTGGTGGATTAGGGTTTACGATGAATGTCCATTAGCGTGCCACACTGGCTCCACGATGGATCTTGCCTGGCAAGTCTCATATTTTCGATTGGGACTCGATCGGAGGGGAGATAACGCTGCATGAAGTAAGGAATCTTGCACATCATTACCTGTTATTGGTATGCGGCAAAATGACAGGGCATGTTTCTTGTGAATTGTGGGTTTCAATCTGCAGTACAGTAGATTGGGTGTCGCGATTTCGATTGACACGTCAGTACTCCGTAAGTACTATGAAGACATGGAATAGGGGGGATTCATGAGCCAGTCACATCTTATAAGTTGAGTACATAAGTACTGTAGGTTATGTCTGTTGAGCTCAAGGGAGTCTGTATGTTCCCAGTGTGAACCAGTATCCAGGACCTAGTCGACCTAACCAATGCAATGTATGGAACAATGCATCCCAAGTCTCACCCGTGTCATTAAATGCTCTGCGGCAATAAAAAGGAGATGAACCCCCAAGAAGAAATTGAAACTAAAAAGTAAAAAATAAAAAAATAGATACAACTGCTCACGCACCGACTTGAACGATGGACCTCGGCATTACTAGTGCCGCGCTCTACCAACTGAGCTACGCGAGCTGATTGATGAAAGGACATCTCTTTTTGGCATAATGAATCAAAATAAGAAAAAGAAACGCACAAAGTAGCTCAAATCAAACACTTGAACAACACTGTTATATCTTACCATCTCATAATGCAACTAAGATCCAGCCTACACAAAGCCCAGCCTCGCATGTATGGCTAAATAGTCAAAAAGAAAAATCGATTGAATTCCAAAATTAGCATGCGACTCCAGGACCTGGATATATATGTAGAGGCGTATGTATAGTTAATGCTAGAGTGAAGATATACTATCACAATGGCAAGCAGTGCAGAAACACTAAATACTAGAATATATCATATTATGAAACCCGTTCAAAAAATCAGATTGACCACACGATGAGACAGTAACATAGATAGATGAAAACAGGCTATATACATACGCGAGACGGAATGTAGAACGACAATTGATATACGGTAGCAACGGGTAGCGTGTCGGTGGGTAGAGCGTATGAAAGAAGGACAGGAAGGTGATATAACATATAGGTGAGCGAGTGACCAGATACAAGGTAAAATAGGGCAGAGTGAAGGGAGGGATGGAATTCTGCTACGACGACGTGTGAAGATCAATGAATGTGAGGAAGGGTAAGTTGAAGGAATGTGTATGTATGTAGATCGGCAATGGGCGGACTGGAGGAGCAGGAGGAGGGGAGATAACGGTAAATGGGAATAGAAAAGCAGACTGGAAACGAAATGCGAGGACGACAGAGCTAGGGTACCCAAGGTATGGCATGACATGACGGGAGTCAAGTACACCCACCTCATCACCAACTCAGCCTTGAAATCCAAAGACAAGGGCTACCTAGCCCGGCCTGGTGAGTCTCAGTTGAACCTATCCTAGGGCTAAAAGCGAAAATAGAGAAACAGTGGAAAATTGAAAGTTGAAAGATTTCAGTAGAAAGTAGGCTTGGAAAACGAGAGCTTCGTGAGTAGTGGGTTACATTTAACAAAGAACAACAATCCGACAGAAAAAAAGGGAATATCCAGGCACGATGCAAAAGACAAGTGCGAAAGCAATTGTCGAAGCAAGCCTGCAAGTCGGCAATAAGAGGGCAAGAGATGCAAGATTCTCTCTCTATTCCTGTCCAAATCCAAGCGTTTCCTCCACGGCAATAGACATTTTGTGTTCTAAGGCGTCATGAGTCTTGTAAGGAGGGAGATCAAGACGATTGAAGCTGGTCGTATGTTAGCATTCTATATGCAAAGTGAATACGAGGTCAGGTGAACATACCAAGTATGCGACTTGGGCAGCGCAATAGGGTCACCCGACTTCTCAATAGTAAAGCGTCTGGGACCGTCGGAACCCTGCAAATCCTTGAAACCGTTGACGGGAATACGAGAAGTTCCGGTGGTGAATTGAAGCAGACGGGACTTCTGCTCAGCATCCCAGGTGCGGACAATCTTCCAGAAGTTCTGAATGACCTCATCTTGCTCCTGGTAGCCACGATAATCGGTGTGCTTCTTCCAGTCATCGACGTCAATATCAGCAATACCACCAATGAGCAATTCCAACTCGCGCTCGTCGAAGACATTGACAAGATCGGGGGGAATAAGCTCGTTGAAACCGGACATAAAGGCGTTGAACTGCTCCTCGACTCGCTTGACGATCTTCCACTCGGTCACCAACCTGACGTAGTTAGTTTCTGGTTGATTTTGCAATTGGGTTAAAAGCACTTACTCAATATACTGTGGCTTGTTCTCGTTGGTGACAGCAATGTCCCGGCCACCGGGTATCAAATCAATAGTGCGACGCTCGCCAAACTTCTCATCATCAACCGAGAATGTGAGTTCCACAATTCCCTCAATATCGTTGTCCCTATCATGGGGTTAGTATTTGTTGAGATCCCACAGGAAACGAATTACTTACAAGGTCCACGCCAGGTTACGGTGTAGATCTTCATCGACACCTTCCATATCTTGAAGGGTGACCTTCTTCCGCAGCATCATCTTGTAGAAGGCTCCAATGAAGAAGGAATCCAGGAAACGACGATGGAAGATAGCAAGACCGACCACTCGGCCAATGAACTTGAAGTAGTTGAGATGCTCGGGGTTCACGCCCGAGTGGGGATTAATCTGCAAGGTGTAATTATCGTGGGCGGAGTATTCGAAGAGGCAGTAGAAAGGATTGAACATTTCGTGAGAGAGGAGGAAGAAGAATTCACTGTGAGAGTAAGCATTTGCTGAAACACTTGCAGAAGAAATTGCAAAGCGTTGGTAGAAGCATACCGTGAGAGACCACCGTAGTCAAGACCATCTTCGCCATCAAACTTGATCATTAGGCGCTTCTTGAGATCGGACGCGCTTTGGCGCATAATTTCGGCGTACGAATCCTCGAAGATGTTATTACGACGAACCTTGACATGGCATTGACCGGACATGATCCGCAGAGCGGGTTGAGATCGGAAGTAGATCAGCTTGCGGCGGAAATCACGCTTGTACTGTGGCACACCCTGGTCCAAAGACGAGGGCAATCGAGGGTCGTCCCAGGTGGTCGTCTTTGTGTTATGGTCCACAAAGTATACTCGCGCAGTGTTGGTCAAACGCATTTCCCAACCGCTGGGCAGAGGACCCAATTGCGAAACGGGCTGCTGTTGAATGGTAGTGTTGTTGGCACCGCCGGTATTTTGCCCTTGTCCGTACATGCGAATGTACTGCTGTCGGCGAGGATCGACCCATGTCGTCGTCCGCGTGTTGTGGTCCACAAAGTACGGCCGGCCCTCGGGCGTCACTCGTCGTTCCCAGCCTGGTGGAAGCTCCCCTGTGCCAGCAGTGGTGGCTCCCGTTGCCATCATGGATACCGCATTCGCGTTCGACCCGGCTGGCGCTCCACTTGCGAGAGACGTGCCAGCGTTAGGACCGGGTGGTGGTGTAGGTATCTGTTGCGCATCCGGCAAGTTCGGCGAGCTCGCGCCGGTTCGATCTTCGGGCAGCATTCGGCTCTGGTGAGCGCGGCGCTCGAGCTGCATGTTGGCTTCCCGTTGCGAACGTTGGGCATGCTCGTTGTAGTTGGCCGCTGGTCGTGACCAGGTGGTGGTGCGTGTGTTGTGATCCACGTAGTACGTCCGTCCCAAGTTATCCTCACGCCGTTCCCAGCCAGCGGGTAATCGGCCCTGGCTATCCTCGAAGGAGCTGAGGTTAGCACGGGAGGGGGCACCTGGTCCTGGGGGGTTGGTGGGGGCGCCGTTCAGGGGGGAGGGGGCCCAGTTGGCAAAGCGGTCGACGGGGTGCGCTGGTTGAGAGATGAACTTGAGGCGGCAGCAGGGGGCGTATCGATGTTACTAGGGCCTGACTGCGTTTGAGGGGGAGGGTGCAGCGACTTGGGGCACAAGGCCGCTGGAAGTTGAAGTCTGGGCTTGTTGACGTTGGAGGCCATTCTGGTTAGGATGCGGGGCGCTGAGGTTCGATGATAAATTGATGATCAGTTTTCCATGGACCACAAGGTTGTCGTTGGACTTTTTCAAATCACGAGTGAGCATTTCTGTTGCGGGGTTGGCACAAGGCCGTCAGGTCAGTCCACGTATGACTCGCGATCGGCGTTCGTCGGACGTACCATCACCACCCATCGAGAGGTCGATAACATCGCCAATTCGGACATTGATGACTCCGAGGAAGCCCTGGTCCTTCTTCTTAAATTTCTTCTGGTCAAAGATCTGGATCGCAAGAATGCTGTCCTCATTGACTCTCCTGCAAGCACCAACACCCCACGGTTAATACGTTCGCTCTTTTTTTCAGAGATCATATCGAAGTCACGTACAAGTCGAATGGTTCATTCCAGTAAGGATTCAGAGTTTTCTTGATCACGGAGGTGGTATGTGTTTGCTCTCCTCCGACGGTGGCCACGGCGAACGGATCAGGAAACCCTGCAGGAACCGGTCAGCATCACCCCGCCAGTCTCGAAATCTTCGATTCCCCGAGATAGACAACATACTAAAGACATCGCGCTTGTAGAGGCCGTCTGCCGCAATAACTGTCGTCGAGAAGATTAGTCTCGTGCCGGAATCCAAACCCCGCAGTGTTTCCCAGTCGAGGACGAAGTGACAAAGGAGATCTTACTCGTGACCCTAAGGTTTGGCTGGCTGCAATGAGATCAGAAAACAGTCCCCAAGATAGACAACAGACAACCCGGGGAGAGGGGAGACTCACGCTGGCAAATTTGACGCCATGGTGCTCTTCACAGCCTGGGAGGTGGCTAAGGCCGATCAATCCCAAAGAGCGGCGCGCACATCCACGAACAGAAAAGCCAAACCAGATTCAGTGGTCTCAGCCTAGAGAGAGTGGAAAGAAATGGATGGTGGTGATGGGGGTAAGGTTGAGAGAGAGGAGAAAGAGGAAAGGGAAGGGTTAGGCCCAGGTAATTCCGGGTTGTATGGCACAGGTACACTGACTACGTATTCACTATGGACGGGGTACCCGGTCGGTACTTCCTGGGGGGGCTGAGCACCAGAGATCTTATAAATAGGTAAGAATTCATGCGATTTCAATTCTAAGCCACTTTGGATCGACTTGTCCGTTCTTTCCAAGCTTCCGGGTGTGGGCGGGTGTGAAAGAGTGGCAAGTACTGTATACTGTCGAGTCGATTGACTAGGCAGCCAGATTGTACAAGTTATACACTTATACTGTATATCAGCTCAAGATCAATCTGATACGGATAAACGGACATTAGTCAATAGCTGATCTCAACTATGACGCTACCTTGTACGTACTGTGCGTACTTTGTAGAGTTTTACGTTCTCTCATTATCCGATGATTCAATGACCCTCCGGAGGTTGACCGACTACAACAGTTAACGTTTTTTGCGCAATACAGTACTCCCAACATAGCCAATCTGATTTGTCTCTCTTTTTTTCTTGCTAGATCACTGTTGATTGCCCGGTAATTATTGTACACATTCCATATCCCAACTCCAAAGCCACGGAGAAATTGAAAGGTTCAGATTGAATTCGGAGCCAGGACTTTGACACACATCCTGATCGTTTCCCGTGTATTGTAACTCTCTACTTCACCAGTCACGCGTTTAGTAGGGGGAGAATCCACGTCCCCGACCCCGGTAACCACCACCACCACCGCGGTAACCACCACCACGAGGGAATCCACGACCACGACCGCCACGGAATCCACCCCGGCCACGACCACGGTGCATGCCAGGTAGGTTAGTGCGCTTGGGAACGACCTGCGGAAGTTAGTATTTCAATAGAGACAGCGGGAGGGATCTGAACGGACCTTCAGGTTGCGACCGCGGAATACGCTCTCATTCAGGACCAAAGCCTGAGCAACAAGACTAGGCTCTGAAAACTCAACATAGGCATATCTAGATAGATGTTAGCAGTGGCCGATCTAGTGCCCTAATTCAGTGCTCACCCTTTGGGCTGGCCGGAGAACTTGTCCAGCAAGATGGTCACCCGGTTGATCGAGCCACAGGTCTGGAAATGTGCCTGAATCTCCTCGGGCGAAGCACCGTAGTCCACGTTTCCGACGAAGATGCTTCGTGCATCAATATCTTCCTTGTTCTCTTGGAGGTTCTCTGACTGCTGGTCGAGAGTAGCTTGCATCTCGCGCAACTTAGCGGCCTCGGACTCCATCTCGGCGACTCGACGCTTCATGGCTGCGATTTCTTCCTGTAGAATTCGATCATGTTAACGGGGTTCTTATCAATATAGCAGAAACAAAGAGAAGCGAGTATGAAAGATGCGACACGAGAGCTAACAAAGGGCGGAATTGCCAGTCACACCTACCTCATCATCTCCACCTTCCTCCTGGACGGGAATCTGGTCCTCCTTAATTTCCTCCGGGATCTCCTGGCCTTCTGCAGCCATTTTATCTGGCAATTGTTGTGATGTTGGGGGGATAGTTGAAGGATCGAAAGCGCCGAGAATCCGATGAGGGGAGCAATCAGAGCTCTCCGACTGCCGGTCTAATTCGCGTGGGTCCTTGACAAATAAAGATATCAACCACAACGGGCGGGAAACACTTGTATCGGGTGTGGGATTGGAAACTGACAAGATGATCCTGTTGCAAAATGATATATAGAGGGAACCGAACAGAGGTTGACCTTCGGATTGGACAATGCGAGGCTTCCTGGTTCCAGGTTAGGTTTAGCGCCATTTCCGGCGATTGGTGGGCGGTGGGCGTATACTGCCAGTCCAACGAGGCTGACAAGAGTTGAGACGAACTGGTGGTAGAGACAGAGTGGATGTGGGCATTGCGAAGAATAGAGAGATCTTTGGTTAGGTAGACTTATTGGTTGGCAGGAGAAAACAAGCAACTTGATAACACAGCTAAATACGCAACCACCAGGGTATCATCCTTCTAGCGCCTTGAATATGTCTTATCTCCTTCCCAGCTGAGGCTCCAACCTGCAGATCGATTATTTGAATAACACAGGCAACGGTGGAATAAATCGATTCAGGTATCATGTATCAAATTGAAATGGAATGAATCACAGCAAAAACAAGATCGCTTGGAAACCAGGAGACTATTTACACGGGGGAATCAGGAATGGCGATTATTCGGCAGGAGGGTGGTTTTTGCGGAAGGAGACCTTCTCAACGGCCACATTTTCTACACCATTGGCATCGGTCTTTAGCTGATAAACATACAGCACAAGGACATCACCCTGGATCTGTGAAGGGGTCAGTATCAGCCCATACACCTCGAACGGCCATAACTTACATCCATTAGACAGAAGCTAGGTGTAGGCTCCTCGTCCTCTGGCCAGAAACCCGAGCTCATAGCGCCTGTAGCACTACCCGGGTTGATAAAGAAGCGGCCCTCCATCTCGAATGCCTCGAATCGGTGGGTACCACCCCAGAGTAGAACGTCAACATCCATCTGGCGAGCTGCAATTAAGAGCGCGTCGGCATCGGCGGGTGGGACGATAGTGTGGCCGTGGGTGAATCCAATACGTAGACTGCCATGATTGACGATCTTGGATAGGGGAAGGTTGGGAGAATCAACGTCGAAATCGCCTTTGACCATCTGCAGGTCCGGGGCTACATCGCGGAGGAAGTCATAAGTCTCGCGGTCGGTTAGGTTACCGAGACAAAGCGTTTGACCGATCTTGCCGGGGGTGAGGAGTTTGCGGAACTATGCGGGGTCAGAGGGTGATCAATGTGAGGCTCTAGGGATAGTACCTTGGCTGGAAGATCCTAGATGATGTTAGCAGACGGACAGGAGCTGTGGCGGAGACAACGTACAGGAGCTCGGTCAGGGATGAAGAGGTCACCGATAACCAGGACCAAGCGGGCGGTCATGATGTGGGGTAAAGGGCAATGGACCGGAATTAGTCCAGAAGAGAGAGGAGCAACAGCTGGACAGCTGTCGACTGGAGCCTGCGAGCTTCGCGGGGAAACAACTACGCAATGCCCTAAGCCCTAGGTGGTCACCGAATGGGGGTTAGTGGTATATGCTTCCTTTGATGGCCGTTCGATGTTACGCATGACATTGGCTGGTTAGACCGAGCAGCTCGTCCTAATATCTATCGGGTTGGGTAGCCCAATCCATTCTCTTTCGAAGGTTTCCTAATTGTTTGCGGAGGTCGCCGTGTTGGAGTAGGACGGGACATACTGCGGAAGATACAGACTGAGATCTGAGGGTAGACATGGGGAATAGTCGTGAATACAGTAAATCTGAAGAGGTAGAATGAAGCTGCATAGGTGTATAGACTCTACGGATAGTCTCAAATTACTGGATATCTACCAATGACTGAGATCTCCTACATAGATAGGTATGTATACATTGGCAGCATCAAGAAGGACAGCAAGAACCAGAAACACACAATGGATGTTCAGATCCCTCAATTGACTCGAGCATAGTATCTTCCATCATTCTACACCTTTCCCCAACCCAAATAGACCAATGCGTACGGCGTAAGTCGTGGACTGGTCAATCGGTAGGGTCCGCCCGGCCTTCATTTCTCCGTCCAAACCAGGGGGAAAAACACAAAAGAGACGGAAATCGCTGACGAAGCCTCATTTCATAAATAGCCAGATCTTTCCCTCCATCTCGGTGTCCTCATCCGAACAAACTAATCAGTGACCTCAACTCGGCCCTTCACCCGGTCAATCCCTGAACTCGGCGGCGATCCCCGATCCTAAGTTTCCCTCGGGAATTCATCCAATCTCGTTGCAATTACCCCGCGGTTATCGGCATGACCAAATCGTCGCAACGTTTAAGCTTGATCTCCAGACATCTGGATCGCTTACCTCTTCCCGACCTCAACACGCCCTTCTCGACCGAGAGAGACTCCCTTGTCCCCGACGACGTCGAATATAAACCCATCGACCGCTCCATTCCTCCTGCACCTCTCCCCGAACCTACACCCAAGAAGATGTCTGCTCAAGCCCCTCACAACACCCTCCTGATCCCAGGACCCATCGAGTTCGACGATGCCGTGCTCTCGTCCATGTCCCACTATGCGTGAGTACACACCCACACACAGCTATATGCAACTACCATATGAACAGTCACTGACCTTTTCCCCGCAGTGAGAGCCATGTCGCCCCCGGCTTCGTCAAAGTCTTTGGCGAGACCCTAACCCTCACCCGCAAGCTCTTCCAATCCACCAACCCCTCCGCACAGCCTTTCATCATCGCCGGTAGTGGTACCTTGGGCTGGGACCTGGTTGCTGCCAACCTGATTGAGCGCGGCGAGAACGCCCTGGTCCTCAACACCGGTTACTTCGGAGATTCCTTCGGCCAGTGCCTCGAGTGCTATGGCGCACAGGTCACCCACCTCAAGGCTCCCATCGGTGACCGCCCCTCCCTGGAGGAGATCGAGCAGGCCCTCAAGCAGAAGCCCTACAAGCTGATCACCCTCACACACGTCGATACCTCGACCGGCGTCCTCAGCGATGTCAAGGGCGTCGCCCAGCTCGTGCGCCGCGTCAGCCCAGAGACCCTCGTCATCGTCGACGGTGTCTGCAGTGTCGGATCGGAGGAGATCGCCTTCGACGAGTGGGACCTGGATGCCGTCGTGACCGCCAGCCAAAAGGCCATCGGCTGCCCACCCGGTCTCAGCATCGTCATGACATCCGGCCGCGCCATCCAGCGCGCCCAGTCCCGCAAGACCCCGCCCGGCTCCTACTACGCTGCCATCGCCAACTGGCTCCCCGTCATGCAGAACTACGAGAACAACAAGCCCTCGTACTTTGCCACTCCCCCCACCCAGCTCGTCCACGCCTTGCACACCACCCTTACCCAGATCACAGCCGATGTCCCCGGCCGCTTTGCCATCCACACCCAGGTCTCGGACAAGGTGAAGGCCGCTGCCGCCGCGCTGGGTCTCAAGCAGCTTGCTCCCCGTCCTGAATGCCAGGCTCACGGCATGACTGCCATGTATCTGCCCGAGGGTCTGGCTCCCCCCGATGTCCTGCCTGGTCTGCTGAAGCGTGGTGTCATCTTTGCAGCTGGTCTGCACAAGGAGATTGCTACCAAGTACATCCGTTTCGGTCACATGGGTGTCAGTGTTACTGACCCCAACCGCAAGGATGTGGATAATGCCCTGGCGGCGCTGAAGGAGGCGCTTACTGAGGCTAAGCAGGCCAAGGGTCTGTAGGTGATTGGTTTTCTTGTATATATGCTTAGTTGATTACCAGAGTATGGTCTGGTGTACATTGATGCACTTGATAGATACCACAATGAATTATTGACCATAGACCATGATCGGAATACCAAAATCAAAGTAAGGGGTAACTCCTCGCCTCTGCCAAAATGTCATTCAACGGATATTCAGCTAGTTTATCATCTACTTCTCGCCCTCGGACCGGACCTCCGAACAAGAAGATACACCGGAAGTTTCCACTATAATTGAAGTAAAATCAACCATAGACACCAGTCTATACATTTACAACAAAATCCCATCAACTGGAATCCTCCCTATTGGCAGACCAAGTCTAAAATCCAAAGCAGCCGGAATGCACAACGGAATGCCACAGCCCGAGCAACACCCCAAGAATGTGACACTCTGCAATTGAGTTTAGCAATCTACCTCTCTTCCCCAGATCTTCATCTAGAACATGGGAGATAATCCAATGACCTCAGATAACGTTACAACAATTCCAGTTCCACTTGACACAAAATACCAATTATTACAGTAAATCACACCTAGACCCTGATACTGTACAAAGAACACAGTACATGCATATAGGAAATGCACATAGCCCAAGAACGGAATCCCCTTAAAAGAATGTTTTGTCTCTGCTTGACATGTTGATTGATTCCTGCAGTACACGTACAGTACATTATATCCAAATTCCCATGCGTGGATGTCCATCCATCTCTCAAAATCCAATTGTTAACTAAAGTCTCTATTCCATCGAGTCCAATCCAATCCAACCCATTTGCGCAGTTGTGTATCCCCCAGACCTAGTTATATTATTCGACAGCAGAGTCACAATGCGCTTTATAACAATACTCCCGACCCTCCCACTCCTCTTTGCAATGAGCACGTTCGCCATTGCTGAAACGGTAGATGGGACTGTGACTTCGACTGATAATGCTGCGCACACTGCATGTGCTACGGGGACGTAAGTCATGATTGATATGATACTATAGAGATAGATGGCGGAGGATATAACTAACAAGATTCTGAACATAGCGCCGAATGCGTTCAATCTGGGCTGGCTTCAACTATAACTACAACAACAACTGCAAATGCAATGTCAACAACTTCAGCTGGGACACCGAAATCAACAGCTAGTCTATCTGGCTCTGGAAATCAAGAGACAGACAGTGATACTGGTGAAATAGACGGAGATGGTGATCTAGAGTCAGATTCAGATTCAGGGATCAAAGAAGGGCATCCGACGACGTCGTATAGTGGATTGAAAGCTAATATGCAAATGACTGGAGGCGGAGGGAGTGTGGCTCGTTATAGGATTGGGGAAGGGGCTTTGGGGTGGTGGTGTATGGCTGTTGGATTGGGTGTGTTCTTGTGATTTAATCTAGTTCAATATAACAAGTGCTGAATTGTGAACATGAATTGTACCTTAAAATTGTAGATATAATTCATATATAGTGAAGTATGATATATGATATACAAGGGTAGAGAATCCATTCCAATCCCCTATACATGCCCTTCAATTCACCTTACGCCGTTTACTCTGCCTCCCAGACACCATCGGATCTACAACAACAGCCTCGTCACCCCCAGCATCCCGAACAAAGTCATACCCAGACAACGCAAAATGCCGAAGCACATAAGCAACCTTCTCAACCTCAACCGTCGAAACAGACCCCAACCTCGCCCTCAACCCCTGCACCTCATCCCACAACCCTCGATACTCCTTCAAATTATACTTGACATCCAACTCCCCATTCGCCTTAACACCCTTCAACCTCGCCCCTTCCCCCTCCCCCTCCCGCTCCCCCTCTCCAGAAGGATACACCCCAAAGACAAGCCACAAATAAACATCATCACTATAAAACGGCACCTGGCACACATCACCACCACCACCACCACCACCACCAACAGTCGCAATCGACAAAACAAGCGACGCAGTCGCCGGCCCAACACCACGCAACGGAGCCGTCAACGCATCCAAACTAGCCTTCGGAAACGACCTTTCCACATCCCCATCCCCAATTAAATCCAAACCCGGCAAGGCAGCAAACGCCTCAGATGTAGCCTTCGTTATAGTGCTTTGCTGATTAGCCTTGATCATGCCCATTAGCATTGGACGGGCGCGGCCGTGAGAGCTATATATGAAATATTAGGTTGGATTAGAGCTGGGGGTGTGAGACGGGGAAATGGGGATACTAGTGACTTTGTCTTTGGGTAGAAATGGAAGGGAAAGGGAGGGAGAACTTACGTCTTCCATGCCATGATATCGATTAATTCATCTTTGGTGAGATGGGCTTCGGCGCCTTGGCGCTTGGCGAGGGCTTTGGGGAGGGTGTCGTATCGCCAGTGGTCGAGTTTGAGGAATGATTCCAGGTCTGCTTGGATTTGTTTGTCGGTGGAGGTTGGATCTGGGTCTTGGTCTTGTGTTTGGGTGGTGTTTGCATCTGCTGATTTGCGCTTTGGATTGGGTTTTGGTTTTGGTTTTGATTTTGATGTTTGTTTCTGGGTCAATTTGTTTCGATGGACTTGTTCCACGGTTCTTGGGTAGCAGGCTAGTAGATGGTTGAAGGTTGAGAGGGTGATGTGGCCAGGGTGGAAGGTGAGGGCTGTAGAGCTGCCTTTGCTCTCTGGAGTAGAGGTGTTGGAGTCGGGCTTTGGGTCAGGCATCTTTATTGTTGTGGAATTGCCGTTTGAGTGACTGGTCTTGATGCTCAGATGGGATATGTTGGAGTTGGAGACCAATTGATCAGATGTGGAGTTGACAAATGAAGTTGGCTTATCGATAACGCCCATTCAATTCCCATCGTGATACTGTTAGGTTCTAAGTTATAACTTATAAGTTAGTAGACGTGTGTTGTGCTCGGAGTTACAAAAGCCAATGGAATCAGATGATAGTGTCGCGACGATAAATCTAGAGGTGATTATGATTCAAGTTACAAGTTGCTTTGAATATCCCAATTCTATAGATACGTTATTAATGTGACGTTAAATTATAAGTTAACCTACTAATTTTCCCACAAAGGCTAATTCCAACATCACAATGGTACCATTACACCTTCCATCCCTCTACTGTAAGTTATAATTACCAATCAAGATACTTGAATATCTACTCCTTCTCACTAGTCCATCCAATTCTCTGTCCCCGCAATTAACCAAAAACGTCAACCTCGGCATATTCGTATACGTATTCGTATAATAACGTTATAGCAAAACGTACCAGGCAGCTAATTGCCAACTTCCAACTCCCAACTGCCAAGTTCCAACTGCCAACTGCCAAGCTACCCGATTGGGTACTTTTATCTAGCACGCCTGACAAAGTCAAAATGGATCGAGTCGGGCACTTAGCCTGAACCGGATAGATGGCCGTGTTCCCCGATTGGAAGCGATTTATTGAGATTGAGGCTGGGGAGGCGTTGGGCAATTTATTTTGTGTTTGGTGGTGTTGGGCGTTGGGCGTTAGTTGTAGGCTGCGGCTGCATGCTCTATTTGGTCTTGGCAGTATTGCATTGTAAGCTAGTTGCACATGGGATGTCTTTGTATGCTAACGTTAACTTGAGTTAAATTAACGCTATACTTATACTTATACTTATAGTTACCGTGCTTATAGGTTGTTACTTAGGATAACCACTATTACAGAAACACATTCTATGCCAAACCAGTAACATTTCAATCTCACGCTATGTACAAACGGCCGTAAAGTCTTCATTAAAAGGCAAATATCGAATAAGGAGTAAGAGTAAAACAGGGGAGGACGCATGCATCACAAGAAGAGTAAAGGTGAGAAGAGTAGGGAGGTAGTGTAAAATTGTAAGGTGTAAGTTGTTAGTTGTTGAGTGTTGTGTTTGTTAGGGTAGGGTGTAAGGGTCAGGTAAAAGTAGGGGTTGAGAGATAGGAAAGTCATCAACATCATCCCAGATCAACATCAAACGCCATGCATCGGGGTTGATCATCATCAAGATGGACCGCATTTTCAGATGATTTTGTTTTGTTTTTTTGGTTGCTTGGAGGTGGGGAAATTTGGGGGAGGGCGTGATGACAAAAGGAATGCGTTATTGGTTTTCTTTTTGTTAACTTGGTTGAAGTTAACGAGATCAGGCCAAGATTTCAGACAGGGATCAGGCAGGTCGAGGCCTGGCTGATTAGACTGCGCTGGACTTGGTTGATCATAGGTGTGGTTGGGGTTGTGGTTGTGGTTGAAGGAGTCGAAGTGATCAGGGCAATCAGTTCTTCCTCTCACACTTGGGCTTGGTGGGATTCTCAGTAGAATGGACAAAGCTAACACGGGCATGGTTTTGACGAGCATCATCACTCTCCCCAAAAGGAACCCGACCCATCTTCTTCGAGCGGCTGCGCTTCAGTGGCTGCGACAATGGTGTGGCAGACTGGGGCGCAGGGCTAGCGAGCGATGGACCAGGCTTCGCCTCTGCAGCGGCAGGAGCAGCAGCACGATCATCGTCTTCGACGTGAATGTGTCGGAACTCTTCTTCCTGATCGTCTGCCTCAGAAGATGAGAGACCGTCGTCATCCGAGGCAGCCTCGTAGTCATCTTCATCATCGCTGACCAGACTTGGGGCCTGGTTCGATTCCATGGCGTGCGGGCTGAGATTGGCACGGTCAAGACTGTCGTGGGACGCCAGAGAAGACTCAGTCGGCCCAGAGATGTTCAAGAAGGGCTGGGGGCGCGTTGGGGTCGATTCTTCTATTAGCGGCCCATGAATGCGATCCAAGGCCTTTCGACTCTCGGGCTGGGCTGCTTGAGCAATCGGAATACGCATTGGCTGACGGCCGACGCGGCCATTGAGCTGAGATGCATCGAGATCGGAGTTGGACGGGCGGGACTCTTCGTCGGATTCGTCGTCGGAGAGGCTGCCCAGGTCCACAGGCGTGCGAGCTTCGCTGACAAGCTTGTCCATGTCCAAGCCGGCACCGCGGGCCTTCATCAATGCGGAGAGATGGGGCGTGGCGGGCGAGGCCAGGAACTGCGGGTTCAGAGGCAAACGCACAAGCTCAGACTGGCGACGGTTGGATGGGACAGTGGCGGGAGGAGTGGCGACCGCGGAAAGGTTAGCCGCAGCAGGTTTCACAGGGGTCGCCAACTCTTTCTCGGTGGGCATAGACTTGGGAGGAGTGGGAATTGGCGCAGTGCGGATGAGAGGGTGCACGTAGCCAGGAGCTTTAACACTACTGATCGGCTCACTGCGAGCAACAACCACCCCGGCGTCGTCCGCGTCGACCGCTTCACCCGAGGCAACGGCGGCAGCATCGTGACTTGCAAAGTTGCGACTGTGCGCGATACGGCAGTGGTTGATAAATCCTTGCGTAGAAGAGAAATTGTCGCGGCGACAATCCAGACAGACCAGCTTGACCAGAACACCATCCGACTTGCGCCGGATGAGCATGGGACCAGGCTTCTCCTTGACCAGGGGATATCCACTGGACAGGGAGGTGTGCTTGGTACCCGTTGAACCGCGCTGGGGACGAGTCTTGCCCGCCAGCGAGCCCAAGTCACCCGGGTTTCCGCGCGTAGAGCGACCCTCGACCAGCGGAGAGATCGCCAACCCATCTTCGCCACCGTCAAATCGCGGATCAGGCAGCAGCCAGCGGGCGTAGTGGCGCGAGTAGGGACCCTCGGTGACTCCCCATGGCGCGGGCGACATCGGCAGCGGACCATTTCCAGGTGCCAACGATGCGCCCGTGCCGGAGCTCACATCGGCGGATCCACCGGCGACACGTGAGCCCGGATAAGGGATTTCAGCGCAGCGACGCAGCTGCTCCAGGGCGACCTGGCACTTGGCGATTTCCTGGTCGATCAACCGGAGTTCGTTGTGCTTGAGGAGCACCTCGAGGCCGAGTTGTGCGGTGATGGTATCTCTCAAGTGGTTGGTGGTGGGTGCCGGTTTGACGACCTGCGCCGGCGGAAGCGGCGCCGCGACCGGGGGATTTGACGCTGCGACACTCGGCGTGGTCGGGGTGCTGGGGGTGAGCGACTCTGGGATCACGACGGTCGCAGCGACCGGGCGCGTGGCCAGCGACTCTGTGCAGAGCTTGGTCGGTGTGGGAGCGTCGGTCGCGTCGTCGGACCGTTTGCGCTTGAGTTGAGGTAGAGACAGCGAGTTGAGTGTGCAGTTGGTTGGAGCCAGCATCTTGACTTCCTCCATCATCTTATTCCCTCCTATTGTCGAGGGCCAGGGTAGCAAGCGAAACATGCCATGCGATAGTTCAAGTCGGGAATTAGGGCGATCCAGATGGTCCATGCGCTAAGGAGCGGTAGTGTAAGGCAGAGAGATAGGATCAAGGGTCGAGAGAATCAAAGGGAATTACGGGGGGGGAAAAAGTCTATTAAAAAAGCCCAAGGGAAGGTAGAAAGAGAAGAGGTGGAAGAGGAGGAAGAGAGAAGAGTAAACAAGAAAGGTCAAGGGGGAGAGAGAGAAGGGAGAAAGGGGGTGTCCAAACAGAAGGGAATGGGAAGAGTAGGGGAGTGGAGACGGGGGTACTTGATCAGCTCGTACTATTAATATGGTCGACGGAAGTACCATTGGATGAGTCTCAAACACATCCGCGACACGTCATTCACTTCGGCCTCGATTTTGGATGTATTCACGGGGAAAGAGACGGTCTATTCGACATTTCTCTAGGAAGATAGTATCATATAGAACATCGCAATTCTACCATATCTCATCTCATCTCCATATCAACATCAACATCAGCTTCACATCGAACACCGGATGTGTGCGGCCTCTATCATGCCAAGAGTCTGGCCCAATCGGGATTATGCGAAACAAGATCTGGGGGCTGTGGCGCTGGAGTATTACTTTTAGGAATAAGGTAATCACCTAAATCAACCTGCACACTGGGGGCACTAGATATTAACCAATTCATCTTGATTAAGTTGCAAGTATGAATCATCAAGGTTGAAGCATGGAAGATCATAGAACTCAATCGAAACACCAAAGTCGCGGCATTGCCCGAGCCCCTTCCCCGGCAGTTCACGTGCTTTGGGAGTCCACTGGGGCAACTAAACCCTAACCAGAAGTGGGAAGTTGACCTTAGACTGCACAGCCAACGACACTCGCCAACGTACGGAGTATACTGTACTTATAACTTATAACTTTATATCCATGGACGACTGAAATTGGTCGGACATTCCGACCAGAACCTCGGATCCCAAAATCCACTCAGGAAACTGGAATCTCCGAACAAATCGGCCCCCCCCAGCTGATCCCAATCCTAATCCCAATGCAGCCACAGTCAACATCCACATCTGGGGTACTTCACCCGCACACTCACCCACTCATATCCCCCCATATCCAGGATAGCTCTTCTCCGCATCAGCAGGTCCATTCATCCCTGACTATCGTGGGGTAGGACATCCTTGGCACGTTCCCGTTCGACGTAATCTACCGGCCTTGAACACTGATCTAGGGTTAGTTTTGCCGTGAGCAGCGTCGGCTTTTCCTACTCTCCCCACATTACGGAGAATCCCAGTCTCTCGAGAATGCCGTAGCACCGAGGGGTAAGCCTGTTTTCTCACTGAGGGTGGTGATGGTCCGGGTGGGAGATTCGGCAGGAGCATGTCCTAGCGACGGAGCCGAACACAGTAGCGAAGTGGGTGTTCGGCAGTCTATATAAGAGATGAATGTATCCACGAGGAAACCACATTCCAATCAGAATCCATTCGACATCATCTGCAGCTTTTTCTCTCTCTCTCTCTCTCTCTGTTTCTCCCCTCCCTTTGCCGCACAGAGAACACCACTCACAATGCGTGCCCACCTCCCATTAGCAGCTCTCATCCTGAGCAGCGTAGCAACAGCCATCCCAACCAACACCCAAACCACCAAAGCCCCAACCAAACCCACCACCCACCCGGACAACCACAAATACATAGACTGGCGCACACACACCGGCTACGGCGCCAACCTCGGCGGCTGGCTCATCCAAGAATCCACCATCGACACAAAGTGGTGGGCCACGCACGCCGGCAACGCCAGCGACGAATGGACCATGTGCCTCGATCTCGGCCGCGCCTGCGGGCCAGTCCTCGAACAGCGCTACAGCACCTGGATCCAGACGTCCGACATTGACAAGCTCGCCAGCGCAGGCGTCACCATCCTGCGCATCCCAACCACATACGCAGCGTGGATCCAGCTGCCCGGCTCAGCGCACTACCACGGCCACCAGCAGGCGCATCTGCGACGCATCTCCGAGTATGCGATCAAGACGCACGGCATGCACGTGGTGGTCGATCTGCATTCGCTGCCGGGCGGCACGAACGGGCTGGATATCGGCGAGGCGGTGGGGCATTGGGGGTGGTGGGAGAACTCCACGGCGTTGGAGTGGTCGCTGCGCGCGGTGGACGCCGTCGTGGACTTTATCGTGCAGTCGGATGTGCCGTGGGGGTACACGCTGGAGCCGATTAATGAGCCGGTTGATAATCATGATTTTGCGACGTTTGGAACGCCGGCGGCGCTGAGTGAGACTGGCGCGGCGTGGCTGGTGAAGTATTTCCGCGCTGTTATTGATCGGGTTGCGAGGGTCGATGCGAGGATTCCGGTTATGCTTCAGGGCAGTTTTAAGCCTGAGAGGTATTGGAGTCCTTTCTTTGAGAAGGGGAGTAATGTTGTTTTTGATGCGCATCATTATTATTTCCAGTATACGAATGCTACGTCGGCGAATATCGGGTCGTTTATTTGTGATGATGCCAGGGATTCGGTGTCTGATGGGAAGTTCCCGGTCTTTGTTGGGGAGTGGGCGATTGAGGCTGGCGGTGGGAACCAGTTGGCTTTGAGGGGTGAGGCTCTTAGGGCTGGGTTGTCGGCTTGGGCGCAGTTCACTCAGGGGAGTACGTTCTGGACGACCAAGTTCCATAGTGATGTGGCCGTGGCTGGAAGTGCCGGGAAGGGTGTGAAGCAGGATTATTGGAGCTTCGAGGAGATGATCGAGGCTGGGTATTTGGATGGGAAGGTCATCCAAAAGGATTATTGTTGAGATGAAACGGGGAGGAAGAAGAGCATGTATGTAAATATGACTTGATATGTAATTTATGATTCATTCTTTTGAGACCTTGCACCAAGAGCCAAACGCCAATTGCAATGAGACGCTGCATTCAATGAGAATGAGAGTAAAAAGAATAAAGGAAACCATGTACGCCGAGAAATCATGAGACGGCTAGAAAAGACATATATCAGATGCCAGGCATCCGGCAGAGCAGGGCTCTGCGACAAACAACAGTAACGAAACAGCTCCATTCAGTAGTCCAATCCAAGGAAAGGGTGAGTTGAGTTGATCCCTAGTTCAATTGTCCGTCACGAATGCGCAGAATGAAGTTGACAACCACCGCCGCGAGTAAAGCAATAGCCAGAATAGTCGGGCCGAAGCGGTCGTCGATACCAGTCGACCCCCGACGACGGATGCTCTGCGCCCGCCAGTGGAATGTTACGAGGGCATAGATCATGGCACCCATAGCAATGACAGTAAACAGCGCAGCGGAGATCCGACCGATGCGATCACCGAAGTTCAGCAGGCCGACTGCGAGACCGCCCAGGATGACGGTGAAGTTGAGCCAGGAGAGGAAGGTACGCTCGTTGGCGAAGAAGACTTTGGGCTCAACACGGGTTGGGAGCGCGATGCGCTTGCCTGTGGTGTATTAGTCTCACTGATTGCATTGATTGCGCTGATTGCACTGGATTGAAGAGCATCGGAGGGTTCCAGGGTGCGGAGATTTGTCTGGAATGGGGGGCTTGCAATTGGACATACCCGGGGCAGTTTGGAGAAGGGGTTGGCTGGACATGTTGGAATGTGAGATAGAATTGAGCAGGTTAACTTGGGTTCAATGGCAAGGTGAGAGGAAAAGCTGAAGTCAAGATCGAAAATAAAAGAGGCGAAACACTGAGCTCCCCGCGTAGACGTCGTTAGTCCGCGTTGGGTTTAGCGTGTGCAGCTCTGTCGCACGTGCGCCTGCGATTTGCTGAGAGCGTCAGGTGATTCCTTCGTTTCCACGAGGTTTTCTTCTTTGGCTTCGGTGGTCCGGTGCAGGTTTTGGTTACTGCAGGGGAGTTGAACCTTGGAAGCTATGTGATATCGTGTATGCACAACATATATGTTCGTCTCGTTTTTGGGGTCTGGAGGTCTGGACTCTGGACTCTGGACTCTGGACCCATAGATAAGACCCAGCCCCAAGATAGTCGCAAATATCCATATACACTTACCCATGAGACAGTCATAACTCACACTTTATGCTTGAAGAAAATATTGAATTTGCTATTATAACACTCATCAGAGCACACATAACCTGCTATCAAGCCACAGCTCTGGGAACAGGCTTGAAATCCCAATCCTCACGAATTAGATCCGCCGCCTTCTCAGCAACAGCATAAACACTAGAAACAATATTTCCACTAACATTGTTAGGGAAGATAGAGGCATCAGCAACCCGAAGCCCCTCAACACCCTTGACCCTCAATCGGGAATCAAGCGCATCGCCCAATGCAACCGAGCCACAGATATGGTACTCGCCCGCGATAAGGTCATGAACTGCCTTTTTGGCGATCTCAAAGTCCTGCAAATCCACCTCCGGCTCAGGGTATGCACGGCTCAGGATAGAAGGCTTGAGATGCGAAGATTCACTAACTTGATCACTCCAACGAATTGCAGCAGCGAGGAGGGATATATCTGCCTCGTGGCCGCCGTAGTTGGGATTGATGACGGGAGGTTTAGTTGGATCTATGGGTGAAAATCAGCATGCGATCCCACACAACAAGACTAAAAGGCAGAGGGAAACATACCGGCGCTCTCGATATGAATAGACCCCCTCGCAACAGGATATTGCAAACACATAGCAAAGGTAAACGCAGCAGGCTGATCCGCAGACCTAGGCGCAATGAGTTTACCTTGATGCTCAATACCCTCAGGCTCCATAGTGGCAGGAACAAGCACAACTTGCAAATTAGCCGAATGATCACTCTCCAAATGAGCAAGCACCTGCTTCAGCTGTTTCTCGTGGAAAGCACTCGTCGGCTGAACATCCCGGACACTCTTCAAAACACCCTCAAATTCCTCCTCAGACAGTATACTCTTCGCAGGGAAGAATCCCTGCATACTGGCAACGCAGCTCAAAGGCCCACCTGCAGTTTCAGCATACTGCTTAGCTGCAGCTTGCATAGCCTCCGGGACTTGAGCGAGTGTATCCAGCGTGACAATGCCAGGTTGGACATTGAACGTGGTCAAGGAGATCGAATGATCCTGTACATTTGCTCCGACGGCAGGGTTGGCAACCTTGCATTCAACACCGGCAGCAGCAAGAACATCCGGATCACCAATGCCAGACAGTTCCAGGATCTGAGGCGATTTGATCGTTCCACCGCAAACAACGACCTCGCGCTTTGCAGAAACTTGATACTCATTGCCCCCATGGCTCAGACTCACACCAGAGACCTTGTTACCATCCAAAATGACCTTGTTAACAAGTGCTTCACAAAGCACCTTCAGATTTGGTCTTGTCTCACGATTTGCCTCGTAGTATCCGCGCGCAGCATAACTGCGCTTACCTTTATTCGGGCCAGTACGTACGACTGAACCAAGAGTATGGTAGAACCCAATATGGTCGCCGCTCCAGGGGTCGAGAGGTTTATTTGGAATACCTGTTATTTCTTCGCAGGCCTTGATGATGTCGTTCTCCACTGGCATTATGGTATCGTTGAAGCTTGTTCGGACAGGGCCGCTTGTGCCATGGAACTGGCCTACAAGGGGCATTGTCGATGCATCTGTGATTGAAGGATCGATTGGCTCCAGGGTCTTCTCCTGTGAGTTTCTTGTTTTCTGGTGGGGATACGCTGAACAGCAAATAGCATTTGACTTACCTGATGCTTTCGCATATATCGCTGCATGATCTCTGCAGACCATCCTTCATCCTCGGCGAGTTCCGCCCAATCATCATAATCCTGCAGCGAGCCTCGGACATACATCATGTAGTTGATAGCGCTGGAACCACCGAGGGCTTTGCCTCGTGGGATATGGTGCACTTTACCATTGTTTGCTTCCTAGTGGGACATACGTCAGTTCCTAGATCGGAGAGGGAGAAAGGAGGCTGTGTTACCTGCGGCGATGTATACATGCACCAGTCATACTCGGGGTTCTCGAACATCTGCGTGAAGGCGGCAGGAGTATCAACCAGAGGATCTCCGATGCGATACTTCCCCGCTTCAATGACGCCGACTGTCACATTGTGGTTCTCACTCAGACGTGCTGCGATTGCCAGTCCGGCTGTTCCTCCGCCGCAGATGACATAGTCGAAGGCCGTGCTGGTGAATTCCTCTACAGAGCAAGTGGGAGAAGCCATCTTGAGGGAGTTTGGGAGATGAGAAAGAGGGGTAGGGGACACGAGGCTATTTGAGCTACAATTGCATGGCTTAGCGACTGTAGCGCTGACACGCTATGTTGGAGCGGGGGAAGTTTTAAACTCTTTGCCCTTGGCTTGTGAGGGCCAAACTGGCCCAATCTACTTGGACCTCGGACTGAACTTATGCGGGGAAAGCTGCATATAGCCTCAATTTTGAGCATTCTACTCCTCAATCAACGACAACAACTTCTCTAATAATGTCGACTCTGACTGGCCCGACTGTGCACGCCCAACGCCACCCAGGATGTCAAATAACTCTTTCTTCTGGAGGACTAGGGTCTGCCCTGAAACACCACTAAACCCATCTTGCGCAAGCGCACTCCTGTGTGTCAGAGCGCCGTTGCTCAGATTTACCCGCCACCACCTCTGTTCATCGATAACATGGAGATCAAGAGCAAAGCACTCGGTTCCGGCCCGGGGCCCATTCAATCGAATCGCCAATAGATCCAGCCACTGATCCACAGACTGTCCGATCTTCATACCAGACCCCAATGTCTTGAACTGCAAACCGGGGATTGTGCCCAGACTCTGAGCTGCCGAGAGATAAAAGTTCCGCCAAGTGGCATTTTCCGCCCCAAAGCCAAGACTTGTATACACCCCCGCCAATGCCTCTGTGGCTGCAGCATGCAGGGGTTCGGCAGCGACTGCATGACCGAGCAAAGTCGCCGCAAAGCGAAGATCACCTTCATGAGCAAAGTGTTCCGCCTTGTCAATGACCTTGTCAATGCCCCCCAGAGCAAACACATATCGCTTCGCATTCTCAGCAGGCGGATGCTCCCAGAGACGTGCAGCATCACCATCAAACCACCCCATATACCGGTGGTAGATGCCCTTGACATTCTGGCTCACAGAGCCATAAAAGCCCTGCGCATGCCAGACATCCCGCAAACCAACCGGGAGATCCAAAGCCTCAGCAATCTCAGCCCCATTCAGACCCCGATTCATCAGCCTCACCGTCTGATCATGCAAATAAGCATACAAATCCCTCTGCCCAGCAACAACCTTCCCAATTTCCTCCGTCCCCCAAACAGGCCAAGTATGCCCCAAACAAAGAACCTCGGCCTCATCCCCAAAAAGAACCAACGCCTCATCCAAAACCCTCGACAACCGCTTCACATCAACGGCTCTGCCCCCCCGCAACGACGAAACAGCATGCATCCCCTGCACCATGCACTCTGAGAAATACAAAGCCCGTTGCACAGAAAAATAACAATTCATCTCCGACACACCCCCTCCCCCCCCTCTACAACCTGAAACACAATCCTCACCCCATCAACAACCCTCTCCTCCCCACTATACTTGACCTCCAGATTCGGCGGAATAAACGACGCCTCCCCCGTCGAAACCCCACTCCCAATCCCACACCCAACAGTGCCCCCCGCATCCCTCGCCAACGAACTCCCATAAACAAACATAGTGCGCCTCGCCATCGCCCTCCCCACCAACAAGTTCTCATCCATAGCCGCGGCCACAAACCCAACAGGCGCAATAATCGGAATATCATACTTAGCTCCACCCGGCAAGGGCGGCAGAATGCCCAGCGCGCCCCCGAAATGGTCGATATGCGAATGGGTGTAAAGAAGCGCCGAAACGGGTCTTTCGCCGCGCACGCTGCGGTACAGGGCGAGAGCCTCGGCGGCGGTCTCAATGGAGGTCAGCGGGTCGACGACTAGGATGCCGGTGTCGCCTTCAACGATGGTCATGTTTGAGAGGTCGAAGTTGCGGATCTGGTAGACGCCTGCGGTTACTTCGAAGAGGCCGTGGATGGATGTTAGTTGGCTTTGGTGCCAGAGGGCTGGGTTGGCGGTTGGGGGGCAGTGGGATTGGAGGAAGGCGTAGGATTCGGCGTTCCACGCTTTTTGGTGCGGGTTGGTGCTGTTGGTCGAGGGGACTGTGCATGGTTTGAGAGTGCCCACTAGGCCGTAGTTTGCGTTTGATATTGTGGTTTTGGGCGGGTTGGGGGGCATTGTGGATGTGAGAGGCTGTGGGTTTGGATGATGCGGTGGTATATGGTGTGGTATTTTGTTTTTGGTTCAATTGAATGGAAATTATGGGGGGGTTATATGTGGCTATAGGGACTACTTATGCTGTGCTCTATCCGACTGCGGATGTATGACGTAGATATTCGTTGGTCCGGGGCCCCCGATAACTGGCGCGTGGGAAAGATCATTCTATTTCGCTTTTTGCTGGTATGCTATTGTACATGTGTGCTTGGACGACTGGTCCTGCCTCCCTAATCCATATACGTGGGACAATTAAGGACCCTAGGTCGTTTCTTAGTGGTTTCTCAAAGTGCCATTTTGCGCTGTACCCATGCTAGGGCATTGTCCCATCTTGGGTCTCCGGATCTCAGGGCAAGATATAATTCCGAGACTAGGGCGTGGCCTGAGTTCTTTGCCCACCATCGCTTTGCGTCTAGTTCTTTCAGGAGAACGCCCCAGTACATGAGGATGAGAAGGGAGAATGGTTGTCGACATCTGAGACTGTCGACGAAGTCTTTCTCGACGGCTGCAAGCCAGGCAAGAACCGGCGCTGGATCTGGAGAGCGGGCGAATTTCCCGTAGCAATGTCGGAGATGGGCGATGACTTGTTTGTTGATGCGGTGCTGATCCGAGTAGATTCCAATCATGATTTCATCGTTCAATGCCGAGAGAAGTGTGAGAGCAGCCTCGGTGTCGGGATCAAGTTCTGCAGGCTCACTTTTCCAGAAAGCTCCCTGCGAGAACAGCTCGAGCTTAATCCACGACTGGCTAACCTGCAGGATCTTCTTTACGCCCTGCAGTAGCTCGAACAAGATCACGATGTTCTCCGTGATACTCGAGCAATCATCCTTTGTAGCTGTAAGTCTGGGCGAGGTGATACTGATAGCAATCATGACAATCGAGTGCGCAAACACAGCATCGCAATTGCGCGGCGAGATACTATCGATCGCATTTCGAAACGGCGTCAGACTCCGGTTGTAGTACTGCAGCCCGGTATCGTAATAGAGCAACGAAAGAGGCGAGTCAGTCGACGTGGCAATGTGCATAGAAGCCAACGCCAGAATGCCATTCATCAAGTAATCATGCTTCAGAGCAAGCCGCGGCACGGTATTCCGCCACACGGTAATTTCAGAATCACTCACACAAAGACTTTCATAAGTCTCGGTGGAGTATTTATGCATTAATTCCAGATTATCAATGCCAAACGTGTTCGGCTGGATCGAAGTCGATCCTGGAGCTGGTCCCGAATTTGCCGGGACGCCCGCGGCAAGGGCCGGCAACGCTCTGGGGGAGACCGAAATCGCCGCTGGCGATCCGCTGGACAGTGACCGCGCCGGGTCAGAACTTGGGCGTCGCGTGGGGTTTGTTGCGCGGCCGCGTGCGGCGGCAACTTTCAGGTATGTGCACTCTAATTCGCGTGTCGTGCAGTTTGAACATGGTGGACCCCGCTCGTCACATTTGACCCGCCGACTCCTGCACTGGTCGCACCCGTTGCGAGATTTGGTGTGCGCGCGGAGAGGGGGCATGGTCGACGTTAAACATGCCGGGGCCGCCCATGCAAATTGATAGGTGTGAAGCAGGAAAGTGGTTGAGTGGTGATTTTACGACGCAGGTCATGTGACGTGCTATACTTAGGCGTCATATCTTTTCCAAGGTTTTTTTTGTCATGCAGGAATGTGATGCAGAAGAATGCAGTTGAAATGTGGATTGTGACAGATATCAGGGTATGGCCTGAAAGATCAAAATATATACCAAGAATTATATATAAAAAAGAATGTTTGGATATGAAATTAAAATTTAGAAGCTGGGATGATCCCATACACTAAGAGAAAAAACCACAAAACTGATCCACCCAATGATGTACAGTCTGGAAATTACTTCCCGGCCACTCACATAAGAGCAGCAGCAAAAACACCAGCTCCAACAACACCAATAATGCTACCCGACATCTGCTTCGCACCGTTGAAGACAGGAGAAGAAGAAGCCGCAGCGGTGGCAGAAGTGCTGCTCCAGGGCATGGAAGAAGTGGAAGAAGGGGTGGACATGGACATAGTCATGTTCTTCTTGCCCATACCATTACCCATACCCATACCCATCATATTACCCTTGGCACCCTTCTTTCCAACCTAATCAACATAATCAGCTCTGCACATGCATAGAGGATAAGGCAGAGAAGCCTACCGACTCCGACTCTAATTTACCTCAACAATAGCGGGACCAGCAACAATGTTGTCATCAGTGGCCATCTTGTTGCCCTTGGTGAGAACGACGTAGCTCTGTCCGGCAACGCCCTGAGGGACGGTGACGGTGAACTTGCCGTCACCCATCGACTCAAGGGGTGCCCAGATGGGACCGGTGACGGTGATGAAGGCGGCGTTGATGTCAGTCGCGCTCATGTCGAAGCCGGTGCCGGCCATGAGGTTGACCTTGGAGCCGGTCATCACGGCGCTCATGTCGCTCATGGTCAGAGCGGGGAAGGCCTTGACGGGGAGGGCTCCATTGCTGCTGGGGCAGGAGACAATGAAGGGCGAGGCGACGGTGTAGACCTCGTTGAAGTCCAGGGGGTTGTCGAAGGCCTGGGCATAGGGCTTCTCGCCGAGGGAGGCGCGCAGGTAGGCGCTGTGGCGGGCTTCCACGGTGAGGATGCTGCCGGCGGCTGTGAGGTAGGTATCGTTCATGATGGAGGCGGCGGCTCCGAGGTAGGCGCTGACACCGACACCTGGGACTGTCAGTTGGGAGTTCAATTTAGGCTCAATTGGATTGCTTACCCTCGAGAACGCTGGCGAGAGCCAGGAAGCTGTTCACATCGGTGGATGGGAAGTTGTAAGTGCAAGCGGCGACAGGAGAGGCACCGGCAGCTGAATCTACTTGTTAGTATGGAATGGTCATTCACAGACGCTTGAATGTTGTTAACATACCCTTCAGAGCAGAAGTCAGGAAATCCACGTGGGACTTCTCATCAGAAGCAACCTCCTGAATGTTGGCATAGAAGGGGTCGGCCATGCCGGCCTTGACGAAGTCTGCCTGGGTGTAGTTCTTGAGACCCTCCGCATAGAAGGTGGCCTCGAGGTGCTCAAGGGTCAGAGCATAGTTGAGGATGTCGGCTGGTAAGGAGAAAGTCAGCACTTGTCCAATTGAGTGTTCAATTGAGTCTTCAAAGCGACATACCGTCACTGATGCCGCGCTTCACAACAGGGGTGGCACTGGCAAGACCGAGAGTAGCGCCGGCGAGGGCAATGTTGGTGACCTTCATGATGAGAGAATGTTCTTATATTGTGAGATGAACTGGAAGGCTGACTCTGAGTAAAGATTATTTTTCCCTCGGAGGAACAGCTAATTTATACCTGCAAAGGAGGCGCAAGCCCCGTATAGCAGGAGCTGGCATTCTGAGTTCAGAATACGACAAAGCCTAGTCAAGTCGAACTAGTTGTTCTGTTCCTTGTTTTGGCGTTCGGATCCTTGATCCTGGACGACAAACCAAGCGAACAACACAAGATCGACGACTGATAACCTAGATCGGGCAAAAGAACCAGCACGGAAAGCTCGGATAGAATTTGGACAAAAGCCCGGCCAAACAAATACAGTAGGAACAAACTCTCAAGAGCTATAATCTGCAGGGACCATTCTGGTGGAGCAAGCTGGGGTAGCTTAGGGCCTGTCCAAGGGTCGATCTCGCCTGATGGGGAATATTGGCAGGTCTTAGCTTCGAGTGGAGAAGAAAAGCCATGTCTCGGGCTTTTTAGCTGCAGGAACTCCTCTCGGATGTGTGGGAATCCGGGGTGAAGATGTGGATGAGCGAGAGCGAGAGCGAGACTGAGAGGAAATGAGTGAGGAGAGAGCGAGAGAGCGGAAGCGAGACCGAGACCGAAAACGGCTCCGAGCCTGACATACGAGGAACGAGCTTGATATTCTGCACTCCATCCTATCTATTGATTTGGAATACTTTAATCACAAGGATTGATATTAGGATATCATTGAGCATTTCCTTGTTGAGTCAACAATATTTGCGAATGGTTTGACTCGTTGAAATGACGGCATGTCTTTCTCTTTGGGACAAGACACTACACAATCTTCAAGTTATACAGTAGAACATATATAAGCTATGTTTGTTTGAACTTAAGTGTACAACTTGATTCAAGATGCTTCGAATCTATATAGTCGTCTGTCGTTTGCCAGGCAATTGGCTCATCAAATAAAACGGCGAACGACGCATTCTCAAAAATATTAAGCCATCCTAGACTTTTATATAGAACGAATCTCCTTTACGAGAAAGAAAACCAACTACGATTAACCCTCGTTAATAGGAGAATATCATTTAAAAAAGTAGCTGATTTGATAAACAAGGCTTAACAAACCTTCCTTAGTAGCTAGTGCTGTCAGGGCCACCTCCTAAACAAGGCAGTTCTTAGGAACCTAACCGGTATCAAAAGATATTAAAAATGATCATAATTCAGAAGATAAAAATGAACATGAATATGAAAGAACATATAAAAAGAACTTGACAAAAGGATGTTGACATCTGAACAATGCTTCAGATCCAATCAACTTTTCGACACACTATAAAGTTAAACCAAGTTTGACAAGAAGATACAATATATATAGATACCTATACTAAAGAGCTCCATAAGAACTATAAACAAAGTAACCTTGCGGCAAGGAATATATTGGTAGAGAACACGAGGGAACCAACATTTCTAAAGAAAAGTCGAAAGTACATGAAATCATAAAAGATTCCTATTAACGTCTATGACTAAGATGTAACAACAAAGTGGCTCTACAAATTACTGCAAATATAACGTCTTATAATTAAGAAATTCAATCAGAGAAGGAATAATTTAAATTAGAAGTAATTTCTAGTTGAAATAGGGACATGTTAAAAAGATACTCCTTTCTATACATGGATGTAGGGGTCCAGATTTCAGTTATTTACACAAACACCACCGTGTACGCCTGGATCTTCCATTCTCCATTTACCTCCACAAAGGAGATTTCAGCGCCCCACTGTCCCTCATGAAAACGGCCGTCTTGGAATTGATATTCAGTTGACCCTCTAACAAAGACATCGTGGGTTCCTTTGCCAAGAGCATAGATCTTCCGGGGCTTGTGGTTTCGCCATTCGACATTGTCCCATGATCTTTCGATCATTTCTGTAATTTCTGATTTGTGTCAGCAAATTCTTTCAGGCGAATTGAAAGAAGTAGGAAACATACCATCCCGGCCAGTAGACGTTTTGCCATTCCTCAAGATAACCGCATTGGCTGTAAAGCAACCAACCCATTCTTGCGTACAGTCCCGCTTATCAGAAGTGATTGTGAGACGCTCTAAAACACTGCGAAGACCACTGGGGAAGAGCTCCTCATCATACACAAGGTCAGGGACAGCCATTGTTGAAGTTAAGGTGTGTGGGACCTTTGCGCGGGAAAAAAGAAGATGAAACCAAGTGATTTTTTGTGAATAGTAACGTTAGTATATCTAGCTTTAATAATAACTTCAATATCTTGAAATTGGAGAGGAAAGTCTTTATTGATGCTGTGGAGAACAAAAACAATGATTGATTACCTTGGAGAAGAAAATAAAGCGCTTGCCCCAAGTGGGCTTTGAAATTATGTGGAGAACAAGATAAGATTGGCTTCTTATCGAGTTAAAGGTGACTTATCTATCACAAAAAAATAAGCATTGACATCAATCTCACTGTCATTGTGCAAAATTCTCTGGAGAAATATACTAGGGCATGTACGCTCTGGAAATTCTCCGAGTGTTTAGAAGCAAACCGTTGTATTGAAGACAACTGATCTTATAAAATGAAGAATTTTGGAGTATACGCCATTGGAAGGTTCCCCGACAAAGAAAAGCTTGGATTTCGAGTCTTGAGATCATGATCTTTTCCATAGAAGCACTATTAGCCTTGATACGGTGTCTGATTGCACACCACTATTCATTACGAGAGGGTATGTAGATAATAATCTGCTATAAATTGGTATCAACACTCAAGTTAATGCATATGCTTGTACGACTTTATCAATTAGCGGCAGGAGCTTCCGCTGCAATACCTCTTGGTGCAGCAGCTCTTAGTTGAGCACTTAATTAAATAAACTGGGTTGATTTAACTGCACCCTAATAAACCCCACTCTGAAAGCCGAGATATAAACCTTGCATGATATTAACATAACACCATTGATGCTTCTGTTCTATAGATTATAATGGCTTTAGAACTCCTGGCAAATAGAGGGCTCGAATATTCGCTGGGGATACAAGTCATTCAAATGACAGGCAGATCACATAAAAGAGAAACAGCGAGACTTCGAAAGCTGGGATGTGAGGGTTGATTTCTGACAGAGACTAGATTTGGAGTGACTAGAGAGGGTTGATACAAAAAAGTCATACAAGCCCTCTAAGAGTTCTAAAAGACGGAAAACTGACCCCATTATGGAATTTTACAGCTCATCCTTAGCCCAGAGGGCAACCCGCTCAAGAATGGCATCTCCATCGTGGGATTTTGCGACACTTTGATGGATTTTAGCAAGCTCATCCTTGTTATCTGAGGTGAAAGCACGTGCGGTGTCTGCGTCTATAATTTCTCTGGCTACAGAGCCAGCCATCTCGGGATGTCCTTGGAAGCCAAGGACGTTACGGGCGTCAGACAAAAGAATCTCGTTGTCCGTTGCCAGTGAAGAGAATCCAGGGGGTGGAAGAGTCACTAGTCTCTTATGGAATTTGTGGATTGCCTATGTCACCATTGTCAACGCAAAGCCCACTGTCAAAAAACCTCTATACTTTGACTCACGAGGGTTTCTCTGTCAATCCCAAAGAATGATTTCCCTTCCTCCGTCATGGCAATGTCTTGAACGCCAATCTATGAACGTTACCATCACCATCACTCAATTGTAAAAGTAATAAGTATGTATACTCACCAATTGCCCTATCTCAAGGGTTCCGATCGTTCCACCTAGTGCACGTGCGACTGCCTGATGGCCCCAGCAAATTCCCAAAATCTTTGTTTTGGGGTAATCCCTGGTGGTGGCTTGGATGAAATTAAACGTGTCTTCAACCCACTGATCCACTTTCTCATTGGTGAGATTGAAAGTCCCTCCTGTCAGAATGACCAAGTTATAGTCCGGGGCATTCGGGAATGGACTTCCGTCGATAGGATAGAAGAGATCGATTACTGCACCCGGGAACATGGTCTTGATGGTGGTATACCATCCGTCAATAATGGATTGGACCCATTGTTCGCCGGAAACATAGTTTCTGCATAGAGCAACTTTGAATTGAGACATTTCTCTGATGGTAGTTTGACAAAAGAGAATAAGGATAAGTATTCTGAGTGCCGTCTTGAGATATTTAAAACGAAAAAGAAGAGCTACTTCACATGGTGATGGATAAGTGAGTTCAAATGGTGAGATTGTGGGGTCGTAAGATAGTTGGAGAAACAATACCAAAATTTGTTCTGAAATTAATTGGAGACGTAATGACGGGCGATAGGAGTTTCTGATTGCTATCACCCCATCTGTAGAGATATTATACCGCGGCAAGTCTGATATCCGGAAAATCCTGCCCCAAATATCCACGGTCGTTCTTCTCTGAGATGAACCTTGAAGATCACAGTAGGGGCCTTTGTTTGCTGGTTTCTATGCAGACTTGTTCACTATGAATACACTGATATCTAAGTCTGGAAATTAGGATAACCAACTAGCATCACCTTTCTTGTATAAAGTGGTATCCTAACAACGCTATAGATATTATGGATGGACATGCGATTGTGTGGAATCAGGACAAGGCTGGACCCAATGTGATAAAAAAAAAGAAAGAAAGAAAAATCTTTATTCGAATGACTGCCCTTGAAAATCTCAACGGTTTGAGTAAAACAAATCCATGTCAGTTAATTGATAACCGACAAGGAAGAACAAGATCGAGGTCAGACATATCCCTACGACTACTGCAAGAGACTGGATCAGTGGCCTGATAGAACTCGTGTTTGTGAATCCACCGAGCACTAGCCATTTAATTAGCAATCGCGTAACATAATCCACTAGTATCTACGATATGTGTTCCGGACTGCGCAACTCGCTGGTGAAATACGTTAAATACGTTAACCTTAATTAACTTAGTTCAGTGTTGTAACATTTGAAGCGGATCAAGATGAGTCATCATACCAAGATAAGAGGCACGTGACCAATTTAGCGTCTAACGGTTCCCCTCCCATACGTACGTATACATAGGTAAGTTATACACAGAGTTGAAAAAAAGTCACCCGGTGATATTGATACTCCAGATCGAGACCTACTGTTCCGCCCATAATTCGCGATGCCTCGTGGAAGACCCAAGGTCCTGGTGTCACCCTGCAGGTTCTGCAAAATGCAGTTCAAGCGAGTGGAACATCTGCAGCGACATGAACGCATTCGTGAGTTCCTGCGCCCCCATTTCCTCTTATTTGTTGCTCATAGGTTCCAGATACTCAAGAAAAACCATTTTCTTGCGATTGTGGAAAGGACTTTTATAGACGGTAATTCATTCGCTTTAATTTCCCAAGACTTTAGTGTTTCTCATCTCATTCGAAACGCCTAGGGATCTTCTCATGCGCCACCGTCGACTTGACCATCACGGATCCCCCCTGGCAGCATGTGCAGTGAATTTTAATCAAAACGATACGACCATAACAGAAGAAAGGTAGACCATCTAACAGTGACGCAAAATCCACGCTAATTCATCAAATCTGTCATTAGTGCACTGGCCGAAAACCTCGACCCGAATGTATCACCCACTGAAACAAGTGCGGTTGATTCAATACAAGATGATGCAACTATATCAGCAGAAAGGTATACCATATATTGGCCACCCAAGATTCGCGCTAACCCGTGAGATAAACCATTAGCCTGACCAGAAACCTCGACACGTTCCAATCTTCTCCAATACCTGTTGGACGGGGCACTGGACCTGTGCAGCAAGGTTCCTGGACCCCCAGTGCTGCTGTTTCTGAATTACACTCAGAACACTCAAATTATACTGGGTTCATGCCTCATGATCCAGCAGACAGCTTTGATTTCACCTCTACTTACGAGTTCGAGATGCTCTGGAACAATAGCAATGACATTGCTGATTTCCTGCCTGCTGCATTCTTTGATACCGACTTTTCACTGTCTGACATCTGGCAGACAAATAATCAGAAAGCCAATAAATCTATGGGGCCACCTCTTAGCCTCGAGCCAAATAGACAGGACTTGCTTCTTCAGAATGCAGATGTATCGCAATCTTTTAGTTCGCTGCCATCACGACTTCCAAATTTAGAGCCGGACTCTCTATCATCGCGCAATGAGAGGCTACCTCACAACAAATTAGACTCATCGGGAGCTATTGACGTTTTTGCCGAAGCGGAAACCGCCTTGCCGTGGAACATTTCTGTACATGCATATGACCAAATATATGCTGCCATTCAAACATACGGAAACATTTTGCCCAGTGGGTTTCCTATTCCATCTCGACATACCGTCTCACGATATGTCGAGGGATATTTCCGAGGATTTCATGAGCATTTTCCTTTTCTCCACCCCCCCAACATTAAAGGTCGAGCTTTTATCACCCGAGCTTTTACTTGCGATGATCGCGATGGGTGCATTTTGCCGGGTAGAGAGAAAAAAAGGGTTATGCTCTTTACTTGGCCTCTAAAGCGGTCATAATGCATCGCCTTGAACAGCGTACCCAGATATCTCTTGCAGATCTTACAAGAGGCTTATCCAATAAATGGAGCACTAGGATCTCTGGGCCATACACAACAAGTGTCAATAGCTCCGATGGACATGACCACCAGTATTCGCCTGCTCAAACGTCTACTTCTCACGTTGGGCTGCAAACACTACAATCACTCATTATTTTAATGGCAATGGCGACATGGGCAGATGCTCCTGCGGTGCAGGATGCTTTGGCAATGGGAAGCCAGCTTGCAATTCTCACTCGAGAAGCTGGTTTAGGAAAACCGGATGAGATAGTTGAGACATGTTCTTGGCCAGATTGGCTAAATCGAGAAGAGCGTCGACGCACTCTTTTCCTATCTTATATCCTTTCAAACCTCTGCTGCATCTCATTCGATGTGACACCCTTGATTTCGAACCAGGAAATTCAACTTTCGCTCCCACACTGTAATACGGAGTGGGTGGCCACATCCGCGACGGAATGGCAGCACATGAGGACAACGTACGGTCATACGGAGAGCCAATTCCAGTCAACTCTCGAAGAAATTATGTGTGGAAGAGATGTTCATCACGAAGAGCCACTTTCGGCGCTTGGAAATTATGCCCTAATTAATGGGTTGATCCAAAACATATACTTCGAGCGACAAAGGAGAGGCAGCCATGCGATCTGTCTAGATAACGTGAAACAATTCGAATCTGCTCTCCAGACATGGCAAAGGTCTTGGGAAGCAACATTAGAAACCTCACTTGACCCTGCTTCTCCTCGAGGGCCTCTCGGATTCAGCTCGGCTGCCTTGTTAAGACTCGCGTATCTCCGCCTCAATGCCAACCTTGGGCCGTGTCGCAACATATTATCACAGGACCCATCGTCTATCGCCCACTTCTTCACCAACACATCTGTTACACTATTTACACGCTCTGTGCATGTTGATAGGGCTGTTCTTCAATGCATTCACGCGCTTAGTATTCCAATCAGAGTTGGGATCGCCTTTGCTGCGTGTACACAGTCATTGAATGGGAGTATTCAGCATGCTCTTTGTACGCTGGAATGTGCCGTTGTCCTCAGTCGGTGGTTAGATATCATTTCTGATGCGACCGAGACGGCAGGGTTAGAGTCCCTGCGAGAAGATGAGCAAAAACTGCTTGGAATGATCACTAGCCTCATCAGAGAAACAGATTGGGCAGATACATTGGAAAGTACAGATCCGGATAGTTACTGTATCCGTCGAATGGCAGCAGTCGTTTTGAGGTTATGGGCGGAAACATTTCGAGGTGTGCATATATTTGAAATCGCTAGAGTCATCGGGGAGGCACTATCTATCATGGCAGATATCCTTGAAAAGAGGCTAGAGCTACAAGACCAGCGAGTTCATGTATGCTGAGTTGAGAATATACGATGAAACGTTTACAATAGCTTCATTTCAACCAATCCAGGTTCAAGTATGACCCCGGTAGCAAAAAAGCGATAAACCCTTATGTTCCACTTCAGGAACGCTTATCCCCCACGACAACATACTCCGGGTGACACATTGAATCAATCACTCAAGCTATCTTGAAGCGTACTTGTGGAATACCTTGGCAATAACCTGCCATTCTCCATCGATCTTAATGAGAGTGAGGAAGTCGGTGTAGTCGGCGCCTGAGGCGTCACCCTCCATGTCGATGCGAACGACAGCAGTGGTTTGAGTGATAGCGAGAACGTCGTTGCGGGTCTTGATTTGGGGGGCACTGCCATTATCGCGAACAAAGGTGTAGAGGTTGCCAATGGGTCCGGCTAGCATATCAGGCTTAGGAGGATTGATGAAGCCGTACATGATGGCGTCTTTGTGGAATGCTGAAGCAACGGCATCGGAACTACCAGAGCGCAAGCCCTCGGTGTACTTGTTGGCAGTTTGAATCACGGCATCGTACTCGGCGGTAGGAACGGTCTTGATGTTGGCAGCCATTTTCTAGATTTAAACGTTAGAGACACTCTGGAGTCACTGAGTAGCATCGACGAACAAATGAGGCAAGGAATTTGATACGAATTTAGATGAAGAAGATTTGAGTATTGTGATATTGAATTGTTGAACGAGGTATACTTCGGAAGTTAATGTATGGAAATTATTTCTCCAACAGCCGATTGGAGTATCAGTAGATGGGCTTTGGGGTAGATAAAAATCACCCGATTGAGGGAGACGTTCCACTTTATCCTCTCCACAACTAAAACCTCCAACCCTAATTACGCTTGACTTATCTGATCTGATATCTTTCACTGAGTTATCAACTGTTCTTTTTAGTAATTAAAGTAAATGCAGGACGTGTCCATCGATTCAACGATCCACTATGCCGCAAGGCTTATCGAAATATGTAGTAGACGTGATACATGTCCAATTTGACCTAACTTATAACTTAGTTGAATTGAACGTATGGCATTTTGGTTGCGATAAATGCATATTAAAGTAATATATGGGCCCCCCCGCTTACCGAATACGTTACTCCAAGAATGGTTTTAGAACACGAATTAAATTGCCAGACTCTTAGAGATGAAGGCTATAATGTGACTACCAGTCGCCCAGTGAATGAATGCGCGGCTGCCCTTTCGGGAATGTCCTGGCCCTCTTCAAGAGGAAGGATGGTAAGGTGACTGACCACCCCATTCTCAACAACAGCTTCGATCATCTTTTGCACTTCGTCGACGGGGCAATGCAATGATCCTTTGACAACAATTTCTCGGAATACCAAGTTAAAAGCGTCGAACTTGAAACCGGATTCTGGCAGGCCAAGAACAACGCAGACGCCCCTAGGATGAAGGCGATGCAGAGCCCAGTCACTAGCCACAACGTCGTCATTGCAGACAACAGCGCCGCTCAGTCCAATGCCATCGGTGAACTCGGAAATCTTTTGAATAGCATCATGGCTCTCGAGGTTGATGATAAGGTCTGGTCTCAGGTGAGCCGGGACATCGGATGCAAGCTTCAAACCAATGTCACGGTTGTCAATAGCGACAACGCGTAACCCTCGAGCTTTGGCAAACTGAACAGCGAGAACCCCAAGGCCACCTATTCCAACAACCGCGACCGAATCTCCCTTCTCTAGCCCAGTCTCCTTGACTGCATTCCATACAGTAGCCTAAGTGATTCATTTCAGTCAACATGTTCACGTAGAAATATTAACTTATAGATATGGCAGACGTACACCAGCACACATGAGTGGGGCCGCCTGTTCAAAGGTAAGGTTTTGCGGCAAGCGGACAAGTGCATAGTGCGAGGCGAGCATATACTCAGCAAACCCGCCGTCAGCCTTCAAAATGCCGCTCATGGTTTTGTTCTCGCAATAGCGAGCATCGAGAGAACCGTATAACTTAGTCCGCCATTTACATCCATTGCAAGAATTGCATGGGTTTCTAAAATTGAGCACACCAACACGGTCATCTACCTTCCAATCGCCCGGTACCTCCGGACCGAGTTTCACAATTGTCCCTGCGGGCTCATGTGAGCCCGTGAAGGGCAACTGCGTTCCATATACACCTTGGTAGACCTGATAATCGGTGTGGCAGAATCCCGCCGCACCCACGCGGATGAGAAGCTCTCCGGGTCCGGGAGTCGGAACTGGCACATCGGTGCGAAGCTGGTAATTCTCGTTGTACTGTTCAATTGTCAACTTGGTTTCTGTTTCAAGGTTGTTGAGTCCCTGGAAAGGGGATGAGTGAAGTCGTACGTTGGTCAGTCTCAACGCCCTCATCGTCGCGGGGACAACATTCTGGGTCATATTTCGAAGGTGAGTTGAGAAATCTGGATGTTCGAATGAAGTATGGGAAGTGACAAGCTCCGAAAATGGAGAGGATCAAAAAAAAAAGAAAAGGTTGTGCAATTCTGATCTCACTGTAAAACTACACAATGACTGTAGACTTGCCACACCAAATGTACCCCCACTGTGGAGGTTAAATTCTCCAACTTTTCTTTTTACCTCCACACTGATTCTAATGACAATCCTGTATTGTTTCTAGGTTTCAGGACTGAAATGGCTAGATTGGTACTGAATGGTCTACCTTGACTCGAATTTATTACGTGTAGAACAATGTCAAGATCCAATCTAGGCTCTACTTCTACTATTCGACCCACAGCCCATTGGTACCTAGCCGGGAATTTATTTTTGAACCTAGGACCAAGATCACGGATTCATGTTGAGGTTTCGAGAACAAATCGGAGTAGATTGAAATACAAAGGAGGGGATTTGGAAAGAGAAGAGCTTGGAGTCGAAACCCACAACATATACTAACATATCTTCTTTATTAGATTCCTTGAGGCGGAGCAAAAACATTATCCCTCAAAATTCACTACTCTCTTCCTATCAAGGTATCCCTGGATAGGGAACCACCCCGCATGCTCCGAAAGTTCTTCGTGAAAAGTACGAATCTTGATAGAGCGGCATAATCAGATACGAAAATTTAGCACCTGGGCAATGCTATCAAATCAAGTAGCATGCCAAGAATGGAGCCCGGATCATCTCGTATAAACCAATTAACTATGAGGACCGAATAAAATATAGCATCGTCTGACAAGGTTACGTGGAAATATCTCGGTGTGCGGCATTATCTTTCACTCAATTGAGTAGCCGTTAGATAATTCTTATCTTTCTAAGTAGTGAGCAATAGATGATTTTGACAATGTTGCAAAGACATGCATGCTAAGACAAAGTGTTTTTGCAATTTCGTTTTTACGAGTTCAATTGATGAGCCCACACCGATGGACGTGATCGATCAACCGTCACTATGCTGTATTGAGATGGGAAATAGGGGAAGGAAAATCTATCTGGGGTAGAACTTTATGAGGGAATTGCCCCAACCTGATCCCTGTGCATAAGTGCCAAGTGTCTGTCGGTCTTCAATACTCGCTTAAATAAACCCGGAGCTTCTGCAAAAGAGATACCAAAAGGAGTTTAATTGGCTTGAGCCGTTCTAAATCATCTGTAGATTGTGGTTAACACAAGCGATAAGAAGAGAATTAACTTCTCCAAGATATTGAGTCAAGATACTCGGTCATCTCCCTATTTTGTCTCCAAATATCATCGTTAAAACTTGAAGATTACCCTATGACCCATTTCCAAGTTCAACGTTGCCTCAACAATCTCTGCCAACAAGACGTGCGCTACCATCTATTCAACTTGCTTTCAAGTATTGTTAAATATCAAAAATCTTCAGAATATTGCTGATTCTTCTCCAATCACTCGTTTGTTTCAGTCTCGGAGATATGGAGACTAAGAACAACTCCACGGATCTGAAGCTTGACACTCTTCCACGAAGATCCCAAGACATTGAGTTTGGATCCGTCCAACCGATTTCGGCAGACAGTGATAACGTAAAGCAAGAATCTGTCGCCACAGATGCAAACAATGAGGCCGAAGTTTACTTGGCAGAGCACCATGCCGAATGGGGTCAGTATACAGAACATGAATCCAAGAGAGTTCTTCGACGCATCGATTGGCGTATTCTCCCACTTATCACTATCACAATGACCTTAGCCGGGGTGGACGTTAGCAGGCCTTTCCCTGGACAGCCATGACACTGCTGACGGCAGTAGAAAATCCTCATCTCAAACGCAACCCTTTACGGAATGACCGAAGATGTTGGCCTTCACGGGGACCAATATAATTGGGGCAAGTCCTCGGATGAGACAACTTGGCTATAAGAAAACTAGCTAATGTGAATGCATAGTTGCATCAATTTTCTACTTTGGGTATATGGCCGCCACATTCCCTGCCAATGCAATGCTTCAGAAGATTCCCGTGGGAAAAGCGCTAGGCTGTGCAACGATAGGCTGGGGTGCCCTTGCCACGTTAATGGGGGCTTCCAATAATTTTGGTGGACTTTTGGTGCTTCGTTTAATTATGGGCTGCTTTGAAGCACCCATATTTCCTTGCATTACAGCTCTCGTTGGCATGTGGTACACGAAGAAGGAGCAGCCAACGCGTACAGCCATTTGTTTTGCTGTATTCTCGACGGTATGTTTATAATTTGAATGAAATATGTACGTCTTAACCACTAATTTGATGCAGTTGATTACCGGTACAGTGTCATATGGCATTGGACATTCGAACACAAGTGTCGCTCCCTGGCGTCTCCTATTCTTCGTTTTCGGACCGGCCACAATATTATGGGGTATCATATTGCTTGTTTTCCTCCCAGATTCACCGCTCAAGGATGGTTTCATGAAAGGAAAACAAAGGTTTATTGCAATTTCCAGAGTTAAGGGGAATATGACCGGCATTGAAAATAAGGTTGGAAGCCGCCACCCTAAGCTCTCATGGAGGTCTAAGACTAACGCTTCCTCAAAGATATTCAAATGGTATCAAGTTCGAGAAGCCTTTTTAGACTACAAAACATACGCACTCTTTCTTTTCTACTTGTGCAGTAATGTTCCCCTAGGTGGTCTGTCCACTTTTGCTGCACAGATTGTCTCGGGACTTGGCTATTCCTCTCTTGAGACAACGCTACTGGGAATGCCTACGGGGATGTTCCAGACCTTTGCTGGTCTTCTGGTTGCCATTCCGCAGATTTGGCTGAAAAACATGCGCTGTTTGACGTCAGCACTATGTTGTCTCATTCCACTGGCTTGCTCTATAATCATACGACGTGAGTGTATTTGATAGACTCTGTAATTGATTCACTGATTACTAATACTTGATAGGGTTGCCGAATGATAATATGACTGGTAAACTTGTGTCGTATTACTTCTTCTTTTTCTTCTGGGGTCCTTATGCAACAGGTACATTTTACGATGAATAAAAAGGAGGCCGAAAAGCTGACCAAGCTCTTAGTCTTATCACTTCCCATGGCCAATGTGTCAGGGTACACAAAAAGGCTCACGGTGAATGGCTGTGTCTTCGTGGCATACTGCATCGCCATGATAATTGGACCACAGCTTTTCATCGAGGCAGAGGCACCCCGATATCAAACAGGTTACAATTGTATCCTGGCATTTGAAATTTGTGCGGTCATTTGTTTGGCTGTATATGCATTTGGGTGTATGATTGAGAACAAACGTCGTGACAAGCGCGAAGGCAAAAACTTCCAGATGTCAAGTGCCCATCAGTTGAGCGACCTCACAGATCGAGAGAAGGAGGGGTTCAGGTACATATATTGAGTAGAGATGTGAGATGCACTGAGAAACTCTCTGTCTAGCGGCCGAAGGCCAAATCAGCATCTGACTTAGTTAGCCCTTTCTGAAATTTCAGTTTCCTATCATTGGTAAATACACTCTCCGCCACCTAAGTATAAACATTTTCAAAAAGAATTACCAATTTAAGCCAGGAGAGAGGCGATACTTGTATGTTCAACAAGGGCACGGACATGAATCGTACCCTGGTAGTCTTTCTGAATGAGAGACTTCGTATAGAATAAACTCAAACCCAAGCTCCGGCGATAGTCAATCTCTGTAGCCTAGGGCGATGGAGTAAGAATGCATATGATCAGACTGACAAAGACGGCCCATTACTTTCATCTCGGGCTGGAATGAAAGATGGACCGGCAGGACTGTATTCCATAGTTTTTCTGATATACGTCGGCTCGGCAGCGGGCATTTGCAAAGTGGGTTTCCCGTGTCTAGGTCAGAATGAACCAATTGCCGACATACTGGGTAACCCACTATAATTGGCTTCTAGTAATGGTCCAATCACTTTCTCCCAGAATTCCACGGGGCGACTAAGCATTTTCGGCCAATTTACTGCCGGAGCCACGACCTTGATCAGCCTTCCTATCTTGCTTAGTTTTGCGGGCGAGTCCGTCATTGCCTTGTTGGGCCATGAGTAATCTCTATCCAACTAGGCCTATTTGGGTATAAATCGTTCGTCTATAGATCCACGGGGGTGAAAGAGGCAACTGATCGTCACAGAGGATGCGTACGTATATAGCATGGCTGTAACCCAATGTTGCTAGCGCTTCACTCTTCTGTTAACCGATATTTGATCTCATGCGATACGAGACCCCGTGGTTGTTCGATTTGATCTCGTTAGAGAAAACAGCCTGGAACTCCGCACTGGACACCCCAGAGCAATTGTCCGAGCACCAGTTTGATTGCTGGACTCTCGTATACAGACATTCTAGATGCGCTTGGTTCGCTGAACGTGTATGCTACCCACGTGGGCTGAAAACAAGCCTTGCTCAGCATGGATTTCATCAAGAGATCGATTATAAAGGGAGTGTGGGACACCACTGAAGACCTCCCTGTGAAGTGACAGCCGTTGATTTCTTCAAAAGGATTGAGCTAGACAATCAGCCAAAATGCATTCCAGTGCTCTTGTTGGTCTCTTGGCTTTGGCCGCCGCCGCAACTGCTGTTCCTCACAAGCCTCGCTCCGCTCACTCAGCCTCGTCGATTGAGAACTTGAAATCTCACGTCAAGAATGTCGTTGTTCTCGTGATGGAGAACCGCTCTGTGGACAACCTCCTTGGTGGCCAGAGAATTGCTGGTCTGGATAACCCCATCAACAACGGTCCTTTCTGCAATCCTTACAATGTGACCGACCCCTCCCAAGGTCACCACTGCTCTGTTGCTAAAGACTATGACTCTGTTACCGACGACCCTAGTCATGCTGTCACTGGTAACACCATGGAGTTCTACAGCCAGTGGACTCCTGACAACGCCGCCATTGCCGATGGCAAGTTGGTCGCCAACAACAACGGTTTCATTCACGAGCAGATCCACAACTATGGTGCTTCCGCCAACGAAACTGTCAAGGCTATGCTGGCCAAGCAGGTCATGAACTACTACACAGAGGACCAGACCCCTGTTCTGACCTCCCTGGTTCAGAACTTCTTGACCTTCAACCACTGGCACTCTGATATTGCTGGTGTAAGTAGATATTGAATAACTGTCATTTCAAGACTACTACAGTATGCTAACCTGGCATAGCCCACTGACCCCAACCGGTTCGCTGTCGTCGCCGGTACCTCCGCAGGCCACGGTTCCAATGATGACACTTTCGGGACCTACGCCTTTACCCAACGCTCCATCTTCGAGCAGCTTGGTGAGACGAACCACACCTGGCTCAACTACTGGGACACTGCTGGCGGTACCGGACCCGAAGCCCAGTGGTTTGCCTGGACCAAGGCCACCAGCAACGAGAACAAGGTCGTCGACATCGAGCAGTTCTACACTGATGCCGCCAAGGGAGCTCTGCCCGAGTTCTCCTACCTGAACCCCTCATGCTGCGGTGTCGGCACCACATCCATGCACGACAGCGGCCTCATCTCCGACGGTGAAGCCTTCATCAAGAAAGTCTATGACTCCCTCCGTGCCGGCCCCCAGTGGGAAGAGACTCTCTTCGTCCTGACCTTCGACGAGAGTGGTGGTTTCCACGACCACGTCCCCCCACCCCTGGCCACTCGTCCCGACAACCTGACTTACACCGAGAAGGCCACCAACGGCGAGGAGTATACTCTCGAGTTCAACCGTCTCGGTGGTCGTATTCCCACTCTGCTTATCTCTCCTTGGGTCAGCAAGGGCTACGTTGAGCAGAAGGGCACCAACCACCGTGGTCAGTCCCAGTCCTACTCGGCTACTTCCCTGCTCCGTACCCTCGGTTACCTCTGGGACTTCGAGCCGTTTAACCCCCGTGTGGAGGATGCGGCCTCCTTTGAGCACTTGATTCAGAGCTCTCCTCGCAAAAACACTCCCAAGGTGCTCCCGACTCCTCATGCCTTCTCCCGCTAGATGCGCAAACAAAAAAATTCGTGGATGATGTCGGCGAGCTGGGAAACCTAGACTTCATTTCAATATGTAGAACGTGAGAATTAATCTTTTACATATATTTGTTGTTCAAAATTAGGAATAGTCTCATACTCATTTCTCACACCCTTTATAACACCTTACAAGTTTCATTCTTTACCAAGCTACACTAGATCATGTTTCTCTAATATGCTAAATAGGGGCTTATAAGAATTATATCAGGCCCTTTTACTATCAATTGCTAAAATGTTAATCTGAAACCGCCATACACTACTGACAGGTGCTAAAGTCCAGCGGGGCTTACTAGCGGATGCAAAGTAAACCAAGTACAAGTATCGCCCAACAACAAGGCCCCTTTTCTTCTCTACCACATCCTCAACATGTCCACCATCCCACCATTCAACATCGACTTATTTTTCCCAAAGTCAGACATCATAAACATCAAAAAGACGCCCGAGTCTCAAGAAACCCAAGACGCATGGGTCCACACCACCCAACCACCCCTCTTCTGGGAATTCCTCGCCGAGCACCCAATATCCCAGAAACTGCAAAACATGAAAGCCGCACTCAATGCCGGCGCCGATCCAAATGAAATGGACCACGAGCGTGATCAGCGCCGTAGTCTCGGTCGGCCTCTTCATTGCGCTATGAGCGACTGGGGCAATCCGGACTATATCAAAGAAAACGTCCCGGCGGTCAAGCTACTACTCCAACATGGTGCTGATCCCCGCCTGCCTGGCCCAGAAGTCAGGCCTGTGTCTGCAGGGCTGCAGTCGCCCTTGGAGCATGCAAGGCGACTGGCGATGGGCGAGTGGAGCGGCGTGCGTGAACTGTTTGAATGCGGGTATTATGCTGAAGTCTATCAGGTTATGAAGGAGGCGGCTGATGATTTGGATTGTAAGTGAGTGTTTGTAAATTTGATGTTTCTTTTCTTTTCAGTTGGTCTGTAAAAGGGCGTGATGCACCGATGAAGAAAGGGTTGTGGATTCGGAAGTTACTCGGTTTCTACGTTTTCGCCAGTATTGCTGACTTCATAGGGGTTTCTACCCTTTCAAGACATCAGACTGACTACTTAATCCCTCGTGAGACGTACTGGGTCTTCTCACACGTCCCTCAGGAGATTTCCCTGGCATACCTGAGATCTGCCGGTTAACTTGCTGCCTTCTATCGGTGCCGACAAGAACGAGCGTTCGACCTATATACTTGATTCCCCTGCCACCTCTTGAAACGCACTTTCCTCAGAAGTCCAATCAAATTTCACCAGGATGGGGAGATCCAGTAATCCTTCCAGCGGCCTTGGTCTGCCTCCTGGAACATATCGATCCCTCCCTCAACGCCATTCGCGCCTACTGTCCACACACCACTTTCGATCAACTCAGTCCATCGGTCAAACAGCATCTCCAGTCTCTGCACCCGGTGCTCCCCGCCAAACGGATGAAAAAGGCCATGCTGGAGAAGCTGCGTGAACGAGCCAGATGGCACTAGAGTTCCATCACTGTACCTAGCTCCATCCTCGTTGCTAAGATTCGGTTGTAGCGCGAATGGGAGTAGAAGGCAGAATCCGGTTTCCTCAGTATCGTATTCGAATCGATCAATTGTTGCACTATATAAACCCGCGGGGACAGGATCCCCTTCGTTGAATGGAACATCATTCCTCGATCCAAAGAACAAACGGTGAATTTCTTCGTTGAAACCGGTCGTGCGAGTATTATCTGCAGATGCAAAGAGTAGGAATGACGGTACACTCCTGCCCTGGCCTTCCGCATTGAACATCTGACGCGCTGCGAAGGCCTGTTTGTCGTGCGGAACCTCCAGGCCGGGCGCGACTAGCTTGAAACGCGGGATTCTCACTCGAGTCAGAAAGGAGCGAATAAAGCACTCCTTCGGCACCAAAGCCGCATCGAGCTCTGCATCGGTAAAAAATGGTGCATCCGAGGATATTGGCAAGAGAGAGTGCATGCGTGATTCGATCGCGTCCGTGTAGCGGTCCATCGCAGCAACCGTACTGTCTATTTGAGCAGCGCAGTACGGATGCCAACACCATAACCCAATTTGATGTCGCGAATCCGCCTCTTCAGCGGACAAGTCTCTCTCGTTCCGTGGATCGGCCGTGATCTTTCCCATTCGCAGCATGTAGATCCAGTGGGTGAGAATCGTCTCTAGAGGAAACCACATATCCCAATGCTCAGTGACAGGCTCGATACTTTCTGTATTCCAGATGGTTAATGGGAACGAGGCGCGATGGTTCAACTGGTCGTAGAGAACACCCAGACAGTGCGGACCGAGACCGGAACTTGTGTCGTAAATAACCACAAATCGCTCTTTATCCTCCAGATCGTTGTCTTCGTGGGGGAAAGACTCGTCGACAAGTTCCATTCGCAGCCCGTTCACCCAGTAGAAGAATTCCGGCGTCGGGTCATAGATTGCGTCAAGAAATGAGTTTAAGGATGGATCAAGTCGAGCGCGAATGGCGTCAATATTCTCGCTCGGTTCGTTGAAGAACCATGACTCGCTGGCTAGGGCGTCGAGATCGGGCGTTGTTGTTCCATTGCGGGCCATGTAGGCATATGCGACCAGGTATTTGTGCAGTCTGGCGCAGCGTTGGAAGTCGAGTGTATCTTCATCGCGTGCTGGGTTTTGGTCGGTAACTAGAGCATCTTCGATGTCAAGGATCTGTTCTGGCGTGAAGGTGGTGATCATGATGAGGGCAAGAAAACAGTCTTGGCGAGCTCGCCTGGTTTTATAATTACGCATACACAGAAGCAGTTAGGCGTTTTCAAATGCCTGGATTATGGTATGGTATTGTAAGTACGGTATACCAGTATATACTGTCAGTCCTTGAATCAATAAATGTCCAGTCTTGTAGCTTCAATTTCAAGTAAGCGCACCTTCTCACGGCTCTCGAAATTTTCTTTATCGTGGAAATTCACCTATATCCAAATATCTGACTTTTCACAAGAAACGTTGAATCGATAGTATGAGGTTATAAAAGCAAGAAGCCAATGTGAACAGTGATCGCGTGCTGAAAAGGTACTTGGTGAATGGTAAAGAGCCCCATTATCAGCAAAGATGACATCTCCGCTACCAGATTGTAATCAATATGACTATGACTTCGCAAACCCCACGGATCACTAGCAAGAAAACGATATACTCATTTGTGAGAGAGAGAGAGAGAGAGAGTCAAAGTCGAGGACAAAGTGGCCGTTCTGAAAGGTCAGACTGAAGACATTCCAATGGCAGCGGACCTGGAGGCATTGATGAAAAGCAAAATGGCCCCAAAACAGCGGCTCTAGCCTCGGCTCTCCGATTTCTCCGAGTGCTCTACTAAATGGACATAGAACCCCCGGGACAAGGTCCAGTTTGGTACATACGAAGAAAGCTAGTTGGAGACTGCAGGGAGCAAAATACCTGCCAGGGCAGCTTGCTGTCTACGACAGGAATCAAACGTCTGATCACAATTCTAGGGATTGTTGAGAAAGTTCATTATAAAATCACCTGTTTCCTGCAGTGTGTTCCCTAGCGTAGCCTCTCTTTTGAGAATTTTCAAGTGCCTCGGACGTGTTTCATACAGATCATATCGACATGGAGTGCTATGGCCACTGTAGCCTTAATATAAATGTCTCCCCTGCAAGACAGAGCATAATAGGCGGTCCGCATGCATGAAAGAGGCACAGATATTTGAGTCATTCCTCGCTTTCTCGGATCTCTGGCTCGGATTCGCCGAGTCTCTGATACTGAGCCATAACACAGGATTATTGGGTCAGTCTCACACCTTCAAATGTCGATTTAGTGGAGAAAATATTTGACTCCGTTATTGTCCAATATTCTGATGTGAAGAAATTGCTGGAACTGTGGAGTGTCAATGTAACGGTAGTTGCTTGGTTCGGAAAGATATCGGCAAAATAGACACTTAAGTCTGTTGAGAGCAAGCACAAATTTGAGTCTAGATGACCCGAAGACTTTTGCGTCCGGGGAATTCTCTTCTCTCCTTTTTTCCTTTTTCGCCACCGTTTGGTGGGACCGCAAGTCCATCTAAGTGATAAACCCAAGTGGAATATTGAAAAAGGGAGGAAACCCACCAGCGACGAGATCAATTTGGTCTAGAGAAAAGCAACATTCTTCAAAGGCACTAGTTGATATGGTAACCGCCAACTATGTATGCAGCTTGTCGGGTTCACATTTGGAATTGTTATCCGGTAGGTCAAGACTAGATCCAGTATAGAAAGAAATGGAAGCCATCGAAACAGGACTTGGACCCCATACTTGCAGCCGAACTATGCCAAATCGACTTGGGCACCAATCAAGCTGCAGCTTTAGTCTCATGTGCCTGCGCCAGAATTTGAGATAGCCCAATCGTAAGTGTAATGGATGCTCCAGGTCGGATTCTGGACCAAGTATAATCTGACAGCTGACTAGTCAGAAAAACCCCAATCGCAGCAGCTGATAGGTCAGCTCCTCTCACTGGAAAAGAATCTAGAATCGATATCGGTTGTTCTGCCTATCCCACATCGGATAAGTTTCTGTTTGGCCAATGAAAAAGCTGGCCGTGGAGAGCTCTTCATGCACAACTCGGTCTAGCGTCTTCACGTGCCCCGCCCATGGACAATTGTCTCTTTTTTCGTGTTTATACCTTGAGACTCCTGAGCTTTCGATGATTGTCTAAATCATGGCCCCTCAGGCCTTTCATGATCCCGAAGAGGAGGAGCGTGAGCGAATCCGCGATTTATCAAGGTGTGTGTGTGGCGTTCCGCCCGTATCCTACACTCCTGAACTGATCACGGCCCCCCAGGTATTACTGCACAGTAACCCGATCACTACCAACGCCCAATACAGAGGATGGTCTGGCTGCACCGCAGGGAGATGAGCAACCGGCTAGTTGCGAGCTGGCCAAGGATATCACCCTGACCGCCCTGGCGCAACTTGGCGTCCATCGCTTCAACTGCAACCGATCTTTTGTCTCGATCATCGACGGAGAACTCCAGCATATCATCGCCGAAGCGACAAAATCCGTTTCTCTACGCGACAAGAACCGACATCTTCCCGACGATGGCATCTACCTCGGAGCACGGTCTCTCGATCTGGTGTGGGGCGTGTGTCCCCATACGATCCGATTGTTCACGGGGCGTGAGCCAAACGATATCGAATCCGGAAATGTGACTGCAAACAAGACTCGTTATATTATTCGGGATTTCAGGGCGGAGGATTGCTTCAAAGACCGACCATATGTTCGCGAGTGGCCGTTCATGCGGTTCTATGCCGAGGTCCCACTGTACAGCGCCACGGGGTATGTGCTGGGCTCGTTCTGTGTGGTTGACGATCAACCACGCACCACATTTGGAGATGACGAGGTCCGAGACCTCCAGGAAGTCGCTGATGCTATTGGTCAGCACTTGGAGAATGTTCGAATTGCACAGGCGCATACTCGCGCCGAGAAATTGGTCAAAGGTCTCACTACTTTCACTAAAGAACATGGAGATTTCGATCCAACAGAAGTCTCAAATAATGGCCTCCTTCAATCAAGTGTCACTGCAGCCAATGTCTCACCAAAAGCGGAGGTAGATAGCGACGCCAAACTGGTGACTTCCACGTCCGGTAACATAGACGCCCCCGAGGTCAATGTTCACAGCCCGGAACAGTCATCCGCATCGACCGTCACACAGCCCTCTGGAAATTCCTTGTCGTCGACTGTTACAGCGGAGGAATCTATGTTCTTCTTGCCGGATCAATTGTCGGAGACCGATCCTTCCTCTCTACCTTCAGGCTTTTCCGATCGGCCCACAATTCTCAGCCCCGGAGAAGAAAAGACACTAGAAGACGCCATGAAAATGGAGGGTTCGACGGCCGAAGATGCAACTCCTGTCCAGGAAGTCCAGAAATCCTTTGCGCGATTTTCGTTAGACGAAACCACTCCTGTGTCGGAAAGGATTGCAGCAACTTATTCTCGTGCAAGTCTTTTGCTTCGGGAGTCGATGGATCTAGATGGCGTCGCGTGTTTGGATGCTTGTCCGACTAATTTCGCATTGTTAGTTCAAATAACCTTCTTGTCTACACAATGGTCTAACTTCTTCTTCTAGCAAACCAGAAGAAGCTGAAAAGTGGGATCCCTTGCGACCAATCCCAGACGCTGGCTTCCCAATGGCGCCGCTTCCTAGTCCACTTGGACTGCCGCGTGTTGTTTCCCAAGAATTCGACCAGCCAAGTGATATGTTAAGCTGCGCCCTCAAGAAATCATCTGTAGAAGATGCGGGCTCAATTGGCCAACCTGTCATACCCAAAGGTTTGTTGCATCGACTTCTCAGAACCTACCCCCAAGGCCAAATTCTGAGTTTGGAAGACGCGATCCTGGAATCCGAAGAGGACTACCTGTCGTGTTCTTCCACGGAAAATATGGATTTGGGACCTGAGTCCTTAAAAACACAGTACATCACAAACGAACTTGCGAAACGTCTTCCTGGTGCCAAATGTGCTCTGTTCCTTCCGTTGTGGGACTGGAACAAGTTCCGTTGGCTCTCTGGAATTCTAGTATGGACCACAAGTAGCTACCGAGCACTTGGACCAGAAGAACTGCATTATTTCAAAGCTTTTGGAGACTCCATCATCTCGGAAATTTGCCGAATTCATTGGGCCAGCACTGAGAAATCAAAGTTCGATTTCATTTCCTCGGTCAGCCACGAGCTTCGTTCGCCACTACATGGCATCTTAGCGAGTGCTGAACTACTTCATGGAACTTCCCTCGAACCAGCCCAAGAGGAGATGGTGGACATGATCGAAAGGTCGGGCTTGACTTTACTCGACACGACGAATCATATGTGAGTACAGAATCGAATGACTTAACACCTTCGCTAATAATTGCATAGGTTGGACTTCTGCAAGATCAATAATCTTAGAGAGACAAATCGACTCAACGTGACTGCCGCCGAGGGTGAAACAATGAATCTTCTTTCTGACTTCGACATCGGTCACTTGGTCGAAGAAGTTGTAAACATTCAGTACACCGGTCAAAAGGCCTCTGAACATGTTACTGCCGTTAGAGAGCGGAGGTCTTCAAGTGTGGATTCGGGGAATTTGATCAATCTTCATTTCAACGACCAGGAACAGATGTCAGTTATCATTCGAATCGATCACTCGGATACCTGGCGGATTCGGTCTCTAGCGGGTGCTTGGAAGAGGATTGTGATGAATCTACTCGGAAATGCCATGAAATGGACATCGGCTGGGTTCATCGAGGTGGCACTGTCAAAGGTGAAGGATCGATCTGACAAGCAACCACTGATTTATCTGTCTGTTACCGATACTGGTCGGGGTATAGCGGCGGACTTCCTCAAACACAAGCTGTTCGTTCCCTTTTCCCAGGAGGACCCACTCTCAGAAGGTGTTGGGCTGGGACTCAGTACCGTGCACCAATTGGTGACATCTCTCGGGGGCCACCTCAATGTGCGCAGTGATGTTGGAATTGGTACACAAACAGAGGTTTATATCCCAGTGCAGTATCTGGAATCTTGCCCGGACTCCAATATCACTCCAGCACCATCAACGATAGCGCAGGATTCGATCGATCCTATCCATGCTTGTTTGGTTGGATTCAACGGGTATCCGGACCTGAGAGAAACACCAACTGGAATACTCACCGTTGAATGCAAACGAAAGCTCTCTATACAAAGCACCATCGCCAGCATTCTCATGAACAATCTCAATTGGAAGATTTCTCTGGTTGAAACCATCGAAAAAGCAGGCGGAGAAGTGATTGTGATTGAGGAAGAGTTACTTCAGCGCGCGATGCAAGAGAACGAGAATTTGGCATTGGAACTGTCTACGAAAAGCAGGTTACACTTTTTCGTCGTACTCAGTGGCAATGTGCCTCTCATTCAGGATGAAAGAATGGTGAATGTCGTTCGAATTTCCCAGCCGTAAGTTCGTTCTTGTCCAAGCTAGAACAAGACATTCATACTAAACTTCCGCTGCAGTTTCGGTCCGCAAAAGATTCACGGTGCCGTTGAAAAGATTATGAAGTGGCGAGAGGCTCATGAGCCGCCTAATTCCCCTATTCTTGCACCTGGCGCTACCCCCGTGGTTCTTTCCCCTGAATTAGAACGCGAGAGCTACATGGAAATCGGGTCAGGTATGGACGCAAATATGTCCCAGAAAATGGCCCCAGCGACAAGCCCATCCGGATCAACCACCTCAACACCGAGGCCATCTAGCAGAAAGAGCTTTGCTCATGTGCTCATTGTGGATGATAATGAGATTAATGTAAAGGTATCATTACCAACTACATGCAAAATGTATATGCATGACCCTCCTCGTTTGACCTACTGACACCACACAGATCCTGGCCACATTCATGCGAAAGATAAGCTGCAGCTTTGACACAGCCTCAAACGGACTGATCGCACTGGAGAAATACAAAAGCTCACTGTACCACTACGACTTTATATTAATGGGTATGTCCCCTAGCCCTACCATCCAAGACAGTTTATTAACACCCAAATAGACATCTCCATGCCTGTCATGGACGGACTCGTCTCAACCGGCAAAATCCGCGAATACGAAAAAGAAAATAACCTCACACCATCCTGCATCATGGCCATCACCGGTGTTGCCTCATCCGGCTTCCAGCAACAAGCAAGCACAGTCGGCATCGACCGATACCTCATCAAACCCACATCTCTTCGCGAACTCAAACTTCTTATGAATCTTGCATGATACCACCTCATTCGTTCGGCTTGTCTTTTTGCACTGCGTGGTGTTAGGAATTTGGTTTTATATGTACACGAGATGATAGCCTAATCTATATCCAGCCAGTCAATAAGACCTTATGGAATAATATGCAACATACACTTGTAATGCCACATGGATTGTATAGATCTACGCGCTTAAATCCCCAACCCCCACCGCCAAGCTCATCCTTAATTTTGGCCCCCACCCAGCGGCATCTATCTCCACACGTCATTTTCGACTTCCGATATTCCACAAGCTCAGCCATGGTCGGCATTGGAGGCCGAAGCAAAGGCTGCCGAACCTGTCGACGGCGCAAAGTAAAATGTGGTACGTATCATCCCATCAACCACCATCCTAATATCTGAGCATCAAACTAGACGAGGGCCAACCATCCTGTCAGCGATGCCTGAAGGGAGGCTTTCAGTGCGATGGATACATCCAATTTTCCGAGTTCATAGATGAACGAAACCGCCTGATGAAAAGAGGCACTATCAAATTACCGTCTCCTCCAAAATCGACCACGACAACAATATCAAACCAGAATTCTCCAACCCCAGAAACACATTTTGAAACCATACCGTCGTTGACTCTGACAACAAATCCCTCATGGAATGAAGAAGACCTTCTAAATACACACCTGGTAAACCGACTCTTCACCTGGCATGAAGATCCCGCTTCGCCGTATGCCGCATCTTGGATTTCAGCGTTGTTCAAACAAGACGGGGAGAAGAGCCTATCCGGTTCCTCGTTGCGCGCGTTGGCGACTGTCTACTTTGCCAAAGTAAATAAACAACCCCAGCTGATGCGCCGGGGTGCGTCGTTCTATTCTCAGGCTTTGAGTAGGTTGCGTGTGCAGCTTGAAAACAGTGATCTGGCTATCAGTGACGATGTCATTGTCGCTGTTATATGTTTGGGGTTTTATGAGTCTGTTACATTTACACAGCCCGGGGCTTGGCTGGCGCATTATAAAGGGCTGGCTAAGCTTGTGAGTTTTGATCTCTTGCTCTTTCATTTGATTAGGACCTGAAAATCATCCTGGCTAATGCTCAAACAGACAGCCGTAAGAGGCCCATATAGACACCAGGAGGGTGTTGGATTTGCTTTGCTTCCTACCATCCGGTCTTGTATTGTGAGAGAACCCATTCTCCCCGTCAACATGCATGTCCTTGAACTGACTATCATACCAGGCCATCGGATACATCGTCGAGAGAAAGAGATGTTTCCTAGAAGATCCAAGCTGGAAAACAATTCCCTGGGCTCTAAAAGGCGAAGACGCCAAATCCCCAACCGACTTCCTCCACGACATCCTAGTAGATATACCCGGACTCCTTGAAGACGCGAACCACAGCAAAACCTGGGATCCAATCTTCCCCGGTCACGACTCGTTCAAAGCCGAGCTACTACCACGAGTCCAGTCAACACTCGAAGCTCTCTACATCTGGCGCTGGAGATGGGAAACGCTATTCCCAACGGCAACATACCTCGCAGAGCCGACAAACCAGAATACATTTCCAACCTCGATTGCCCTGCCACCGAGCCCCTTCCCTTCTGTTATCTGGTTCGACAATCCATACCGCGCAACAGAACTAATCCTCTACAACGCACTCCGCTTAATCCTAACTCGAACCCTGGAGACATTAGACCCAAGCTTCACACCTGAAACACCCACACCAATCTCCGACACAATCAGCGACCCGCTCCTTCCAGAGCAGGGATCTAGGAACGATGTTGCGGTCGAGATATGTCGGATGGCAGATTATCATCTTCACTCTTTGCGACGGAGCTCTGGTGCCTTTATGCTTATCTTCCCGCTCAATGTAGCACACAACCATCTAGATGTCGGCTCTGTTGAGGCGAGGAAGTGGCTAGAAGGGGTTATGGCTGTTATTGCTGATTTGCATGGATTCGAGCTCGGGAGGTCGGAGAATATGCCGAGGAGGGTGGATACGGGTTAGAGGGTGGTGTGGGAATGCATACAGGTTACGGTCTACTAGACGGAGGAAATCAATAACGTTAAGAGATATTTATTGGGCTACGTAAGCTTCGACTTTGATATCACCGCGATTCATCATTGGTAAATCATAATACAGGAAAAGTAATCACGGTATGAACCCTTCGTTTCATCCATGGGCATCAGTATCGTCCATTCATTGTCATCAATCATTGTCACCATTCACTGTCAGCATTCACACGCAAAAAATAACAGATACACAGAGTAGAGAATGACGAAAACTAGTTACGCTTCATCACGGGGGTTGAGCTCATTACGCGGGTGCAGCTGAGCCGAAATTTCGAGGCAACGCTCTCGCCAGAGGCACCCCTCCACCTCCGCAGCATAAAATGCACGAGAAAGAGCCTCGTTCTCATTAAGAAGTCTTCGGTACTTGTCCTGATACGACTCGTGAACGGCGATCGCATGACTCTGGCCGTTATCGTTGCTCTGGGCTTGGAGTGATCCCTGGGATTGAAGGATTCTACCCTGAAACCCGAGGCCCTCGACGTAGTTTGTGCCAGTATGGGGGTTAACGCCAGTGATATTGTCTCTTTCGGCTATCAACTGAGCAATTCGACGTCGAGCTTTCTCCAGCTGAGTACTGGGAGGGCTGAAGTTGGCGTGGGGGTCACGGGCACGGCGCTTCGCGGGGCGAGAGTTGTCCATAGGACCGATTTTGTGGATATTCTTCTGTGACTTGACAGGGGGGACGGACTGTGACATGTAGCTACCGCCGAAAGGGGTAGGCATGGTCATGGAGGGAGACTTGCGGACGAATTGAGACGGCATCTGCATGGAAGTCTGAGGCATAGTGCTGGGTACACCTTGGGTGTGAAGTTGTCGGATGGCCTGGTGGTAGGCCATAGTCGTAGTTACTGGGACTATCTGGCCGAAACCCCGAGAGAACTGCTGGGTTCCTTGGGTGACTGACTGGCGAACACCCTGGAAAGGAGCATGGTGAATGGTCTGAGGGGCAACCTGCGAGTTGGTCGGAGCGATACAGTCATAGACCACCCCAGTCTGAGGATTGACCTGATGAGGCATCAGCAGAGGAGACTTCCGGGACCGAGCAGCAGAGCCCTAAATATAGTTAGTCTCGTCCATCGGTATGATCACGGTACTTGATACTGTACCTTGGCGTTGGACTTCTTTGAGGGGGAGGTACCCTGCTCTGAGGCAGTGGGCTTCTCAATAGAATTGCGCACAGGCAAAGTAAGTACAATGGAGGTACTCGGATTTTGAGTTGGGACATGGTCAGACGTTGAACCCAAAGGAGCAGTCACAACACCAGGCACACTCTCATTCATTTCGTCCATGGTCATGGCATTCCATGGGCCAGCCCAAGGCTGACCTGCAGTAATAGAATCAACCATGCCTCCTTCCTCAAGGGTCTGTGCCTCCATAGATTCGTTGCGAGAAGAGTCAGGAGTCAACCAGTGTCCGTGGTTAGTGTTGGCAGTGACGGAGTCGCTATGGGTATCAAACTCCACAGTACTCTTCTCCATATGAGAGTTATGCTGCTGGCTCGAGGTAAAGTTCTCATCGAGTTCGTCGATGTCAAGGTAGTCGGAGTCGTTCGTATCACCGAGCTCAGTGGCATCGTCGAGGCTGGAAGTAGGATCCTTGGGAGGGCCATTCGAAGCAGCGTAGTACCCAGAATAGGGAAACTCAGCAGACTGCAAAGCTGGCAAGGGAGGGATCTCAGCCATGATGATTCACAGTGGATGAGACAGTCAAGGATGGGACCAGAAGAGGGTTGTCGAGCAAAGAAGAGATGACATGAAGGAAAGCAGCTTTTCTGCTGAGGGAAAACAATGGGAAACATCAGTCACACATTGCCATTATGAACTACTGAATTAAGAATGAATAGATTAAGCCCACCAACCAGGCGCCGGCCCTCCCTGTCTGCCACTGGCGACTTCCTTCCAAATGTTGTATATCGATTTATTCTGCCGCCCGCTGAACTATTCTGCAGGCAGAACTGTACGTCATGCAGGTGCTGTCCATTTGACCGCCCTGATCTCCCCATCATGTTTGTGACCTGCTAACGTGATATCAACTCTATATATAAGGGTCAATCATAGTTGAAGAAAAAACTTTGACTCTACAGTGATCCATGCATACAACAAAGAGAAGCATGACTATTGAAAGAAGACAGTTTCTCAGGTGATCTTTGAATCTATACTATGCGTATAGATACTGACCGCCTGGGGAATGGTGCTACTGATTGGCCAATATATGGGGACAGCAACGATGAATCTGACCTAGTGCGGACTAGTGAGTCCATAATTCATCCACCGCCATGATGCGTCGCTCTTCCCTTTACACCGCTCTCCAATCACCGCCGTTAATTCGTCAAATACTATCCTCACCGCCTTTCTGTCAATCTCATCACGTGAGATTGATGTCACGTGCGGAGATGGCTCCCAGCGGGATGGAGTCTCTTGATGAGACGTCCTTCAAGTTAACCGCTGCTCCCCCCGCATCCTCGGACGAAATCAATATTGCGGAGTGCGATTTCATCAATCGCATCGAAAAGTCTGTTGTTGGATCTGAGAAACAGCCTCCAATCTTCAGCATGAGTGTCATCCTTTGCACCGGCAAGTAAACGCGAAACTGCAAATCTCCCCGCATTCTCCATTCGTTATGCTAATTGGAATTGGCATGTTATAGCGGGGTATGACCATACCATCCGGTAAGTGCCAGCTAAGAGGCAGCTTCAACGTTTAATAAAAGCCCTCGAGCCCGCAGTCTGCAGCCAGAACTTGCGCTAACATTGCTTTCATAGCTTTTGGGAGGCGCTGTCCGGAATTTGCTCTCGCACGATTCAGCACCCAGACTCCCAAGTCAACCGCCTCTGCATCACCCCGGACAAGCGATTCCTCGCCGCCGCAGGCCACAACAATGTCAAACTGTTTGACATCAAGTCGACCAACCCCAACCCTGTAATTACCTTTGAGGGTCACACGAACAACATCACCGGTGTCGCTTTTCACTGCGAGGGAAAATGGATGGTCACTAGCTCCGAGGACGGAACTGTCAAAGTTTGGGATACCCGTACCGGTAGTCTCCAGCGCAACTACGTCCACCGCGCTGCTGTAAACGACGTCGTCATCCACCCTAACCAGGGCGAGCTTATCAGCGGTGACCATGCCGGAATGGTCCGTGTATGGGACTTGGGCGAGAGTGTTTGCACCCACCAGCTGATTCCAGAGGACGACACTGCTGTCCTGAGTGTTAGCGTTGCTAGCGATGGATCTCTACTGTGCGCTGGAAACAAGAAGGTATGTTATTGTTCTGCTACAGTTAAAAATATACACTAACGGCTGAAAGGGTAATGTGTATCTCTGGCGCATGGTTCAGACTGACGAGACCACTCGCATCATCCCGGTCTGCACTTTCCAGGCCCACAAGGACTACCTTACCCGTGTTCTGCTCTCCCCTGACGTGAAGCACCTGGCCACTTGCTCCGCCGATCATACTGCCAAGGTCTGGAACCTCGATGCTGATTATCTTCCTGCCAAAGCTGTTCTAAAGCAGTGGAAGGAGAAGGAGGCCCAAAACCCCCCGCAGAAGCCCAAGCAGAAGTCCCAACTCCCGTCATCGAGGCTCCTTCCCAGTCTCGCGATTTGTTGCGCATCTTCGACACTCCCGCTCAAGACCGTGATCTTCTGCGTATCACCGACAACCCTCCCCGCCAGGAGACCCCCCAGCAGACGTTCACCTCTTCTCCCGACGGCCCTCCTATGGACCCAGTGAACCACACCCTATTCCTGGAGACCACCCTCGCCAACCACCAGCGTTGGGTCTGGGACTGTGCTTTCTCTGCCGACTCTGCCTACCTGGTGACCGTCTCCAGTGACCACTACGCTCGTCTGTGGGAGCTGAGCACCGGAAACATCATCCGCCAGTACAGTGGCCACCATCGTGGCGCCGTGTGTGTTGCTTTGAATGACTACTCTGAGCCTCGCTAGGCGTAGGCCATGATTCAAATCATGAAATTCCTCTGTTTAACGGCGTCGGTTGCTTTCGACCTGAAGATTTCAGGTGGCGTTCTCTATTTCGGTTTCATCTAATCATGGCATGGCGTAAGCAAGGATAGGTGTTTTTCGTTTTTACTTTTTTGGATATCCACATGCTGTTTTCTACGTCCATGGATATCTCTTTGTCTTTTGCTCTGAACTTCTCTGATGTTTTCTGATACCAATGATTGTTTCACGATGTGAAAGACATGCTCATACAGGTTGCCAATACTACAGTGATCATGCTAATCTTGTCCTCAAACAATCGTAGTAAGACTCTATCGCCAGTCGTGATAGGTGCTGGGACTAGTGGCGTAATGCATCAGCACAAGTTTAGTTAAGTCTCCCCCAATCTCCGTTGAAAAAATGCCATAACTTTAGAAGGGACAGAGGGTATGCATATGCTATCAAGATCGATAAAAAGGAGAGTATAGGATGAAAAATGAGATGCAAGAGAGGGATCATAGAACAAATGTGCGTGGAGACCCAAAAAAGACGAAAGAAAAGTCGGGATAGATGCCCTGTACGCTGCCCGCGACACGAGAAAGAGAATTTGTCTCGCAGAGATATGATGAACGATTATTACTAGAAAAGCTAGCAAGCAGCGTGAGTCCCATGCCAGTTGGTATTCACGCTACCATATACTTTCTAAAAAGAGATATCAAAGGCATCTTTGGACGATTAAATATGAACACTCCCGATGAGAGCAGAAGAGATTAAAGGGCAAGAAATGGATGCCAGAGTTGCTGGTAAATGATTATGGTAGTCAAAGATAGAACAAGAAGGCAAGTATTCAAGAGCAGCACGGTGCCATCCAGACAACAACGCCAATACTCTTATACCACGGAGAACCAGGTAACGCAAACAACAACATCTAGGCCACGGTCCTCAGCACCTTCGTACTTGAAAGTCCACATGCCATCCTTGTTGACATCCCAGAAAGCACCAGAGGCCGAGTGCATACCGCGCTTGCCAGCGTTGCTGAGCGCGCCCTCAGCGGCAGCAGACTCGTCGATCACACCCTGCTGGACAATAGTGCTGTTGACAGTGAAGCGGTAGGGAGGGGGCTTGGAGGCCTCGGGGGTGGTGGCGGAGATCAAAGCTTTGAGGACAGTGTTCTGCGTGGACATTGTTAGAGATTGCGCTCGCAATTTACGCATGTGTTGCGACAGAATACTGACAATGATCTCGGTGTTCCATGTGCCGACGGCATCGTGTTCGTAGCCCTTGCTGTTCTTGAGAGCCTCGGCACAAGCCTGGTTGCAGTGTTAGGTTAGGTCTGGTAGATTGTTGTGTTTTGGGGAGAATCGTACCTCGGTGGTGATCTTGGTGAGATCAGGGATGGGAATGGGCTGTAGGCGCATTAGCCAAATTGGAGACAGCGAGCTGAAGATGATTTCCATGCTTGCATGTATGGGTCATCTCCGCAACAGGGTCTGGTGTATGCGCCATTACTTATCGCGCGGTTGACGTACAGATGCAGCGGCCTCGACGGTCATTGTGAATAACGGATACGCTAAGCGGAGTGACGGAAAGGTACTGCATATCGGATCAAATCAGCAGTGGACCTTCCAAGATTGGACTTCTAACGCGTCCGGTCTCCATTGGAGCTGACATCATGTCTGGGATGCCACGGGTGATGCGCGAGCAATGCGGGGAGACAAGATGCCATTGCTGGGTTATGGCGGGGTGAACGGGTCTGCCGATGGAAGAAAGAGTAATAGTATCATACCTTGAGTAAATTCAAATGGCTAAGAGGAGTATGATTGAGAGATGTAGAATTGCTTCAATCTGCAATGTTTGGATGTTTTGGTGGCATCATCATATCAGCGCCTGCCTCAAAGCGGCCTAGCGTGGGTTTGATATGCCGGGCGGTGTGGATGTATAAACAACTGGATTTAAGTCCTTTTTCCAAATATGAAGGCACCCTACTGGTAGGAGACTAATCTGGTATACATGAGCTACATCAAGATATAACAGTATCATTTACCTGCTAGTATGTCGAAAAGCCGAGATCAAAGCATGGGACGGCGGGCTCTGGCAAGCTTGGTAGTCGGACTGAATGTGAGAGAACTGAATACATCGCGTATTCAGGAACATTTGATTGGTTATATAATATCTGTGAGCTGTTTAACTTGAATCAATGTCATGAGCTGTACAAAAAGTTCATTAATCTGTTAACAATGTTTTGAAGTATCAAACAAATTCTATTCGAATCCACGTCATGAATGTTCTATTGAATGTCTTTTATCCACCATGGTTTCCACCTGTATTTGCCAATTTTGGAGTGCTTTATCTAAACAGTTTCGGGATGCACGGAGGGTGTTGAGTGACATATGATCGTTGTTGCATACTGCTGATCGGAGAAGGTCATTCAACAAAGATGAGTCAAGAATTTCTCATTTACCCTGATCATCTCCAGACTCGGCAATTTCCTTGCTGTGGTCTCCAAAAACTTCAAATAACCGTGTAGTAGCATCTTTGTCGAAGAGTTTCACACCATTCTCAGAACTTTCCCGAATGAGCTTCTGGCCGCGAACAAACAGGTCCTTCTCATAAGCAGCCAAGGCCGTTTCCAACGATGATCTCTCAACATTAACAAGACTTGCACTCTTTCCACAGTGCTCAATAATACTGTCCAATAACATGACAGCATCATGCATACTGCAATTGACCCCTTCACCAGCAAATGGAGTAGAAACATGCGCAGCATCCCCAAGCAATGTCACGCCAGCAGCAGCACTTCGCTCCCAGCCAACTTGCTCTGGCACCATGGAATAGAGTGGCCAGGGACGGAAGGGGCCTTCTGCGTTTTCAATGAAGCCTTTGAGATGAGGTGCATAGTTTGCGAACAGCTCATTGGAAGAAAGCAGGCGAGACCGCATAGATTCGGTTCTAGCATGGGCATCGGAGTCAGCGCAGTAAGACCGTGGATAGAAATCTTCTGGTACAATAAGTCCGAAGTACACTCGATAGCTAGCATCAGCGAGCTGCTGTACCGCAATCATCTTTTCCTCGCCTAGAGCCAGCGTGTTTCCTTTGCCAACGAGTTCCGTAGCGAGTGGGTAGCTAGGGTTGTCGTGGGAGAGTGCAGAATCAATGTACATTTTTCCAGAATACACGGGCTTTGCGGATGTAAGCTATAAGTGTACCATTAGCAAGGTTTTGTAAATATATCAGCCACGGACATACTCACCAGAGGACGGACTTTGCTCCAAGTCCCATCAGCACCAACGATAAGTCGAATCCCAGTGGCTGAAGTCCCATTCACAAAGTGAATGATACGATCTTCAGCATGTACGGCATCATTCGTAACGGTATTTTTTTCGATTGAAGTTACTCCATGACCCCATCGAACTTTCTCCGAGGGAATGGAGTCAAGCAACAGCTGACGCAACTGCAAGCGATCGATCTCAGGTCGATCGCGAATTTCGCTGAAGTTGACAACCGTTTCTCCTGCTGAATTGAGAATGCGGAAACAGGCTGCGTCCCAACGTGCAAGGTCTTTACTAAACTTGTCGAACAATCCTGCGCGTTTGAGGGCTAGTTGGCCGGAGGTGGAATGAAGGTCGAGCGTGCCACCTTGTTGACCCGGAACTGGCTTTGGAGACTCATCGCGCTCAAATACGACATAGTCCGTTATGCCGTTTATTTCGAGGAGTCGGGCGAAGACTAGTCCGCTTGGTCCGCCGCCGATGATTGCGATGGAGGGAGAGGGATCCATTGTTGATAATCCAATGTATGATAGAGGACGTGTAATCAATATTTATAACTGAAAAGTGGCTTCGAATTGAAGGGATGCTGTCTATGGGTAAGAAGCCTGACAGGAAATCGGCATCCTTTTATATTCCTAATCATGGGTCCGGGTTTCCAGTATGTCTGTAGTCTAGAAAACATGCTGTGGAGTGAATAGTCCGGTCCACCCTAATATCATTGGACTACATCGGAAGTATCGAGAGGACTCACATTAGAAAAAAGACCAAGAAAGTTGGAGTTTGAAAGGTATCCGGAAGTGATACTTCTGATTGGTTGAAGACGGAGGCTCCGGTGCCAGCCAATCAGCAGTCTGTAACTCGGACATCACCTGGATCGTCCTCTCGCCTCTTCTAGTCTTCAACCTTTTCGTTACTGGAAACCCCCCGGAAATCATACGGAAAGTCATAAAATGGAGTCTCGACTTGCTCAATTCGCAGTAAGTAATGCAGACTCATGGATCACTTCATCACGGCTAACATGTATAGTGTGACTTTTGCCGACACAAGAAACTTAAGTAACTTATCGCCCCAAAAGAAAGAATGGACAAGTGCCTGACAACTTTAAAGATGTTCTCGAGAGCTTCCTAAATGCAGCAACTGCAAACCTTGGCCTAGTAGCTGCAACTACGTTCGTGATAAGACCTCTTCCACCCGGCCGACTTCTATTCCCACGTAAGAATGAATGCACGCAGATTGAACCAAGGAAATTCCGTACTAATAATTAAAGACCACAATCGTTGGAAGCGGACAATGGCTTCGACGCACGACTTCAGAGCCTCGAAAATACTGTACAGCAGCTAGCGAATTCAGTCGACCAAGTCTTGCAGGCTATTCGACCCGTCTCTTCTGGAAAAGGTAGCCGGAAAAGACCCTCATCTACTCAAGATCCCATAACTCAGAATAATATATCCGACTCGAGACTATATATCGGCCCCTCAACTTCTTTCTCCTTCTTAAAGGAGGCGTCAGCTAACATCGATGCAATCGCCCAGCCGTCAGGCGACGATACACGTCCGAGTGCCCACTCGGAGCTTCAATATCTTTCCAATAGCCTCACCACGGCGCGCGTCAAGCAGCAAAAGAAAGAAGATTCGAATGATTATTATATACCATCCAGAGCCGCCGGGTATCGTTTGATCAGTCGTGAGATCTTGTCCCAGCCCAAGTCTGTGGTGTCCACTAACACGAAATAGAAATATTTGGCTATGCTGAACTAGGTGAACCTTTCTTCACGCTTCCATCGGAAGAAATATTGCGACAGGTTGTCTTCGAACCACAAAACGTCCGCGAAAAAGCATGGATAGTCTACTTCAACTACATGATATTATCAGTCAAGTCAAACGAGGCCGGTGAAAGCGACGAGACAACCCGATTTCGACGCAATATGCAACTAGCACTTAATGACAGCAGCATATTTCTCGAGCCACGTCATGCAAACGTTCAAGCTTTGGTCTTCCTTGCCATGCATGGCGAAGACTACGCGGCACCCAACCTTTCCTGGATGTTACTCGGACATGCATGTCGACAGGCTGAGGCTCTTGGGATGCATTCGCCAAGCCATCAAACTCCCGAGCATAGACAACAGCGGCTGTGTCTGTTTTGGATGCTCTTTCTTATTGACAAGTCGTGTTCTCTTGCATTTGGTCGACCGGCTTTTCTTCCCACGGCGTTATACCAGAATGTTCCTTTGCCAGACTCGACTTTCATATTGAAATTCAATCCGCACGAGCGAGCGGCTTTTGGAGGTCAACAGGGAGTTTCGAACGGATCTAAGTTTGGCGCTGAGGTCTTGATGCGGTCTATTCAGTGGGCCAAGTTAGCAGGTGTACTTTCGAGTCTTCTGTCAACTGGTGACTCCTCGGATGGGAGGGTTGAGATACGATCAGAATTGGATAGGTGGTACCTGGAAACAGAACGAGTCAGTTGTTTTCTTCCTGGCCCATGTTACATAACATTGGGTTGTGATCTATTTCTTTGCTAACAATGCAACCAGGCACTTACAGATATTCTCAGGGTCGAAAGTGTATCTGCGGATGTCGCCCAGATCCGGGAAATGTCTCTTGGTATCAGTAGCATCAAGTTCCAGTATCTGTGCTCTCTCATACTTCTGGTAAAAGGCGATGAGTCTCTATCCACCCTTCGTTTATTCTCTGCCCGTGAAGCCATCTCAATATTGAGCTCTATGGTATCAAACTGGAGTTCGGTATACAATGGTGTTGTCTGGTAAGTACCAAGCCACCATCCACGACTTTCATCACTCTGACTCAGGTTTCTACAGGCAGCTTCTATACTGTCCATTTACTCCATTCTTTGTGGTATTCGACAACATTATACACCCCCAAGATTATCACATCTCGACGATAGACCAAGATCTAGGGCTCCTATCCGCAACCGTGAACTACTTCAAGGCAATGCAATCTCAGATGCGCCTTTTGGCAACAGTCTGCTCAAGACTCGAGCAAACTGCGGCTATCTTTCATAAACTGGCACAAAACCACGTTTCCTACCGAGCATCGACTAAAACTGCTGCGTCACATTCCAAGCAAGTGTCGGGCAATCAACCCCACAGCTACAACTCTAGTCATGGCAATAGTCAAAGTCAAAATATTACAGATCTGATGACCCTTAATGTGGGGGATGTGGCTAACTATATCGAATGGCTTCCGACAGACATGGACACCACCTGGCCGTTGTCTGAAGCCGAGAAATATGAGCCTGTCTCGTCTCGTCCTGCTGACCGAGGACAGATGTCAGGTAACATGTTTGATTGGTTTTCGTGGGATTCGTATTATGCAGGGACTGAAGTATGAAGTGTGATCGTACCGTACGAGGGAGTTTGAGGATGCTGATATCCCTACGCTGCCCTCAATCTGAGCTTGAAAATATTAATATATAACCACACTTCTTTTTTTTTGAATTTTCTCCCTTGACATGTCAGCCCGAATCACCAAATCTAAGAAACGCCAACAATCAGTGGCTATGCTGCGGGTTGTAGATTACGGCGCTAATCCCGATCGGGTTGAATCCGCGAGGTAAACTACGGAACTGCGGGTCCTGTCGCATTGCGAGCCCTAATTGGAAATGGGTTGAACTCGAATTCTAGGGAGATGACCGGTAGCTGGGGAGATAAAAGGATGTGGCTGCCTGCTGGAACTTGACATTCTTATGCTGAATCCCTGTATCTACGTTGTCAACTGTAATATCGTCTCCGAACATGGAAAAGCATACTTTTATCACAGATCAGAATCCTCCACCCTATACTCCTTCACAGACATATCCTCATCATCAAATTCACTCATACCAGGACGGCTTCAGTTTCATGAACCGGGATTCTTCATTCGAAACCGAACCACCAAGTCAAAGATCATACCCACCTATCAATCAGCAATACCAGCCCAATGCATACCGTCCAAACGACGTCCACCCCCCAAGACCATGCGTCATTCCCCGTAAGAACAAATCCCCCATCAAACAAATAGCAAGTACTAAATCCAACCACAGAAATAACCACAGTCTTCGGTGGTCCACACATGAGCCCCTTCGCCCGACCCCGAGTCCCAGCACTCGAATCCCAAACCGGTCTCAGCGAAAGAGAACTCCTCAACTTTATCGACGGGTTGAACGAAGCATTCATGGCAAACCCCGCACTCCAAGTAACGAGTCGAGCGGGCATGGTCGTTGGGTTTGTGCCGCTGGCCACGACGCAGATTATAGGTAACTGCGTGGAAGCTGCGGCGGGGCTGGGGAGCGCGGGTGTCTCTGTTGTTCGCACGAAGCAGTATCTGAAAAGGGTCAATCAGATCACCTTTGGGCCAAGAGGGCTGTGCGCTCGTGTTGTTAAAACTGAGAAGATGCTTTCGCTTGTTCGGGTTGGAGGGTCCTTTAACTCGGATCAGTATAGTGCGCTTGTAGGGAGGGGATCTCTGGAACGGGATTATTTGGATGGACAGCCTAGCTCGGGGAGGGATGTTTCTGGTCAAAGTGTTGCTCGGGTGGGAAGTCCTATCGAGCGGCGAATGGAGTTACTTGGTGAGTGCGTTATGAGACTTTCTTTTGATGGGGTGGCTTCGCCGGCTGAGGCGGACAATTGGATGAAGAGATGGGGTGCATATTCTGCGCAGCAGGCAGAGCAAAAGCAACTCAAGAAGCTTAAAGAGAAGGATGAAAAGAAGAGTCGAAAATCGGAGAAGGAGTCTAGGAAGACGGAACGGAAGGAGCGGAAGGCAGATAATGAGATTGCTGATATTATGGACGATATCGATGATGTTCAGTGTCAGATTCAGGGCCTGGATTTGAGTCGGCGGAAAGATGAGAAGACCGAGCGCGAGTTACGAAAGGATTTGAAGAAGCTGGAGAGGAAGCTCGCTGAGTTGAAGGATGAAAGGGAATATGAAATTTCTCGCAAGAGTAGCAGGAGTGATAAAAAGGAGATGACGAGAGATGAGAAGGAAGCAAAGAAGATTGATAAGCTTTATTGGATTATCATCTTGCCTGTGGATCGGAGTACTTCTGGGGAACATGACTTGGAGTCAGAAGCAGAGGAACAGGTTGTCACCGAACAAGCTATGAGGTCTTAAATAGTCCATGCTTGCAACTACAATATTATTCCTTTTTACTATAAAATGGTAATGACAGAAAGCCGAAAGCGACCCTGAGAATCATTCATGAGTAATTCAACAGCCAGTTTCATATATCTACTCTCCGTATCTTCAAATGTAGCGTCTTCCGTTTGTTGCGAAACTTTTGGTACAATCGTGCCACCCCGCCATGCAGTATTTATCTGCCATTCGTGACAAGGAGCCGTATTGATATTATTCTCCATAATCGTAATTTCGGTAAAGTACATACATGGATACCGAATCAGTCTGCGGATCCCCATCTCCTCTGAACAAGATCCACTATACGATCACCAAAGTGTCTATTCGAATAACTTTCCTGGACCGATTGCCCAAGCTTTGCCAATAGTTTCCGCAGTGCCGCGCGATCCTCATCGTCACATTCGGGTGACGGTCTCCACGCAGTGTCAAGGTTTGCGAGTTCTTTGGGACCCTCACCTTCCATATAAGGCGAAGGGCCATATCCATCATAGCAGCACATATACCGATCATAATACAGCCCGACCTTTATATCCCTCTCCTGCTCAAATGGAATATCCGGGTGCCAACTACTACGGCCGATTCGAAAGTGTCGCAGTTTTGGCAGTTTCTCTGCAAATAGATCAAAGATATGGTGCCATCGCTTCTCGAACGAACCATACAAAGAGTCGTCGCCCTCGCGGCGCACCAAGGTGTCCCTAGGTAGAGCACAGGCATCCACATTCTCTGCCATCATACCAAAGTCGTAGAGGATGGCGCAGTCATCGAAGTAGATTTCCTCGAGGGTGTCGCCATGCTTTAGAATCCAGTCGATTTGACCATCGTTGAAGAAACAGAAGTTTCCTAATGATAGCGTCTTCAGGCGTGGAAAGAACAGATTGGAGAGATCCAGGTGAGGGTAAAAGCCCGAGTATTCATGCGAGCAGAGCGAGAGATGTTGGAGTGAAGGCGCAGCGGGACTCAGCCATGTGCTGGGCAACTCCTTGAAAAATTTGCGGATTTCCGGATACTGATATGTTTAGAAAAAGCACCTCGATGGAGGATGGGGTGGGTTATACCTCGAGATCATGCTCAGGAGCGGCTTCATTAGTCTCGCTGGTAATGCTTAGGCGAAGAGACAGTAGGCCCGACAGGACCTTTCCCATTTTCGCAAGTGTTTTCGGATCTTTGGGGTTATCCGCTTGCAGGTTGCGGATACCAAGATCTTGGATTGGGTGCTGTAAGGATTCGAGAAGAGAGAAGAACCGATGCATTGCGTGGAAGCGAAATTGAGGCGTCTGGGGGAAGTCCATAAAATGGAGGTCATCCTGATCCCCGCTGTCTGAAGTAAACCCCTTATCGAAGCACAGAACGGCAGCGTTCAGCCGAGGCAATTCTTTCACTTGCGGTACAAGATTGTCCCAGCCTTGGGGCCATTTTTGCTCTTCTTCATCATCATAATTCTGTGCGCATTAGTTGTTGCTTGGAGCTGAATTAAGAGTAATCGTACAAGACTCTCGTCCACGGTGTCTATGTAGATCTTTCGCGGAATCCGACGTAGACTGGGATTGTTCAAAATTTCTTGTAACCCATTTTGGCTTGTCTCGCTGGGCTGCAGGTGCACGGTCCTGAAGAGCTGATCAGTGGCCAGCTGTGATATAAAACGACAGGATTGGCGCAGCGACTTTAATGACGACCGATCCACATGAACAAATGTGCGAGCGAGCAGTTCGTTGGACAGGTTGAGAAGGCGTGACATCTAGGCGTAGTCACAGGTAGAACTCGCAAATTGATGAGTCGAAAGGGGACATGTTTCGTTTAGCCTTAGGCTCCCATCGTGGCGTCCAAACTTCCTATTTCGGTAAAGCCTCAATAAGTCACATGACTGAGAAGTAGACTGCGGCAGGTGATCTGATTAGAGACAGAAGAAATTACCTGCCTTGATCTTATACCCCATATTTGCCTTGAGAGACGATGTATGTTTTCAATTACACTACCAATGAGTTAAACACGTGGACTTGAGCGCTATTATATGTAAAGCTGCCACGGAATACTAAATCTCAGCGTAACGATTGTATCTATGTTTCAGGAAATCTTTAACCCCGCCATCCACGTAATCTATGGTGACAAAACATTTCAAGATCTCGAAACAGACTACTGTAGATTATAGGGGTGTTTCGGCGTTGATGTTGAAGCCGTAAAAGGCCGGAAGCTGTTCAGTCATGGCACTAACCCGTTTTGGGCGATTTTCCTGTCCGTCTTTACGCCTGATGATCCAGGCATTCATTCATGCCTTATTGACAAGGTGTGAACACTTGACGCGCGACGCGTGCTTATCGCATATAACCCCGTTTCCCCCGGTCTAGTGTGTTTCAGAATGAAGTTCAGAGAAGAAAGGAAATTAAATCAAAGGTGAAGCTGATTTCGAGCGGCCCTGTACTGTACGAGGGTCGAAGTAAGAGTCAAACTAACCAGATTAGGCGCGCTACTGTGCGCTATGTTCGTTCACCGGTACTACGTCATATCTCTCCACCCAATCTCAGTTAGGCAGCTCAATAGGATAGTCCTTAGTTAAGCTCACTGTGGCTGAGGATTGTCATATCAGGGAACCACGTACAGTAGAATGGTGTCTTACATTTCCTTGCCGGCTATCTTGCATAGGCACTGTACGTACCGTACGATGTAGAGTGGCGATCCCTTGTTTCGGACTGGCTATTGTTTTCGTATGCAGTATACTGTAGTAGAGTCCAGTGTGCTGATGCAATATAAACTTTTAGAAAATTCAATCTCGCTTGAAATTTTGCTGATCTGTCAGCACCCGGGGCCGTTAAGTCCGCTATCAAATTGTCCTCGGTCTCGGTACGAAGTACTGGATTACCAATACCGAGAAGCGAATCTGCCAAAATCAGAAAACAGCCGAAGAATCAAAGCATACATGACGCCATCTGGCCATACATACTGTACTGTACAATGTCCACGTACGTAGAGCAAAACTCTGAAAGTGGAACAGATCACTGGTGCGGTGGAACTTCGGCAGTGAAATCAAGGCAGGGAGCACAATGTGTAGTTCGCGGTCTGGAAAAAAAAAAGAAAAGAAGGACCTGGGCCAGGCCCAACACCCAATACAGGGCCAGCAATGATGAAATTCCCTTGAATTAAGCTCCACCAAGAGTGCCTCAGGGTGGAGCAGTGGATTACCGTCCACTTCCGACCGGGTTCCCGAAGGAGCGACTCGAACCCGCTTGGCTCTCGGCATGCCGAGCGGAGACATCGGGATTGAAGGAGGTTCCAGTATTCAAATGATATTCCTAAAATTCGAAAAAAAACACCCCCGACCGGTTCCGAATCCGTCGTATTTATTTTCAGTTTTTCTTTTTCTTCCCTTTGTTTCCCCGTGACAGATCTGACACTTGCAACAGTCAACGTCTTCCGTCATGGCTGGTCAAGATGAGATCCGTGGCAACTCAGTCTATCAGACTGAGCAGCCTGTTGAATCCAAGCCTACTGAGGAAATCCCTATCTCTGAGCAGGTTTCCCAGCCTACGGGCATGATGGGCAAGTCAGTAACCCCAATTTTGAGCCGTTCATTTCCCCATGGGCAACAACGAAACTAACGATAACCCCAGACTCAAGAAATTGATCAACCCAGATGTTCGCGCGGAGATGCCAGCCTACAAGGATATCATCATTCACACCTGGAATGGTCCTGATGATCCCGAGAACCCTTTCAACTGGGGTCTCAAGTACAAATGGCTGCTGACCCTCACTGTCTGCTTTGTGTATGGCAACCCTCCTATCCTTCCATCCAACAATCCATCCGAGACCTAATACAATGTTATAGCTCTATCTTGACCGGTCTCCCAGCCGGAACCTACGGCTCCGGAAACGACTGGATGGAAAAGGAGTTCGACGTTCAGAACTCTCCCTTTCCCAACCTCTACTGGGCCACCACGTCCTGGAACATGGGCGCGGCCTTCTGGCCCTTGATCTTCGTGCCTCTCACGGAGTCTTCGGGTCGTATGCCCGGATACTTTGTGGCGTATATCATCCTCGTCATCTCGCTGTTCCCATCTGCCTTCGCGAAGAACTTTGCGACACTGGTCGTGACCCGGTTCTTCGGTGGCGGTGCTTCCTCCGTCTCGATTAACATTGTCGGTGGAAGTATCAGTGATGTCTGGCTGGGTGAACATGCACGCAGTCTACCGATGTCTATCTTCGGTTTTACTAGTGTTGTCGGTATCGCATTGGGACCTTTCATCGGCTCTGCTATTGTGCAGATTCCCAAGCCGGAGCCATGGCGTTGGTAAGCCTCCTCTCCCATACTATCTCTCCATCTCTATCAAACAAACAAGAGAAGGAGATCAACAAGAAAAACCAACCAACTAACACTTCCATCCACAGGATCTTCTACATCCAAATCATCTACAACGCAGCCCTAATCCCCGTCTTCTGGATAATCCTCCGCGAAACCCGCCCAGACGTAATCCTCAAAAAGCGCGCCCGCAAGATCCGCAAAGAAACCGGCAAACCAGTGTACGCGGCGGCCGAAATCGACGCACCCAGCAAATTCAAGCTCCTCCAGATCTCCTTCCAACGCCCAACACGCATGCTAATCAGCGAGCCGGTCGTAATCTTCTTCACACTGTGGATCAGTTTCGCCTGGGGCATCCTGTACCTATTCTTCAGCAGCGTCGTGCAAACCTACAGCACAAACTACAACTGGAGCACGATGGCGACAGGCCTCGTGCAACTAGCCATCTCCGTCGGCGCCATCATCGGCACAATCATCAACCCCCTGCAGGACTGGTTCTACTTCCGCTCTTCGCGGCGCAACACCGAGAAACCCGGTCGACCCATCCCCGAGGCCAGACTGTACACTGCCATCCCGGGCAGTCTGCTCTTCGCCGCTGGCCTGTTCTGGTACGGATGGGCTAGCCAGCCCGATATCCACTGGATCGTGCCGACGATTGGTATCACTGCTGCTGGCATTGGCATTTACTCTATCTACATGGCTGTGGTGAACTACCTGACTGATGCGTATGAGCGGTACGCGGCGAGTGCGTTGTCGGCGGCTTCGCTGGGCAGGAATTCGTTTGGTGCTTTCTTGCCGCTGGCTTCGCCGCAGCTGTTTAGTAATCTTGGCTTTGGGTGGGCTGGTACTTTGCTTGGCTTTATTGGTATTGCGTTGTCGGTTGTTCCTGTGGTGCTTGTTTGGAAGGGCCCGCAGATTCGCGCGAAGAGTACCTTTATGCGCGAGGCTACGTGGGAGCCGCAGGAGAGAGTTGAGGTTGATGAGTCGGGCAAGGGGGATGGTCCTTCTGCTGAGAATAGAGAGGGTGTTTTGGTTTAGATGGGGGGTTGAGCTGGGTTGAGTTGATGGTGTATGCTTTATGTTTACTGTATCTTAATTTGTTTCGGCAGTATAATAAAAATTAGATCTGCATTTGCTTACTTTGTATTCTCGCGGTAAAACTTGCCATCGTTACGTGTCTAGGATTTGAGTCTTCTGCAAGGAGTGAATGTAATTTGGGATTTTCGATTCATTGACAGCAGGGTCGACTGTTACCTAGTTCTTTACTTTTCCAAATTGGGAGAAAATTGAGTCCGAAATCTTGTTTTCTATGCCTATCTCGCAACCATGTAATATATCAAGACAAAGATAGAGAGAAAAGAAAACTAATCAAAACGTCCTTCGCATGCACATGTTCTATCAATTCTGACCCCAAGGTGAAAAGGCTATTCGAGGAGGGTATCGGGGCAAAAAGGTCAGGGTCAGGGTGAGGGGACAAGGGAAGGCCCATGACAGGCAACATCAATATTGCTTTTGGGGAAACACCTTCAACAGAAAACCGCAAACACATTCTCATTCATCTAGAATGGATGCATTTACTCGCCGCGCATGGTACGGAAGAAGTCCATCATGCTAGTGAAGACGACGAGCAGGATACCACCACCAGGTCCGAGACGGAGAACCTTGGGAGTGAAACCCTTGTACAGGGCGGAGAAGCCCTCCTCCTTCATGACGGTGCCAATGGCGGGCCAGGCCCAGTTGTACTTGGGGGTTTGGCCAGCAACCTTGGAGGTGTTCTGGATACGGGACTTCACGACGTCCATAGGGGTGTTGAGGATGGTACCGGTGATACCACCGATGCTACCGGCGATCAGGTCGTTGCGGGTCTGCTGGCTCTTATTGCCAGGCTCGGCGGCGGGGAGTTGAGCGCGGACCTGGAAGATACAGCCGAAGTAACCGGCGTTCCACAGGATGTGGCGCCACATTGTCGACTCGAGACCGTTGTACAGAGCGAGGGGACCTTCCTGGGTGACAATCTTCTTGACGACGTCCAACATGCCGTTATACTTGTGGGCCTGGGCCTTATCCTGCAGACGAATCTTCACCAGCTCAAAGGGAACAACAACAAAGGCCTCGGTGGCACCGGCTGTGGCTCCGGTCAGGGTAGCCAGACCTTGAGTCTGCTTCTGAACGCCGAACAGGTCACGGTAGAAGGCACCCCAGCTGTCGTTGGCGGCGAACTTGGTCGCACGCTTGGGGGCTTCCATCAGAATGGGGGCGGAGATACCACGGTATAGACGAGAAGCACTATTATGGCAATTAGAGAGATCCAACGCGGATCATTGGACCAGGACATACCCCTCGTGCTTGACAATCTTGCGGAAGCAATCGAACATGCCATTGTAGTGCTCAGCACCGGCAACGGCAGCCTTGGTCTGGAGTTGACTGTAAAACAACAAAGTTAGCCAACGTCATGAGACCTGCTGATGCGACCGGTAGCTTGCTTACATTCGAGTCTTAATCACGTCCAACGGGTACCTGCAAGTCGCGCATTGTCAATTGGGTCCTTTCCTAACATAAAACCAACTATATCTGGAAGAAAATGGCCTAAAAGGCCCAATAAGGGAGCGAGGAAGCTGCATACATGATCAAGATCTGTTCGTGCGGGGACGCATTAGCCACCGGAATTCATATCACGAGATTCCGATACAACAACCAAGCATCGGAACTACCTCGTAGAATGGGATTACATACCTCGGAGACACCAGCCACCGCACCGGCGGCGAACTGGTACACAAAGGGGAGGGGCTTCTGGGGAGCGTCGGACATGATGGGCAGAGGCTCGGAGACCTGTCAGCCGGGATGGCAGTTAGTATATGGGACGATGGAACGATTGAGAACGCATTGAAGCGCGGTCGAAGAAATTGCAGTGGAATGAAACAACTAACTTACCACAAAGACCTAAAGAAATGATGTGAAGAAATGAAGTGAGGAGAAGAGAAGGTTACCGACGTCGGCGAGATTCGGTGATCCGAGAACAGCAACCGGTGCTGCGTTTAGCCCGCTGACTAATGACCCCATGGGGGAACATGCCACGGGACTTTTGTTTGTCTGTTTACGGTTTGCATCATAACTTCATTCTATGACTTCTTATAGGAACAAACTGCTGAGAATCCCAACTCCAAGTATAACCCTCGACATATCCCGTCCAGTCTTCGCCCCATTGGTAGCTTGTCCCTTCGCCACGGTCGTCGCAGACGCAGTATCAGTTGCAGTACAGCTAGCGCCACAGGCAAAGCCTGTGGGACAGCATCCCCCACCTACAGTATCAGCACAGCTGAACCAGCCGTTGGCGCAACGATTTCCACCTCCGCTACCGTTGCTATTGGAGCCTACTGTTGTAGAAGCGACTGGTGCAACGATCGTCACGCCATTTGATGTCAGAGTTGTAGACGATGTAGTTGGACATGAAGTCGTATCGCAATTCCGACCTGTGCGGCAACAACCACCGTGATAGACGGCGGAACAGGCGTAGAATCCTGTCGGGCAGACATCCTCGCCGGTAGCTGCACTTGTTACTGTAGAGAGATTTGTTGGTCGAGCCGGTGGAGCCAGACTGTCTGTTGTTTCGGTTGCTGTTGTTTGGCTTGACTTTGACGTTGACTTTGAGGTTGAGGTTGATGTTGACGAACCAGTGGAAGATGAGACAGAACTCGACACCGGACTAGTCGAATATGTTACAGTTGATACCATAACCGTCGAATGAACAGTCACGGTAATCACCGTAATGTATGCACCTGTACCAGACCCAAGTTAGCTTCTCTCGTCCACACATATAACACATTCAACTCCGTTTTGACGTAGAGTAACGGAAAAAGGAAAAAGAAAAGACTCACATCCCCCTGCGACACAATCATACCCAGGAATACAACACCCACCCCCAAGAGCCGACGCACAAGCCGAATACCCACCCGCACAAGACCCAATCGTCCCCGAACAACTCTTCCAACTTGGACAACACCCGACAGTCCCATGTCCAGTATCCGCGACAATCTCGCACGTCTCATCGGATCCACAACAGCGATCGGATCGACCGATGGACGTGCATGCCGATGTACCAGTGGGGCATTCGAAATTGCGCGCCTCGAGACGGAACAGCGCATCAGAAGCCGAGTCTGTGTTCGAGTCGGAGTTCAAGCCCGAAAGTGGAGGGAATGAAGGCTCGAACGCGAATGCTTGGGCAATGAATAGGGCCGGTGACGAGTCATATTCATCTTGGTCGCCAGCTTCGGCATTGGTTTCTGTAGCGACAGTGTCCATGCTACCCTTTGTCTCATTCTGCTCTCCATGATACAAATCCCGTCCAGACAACCCTACTTCACGTAATGAGTCCGAACTCGCATTCTCAAAATACCAATCTTCAAAGAAGAATTTCTCGCCTTCGTCGGCGCTCATCTTTCGAACGCCACTTGCGGGGCTGGAAGCTAGTCTCGAGGCGATATCGTGGTGTAGGAGAACCCCTGCTGGGGAGGATAGTCTTGTTGCTTCCGTTGATGTTTTGCCATTTTCGCTAGATACCACTTCCGGACCTGTTGATGACTCGGCGCATTGCGCTGTGTCTGATATTGAGAGCCAGAAGGTCAGGAGTGGGAGAAGATGCATGACTAGCTACAGTGGTGTACACCGCTTGTTCTTGTAGACCGTGATCTAATCGTTCGTGTCTCAACTCAAGCTAGAACAGGGACTGGAGCTAGGACTGGTGATCGGATCAAATGGGCTATCCGTGTGTAATCCGAATCAAGGCCGGAAAACAGTGGATGATCCAGTCGGAAAAGAAATCTCGTTTGGGTTGGTTTTGTTTAGATATGTTTTGGTGTTATTGGTACCCGATGTTGATTGTTGACAAAACAAAGCCTTAAAGTGGAGTCTGTATGGGGTTGGCTTCGAATTTAAAAAGACGTTGGGGGATCTGCCGATCTAAAAATCTGTGGGAGGGACTGATCTATAAAGAAACCTGCATCAATTGCGATGGCTGGGGTTTCGGATCTGTGCAGGTGCAGGCGCAGGCGCTAGCTTGGGCTTGAGCCTTGTGCAGCTTGTGTTTACTTGGCCAATAGGAGAATCATTCGTTCTGTCACTGGTTATGGGTTAGCTACAGGTCGCTTACGATACAGGTAGATCGAGTAGGTCAAACAAATTACCATGTCAAGTTACACATTAGACTAATGTTAAACTAAGAAGAACAAGCATGTCTCATCATTCCAAAATCAAGGACTAAATGCAGGAAGCCACAGAATGTGGCAGGGTATCGTCAGTAAATGACATGAGAAATCCATACTGCACAGGACCGGCACAGGAAACAAGCCAAAGAAATCGCTAAAAGAACATGCGAAATGAGAGCCCCGATGCCATGTCCGATGCAGAAAGAAACAGAAACACATAGAAAACCGTTGCGGTGTGGGGTGGATTCACTCGAACATAATAGGAAATCGCTGGAAAGGAATGGCTGGTAACAGGCAGAGCTGTTCGGACTTGGGGATGAATGAGACAATTGATGAATGTGCCTATACCAAGGCGGGGGAAGACGGAGGATCGTCAGAGTCATCTTTCTTTTCTTCAGGCTCGGCGGGTAGTGGCTTTTCATCGCTCGTTGATTCCTCCTTCGTTGGCTCTGTGGCGTCTTCGTCGTCGACTGCCTTTTCGGGCTCACCCGACTCCTGAGTATCACCATCATCATCACCCTCACCCTCTTCCTTGGCCTCAGTATTCTGTCCAGCCTGGGCAGCGATGGCCTCTGCCTCCAATCTCGCCATCTCAATATTACGTGCTTGCTGTCTCTCCCAAACTTCCTTTCTGATGCGATCATCCTTGGCAGTGCGAAGACGCTCAGTCTCTTCGAAGCCGCCACTCTTCTTCAACTTCCCTTCTTCAACAAAGGCCCCGAGTTCCTTCTGGAACAGGCCAATTCGTCGCGTCTCAAGCTCCTTCGCCCTAGCTTTCTCGGCGCGCTCGATCGCCTCAATTCGGCTTTCATGGTTGGGCTGCAAGGCACGGACTTCACCAAGAACGCCATCCTTGGCCTTCATTGGGTCGACAGTGGGATCAATTCCGAGACTCCGAGATGGAGCACGGGTAGCACCACCGCCTGTTCCGTTGGACATGACTTGCTCCTTGGTAGCTTGCTCGACCAATGCAAAGGTCTGAGTGGCCTTTTCGAGATCATCCTGTAGATCGGCAGCCAGGTCTTCCTGCATGGTAAGCTGATCTCGCTCCTCGCAGACCAACTGCAACTCCTTCTCCCAAATCTTGGTCCAAATGGGCTTCTCGCGACCTAAGAAGTCTTGCATTTTCTTGATCTCCTTCATGACTAGGCTGATATCGCGGCTGACACCCTCCAGTTGTCTGGGAAGAGGGCGGACACCACGGGTGACCACATCCTTCCGGAGATCCTCAACCAAGTCTTGAAGATCATCGACACGGGCAACCAACCGCTCTGATTCACCCGCAAGCTCCTTCTTGCCAGTGTTGACGCGAGCGCGACCAGCGTCGCCTTCGTATGAGGGAATGGTGACGTCTTCAGCAGCACTCTTAACCTTGCCTGCCTTTGTACGAACGGCGCTCATCGAGCTGTTGATATCTGCGGTGAAGTTTGAGTAGGTCTGTCGCAAAACAGCCAGGTCACGGCGTAGGCTTTGTAGTTCTGCGAGTTGGCTACCACCTCCAGCAACCACTGCATTTGAGCCAGGAGCAGCTTTGGGAGGAGCAGCAGCCAAACGAGCCATTTCTTTGGCAGTCTCAATCTGGCGTTCTGATACTCGCTGAATGGCATTTCCTTGACCGGAGAGTGCTTCCTTGACGCCTTCGACGAGAAGACGCACGCTTCCAAGGCTGTCGTCGAAGTGTTTCTTCACCTCATCCAGGTTATCCACATTCAGAACCAAAACGGATCGGTCCTTCACATCATTTAGATCCTCCAATTCGTGGCGAATACCTGAGATTGGGTCTTGAATGTATATTTCAGGCAGATCGACACCGTTGTCGTGTGTGTTCCATGCAAATTTTTCAATGAATGCAAGTTGGAGACGTCCAATTGTAAGTTCTGCGATACCATCCGGAAGGACATACTTCTTGATTTTGCTCTTGTATTGCAGGAACAATGTCAGCTCTTTGCCCGGTGAAGGCTGTTCAGTGGGGTATGGAGCAGCCGAAGGAGGTGTGGCAATCTGGGATGGTCCAAATATATCAGCCTTGGGAGTCTGCGGTGCTGGCTTTGCAGGCTCAAAGGCTTCCTCGAGTGACTTCTCCTGAGCCTGGGGGATAATCGGAGGCGGAACAATAACTGATTCTCCGGAGTCGTGTTTGCTCCCAGAATCATCCTTCTCAGGCGCTTCTGGGGCAATCTCAACAGTTGGCTCTGGGGCCTTCTCTGTAGATGGTGGCGTCGATTCTTCCTGGACTACATCCGGGATCTTGGCAGGTGTCTGAGGCTGTGTGCCCTTGGCGGCTTCCTGGAGACGGTTGTTGGATCGTTGTCTTGTGTGAGTATAGGAGCCTCGAAGGCGAACTGCATTGAGCGATTCACGGACATCACGACCCCGGTTAGGGATAGGAGAATTTTGGGTAGGGAGGACGGGGACACCGTTGGTGGAGGTACCCAAGTGTTTCTGGATCTGGTATGCGGAGAATCGACGAGATGCACGTCGTTCGAGTTCGCCGCTACGCTGCAATGCTCCCAGTGCATCATCCTCTTTGGGTGGTGGTGGTGGTGGGGGCGGAGGTGCAGGGAATCCAGTCGGGGTTGTATAGGTAGGGGGTTGGTTGTTGGCGGGCCGAGGGGTTGTGTCACCCTCCGTAGAGGAAGGTTGAGAGAGCATTTGCTGCGCCTCTCGCCGAGAGGTCTCTCTTTCGGTGAAGCTATTGCCCCGTGTGTCACTCGCCGATGGTGCCGAAGAGGTTCGATTGATGGCCGGTTGGTCCTCCAGAGAGCCACCGCTGCCAAATCTTCGGTTGGATCGTTTAGGAGACTGGGCCGTTGATGGCATCGTAGAGGCTGCGGCTTCATCATACAGCTGGCCGATGACCTGTCCGCTGGTGATGCTTCCCGCACTGGCCTGTCGCCCGGTTGAAGGCCTGCCGTCATCGCGTTGCTGCCGTGAGCGTAAGCGAGCCTGCTTCTTCTTAAGCCCGTGAAGCAGGTTGATTATGATATCGCGGATTCGGGGCAGGTATCGATCGAGGCTTTGTGAGGAGGCGTCTTGGCTGAGGGTATCTTCAAGGATGGTTCGGAGGAGGTCAGGCACAGGGCCCAGGTCGGAGGTATCGACGCCGATTGCACTGAAGGCTCTACATGCCAGGTTGAACTCATAACCCAATCGCACATACACGTCTGACACATCATTCTCCGAGGCCTGCTTGCGGGACCATTGTGTAAGGGTTTCAAGGAGTTGTTTTGTCGCGACTAATAAATGTGTCACGCTTTTTTCGATTTGCGAGATTTGTTTATCGGGCTATACATGATGGACTCGTTAGAAAGTGTAGGAGATTCAAGGTCAAAAGTACATACCGGGTTCTTGCTTGACTGAGACCGAGACGAAGCGGAGGAACTGCGACCGGATTGTTGTGAAGACATCGATGCAGATCCAGACAACGGGGGCCGTTGAGGAGAAGTCTGTTGATCTGGCTCTCCAGGATAGGGGAGACTTGAGGACTGCATCGGAGAGGTGGAAAGAGGGAGGGAAGATGATGCCCAGCCTCCACCTTACCGCGTCTGCACAGCTGATCGGCGTTATCACCGTATTCTCTATTACCATACAACGTAATGTATCATGGACCAGGCCAGCGCGTAGTGTTCATATTGGGCACCAAGTAGAATATACTTAGGTTCAGTCAAGTGAATTGCAATGCATCACATGTGCGTCTAGTTCCCCTATATTCCCGACATGCATCGACTGTAGCGAATTACAACCATACAAAGGCATAGAAAGTCTCAAGTCGGACTAGTCTGGCATTCGGCAAGACCCGCGTTTATCCACATAGTCAGGGTACAGTGCATTTACCCTATTATATTGGTTGGGCATAAGTTATAACTTGTCTAGACCGACTTGGACTCCTGAGGTAAGGTAGCGTGTTATGAGGAACATGAGGATTACCTAGTAAGTTACGAAAGACAGATGTCACTGGCTTAATATAGAGGAGATCAAGTGCATGAACTCAACTGCAGGACAAATGGTCACGTCATGTATTTGCGGACATGCGGGTTGGTCTGTTTCTATTGGTATTTGAAAATGTACAGGGTTGGAGAAACGCACATTCTCACAATTTGGTAGAATAAGATATTCATTTCCTTGCAAATATAGGTCGAAAAAATACGCGTTTTCCAATAGCGGGTTGGCATATTTCAAATATAGGGACTTGTTGACATCGATGGTCTCCAGTTATTTGCGGGTGGTTATATATAGAATCCAAGACTATTCACGGACACGAATAGTCTGTACTTAAGGGTTGGTGACACATAACACCCGTGAAGCTATTAATGAGTAACATCTTCATTCACCACTCAAGCTCAGAGTTTTATACCAAATGAGAGCTTGCCAACCTGTATACCCATCATTTCCTAACTTAGCTGAGTGGGCAACTCGCTTGATCCAAGGTGTGAAACTGTCTACCAATTAAACCCATAGTCTTCGCTTGAGTAAGAAGCGATAATTATGAACCTGGAAATGGACCATAGTAGCCAGGCTCTTACTAGCTAGATATTAAAAGTGAAGTTGTCTGGGCACAGCATATCAAATTGTCTCTATAGTTGGTAGCATATACCAAATATAATGCGCTACGAATCTAATGCATAGTCTCTATCTTATAGCAGATAATATCCACAAGATCTGGACTTATACATCGAAAGAATCTATGGCCTTCACTTAAGCACGGGTGGCACATACAAAATTGAAGTTATCAATGCATGACGCTCCAGCCGAGTCGCAATTGAAGCGGTAACACCGTACCGTACCATACGCGTGACTTTCCCCCCAAACAATCCATCAACTTGCGACTCCTTCTTTTCTTCCCATTCCATTCTCCCACTCACTTTCTCATTCTTGATACACCCACGCGCTGGTGCTACCGATTTCCCCCCTCTTTCCCTGTTTGTGCAGGCGGTGTGGCTTCGTGCCTCATCTTCGTGGCTTCCCGTTCCCCAGCTTCACCTAAGTGAACATGGCGTCTGCTTTGAACTCTGCGCCAACGGCGAATGCTTCTGGCAATGCCAACTCTAGCTCTCACACTGGCCGTTCTACTCTAAGACCTTCCAACAGTACCAAGGGGTCTGACAACCGCCGTCAGTCTGGTAGCCCTGTCGATGGTGGTGCACGGTACGTTCAACCCTTCCCCCCACCAGTCGCTTTGAGGATATATCTACCACTTTCTCTTGTCTGGAGTCAGAAGACTACTGGTGATGCATCATAATACAATGTGGCATTCCTCTTGCTGATGTTGCTGGGGGCCTCCGCCTGAGGTTGCTTCACAGCATGTGCCCAAGGGTGCCAATTGAAAGTGCCAGATTTATTCATAGCACTACCATCACCATTGTCCGGACTGGATGATCATTTGCTAACATATATATGCTTTGCGACATAGACGCTCCAACTCCCACAAGGCCTGGACCCAAGGCACCAACCCCATCACCCAAAGAGCCTCACACTCCACATCCAACGGAAACATGGCCCACCGGGGACAGTCTGGCTCTCCACGACCGAACCAGAAGGAGTCGAACACTCCTGACAGTCATGCCCATGATCGTCTGGTGTTCTTGTTTGCCAGCTTCATCGTAAGCATCTGTCGCAATGCGATGCACAATGCCTATTCTAACCAATTCAGGGACTCCAAACAACCGTTACTACTAGGGCGGGAGAGAAGTTCAGCGGTATCTTTTCTAACTCCACCCTGGAGTCAAATGACTCGTCCTTCACGCTCAAGATGGTCCAGCGCGTTGACCAGGAGGACCAACTTTCAACAAATGGCGTGAGCCACGCCGCGGTCCCGTATCTGGGCAGCGGACCTGATTATAACTTGCAATTCGATGCCCGAGAGATCGCAGACATCTCTGTTCCCAATGTCACTACTGCGGAAGTCTCAGCTAAGACTTCCAATGGTAAGCATTAACGTATCTGGCTTTTTTGCGTACTCTATGCACTAACTTCACCTACAGGCGCCTCTCAGGGATTCAGGACCGACAGCGATATCTCCGGCAACCTCGCCATGCGCGAGCGTACCTTGCAGCGCTGGGAACCCGCCGAGAACGATGTCGATATGTCAATTGAGACCAGTAACAGTGCCGCTGGATGGGATCAATTCGAGACAAACGAGCGGCTCACCGGCTTTAAGAGCGACTACAACGAAAGCATCTATACTACCCATCTCGACCGAACTGATCCTAGTTACTCGGCGGCGCTTGAAAAGGCATCTCGTATTGCGGCTGAGATTGAGGGCACCACTTCGGACAATTCTCATATGCGTGAAGAACGCGGCCTAGTGGAACCTGCCACTGGCGATCAAGATGAAGAGGATAAGTACAGTGGTGTTCGCCGTGAAGAGAAGGCCTTCCCTCCTTTACTCTCTGGCCAGCCCAATAAATATACCCCCCCTGGGCGCCGCCAAGCTGCACCCCAGCCTCCTACACTCCCCAACGCACTTCCCAAGCAGGCCGCTGTTACTACAACTGTGCCTCCCATTGCAAAGAAGGAAACACCCACAACCCAGGAGCCTGAGCCAACCACATTACAAACCCCTGCCGAAATCCAGAGCAGCAGCGCCTCAGCCAAGGCTCCTTCGCCTGCTCCTCCCGCGACCAAGCGACCTTCTGCCGACAATGCCACTGCTAATGTCGAGACAGAGGTGCTGGATCACTTCCGCCAGTTTGCCAACAGCGAGAAGCTCAAGATGCAAGAACGCCGCCGCAACCAGGCTTCTTACGATCGCACTGTCAAACTCAACGAGCTCATGAAATTCTCCAAGAGCTTCAAGCTCTCCACTCCCGTGCCCAAGGACCTTGTACCAATTTTGGCCAAGGATCGCATGAAGCAAGAGGAAATTATCCAACGAGCCCAACAAGCCCAGCAACAGGGGGTTGATGAAAAGGGTATACCTAAAATTCCTTCGCCTCCTACCGAACCGAAGCCTCCTGTTCGTGGTACTGGACCCACTGGTGCTGTTCCTCCTGTTGCTCCGGCTGATCGCCAGAACTACCAACGCTCCCGACAGGGCTATCCTCCTACAGGCCCGCTTGCTGGGCCTAATGGTCGTTTCCCCCAGCAAGCCATCCAACCGGGACGTCCAGGTGTCGGCATGCTTGGTCACCGCCTAGCAGACAACCTACAGCAGCGTAAGGGCGCCGGCATGGCTCCTGCTCCTGTTCCGCTTCCCATCCAGGACGCTCGTGGGCCCCCCACTGGTCCTGCTAGTGATCAGCACAAGGTCACTAGTCCTGTCAAGTCGCAGGGACCTGGATCTTCTGCATCTAGCAAATTCAACGTTCGGGCTATGGAGTTCAAGCCGAACCCCGCAGCTAGCACTTTCACCCCTGGCGGCGCTCCCTCGACCGCTACTGCAAGCCCACGGCCTTTCTCCCGTAGCCGTTCCGTATCTCGCACAACCACTCCCACTGCCTTCTTTGGCCCAAGGAAGCCCCAGCCTATCTCGGAGCGATCATCTCTTCATGATCAATTCAATCCAATCAAGCGCATGAAGAAGGAGGGTGCAGGACAAGCCGAGAAGACTTACATATTCAACGATGGAATCCCACCCCCATACAAGACATTGCCCACCTGGGACACCATCGAAGGTAACGAGGAAAAGACATATGATCAGATGTTCAAGCAACCTATTGTGCCGTCCTCGGCTCAGGGACGCTCCGTTTCCAACAACCCGAATCTTCCTCAGCAGCACGGGATGCCTTTCCATTTCCAGCAAGGAAACCCCGGTCTCCCTGCGTCTGGTGGTCCAAACGGCGGACACCTCCACCCTCAAGGTCACCACGGCCCTCCTCACGTCGACGACCATCGCATGCACATGTCTGGCTCGAACTCTGGAGTCTTCCCGTCTCCCCGTATGCAGCCTGGATATCCTTCACCCATGGCGCCCCCGGCCCAAGTGGCCTTCGGACAGCCAATGCCCCCATTCTATGGAAATCCCCAAGGTGGTCAAATGAGACCCTACCAGGGTGGCCCTCAGTTTGTGAACCCACAAGCTCCGATGATGGTGCAGCAGCCGTCCAATGGACCCTTCATGGGAGTCCCACAGGGCATGGGACCTTACAACCAACAGATGCCTATGTACTCTCCCTCTCCCGCCCATGCATACCCTGCGCCTCAGCCTCATAGCGGATACCCGAGCCCGAGCCGGGGTGCACCCATGATGATGCACCAGAACTCGCAGTCAGGACAACCCCCGCAGCCGATGATGTATATGCCCGGACACAGTGAGTCTACCCGCAGTTTCCAGTCCAGCAGCGCCCGCCTCTAACACCATATCAGTGCCCCCCAACCGTGGCAATTACCCGCAGCAGCCTCATTTCTCCTCCAGCCCGCATCAGTCACATCACTTCCACCCCAACCAACACCGTACACCCAGTAACGGATTTAACCAAATGCCCCAAATGCCTCCTCAGATGTCTAGCAACACACCAAACTCCGGAGCTTCTCATTCAGCCGAAGCCACGGATGAAGGCAAATGATTACACGCAGTATGAATCCTGTGAGCCGTTCCCCTATTGGATGATGCTCTATCTTATCATCCCTCTTTGCTGTGATCTGCCAGCGCTCTGGATTGCTGGTGACCCTCATCTCGAATACCCGGTTCTAATCCCAGAGCGCATCTTCACCTGTCATCTGCCGTCATGGCGTGCCCCTCAGACCGGATGAAGCCTGCGCCGAATCTCACGTTATTTCAAGACTTTCCAGGTATGTTCAATATTTCTGCGACTTATGATCCCCCTGCTCATGTTTTATAGACTCGAGAATATCAATCTACGCGTTGCGCCTATCTACTCTTTAGATAGCAAGTTGGCGATGTACATGAAGACCGATTCCGCTGGTGATATATTGCACCCAGTGTAGTACATCGCCTCCTACCCCTTTCTCCATGGTCCGCAACTTCTCTCCCCCATTGTGGGTAGTCTGAAGTCTTGAGAATTTTCATTCAGTAGTGGGATATCCCGCCTTTCCGGTTTTTTTTAGCACATTTTCTTCTTTTTTTTGTTTTCTTTCTTTTAGCCTTGTCTTGCTTTCCTTTCAATCGAGGGTGGGATTCAGTATAGGTCCGTACTATAGACCTGCAATTCCTCAATCCAGAGAACGGGAGTGAGCCCTGGCGGGGGTGTTTTTCATGATGACAGTGGAGAGTTTATGGAGATGGTCGGCGGTTAGCTGGTGAGAAGATGATGGGACGGAGCACAGTAGCTGAAGGGGATAGCCGGAGACGGGGTGAGTGGTTTTCACGACGCCTCTAGCTTCATGAGATGAAATGAAATGGCTATATTATACGGTTTCCGATGTAAACTAGATATAAGCAGGGCATTTCAAGTACCGCGATGTAGAACTAAGCATATTAGGGATGATGTCTAAATAGGGCTGGGTATGGGGCGATGATCTTGTCTCTTATCAGAATTAGTGAACCAATACAACACTTTCTTGGAAATTAGAACACTCAGTATTCAAGTGATCGGCAATGGCTCCATACCTTTTATAAAAATACCCTAACCTCAGTGACTGAATACAGCCAACAGCCACTGCACACTATGTCTGTATGTCAGACGCTAAGATAAGCCGGGAATCCACCGGCCATATATAAAGACCATAGAGAACCTCACGATAAACAAGTGGCTCTTCACTTACTCGCATAAAAATGGAGAAGATCATCCCCCAAGCCCTTTCTTCCAAGTTACTCACCCTGTATACAAACTCCGGCCAGGATCCAGACCCAACAGCAAAATCGAATACTCCTCTTTTTGAGGCTGGCCGCTTCAAAGATCCATCTCCTGATGAGGTTGGTTCTTATTTAAGGGAGAAGCTTAAGCTGTGTATTTCCAGGGATCGGGTTCTGATCATGTGTGTGATAGTATCCATTAACTTATAACTTGATCGCGTCAGATGGCCACGGCTAACAAGTTCCCAGTGTTGTCTGTGCTAGTCTCGCCGAGCCTTCTGATAGATTACTTCTTGATATCCTCAGTGATCAAATAGGCGGGCTACCACATGATCTATTCAAGTATGTGAATCCACATAGAGAGCAGGGACAGAGTGTGGCGGCGTTGCCATCTCACGACCAGGATCAACAAGGTAACATACCCTCATCCACCAAAACTAACGTTAACCCAAGCCTATGAAAAGATCAGTCCTAAAGACACAAATTATCCCTCTAACCACCATACATACAGACTTCACCTTCCTCCTAAATTACCCAACAACAACCGCCGACCACTTAGACTCTCCAACCCCAGCGCTCGACTTCGAAGACCGAAAAGTATGCTTCCAAGGCACAGCAAGCCTGATATGCCCCTCGTCCAGACTAGACAAGACCCGACCCCCAACAGAACCAATGATAACCCTCTACATGCCTAATTTGTTAATGCTCCCGCGTCTGGAAAGTCACCTCGCCGGCCCGGAGAACACCTGGCGCCTCTCCCGCCTCCTCCACTCCCCCCTCTGGATCTACATCGACCTCTTCCAATCCTGCGGTGACTGGTCGGAAGTATGGAGCGTCGCATTGCGAGATCTGGCGAGGCGCGATGCACAGGCATATCAGGCCAGTTTGTGTCCGTCGACGTTGCATCTGACCAGGAGGCTGCATAGGGCGATTTCTAATGTCATCACGCTGAGGGAGAATCTGAGGTTGCATATCTCGTCCATGGAGAGGTTTCTTGGCTTTGTCACCGGTGGACGGGTTGAGTGGTGTGCTGCTTCCGTGGAAGGCGACGAGGGGTATACTGATACTCTGGCGGAGCGTACGCGGGAAATTTTGATGGATTTGGAGTATCATCGTGATACCTCTGTTGTGGTTTTGGAGCAGTTCAACAGTTTGCTTAGTTTGGTGGGTTTTTGTGTACTTGTAGGGAAGCGTTGCTGGGCTAATTTTTGCTTGGGTTGCAGGTTTTTAATACTGAGACTGTGACTCAGGGACAGGCTGTCGCGAGGCTGAATGTGCTTGCTTTTGCTTTTTTGCCCTTGTCTTTTGTCAGCGTGAGTGTCTTCAGGGGATTTCGTTTTAGGCTGGATTGAGGGATGTCAGTGCTAACTTGATGAGTGCAGGGTCTCTTTGGAATGACCACCTGGTCGATTTCAGCTGTATGGTATCCCCTGTGGGCTTTGGTTGCTTTTGTGTTGATCACAGCAGCCGCGTATATTTCCGGCAAGCTCTCGTTCGACCGCTCAGAAGGCCAGACAGCTATTCTAAACTTGCACTGGAAAAGCGAACGCAATTCGAGCATGAGGTCTGAGAATGTCTCTCATTGGAATTCGACAGTTCCTGTGACAGTCATTGCGAAAAATAGCACTCATGATCAAAAGCCGGTACTTGTCTCGAATCAACTGCGATATCGAAACTCAGTCTCTCGTCATGCGAGAAGACTCGCGGATCGATTTGAAAACATTGGGAGATCAAGCGGTAGGGTGGATAGCCCGCATGTCCCTTCGATTCATTTGAGTGCACCGGCGAATTTTGACAATGTCGAAGAGATTGATTCTGTGTCGGAAACTACCGCTCAAGAACCAGACGTGACTTCAAATCAGAACCCGGAAAGCAAACCCACTATTGCAGAAAACGGTGTCTGGGATTTATATGCCAGGCCTTCTAAAAAAGACCAATATGACCAGCTTAATAACCCAAAGGATCCTAATAAGCCTTCCGACATTGCTACGCCAGGGGACGGATACTACCCACGGGGTCCACCCCAAGCACAGGGCTGGGGAGCAGTGAACTTTTATCCTCCGGGGCTTTCTCAGGTGCCGACAGGGCCGCCGGAAAAGGTGAGAACTCGTTCTAAGATGACGAGCAAGGTGCAATTGGGGGCGAATCTTTTTCATAAACGGCAGTGAAGTGGCAATGTCAAGGCCCACAAGGTGGTGTCATTGTTGGTAGTTGAATATGCAATATAAAGGTTGCTCCCGAAGGCACTAGAATAATTTCCCGACACAAAATCCCAGCTCCCAACATCATCAATGTCCATCCGATCGGACCTAGAACTGTATAACAAGTTAGCTGCCAATTCCTCGGAGCTTCCAGAAGGAAAGTTGTAGAGACAGAGTTCTCCTCAGTATAACTTTGCAAATGATCATCATCCATCACAACAACCAGACCACATCTCAGTCACCGCGGTGCTTTACCTCTCACAAACTGTGATCAACCCTCCAACCGCTAACAAACCCCAGATCAGATCGCAAGAAACCAGGGATCAAGAGCCCACACACCCCCAGCCCACCCCACAAGCGCGCCCCCCGTTTTCCAACACCCACCCCCAACCGCCCCTTCAATTCCCCGACACTCTTCGCAGCAGATTTTAGCCGAACAAAGAGCAAAAATGAGGTTCACCCTCAATTCTGCCTTGAACGACAGTATTCCCTCGATCCTATCCGCCACAGCCATTGGCTCCTATCGTCCTCATGGAAGCGAAGTGGACACAGGAACCCCATATTGCGGCGAACAATGAACCGTTTCTCAGGTCCTGATGACAAGAAAAGGAGTCAGTTGAGAGAGAGAGGCCAACAGAGTTGAACCGGCCAGCTCCCAACCAAGCCAACCAAGTCATGCAAGACACCAAGACAGACTTCAGTGCATATATACACAAGTTCTCACAAGAGTCCACGCCCGTATGCCGCTTTGTCTCAGCATGGGACTAGACCATTGATCCAAGGTCCGGACTGCCCTCACGGAGATATATGTGTTCTGCGTTGAAGAGTGAAGAAAAACATCAGGTTTGGTGTGAAGTGAATGCTGTCACCGAGAAAGCGCGGATTGCAGAATGAGCACAGCATTACCGAGGTAATAGCTGCACCAGCAGGCATGGGTAGCCCACTGGTAAGAGATGGTGGATCAAGCGTGCCTGGTTGTGGCTCTTGGGATTCAAGCTTAGTTCTTGCTCGCGGCGTTTTGGGTTGGAGCTTGCGGAGAGTACCATCGGGAGCTGGGACGAGTCCTTGCGGCTGCTGTGGCGCGGTCCGACCTTTTACCAGAAAGTTTTCATCATAGGAGAGCGATATACGCCACGGGGTAGACTTGGTGAGGTAGAAACGCGTTGAACAGGAAAAGGAGACTTGCCTGCTGTAGCTTGTAAGTTGGGGTAGTTTGGGCTGATGGCAATGTGAGTGCTGGGAATGGTAAGCAAGAGAGAATTAACATTGATCTTGAGAGATGCGCGGTCATCATTAGACCAAAAGTGAATCGGGGAGAGAAGTGAAGCTGTCGGACAAAAGTGTATTTATTTCCAAGTGAGGCCTGAGGCATCAACGACTATCGCGATAAGGCGGGGCTGAAGGAGACAGTTTGTCTTCACAGCTGAGTGTGAAGTGCAGAGCACAGCGCATAATACCACGGATCTGTCCCTCAACATTTACTCTGCTTCGATTATCAGCCTCCATACCAGCCACAAAGACACCTGGCAATTGGCCGCCTCTCTCGCGCACCCCGGGCGACCCAAAACAATCACCGAACCCGTATTGCCAACACATACCCCATAGCGATGGATTTCCTCAAATCCGCTGTCGCGTCCGCCATCGCAAAAGGAACCGGGCAACCTTTCTCCCTCGGCGACAGAGTTGACATCGGCGACTCAGTTTGGGCACTGCACAACGGCACAAAACGGGTACGGCGACTTGCTTAATTCATGCGGGATGGTTCAATGGCTGACCAGTTCGGACTCCTTATTTACAGGATGACGGTTCTGCCTGCAGTGTGTTCTCTTTCGATATCAACGCAAACAAGTCGCGTCTCCCGCTAGCGAAAAATGCTGTCCGCAAGTTCAGGACGCTACGGCACCCAGGAGTGATTAAGGTGTTGGATACCATTGAGGTATGAATGACAAAGGGATCATATTCGGGGCATGGGAATACAGCCCGTGGTGCTGACATGCGCTTACAATCTGTTAGACGGAAACGAACCTGTATATTGTCACCGAACGAGTGGTGCCGCTCTCTTGGCCGGTGAAACGAAGGAGTTTGAGTGAGGAGACTGCCAAGTGGGGATTGTATACTGTCGCGGTACGGCCATCTTGAGTCGATTGCTGTGATATTACTGACAAAAAATGGGTCGAACAGTCTACACTTAAGTTTATTAACGAGGACGCTTCCTCCGTCCACGGCGCCGTGCGCGCATCATCGGTTTTCACAAGCGAGAGCGGCGAATGGAAGCTCGGAGGTTTCGAGATCTTGAGCTCCATGAAGGAAGATGATGCTATTATATACGTCAGTATAGCGTGCTGTCCACCGGCCCGATTGAACCTCTATACTGACTGTGTTATAGACATACGGAAGCATTATGCCCGACGCTGCACGTTTCACTCCTCCGGAAGTTGTCAAAGGCGGCTGGGATTCTATCAAGAGCTACCCTCTTGCAGCAGTTGACGCCTACGGCCTGGGAATCTTAATATTTGAGGTCTTTAATGGTAACTTTTCTGGCGGCGACCAAGTTGGCAAAACGACAAATATTCCTCCAAGCATGCAGCAAAGCTACAAGCGACTCTGTACTGCTAACCCAAAGCTACGGCTGAGTCCTGGCCATTTTGTTGAACAAGGGAAGAAGCAGGGTGGCTTCTTTCAGACGCCACTAATCCGCATGACGGAGGATATCGACAGTTTAGGGCTGAAGACTGATGCTGAACGTGAAGAATTCATCAAGTATGTACTTTCTAAATATCTTGCCCACTCATCTCCGGCGGCTGACATGATCTAGTGAGCTTGATGACCTGTCGGAAGACTTCCCTGAAGACTTCTTCAAGATGAAGGTGCTTCCAGAGCTTCTCAAATCCGTGGAGTTTGGAGGTGGTGGACCCAAAGTTCTCAATGCTACTTTAAAAATTGGATCCAAGCTGTCGGCAGACGAGTTTAATGCTAAATTGACTCCTGTTGTTGTGCGCCTTTTTGGAAACCCTGACCGAGCTTTGCGAGTCTGTCTATTGGACAACTTGCCTTCAATGATTGACAACCTCCCTCAAAAGGTCGTCAATGACAAGATTTTCCCTCAGATGGTACGTGCATTTATTCGTTCAATTTGGACATAACTGACATTCTCCAGACTTCTGGTTTCACTGATGTCGCTCCGGTGGTTCGAGAACAGACCGTCAAGGCTGTTCTTACCATTATCAACAAGCTGAATGACCGCATTGTGAATGGAGAATTGTTAAAATTCCTCGCACGCACAGCTAATGATGAGCAACCTGGTATCCGTACGAATACAACCATCTGTCTTGGACGAATTGCTAAGAACTTGGGACAAAGTGTACGTTTACACTGCTCTTTGCATTAAGGTGCATGGCTAACTTCTTTCTAGACTCGCTCCAAAGTCCTTATCGCAGCATTCACAAGATCCCTAAGGGATCCCTTTGCTCACGCCCGAGTTGCAGGACTGCTGGCTTTATCTGCAACAATCGATGTATTCACCGAGGACGACTGTGCTGCAAAGATCCTTCCCGCTGTTTGCCCTTCACTTCTGGATAAGGAAAAGTGAGAAACACACCCAAAGCCCCCGAATAACTATTATTTTAACATGTGAACAGATTGATCCGAGACCAAGCAAACAAAACCCTAGACCTATACATCCAGCGAGTCCGAAAGCACGCCAGCACAATGGTCGACCCCGTCACACCTCCCACCGCGCCAACAGAAGCAAAACCAGATGTCCGCGTTGCAACCCCCAACGAAAGCTCCTGGGCCGGCTGGGCCATCTCATCCTTCACCAACAAAGTCGCAGCCGCCAACGGCGAAATGGAAGCAACAACCAACAGCAGCAAACCCGCCGAACCAGAAACAGCTCGCTCGGCGTCCGTCCCCCGCCCCGCTAAATCCTCACCCTCCACACAGCTCGATCTGCCAAGACAAGTTCTCCGTCCGACAGCCCAGCCTTTGAACAGATCAATGTCCGACCGACCCGCCCCAGCAGTCCACTCATTGGAACCCGAAGACGACGGAGACGACGTCTTCGACGCATGGGGTGCAATGGACGACGATGACGAAGCCGAAGAAGACCCTTTCACTGCAGCTGTCGCCTCTCCCAATCCTTCATCGCCCGCTCCGTCGTCCTCAGCAGCAGCCTCCAAGGTCCCATACGACGATGGAGGCGAGCCGGACTTTGCTGGCTGGTTAGCAGCAAAGAACCAAACAAAGACTAAAAACCCTCTACCGAAGGGCCTGGCTAAGGCTTCATCTACCAATACTGTCACTACGCGATCTTCTCTTGCGAGTACGGCTAAGCCACGTGCTGTGGTTGCGCCTAAGAAGATTGATACCAAGCCTAAAGAAGAGGAGGTTGACGATGACTGGGGTGATGCTTGGGATTAAGCTCCATGTGCTACATTCATATCTGGCTTGTCGATATTGGACCGGTCGGAGGGTCCTGGCGTGTTTTTGTGATTTTCCCACCGGTATACACATAGGTTAGTCTATATTAGATGAATGAATAGACTGTAATTTTCTGCAATGCCAGCAGGCTTGGTGAGAGATTTGTAGATATCCCATTACTGGGTATTTTCTTCGAAAAATGAAGAGATGAACGAGGCCTTCACTTTGCGAAGCTGAACGACTCGGAAAGCGAGGCGCTAGACTCGGGGCTGCCATAGGTCCGGAAGTGTGGTGTCAATTGGGTCGATGAATGGAGAGGGAGACACGGGAAGTTCGATCTTGAACTGCCAACTTGAATTGTTGAGCTGGATGCCCATCATGGCAGCTGTGGGACCCTCAAAAGATAGCTTGGTCCCAAGAGAATTATATAAGTTCCAAGCGAGATTGTTGACAAGGAGTGTGCGAATATCCTCAAGTCCAGGCTTGCTGCCCCAAATGTACACAGCGCCGGGACCAGCAGGAAATGGCAATGGATAATCCTGGTTCTCGCGTGTCCAACTGTATTTCTGCAGAGAATCCAGGTCGGAGTCATTCTCCGTCATGGAATAGATCTTCTTATACGATATGGTGATATTGTCACCATTCAGCTCGTCGGCGATACTGAAGCATTGCTGGTGCGCGGGTGGCGTGAAGGAAACTTCATATTTGAAGTCTGGAATCTCAGTTAGAAAAACAAGCATGACGCCAGGACTGAGCACCTCGTGGCGCGCAAGAAGACATGTCGGCGAGCGTTCTGTTGTTTTGGATTCAACTTTGACCTCCAGATCGGGGAATCGTGCTACTAGATCAGATCGCAGCAAAAGTCCAAATTTCGGGGTCGGCGGCACATCTTCAAGCTCCGGATGTGGTTTCTGACGGTAGCGTTGAATTGCCTTGTGTATGGCTTTCCGGACATGGTCTTCCTTCTGGTCGACATGATTCCCCAGACTAAGAGCACCATCGACAAGAGCATGGGTCCAGTTCTCGTCGATGTAGAAGAAGCGCAGACTCTCCTCCGGCAGACATTTTGGCTCCGAAAACAGATATTGAGAAGGAACTCGTATAAGGAAGAGCAAATCCAGCACGAATCGAAGTACAACTCTCCAGTCCGGAGATGTTGGGACATTGAGCTCATCGTACGGGGCAGGCATAGTGCCATTCGTCTCCTCTGCCTGCAAGGATCCTTCTTCATAGCCACTAGCGATTTGATATGCAGCTCGGTCTAGCTCGTCCTGGTAAGCAGAGTCAACTACCTTGCTATCTAGCACTTCAACGGGGATAGTGGTATTTGGGCGTTTCCAGCGCTGCTCGCGAGAGGGATCGATAATAGTTGGCATGTGCGTTTCCTGCGTGAGGTCATGCAAGCTTGCCAACAGGTCTTCCCTAGTCTTTTTTGGAACCCCTGTAACCCGCATAGCCTGTCTCTTTCTCTCACTAGTTCCATTCTGGAGGATGGCATTACGGACTTGAAGAAGTGCTTTCGTGAAGGTGGCATCGGCCACGGCCAGGTCACGGCCTAGATTCCACGCAGTGGAGTATGAGACATCCATGAGACCCAGCTGCTGATCTAGGATTTGCAGCGACTGGCCCAAATTAGATTGTGCGTTGCGTAGACGAAACTCGACCGCAGACGGCACCAATGGACCGCGGTTAAGTGCAGATGTGGCTTCGCCAGTTATTGTGCGGTAACGAACCAGGGAATATCCATCTTTCAAATACTTGTGAATTTTCAGTGCTTCAATACTGTCCGGAGTCGGGTTGACCTCCGACAGCGGAGGTCTTAGCATGGCGCCTCCTTCTGCCAGGTGGCTCATCAAGTTCGGGAGATTCATCATTTCTGACGGTTGACAAGTATGTGTCCAACTGAATAGCGATGGGAGCACGACACGCTTGCTTTCATCGACGGGGAATGACATGGTTGAGACGCCCTCAATCGAGAGCAGATGCGACACTAGCGTTGTCGGCGTCTTGCAACTGGGAGGCCCTGTGCGATGCGACAAAACGACACCAAAGTTCTGGTCAGAAACCTCATCCTGTATACCAGCATATGCTATCCCGTTCGTTGGCACATTCCGCATATGGGCAAGGAGCCGATAATGTGAGACGTCGCAGCTGCTCTGACTCTGTGGATTGCCCTCTGCGTCGTACTTGGTGAAGAGGTTGTTGAAAATACCTGCTGGTATCGCAATTACGCTGGTCTTGGTCTCCACCACGTCCTCTACTTGCTTGACTGGAGTCACTATCTGGTTCGGATCCAAATTGACCAAGTCCGAGACGTCCAAATCGACTGCCATGGTTGGCGACTGGGTGCTTTTATTACTGTCGGAGTTCAGTGAATGTGGAAACATACTTTGCATCTCCTCATTAGTGAGTTGCAGCTCTTTCGGTTCGAATGTCACGCAGATGAGCCATGGTACCCGATCAGGGAGATCTTTATCGTGGAGAGCCGCTGCATCACTACCGTCGGCCACACGATCCCATGGCAGGAGGGCATCATGCAACACGACGTGTGGCAGGCAGGTGACGGGAGCACTGTGACCAGCAGCAGGGAATGTTGAGTAGATACAGTCTGGGTCCAGAGCGAACCGTGGAGCTAGAACTTTGAAGCTTTCCGTGCTCTTCTCCGGGATCTTCTGCCCGGGGGGGTTCAGGGTAACGGTTTCTTTGACGACCGCATCATTTGTGATTTCTCGTAGTTCCGGCGTATAAGAGCTGTCAAGACACTTCTCGTCTGGTTTGACAGGAGATGATTTCCCAAGTCGATTTTCTCTAATGGCATCTAGACGTTGTCGACGGTGGCGCAAGACAAGATAGCGCCCAGATGAGACGGGCTCGGATTGACGACCAGGGGGCGGCATTTTTTCCTCAGTGTCACTTTTGTCTCTTTAGTTCTTTTTTCGAGTGTTCAATTTTTCCATGAGATGATGAGGAGATATGGGGTTGGTTGGCAATAAATCATAAAAAGGCAACCAGCAGCGAGCCAATCGCTCTGCATGTCCACAAATCCCTAACGAACTACATTTCTAACCCAATGGGGATATTTTGATTTTTCCCCCGGCGTCACCGAGACAAGCTGAAAATAAATCGTCTCATGATCAGCGATGAGTGGAATGGTAAGCGACGGGGTCTAGGTAACGAGAGCATTGACATGGCGAAGTGGTGTAAGAAGCGCCATACTGTATATCCAAAACAGGCCAAACCCGTTTGGGAGACATGTGTGGAAGTAAAACAGCAGAAAGAGTTCTGGCTTATGTAGCCACAAGTTGAAGCCCTTTCAACAGCCCGGCCGGGCTAGCTCAATCGGTAGAGCGTAAGACTCTTAATCTTAAGGCTGCGGGTTCGACCCCCGCGTTCGGCTATTCCTAAAACACCGTCCTCGAGTGAGCGTTTCTTTTTTTTTTTTTCTTTTTTATTCCTATGACTTGAGTTTATTCTTTTGTGTAGGACGGATTGGTTGTTTACTTTTTATGGTTCAGCTTTTACTTACATATTGCTATAAAGCAAATCATGATGTGGTTAAAATGTTTCAGTGCATCCATGTGGTTTAAAAAGAGTAAAAATTACAAGGAAGGCTCAGATATATATAATGATGCCCACAGTGGAACAGCAGACGACAAAGATAAAATTGGTACTTTACATACAGAGAGACCCATTAAACACATCAGTTACCCTGCATTTGGATCTATTGGATTCCAACTCGTTTGAAGCGGGTCAATTCTGGACGTTTCTCAAGCCATTCCCAGATCGCATCGTTAGCCTCATATGCGTACTGGAAAGGTCCGACCCATGAATCCTCCGTAGTTTGGTTCTCATTGATTTGGAGAAGATCCGGAGCCCGAGTAATAGCCGATTGCGATTCGTGGAACCTTTAGACGAGAGGGTTAGCATTGCAAAGTACATGAACCACAGCAGCACACACAGTGTCTCCATCATCTGAATAGTGGGCTCTCGTGTCATCTCATATGACAGCGGACTCGGTGTATAAAATTCGGCACCACGCTCCTGCACGTATCCGATGGACGCCAAAGAGGGCAAAATACGACCTGCAACGTTTTAGTGACAGAATTAAGATTATGCCAGGGGAGTTGATGTACGAAGTAGATCAGGGTCTGCATTTTGTGCAGTTGCAATTTCCGTTGCACTAGCACCTCCGGACTTGACTAGCAGATTGAAGATTCCTAAATCATGGCCTACTTTGACGGCCATGAATAGAACAGGCTAGTCTGTCAGCGCCGGACATGGAATGAAATTGAAATGTTTGAAGCGTACTGAGAGGGATAGCTTCAAGACTGTGTCTTCTGGCTTCTCGAGTGCGCGACTCAATTTGAGACATTGGCTGAGGGCCTCAACTCGAGCTTGTTCGTTCCTCGAGGATGCGTATTTCTCCACTCGGGTCGCTGTCTCTTTGAAGAGATACTCAACAGTACTGTTATGAGGATCAATCATAGTTGCGAGCGATTTGATGGGGATAAGACTATGGTAATTCTTTTAAATGATAAATGGTTGGTGGGGACTAAGTCATTCCAAAAGCCATGTGGTATTTATGCTAGCCCCAACCAAGATGATTTAATAGTTTTGCTTGCTAGGTGTTTACTTGATTTCAGAGAGGTGCGTCATCACGTAAGGCATCAATCGCCATTATATCACGTGGAATGCGCACTGATCGTATATCATCATGTACTACATGCCAAAATCTAAAGCTGAGGACAAAATGGCCAATCAAAGACTTGGACTCACCATTCAGCAACCACCACCACCAAGGAGAAGTGGACCCTGTGTAACACTAGGATAGAGGCGATGTCATACCAGCGCTCTTATTGCTCTATCTAGATCGACTCTACTGTATTAAGGTTGGAGGGGCCAGATTTGACATCAGACCGAGAAATTGGGTTCAGATCTTCGTTTCAAGAGTACTGAACTTGTCCACATCTCGCATAAACCTTGGAGCAGCCACATAACTTGTTTCTGATCTCTAATAATCCGTTGCGGTAAGTGCGATCCAAATTAGGAAAGATGCATAATATATGCGCAATAAAGCGGCCTATTACTGCCAGTCGTTCCATCCACTCATGGGCCCTGTATGCTGTGCAACCCACCCCGTAGATGTCTACGTCTTTTCAGGAATCAAGTTTGCCAAAATTAACTTGGTTTATAATGAGTATTTCCGTATCTAGTTTGGCATTGCTCGATACGTCATAATACTCTCATCAATTGGTGGGAATTAAGAGAAACATAGATCGATCTGAAAGCCCAAAGTAAGGACCAGAGTGCCCTGATCTAAGAAGACCATGAAAGATGCTCGAAGTTTCTATTTAAAGATAAAATAAGGGAATTATCTGGATATAGAAGAGAAACCAAACAGAACTTAGGGCTTAGAGACCGCCGTGAGGGCGCAAGGCTCATTTTACATTCTGATTGGATCCTTGATTCAATCCATCATTGCATAATTCATCCGATACGTGTATTATTTAGAAACAACTGTGCTTTGGCACAGATCATGTACTACTGATGGCCAGTACACCTCTAGAAATATTGACGTTAGATTATTTAAATTTGAAACCCATTGTTCTGACTATCTATTCTTCTCCCGTGGTTTTATTGAAATATTTGGCAGCTTACTATTTTGTGTGCGATATCTATCAATGTCTGAACATGGAGCAAGCTGCTTTTATAAACGGCAATTGAAGCCAGGGGAGTATAGTGAAGCAAGGTCATGATCAATTTGAACATCTCATGTGATCTTCAATATTATCACCTAGGTGCTGGCTTCCCGATTGAGATAGCACCAGTTGATTCATTCGCCCAACGTACTTAGCAATTCTGACCAACAGTGATCGACTCAGATCGTGTTCCATCACCTACACCCCCGACAGCCTCCACAGTAACCGAATCACCATCTGAAAGCCCAGCTACAGGGATAGTAGTCTCAAATCCATTGCGCAAAGCCGTGTGAATGACCTTGGACCCAGAAACGACCTTCCAAGACGCTACATCTGTGGCTCCATTCCAGCTCACATACACAGCAGTCTTTCCCTCTTTAGCTGGACAAGCAACAGCATTAGGCTTGGTAGACGGACGCCCAACCCAGGGATAGCGATAGGTACGATAAGTCTGCATGGTATTGTCGTACCCAAACCGAGCCCGCATGACGATAGTTCCATTCTCATCGTACTCCTCAATCTTGGGAGTCGCACCATGATCTTGTAAGACATGTCCATTTCCAAGACTTTGGTAGCTACCCTGAGACTCGGCATATACCGGTTCAGCAGCATCCCACATCCGACCAATGAGTGTTACTTCCTTTGAGCCTTGAAGGTCGACATTCAGCACAAGACCCGTGGTTAGTGATGAGTGACCCGTGAACTCGGTATTATCATTGTTGTGCATGGTCAACACCACACGCTCTGGGCTTTGAGATACGAAGCGCACGTCGTGTTGGTAGCAGAAACTTGTTCCCAGACCTAGAGTGAAGTCGCCGCCGGTTCGACCCTGAATTTGAAGAGTTGGTATTGTGAAAGCAAAAACTTAGCCTAAGTTAATTGGATCTTGGTGACTCACATGCAGATGCCAGATAACCGTTCCGTTCTGTGAAATCAAGAATACACTACACATATATCGCGACGATACCAAGTAATCATCGCCATATTTGTAAATAGCATTCAGATGGGGGTATCCGTAAGGATAAGTCGAGTTTACACCCGAGCCACCCGAACCCTCAAGCGGAGCACGAACACCAGATAACGGGACCTGATTGATATGATCATGAGCGCTCCACCGGAAAAGAATCTCACTGGTGGCAATATCAATCTCATAAACAAGTCCGTCTTGAATCCAGCCATCTTTTTCTCCGCCAATGGAGCTCAGATCAGCCTGAGTGACATTGACTGCAGTGACGAGGATTGTGCCATTCTCCGTGATCTGACTCTCGTGAATATCAATGCAAGAGCTGAATTTCATTGGTTCGTAGACCGTGGCGAAATTCTGCTCCTCGCAGGATAGTGTGACGCGGTGGATCTCGTCGTACGAACTGTTCAAGATGCTAATGTGGCCGAACCCGAATCCCTCACCAGCAAAGCCGGTCCAATAGGCCATTACTGGCTCGCCATTCAGCATTTGGGGCTGAAGTGCGGAATAGTTTCCCCTGTCGCCTTGCCATACTAGTTGGCCGTCGTCTGAGTAGATGGTAGGGTGACCCGTTTCTCGAATTATATCGTGTGGTGTGAGGAAGAGATACCCTGGCTCCGTTTGGCCCATCTTGGTGACGTTCATAGACGGGGTCTGGATTGAGGAGCTTTTGTATGTTCGCAGGGGCCATAAGGCTTCAGAGGATTGTGCAGTGGTCACTTTGACCAAACTTGCAACGAGAGCAAGTGCCTGGGGAAGGCGGCGCATGAAAGAGGATCCCATGGTAAAAATTAAATACTATTCCCTCTGTAATCCGAGACTGTGTTGCTATGTAGCTTGGATCATTTTGATTCTAGCGAATTGCCCATTTATAGGGACATCCTCACGAGCTTTGCGCTCTAGCATCTGGTGTGGAGCCCTATATCCCCGCATCTTCCAAGGTTGATCATCGGCAGATGACACCAACATTGACTTGGGCGGAAGCTGATATCTACCGTACAGTTCAATAACATAACCGAGTGGACATCAATCGGATGTGAAAGAGCTCTCGATGTCGTTCTGATGGCAGTGAATCGCTGATCACGCGGCCAAAGGACTTCATGTCTCGTCAGATATTTGAACAAATATTGACCCCATTAAGTGGACTTCTTCAAACATAAGTTAATGGAGTGACTTCATAGAACGGAATTATCCCATTCGTATTTTCGTATGTCGCCCACTTCCGCCGCCTTGACGATAATACAAACTTAAAATATCCGATAGTGGACACAATATTGAGCAGTCTTGGCAATTTCATCGGAGTCATTGTGGGGAAGAAGAAGTGTGGGGTGTTCTGTCCCCGGATTTCCCATAACTGCCGATGTTGGTCAGGGCAACGGCGGAGATATCCGACGGCTGCATGGATGAGTCCGTTTCGCAGCGTAGACCCACGCGGAAGAGATTCCGTTGAGGCTTTTCATGTCTGCCGTATGCTTTCCGCTATTTGGGTATAAGCAATCGTGGTTTGAAGCCGTGTGGCTGAAAGCTTGCCCGTCAAGGCGTTGGCAGGAAACAAAGGATCCACCAAGGGTACAGCCAATAGGGCTTGATAGGCTTTCAAGAAATTCGGTCTTTGAGATTGGGGAGCTCAGTACAGTGCTTCCGGAAATTGGTACTCACATAACTTTTCTCCGGTTACCTCGGTAAGATTTGTGATTTCTGGCAACCGTCGATAAGCTTTTATGCTTTTTGTGGATTTAATGGCTAAGTTAAGTACAAATTTTATCACCTAACTGTACTAACGTATCAATATTGAGCCTAAAGGCTCCAATTAATCTAAAAAACACGAACCAATGAACATCAACTTAATTCAGCATGAATATCAAAGACAACAAAAAAACATGAATATGAAGATCTTAAAAAATAATATCAACAACTGAAAAATGTTTTAGATGATATATCTTTTGACACCAGAACTTCAAACCAAGTCTAACTAGAGGAACAATAGAAACAAACAACTATACGAATGAACTATATAAGAACTGCAAACCAAGAAAACATGCAAGGGAAAGTCATCGCGTGTCGGGATGGTCAAGGTCAGAAGTGCCCTTATAGATTCGCCTCCTGTCTCCGATCACTCAATCCTATTTCTTCGAGAAATTGCAACAGGAAAAAGAAGCGCCACAGTCTACATAGAAAAAGCTCTTCTCCTGTCCTCTCGTCCATACAGTATACAACAATAGAGTTCTATCGGAGATTGCCACATGGTAATCTTATCAAGTATGTGCATATTAGTTCGGAACAGCCTACACTGGCGAAGTAATTATGTGCAACTCAAACTCGTGACTAGCCAAGAGTGGATGAATGAATGAATGAAAGAATGAGTTAATAATTGAGCATCTCTAGAAGGTGTTCAGTTCTGGTATTAATGCTCTCTTTCTTTGTCACATTTTTGATGTACACCGATGATTCTGGGTCCTCTGTTGATTGATACTTGACAGCTTGTTATTCCTTAATGATGGAAGAATGTGAAGCAATCTCAACCCCAGGAGACCGAGAAGGCTGCCATTCAAAACGAAAGAGCTAGCGCGTTATCGTACATTTATTTCACACACATGCAATACAATCAAGGGGTACCTCCCCCGGGATTGCAGTCTCCGTCACATCTGTACACTTCACAAGTAGTCCTTCCCACACTGGTACATGACTCGCTTTCTTCAGAGTTGGCGTATCCAAAGACCTCGAAACTCTTCCCCGTCTGCTTGATCTTAACTGTTTCATATCCTCCTTTCTCATCGCAAGCTGCGATGAGTGAATCATAAGACTTTTTGCACATGGCCTTGATGCCCGGCCCGATATAGGCCCCAGCTGCGGTATTCGCAATGCCCCAAAAGCCGGTGCAAGTATAGCCAAAGTCCTCGCCGCAAGCGAGGTTTTGAATCTTCATGCCAACAAAAGTGTAGAAATACGGGGAGACATTCGCCACGAAATCACAGAGCTCGCCGGCGATAAACACCTGCTGTTGATATGTAATGAGGCGGTTATCGTACTGAGGAGGGCTCAGGCAGGTGCGAGTGGTAACAGTCTCACTATAGCGCTTTTTGATAGTTGTAAGGGATGTAGAGGAACCAGTATCGAAAAAGTCGGCCAGAGGGAAATCATCAGTCGTGTTGGTCAGGTAGATATGGGAGATACGAGCATTAGGGCCGAAGTGCTCAGGCAAATCAAATGTGTGATTTCTCAAATCATACAAGGCCTGCACGTCTTTGGTTACGTCCAAAACTGGTTTGTGTGAGGTCACAAAGATTTGCTGAGTGGAATTGCTCGTATCGACTGCGAGAGCAGGCACCGAAAACAGCAGGGCCAGTGCCCCGGCGCGCATGAGCCTCAGGAGTCCCATCATATAGTAAAAAAAGCAATGGAGAGGATTTCGAATTGGACGAACAAACTGGAATGATGAAAGCCCGGGCTTGAGTTATTTCATGTTGGCTATTTATACCTCGGACTTTTCGACTTTTGACCAGGAGTTCCAGTTGCCTCAACTCAGTAGTAGTTCATGCATGCTCCACTGTTCCCACAGTGCTTGATCCTTTTAGTTTTATCGGTGTAGCAATTGACACTATTTTAGCGTAAACAGAGACCATGGCGATATGTCGGGTCAATCAATCAATCAAGTTTCAATTGGCCTGTTGCAGTGAAACTAGTATCGTAATGGCTATGCAGGCGCTTCATCTAGTTGAAGAAAAGACTTGATCGTACGCCCGATAATGACAATACAGAAAAAGAACTAGTCCTCACAAGCAGAGAGAGAGTATCAGCTCGACATAAATACAAATCCCATGGTCCAAAACATACAAAACCTGGTGCCGGAGGCAGCCAGGTACAAAGAGCGTTCGCAAATACACCATCTGTCATTCCACCATGCCACCCTATTCTCATCCTCAAATCCTGAATTCTCATCAACAGGCCCCGTTCTCTGTTCCCACTCCAGCTTCAATTGCTAACTTATCCCCCCGCCCCGATGGCTCTGAACCAATCAGGGATTGTGTAATCGAATAGCGAATTGAGGGAGATAGTCTCTCCACCCTCAATTATCGGGGCAAGCAATGGTCAGTGCCCATCGTCTTTGGGAGGCGACATATCGGGTGTCATGCCGACTTTACCAATGCATTACTGTGCTCACAGTGCTGCCGCCTTTTTTTGCTCAATCAACTGAAACTGACCAAGTTCTCTCTTATTATAATCTTGATTTAATCATAGTTTTTGGAAACCTCATTTTATTTCGCGTTCGACGTTGCAGAATGGTTTGCTCGTAAATTCAGTGTGAACACCCGTCTCTTTTTTCGGGGTACTATAGGAGCGAGCTAATTAACGCCACCAAACGCCCTATTTGAAGTTCGGACGGAGCAAGCTCTCAATTGAAATCTAGATATACGCTAAATATGTATGGAAACAAAAATCCTTAGCGGGCTGACGCGTCTCTCTCGAAGCCCCCACTTCTCCAATCCAGGGCAGAACGCTTGATTTTCTTTAAACAATAAAGACAGAAGAACACAAACACCTCGAAAAAATGCTGCCCGGACTCTAGAAGAAACGAGGCTTTTCCATTTTCTAATACTTCGAGGCCGCTGTCACTAGCCCCTAAATCATTACTTCATACAAACGGGATATTCCCTCTGCAGCCTTTATTTGGCAAGAAAGGGCTAAGCTCGATTTCTCATTTGTATTGTATTTACCCCCAGCGCAAGAGCGATAAGAAGACACCGTTTGTCTTTTTCGCCCCCATCTCAGCGATGGACTTGGGACTCTATGGGGGGGATTTCACGGATGCAAAGCAGAATTTGGATTATCCACTCCCAGATGTCCCATTTCTGTTGGCCTTGGGTATTATGCTACTCGGTGGTCTCATAGTAAGCGACTTTCAATCCAGTGAAGAAATTCAGAATTGATCAGGACTTACAAACATCAATCGCAGGTTATCCATATCGATGGCAACGTCAATGCAACACTTATCGCCCTGTTTGGCCAGGGCACGAGTCGCTCACTCAGCTGGCGACAGTTATGCTACAGCTTTCTCCTCTGGGTCTTTCATCGCATAGTCAAAGTTTTGCTTTTGTCGACTTTTTCTTCCAGAGGCTCAAGTCTTATGGCCATTTTTGTTCAGAGTCTGCTGGCTGAGCTACTACTATCAATGCTGAAGATAGCCAACGTCCATGTGATGAGCCGTCATGCCTTCAAACCGGGATATCAAAGCGACTCAGCCTTCGGGCACGTTTTCCGTGTTTCTACATGTTCGAGCACCTTTCCAGCAGCTCTTCTGTACAGCACATGCTCAGCCTTGTGCTTCTACCTTCCAATTCAAGTCGGCCGCGTCATTTTCTTTAGCAATAAAATTCCCGAAACGCACTTTGTTTTGAAGGCCACTGTTCTGCTGTCCCTGGTCACAATTCTTTATTTTGGCTGTGTGGTTCCATCATACGCTATCTTTATCAGGGTTACGGGGCTATCAATGCCTTTGCAAAAGCGATGGGTCACAAATCCAGCTGAATATTCGAATTTGTCTGCAGCATGGCGAAGCTTCACTGATCCGGCTCGTTCTGCTTATTTCAGAACGTTGGCTCATGTACTAGCCATGGAAGTAGGCCTGAGCTTCATCGTCATAACTTATACTTTCGTTCTATTTCATCCAGCTCTACATCAAGATGTTGCGATGCTTTTTGTGAAATTTGCTGGATGACTCAAAATTCTGGGCGGCTTGAAATTGGAGGTTGTGAGTCCACTAGCGCTCAAAGAACTACGTTCAATAAGCTGTTCTTCACTTTATGATCCGTCATGGAGACTAGCTTTGTCCAGCAAGTCTCCTGAGCGGACAAAACTTTCTCGGCGAAAGCGTCATCTTCGTTATATCTAATTTTCCTCTTACCTAGACCTAATGGGGTTCAAGTTAGTACAGATAGGATTGCTAGGGTTTGTACTTTTTTGCCAGGCATTTTATGACAATGATTAGATAATATGGTTATATAACCTTGGAAGCTTTAGAAGGGGTCCAAGGTGGGCTTGACGACTAATTTTTAGTGCTTATCAGCGGAGAAAGAGTCTATTTCAGCTAGAAACTGGCGACAAAAGTATGCATTTTGGTGAGGTTGTCAACAGGTGGATAATCCATGCATAAGGTTATGCCGAATATTTGTGCCAATCACAACGCGGCATCAGGTCCGGACCTCATGAAATCCTTCTTCACTCTCAACCCTACACCACCAATGTCATCAGTGTCATCAGTAGAAAAGAAACGGCTTCGAGATCGCCGGTCGCAACAGACTCTTCGCGACAAAAAGTTACGGCACGCAGCGGTTCTCAAAGAACAAGTGGACCATTGTGTGCAGTACCACGATGACCAAGGCGTGCAACGACTTCTTCGAGTGATCAGCGGACTTCGCGAACAAAATGAAGCTTTGATAGACCGCCAAACCAGATTAAAAACACTAGTCACTTCCTGGGATAGAGATGGCGAGTCTCTGCCAAGTGACAATCGATCTAACCAAACCGGGGCCTGTCTCTACAAGGAAATAGGCAACCAAGAGCCTCAATTTCTACAACCCAAACGTGATCAAGATTGCCATCCTCACTCGACAAGAGCAAGTGAGCAGACGGATCCTTTCTTAGCCACACCGACAATATCCCCCCACACAGAGTCACCAACAGAATCACCACCAGCAAACAAACCCTCACCATGGAATCAGATCCCACTACACAGCGATGACTTCAGCAGAGTACAAACAATCGTCTCGTGCCCTTGGTTTGCCTACCCAGAGAAAATAATTCCATGTCCTGATATCCCGTCATCCGCCCTGGACATTCTCTACGGCACAAAAACCAACCCACTAGCCGATATGATCCACACAGCTCTCCAAAGACGTCCAATCCGAGACCCGGAGCGTTTATCGATTGGCTGGCTTGCCTACCATGCCACAAGGTGGATCGTATCACCCAGTCCAGCAACTTATGAACGACTGCCTGTATTCCTGAGACCAATGAAGGAGCAGTTACAAGTTCCACATCCTGTCGTGTTGGACTTGATGCCGTGGCCGAAGCTTCGATTGAACCTTATGAATAGATGGAATTTCTATTACAAAGACCGCGACGAACTGTTTGGAATGTTCGCATGTTGTGTGAAGATCCGTTGGCCGTGGGGAGAGGATATCCTCGAGCGGAACGAAGACAATGAATTGGTCATGAAGCCTCAGTTTTATGAGACTTTCATGAGTGAGCGTGGGTGGGGCATCACTCCGGAGTTTATTGCGAGGTACCCGGATCTTTTTGCTGGGATTGATATCAACTCTATCGTTGTTGAGCTCGTGTAAGAGTACCTTGCGATATGAATACACTTGAAATCTAACCTACGCCCTCACCTGATGGTATTCGACTAGACTTTAATATAAGAAGTTCGGAATTTCGAGAATTGACCCGGGAAGATCGAAATATAGTTTTCGTACTGTGAGTAACTCGAATTCAGAGCCATGAGATGAAAGAGGCGCAGAAGAGAGTATCCTCATAGATTCTCTGCTTGATGAGTGAATGCTACAGGGATATTAGAGCCGACAGAGAGCGCTATTTTCTTTTGGACTACAGTACATTTCGTATCTCCAATCACACTGTTTCAATATTCAGACGGACATTGGCAACTTCGCATTCAAGCTTGAGAGCGTCAAAAACATCACCTAGCTCCTCCTCCTCATCCTCGCGACAAATACCTAGCGTCAATATTTGAAGATTCATTGAATGATCCCCGACACGCAAAAGCTTCAAAAGTCCTGACGAGAGCTCGGGACAGTGATCGACGATCACGTCTGTGATTTCCAGCTCCACGAGAGAATGAGGCAGGATTTCCGTAAGTGGCTTCGATTCCCAATCCCGAACGGAGTCATCGGGCGATTCAACCAGATGATCATGTCGGACTGTAAGTGTTTCAAGAACAGTAAAGTCTTTCAACGACTCGAACGGAGTCTCAGCCACATCTTTTTCGTCTATCACTTGACTCGTGTACGCATCTCCATAACGAATGCGTAGAGTCTGTAGAGTGGTCGTAAAAGGAAGAAGAGCCAATCGAAATTTCGAAGCATCGAACTGCTCCTCCTCAGCGAGGTCGTATTCATCTGCTTGGATCTCGACCGTGATGGAAATATGCTCAAGATGTGTACAGACTGCGAGCCAGTCCAGCATACCGCGACACCAGTAGCCCTCTTCCACGGTAATATCCCGCACAGGGCACAGATCCCGGTGCCTTGGGAGGTCCATACCTCCTTCATTTTTATTTTTCTGCTCGCCGATTGCGGTTCCGTAGATCCTGCGGACGCCAGAGAAAGAAAAGAAAGGCTTTAGAAATTCCGAGTCAATCCATGAAGCCCCCCAGGCGACACATGCTCGGACCTCTTGTAAGTGAGGGAACAGTGGCTCCTTGTGAAATGGCTGCTGGTGTTTCGCTGCTTTGAGCAGGATATCGGATATGAGTTCTGTATGTTCATGCTGGAACTCGAGGATTCGGAGGTTTGTTAGTCGGACAAGTAATAGACCCAGCCATGCTTCGCCACATAGTCCCTCCTCTCCGTGAAGATGCTCTTCCCATAATTCCTTGGACTCTTGCTCTTCCGCGGTGAAAATCTCTTCCAGCGCTTGCTCGACGAAAGCTTGCATTTCATCGTTCAGTTCTAGTGGATCATGCTGGTCACATTGGGACCAGCATAAGTCGAGCCGGTGGACTTGTTTGGCGAGCTCTGGTTGTCTCCATATACGCATGATGAAGCCGATGAATGCCTCTGAGAAATTGTCGGAAGAAATGTAGGAGTACATTAAAGGCTGAAATAGATTGTGAAATCGTCGGCAGCTAAGGCTTAGCGAGTGCAATGAAGACTGACCACCGATGCCTGCTTGGGTGTGCTTCCCGATAGCTAGAAGAATTTCATTTGGAAGTCGATCCATGTTGTGGGGAAGTGTACACTGATGTTTGACGGCTTTGTTAAATCGTTATACTGAAAAAGATGAGAGAGCGATCTGCCCAGGTCTTTTAACTAGTCCAGATATTAAACTAAGCCCTTTCCAGTGCTTCTCATTTTCTGTTTCAGGTCAAACCGTGGATCGCATCTTGGCGTTCAAGCTTACCTAGGTATCGTCTTCAGCAGTGGGGTTTTGATACTGCGTTGGGGGTAGATGTGCGAATGGCTGGGGTTTGTAGAAAGTCAGTCCATCAATAGACCAAAAAAACGCCCTAGTTAATCTAGTAGCGGATAGTGAAGGGAAGATCTGTCTTCTTAGTTGAGACTTTTCCCCTTGGCTGCCTGGACGGTGGGTCTACGAACTAACACATCACATTTTGAATTCTCTTGGTATTTCGCACCCCCAAAACATCTCCGGTGATACATTTGTCCGCAGAGTCTCTGGTGGTAGCATGAAAAGAGTCTCACTGGCAGATGTGCTTGCTGTGAACCCTGCCATTGCCTCCTGGGACAATCCAATCCGTAGATCAGATAGTTCCTCGGCAGTAAATTTCATTCTTCTTCTTTCTGATATGGGCCATGAGACTGGAATGGCGAATGCGGTCTCTTTTTGTCAGTCATAAGATAAGTTACAATAGAAAAAGCGGTCTTTACCTACAGTCTAATACCCTAAGGAATAGAGTTAGAAATAAAACATACAGTTTAGTCACACGGACCTACCTAGTTAACATTGTTTATCAACCAATTACGACCCTAAGAACCCACCGCAATGGTTTCTGGAACTGGCCCTAAAACCTAACCCTTTTGCAGTATGGGTATGGGTATGGGTCGGGTTGGCTTTACGGGTTTGCGGTTTCTAGTGCACTCTAGTCACAGCAGTCGGGAATATTAATTTTATTTAACGTTGCTCGTATCATATCAGCCGCCACCATTCTAGCGACTGTGTGACTTTTCTAGAAGTTTAGAAATGTCCCCTCTTTTGACGGGCTTGATGATGAAATCATCAATACCAGAAGCGCTCGCTTCTTTCTGGGCAGCTTCGCCCCCAAGCCCTGTCAAGGCGACGATAGTTAGGGGAGGCAAAAGCTGGTTTGAAGCTCGGTAATCCCTCTCAAAGGCACGAATCTGACGGGCAGCTTCGAAGCCATCCATGACGGGCATTGACATATCTGGTTTTGTTAGTACTCGTAGCAAGATGGTCGGAAGAAAAGAAACATACCGAGAATGATGACTCGGAAATGGTCGGGGTGCGCCTTGTAAACATCGACAGCCTCGGCCCCATTGCGAGCGGTCATGTATTCGTAAGTAGTTTTTTTCGTGAAGGCGCACAGTAGTTGAAGATTTAGGTCGTTGTCATCCACCAGAAGAACAGATGGCGCAGAGGCATTAGGCTCCTCATGCTCCCCATTCACATCCTTCACACCGTTCGCGGGGGAGGTCGACTGCGGTGATCTTTGGGTTGATTGATCGCGACTCTTTCCAATCGAGTATTGATGTGGACTTTTCTCTCGAGTATCCATCGTCTCCATCGTTGGTCGCTTGCTGAGTTTCATCCGCTCGGAGGGTGGATCAGAGGACTCGAGATCGACTGGCAAATGAGACAATTCCGGAAGTTCGACCCAACGAGTCGGCTCAGCTGGGCTAGATTGACCAGATGAGGAGTCGCGCTGGCGCTTGACACACAGGTTTAGTGCCCGGGCCAGTTTGCGCGGCCCACAAGGCTGGCTGATGAATTCAAACACAGGTGCTTCTTCAAAGTTCTTCGTCATTATAAACATGTGGTGCGCTTCCTCAGGTGACTGGCAAATGACGACGACCGGCGAGCCGTTGCCGTCTGTGCTGTGTAGATGTTTCCCGAGGGCGAAAATATCTCTACCTCCTATGTCTTCAGAGTCCAGCTCGGTCTGCACGGCCAAATAGAAGTCCAAGGGAAGAGGCTCGCCGTGGACGCATGACACGTTTGTCACAGTCAAGCCAAACCAGTCGTGACACAATTGCTCGAGGGATCCATACAAGAACTTGTCCCGTTGAGAATTAAGAGATGATCCAAAACCTAGGAGCCCGATTGTCCGTCCCTGCGTATAGTTCAAGATGGACTGGAATTCCGTCCTTGAAGAAGCATCGTCTGAGTTGTCGAGGGAGCGTTCGAGAGGCGTGCGGATCAAAATTTCAGTGCCGACTCCCTGAGAAGAACTGATTTCAATCGAGCCACCAAGTGAGCCAACAGCTTGGTGGACAATACTGAGCCCCAGCCCACTCCCAGACATGAATGAATCTTCCTGCATGAAGGGCTGGAAGAGATTCTTCTGCAAATATTCAGATCCAATACCCTTGCCGGTGTCTTTAACAGTGAGAGTGACCTCAAATTTGGCCTCTTGGTCTTCTAATGAGTCGGGAGGCTGTGATTTTCCACCGCATGGCTCGGTGATTTCACGAGACTTCAGTCCAATATAGATATAGCCCGACTGTGTATATTTGAGCGCATTACCAAAGATGTTCATCAAAAGACGACGCCAGGCACCAGCGTGCGTATTGAAATCCCACTCCGTATGAGGTTGAATATCGAAAATGATTGTGAGCTCCCTGGCCCGTGGGCCAACCTGGTCGAACCCGCTGGTTTGACCTGCCGAGCGTGATGAAGAATCAGTCAAGGCAGGGGGTGGCATCTTAGGGTGATTGTAGAAACTGTATCCGGCAAAAACAGATTCAGCAACTTCCTCGAGCACCGAATCAAGCTTGACATGCGAAGTTGCAGGCTTTTCACTGCGGTCTTTGCTTTTTTCATTTCTTGCTTTCTTGTTGGCGGGTAATAACTTATTTTCTGACTTCTTGCGCTCGAGATTCCTATTTTGGCCAAGGAAAGCGAGATCGAGCAAATTATTGATGGTGTCCAGAAGTGTGCGGCCACAAGATTCAATTGTGTGGACCATTCCTTGTTGTAAGGCATTCATGGCGGTATCACTGAGAATGTCCGCAGTGCCCAAAATACCATGCAGTGGTGTTCGTAGCTCGTGAGTTATACTGCTGAGTAGCCTGGTTTTGGCCTTGTCTGCCATCTCCACATCGAGACGATTGATTTCGGCCATGATGCTATTTGCGAAGGCTGAAACATACATCAGCTCGTTCTCGAATGTAAATACAAGTTCTGGGTCATTGGTCCAGACCAAGGTACCAGCAAAACACCTTCGTTTGTCCGAATCCCAGATCGGCAGCAGTAGAATACTCCTGGCTTGAGGGAAATTTTTGATCAGGTGTTCAGCGTCTTTTTGGAAGCTTGATCTGCTCTTCTTCATACTTGACGGCCTTGGCGGATCGAGTTGGAATGTGGATCTGGTGTTTCCCGTGTGCTGCCGTCGCTCTCATCAGAGACGGCTTTGTTCGCATCGTAGGTAAATATCTTTCCACGGGGGTATCGGCGAAGGAGTTTAGTGAACAGATTTTCATGCACCATAGATGGCGGGCCAGTCATTGTATCACTGTTGATGGACGACCTCGACGAGTTTGAAAAACCTAAGCATAAAGACAAAGGCGAAGTGTCTTCCTCTGCATCCGATATAGTGGATGTAGAATCAAGGTTTGTCGGCGAATTCGATTTGGTACTTTCATCACTGCTTGATGGATCACTTGAAATCCCAGGATCCGACATTCTGTGACCGTTTTGATCACCGGTTCTTCCAAAACGCTCGCTTTGTGCATCAAGGAAGATTACACCCTCGGTCCCTATCGACTCTCTGATCAAGTTTGCTGCTCTTGAGAAGACTTGCATGATGCATTTGTATGCATTTCTTCTTGTGGACTTTCACAGTTTATCACGCTTCTGACTGTCTCATCCTTGGGTACAACCTCTACGCCAGACTTTGACTTTTGACTAGGATGCGGACCCCAACCACTCTGCCTTGGTCCCGCTTTCGTGGGGGTTTCGGTCGGTCTAGGACCTCGAGAGACAAGCGGAGTTGATTCGTCTCTTGCTTGTCCTGTAGACGCTGTTGCTGAATGTTGGCCTGGCCCTCTTTCGTATCACTAGGGTTATTTAGAGCATTCTCCTGCTGCCAGGCATGACGAAGGGTAGATTTCCCCTCGTTGAAACTGCCCAAGCCGACAAGCATTCGTTCGGCCTGGCGACTTTTGTGGGTGGAATGGCCCATCACCAGATGTTTCATCGTGGCCCTGGCCAGATCCTTCATAAAGCGAATCAAGTGCTCTGGAAGAGTCGAGGTTCTAGCCTCGTCATCCATCACACTGAGGCAACCAACCGTGAGCCCTTTCGGGCTGATCAGAGGTACCGCGGCAAAGAAACGGACAGTCGACAGTACTTGTAAAAGCTCGCTGTCCTTGATCCGTGAGTCATTCTTCACGTCCCCAACAACCAGGGCGCCACCCTCCACTGACTCACCCCCTTCCATGCAGGCGGAGATAGGCAGACCCTCAACATGGTGACATAGACCTCGTTCTTTCGGAAGCAAGCAGCTCCCCAATAGCATCTTATCGCATTCATTTTCGGGAGTGCCACCGACAAGGCTCAATGACGGAGTACCCTCCGCGATGATATGCTGGTAGTAGCGATCAAAGAGAGTGATGAGCGCTCGTTGGGTTCCGAGACGGATTGCTGCGAGCTGGGCAAACGAAGTAAAGGCTGGGTCCGGCGAGGGCTGAGGTGTATATTTCTGTCGACTAGCATGATCGAAAGAAGCGAACTGTGAGGCCGAATATTCTCGCGGTATATACCTGTCGCGGGGGGACCAACCGATCAGCGATCTGGACACATCCTATGACGTATTGGTTTCCTTACTTGCGAAACTCGCGTTCCTGTGCCAGACGGTAGCGCTGACCTGAATCACCCTCCACAATCGCTGTCATACTAGACAGATTAAAGACTTGATCTAGACGTGGTTATGTTAAAGTCTAGAGAATCGGTTTTACACGGGTCTGAGAAAAAGTCTGGTGTGGTATAAAAGCAGGTTTTCTACAACACAATGGCCAGGTTCAATGAACCCGACCAATCAGAGAGGCCTCTCGTACTCGATCCGTTCGGGACCTTTTGGCTAGGATTACTCTACAGTATATGGTTAATGTCGGGAAACGAAATACTTCTTTCCATGGGGATACTCGGTACAAATAAAACCATTTAACTTGTAAAGCAATCTCCAAGCTAGAAGATTAAGCACTTTTGATTCAAACGGAAACACTTACACGGAGAAACTGTCCAAGTTGAGCAACTTGACAATACAGATGTTGGCAGAACGGCGTCAGAGATCCCACCGCCCGCCAAATATGGTATTTCCAGACACCGCCTTTCCCCGATGCTGAGCCTCTCGCTTTTCCAACTCGGCGGATATTCAATGACCGATAATACCCATTATCACAATATGATTTTCCGACGTCCACATGCCAAGAGACAATGCAAGTGTCTGGCTGATGCCCATAAATTGGAACCAGTACATTCCTGGTTCATGTGTTCTAATTAAGTAAGAAGAGCGAGGAGGTATACGATACATGTGCGTGGGTGGGATTCATTTACACTGACCCCACGTTGAAAACGATATACAGCTGACCACTACTATAAAACGATAGATAGTACTGAAGGTTGTCTCCCTACAATTAGAGTGATTCTTTCGCCGTCGCAGAGGTTGCAGCTCTTTTCAAAAAAGAGGAGTGCGATGATCAAAGAAAGTCTATAAGCGAATCAACCATAAAAGATTTCATTATGTCTTCGAGACGTACAACCAGCGTCCTCTATGGGACTACATCGATCACACAAGAATATCATCGGATTCGCCCAACATAAAAGGGATTCGGGCCGCCTAAAGGGCTCTAAAATTAAGTTTAAGGGAGCTCAACTAGGAAGCGATAGTGTTAGCGGGGTTTTAAAAGCCTAAGACAGCAACAGCGAATATGCCATACAGTAGAGTACATCTCGGACGTTTATTGATGTGGAGAGACGAATGGAGGACGGTGATTGGTCAATATAGGAATGTGTATCTTACAGTGCCGTAAACACCCTGTAGACAAGTTTCACACAATCCGGCGGAAGCCCTAGTATATACTGCTTGGTATGTGTCCTACCGCAAAAGAAAGGCCAACAGTCAATATCTCCTTTAAGAAGCCATACTTATGCAGGGCATTAAAATTAACATAAGGTTGTGATACGAACGGGCCCCCTATGGAACCGGGGCCACCGATGATTCAGCGCCGAGAAATCGAAGCTGTTTGGTGATTTTGATTGGCTCACGGTAGATGTAAGTAAACCGCTGATTCATTGCTTGGGGTTTATGTTCATCTATGGATGCACTATGCATATCGAGATTATTTGTCCCAAGGGAGTAAGCCTTGCTGCTTGTACAAGTTTCTCGACTCTTCTATGAGAAGTTATAATTTATAAATCGGTAGAACAACCACGTTGCCAGTCTGGCCAAAAAAATAGCTCGGCCATACTCGATTGCAACTCCATGAAGGCGAGTACCCCTTTCATCTGTGACTGATTGCAGACTGGAGTTTCGTAATTAGAGACCCACATCTAAATTCTGCATATTATGAAGCAAATTTATGAATCCAGGATCCGATAGACCACGCGGCCGCTTTGGGGTAGACAATCTCCAAAGCGAGCCCTGTACAGTAGCGCATAATTCGAAGAATCGGATGTCGCCTCCGTGCTGATCAGGTTGAACCCACTCCTGTAACTTTTATAGCTGATCGCTTGTCCGTTTCTTTTATTTCCCTTTTTCTAGAACTATTCGCCCTCCTCATCCTTGGCGTGTTCATCCATTGCCTTTCTAGAATCCTTTCCAATACGCCAAGAGTTCTTTCTATGCCCATCTTCAATTTACACAACATTTCTATCTAATAATGGAGGCGCCTCAAAAAGAGTCCAACTCCAACTACTCGAGTGTGAAAGATGCAGACAGTGTCTTACAACAAACCCCCGACATTGAAAAGCTACCAACCAATCCTGAGACAACACCACCTACCACAGACCAATACCCCGAGACAGATCTGAGCCGTGGAATAGTCGGATGGGACGGACAAGATGATCCCAACAACCCGCAGAACTTTTCAGATGGCAAGAAATGGGCCCTGCTCACACTTATCAGTGCCATGACGCTGGTCTCGCCCCTAGCCTCGAGTATGTTTTCCCCAGCCATTACATTCATGGCAGCAGAGTTCAAAGAGACCAATGAGACGATACTCTCATTTAGTGTTAGCATCTACCTCCTCGGTTATACAGTGAGTCTATTCCCATCAATTGAGGGTATCAGTGGCCAAAAAGAAAAACCATCTAACATATCTGCCCGTCAACAGTTTGGCCCTCTTCTTTTGGCCCCGCTTAGTGAAGTCTATGGCCGCCGTGTCGTTCTCAGTGGCGCAAACTGGTTCTTCGTCGTCTGGCAGATTGGCTGCGCTCTCGCTCAAAACATCGAAACCCTGATTGTGTGCCGTCTCTTCGCTGGAATTGGTGGTTCGGGCTGTCTCACCCTCGGGGCTGGAGTAATTGCAGATCTATTTCCCCGCGAAAAGCGTGGAATGGCAACTTCAATCTGGGCCATGGGACCTCTGATTGGCCCTGTCGTTGGTCCGATTGCAGGTGGATTCCTTGGAGAGGAAGTTGGCTGGCGATGGGTGTTCTGGCTGTTGCTCATTGCTGGAGGTGTCCTGTCCTTCGGCGTGGAGCTCTTAAATAAGGAGACATATGCTTCTGTTCTTATTCGATGGAAAAAGGACAAACTTGCCAAGGAGCTCGGTCGCACTGATTTACGCAGCGCCTATGATCTCGATGAAGAACCTGCCCCTGTGACGGAGGTTCTGCTGCGGAGCTTCAAGAGACCCATTTTGCTGTTTTGCAAATCGCCAATTGTCTTCCTGCTGTCGACATACATGGTGAGTTTGATGATCATAAGATGCATGAGTTATATATCACTGACATTTCATCCAGTCTTTCGTGTATGGTCTTTTGTACCTCTTTTTCACAACCATTTCCGATGTTTTTACCAGCACTTACGGTTGGTCAGTCGGACTATCTGGGCTTGCATACCTTGGTATCGGACTCGGCTTTTTCAGCGGCTTGCTGATAATTGCCCTTACGAACGACAAAGTCGTGATGAGACTGACCGCTCAGAATGGCGGGAAATTCGAACCAGAGATGCGTCTGCCAATGATGACATTCTTTGCCTGCATATTGCCGGTCAGCTTCTTCTGGTATGGATGGACCGCTGACAAGCACGTCTTTTGGATCGTGCCTATTATTGGCATGATGCCGTTTGGAGTCGGTATGATGGGTGTTTATATGCCGATCCAGACTTATGTGATTGATTGTTATCCTGCATATGCGGCATCAGCTAATGCTACCCTCACGGCGACCAGATCGCTTGTTGGTGCGATGCTGCCGCTTGCTGGTCCTGCGATGTTTGATGCTCTTGGGCTGGGATGGGGAAACTCGCTGCTTGGGTTTGTTGCCTTGGCTTTTATACCTGTGCCGATTATCTTTACCAAGTATGGAAAGAATATTCGAGAGAGATGGCCTGTTAATCTTGATGGAAAGAAGTCTTGACTTTCAACAATGGGGCACTAGAGAAAAATACAGGGGACAATTATTTGATCGTGTCATAGAGATGGGAAAAAAACAGTCAGCCTACAAGAAATATATAGAACTATAGAATTTAATACATATTTACTGGAAATTTCTTCTGTTGCTTGTATATTGACATATTTTCGTTCCAGCGGAGAAATTGATACACCCTAGAGCTCAATGAACCCCATCTTTGACACAGTTCTTTAAATAAGCACCTCGTTCATACAATTACAACCGCCGCGCCATCCCCTCTACTTTCACTTTTTCTCGCCTTTTCTACTTTGCTTCGATTCTCTGTCACTTAGCCTCACCTCTAGCGTGAAGATCAATCAATTGAAGCGAGATGTACGTAAGGTTTATTAAAAAAAATTATAATCATATAATCGCAGTGCTATTCTATATCCGGAGTGGGGAATCAGGAAGCAAAAAAGAATGGACTCGCGGGGAATCGAACCCCGGACCACTCCCATGCTAAGGGAGTATTATACCACTAAACCACAAGCCCATTGGATGACATCAGAGTTGAGAAGACCCAAATATATACAAAAGGCTTGACCTTGGGAGGCTAGAGCCGTATGGCGCATGAATAGACTGCGGTTCTCATGCGATCAGGTCCGCTACCAATGTCATACATATTAACTTATATAAACTTGGAAGCTCTGTCTCATACCACCCGGGCCATTGAGTCCTCTTATTTAAAAACCACAACGGCAAGTATCGTATCATGGCCAACTGCTTGCTACCATGCAAGGTATCGACATGGCAGGAGCTACATGGGTTGAGGCTGAACGTCCAGTATTCGAAATATACTCGTCGAGGATAAAGACAAGTATCTTTCTATTCTGGAGTTTTCAGAAAAAAGTCTGAAATGATCCAAGTTGCATATAATTGGGGAACAAACAAATTCAAAGAAGTACAACACAAACATAGGGTTGCACAGTGTTCTAATGAAGTATTCGATAACCGCTAGCCCAAAGCCTGAATGTGAAGCCAAGTAAGGTCAGGAAAAGAGCGAGGATAGCGAATAAGAAGCGTCACGGTAGATGTCGCTCAGGGTCTATAGGGCTTATCGCTTATCGTCTCCGCTCGACTTCCCATTTCTTTCCTCCTCCTCCACCTCCTCCCTCATCGCCAGCTGTCAATTCCCCAGGGCGTGTTGTGTGCTTGCTAGCAGCATCATCTTGTACAGGTAAGATACAAACATCACCGGTGATACGCCAAGCCTACGCTGACATCTCACCCCGCAGTAATCCTGCTGCCTTCAACCCACGAGCCATCGTTATCTTATCACAGCATGGGCATTTGGATTTACCGGTACTTGCATACCTTTTAGGCCGCTGCATTTGTGTCTCAATTGCCTCTGGCTCCTCCACAATGGACCAGGAGGAGGCTCCCCCACCCCCATACTCCGCTGTCGATCCACTCATTACACCAGCCCGGAATGGCAACCCAGCACCGGCTCCCCCTCGGGGAGGGGTATCGGAATCGCAGGATGCCAGCAGCTCGCGAATACCTCCACAGCCGGCAGTAGTCCCGACACATTTCAGATCCGCCTCTACATACTTTGAGGAACGACCACCGTCGAGCCTCGATGACCCTCGGGATATTTTACAACATCATATCACCATCTACCCACGAAGCCAAGCGAAGGATTTTCCGCGAAGGCCGCGCTGCTGGGCGTCACGACTTGATGAAGTCACTCAGCAGGACTGGGATACTTTTCTTCGATATCTGTTCCCGCCTGAATTAGGTCTTGCCGCTTCATCGCAGCATCTTCCACGCCAGTTGCGTGCGGAGATTCGGCGGGACCGCAAGGACCGCCCACAGGAGACTGACGAACAGCGGAAAGCTCGGATTGCTGCTGTTGTTGCTGAATGGAATGAGTGCTTCTTTGGATATCGCTCTACCCAGATTGTTCCTGTCTATGTAGGCGAACCGGATAATGCACCTTCGTCCGGTCTATGCCATAGATGTTACCCTGCTGCAACAGGGTCTATAGACAGTCAACCCCCGCGGAATCAAAACGCTCCGTCGCCTGTCTCTGGCCAACAAAATCCCTCCCCGACACATTGGCAGCCTGCTCCTTATCACTCTCCTCCCGTGCATGCCCCCCACTCTCCATATGGAGTACCGTATGGTGCTCCCACATACCCTTCCCCCATGTCACCTAATCATCAACCACCTCAATATTATCCCGTCCCATATCATCCACCACCACAGAGCGTCGCTCCATGGCAATGGAACAATTGGAACTACGCACAGCAACAGCAGCAGAATTCTAACAATGGCATGTCCAAGGGCGGATCCCTTGGCTGGATATCACAACTCGCATCACAAGCTCAGAAATACGGAGAGCGTTTCAGTGAACAAGCTCAACAATACGGAGATCAGATCAGCGCGCAGGCACAACATTATGGGCGTCAAGTTGAGGAACAGGCCCTAGCCCATGGCCGGTGGCTGGAAGAACAAGCAAGACTTCACGGACGAAAAGCGCCAATGACGGCTCCAAGTGGATATTACGGCCGACCCGCCTGGGATAATCCCCCTCAGCATGCGGTCAACGTTCCAATGAGTCCTGTGCAGCATCCCAGCCCAAGCCCCGCGACGAGTGTCAATACCAGCGCAAGTCGCCCAGGTCCAACGAAAGAAGCTATTGACAAATCTAAACCGTCTACTGAGCGCTCCAGGCGAGGGTCTGTTGATTCTGTCTCGTCCGAATCATCCTTCAGTTCAATTGATTCCATTTCCACGTCCTCAAATTTGAGTGTTTCCGACCTGGCCACAGTTCGCACTCAACTAGAGCTTCTGGATGACCGGCACGACCGAACGTTATACGATGCAGCCGTGGCGCTTCGTCAACAGCTCACAGCTCTCCAAACATCCCGCCGAGAAGACAAAATATCAGGCCGGAAGGATTGGAGAAAGCAGGGCCAAGAATCCAACAGCGACTGGGGCCGTTGGGAATCACCTGAACAGCAAGAGCGAACCTCTGTCGATAGACGCGCCATGAAGGATGAAATGCGTGCTACCAAAAAGGTATTCAAAGACGTGCTTCGCCGGGCCAGAGAAGAACAGCGCGAACGACGTCGACTCCACCGCCGACAAGTTCGACAAGCAAGGGCTAGCGAGGGCGACCAGCCAAAAAACGACCAGCCTTTGGAACAGCAGCTCGGTATTTTGCGGTTGGATGGCACACCTGTGGTCCCCCGCCCAGCAACTACCCCAGCCCAGCCAACCCAGGTTGCAGCTTCAAATGCATCCATTGCCAGTTTTGAATCTGAGTCCAATCCGCCGTCTATGTTAAGGGCTAGTACGCAGGATTTTGCAACTGGTACGAATAAGAAGACGAAGCCTACTGATACTTCCAGTCGGATAAAGGATCTGCTCAAGTCACGCAAGGCGAAAAAGAAGCAGAAGAATGAGGAAGCTGATGGAGAATCCAAGTGATTACTTTCAGGTCGGTGTTTCTCTTGTTTGACTTTTGGTGATGCTGTTAGCTGGGAGTTGGATACTTGGACAGCAGGACGGGCTTGTGATTTAACATTCGAGTATATAGCTATCATTTGAGATAATGGTCTGGTATGGCCAACGACGTTATGATACCATGTTCATACTTTCTTCCAATTCTTTACTGTTTGTAGTAGATCAGCTCAGACTTGTGCTCGAAAGACAACAAATGTCCTAGATCGATCCTACCACAACCAAACTACAAACATCTACAATCCAAACCAAAACCACAAGACAATCATGAAACTTTTATGCAAACTCTATACATACAACCCCGACACAACAACCCCAATCTATCCCGAAGATTCAAGATCCAAGATCCAATCCCCACACCAAGCATCACCTCTCAAACACCCCATCCAAGCCACCTCATTGACTCTCATTCTTCTCCACCAAATCACCAACACCAAGCCCCCTCCCAACCTTAACCCGAATCATCTTCTCAGCATCCTTCTTACCAAGCTCACCAACCTCATCACCCTCATCAACATTCTCATCATCCCCACCCTCCCCATTCCCATTCTCCTTATCATTCTCGCGATCCCGCTTCTCAATCGCCTTCCAATCAAGCCACATACTCTGCAAGTTCAAGTGCATGGCATACGCATCCTCGCCGTCCGCATAGTACCCACTCTCGACCTTCTCGACCTCAAAGCCAAGCGTATCACGGTACAGACGCAAAGCCGCGACGTTGGACACACGCACGTGCAGCGAGACAAAATTGGCGCGGTGGGATTCGGCCATTGCTCTCTCTATTTGCGGTGAACGAGTTGGTTAGATAGGGAACAGAAAAAACAAAGGGAAAATAGAAAAAAAAAAGAAACTCACGGCTCATCCTCATCAACCTCTCGGCAATACCCAGCCGACGATGCGTCCGCATCACACTCAACGAAGTAATGTGCCCATGCTGCTTCCCGTCCGTGGGCTCCTCTTCCATCTTTGCAAGCACGTACCCCACCACCTTGGGATACTCGCCGGAGACATCACCGGCGAGACCAGCACCCCCGGGCCCCGTGGATGCCTTGTAGCCGGCGCGCGGGCGGACGACCGCGACGAAGCTTAGTTGGGGCCATGTCAGAGCGTGGTAGAGGTAGTACTTTAAGAAGTAGTTTTCGGGGAGGTTTGTGATGTTGCAGGTTTGGATTGAGGGGAGGAGGTCGATGTAGGAGGGGTAGCTTGAGAGGGGGACGATGTCGACCATTTTGGCGGGTTGGGGGTGGAGTTGGATTGGGATGGGAGGTTTGGGGCGCGTTTCTTCGCTGTTGTTGTATGGTAGGAGCACCCTGGTTTCGGGGGGAGGTGATTGGGTTCGCTGGGGGTGTTGGTTTGATGTCGGGTTGGTTTGCGGTGGGGAGGTCATGTGATGTTGTTGGCTCCGAGGTTTGGAGGGTTTGTATGTGTTGCTTTGATTTCAGTTGGAGCTAGATGGGGGTTTCTTTTGTCAGGCTGGGTAATTGCTATTTGTTGGGAGTTTGTTCTGAAATTTAAATATGTATAATTGTTCTCTAAAGTCATATCCAGTACAGTATAGTATAATATGTATGGTCCAGAAAGAAAGCCTAGCGCCGAAGACCAATGCGGTCATGCCAAAATATCAAGCAAATAGTCATAGACATCGTGGGAATTAGAATGCGGACATGATCATCTGCACTCCAACTGCCACCAGCAGCAACGACGACACACTGGCAACGGAGACTCCGCGCGGCGCAGCAGATTTTGTACCACAGCACTTCCCGTTCCAGGTGACGTTGTTCATATTGGCAGCGACTTCAAAGACAGTGCCATTAGGGGTACCGTAGTTGTAGTAGTCGACCAAGAGGAAGTTAGGAGGGCGGTCCCATGTCTCTGTTTTGGGTTAGTATAGTTCAGGCTCAGGACATGCAAAAGCAAGTCACTTACCGGTACAGTTCTCTGCCATCGAGCCAAGACTGCCCTCGCCAGAGACACCGTTGGTAACGTCCAGCTCGGCAGTGTTGGGAATCAACAAACTCAGTGAGCCAAAGTTCAACTGCAGGTTGAGGTTGTGATTGGCCATGTACATCCGGTTCTTGGCGTTTGCCTTGGACAGGCCGGGAGGGCGCTGCGCTGTGCAGGGGAAGTTTTTGTCTGTGGGGGAGAAAGGCGTCTCCCACATTTGGGAGAACTCATCCATCAACCAGGGAAGTGCGGTCTGATTAGCCTGGTAGTCCAAGAAAAAGACAGCACGCTTGCCTCTGAGGATCATATCAGAGAGAGTAGGCCAGTCGTTCAGAGCCATGGGCACCTTGGGTGGGGTGTAGATGAGGTCCTTCAGGCCCGAGTTGTAGATCGGAGTGGTGAAGTTCTCTGGGTTCACGTAGTCGTAGTTTCCAATCATAAAGGTCACCACATCATACGGGTTCTTCCGCATCCAGGCGCTGACCTGGGTAAGGTAGGCCTCGAGGGTGCCGACATTGAGCAATTCGCAAGTTGTGTGGCAGAGGTACATTGTACCGTTCTCGTAGTGAGTTTGGAATTGCACTATGAGAATGTTAGTATACTCAGATATTGTACTCGGGAGATTGCGGATCACTGACACATGCGAATACCATCATTCAATTGCGACGTCACATCCAACGCCTGGTTAGCAGCGACGTTGTTCTTGCGCACGAACGGACTGTTGTGAGCAGTCACCATGGTGATGTTCGAGTACTTCTTGGCGCAGAACTCTGCGTATCCGTTGCAAGGCCGGGTGTTGACCACCGGGGTGTTGGTAGCTGTGTTTGTGGCCGTCGTGGCTGTGGCATTCATGCTGTTATTGCCGAGAGTGGTAGTATGTCCACCGCCGGTCAATACAACAACCGAGTCAGTAGTCGTCGACACCACGGTGTGGTTTCCACTTGTCATGGTGGCATTGGAATGGACGGTGGTGGTGACCAGAGACGAGTCACCCAGCGTAATTGTTGTGCTCAAATCCTCATAGGTACCCGAGGGTATAGAGACAGGGGTGGTCACCGTCTCAACCGTGGATGCATCGGTAATGGTATTGGTGTTGCTTTCTGTGGTTGAGGTGCTGTCCTGAGCAGTCACCAAGCCTGCCAGGCACGCGATGAGGAGGGACCACCGCATTATGAAATGTACAAAGCCTTGAGGAGGGAGCAGAAGATCCAATGTCTAAGCCCTGCGAGATAAAAACCAGGGATTATCTAAGCAGGGTTGTGGAGATGACGCAGCCCACTTGGCCAGGGGGTCGATGAGCCAATAACCGTTTCATCAGTGGGGGGGAAAATCGCTGAAAGATGATGAAGGGGCTTGATGGCTGCCTGGAAACCGCAAATTTAGATCACTGCTAAGCCTCTGTTGTCCAGATGCTCCAGACGGTCCAGATTGTCTCGAATGTCTCAACTTGACCACTGTGCTGTCCCCCTACTTACCTCGCGATTCCTTGTTCTGCATTCCTGATATCTCGAATAAGCCTGATCGCCCACTGGAGACCAGGGGGCCCAGCGCTAGTGTTCAGCCACTGACGATCCCACGGGAGAGTTGGCGATCGGAGGAGATTTGTGTACAAAGTTTCCCGAAATCAGGTGTTGGCACGTCACCGAGCCTCTCTTCTCCCTCTTCCCTCTTCATTCTCCCATCCCTCGAGGCTATTGGGACTGTCACTCCTTTCCAACCATGACTGAGGGAACCGGCAAGCGAAAGCTCCCCTTTTTCCGCTCCTCCTCCCGCCCAATTGCCAACCGGCGCAAGTCCACCGTCCACACCCACCGTTTGATTCGGGCCTTCTTATACCTGATCGCTTGGATCTTTTTGGTCCTGGTGGTAATAGGCAATATTTCAAACAAGCCCGTTATCCGCAGTACCTACTTCCTCTATCTCGACCTCTCCAACATTATTCCAGTATCCGTGCCCAATGCCGTTCTGATCAATTCCATCGCCCAGTCCATTGGATTGCACGATTTCTATACTGTGGGACTATGGAACTTCTGTGAGGGATACCTGGGGCAGGGAATCACCCACTGCTCTAAGCCCGAGACTCTCTATGCCTTCAACCCGGTCGACATCATTCTCAATGAGTTGCTATCTGGCGCAAGTAGTACGTGCAGCCCCAATCGACTTGATCCCTTTTCCCCCTTTGATTTCCTTGGATACTAACAATCCCACCTAGTCGCTCTGCCATCTGATATCCAACAGCCGCTGAATCTGGCGCGTGTCGCTTCCCACTGGATGTTCGGCCTCCTCTTAGCTGCCGCGGTCCTCAACTTCGTCATGATCTTTGTAGGTCCATTGGCAGTTTCCTCGCGCCACCCTCAGACTATCAAGTACTGGGCCGCAGCGCACAATTCAGCCAACGGCAACGGGGAACACGTACCTGCCGGAAAACCCCCGCACAAGCGTCGCACCTTCATCTGGCTGCGCGCCTTGCCCCTGCTGATCCTGACCTTCTTCACTGCGCTGGTCACAATCGTTGGCTCGGCCGTTGCGACAGTTATGTTCGTTATTTTCGCGAATGTCTTCTCCAACGCCGACCAAAGCATCAACATCGAGGCGCACGTGGGAACCCAGATGCTCGTCTTCATGTGGATCGCATCCGCCTTCAGCTTGCTGGCATTCATCCTCCAAATCGGATCTTGCTGTGCTGCCTGTTGCCGCGGCCGCAAGGCCCGCAAGCAGCTCAAGTCGCAAGGTGTGAACTGGCACGAGAAGGGATCCATGCACACCAGCGGATCCGACGCCACACCCGCGGAGCACCGCGCCGTCTCTTCCGGCACTGACGTCCGCTCGAACGGAAATCAGCCCCAAGCCCAGGCACCGGCACCGGCATACAACGAGCATGACGTTAGCCCAATCGAGCCGAGTCACGACCACACATTTTCGAACCAACACACCGATGGAAACACTTTCTCTGAACACCACGCCTACTCGACTGAGCCTCACGCTATGTCGAAGTAATCCGGACACCTGTCCACTTTTTTTTTTTCTTTTTCCCCCCTCACTGGACAAGACTTCGATGTCCTCGACATCCGTCATATAAAACCACCAGCTTCTTTTGGACATTTACTCATATATCACCTGCCTGCTATACAGAACCATTATTTATAACTTGGACATACGGCATGGCTTACGATTTTGGTTTACTTTGGGCATGCAAGAACTGCCTGCTTATAGATTGGATTTTGTTAGAGCTTCTATTGAATATATCTCGTGTCTCTACAGTCTCCAATTACCTCGAATTAACCTCATACAATGTTAATGAAATCCACCTTCCCCACTGAGTACGCGTCAACCCGTTATTCTTAGCTCGTATTCGGCTCTTGGACCCAATTTTAATTGACCAGTCAAGCCAATGCCGATATTTCCGCTGATCCCCAACCTCCAACCCCGCTGGATCGTCGTGCTACTTCTATTCCAGCTATATGAAGTGGCAAGGCATGGGTTGGGATACCTTTGAGTGGGGCGATGATAACAGTGTTGGTTTTCTTGGTCTTTCATGATTAGTCTACAGTGCTGCACTCATTTTGAGATCATTCAATAGCTTCAGTTGCGTTGTTCTGAGCCTGTAGAACTAATTTCCTAGCTCGCAAGTAAAATGCATGCATAAGAGGCCTCTGAGATGACACAGAATTTTTTTCCATAGGAATTTCCCTGTCCAGCTGCTATATATCTGAGGGGAAACAATTATTTGAAGTGTAATTCCTCGACCTCTGGATTACTGTATATCCGGTTCCAAGGTTAGCTCCCCATTACCAGTCATGACACCTCCACCTTCCTACTTAGCCTTACAGCGATCTAGATAACATCAGCAAACGACTTTGCCGCCTTCGATCTTTCATCGGTGGTGATTGCCTATTTTACCTGCCTGCCTTCTCATTTCTTTCCCACTTCCCATCTTATCTTCTTATCCACCATGGACTTCCTTCGATCCATTCCGAACGTGTCCCAGTCTTCTTCTGAGCTCTCACCTTCTGAGTTCCCGTCCGTTGAATCCGAATATGAGGATCCTATTACGCAACTGGCGAGGGAAGCGAAGCAGCAGCCGTTCATCACTAAGGAGAGCTTACAAAAGTCCTTAGAACACCGTCAACGAGCGCTTCAGCAAGACCAAACTTGGGATCAGTACCTCGTCTTCACGTCTGTCCCCGCGGCGCAATATTCTAGACTGAGTGATGATCGGTCGCGAATAAGCAAGTACAGTCGGTTACTGTATAATGCAGAAATGCGAATCTTGATTGCCAAAGTCATGCCAAATCCTGCACACGAACTTGCAATTAGATCATTTGATTCGCTGATATTTCTCGAGCTGCGTGCGATGAATGTTCATAATGACGTGTGGCCTTTCGGTTCGACTACAGTTACCGTTGGAAATTGGAAAAAGGAGGCTGACTGCTGCTGGGCTCCGGCTTCGACAAATGTAAGGCTGAGTTTTGTGGTGGAAGTAGGACTGTTAGAGTCTGCGCGACGACTTGCTCTTGATGCGCGTGGCTGGCTCGAGACCCATTCTTCATCTGTGAAGCTTGTAGTTACGATCAGCATCAAACCCAATAACCCTGAGATCGTCTTGCACCGATGGGAACTTGTTTCGCTAGGTCATGGCGTCCTAACAAGATCATCCCCTCTTTCAGCGCGTCGTACTGCATCCCTTAAATTATCTCGAACGAATGATGCAACAATTGTTACCGGAGAGTCCTACATGAATGGCACAAATACGGCGACTACACAGCTGGATCTATCCTTCGACAAGGTTGTTGGCCGTCCTCCTCATCGGCCCTTGGAAAAAGACTTAAAGATATCCGAGCAAGAGCTGAGAAGTTTTGCCGAGAAGATCTGGAGTGCGCAGAGCCTCCTATAAGTCGTATCTCACCGTCCGAAGTGACGGGTGGAAATTGCATCTCCACTGCCAACCCTGTCTCTCATTGAATTGCCACTTCCAACTTTCGAACCTGTTCACTTTACGCGTAACGATCAATTGTCTCGTCATATCCCAGCTTCCGGCTTCCAGACTCCCAGCCACAATTTAGCAACAAATCCCTTGTCCCGGTCGTTTACAAAAAAAAAACGAAATCTTAATATGATGCGACCGAAACAACCATTCTCCGCTGGACCCATCCCACTATCGAGAGCCCAATAGTGTCCTTTTCTGCACAACACCCAACCTCCAGCCTGATTAATCAGACTCATCCCCATCGGGCCCATCGGGGACAAAATAAATAACTTATATATCGGAATAAACCGACACTAATCCTTAAAGTAATCCCATTCTACCCTATACCATCGCAGACGCCGGCACTTGAAACCGTCTTGTCAGTCAAGTAAGATACAGTTCAACACTGGGAAGCTCATCGCTGTATAACTTAGTAGCCCCGACAACGTGCCCCGACGTGACCACATAAATCGCAAAAATCAAAATCCCCACCTCAGCAGATCAAAGAATGCTAGTATATTTCACACTCAACACACATCGCAGTCCTTCCCCGTCCTATCTTTTCCCTCGCCCCTAGGAGGTTCAATAGCAAGTCTTCGACGATGAGAGCCCACTGCCAAATTGTCAAGCCCTATCACAAAATCACGCCGTTCTCGAGATATAGCCTCGAACAGCGCCGTCCGGCCATCAGAATCGCAAGACTCAGAATTGGCATTGCTCTCTAGCAAAACTCGACCGATATCCTTACAGTTCTATAACGTCGCGATCGAGAATGCGGTTCGGCTCCTATCATCTTAAACTTTTAATATCAATGCCTTCCACTGCCAGCAGAGCACGGACTGCTTGCAAAGGACCCTGGAATGCAGTGAATCTTAACTGTGTGTAGCCATACTTCTCCGTATGATGCGGTCCTTACATGTTGCAAGATGCAAGACGCGCCAAAATTGTCTCTTCGGCGAGGAATGGCATAAAGAAATGCTGGCTGGCCATTGTAGCCACCATAGTTCGAGTTGGCACTGTTCTCTAGCGAAAGCCGCAGGATATGCTCGGGGCTTTGTGAAGGGATGAGACAAGTCCTAGTCACCGCGCGCGATGACTCCGCGAGGTCTGTAGGTGTGGGCTCTGACAAAGTAATAAACTTGTTATTTTAATGTAATAAAGAAACGCTAGGTCTCAGTAGAAATATCTTAAGGGGTAATATAAAGGGTAATAATAGATATCAAAAAAGTGATAAAGTTTTATGACAGGAAATAGTATCAACAGTCTGTTTCTAGACCGATTAAATCACCTCTACAGTAGATCATACAGTATTATTTTAGCAGAATATTTCGACAAAAGACCGGAGTATGGGGCTTTTTTCCAGGGTACCCGAGTAGTGAGAGAGCAGACACAATTTATGGATATTGAAGAGGCTGCTGCGATTCATCCGTACCAGAATCAACTTTACAATGTCCAGTGACTATAATTCAGTGATCCATCGTTATGCTTGCCCTTATATATCAGTGGTAGGAATATTTATGGAATGAACATTCAAATTTGATAATAATACAGCAAAGAACTTGTTTGTGAGGCTGTCAACACCAACAATCAATGGTTATTTCCTCTAAGAATGAATAGCATCAGAGGCATTCACTAAGATAACGAATAAGATTACACAATATTTGCACGACTTTACCATTAAATTTGAAGGTACAAGTATCACTTATTAAAAGCGTATCCGAGATATGATTATCTGCATGTTTTCTTAACAGACAGTAATGAACAGACCAATACTAAGAGAGTATTAGTTTACCACGACATGCCTGTGCTTATAGAAAGTGAAAACTCACGGAGCGGGGCTGAAGTCCTGGAAGGACCTCATTTGTCCTTGGCGTTGAGGTCAACATTCCATTTTAGCAATATTCTGACGACAAATTCGGGACCCCGTCCAAGGCATCGACCGCAAAATATACTCGTGAAAAGTCTCCTGTGTGGAAACGAGAGTACCGATGACCCCAAAAAGCTTGTCAATTGAAGGTCTGGTACCTTTGGCCTGATGCTTATTTTACATCCCAGACAAGATGCGTGGCATAGCTGGCTGGACTTGAACCAATTGCTTCAAAAGAGTTACAAGCATGGAGTCCAATCCATACCGACGCTGGAAGTTGTAGTTTATCTATGCCATGCCGATGCTGCCATCGCGTCAATTTCGATTATCGAGCTCTTCAATATCCATAGAAGTCACAATGGTTCCCGGTCCTGGGAATACCTGGACAGAACAAAGTCTGCTTTAGGCTCAAAATCTCACAGTGAAATTTTGAAGAATTCAAAAGCTAGTGGCATGTTCCCTCTTGGCGTCCAGCAATGTAATCACTTTGTTGAGTGCCGTAATTCAAAGTGGAGAGCCAGTCTAAAGAAATTTGCGTTTTTTGTCATCTTGTCATTGGTCTATGTTTCTGATTGTAATTTGCGTAGTTCGTCTGATGAAAGCACCAAGGAGAGAAATGTTGCTTTTGAATTATAGTCGGAGCTCCTGGATACCAGTCGGCTACTATTTGAGACGCTTCTGGGCGCTCTATCAAAACCAGAACAACTAGAAGTGAAAAGAACCCTACAACTCACTCACTGCACATAGCTTCCAAGGATTTAACTGACGAGGGGCCTCGACAAAGTCCATTCGGATCTTACTGCGAGTCTGATTACTGCAAGGATGTCGCCAAAGCCAATGGCAAAGCTCATTGCGACATTCTGGGAAGGAAAATCTGATCAAATCAGGGGGAGTGCCCATCATGCATGAAAGTAGGCTTAGCCTCCTCACACGGGGGTCGGCGTTGACCGGCCGAAAGCCCACAGAAGTAATCTAAACAATGGCGAATTCCAAGTTTGGGTCTCTACACGAAGTTGGTTCATTACCCTAGAGTTACTGTATCCGAAGGACACAGGTATGGCATTTACCGTAGTAAAGGATCTAAGTATCGTCTTATTATATTAAATAAAAAAAATACGATCCTTTATATTATAATAGCGCATCTTCTTGGTAGCGATATATTTCTCCCTAATAATTGAACTAAGCTAGACGAATCAAGGAAGTTCATCCTTCTAATGCCCAAGTCATCGGATAACCCGGTCAGGAGTGGTACTGACAATCATCGTGGGAGTCCTTATGATGCTAGCTTGTAGCTCGATGCTCCTACAATAGGTGTGTCGTCAGATCACTCAGTAATCATAATAGTCCAGGAACTTTCCGTGTCCTCCCTGATTCTCTCAAGGCTGAGTTGAGTCTTGGCAAAATACCATAGAATTATCTCTTTCTCCCTCCGATGCTAGGATTATTCTGATCTTACCTACAAGCCTTTTACCTGTAATAAATTATACAGCCATTATACAGTAGACACGGACGCGGAATGTAACAATCGCTTGCCGATTAAGTTGGGTCAGTAACAAGACATAACATATCCATAACTCATCATGTTTATTGTATATCAGTCACGGTTTCCGATCTTTTTCGAGCTCAATTGGTCTCTCTTTGTTATTCTGGGTGCCCCGGATTGGAGGATCAAATGAATTGGAAGCCGAGGGTGTGACAGAATATGATCTCTCTCATGTTTCCATCTCCACTACAACTTACTGTACAGTCGGCCATAAGCGGCTAAATCTTTTTCTGTCCGAAAATATATTTACGTAAAGCTCATTGGCTCGCTCCTAGCCGAGGTTCAAAGAAATGTCAATCAATCTACGCTCCGATCATGGCCAAATCAGAACCGCCCCACGTGGTTCATCTACGAGCTACATTCCGGAAGCATTTTCCCCAGATCCCCATCCCTTGGATCTCTGGGAGGATGGACATCAAGATCAGATGTTCTGGGGTCTAGCGTGTAATGTTACAAGGAACATGCAACCATGGACGGAGGAAGGTATGCCAGTAGGCCGCTTTGAGATGTTGCCCCGGGTTTGACTAGAGGCGTCGACACTAGTCCCAGAAAGGAAAGGCTCTCTCCTCATTTCCACCAACTGCATCACAGCGGGAGACGAGCGCGGTTTTCCTTCCTTTTTCTCAACATGTGGAAGAATAAGCCCTGGGTGGCTGCAGTGGTAGAAGAAGATCAGATCAGGTGCATATCACACACCCATTTGAACGAAGGCCAAGATGAACCTGATCCCCAGACCGTTGAGTCATGTGATCTCACGTGGGCCAATCAACCGTGGGTCCAAGACGGCTAGTCTAACCTTGGTTGAGCTAAAATCCGAAAAGGGAATATGGGAATCCTGCAAATCTGCCTCGCTTGCAGATTCTTGCATATGTGTACAGGAGTCTAGGTCTTGGTTGACTGGCAAATCGCCACTCTAAATCTGTTATCTACGGTGAGTGCTTCGAGTCCATGCTAAGCTCAAAAGAAGCAAAGCCGAGCCGGGTCAGCAACGAAACCTGACGAGTCCTGGGCCGGGGCCCCGCTTCCCCGAATTTCCCCCTAATGCTGGAGAAAGTCCGGAGGCCACGCGAAACCTTGGAATCTGGGAATCTGGGAATCTGGGAATCTTAGGGCCCTCGGCAGCCCGAGCCCCTGTAACATAAGCAATCTCAGGCTTTCCAAGAACGGCTTGCCTGCACGCCACCGCCGTTGGCTAGCCTTGTCCGGTTACAGCTGAATGCCGAGTCCAACAGGGTAGCTGGAAAGGAATGCCCGGTAACAGTCGGGCTCACCAGTCTCAGGGAAGAAAAGGAAAAAGCCCGGCGGCACAAGGCAATAGCCCGGCTCATCGATCGGTGCCTATGTTGTAAAATTCATGCACTTTTATTAGTTTTGAATTAATCCACGTATCACGCGCACCCTGGCAGGTTGTGTTCGATCTGTTATCGTACATGATCTGTGGAGAATATAAGAGCTCAACTCCCATTTTTCACCTGACTTCTCTTTTCTTTCTCCATTGATCGACACACCTGTTCAACATGTCGTCTATCGATGAGAAGGCTGAGCATGGCGCTCAAATTGACGTCCAACACTCTGAGGTCTTGACCAGCCAGGACCTCATGAACGATGCCCTCGATGGCGAGAACCGCGAGCATGAGATGGGCGTGTGGGCTGCCGTCCAGAAGCACCCCTGGGCTTGCTTCTGGGCTTTCACCATGTGTTTCACCATCGTGAGTTCTTCATCCGCACGTTCAATTGAACACAGCTGACAGCCACAGGTCATGGAATCTTTCGATATGTTCCTCAACGGTAACTTCGTCGCTCTTGCAGCTTTCCAGCGGGAATATGGTGTCAAGATTGCGGAAGACACATACTCTATCCCCACAAAATGGCAGAGTGCTCTCTTCCAATCCGGTCAATGTGGTGCTTTCGTCGGTGTTTTTATGGCCGGTCCCATCACCAACAAATTCGGTTACCGCTGGACAACAATCTTTGCGCTGATCCTGATGAACGCCACCATTTTCATTTCCTTCTTTGTGAGTTTTCCAGTCTACAGCCTTTCCAAGCTTATCTGACCACCCAACTTAGGCCAACTCCCTTACTCTCCTGGTTGTTGGACAAGCATTGGAAGGTGTGCCATGGGGTTTCTTCATTGCAAACTCGCCAGCTTATGCTAGTGAGATTGTCCCAATGTCCCTCCGTGGTGCCTGCACAGCTACTCTGCAAATGAGTTGGTCCATTGGTTCCATCATTGTCGCCGCTGCCACCTACAGCTACAACAAGCGCGATGATCAATGGGCGTGGCGTGTGCCTCTTGCCCTGCAGTGGATCTTCCCTGTAAGCAGCTCTTTGGGATCCATGTTCTACAACATTTTCTAACATATCCAGACTCCCCTTCTGATCCTCATCTTCCTCGCCCCCGAATCCCCCTGGTGGCTCATCCGCCGCGGACGCAAGAAGGAAGCCCTTCGCTCCATTGAGCGTCTCGGCGCTAATTCCCCCGAGCACGCCCAACAATCCCTGGCCATGATGGAGCGAACAGTGGAGATCGAAGCCCAGATGGGTGGCAGCCCAAGCCTCCTCGACCTTCTCAAGGGAACCGATCTGCGCCGCACCATCATCACCTGCTTGATGTATGCCTCGCAGAACTTCGCCGGTAACCTGATTGCCAACCAAGCCACCTTCTTCTTCGAGCGTAAGAATCCCATTCCACCCAATGAGTCAAAACCCAACTGACACCTAATCTAGAAGCCGGAATCTCTCACGACCGCGCTTTCCAACTCAACCTCATCAACTCCTGCCTCCAGTTCGTCGCAAACGGCATCTCCTGGGTCTTCACTGCCTACTTCGGCCGTCGAACCATCTACCTCTGGGGCACAGCAACAAACATCACCCTCCTCTTCATCCTGGGCATCTGCGCCTCAATCCACCAAACCCCCGCCACCAGCTACGCCCAGGCCGTCCTGGGAATCATAATCTCCTTCGTATTCGCCGGCACCCTCGGACCAATCTCTTACACCATCATCTCGGAGACATCTTCCGTGCGTCTGCGCGCGCTCAGCACCGGCGTCGGTCGCGCCGCCTACTACGTTGCCGAGATCCCCATGATCTACCTCGCTTCCCAGATGCTCAACACGACCGGCTGGAACTTGGCTGGAAAGTGTGGTTATGTTTGGGGCGGTACTGCCTGTGTCTGCTGGATGATGGCTTACTTCTTCTTGCCTGAGCTGAAGAATCGTTCGTACCGTGAGAGTGATATCTTGTTTAACCGCAAGGTTCCTGCGCGCGATTTCAAGAAGACTATTATTGATGCCCGTGATAATGACTAGATTGGGTTGGGTTTGCTTGGCATAGACCGTCTTTGTTATTTCGGCGCTGCGGTGGTTTGAAGATGTTTTTTTCTTCGGATGTGTATCGGTCTCTTTGATGGACGATTAATGAATCAAATTCAATATCATTATTCAAGTATCTTTCTTGTGCTGTAATATGTTGCTGTCGTCTAGTGGACCTGTAACTTTCTTGAAATCTATCATGGCAAGAAACCAGACAGGCAAAATAGTTTTAACAAATACAGAGAGCCACCGAATGCTCTCCACGATAGTATACGCAAACTTGAACTCATAGCTATTAGATTAATCTGGAGACTGTCCCGTTATGCCACCCCAGTCTAAGTGTTAATAATGTCTATATCGACAAAAACCACAATATTACATGTATTATCGACTAGGAATTGGCTTCATCAATCCCCGAAATCATGTTCCCAGAGACACTATGATTGCCACAATAACACAACGAGATAAGTTTAGAATTAGGCGCATCCTTTACGGACAACTTTATTTCTATTATGCCCGAACCCGAATCGGCGGATAAGACAAAAGCCAACAGGGAACACGGAAGGCGAGTTAACGTTAACTTAACTTGTAGGACGAAGTCTAATGTTAACTTATATGTTGATTGGCTTGCCGGTGTTGCGAACGTCTGTTCATACTAACTTCACGAAGGATATTCTCCATGAGGACTGACTTGTGAAAACAATATACGCCCTCCTGACAACTCTAGGATAAGTCGATGTCCACATGCTGCTGGTAATTTAGCAAGTTGAGAGAAAATCTAGAGAGACCGAAAAGTTATGACGGGCTTATATCTGTGGATTGGGGGGTTGATCGTACGGAATTGTGCTCTTGGACTGGAGATCTATTAGTTTGAAAGGGTTGAGAGATTAGATTGCATATAAGAGGAAAAGTGAATTCTTTGATCGGCGTGCTCGGGACTTTCCAAGGTGTTGATCTTGTTTCTTGGGATGTGTAGCTGGTTCCTGGTTCGATATTAACTTGTCACACTACGCTACAGACTTCACGTCCTACACAGACCATGACAGAGATAGAGAATATGATAATAAGCTTGATTCAAGGATAACAAAACGTAAAAAGGGGTATTAGGGAAAAATGCATGCATCGTTTATTTGTGCAAAGAAATGGGCAAGACAAAGGCAAGAATCGACCAAGCAATGAAGTAATCAAGTCACCAAGAAGAGAGAATTGAAAACGATCACAGTCCGAATCAGCGATCAAAGTTCAGGTCCAGTTCGTGTTCACAAAACAATTAACAGACATGCACAGACCAAACATCAAGATCATTAGTACTAGTATGCGGGTGGGTTTGCAAATCCACAATTCAGTTTCACATCCATCAGTGTCTGAAGACATGCCGTGTACATGTACATGGATGATGAAGGTCAGAATAAAGAAGGGAAGATGTGACAAAAATGAAAAAGAGACAGGGTATCGATAATGAATAAGAATAAGTCAGTAACCGAAAGTAAAAACACAGAACCCAAAAAAAAGAAAACAAACCGACACAGACACAAACAGGACAGAAAAAAGTGATGACATGATGCAAATTGAGCCGAACATAAATCCAACAGTAATGAAAAAAAGAAAATCCATAAGCCGTCTTTCACTCCTGGTACTCCGACTGATCGGTCCCCCATTAGACGCCATGTATGCAACAAGTCACAATGACCAGATATGAAAGGTAAAAAAAAAGACAACTAGTTCATCTCCATGCCGTACTCGTCCTCTTCCTTGAAACTCATAGCGGCGTGGCCAGCGCTGTTCCAGTATTGTGCCTGACCACCGCCGTTGGCACTGCTGGCGCCGCTGTGGAATGAAGGGCTGAGACTGGGGGGAGTAAGGCCAGAAGAGTCACCACCCTGCACGGCGTCGCCGGAAATGTTGGTGTGCTTTGGAACGCGAAGACCGCTACCAGGTCCACGCGTGTAGCTGAAAGAGGTAGGGTCGTTCTTCTCCAAAGCGTCGAGGATCTCGCTGCGCATGCGCTTCTCTTCCTCAGTTTGCTCGAATGGCCAGGTTCCACCCAAGCTGGTGATCAGTTCAGCGACCTCTGCTTCTTGTTGGTACTTGACGTGCAAGGCCCACATCAGATCTCGGGTCCAGCTGACAGCACCGTTGAGGATGTCACCCTTGTTGGGTCCCTTCTCCTTTTCTTCAATGGGGAGACCCATGGTGATATTGCCTGGGGTGGCGCGACGGCCATTGCCGCCTGCGAGTAAAGAAGTAGCGGCGCTTCCGCCTGCGCCGGCCATGGAGAGGGCACTGCTGTTGACGAGCTGCTTACGAACCTTGTCATCTTCCAGGCGATGCTGAGGGACAAGGTGTGATAGGTCCTGAATTCGTTCGTTGATATTATCGCGGCGGCGGCGTTCAACCAAATTGTGTGAGGCGCGGCGGCGTCGGCGCTTGGCTTCCTGAGACTCGAGATCTCCACCGCCGGGGAGGTGGCTGTCAACCTTGGCCGGCAGGGAGGCATGCTTGCCAGACTTGAGGATTTCCGAGATGCCGGTGTGGTGCTGTTGAGGAGGAGATGAGATTGGGGAGGACTCAACGTAGGACTGGGCGCTACCAGAGGTTCCATCCCACTGGTTGGAGAGCGTCTTGTGGTGACGAGCCTGCAATCCGGTTCGAATTGGCTGAGACGGGAAGCTACCAGATTCAGGAGTGCCAAGGGTCAGAGAACCAAGTGCTGGAGTCTTGGGAGTCCTGGGGCTGCGACCGTCCGAGGAGGTGCGATCCATTCCTTGAATGCTCGGGCGAGACTTGGTGCTGAGGTAGTTGTGATCGAAGGAACTGGCATTCTGCATGTGAGGATTCTGCTGGTTCATCCGGTACTGATCATAGTTGAAGCTGTTATGGACAAAAGGACTGGCCATCGGCGCGTTGTCAGGGGTGTTCGAGTACATGTGCGACATTTGGCTTTGATGACTCATGGCGATGCCGCCGGACTGGTCCTGGAGATAATTCATGCTGCTGTCGCGTTGGTGACCATTCTGTCCGCTGATCTCCAAGTCCAGCAACTCATCCGTATCAATACCGGAGTTTCCAAAGTTAAAACTGGATGACATGTTCTGTTGCGAGCCATAAGAGTAGGGCATGAAGCCATTTTGCTGCTGCATGGTTAAGTCGGAAGGATCGACCCCATCGTTGGGGTTGCCGAACTGGTTACCCATCGAGTAACCGGAGTGCGACATCATGAAAGGGTTGTGGTCGTCGGATTCGTGTTTAATGAAAAGACTCGCTTCTGCCATAGTCTGGTGTGAGGATGTTGTGTTAAGGATGACGATGTGAATCGGCGAGGGGTCAAGGGACGAGTCGTAGTGCCGGTACTACTGACTCTCCGTGGTCAAAGTGGAAATCAGGCGGGTTAGACGCCTGAAAGTAATGGAGATCTGCGTCTGAAACGTCAGTAAATCCAACCCCGCCCGTAAGGAGCCGTGCGCCAGGGCAGGCAGGCAACCAAGCAGGCAACGCACGAGAAGGAATGTCGAGTAATTACCCGGGAGAATCAGCGGAATGGAGCCAGAATAAAAAATTCCTTCAAGTGCCGAGATGAGTCGACTGCGGAGAACAATCGTGAGTGCAGATCGGGGGGGCACAATCGCAAAGGAGACTCAAGACTGAAGATTGATAATTGTGTCAGTGATCAACCGACCCCAGTAAGAGGGCAGTGCCCGACAGAACAGTAAGCAAAACAAAGCAGAGAGACAAGCTGAGGCTGAATGCAAAGCCCAAAAGCAAAAGGAGAGATGAAATGTCAAGAAACATTGGAGATGAGTGGGGGATGGGGGAAGAAGCGGTGGGCGCCAGGCGGTGAGGAGTGGCGATCTGGAGATTTGTTCGAGAAGAACTCCACGTCGCTTCAGCTGTTGCCTTGACCTCCTTGGCTTGACTCGTTTCTTGATACGAGGCCGCTTGGATCTCCGGAAGAAAGTGGGAGAAAAGAGGAGAAAAAAAGAAAAGAAAAAAAGGAGACAGAAAAAAATACAAAAAGAACAGAATCAAACAAAAGCAATATGAGGCTGTCACTTACAATATGAGGCCAGGTGTTGGTCTTACCTATGGATATAGATAGGTATAGATCGAGACTAAGTCAACGTTAGCAAACATCCTTGGATATAAATATCTTCACCACACAAAGATAGATCGATGAACACGTCACAGCAGAGCCCCATCACACGTGGAGTAAGATGCAGGAACAAAAGACACACACCGTAGATGAATGCAGTAACATCAAAGCTAAGCTTGAGTAAGGTAAAGTCCAAGACTTGCGAATCATAAGGCGAGGGATGGAGAATATGCAGTGACAACTCATCAAACACGCGAGAAGAGGTGAAAGCACTTGCAGGTTTCGCAGACGAGGGGGATGGAGACTTTATGAACTCAAGCGGCGCTCTCCTGCATCTCTCATTTGATATATTACAACATCGGTCATGCAGCCTGTCGATCGGTGGGAATCGATGAGGCTTACCGGGCTCCAAATATATTTATTAAAATAAGTCGACTACTACATCAATGTACAGAGAGGGTGTGGAGGGGTGGCAACGGTAAACCCCCGAGCCTGGGTACGGCACAGCAGATCGATAAAAGAAAATCGATAAAAAGAAATGAAAAAAAAAGGCACACTTAGACAAAGGAGGGAAGGGTGATACAGCCGGATCGAGTAAAACGGCTATCCCATGATGCTCGTTGGGAGGTTTGTCACCTGTGACATGACTCACGGGTGTCTTGGACAGAGAATGTATCAGATGGCCGGGTTACAAGCATACCGTACAGAGTGAAACCCTAATATAGGGAAGAGAGACTTTGCATGTTCAAGATCCGCGAATGACACCATGTGGATGGCCATGGCAGATCTCTGCAGGTATGCACAACGTATTGTACCAGACCGGGAGACGCCGGAGTTGGATGAGATCGACAGTAGATATCATCCGGAGAATATCAACATGTATAAGCCCTATCTGGAACCTTGGCGAGTAAGAAAACCCCCAAAACCAAACCAAAACAAAACAAACCCCAACCATGGAAAGACTAACTTATACATACGTCGACGTATGTATGCATGCACATATGCATGCATGTATGTGGCTGTGAATGAACCCACAGACCGCCCACCAGAAGCCCTATCACTCTGCAAGTGGACCAGTGCGGTCTGTTCTTCATGTGCGATGTCGTGCAGAGGTTATATTGGAGTGACGATCGTCACCATGATCGACCGTTAAGGGAGCTTGGACCTTATCACTCCGCTTCGACGGTGCAGTTGTAGGTTGGGTTTACGTAGGAGGCTGAGTAGGTGAGGGCTATGGCGGTTAAGAGAATAATCAGAGACTCTAGCAGCATACCTGCAAAGCAAGATACTCGGCATTTACCACCAACTTTGGAGGGGGGGATTCAGGCTCGAAAAAGGTGATTTCAAGAATGTGGCGGAGAGACACGATTGGAGGGGTTGGAATGTGTCTTAGAACACCCGCCAATGGTGATCAAGATCCATACACCTCACCAGCGAATGAGCCACATCGCCAAACTTTCCAACGAGCCACTGGAGCTGATGTCCGAGATCGACGGATGGAGAGTGATCTCCGGGATTTGGGAGGGGAAAATGGATCAGACGTCCCGTCCCGTCAAGGTTTGGCGATACACGCCGAATCTCCACGGCCATGCAGTGGTAGTCAAATATATTGAGTGCATGGTGAAGGTCTTTCCGATCCACGCACAGGACCACAGGACCTTGACCATGACGACATCGTGCTGCAGGGTGTCCTCCATTCCGGGGAGGTCAAGCGTCCGACTCATGTGCGTCGGACATTCTACGGGGTAATACCCCTCGGAGGAGAGAGGTTGAAAAAGCAGGGTGAAGGAGAGAGCTAAAATAGAGCCGATGTGACCTAGGAGGATTGGACTATCGGATATTTCCATGTCGTACGCGGGTAGCGACATAGGACGGTGTATTTTATGCAAGGGAGTTCTTCCGATACGACCCCCGGAAATGGTGTCCGTTATCAGTTGGGGATGATTCTTCAGTCAATACGATTTGCACTGATATATTACCGATCGCCAACAGGGTGCGCACCAGCCATGGAGGATCGACAACGGACGGCCACTAATGACCGCACGCCTATGAGGGGGGGTTGCAATCTCGGATCCAGCTAGTTTCAAAACACATCTCCTCCGGTATATCAAGCTCCACGGGAGGATGCAAGGGAAGACTGTCAAATCAACAGCCACAACGATCAAGAATTTGGAGAAATATTGGGCACCAGATGAAACCGGTAGAGTGGCCAATAAGTTAGCCCGAAACTTAGACCGCAGTGTCTAGGCTGAGCTGGAAAGTTTGACAAATTCCAGCGGATACGGCGCGAAGCGCAGAAAGAGGGGAATGTATGTACAATATCTGAGATGTTCGAAACAAGCTAAAACAAAAAGGAAAATGAAGAAGAAAGGAATACTTGCCAGACAAGTGAAGTATACTTGGGGAGAGCCACGCTAGTCCTGTTTGGGCATTAGCCCCCTTTCCCCCCAACTTCCCCCCGTCCATGTTCCCAACTCCGAACATATCAACATAATCTGATCAACAGGTGTGTACTGCTACCTTCGATACATTCCATACAGTCTATAGGGTATCTTTACGCTCTATACAGCTCGCTTGATTATTGGACCATCATCTGACAGCTCTAGTCATCGCCGATCGGGCTGGTCGCATCGGTAGCTTCGCGCCATCTCGTCATTACCTTGATTCCCCCCTCCCTCTCGTCTTCTCCCCCTCCTTCATCGATAGCGTAGCGCTTCCTGGTCCAATCAGCAGCTGTCGATTCCCTGCGCCGTGTCCGCTTCCCACCTTTTCTCGGATCCTGCTCGGAAGGTTCCAACGCTTCCCACCTATCTTCCGCTTCGTTGGACTGTGCTGGAACGTCGCTCGATTACGATCCACTGGGGCCGCGCCGAACCAAGCCACCTAAGACGCACCTGGGCAAGCTGATTATTTGGGCTGCCTATCAGAACAGGCAACCTTTTTTTGCGGAGAACATAAGGCTGCCGTCATTTTGCCATTTCTGGAACATACTCCCTCGCGAGCTTGTTATCCTTTCGCGTCGGCGAACTTTCCTCAAAGATAGCCAAATTTGAGTCTATTCCGTTGACTACAAGCAGAACCTGAAGCCGCGTTCGGCGCACTCGTCATCTGCTCTCTTGCTAGCTTGATCTGCTCTCCGCCCCCCAGCCAATCCTCGACGATCAGCCATCACCCGTCGCAGATCATCTGCACTCCATCTCGCATAGTCCCTGCAGACGTTGTTTCTCGGTCTTGACTTCCTGGACCACGGGCCTCCTCTGCAGACGCAGCCGTGCACGCCCCCTCTGTTGCTTCTTTCAATTGGGAATACCAACTTACTACTTGATTATCAATCATGGCCAATAACTCGTTTCGCGACTCGGTCAACTCACTAGGGTGGTCGCGTAGAGATCCGGATCTTCCCGTCCGCACTGGCGCGTCATCATCCACCCCATTCATGTCGCGCCTACAGTCCTTAAACCCGTTCGGGGAGGGGGGGTTACGTGCAACTGCCCACTCACAATGACGGCCCCGGGGCTCCTCTACCCGCAGCCAATCGTCGGGAAGAAGAAGAGGGCTTCTTTGCTTGTAAGTTCTACCCTTGGCTTGTGACCCTCTGATCCTCCGATCGTCCCGTACACCGTTATGTGAGCCCAGGTGATGAGATTGCAGTTCCTGCGCCGGCAGGATTCATTTACATCATGCTTGTTTGACTGGTTGTAATCCGACAGGAGAGGAGACAGAAATGCACTAAGACTGACTGCGTATAGTGAGTCGGTGGGACCGTCTACTCATTTTTGGCGCATGTAATCTGGGTGCTGCAGTCTGTTTCATGATCTGCTTTTTCTTATTCCCTGTCTTGTCACTCAAGCCCCGCAAATTTGCCATTTTGTAAGTCTTCTTATATGGCCTTGTCTTCCATGAGCTACCCCTCTAGCTATGGCCTCCCACCCTGCCCTTTTCTTTTTCTTTCCGGCGTTCTCATGCTCCTGGACCACCACCCAAATCCCGAGCTGCGACCACCCAGGTCATACCTCGATTGTGGCCAGGGCCATGTGCGCATACATCGCTCGTCCTGCGACGTGATTCGTCCAGATCCAAGCCTATATCTGCGCCTCATGCCAAGAGCTGCACTCTGCTTTGTCTTGGACATGTCTTGCTAACAAGTCTTCTTTAGATGGTCTGTCGGCTCAGTCCTGTTTTTGCTATCATGGGCGGTCCTCATGGGACCCTGGTCGTACGCAAAACACCTGGTCTCGGGACCCCGGCTTCCGTTCACAGCGGCTTATTTCGGATCCATCGCGCTGACTCTGTACTTTGCTATCGGGGTAAGTAAATCGATGATTCCTATTCCATCCTGGAGCTCTAAGCCCCTTACCCATTTCGGTCTTGCTCTATCTTTGGCCTTGCCGATCTTTCCATTCGAACTCCATCCTTGCATTTCCCTGTTTGTTGCACATCCCTTTATCCAAGCATGAGGTATGGTCGCACTGCAGCACCGGGAAAAGGGGAATCTTGCAGCCTTGGTCCATCGCCCAGTGCAACCTGCCTACCGTCTGTCATGCCCCCGCTGGCTAGATCCGAACCTAGCTATTCCCACCCTTTTTCCCGTCGGCTTCTCGACTCTTGTACCACGTCCCACACCGCGCGGGTCTTGGATGAGAATTTCCTTAGTTCACCTTGTCCGCCACACCCCGGTGCGACAGCGTCCAAAGTCCAGAACCGTCGAGATCTATCTGTCTCACCGTCCCTGACATATGCTCTTCTTCTGTGCACTCGTGCTCGCGCGTATTCCAGCTACATCTCTTCACCGTCTCAACCGGCTATATCAGAATGAGCAGGACCTACCACTCCAAAGATCCATTTACTGACCATTCTCTAGCTCCAAAACCTCCTCCTCACGCTGATCTCCTCCATCTTCCAACTCGCAGCTCTGGTCTGGTACCTCGTCAGCTATTTCCCCATGGGAAGCACTGGCTTGCAATACATGGGTCGCTTTGGTGCCTCACGCGTTTCTGCCTGGGTTAGTGGTTAGATGGCGAGCAAGCGGGTCAGGTTGCCGTGGGCCTTGGTTCCTGCAATATGGCCTTGACTTCTATCCACCCTACGCTCTCTGAAGACTTCGCATGGCATCATAGCCTTGTAGTGTAACGACTCTTTGTTTTGCTCATACTCCCTAGTATAATTGTGAGCCTTTCCCTTGTGTATACATATTCAAAGCGAGATCCTTGTCTAGCTTTCTCATAACATCAAATACTCACATCTCCGTCACACTAGCAGTATCTAATCCGCGTAGGATAAATTCTCAGTTAGAAACACAACGTAAAAGATGACTATAAGTTAAAGTATCCAGCGCCTTCACAAGTCTATCCATCAACGTAAACGTATTCAACTTCGCAGTCGAATCACTTTAGGATATTCCAGCTTTGTGAAACTACATACGGTTTTGCCATACAAGTGTCTCGCAGTGTATCGTGATTCCTCTATGACCCATATCATCCAAGAAAGGAGTAAATGAAATCAGCAAGACCTCGGCAGTGTAATCCCAGAACCTAGGATATCGTTCAATGTCGACTCCTCGACACCTTCGTCGACCAAAGGCGCTCGCTCTTTCTCTTCATCGCCTCTTGAAGGCGTTATTCGAAGTAAGCTGCAATACAATCTACCCCAGTAGGAGTTGAAATTGGCTTCTTTGCGGAATAGTAACCGGATCGTCTCTGGGTAGCCTTGCTTGTATTCACAGTCATAGGGAGTGCATTCTTCCCGCTGTCTCTGTCTGTATATTTTAGGTCTTCGGGGGTTTCAAGAGTCGTTCGATAACCTATGCGTGGCTGCTCCGTGTTTCTTGTACCAAAGCACTTTGCTTTGAACGTGACGAGGAATATCATTGTAGCCAGCCATTTGACTGGATTTTGCAAACTTTCTATGTCAACGATTGTTTGAATGAAAGATTTCGGCGAAGAACTACTTGGAGGAAATAAAGGAAGAGATTTCGTATCCTTGCTCAAAGTGTACGTAAGTCATACGTATATGAGAGTCCATTTCAGATATAAAAAGCCTATACCGGCGCGAAGAACACGAGGATATCAAATATCTTGCTGGACAACACACCGAACAAATAAAGAAACCACAAATAAGTAACAAAATGCACAGATGGTAACTTAATCAAAACGATAGCCACAATGATATAGATCATGACCATACTGAAAGCAAGAACCATCAAGTTCAACACTCATTACTTCCCCCGGCTCATAACCAGCCCAACAACACCATCAACAATCTTGACACCCGGAATCTCCGCCTCAAAGATGCCACTGTCTTCGCCAGAGCCAACCTCAACCCACCGTTTCAACAAGTCGTTGCTCTCCTTCGGCTTGACATCCTGTGAGACCGTGCCGACAGTAATATGCGGAATGGGATTCGCGCAAGGCCAATCGGCATCAGAAACAGGCGCCATGGCAGGAGTGTCGGATTCTGCGTCCCCGCTGGCAGGCAGGATCCGTGCTACGAAGGCCATCAGGCGATTATCCCAGACTAGGCGCTCTAGACGGACGCGGGCTGTGCCCAGTGTTGGAGGGGGTTGGGGTGCGCTTGTGGATGGGGTGGAGGTCTGGGTTTTGATGTAGGTGTCTGTTAGACAGTCCCAGATTTGGGGGTTGTCTTTCTTTGAGGCGCGGTGGATGAGGGTTACGTGGAAGGTTGGTTGGAGGCGGCGGGTTTGGGAGAGCTGGTTGTAGAGGTGGGCGGTTTTGGGATCGGAGTTGCGGAAGATGGAGCTGAGGACGGCTGTGATCTCCTTGGGTGGGAGGGAGATGTTGAAGTATTCGATCTTTTTGGAGAGGGTTGCTGGGTCCAAGGGGGATTCACTTGCGCCTATTTGGGCGGAGGTGGTGTTTGTTGTTTGGGCGTTATTTTTGTTCTTCAGCTTCTGGGTTCCGCCGTAGCTGTAGCTAAGATCTGTCTCAACGTGGTAATCTTTGAGTGCGGCGCTCATTGCGGAGTCGATTTCCTCGGATGTTGGCATCCTTGGGACTACCTTGGGGTAGGCGGCGTGGAGGGCTTTGACAACCGTCTCGAGGTTCTCGCGAGATGAGGCACAGACGTCGAGATCAATGACATGGCTAAAGTTCTCGTCGGGCTGGCGGGTAGTGTCGATTCCCTCAAAGCGTTTAAGGAAGCCATCCATAATTCCGATGGTCTCATGATTGGAAATAGTTCCAGCTCGAATCGACTGATGATTGTCGCCACGTTCCAGTACTCGCTCCCGGGTTACTTCTTTGATTTTGGACAAAAGTTGGCCCTTTGGCTCATGAACGTAGTGAAGAGCGACAAACTGAGCATCGCTGATCACAGGGTATATATCGTCCATGAGTTGTTTACGTTCGCGTCTTTGGTGGCTGTTGCGGTCTGCAATGACAACGGGGTGGTCAGACATGAGGTGGCTGACTTCAAACGCGAACTTCTTAGGCTTGTTCTTTTGTTTGGGGATGTTGTCGTTCTGAACATGTCCCCATCCGAAGAGCTTGACCAAAGCCAGAGCCACTGTTGTCTTTCCACATCCGAGGGTAGCAATAGGAGCAAGGACAATGTTGCGGGTAGTATCCTTCGTATTGGCCTCGGCCATTGCTTCCATGGCAATGATCTCTGATCCTTTCAGTCCTCGCTCCTTCAAGAACTCTTCGCGCAAAGAGATGATGCCGTGATTGTGGAGATAGTCCTTGGCCATATTAGGGTCCCTGATTAGCTTCTTGCGGGCGAACTGTAGGTACTCCTGTGTGATCTGCTCGTGCTTTCTGATTTTGGGGAGCTTCCCTCCAATGACGGATTTGGTGCATTCACGCCACTGGCGGTACATCAAGTATGGCTCCTCGAACTTGTACTTGAAAAACCAATCGCGATACGGCTCGGTTCCATTGTCGCTGAGCTGGCATCGAATCACAAAGCCTTCAGTTTCACGTCCATCCCACGTACCAGTCTCGGCGCATCCTTCAAGGAAGGACCGTACTCGGAAGATATCATCAAAGACCTCAAATTTGGCTTTTTTGAACCCCCATGCATCAGCAAACTCATGCACCTTGTCGCAAGACACTGTCTGGAATCCGGGCTGGTTGTAGTTGAGACCGTGGAGGTAAATGCCGGAGGCAGCCTCATCATAGGCCAGAACGTGCTCCTCAAAGCTGTCGTCACAGAGCTCTCCAACAGCTGTCATGTTATTCTTGCGCAAAGTACGTGCGAGATCCTTGATGTTTCGACCAACTGACGAGACATGGTGCTCCGTCCAGCGCTCTCCGACCTGTGCGTGGCTCTCAGCGGTATCTTCTCGAACTCCAGTGGAGTGTTTGCTGCAGACCAGGAGTTTGTCGTCTTCGAGTGCAGAGATGAAGATAATGCATCCATTTTCCTTTACACTGAGCTCATAAGGGCCCTTGGTATGTTTCTCGATATTGTGCCATTGGGTATTCGTTGTTTCGCCAATATTGAAGAACTTGTCGTATCCGCGGGTCGCAATCTCGGGAATGCCGTCCCTCCGACGGGTGGTAAAGAGACCACGGGCGTAAGTTGGAAGATCAGGGCGTTTGTAGTCCCAATCTTGGAATTTCCATGAATCCACAGTCACATTGTTGGTGCCAGCGACGGTGAATGTTGACTTCTTACAAGTGTACCTTTGCTTCTTGTCGCCCTTAGACTGTTTGCGCGCATCTTCCAAGCTGTGCACCAGCTGTGCAATCCGGGAGGGATCCTGAGTCGCCATCATCCGCGAGCGTTGTCGCGATGTAGGGAATATAGAGCTGATGGAGGGGCAGATCCAAGGCGGGGGAGACCAGGAACAGAGGAACAGATAAAAAGAGGGAAAATGAGCAGGAGGTAGAACAAGAGACAGGACAAGAAACACAAAAAGCTCACGATCCAAGTTGAGTCATGCAAGAGTCATCAAACAAAGAATCAGAATGTGTCACTGCGGGGAGCGAAAGCAGAAAGGCGGGCAGAGCCTCTTATCGGCTTTTTTTTTCTTTTGCTCGCCAACTTCTTCCTCTTGACTCACTCCACACATTCTACCGATTCGCTTGAGTCGACTAACTCGCCCAACTAAGCCCGATCAATTATCCTTTGACTCACCATGGTCCAGTCAAACATCCTCGTCTTGGCCGCCGACAACCCCACTGCAGTTCTGGAGCAGCTCCGTGCCAATCCTTCGATCGCATCATACCAGGATGAATCTGGCTATTCTCTATTGCACGCATCTGCCTCATATGGACACGTCGACCTCCTGCGCGCCCTGGTAAACGAATTCCACGTCAACGTCAATCTTCTCGACGAAGATGAGGAGACATGTCTATTCGTGACCGAATCTCCCGAGATCGCACGTTGCTTGGTCGAAGAATTGAAGGTGGACTATAATCACAAGAACAAATCCGACAACTTCACGGCAGTTGAGAAGATGGAAGCGGACGACGAGTCCCCACAAGTCATTGCTTACCTCCGTGAGGTTGTTGGTGGCGCTCCGGCCCAGCCAGACTCGGGCATGTTGAACCCCCCGCCGCGCATTCCCAATAGCGACATGAAAGTCAACATTGGAACCATGACTGAAGATGAGGCAACCGCCGGAGCAAGTGAACCCGATCCTGAGTTCAAGAGACGCATTGAGGAACTTGCAACCCGGGAGGACTACTATAGTGAGGAGGTGCAGAATGAGGTTCGCGAGCTGGTTAAGGACGCCATGGCGGGCTCGAATATTGAGGCCATGGAGCGGGAGCTGCGCAGACGGACTGAGTAAGGGGAGAAGGCTTGATATCTTTCTCCGATCACTCCCTGTGTTGCATCACGTCGCTCTTTCAGAGAGCCGCCATCGATGTGCACTCACACCGAAGGCAACACCAGTGCCAAGAAGCCCAGTTGATCTTTGACGATCCTACGATACGTATTCGAACAATACGTACTCGAACAATGGGTACCCTGGCATGACCCCCGGTCAGGAACTGGCACATGAAGCATTTAAGCTGGTGCATGAGGATGCAATTACCAACCCTTTTGTATCTTAAATGATATCACGAATAAATACCCGCATACAATGCAAAATCCAACAATTGAGCCTCGACTGGTGTGGATGTAGATGTGTAGATCTCCGAGTCGGCCCCGCCAAGCTTGAGCTGCCTCTCCCCGAGCTTCACCTCCCCAACTATCCAACTCCCAACTCCGTCATGTCTCAACCACCATCCCCCTTTCCTCCACAATCGCCCTTTTACTCGGCCCAAATGAATCCAGTCAACCCAGACACACCTCCGCCGCCGCCTCCAAAACCCGGCAGCCACGAAGCCAGCCGAGGTGGCACCCCGCAAAACATGTCAATGGCACCGCTCCCCGCTGGCTACCAGCCAGACCCAACAGCATACACCAACGCGCCACCAACACTCCCAAACCCACCAACGATGGAAGAAGGCTGGCTTCCAGACCTGGTAAAAGACAAATCGTACGTCCCACCCACCAACACCCATCACAAGCCTGACCCATTTACTCACCCACTAACCCTAACAGAACAATCGACCTCCAAACCCTCTTGAACGACCCATCTCTCCTCTCAGCCCTCTCAGCCTCGCATCCATCCTACACAGCGCGCCAACAGGCCCTAGAAGCGCTCATCAAAACAAACAAAGACCTAGCAACCCGCGTTCTAGAAGTGCAAAAACACCTCACAGACTTGCGCACCTCAACAGAGACAATGCTCCTAACGCACCAATCACTTGAAGTATCCTGGCGCAAAAAACAAGCCGAGATGGATGCTGCCCTGGCACCTTGGTCGCCCAAGGCTTTGTATCAGCGGTACAGTGCGTCGATTGTCGAGCAGGAGGCTGTTTGTCATGCTGTTGAGGAGAGCTTCCTTGACGAGGATCATCATGACCATGGTCGTGCGACTGAGAAGGAGATTGCTGATTGGGTTAGGAGGGTTCGGGGTGAGGCGGCGAAGTTAGCTGCGCGGAAGGAGGCCAAGGCTAGGTGGGATGAGGGGAGGGTTGGTGGTTGGCGATGAATGCATTTTGTGGTCAGTACTCTTACGATTAGTACTGACTGGCTGAATATTATGAGGTTACGGCGTTGATGGTATAATGAGGTTGTCTTTTATTATGATCTATAGATATGTTTGTTGTATGGATATAGGGCGCAGCGAGGCACATGTCATGACCTCCCTCTGTTTCACAATCATTCCTCGTCTCACTCATCCAGCCTGGCACCGTTGCCAGAGCTGCTACCCGCTTTGGCATGGCCTTCCAATGGCGCATCTCGACCTCGAGGCGCCATCTCGATATCAGTGCCGAGACCATTACTATGACCGTTGGCGTGCGTGCCCACGCCCATGTCGTGTGTATACGACCAGCTATCAGTTCCAAGAGAACTAGGGAACCCAATCCCACGCAGGAAAGCCCTCCTGCGACTGCGCGCACCCCAGGCCCAGCCCGCGCCGCGGCGAATTGGCAAATGATACATGTTGAACCCAACATAGGCAAAGAATATGCCAAGAGCGGAACCGAACAGGATATCAAAGCCATGATGCCGATAATTGAACCAGCGCGATCCAGCAATGAAGGCCGCCGTCGCCGTCGGGAAGAACGCAATCAACATCAGATAAACAGGCGGTGCGGCGCCCCGTCTCCGAACAGAAGCTGCCTCATCCGCAAAGGTCTGATCCTCAACTGGATAATGCGGCAAATAAGGGAATCCCACCGAGAACTTGGAACACAGCCAAAGGGTCAGATAAAGCAGTCCCGAGAAGGCAACTAGAAACAAAGATCAGCACCAATCCAAAGCCACCCATCTTAGAGAACAAAAACAAGATAGCAGAAAGAAACAAGTACCCACATGAAGAATGCCCACTAGGAAAACTAGCAAACCCATCAATCCTCAAACTATCCGACTGATCGCGACAAATCTCCCAAGAAACAAGCACCGGCGCCCCATCAACCCTACCCCCGAGCCCGCCAACCGTAAACCGATCCACAGCCGACAAATCCGGATCACAGCGCGCAATCAGATCAGGCCTCGGCTTCCCAATGAGGACCTTCAGCCCCTGCGTCGCGCACCACGCACTCGCCAGCGCCAGCGCCAGCCCCATCCACCCGACATTCCATTCCCAGATCTTGCGCCGGATGACGTGCGCGGCTGGCAGTCTAGGCTTGGGGTGGGTGGTTGATGGAGCAGTTACGCTGCCGGGTACGATGAGCGCGCTGATTAAGAAGATTAGGGCTGCTGGCGCGAGGAGGCCGACTAGGATGAGGGTTGCTGTTGTTACTGTTTCTGGGCTTTCCGGATAGGAGATTGTTGGGTCGGTGAGGCTGAAGGGGTGCTGGTTTGGGTGTTGTTTGTAGAAGCCGTAGCCTATTAGGGCGATGCCGCTGCGGGATTGTTAGTTTGGTAAGAGTTGAATGGGGGGATGGGTTGTTGGAGTGGTGTTTACATTATGAATATCCAGTCGAGTATGTAGGAGAGGAAGAGGAGTTTGGAGAGGGATGAGATTGTTGTTAGGGAGTCTTTTAGTAGGGCCATTGTTGGGGAAGATGAGCCATGAGGAGGAGGGGAGGAAGAGGAAGAGTGTACTGGATAAAGAAAGGGAGGAATGACGATTGCCTAGACTTGAGCTGTGGCGGAGCGCATAACTCAAAGCCAATCCCTGCGTCTGCGATCTACTGATCTTTACCCCGGATTGGATTGACTTTAGGCAGCTTTATTACGGAGATAAGGCCATCCATATCCATAAATTTAGCTCGGAATTGGGCGTTCATGTCTTGCGTATCTATAATTATAGACCAAGCTGATCCAACATGACTGTTTTCTCTAATGGTCACTGTGGCGCCAGTTCCAGATCTACTATTCGCCTGAGCTATGAAAAACATCATGTCCCAATTTCTTTAGAGAACATGTGGCAAGGTGCCCATCGTTCACAATGTCGCTTTCAATTTGTTGCAGCTTACCTCAGCCCAATCAGCAAGAGCATACATATCTACTAGAAACATAGCAACGACTTGTCACTAGTAGTCCAGAATTGACAGGCAACCACATAAGTCAAGCATATCATACATGAATGGTTGCAGCAGCCCTGCAACGTTATCTATGTCAATATGAAATTAGCGTCAAGAATAACAGAGGTTACAAGTCAGCTGGATATTTATTTGCAGGAACTAGGCGGATTTCCAAATTTGGACATGAAGTATGTGCTCATCCCTGGGACATGTACGGTTGATTCGAGGCCATTTGATTGGCAGTCTTTTGAATTTGTTGCTTGAACAAGGCTTGTTGAGGCTTGTTTTCTAAGAACGTCGCCAAGGTAGGCGCGGATAATGCAACAGTGCCTGTTCTCATTCAAAACCTTGGAAGAGAACAGTGAGAATTAGGTACTCCATGACTCTCCATTTAATAAGTCCACAACTACCACAGGTAAAGAACAACCTTTCCATTTCGCCAAGGTCAGCTCATGTCAGATCTATGGTCGGACACGCCCCGCAACAATTCCTATTCGTGAATGCGCCAATGTTCACAAGTAGATCCAGGTCGAGTTCAGCAGCCGTGATAGTTTCCAAGTGAGCACGTGCTGCTTTTCCCAAGATATAGCGCTTAGATGAAGTAACAGCGCGTCGAATCTTACGCATGAAGTCCGATCATGTGTTTGTTAAATTCAACGTTAAGTTATAGTGAGCTTTCAAGAGTGCAATCTGCCCCGCCACCACTTCACATTGTACCCCCCGAGCTGGCCTATTCAATAAATAGGAGGACAATCTGAATGTGATATATGAATGTGATATCTGAGCTGGATAAGACTGAAGTTTCGCGTGCTTGTTGAACAAGCCGGGATTTGAGTTTCCGGGGTCCGCGTGTTGCTATCTATCTTGTACTGCATACACGCGTGAGAAGTAGGGGATTCTTCCTTGTCTGTGCGTATCACTCTACTATAAAAATGCGTATTCGCATTGAGTGTGCTTACGTATGGATGATCTCACGTCAGCTTGCATGAAGTCCACGGGTAACTACTGACATTTGGTTTCGTGGGGTCGGTAAGATCATTCTACGAGTTCGTGCACTTACTCACAAACAGCAGCGAGAATCTAATATACAGTAGAGCTATAGCTTCATCTTGTGCCTGAGCATACTGGCATTTTCCAAGAATAGTTGGATCGAAAGACAGGACTCTACAATAACAGAAAACTAACCCTCAACCTCCTGCCTCCTTGCCTTCTGACTCCTCCCCAGAATAACCGTGCTAAGATCCCCGACAGGCAAAGCAATAGGGAAGTCGACCGCATCAAGAATTTGCGCAATGAAGATATGCCAAATCGGTATGCACAGCGCGAAGTTGAATGCTCCCGCCGCCTATAGATACCAATGTAAGCATATAAATACAACTGATGCGCATGCGATGAAAGAATCAACCGTACCTTTTGTAATTTTGCCGCGAGTACCAGATTACCCAGAGCCAGCTGGAAGTATGTACCCGCAAACAGACCAAATGTAATGACGAGCAGGAACAGCGCCAGGAATAAGCAGATATTTGTTCGGAGGGAGCAGATGACGTAGACGGATGTGAGGATTGCGAGGGTTACGTAGTAGAAGCCTGTGTTATTGATTTCGGTTAGCTGGATCCTGTCGGCTGTGGAATGACTTGTAGATTGGACATGACGTACCGACAGTTGCATTATACTCTGGTGTTTGCATTCCTTCGAGCGAATTGCCGGTGGGGGAGTAGTTGGTTCCGACAGCGAAGAATGGCATCATGGATGTACCCTGTACTAGCCAGAACGTGCCTGTAGTGATGGTGGGTTAGCGGATTGGTTATGGATATATGGAAGGATTGGTTGTTGCGCATACCGTATGTGAAGAAGAGCGCACACGAGAATGTATTGCCGAGAATCCATTCACCAACTGCTCCAAATATCTGGACCATTGCACCGAAGAAGATGTAAACTGGTCTGAGAGTAGAGTATACTGGGTAAGCACTTGTCAATTATCTGGTCAATCATTATTGCGCTTACAAAATTGCACCGCCGTTTCCACCTGCGCCTCGCCAGCCCATAGTGAGCATTGCAGTGGGTGTCGCAGCCAGCAAGAAACCCATCAATGAGATCGGCGTGGGGTTACCAAATGTTGAACGCAACTTGCCGGCATTTGGCGTCTTCGGGCTCAGGTACAGCTTTTCGAATGCATCGCGTGGAATTGGTAGTAAAACGCTGTCGGCGGTCTGGTAGCGTCGAAGGACTTCTGCCGTTGTTGTGTCGTGTTTATCGCTGATGTTGTCGTCTGACATTTTGAGAGAATATGCAAGAGTTGAATTGAAAAGGTCAATTGAGATCCTGCAGTGAAGAAAAGACGAGAAAGAGAATCCACTCTAGACATAACCCCCATAGATCCACCGTCCTCTTTATACTCTCCCACCATCTTTTCTCCCTGTTTCCAACCCCAGAATCCACATCCCCGGAATTCCCCCACCAAGCCAAGAAGGTAAATTCGCACTGCTAGAATAACCGGGCAGGGATCGTCAATTGAGACATCTCATTCGCAGAAATGTTCCACGTTGAGCGACTGGTGGGGAGTGGACCCCGAGCCGCGCCCAAGTTCTTCCCCGCAAAATGAGAGCCGAGGGATTTCGGTGCTGGAGTGTCGGCTGTCTGTCTGAACGACTGCCCCCTTTGCTTGATAACTGGTCCGTTTCCCTCTCAAGACTCGCCCAGACTTTCCATTACTACCATGGCGCACGCCAAAAGTGTATTTTGCGAAGCTTTCTTGCTCCAAGACATCTTGGCCTCTGCTGATTGGATGGCATGTCGATTACTACCCGGTTGAAATGAATGTTGGTGCGGAATCATATCCGCTGGGATTGGTTGGCGTCCGTCCAGAGGGTGGCGGGTTGCGAGGAGAGTTGGGGAGGTGGAACTGCGGGTCGTGTATGACGCCAATGATGGGCAGTGAATGATCATCGAAGGACTGTTTCAGGTCTTCCTTCGCACTGTATCGCCTTGATTTGGCATCAGGGGCAATCTAGAGCCACGGAGTTGCTCCGTTGTCTGGCCCTGCTGTCAAAGCGTCGTCTTTAGCCGATCTGATACAGTAGTTTGGGCATCGGAAGATTGCAGCCCTGCCTTGGCAGTGAATAGTTGTGCAAATTACACAATAATGTTGTGTAGCTTTGGGGATGTACATGTAGTGGGATGTAGTGCGGAACCCTGACAGGCTTGGATCTAGACGTTCTTGAATCTCTTCTCACTACGGATGACAACTTGAGCTTTTCTATGATCTCACTGTTAATTTGAAGGAATATACCATCAACTGGACAAATCCATGAACAACCGCAAAATACAGAAACTCGATCTATTGTACTCACATCCGCCCAATGACAGCAGGCAGATCCTTCATATTCTCCAAAAAGAAATCAAACTCAGACCTGACCTTCTCCATGTCCTCATCAACATCATCAGTCCACCGATGAACATAAACAGTCCGCAACCCAACCTTCTGCGCACCCCGCAAGTCATAAGCATGAGCCGCAACCAACACCACCTCCTCCGGCTCCAACTTCACAAACTGCAAAGCCTTCTCATACGCCTCTGGACTAGGCTTATAAACCCCGAGCAACTGACTAGAAAACAGCATATTGAAACCCAGCCCGGACGAACGCGTAAGGTCAAGCTGAAGACGGGTCGTCCCGTTAGCATGAACAAAGACCTCTAGATTGAGATCGTGGCGGAGACTGTTAATTGCCGTTGCGACTTCTGGCCATGCGGGCTGGGAATGCCATGCCTGGACCAATGACGCTTTTGTTTCGGTGTCGATGTGGGGTCGGGAGGTGGGAGACTGGCTGAGGGTTACTTCGAGGGTGCGGGCTAGGGTGTCGTCGATATCTTCGGGGTGAAGGCCCTGTACGAAACGGTTGTTGTTTTCGAGGAAGTATTGTCTGCGCCATTCGAGGGCGAGCTTGGAGGCTTCTTCCTGTGGGATGGTTGAGGGTAAAGCTTGGACTACGCTGGTGTGCCAGTCAAGGCAGGTCCCCATGAAGTCGAAGAACACGGCTTTGATCTTTGGTTGGGTCATGTTGGGCTGTTTGCTATACTTTGGAGACGGTTAGCTTCACTGCAGAACCGGACTCAGTGTCATCTATATAAGCTCACGGTCGGCGAAAGTATAATTAGCGCCAAAGCTTACATATCTCTGCTTAGAAATCAGCATTCGTGATCTGACCCTGAGGATGACTTTTCCGTGAATTGCTGTGAAGAAACCCATTTGCGATTTCAAGATCTAGCACATGTATAGCAGATTCGGTTTCTAAATGGTCGTTTGTGGAAGTCTAACGTCCGTGTCGTCTATGGGAACATAAACTTATATCGAGAGCCGTTCACTCCAAACGTCTTCCAGCAACATCAATATCGACCTTGAAATCCTTAAACCTTCGGCTGGGAATCTTGCGCTCAAACAGGATATCCAGCTCCTCAAATGTCCGTCCTTTAGTCTCCGGCATACAAAAGAAACAGTAGATGACACAAAGCACGCTAAGACCCGAAAACAAGAATCCAATCTTGCCACGCCAATTGCCTTGGTCCTCATTCATGGCATACGGAATAACAACCGCAAATACAACCGACCAGGCAAAGGTAGTAACAGTGGAAAGCGCAATAGTAAGACCACGAAGCTTGGCAGATGACACTTCAGCAAGTAGCACATAACAAAAAGGCCCTAAACTGAGGTCATACACAAAGGTGCAGACCAGCATAAGACCACATTGTGCCCAAGTGGTAGATGTCTGCCGCGGGACGACATCGACAATGCCAATGATAAGTAACACGATTGCTAGAGCCGAGCAGCCGAAGAGATACATGGTTCTGCGGCCAACATAAGAAAGCAAAAACCAGGATATGCATGTTCCCAACAGACCGAGCGCCGTCAGACCAATATTCATCGAGAAAGCACTCGACGCATCCAACCCGGCCAGCTCCATGAAGTGAACAGCATAGCTAAGAAAGAACACATTGCCAGTAAAAGACTGCATGTCATACGCCATCACGCAGATCATCAAGCGGCGGAAATTCGTTCCCCGGAAGCAGTCGAGATAACTAGGTCTCTCTCCATCGAGATTTTTCTCCAGACGGAGAGTCTCGCGGATATGCGCCAGCTGTTTCGTGGTATCGACAGCAGACGTGCCCAGACGGCGCAGAGACCTGATGGCATCTTCGTGGCGGCCCTTCCGGCATAGCCAATAAGGCGGATCAGGACAGAAGGCTACTAGAAGCAGCATAATGCACGGAAGAGCCCACTGAGCCGCTATAGGGATCTTATACGACCATTTCGTGTCCATACTCTCCGTTCCCTTGAGAATGCCCGAGGCGATCAGAGACCCAATCGAGAAAGCCAGGTTGGTCATGGTGGCTGCGAACCCGCGCAGTACCAGCGGCGTGACTTCACCGACGTAGGCCGAGGCACAGATGGGGTAAAATGCAATGACGCATCCGTTGATCAGTTGGCCGGCGAATAATTGCGCCGGGGTGTTGCTGAAGAACTGGATGAAGATGAATGCGATGGATAGCACGCAGCAGCCGGCTGTCATGCGCCGCGGCCCAAATTGATCATAGGCAATGCCGGAACAGAGAGCGCCGATTATGGCGCCGATGTTGTTCGCGTAGTTAAAGGCTGATAGCCATTCTGCGGCAATGATGTATTTCCCGTTGTGGTTGTACCCGTATGTCTCCTTGAAGACGGGGAGACCTACTATACTGCGCACGATGCCTCCGTCAATGCCTTTAAGGATAGTTGCCTGAGAATGTTAGGAAAGAGATGGATTTTGTGTTGGATTGACAGACCAGGTTCATGAACAGTCCCCAGCCAATGGCGGGGTAGTACTTGCGCATAGCATCCCACCACCTGAGAGCATGTTCTTCTTTGGTGAATTGGAAAGACAGTTCGGCTTCCTCGACGGCATCTTCCGATATGGTTTGAACAACGGTATTCTGCTTCTCCGAGAACATCCCGTTCTTTCCAACTGCAGTCACAGTTTGAAAATGTCGAGCTTCTACGCGGCGGATTCCGAGAGAAAACTAGGAGACGTACATGCCAAGGCTTGGCAGTGGGTTCCAATCATAGCGGATTTATTATTCATTGTCATTGGGTCACGGCGGAGAATGCAGCAGAATGGATGGAGCGGGATGCTGGCTTGGAGTACCTTGGTGGTGAAAGTAGGGCACCGGAATAACCCGTGATATAGACATGTCCGGCCCCGGTACAGAAATGTCTAAATGAAGAATTGAGAAATAATCAGGCATTGAGGAGAAAACTTTGAGTTATTATTAACTACATCTTTTAAAATTTTGAATGTTTTAAAACAAGTAAAGATATACCTTGACTCTATAGCCAATTGCCAAAAAGTTACAAGTCGCAAATATGGCCATTCCGCATGGTTAATGGTATCTATGCTTTACGTCCAATGAACATACGTACTTGAATCAGGAAGAGAAAGAAAAATATGATAAAATTATTCTGTATAACCAACAGCAAGGCCCTCCCAATTAACTCAAATAGAATTAATCTTCGATAGTCACCGACAGTGCCGTCGCGGCCTCAGTACTAAAGATACGATCCCGGTCAAGACGAACCAAGCCATCTAAGATATCCTTGTACCGCAGCCAAGCATTGTGCGAAGCAAACCAACGAACCATCTTATCTGAAAGGTTAGCACCGTAAACAGGGAGAGACAGACAATCAAGACCATCATGATGCAAAGGGGACAACGTAATGATCGCCCTCCCGTCGCGGCAGGCCTGTTCCATGATTTGCATCAGACGAGTATCTGCCAGTTTCTTTTCCTCCGTGGTGAAAGTTACGCTAACCCAGCGGACGGCTCCTCGCCGACTGGACTGTTCCAGGAGAGGCTCGCCCGTGGGGCAAAAGATGAACATACTTGGGACTAACATTGTGTTCTCTGGGAAAGGGTCGGGCCTGGATAGAGGAGATCGTAAAGATATTTGATATCTTTGGGTGAAGTGGATGGTGAGGTGAATCGAAGACGGAGATTAGGGCTCCGAGGTATCTTGGACATTATATAGAGTATTGGACAGTGAGGCGTTACTAATGATTCTTTGCAGTTCTTTGTCTTTGAACAATGGCCTTTTGAATGGTTGATAGATCACTTGTTGGATGGGCGAAGGACAAAGCTATTACTGCCCTCTTTGTTTCACTCACCATTCTCGCTGCCAAACATAACTTGACAGTCAGTCTTGCTTTTCAACTGCAAATGCCCATTCGAAAGAGCCAAATTCAATTAAATGCGTCTTTGTACGTCTTTGTACAAACTGTCACGCTCCAAACTTACAAAAATGAAATACCAACTAGAACGATAGTGCTAATCGAATTTGTTTATTCGTGATGAGATCCCTCATCATTGTAAATAATCTGTATACTATCAACTTCAAAGCTTGATCCACCGACCCATCCAAGTCTCAACCACAAACTTTGCCTCATCAACTAAGCCCAAATCAAGCAGCAGTTGAGTAGTACCACGGACAGCAGAATCCAACGCAGAGAAAATCCAAGCATGGGTATAACTAGTATGTTCACCAATAAAAATGGTGTTAAACTCAGTCTGATAGTAAGCCGGCAAATACAGCTCCTGCTGACCAACAAGAGGATCAGCCCAAGCACCAGCCTGGTGTTGATCGAACTCCCAGCACTGGCGATCGTAGACTCCAGTAAACTGCTCTGCGGCAATTTCACCGTGGACTTTGACCATAGTGCGCTGGATGAGAGCAACATGTTCCTCCGGGCTGAGCGCGGCAGTGGACCGTGCCAGTGTGCCAGAGATATACGAGGCCAGGACTACACCTGGTCCGGTGCCATTCATGTTGTAGGATGGGTAGCAAATATTTCCGACGCCGGATACATCCACCGAGCCACATCCACCGAAGATGGGTTCGTCCAAGTGCTCCCAGAAGCGGGTCTTGTAGAGAAGGGCCATCTTACAGGCCGGGTCGTAGTTGAGGCTTGAAATAGCCCGGCTGAGGAGGGAGGAGTATCGCGGGAGTTCCCAAAGTCTGACCTTGCTGAAAGGCGCAGCCACGACGGCGTAGTCGTATTCCTTGCTTTCTGGGACCATTTGAAGGGGGTCGTCGCGCCAGGTAACGGCAATCTTTCCAGAGGTCTCGTTGTGAACTAGGCCTTGGATGGTGCGGTTCAGGGTCAGCTTGTCCTTGACGTGAGGGTAGAAGGCGCGTGGTAGCGACTCCAAGCCCTTATCGATAGTGCGCCACTTGGTGGCTGCGAAGTAGACGTCGTCGTAGAAGTCGCCCCAGATTGGGGAGTCGGTGGTGCCGGCAACATAGTCGGTGAGATTTGCATCGTAGCCCATTGCGTACCGCAGGTATCCGGCCTCGGACCAGTGGAACATGCCATCTTCAACGGCTTGCTTGTGAGCTTGGTACATGTTTGTCGCAATCTTGCGGATAGTCTCTCTGTCGTCGAGCGTGGTGTATTTTTCATAGTCGGATTCTGCCTCTGTGGCAGCCGTGGCGTTTTCCGATGCCGCAGTGTAAACAAGCGATGAGTTGGCAGCAACCTGGGCAGCACTGGGAATTTGTCCATTGGGTAGACGGTTACCACCAGAGGCAGCAGGGACGTTGGGGCTGCTCTGTACCCAGGGAATGAAGTTGACTGCAAGTTCTGGCTGTTTCTTGTTCATCTTGTTGAGAACATCAGCTAGTTGAAAGACCATGCGGTGGTCCATGATTTCAAGGGTCTCATTGGTGTCAGCATATGTGATGCTGACCGGGAAACGCATGGGACCCATTTCCTGGTATTGATATTGATCAGGCGTTGTGTTGTTAAGGTACTTGGTGCGGATGCGGCCGCCGACACGTTGAGACGATTCATAGATATGCCAGTTATGAATACCAACCGACTCTAGCAAGTGACTAGTCATCAAGCCTGACATTCCACCGCCCAGGATGGCGACAGAGTGGCTCTTTGCTTTGGATACAAATGCTTTGTTGTTCTTCTTTGACTTCATGTATGCAACTCCATCAAACCAAGGGCCCATGGCATCTGCCACGTCCGCAATGTTCTCTCGCTTCTTGATTGGCGACGATACCATAATGGGCGAGGAGCGGCCCATGAGCGTGGTTCCGGAGAAGGCATGTAGACAGAGTGAATGTGGTGCATCAGATGGCGTAGCCCAGACAAATCGCTCCGGGTGTGCTTCACGTTTCACGAACGTGCTTCCAATCTCATGATGACTGTGCATTGGGTCTTCGATTGTGCATTCTCCGTAGACGAGCTGCAGGTGGCCCTCAAATTGACTGTCCAAGAACTCAACATGGATGTTGTGCAAGGAATCAGCAGTTACATCCCCGAGACTATGGAACCGTATCACCTCAATGTCTCGTTGTACCACACCTGCGAGGCTTAGACCCGTGAGCCCTAGTCCCAGCAGGGTGTGCTGTAGGTAATTCTTCATGGCTCGAGGTGATGATGAGGCCGAGAGCAGGTATAGGATGAATACTTTGAACACTCGTGCCTTGGTTCGAATCAATGTGTCGTGCCTTTTATATCCTTGACGCTCTGGTCAGCGTCACAGTGTTTTCATATTGTCCTCTAAGCTTTTGGCTCGTGTCGTTATCTGCAAACAGATGCACGATCCAAATAACATGATAAGCTCCATTGAGCAATCTGCAATCCTACGATCTCCATCTCAGCATCAATTTGAATGATAAAGATTCCAGTAAGTAACGATCTTACGATTTTACGTAAATTGTTCAACAGAAGAGCATACGTCAGTCAAACCACGTCGGCCGAGGATCCGTTCAGCGTGTCGAAAGAAGCAACAGGATTCGTTCGATCAAGCTATCAAGCTTTGAGATGTCATGCAAGTTTCTTATCAAAGTAGGAACCTTGGAAGTTTCCAGCTATCAGCGGGACAAAGCGACGTTTGCTATCTAAAGCCGGGGTATATCCGGGGTCAACGGTCAATACTAGAACGCCGACGTTGAATTTTGGAGGATTTGGCAGAGCTCGCTTACCCATTGTAGACAGCGTATGCGGGGATACAGGCACAGATAACAACCAGCGAGTCCTGCTTGCGCTGCTTATCAGTGCGATGCAGGTCCATGCGGTGGAGGCGGAGACAGGCGGGTCGGCACTGGTGGCTTGGCTGGCTTGGCACGCCTTTTACACTGCTACGGAATTCGGCACAGCATCTCGGAGTAATCGGAGTGATCGGTGAGATAGGAACATTGTTTCGATACGTCGATCGTAATGGAAATGCGATAGATCAGCGCTGTCAAAGCCTCTGAGACATACAGCACTTAAAGAACCGAATTCCGAGGCCGGATATATCGGGTCAGATTCCGAAGTAGTCGAGATCAAATACTTGATTGAAGATTATTCGGGAAATGAACTTTAACTGAAGCTCTCACGTCCTCTAAAGCGTATGATATCCTTCAAAGTGAAAGACTTGGAGGACAAAAGCTACTTATATTGAACACTCTTTGTTTATTTCTACCATTGCCGGCCTACGATAGCTCTTTATATTTCATATTTATAGCAAAGTATTGTTTAGGAAGTCTCCTAACTATATAGACACTTAGCCGGTCTTTCTTTCTTGTATATTGAAACTGTTAGTATAAACCTCATAAGTTCTGACAAATCCACTCGTATTGTGCTAGTGCCTTAGTGGAACTTCGCATGCCTGGCTTCCACTGCAACATCTTCCTTATTAGGCGCAAAAACTTCGATTAGTCCTCTCCCTCAAGTTTACTTTCTCTCTCTTCCAGTGGGATCCGAGGTTGTAATGGGGTTTTAACACAAAAGTGACCTAAAAAACCAGGTAAAGTGAGCGGGTTTCGAATTTGACCAGACAAAAGAAGTAATGTTCCTACCTTCCTTGTGGAAGAACTTGTGGCTTGACTTCCCTTGGGCAAGCAGACTGAGTGGAGGGGGACCGAGGAGACTTATAATTTCGCTGAGATGAGCGCGACTTCGGCAAGTCTGAAATTCTGGGTCGTATCCAGTGAACAACGATTCGGTTTCAAATAGGTCCCAAATCTGTGATTGCAGTCTTAGATATACTTTTCAGTATCACCACCTGAGGCAAACGAATTTTCTTACCATACATCCCACATTCCATATATCGACACTATAAGTTCAGGGAGCTTCCAGAATCACCTCTGGAGCTCGATAGATATGAGGCTGGATGTCTTCGAAATGCTCTATGTCACCAAGCATAGCAGATCCGAAGTCGCATAAGACCGGGGCTCCCCATTCTATAGGCATCCTGAGTTCTCGGGACACATATTATCTTTCCATCTATTTCCCTCCTCGGTAAGGGAGCTTCAAGCTCCATTTCTTCAAAGTCAGTGAAGACTGAATCATCAGCAATTCCGAACATGATATTGTCAGCTTTGATATCTAACAGAATGATCGTGCCAATTGATATTATAAGTAAGTTAGATGACGGTAGGAAAGCACAAGTCTGCGTGTATGATTCGCATTCTGTAGTTACCGTAGCGGAGAGCGGTGCAAAAATGTCAACACACTCTCCCACAATGGGGGATGCACGAGACACCGATGTTTGTCTTGGGGACCATCGATATCAAATGAGTCAAGGAGTGATCGGACAGCGTTGCGACCTGAATGGAACTTCGACGCTCTCTCCATGCGTTGCTACATCTTAAGCTCGTCATCTGACTGCTGTCCCAAAGACGTGGAGTTAATGAATATTTTAAGCGTGACGTAACTACGACAACTGTGTACGAGTTTGATCTGTTTAAAATTGGCCATATCCTTAGATACTAGCACTAGATGAGTCTCACTTCATGTCCCGCGCAAGCCACGCAGTCGAACTAGCTCCAAATCCTAGCTTTCCTACGACCTGATACCGGTCTTGAAAGACTTGTCCTATTCGAGTAGGATGATACCGTGAAGCAATATAATCTGGGATGGTCTCTTCTTCGATCTGCTGACTCTTGTTCATCCGTGTAATTTTTGGATTAGAGAAATCAAGGGGTCTCCACGACCGTCTTAGCCGAGAGAAAGGCCGTAGCAGGGATGGAAGCATGGTCTGAGAGCATGGATGATAGGTGGTATACCTGATTTTTTTGAAGACAGAAAGAGATATTCAAGTTCTTCAACTTTGGATGTTGTTGGAGATAATGCAGATGTTAGATACAGATGCCAAATTCCATTATTGACGGAGGCTGATGTCCCCTTAGGCAAGTGACTGACTGCCCAGGAGGCTGCCCAGGTCCACGGGTGCTGGCACTTGCTTAGTAATAAGACACGATTCTTCCTGGGCAGTCCCAGGGTTTAGTTAACTTAGGTCAGTTACCAACTATGTTAACGTTAGGCCAAAAAGGTCATAGAGACAACTAGAATAGGTGTCTAATTACCAGTTCAGTAATTTATAAACCAGGCCCCAGAACTATACAGGGATAGCAACTCCAATTTAGGCTGAACGCATCTATGGATCCATCTACCAATGCTTTGTAGGTGCAGTTCAGACGAGTATTTGGGATCATCCGCAGCTCCGGTACGTGACGGATGGCAACAATAAACCGAAAAGTAGCGATCTATACTTGATTTATTTTGGGCGACATATGAACCAATGTAAGTATGTTAACCAATTCACAGGTTATTGAGGAGATCCAACGACGCTGTGGACGCCTAACCCTACCAATGAGCGCGTCTTGGACAATTCAATCAGGTAGGCGCTGGCCCCAATACTTATTACGGTCCAGCCGGGTGGGGGTCAGATCGGCTATTTCTAGACTGCTAATGGTTGGTTTGTTAGAAAAAACGTTTAACATCTATTGCTTACTGCGTAATTCTGTAGTCCCAAGGATACTGCTTTCTTCTCGTCTAGGAGTTACAGAGGAGAGGTTTACCTCTAGCTTACGTTAATCCCCTTTTCGACCACCGAGGCATACACGTCAATTAATAAGCTTGATTTAAATACCAGAGACCTACACAGCCCAACAAAGTCCTTGATCTTCCAACTGTTTCAAGCTGCACACAACTTGAATCCATCTAGTATATCTGCACACTATACAATTCGATGGCCACTAGCTGGTCCTCTGCCTATAAAACCGGTGGATACAACCAGGGCACCAAAGCCTCCAGGGCTCTTCATCCCTGTCAATATTTGCTTACTCATCGCACAATCTGGCGGGGTATTTGCCAGCGCATCAGCATCGATCGTAAACAGAATCTACGTTTTCGGCAGATCATCATGGATCCCGTCGGGCCGGTTCGACATGTCCCAAACGCCAACGTGGACCTGATCCGCGATTTGATTCCCGGCATGCGCTCTTGGCTACTGGGCAATACTTTAGGGGACCCAATTCACGGGGTCATCGAGCTCAAAGTGAATCATATGGATCAATCTACCGCCGAGCTCCGGAAGCTTGTTCATCCAGGAGTAAGTATACCACGCGCAATTCATTTCCGAGTCTCCCGAACTAAGAGAAAGCTAAAGTGCGCCGACTACGCTATCATGCGAACTACCAAGGAAACGGAAACCCCACATAACTTTGCCGGTGCTATCTACACGCCCCTGCTCGCCGAAGATACAAACAGTAAACCAATGATCGGCCCGCTTAAACTGGAGATTGCTCAGACTGTGTGGGTTGAGACGCCGACGATCATCAGTGCTGGTTTCGTGTTCCTCATTATAAAGCCCACCAGCTCTCTATCTCTAGACCATGGAGTAACCTTTGAACGGATGGCAAGACTTGAGGCCGAAAATGCGCGACTGCAACAGCAAATTGCTCTCTCTAAGGAGATCATGGAAACGTCAAAAATAAACTATATTTGCCCATCCCGCGACTGCTATGAAGGCTTCAACGACATGAAAGCATTGAAAAATCATTGGAAAAAGCGCGAGATAAAGAACGGCTACGAAGATCCTCATGTTAGGTTTCTGGAGCGGTCTAAAGATCATCCCGCTTTTTTCGCTGCCTACCAATATGGCTTAGAGTCTGATCTACCTGTAACGCGTGTCCCTCCTGATCACACTTGCTTTCGTCGCGACTTTGTCATCTCAGAAAGTAAAAGGGGCCAGTCGTTTGCTAGATGCGTATCTGCCACGAAGGGTAAGTGCTTGATTTTCTTCATATTTGACCGGTCTGAGTCGCGCTACTTAGGCCCAGAAAGATATAAATATAACTTGATGTCAAGGCCCATTTATAAGCTCATCATCTCCGAATTTGGTCTGCTCAGAACTGATTAGTCTCGCTAGATCCGCCAGATGTGCAAGGGCGACATGCATAATACAGAGGTCGCAAACTCTAGTTCTACTTCATTGTGTGTCATGGAACTGATTACATTGTAAGATGACATATCTTTGGTCAATATCTTGCTTGGATTGTGCTGCGAATGGGGGAGAGCGATGTGGAAAGCCGCAAACACAAACCAAATCACACAATATGATATGGCAACCTCAATCCGGTGAGGTTATAGAGATTTCTGTAGGTTAGGGGCTCAACGAATAAGTCAGGGTGATGTGGTGGAAGAAAATCCCTTAGGTGTGCCTAGGATCCCATTTCTAACAAGGCTGAAACTGGAAGTCCACATCCCAATTCTCTTTTGTATATTATCAGACTTTTTGGATCAATAAGTTAGCGATATTACTACTGCTCAATCATTCAAGATGAGCTCAGAATACCCTTGCTCGTTATTTAGCTAAATCATTGAATGCCAAAGATATTGATCGACAAAAGCTTCCGGATATTCTATGAAACAGGCGATCGAGGCGTTTGGTCGCTACGCTCGAAGTTGATACTGAGAGATTGGGGTGCTAGCCCTTTGTCCTTTGGGGAACTTGAAATATAAAAGAGAATTATGGTTCAATGATCCGGCTCAAGACGCTGAGGTGAAGCTTCGCTGCTGTTAAGATTGCAAAACCTGAGATGGTGACGAGGACACACTCATTTTGTTAGGTCTTGGTTAGGCTTGTGGTTACATCGATTGATAAGGTTCAGTTTGATCTAATACTTTGATTTCGATTGGAGCTAATAACTGCCCGCGTCGTACTAATCTTCGAAAAGCAAGACAGAGATTGCCTCTTTGATAATTGATAATCAAGGTATCATTGAACGCTAAAGCGTGAACGCTAGAAATGCAAAATAAAACAATTGGTATCATCGCAATTCTCAAACCAGTTCCAGGCTAATCACAACATATTGTGGTCTCCTCCAATTTCCGCGTATCTTCCTGCGCGTCATCCAAACCCACAGTGACCACCATCCAATCACATAAGAATTTGCCCAGCCCCGCTCCAATGAAAATGCAGATAATCACATACACATTGAAGTACATGGCCAGCAACATGGTAATATAAGCCCCGGCAAAAGTCACCGCATGAATAATCGAGCGAATCAATTGCTGCAGAGGCGTGGCGCGAAAAGTCATTGCCCGCCGTGGACAAGTCTTGGCAAGTGTGCCGTGCGCAGCTTGGCGCTGGAATTGGCGCGTCAGGAAGTTGTCGTACTCGCGCCCAATGCGGCGACAGAACTCAACCAGCACGACCAGCAGGATGGTGCCTATACATGTTGCAGCAAACATGCCATTGTTCTTGATCTGCCATCCGGTGGATAGGAAACAGGCATCAATGGTGTTGAAATTGAACAGCATCTGGATGAGATAAGCGAATAGTTCTGGATATGGAGTCTTGGCGCACTCACGGAGATTTTGCAGTCGGCGCTGCTGGTTCCCATATCCATGCCCTCCATGACTGCTGATGAGGGTATACGGAGAGAAGGGTAGAGGATAGAGGTGTATCTGGAGTCCAACCAGTCTCTACGGTATCAGGTTGCGGCCTCAACTTATATCTGACCTGATCGCGCCCCCACCAAGTGGAGTCAACCATGGCGTGAGAGAGAAATGTGCTCAAATCGCCTCAGATGCGAAACTGGCCACTTTGGTCGGGGTTGAGGCCTGTGGTAATCTCTAAAATACCGTTGGCTTCCCCGGAGAATTGCCATCTTCATACTTTTACCTTCAATCCACTCGCCATGACCTGTTAATCCGTGTCAGATATTTCAACCTGGCTCAGAGATTTGCTGCCATTGATACCCCAGGCGTACTGCTTGGATTATATACAACATGACGTTCCCCAAAGTGGCTGCTCGCCACATCCAAAATATGAGCGCCGCCACGTCGTTGGAGCCTCATTGGGGATATTACGATCGGGCGCTGCCCTGCACAAACGATGCAGGCTCTTGTGCCTATCTGGACGATGTCTATCATTCCCATGACCTGGGCATGCTTTATTCCGGCATCTTGTGGTGCGTGATTGGCGCGTTGCTGCTGAGCTGGGTTGTTTTGAAGCAATTTGGCACACCAATGTCACCGATGATGGCCACACCAGCGCCTGTGGGTCTGTCCAAAATCCAGCGCGCCTGTTCATCTGTTGTTCGAAAATACCTTCTCCCGGATGCGGCTCGGATGATTTTTGGACGGACTACCCGTCTGCAGGTGCTCATTCTCGCCCTGCTCTCGGGGTATCTTCTCATCTTCAGCTTCGTGGGCATCGGTTATAACACCTGGGTGACCCCTGTGTCGGATATGCCCGGTGTTTATAACACCCGGAATAGTATTGGACCTTGGTCAGACCGGGTTGGCACCCTAGCATATGCCCTGACTCCACTCTCTGTCTTGCTGAGCAGTCGAGAGTCCTTTCTTTCGTTGATCACTGGCCTGCCATACCAGAGCTTCAACTTCATGCACCGCTGGCTCGGTTACATCATCTTCCTGCAAAGTTCCCTTCATACAATTGGCTGGTGTGTTGTCGAGATCAGACTTTACCAGCCGCAACCTTCCGTTGCCCTCGCATGGGTCAAAGAGACTTACATTGTTTGGGGTATTGTTGCAATGATCCTTTTGCTACTGCTCTTTGCACTGAGCACTCCATGGGGAATCCGGCTCACCGGCTACGAGACCTTCCGCAAGCTACACTACGTCCTTGCCGTGGTCTACATCGGCGCGTGCTGGGGCCACTGGAAACAACTAAAATGTTTCCTCTGGCCATCGCTGATCTTCTGGTTCCTCGACCGAGGCGCCCGGTTAGTTCGAACCGCCATACTTCATTACCACCCTGAACAATCCAGCACGCTAGGCCTCGGCTTTAAATCCGCAGACGCAACAATCACCCGCTTCCCAGACGAGGAACATGGCGACGTCATCCGCCTTGACCTGGACAACAACCAAGATCCCTGGGCTATCGGCCAACACTACTATCTATGCTTCACCCAATGCAGCATCTGGCAATCCCACCCCTTCACCCCGCTCAACCTCCCGTCTGTCTCAAAGGGCACAGTGAAACACTCCTACCTCCTTCGTGCGAAAGGCGGCGAAACGAAAAAGGTCGCCGCGCTCGCTGCAAAGGGCAACCCAACCATGCCTATCATCTTGACCGGCGCCTACGGCGAAGAGATCACCACCTCCCTGACACCAAACACCAACATCCTTTGCGTCGCCGGCGGAACGGGAATTACCTACGTTCTCCCCGTCCTCCTGGACTTAGCACAGCAACCCCGCTCCCCAGACCGCAAGGTCGAACTCATCTGGGCAATTCGCCACTCATCAAATACAGAGTGGGTCAAAGCCGAACTGGACATCCTGCAAAAAGCACGGAAGGAATTGAATCTCGACATTAAGATTTTCGCTACGCGGGACACCAGCAGCAAGTCTCCTTCGCTGGACGACTCGGAGAATTGCAATTTATCCGTTCCTGTCGACTCGCCCAAGATCGAGATTGATGAGAAGGCCGTGCAGGTCTCGCCTTCTTCGTCGTCTGAGTCTGGCTGTTGCGGATGTGACAAGCCAACTGCCATCGAGCGGCTTGGTAGTGGTGCTGAGGATGTGAATAGACATCCTGATCTGCCTGTGCTTGTTAATTCTTTCCTTGAGGATACGGTGCGTGGCCCTACTAGTGTTTTTGCTAGTGGGCCTGGTGGCATGATCAGTGATCTGAGGGATATTGTTGCCTCTTGCAACTCTGGCTCGAGGGTATGGAGGGGTTTGGAAAGATTTGACGTTACGCTTGTTTGTGATGATCGCTTGGAGTGGTGATTGTTTTGCATATATTCTCCCTCTGCATTTTGGTTTACTTTAGCGGTATATAAGCATCTGCCCTATATTTATTGTACATATTCTGGCATTTCTGATATCATCTTTCTCATTCAAACCCCCTGTTTACTAGTAATTGTCACAAATTTGAGTTCCGATCTAGAGGTGAAATCGGAATCTTGACGGAATCTTGCTTATTGAGATGGATAATCCTGTCCAAGATTCCGTGTAGATCTTCAGGACCCACCGCGATCATCGTCACTTTTGCCCCAATTATCCTTCCCGCCAAGTTTGTTTTGCAGGAATGCGGGTCATCGGAGTTAAAAAAGGTGCCCTACGTGATACCTGTCCGATATTTCTAACCACAGACTTTATTCAACTATTGTGCTAAGTCAACCGGAATACATGTAACAAGCCGGCAACCCGACCGGCAACCTGACCGGCAAGCCGAACAGGACACGAAATACTCCACGCTTTGTTCATGACTTTGCCAACAGTTTGACAATATGTAGATGTAGAGCAGCTGCCCCGCAGCTTACAGACTCCACAGCTATGCAACCCACCTAGGGTTCGGAGCCGTTATAGCCGGACTCCAAGAGCAAATATAAAACACCGCAGACATCCTCGATTCCGAGCAGCTATATCACAAATATCTAGTTGCGAAAAAGGGCCAGATCAACACACTCAAAATGGTCCCACCAACCAAGAAAGTCGCCTTCGTCACAGGCGCCAACGGCATCAGCGGCTTCAACATCATAGAACACCTCGTCCGTCAGCCAAAGTCAGAGTGGTAAGTATGTCCAGCCAACTCCAACACCTTCATATTATTAACTAACAAACAACCAGGTCCAAAATAATCGTCACATCCAGACGACCTCTCCCAAACGCTTGGATCGACCCACGCGTCAAATTCATTGCAGTAGATTTCCTCAACCCAGTCGATGAAATCACAGAGAAACTGAGAGAAACCTGCGCTGATGTGACACACGCCTTCTTCACTTCTTACGTGCACAGCGACGATTTCAAGGTCCTGCGCGAACGCAATGTGCCTCTTTTCCGGAACTTCATTGATTCAGTCGATGCTGTCTGTCCGAAGTTGGTGCGGGTTTCGCTTCAGACTGGTGGGAAGGTGAGTTTGTTTCGACACTGAATCTTAAAAAGAGCAAAAGAGATTGCTTTGAATGATGCTAAAAAGTGATACTGTACAGTACTACGGTGTCCACCTTGGTCCCGTGAGGGTTCCGCTGGAGGAGTCATTCCCTCGTTATGATGACAAGGGGTTCAACTTCTACTATAACCAGGAGGACTACCTGCGCGAAGTTCAGAAGAGGAGAGGAACGTGGGGGTGGAATGTTATTCGGCCTAATGCTATCAACGGGTTTGCACCGCATGGTATGTCCTCCGATTTGATTTCAGCAGCCTTAAAGGGGCACTTGATGTCTTGCAGAGTGTCATGCGGATATGGGCTAATTACCGCTGGCCGAATAGCGAATGGCATGTCTGAAGTCCTGACTATCGCAATCTACATGCTGATCTGTCGTGAATTGGGCCAACCTGCCGCTTTCCCCGGAAACGAATACTTTTGGAATTCCATCGATGATAACTCCTACGCGCCTAGTCTGGCGGATCTCTCTGTGTGGACTGCATCGCAGGATCACTGCAAAGACGAGGCATTCAACCACGTGAACGGGGATGTCTTCGTGTGGAAACACATCTGGCGAGACTTTGCGGCTTATTTCGGTCTTGAGGTATGATAATTTCCAGCCTGCATAACACGCTAGAGTCTAGTTTCTTTGTTCTGAATATCTGTTCTGATATGAGATATGTAACCACAGGTTCCAGAGCCCGTCTTCCAGACAGCAAGCGGTCAAGCTCAAACGCTGTCCAATGAAATCGACATGGTAGAGTGGGCGAAAGACAAGCGCGAAGTGTGGGAACGTGTTGTTGCCAAGTATGGCGGTAAGGCGGAGGCGTTTGATTGGGGAACATGGGGATTCTTTAATTGGGCGACGGGCAAGTCTTGGTTGACCATTTCATCTATGAACAAGGCGAGGGAGTTTGGATGGCATCGGAATGATTCTACTTTTGAGACGTGGGTTGAGACATATCGCTCGTTCGAAAATGCAGGGGTTATGCCTGATGTTGGTCTGCTGAGGGATTAAACCGAAGGGTAACGTTAGGGTTCGGGTAGGCGACTTTTGTGGGGAGCAGCGGCCAGAAACAGAATGGAGAAGGCGAAAGAAAGGCAGAAATGCAGAAAATGCCCAAATCCCCATACAAATGCATCGGTATTTCCATGTGCAATTGGCCAATCGGATGCTCGGGGGATTGGTCCACTGTGTAAATCCGAACTAGACGGCGCTAGTGGCATAAAACGGTGAAGAAATCTCAGAGGCAATTGGTTCGTCGCTTCAAATAGTGTGAATAGTATAAATAGACGAAGTAAGTTCTAGAATTGAAGTGGAGCTTAGCTGATCTGCTTGTAGTTAGATAGACCTAAATGCATTCACGCCCCTGAATTCTTGGGCTGGAAAAATTTCGGGATCTTTTGGGTTCTCATTTCTAGACAGAAGAGCTGCCTAGGATCATTGTCTTGAGGTCTTATTCTTCAACAAAGAGGTGGTGGAATATGAATAGGAAGCATCACCGCACAATTGAACGGCGATTCGGTTTTGTCAATCAAGTTCGCTTCAATGTCTCCTGAACACGTTCACGATATCCAGGAGCTTGCCCCTGATGAGCATACGTTAGCTGGCAAGCGCTATCGGAAATATCTTCAACTTGCCTCACAAACGGCACTATGGGCGACATACATCTACTTTGTGGCTCGTTTATTCTTCATTCTGACTGAGGAGCGAACATGGAAAATGTGGGCCATGTTTACAGTGGAGCTTTTGTTTGCTTGTCAGTATCTACTCCAGAAACCTGTTCTGGCAAACACTAATTAAAACAGACATATCGCATAACCATCAAAAATTGTCGGCGACAGCAACCAAATCATTAGAGCAAAACTCGCGCAAAAGATTAAGATTACGCAGCAGCGACAATCTGCCTCGGGTCGATGTCTTGATCACTTGCTGTGGTGAACCATCCGATGTCATTCTAGACACTGTGCGAGCAGCCTGTGTGCTAGACTATCCAGTTGATCTTCTTCGGGTCCGAATTCTAGATGATGGAGCATCAGCCGAGCTCCAGGAAGCAATTACCAAGCTTTCCCTGAAATGGAGCCATCTTTACTACCACACGCGTGGTAAGCAGTCTGGTAAATCTTTCGCCAAAGCAGGAAATCTCAACTACGCCTTGTTCTCTCTGCAAACCGAAGATCCACCTGAATTCTGCACCGTCGTGGACGCAGACTCGATCCTGCTGCCGGAATTCCTGCGCGCTACTCTGCCACACCTACTGCTAGACCCAGAAGCAGCATTACTGACCACGCGCCAGTACTTCTACAACCTGCCCAACGGTGATCCCCTCTCACAGTCACGGGCATACTTTTACACATGCGAGAATACAGAATTGGACCTCCTCGGCCACGCCTTGGATGCCGGCTCCGGCGCGGTCTTCCGTCGCGACGCCATTCTAAATGCTGGCGGGTATCCAACGTACTCGTTCTCGGAGGACTGGCAACTTTCTTTGATCCTACGCGGACTGGGAAAGCGCACGATGCAAGTGCAGGAAGTATTGCAATTCGGACTCGTCCCCACTTCCCTCGCTGGACATGTCAAGCAGCGCAATCGGTGGTATATTGGCCACTCTCAGCAGATCTCTGTTCTGTCTCCATCGGCTAACCAGGGCATTCCTGAGAACCTGCGGTGGGATATTGCCATTGGCGGATTGTCTATCATTGCAGGACTGGCTTGCCATGTAATTGGCTATGTGGCCCTGCCTTTTCTTTTGGTCTTTGGGGACTCTTTGATCCCTACTGGATCTACCTGGCAGGTCAAAGCCCAGATCATTCTCGCTACCGTTCATGTTGCGTCTACTTGGGCTTATGACTGGCTTCGAAGTGCGCATGCTGGTGTTCCATTTGCACCTTTTGCCCATGCTGAGAATAGCTGGCTTGCTGGTGGTAGGTTCTTTTCGCGTCTCGTTTATCGATAATGCGCAAATATTAACACTGTCTCCTATAGCGCATCTGTATGCTGTCATCCGATTCCAGCTTTTCGGGAGCAAACCAAAGGGGTCTTTCGTTACCGGAAGCACGGCCAACTCTAGTGAGAATGCTACGTCCATCTCTCCCCTGAAGAAGGCGTACAGGGATATCCTTCAAAGTGGCAGTGGCATTCTGCTCAATGTCGGCTTGTTTATTGCCAGCGTTGGTGCATTTGTGATCGCCATTCAGATGGCTGTGTATGGAGATGGAGGTCTTGTCAGGGGATTGCTCACAACAGTTGCCTGGCCACCCCTTCTTCATCTGTTCTTTTTGGTGATCTTTAATAACTGGGTTCCTGTGGCACATTTGTTAAATCACCCAGTTTATTATTCCAGAGAGGACAGGTTGGTAAGCTCGGAAAAGGGTATTTCGTACCCGAAACCGGGGGTTGAGAAGGATGCTGGATCCGATCGGTCTGTTGTTGGTCTTTGTTGTTCTGTTCTGGTCCCAACGATTCTTTTGGGTCTTCTTTTGGGTTCTTTCTACTTATAGTCTGAGCAGCACCCTTCTTCATTCGTCGGTTTTCCTTTTACACCGATCAGTCAGTCTTTACGGACTTCTCGGTCATTTTCCCCGCTTCGCTATTCGGCCATTTTTCATGCTAGACAAAGCCTTTCGGGTTATAGACTATGAATCTCACGCACTTATGGCAGCTCTTTCTTATTAGAATGTTATGTTATTCATCGCACAATGTTCCATAATGTCGTCAACCCCAAATGAACGCCATTGGCCAAATGAATCTCCCCACAGTAGTGCGCTCAGACATCCAAACAAGATCTGGTTCGCTCGCCCTGCATGCCGAAAACGGTAAGGCGTCGCATGGTTCCCGGGCTTCCCCAGATGCATGTGAAAATTCCGGTGCACTGGATCTCACTTACAGTATATGGGCCATGATATTGATGGTTCACGTTAGCCGCAAATCGGCTGGGGTACGCTAGACGTATTCCCCGCCTTTGATGTGATCGACCGATTTGACGTGCATGTGAGACTAGACATGAGATATTCACTCCATGGCAAAGTGGGATTTGAGTCATTGAAACTTTAAGGGACGGAGGATGTGTTCTCCGTGATTCTTGCAAGTTGTAGGCAGAATCTTAATGAGGAAGGATATCAGCATGTGAGTGAAAGGAAATGTATAAATTCGAAGCATTTATAACGAGGGGATCTGGTGGTGGAAAACTATAAGCCAAGGAAGAAATATGTCTACTGCCAAAGAACGTCTGATGCTTCTCATTCCTTCCACTGTGCTCGAAACACTCGTAATCATCGCAACCCATGTATATGCAGAGCGTCCTGCCACAATCTTCCTCTATGCCCTGACAGCCAATTTCCTTCTTTTGGCAATATGGAGGGTCTTCATATGGCCCTTTTTCTTCAACCCCCTTCGACACCTGCCTACAGTCCGGGTATTGATTCACTACCAAAAAATCTCCCTTTGTACTAGAAAAGCTAACGAAAACTACTAGGGCCCCCTAATCGGAGCAAAAGTTTTCATGCTCCACCCTCGCGGCAGCATAACCCTAAATTGGCTCCGAACAATCCCAAACGAAGGCCTCATCCACTTCCGCGAAGCTCTGAACGACAGCTTTCTGTTAGCTACAAATCACAGAGCATTGATGGATGTCTTGCACACTAACAGCTATGATTTTGTCAAGCCACCAGGCGGACGGGAGTTTCTAGCTCGTGGGCTGGGGTACGGACTTATTCTCTCTGAAGGGGATGCTCATCGTGCACAGCGGAAAGCTGTCACTCCTGCGTTCACGATCAAGAATATCCGGGCTATGTATCCCCTGATGTGGACGAAGACGCAGCTCTTTTTGAGTCGGTTGGAGAGCGAGATTAGACTTCATGCCCTGCCGGGCTTGCACAATGCGAATCCGGCTGGGTTTGTTGAGATTGGGGGGTGGGCTAGGTGAGTGCCGTGGCTATTTCATTAAAAGATACTGGAAACAGACAGCTAATATTAGGGCTATTGAAGTCGATTGACTTTGGATATCATAGGTCCTGCTGCTATCGGCCGCGACTTTCAGTCATTGGAGAATGAAAACGACCCAGTGTCGCAGAGCTACTCTGCAATCTTAAAGCCGTCGACTGATCTGATCGTCCTTTTTGGTGCCTCGCTGCTTCTGCCCCAGTGGCTGGTAAGATTGATTCCTTGTAAGGCTAATATTGTGCTCCCGCGCAATGTCAGGTACCTGCGACAGGTATTCCACGACATTGTGCGCGAGAAACGCACGCTGCTTGTATCTGAGAAAATGGACCATGAAGCTGCCGACGGTGATATTCTAGGTACAATGATGCGAGGTGGGGAGTTCAGCGACAGCGAGCTGGTGGACCAGATGCTTACATTCCTTGCTGCGGGGGTAAGCTGCCTCATACTTACTTTGCCCTACCACAGAAGACGATGGAAAGCTAAAATCCACTGCAGCATGAAACAACAGCTGGGGCTTTTACTTGGTGCTGTTATCATCTTTGTGTAGAGCCCCATATCCAGGATAAACTGCGTCAAGAAATCCGCCACTCGATTCCTTCCCCAGCCGACTTGGTATCCTGGCAAGACCTTGAAGGTATGCCTTATCTCAACGGCGTATGCCAGGAAGTACTTCGTCTATACCCCACCGTCCCAATGACAGGCCGTGAAGCCATTCGTGATACTATGATTGCAGGGAAGAAGATACCCAAAGGCACAACGATCGCACTTTGTCCGCAGTCTATTAATCGGAGCCCGGAGTTCTGGGGCGAGACTTCCGATCAATTTCTGCCTGAGCGATGGATTGACACCGATACTGAGACCGGGAAACAAACTCCTAATAAACATGGAGGTGCGACGACGAATTTCGCCCAGATCACTTTCCTTCATGGGCCTAGGGCGTGCATTGGGAAGGATTTCGCGAAAGCTGAGTTTCGCTGTGCGGTCGCGGGGCTGTTTGGTACTTTCCAGTGTGAATTAAAGGATCCAAAGCAGAAGATCACTTTTGGAGGGACATTGACTAGTCAACCTTTGGAGGGAATGCATTTGAAGTTGATGAAGATTGGGGGCTGGAAATAGGTGGGTGTAAGTACTGTCAGGGGTCAGAGATAACTTACTAGGATTAGCATCATTCATCTATTTTGTATACAGTATCTGAAAATGAGAACCCCTTAAATTTGCCGCCAATATTTGGAGCCACCCACTTTCACGTATTTCCAACCCTCAAAAAGAAGCCGAGCAAGCGTGTCGATCGTCTCCGCATGGGGGATCGTCACCCCCGGAGTCTGTTCGCGTTTCAGCCCAAAAACAAGGCAGTCAAAGCAATCAAACGAGACGATCTTCCGATCTCAAACACCGAGGTTCATGGATCAATTTTAAAGCGCACGCGTGACACGAGGACCGAGGCAGCCAACCCCCTTGGCCGTTCATGTGGAGACCATTCCAACCCTTGGTAACAGTCATGGATAAGAAGAGGCCGTCTGCTTTGTGAAACAGACTATTCAATTGCAACTGCCTTCCTCTCAATATAATATAACATTGACGCCATGGCTATCGCACCCGATACTTCGACGGGATACCTCCACAACCTCACGCCTGAACAGGAAGCCAAGCTGCGCGAGTTTTGGGTTATCATCTTCGCTTCTGTCGCTTCTGTGTTGTCCGCTGTTTATGATGTTCCTGTTCCTGAGGGTCCCTCAAATAAGCTCTTCGAGGCGTTGGACAAGATCAATGAGCCGACTGTCGAAGCTATTATCGCTGCGTTGAAGGGGGAGAATGTCAATGGAAAATCGACCAACGGAACAGCTGACCCGGAATCAAATGGCACTGAGAACGGCCACACTAACGGCGAAACCAATGGGGAGACCAATGGACATGTCAACGGCGATAGCAATGGCGAAACAAACGGAGACACCAAAGAGAAAAGGTCACTCGACAAAGTGGACTCACTCCTGAACAAAGACGCGCAGAAGACTATCATCTCGGAACTAGCAACGCGGAAAGTATCTCCCGAGCACTTCACCACATTATTCGCGCAGCTCCGGAAATTGGGTGCTCAAGAATCCGAGATTAAGTCAATGGAGAACATTGTAGCCCAAATGACTCCCCAAGAAATGTGTTTCGCAATCCTCAAAATGGTCAAGCAAGAACATCCTGATAGTCTCCTGCTTCGATTCTTGAGGGCTAGGAAATGGGACGTTGGCAAGGCGTTCAGTATGATGACATCGACAATCCTGTGGAGAAAGGAAATGGATGTCGATGATGATATCCTGCCCAAGGGCGAAGGATATGCTCTGGAACAATCGAGAACCAGCAAGTCCGCGAAAGAAAAGAAAGATGGCACTGATTTCATCGAGCAGCTCAAGATGGGCAAGAGTTTCCTGCACGGCTTTGATAGACAAGGTCGTCCTGTGAATTATGTCCGGGTGAAGATTCATAAGCCCGGTGCTCAGACGGAGGAAACCCTCGAACGGTATATTGTTCATGTCATTGAGTCGACTCGACTGATTGTGGTTCCGCCGGTTGAGACTGGTGTATGTGATCCACATTCCGAATATGTGATCTATGCTGACTGGTTGGCAGACAATTGTGTTTGATATGTCTGGATTCTCTTTGTCCAACATGGTAAGTTTTTTTTGATATCCCCTATGCTGTACCAACACTGACCATAACAGGAATACTCGCCTGTTAAATTCATCATCAAATGCTTTGAAGCCAACTACCCCGAATCTCTGGGCCTCTTGCTCATCCATAACGCACCATGGATCTTCTCCGGTAAGCTGCATTGTATCCAACTGTGACACACAGGCTAACACACCTCGTTCTCAGGCATCTGGAGACTAATCCACGGTTGGATGGATCCTGTCGTAGCATCCAAAGTTCACTTTACGAAATCAGTCGCCGACCTCGACAAGTTCATCTCACGCACTCAGATCCCACGAGAACTAAAAGGGGACGAGGACTGGCAGTATAAATATGTCGAGCCGAAGCAAAACGAAAACGCCATAATGGAGGATACCGCCACGCGTGACAAACTCATGTATGATCGTATGATGATTGGCATCCGCATGCTTGCTGCCACCGCGGCTTGGATCTCGGCTACCACGTTCGCCGAAGGAGAAGGGGATCCGGCGTCGGTGGACGAGCTAAGTTCGAGGCGGAATTCGGTTATTGAGGAGTTCCGCATCAATTATTGGACTTTGGATCCGTATCTTAGAGCACGGGCGCTCATTGATCGGACTGGGGTTTTGGAGGAGGGTGGGAGTGTTGTTAGGCAGGCTTAAGACTTTGATTCCTGGACAATGAGAAGCTTTTCATGTTGGAGTTTTGGTCGTTTACCAAATTGAGCCAATCAAATGCCCTTGAGTTCTCTTGAATGATCTTGTAGTTCCTGGGTGCGAGGAAAAGAGCGTAGTGGTGCGAGTTTGTTGTATGCGTTCCACCTTCTGCTTCTTCTCTCGACGTTTACTTTTCCTTTCTTCCTTCCCCGTTCTCTCTTTGCTTCTTTTCCCATCTTCTCCGTCTTCTTCTTCGTCACTATTTCCCTCTATCTCCCGCTCTTGTTCTCGCTCTCTACGCATCATCTCATCAAGGCCGTCTGCTGCCTGGTCCCTATCCCACTCTCGCTTGACTGTGAATCTCTACTCGCTTTCCATCTCTTGCAGCCCTCCCGACGTCAACATGGTGCGGTCGTCCGCACCATCTCCCTCCACGAATGACTCCACCTCATCGTCTGGGGTATCTGATAGTACTTCTATCAATGAGGTCAATGAGACTGTCTCTGTACATAACACGACATCATTCTCCGACTCTTCCTCTGACTCCCTCAGGAGGATGATCACAACCCGCAACACGAGTTTGCTCTTCTCGAATTGGTTATTGATGCACTCAATAGTTTCAGTTCCCAGGTCTCGGAGGCAGACTGTAGTGTTGTCGCCTCGATTTCCACAGCGATTTCTCGCCTGAAAGATATTCGTAACTACCACGGCCACTTGGCTGAGGATGATACAAAGCTTGCTCTAACAAATCTCATGAACGATGGTAAGTTATAAGGCCCTTCCGCTGTCTAGATGAAGCTCTAACCATGGAACAGGAGGTTTTTTACCAATTTATGTCCCTGCGCAAAATGCCGCGGTGCTCTTGTCTCGACATCAGGACATCCACTTCGAATCATTTGAGCTTTCTTCTCGCAACAAGGCTGTCATGGCCACCTTGGGTCGTCTTCGGCGCTCATTTCCTGGCTACGCTCTTGCTTTCACGATGAATACATTTGACAACGTTGAACTCCGCGACATGATATCTCAAACCCTATGCCAAATGAGCCATCAGTCAGCTCCCAATACCAGTTTGAAAGTGAAAAAAGCCGGGGAACAACACGATGAGGATCGCGATACAACCCATCCCAAAATGATTACTGAGTTTATGATGTCAGTCCTGCTTCCACTTGGTACCACTGTACGCTGGCCTCAAATCCTCAAGCACACCCGTGATGATATTTTGTGGCAAAGAAGCCGATCCCCCTGGCGGAGATCGTCACTGTGGCTTTTAGTCCGAGTCACTATGCAACTTATTTGCCGTAGAAGTCTTGGACAAGAGAGGGGGTATGAACTGTACAAACATTTTATGGTCTTCTTCATGGCTTCCGTTGCTGGCTGTTTTGATATTGGAGCCTCAAGTGACGACCTCTATGTTATGAACGCGAAACTGGCACGTCGTTTGCTTAGAATCAACTTGTCAGTTAAACCTGCTTGGTTGTCTTCTGTTGAGAAAATCGTGAATCAAAAGGTCCTGCAAATTGACGAGCACTGGGGACAGATTCAGTTCAAAAGCAAGCATTACCCCGATGTGCAATCACTAGCTCTACTGAATTTTCTCAATGATATCAGTGTTCAACTCCCGGGCCTGGATGCTCATATCTCAAGTATCTTCCAGCAAACTTCTCGTGGGCCCATCACTTCCGCCTTCCAGCCGTCTTCAAGGTTACTTCAGCTACAGCCTGGGGTGCTTCCATGCCATCTTGACTTTGTTGATCTTCATGATGCGGACTACACGATCTACAATCTCGCATCATTTGAGTACTGGGTTTCTTCAAGCCTCAGTGCCTGGCTTATGAAAAACACTGCTAAGTTGAAGACATCTGCTAAGTTGAAGACATGTGCTAAGCTTGGTACCCTGATGATTTGCTACCATCGAGCTGCTGCCACTGCGTACTCTGGCAATCCTGAGGCTATTTCCATCATGGTTCTGACTCTGCTGGAACTTTGGGTTGCTTCTGATAAATCTGCCAACCTAATCCACGAAGATTTGAAAGACTACGACCCGTGCATTCCAGCCGGTTTGTTCCAGTCTCTTTTGCTACCTCTTCCGTCACAAATGCTGAGGCTTTCTTGTGCTGAGAAATATCTTCAGGAGCGTCAAGCGAAAATTGTGTATTTTGGTGACGGCATCTTTCGAGACTTCGGGACTGATTCCTGCTTCTCAGTTCGATACTTCGACAAATCGGTTGAACACCAGGAATCTTACCGGGCGATACCAAGGCGGGCAGATCAGCAAAGAAATTCGAAGATTGCTGAGCTTCGCCAGTTACAGGCACATTACCATGACTTACTACGTAACGCTTCTCTCGCCGAATGCAAGAAAGATGAAAATGGGCATCATCAAAGCGACTGCGGATCATGTCTAAATCGAGACCAAGCCGCCAAAATTCAAATTGATATTCATGAATGGCCTCTACCAGTCCATTCACTCAAGGCCAAATCCACTTTCTTTGAATTGAATGTCCCGAAATCTTTCGGATGCTGGAGGCAGTCTACCATCTTCTTTTTGTGCGACGTGTTGAGTCATTATTATCTTCACATTGAGAAACCAAGAGCCTCATATCGACCAAGTACATCTTCGATCCATCAACCCTATTTCGTCAGAGTACAAGGAGCTGAGCGCATTGGCCTCCTTTCTCAAAATAAACCTCACCAAGCAACGCACCGACGCAGCAAGCCCATCATCTCGGTCACTGAGGCCGATGTTTGCCTCCAGAGTGGTGTTGATTGGCATTATTTTGACGAAGTCTCGGGTTGCTTTATAAACGAATTCACAGCTACCACAAAAATTGCAGAATCTTGTACTTACCAACTACCGAATTCCGCCTTGTGTTTGCAGAGATTTCTCTTCCGTCCTCACCAAGCCCCAGATGGTCTATCACCTAACACCGTGATTTCAACACAGTTTGATGCTCCTAGGGACATGTCATTAGCTGAGTATAACTCTCTTACGACACTGCCTCTTGGATTTGAAATACAGTGGCAAAATATCCTTTTGGAACTTTCTATGCCACTAGTAAATTTCAAAAAGATTGAGACTGCGATTTTCTTTCTTCAAATTGCTTTTCAAACTGGTCCACCAAAAGCTAAGACGGATCTAAGACGAGGCTATTCGATCTTATGCAACGATTCTTTTGCAATGAGGCTGCTTGTTCAAATTGAACATACTACCCGAAGATTCAAAGAGAATTGGGAAATGGTTCATGGGCTTAGCAGCCTGGTCTCTCTCGTGTTGCGAGTCTTAAATCTTGTTCCTGCGCTAAATGTACAAAGTCTAGCTCTTGAGATTCTGAAATTTATCCGTCAGACTGCCTATCACTGGATAGATCTTGTCAGAGAAAAGGCCGACCTGGAGGTCAACGACAAGCGCAAGACATACCTGGCTGCAAAGGCTACTCACATTGCCTTAGCTTGCTCAGATACATTTAATGTGGAAGACTTGTCTCGTATCTTTGCGACCCCTTCGGATATCTCTGACCTTTTCCGATGCTGCATGCTAATTCATGACTGGAAGCACACGCTCAACATGGGCTCAGATCCATTGCTGCCTATTCTTTATCGTCGATGGCAAGATCTCAGCCGTCGCAGCTGCGATATTCTTACAACAAAGATTGTTTGCGAATCGAATGAAGGGTTAGACCTGGCACTCCAAAGAATTTGGGCAGCATATGATTCTATTTCGCGCCAGTGGAAGACAGCGGGTACCTCTGAATACTTGCTTATGGCCGTCACAAGCGACACACTTGGTCGCAATGTCAATTTGCAAATGCATTTTAACATACTCACTGGCGAATTCCTTGTCAACGGTCGGCCGCTCGCTCGCCTGCCATCAGCCTATGAATCCGACTCAATTTACCAGTGTCTCTTTGGAAGGTCTCAATTAAGCGTGATGCCAAGCAATATTCCAGGAATGGAATATTCGTGCCAGACACAATGCAGAGCGCACACTGTGCACTTGGCAATGCAGTCTTACTCAGACTCTCAGCCCGCTGATATGTTGGTTAGAGCTAACAATGAAAATGGAACCTGGGAGCTCATTCCACGCAGGCTCTTGATTACGCTCTTCCCTACTACCTTTGTGGAAGAATATGTTCATTGGCGGGATTTCGATAACCGTTGGATAGAATTTCGCCCTGTTAAAGCTGCCTGGATCTCCTCTAATGATAACTGGAGGCTGAAGAGGAATTCATTCAGCGATAGCTGGTACCTTAAGAAGAAAGATTCCCACTTGGTCAGCATCACAAGCGAGACTGCAAAGCTCATATCTTGCATCCTTCAGCCACTTGAGGTATCCTCAAGAATCCATTGTATTCTGAGCCGTGCAGATTCTGTTCTTCACATTGAGCTTCCCCGTCTGCAATTGTGTTTCTATCTCCATTCGAATTCCCGCTCTTTGCGATGTTCACAATATCCGGGCATGGAGGTCGCCAGCGATCAATCGTTGGGTTGTCTTACTGGTCTTGACAGTAAATTGCTGCTCATTCATCGCAAAACCCACAGCAAGATACTTCTGATTCCCAATGGTCATGTTTGTTTCAAGTCCCGTTACTCTCACGTGGGTGTCACCGTTGAATGGCGACCCGAGACTCGAATTTATGCATATTCGGTAGACTCTCAGCTAGGACGACTAGTTGACAACGGAAGTCTGGATAGCAAGCTGCTCCTTTGCTATCTGTATGCTCTGACATCTTATTGTATCCCAGACACTCTGACCAGAATGACAGGGATTGAGAAAGCTCTCTCAATTCTTCGATCGGCCTCGCTCAGAAGCTTTGATCGACTCGGCCCAGAGCACGCGGGCATATTGCTGAAGATATCCAAGCTTACTCCTGTCAGAGCTTTCTATCCATCAGGCCTGAAAGTCATGCAGAGTGTCAACTGGCAGTCCCATCTCAGCTATCTCACTCATCACAATGCTTTCTACGAAGAGGTTGCTACCATAATTAATCAACACAAACAAACAAGCTTCCTTTATGCGGAAGAAGACTCAAATAAAATTTTGTTGCCGCCGATAAGTAAACATTTACTTAATCGTGACAAAATCCGAATGTCCAGTTTCCGTATCGCTGGCTTCGGGGCAGAAGATCACACGCAGACTTACGATGCTACATACCCTGGCCTCACATCTTGCGAAAGTTCTCTTCAAGCTAATAAAGCCTTCTTTATGTCCAAGATGGTCTACGATGAAATTCCCCGTGTGCGAGAACTCACATCCGAAAAGACATTCGATCATTTGTGGAACTTGTTCTCCACGGTATATTTCATGCGAGGACCTTCTGTGGACGCAGGCCTTCCAAACATCAGATACGATGCAAGCCTTTGCGATAATCCAATTGGTTTCATCGTCGAGTTTTGGTGTTACATTCATCAGCTCATTGAATCCCCAAAACGCCCCAACAGGTTTCAGTTAATGATCTGGCTCTCGACCCTAGCATTTGCAAATAAAACAGACATTATACTACTGAAATCATTGCGTCAATTTACTTGTCACCTGATGCATCTGCCATGGTTCCTCCGTGACGATCGAATTTCCAGCCTTCGGCAGGCACTGAGTTGGACTCTGAAACCGTGTCCAGTTGGATTGAGAGCTGCGATGTTGATGCTCCAAACTTGGCTATGAAAAGATCAAGAGGCGAGACAATGGAATCTTTTCAGGCACGCAAGAGCAGAGCCATACAGCGTAATCAAGAACAAGTATCTCAAAACATACAAAATCATCTTCAATCCCAATGGCCATGCCGGCAACCTGCCATGCCATCAAAAAGCGGGAGCCTAAACTGTGTTGATTACTTTGAAATGTGGCACATCAAGAAAAAAGCTTCATATTTCTTCAACCTTTGGTTAGACAACAGAGAGTTGCATGCCTATCTTGAGAAGCTCATCAGTGTCATCTGCTCCCAAGGCTTTCGTAAAATTGACGTTCCGAGATATCCAGTTCCGCTGTCTCCAGTTCCCGATTCATGTAGACGGGAATATGTTTGCATGGACGATTTGCTTTCGTTTCCTTTGAGTTTCAACCAAAAGAGACCGCAGCTGCGTGAGGTTCTCCAAATCCCACTGGCACGAAAAGCGCCTGCCCCCCAGCTTGTCGCACTGGTCGAAACTCTCAAGCTACACGCCAATTCCAACTATGAAACTTGGTACGCGCAACAGCTGCAAGGAAGTGTCGTGTCACTTCAGCGAGGAGAACAGAGCGCGCGGGTTTATTTGGATGCTGATGAGCTACGGGAAGTCATCGCCGGCTACCTTCAAGAGTGCAGAGATTATTCCCGAGCCTTCTATCATACCATTATCTCTCAACTTTGTTTACTTGAATATTGGAGGTCAACAGAAAGCGTCAATGTCAGGGTTCTTCACATATTGTTCCAGGTGAACCAATTGCCGAGACTATCACCAATCTTGCTATTGCAGCAACTTTCACGTCATCGCTGGACCAAGCTGTCTGTTGAATGGAAAGACTTGTTCGTGGCGTTCGGTCGTTCTCTGACAGATATGCAAAGAGCAGAGCGTCTAATGAGTCATGTTGACAATCATGACGAGCTCCTGAGGGAGCTTCAAACTCCAGGCCACACAAACTGGGAACCTTTCGATTTTCCTGAGTCTCTTATACTAGAGATTGAGAATAACCTATTGATCAGGGGTGTTCAAGAAGACATCGCTTCCAAGATGAGAAAGTCCGTACCCGGATAGAACGCTGTCATGCAGTTGAACATGGGAGAAGGGAAGTCATCGGTAATTGTGCCAATTGTTGCAGCATCCATTGCCAATGAGTCTTGCCTTGTCCGAGTACTTGTCGCAAAGCCGCAGTCCCGGCAGATGTTTCACATGCTGGTCTCCAAACTTGGGGGAGTTATGGATCGACGCATCTACCACATGCCAGTGTCTCGCGGTCTTAAACTCGAAAATGCTGAAGCAGAGGCTCTTGAACGTATGTGCGTTGAGTGTATGGAACAAGGGGGGGTTCTTCTTGTTCAGCCAGAACACATACTTTCGTTGAAGCTAAAGTGCATTGAGTCGTTCATTATGAAGAAGAAGGACGTTGGATGCTCTCTCCTTCGCGTTTTGAGGTTTTTCGAAAAGTACTCCCGTGACATTGTGGATGAAGGTGATGAAAACTTCAGCGTCAATTTTGAGCTGGTGTATACTGTGGGTGTGCAACGGTCAATCGAGCTTAGCCCTCACCGTTGGATCCTGGTCCAACGGGTCTTGGACATCTTGCGAAGAGAGGGTCCTAAGCTCCGACAAGAGTTCCCACATTCAATTGAAGTTGAGGAGCACCAAGTTGGCCGTATTCCTAGGATTCGGTTGCTTCGTGTGGATGCTGAAAAGGCACTTTTTGAACGCATCGCAGAACACATTTGTGAAATTGGCATTGATACACTGCAGATTTTCAGACAGCCTAAACAAATGCGACAGGTTATCAAACGATACATCTTACAGCCAGACTTGACGCAAGAAGATATTGCTGTTGTTGAGGACAATGGTCCGGCCGGATTCTGGACCAAGAATTCTGCAGGCCCTCTTCTGCTTTTACGTGGTCTACTTGCTGGAGGTGTTCTGGGGTTCTGTCTTGGTCAAAAGCGCTGGCGCGTCAACTACGGGCCTGATCCTAACAGAAATCCACCGACGAGCCTCTGTGTCCCCTACCGAGGCAAAGACAATCCTTCCCTCCGTTCTGAATTCAGTCATCCCGATGTAATTATCATCTTGACGTCTCTGCGTTACTACTACGCTGGGTTTAATGAACCAGATCTCTTCTTGGCACTCAGTCATCTTGTCAGATCGGATCAGGCTGATATGGAATATGAGGAGTGGGTGACTGATGCACCTTTACTTTCTTCGGCATACCGCCAACTAGTGGATGTCAACCTTGAGGATCGGCATTAGTTCACAGATCATATTTACCCTGTACTTCGTTTTTCCAAAGCTGCCATTGACTATTTTCTTTCGGCAATTGTCTTCCCAAAGCAGATCAAGGAGTTTCCACTCAAGCTCTCTGCATCTGGTTGGGACGTGGGTGAGATCAAAACACACTCGACTGTTGGCTTTAGTGGGACAAACGACTCACAAAAGACCCTTCCGTTAATGGTGAAACAACTCAACCAGCCCGCCCAGAATCATACAAATGCCTTGGTTCTGGAATATTTGCTCCGACCGGAGACAACTGTGGCACTTCTGCCGGATCAAATCCGACCTTCCAAGTCAGATGGGCAACGTCTACTGGATTTCGTTTCCAGTCTTGATCCCCCTGCTCAGGTTATCCTCGACGTTGGTGCTCAGATTCTAGAGCTTGGCAATCTGGAAGTGGCAAAACACTGGTTGAATATGCTCCCCTGCCAGGGAGCAATTGAGGCTGTTGTTTTCGTCAATGATACCGACGAAGTATGCGTCGTTGGTCGAAACGGTCGCGTGGAACCCTTACAAACGTCACCATTTGCACGGAAGATGGAGGCATGTTATGTTTTCCTGGATGAGAGTCACACCCGGGGCATCGATCTGAAGCTTCCAGCCACATATCGCGCTGCAGTTACTTTGGGCCCCGGTATCACGAAGGACAAGCTTGTCCAAGGTATTTTCTCCTCCCTTCTCTTACTGATTACAAACTAATAATACCATTGATAGCATGTATGAGAATGAGAAATTTTGGCAATGGGCAGTCAGTAGTCTTCTGCATTCCCTCGGAAATCCAATTCAAAATCCGAGCGCTCTGTGGGAACGAGATCCAAGATGAGATAACGGTCTCAGATGTTCTCTGCTGGGCTGTTTCTGAGACTTGGATTGACCTTAGCCGCGCCATACCCCTATGGGCCATCCAAGGGAAGCGATTCGAGTATCAACTCGAGCAGTGGAATCGAGCCCGCGTGAGTGGGCCCCTTGAGATTCCTTACAAGATTGCCCGAAAGTTTCTTGAAGAGGAAGGCCAGACAATTGAGCGAAGATATCGCCCTGGTCATATCAAACTACCAGATTTCCTCTCATCGATCACGGATAATGAAAACTTACGCCTGATATCTGAACGCTGTGCCGAATTTGGCAACCTCAACCTCTCATCCACTGCCCTTAATGAAGAACAAGAGCGCGAGCTAGCACCGGAGATCGAGTGTCAGTGCCAGGTTGAGAGACCCCGAAAAGCTCTTCCAAGGGATCACTTCCTTCATCAGGACTTAGTGACATTCGTTAACACGGGCTATTTAAAAGAGGACTCTAATTGCTGGAAACCAGCCTTCAAGTCACTCAAAAGCACCTCTGCATCTTCGTTTCTGGATGTCTCTCAGTTTCCCTCGAGCCTGTTGGTCACCCGTGAATTTGCGAAGACCATTAAAACTCCAAAGACTGCAAATTATGTTTCTGATTCCTTCCAGCGCTCAGTCCGATGGATCTTGACGACCTCACTGTCCAAGTCTCCTGGCAGTCAAAGGGAAGTCAGAAAGATGGTGATTATCAGTCCTTTCGAGGCCAATTGCCTTCTTGAGATGGTACGCCAATCCAAAGTTGTGGCACTTCATCTTTAGGCAGCACGACAGAACTTGAGCTTCCCCTCTTTGGATCAATTGGATCTGTACACCGTCCCTGAGGACTTCGGGGCTATCATCATCCCCGAAACACTGCAGATACAGCTCAATCTGTTTGCAGGGCAGCTGTACCTCAACTCGTACATTGAGTACCAGTCTGTCTGCCAATTTCTCGGTCTGAGCTCCGTTGGAACATCCAGTGAGCTGGTTGTTGCCGCTGATGGCTTTATTATGGGTGGGAAGGAAGGCCAAATTTCCACATTCCACCAGAGTCCACTCAAATTCTTGAAGGTTCTGTTGTCTCAAATCCGCAAAGACTCTCAATCGATCAGTAAAACCCATATGGGCAAGATTCTCGAGGGTGAGCTGCTGACTCCTGCCGACTTTCTGAACACTTCACACGAGGTCATTGATCTCGACGAACCATGTCCCTAGTTCCCAGACTGGGCTTCATATCAAATCCTTCCCCTCGATTATCTGATCAGTGTCCACGCATCTCTTGTTTGGAGCCCTTCCTCTTTGTCATTGACAAAGAAATATGTGATGGTTGAAATATTCTTGTTGTATTACTCAGTCGTTTCTTTTCCTTTCTATTCTGTATTTTTATGAATGGCATGTTTGGTTAGCCCCATTCTTTGCTTCTTGTAGAAGTAGTTGTAGATGCCACTATTCCTTGGTTCCAACGTTATGTGCCCCACAAGACACATCGGCGACATTGTGTCCGGGACTCGGAGTAATTCAACCGAAGTGGATCTGATTCGGCGACTTTTTCTCTTCTGCTTCGCCGCCGTGACAAAGATGCTACACGGAATATAGAATCCCGCGGGTTCTCTGCGTTTGAGAATGGAGTAGCGGATACTTTGTAGTTTAACGTTAAGTTGTTAAATTTCCGGATGATAAATCACGTCCAATTCTCCACAGTAACTAGAACATCGTATAAATAGTCTTTCCACCCCTGCTATGTGACATCCCAGTGAATAATTATATTGTATTCGAATATCAAAATGACTTGGCCTGACGTTTCCGCCAAGCCCGCTGAGGGCATCTCATACTTCTCCCCTGCCCAGAGCCCCCCGGCAGGCACAGCCCGCAACCCCCAGACCAGCGGAAAGCCTATTCCCAAGCTGTTCCAGCCTCTCACCGTCAGGGGAGTTACCTTCCAGAACCGATTGGGCGTAAGTGTACTCTCCACTCAATTGATAATGTGCAAAGCTAACAACATCTCAACAGCTTGCGCCTATGTGCCAGTACAGCGCCGACGATGGCCACATGACCCCCTGGCACATGGCTCACTACGGTGCCATTGCCCAGCGTGGACCCGGAAACATGATCATCGAAGCCACTGGCGTTGTGCCCGAAGGCCGCATCACCCCCGGCTGCGTGGGTCTCTGGAAGGATTCTCAGATCGCCCCCCTCGCCCAAGTTGTTGAGTTTGTGCACAGCCAGGGCCAGAAGATCGGTATCCAGCTTGCTCACGCCGGCCGCAAGGCCTCGACCGTCGCTCCTTGGTTGGGCGGTGTTGTCGCTAACAACTCCGTTGGCGGCTGGACCGACAACGTCAAGGCTCCTAGCGCCATCCCCTTCGCCGAGGGTGACCCTATGCCCATTGCTATGACCCAGGATGATATCGAGGAGGTCAAGGCCGCCTGGGTTGCTGCCACTAAGCGTGCTGTTGCCGCTGGTGTCGACTTTATCGAGATTCACAGCGCCCACGGATATCTCCTTTCTTCATTCCTGAGCGCCTCCAGCAACCAGCGTACCGATAACTACGGTGGTAGCTTCGAGAACCGCATTCGTCTCCCCCTCGAGATTGCCCAATTGACTCGTGATACCGTCGGCCCTAACATGCCCGTCTTCCTGCGTGTCTCCGCCACCGACTGGCTCGAGACCAGCAAGCCCGAAGAGCAGGGCTGGAAGCTCGAGGACACGGTCGAGTATGCTCGTGCTCTTGCTGCTCAGGGTGCTATCGATCTTATTGATATCAGCACTGGCGGTGTCCACGTTGCCCAGAAGATCACCTCCGGTCCCGCCTTCCAGGTTCCTTTCGCAACTGCCGTTAAGAAGGCCGTTGGCGACAAGCTGCTCGTTGCTGCTGTTGGTATGATCAACAACGGCAACCTCGCTGAGAAGATCTTGAACGAGGAAGATCTCGATGTCATCCTTGTTGGCCGTGCTTTCCAGCGTGATACTGGTCTCGCTTGGCAGTTCGCCAAGGATCTCGACGTTGAGATTGCCATGGCTGGTCAGATCCGCTGGGGTTTCACTAGCTTCCGCAATGCGTCCGAGTACATTCAGCCTAACTCCATGAAGGCTTGCATTTTTGATTAGATTTGATACACCCGATGACCTGCTCGGTCTTCCTGCATATATAGAGCATTTATAGACTCATTTGGCTTAGAAGCTCAGACTAAATGTCTGAATATACTTTTATTTTTATTTTTTTTTTTTTATTTTTTTCATGAGAAGCGCACAGTAGCCAATACGTTAGTGGAAGAACAACGTTGATAGAGTTCTGGTCAGGTTGATTCCTGGACAAAAGAGCAATAAGTCACTTCACCTGCGACGGTGATTCGAATATCAATGTCATTTTCCATCAAGCTAGGTCCAATATCAATGACATAAATCTCGTTATGATCAATTGGTTAATAGTGGCGTGAAGTTGACTTCAACTTACCCGTTTGGGCGCGGATGGAATGGAGGACAAATAGTTGTTCCAGTCCCGACCGCCCACCTATAAAGCGTGACTTTCCCCGTCCTCCTCTTCTTCCCCCACCACTCTTCAAGAGCTGTGCAGCGATAGCTCCCTTGTCTCTGGCTTTATGGAGCTTGTTCAGTCGTCTTCTTCGTTACTCTCTTCTCTCCTGAAAATTCGATATGCCTCGCCTCAGTGATCACTCATTTGACATCCTGGAACAATAGTTTATGGCCCCTTCAGCGTCCGCTGAGAACCACTTTGTGGTTGTCGGCGTACGCTGAAGCGGTCATACAGCTTCTGCTCTGGAATATGATTGGGTGGGAATTGCGCTATTGAATGTGACCCTGGTGGTATTTTGGATTCTCAGTTCTATGGTCCCTTCAGCGTCCGTTGAGAACCTCATTGTGGTTGTCGGCGTACGCTGAAACAGTCATATGGCTGCTGCTTCGATGTGTCATCAAAGGGTCACTGCTGTACAACGCAATGACTTAAAGAGTTTTGAGGCTGAACACTGACGTACTCGCCTTTCTTGCACTATACCCTTTGTGTGTATCACAGAGAACATGATATATTGAGAGCTGCGCGCGCAGCAGCCAACCTTTTGTAGTATTTGGCGAAGACCTTATGTCCGAATTTCAAGCCCAAATCCAATGTTTCTAATGAAACGCAGCCTCCCACATGAATCCAGACCAGCGTGCTCATGGTAACACCTCTTTCCCTTTCCAATCCCAACACCTCCCTCTCCCACCATTCTTCTCAGCCGATAATCCAACAAGAACTTGCAACAGTTTCTCAGCCGAATCAGCCGGTTCCAGCATCTCCCTTCCACTCCAGAACTCCTTCGTAAAATCCGTCCGCACAGTTCCGGGATGCAACGCAACAGCAATGCCCCTCTGTGCACTCTTCGTTCGCAAATACAGATCAAACGTCTTCGCCAACTGGAACACAGCAGCCTTACTCGCACGATACGAGTACCACCCACCCGAAGAATTGTCCGAAATGGAGCCAACGCGAGCAGCCATCATCGCATAGATGGCATGTGAGGGCAACTCCAGCTGTGTCTGGGAATCAGCTGCAGTTGCAGAATTGGTAGCCGGAAACTCCGGTGCCGATTTCGGAGGCATAAACTGGGAAAGATGTTTCATGAGAAGTAATGGACCCAAGGAGTTCACTTTGAAGCTATCCAGAGCCCCGGCATAGTCGATCTGGCTTGGTGACTTTTCGACGTGTAGAGTCCCCGGCACTGTCAGTCCCAGTCTGAGTGATGTGTCCGGGTATTCATGGCGGATTGTGTCTGCCATTGCAATTATCGTGGATTCATCTATTGAGTTGGTCAGCTTTGTTTGCAAGGTCAAGAGCCTCTTGGATAAGGCTGGGTTCTTTTGTACCGTACCTGTCACGTCGACCTCTAGCATTCTAAGCCTTTTTTCGGAATCTTTAGGTATGCCATTGCTAGATAGCAATCGCTCTCGGATCTCATTGCAGTTCTTGCGCGCTGTTGCAATCACCGGGAGCTGGGTCCGCGCTAGGAGTTGATGGGCGAAGGCGAAGCCTAATCCACGTGAAGCAGGAGTTACAAGAGCAAAGCCGTGCTTTGCTGAACACATTGCTTAATTGTGTTGGTTGAAATGATGGGCATGGCAGGAAGCAAGTCGGTCTGTTGCTCCTTGATGGCCGATGACGTCATGAGACATACCCATACTCCACTGCGAAACTACATATTCGCATACTTGTTTGGTTTGCATTGACGTTGAATACTAGTTATGCTTATAAACTTGAGGCCATTTCAATTCCTGTTTGCACATAGCATTGTCACTTCATCCCGTCGAGACCCGCGAAGAAGTCCCTGCCAAAGTCCCCACTGCTATCATTAAAACGACGCTTTTGGTCAAGCTTCTCAATCTGCTTCATGTCATCTGGACTCAGCTTGAAGTCTCCCTCGAGGTTAGACTTGATTCTAGACGGCGTTTTGGACTTCGGCAGCACCGAGTGACCCAGCGTGACACCCCAGGCTATCAAGACACAGTGCGATTAGCATTTCTCCTCGCTGAGTCCAATAGACAACAGTGAACACATACCCAGAACAACTTGCGCAGCACTTTTGTTGTATTTCTTACCGATCTCCGCCAGCACAGGTTCATCGATCAACCTCTCGATCCCGCGTTTCGCGCCATAGAAAGCATTCTGATTTCCAAACGGCGAGTAGTGCGTGACATGAATTCCATTATCCCGATGCCAGGCCGTGAAATCGTTCTGCTGCAACCAAGGATGGCATTCCAGCTGATGCACAGCAGGAACCACCGAGGTATTATTGACCAGATGCTCCATTTCAAACTTATCACAATTCGACACCCCAATAGCTTTGGTCTTGCCCGTTTTCAAAACCCGCTCCATGGCTTTCCAGGTCTATTATCCCGTCAACTCTTTCAACGCGATACTCAGCATGGCAGGAAACTCTTACATCCATAAGTCTGACATCATGCTGCATCACCGGCACCCCATTGTCTTTTGGAAACAGTTCCTCTCCTCGCTTCCAGGCCACGGGCCAGTGTATCAGATATAGATCGACATAATCCATACCGAGGTCCTCCAGCGACTTCTGCAGGGCTGGCTCTACATCATCTGGATGCTGCTTGTTGCACCAAAGCTTGGTCGTGATGAATAGATCCTTGCGAGGGATACCGCTCTTCTTGACTCCTCTTCCAACGGCTTGCTCGGTGCCGTAGCTATTAACCCGTTAGCCGTGCGATCCAAACATGTTGTCGATGACATATGTAGACATGATGCTCACACGCGCGCCGTGTCAATGTGACGATATCCGCTCTTTATTGCCTCGGCGACGGCATCCTCCTGTTCCCCCTCGTCTTGCCAGGTGCCGAATCCGAGCGCCGGAATCTCGGCACCTGTGTTCAATTTGTATCGTGTGGACATTTCTTTCTCGGTTTGTCAGTGGTGGTTTGGCAGCGAACTATTGTCCCTGTTTGTTGCAGATTGCATAACATACGATTGGGGAGAACTTGGCTTTTGTGCTTGATCCTAAACGTCACGGTGATGCGGCCCATTGTCCAGATACCTATGGCTTTGGTGACGTCTGGATGAGGTCTTTTGTTTACGTATCTGAATCTAGTAGCCTGAGTACGAGTTTCCTAGGATCTAAGCCGCTTGTCACTGGAATTGTGGTCATCAATAAACAATTTCCCTCTGTTCTGAGTGTAAATGTTGCGACTTAAGCTTCGTTCGGGTTCTTCTACCGATATCCATGCGCTATAGACGTCTCGGGAATGCTGGATATGAGTCTAATGATTAGGGAATGATTCCTCCTCAATAACGACCTTTCGATTTTCTTCAGAAGACTAAAGAGCGTGTCTGAAGATCGGTTTCTAATTCTTGAGATTTCCGGAGTATGCGTATATTCGCACCATGCTCAACGAGCAAACGAAAGTCTGCCGGCCTCTGGAGCTTGATGTATCACAACTCGTCTCCTTTTTTTGTAGCATGTAATTATAGTAATGGTAGATGGAAAGGATATGACGCAGCCAACCAGATTGTGCGCGGTTCCAGACTTGCTCTGCATAATGTACACAGTTGTGAATCGTTGCTGTCAAATTGACCAATCAAGAGTCAGCCATCTCTCGTGGCTTATTTTCCACCAAAGAACCCTTTAAAAGCTCCGAAGCTATACGCCCTGAGCTGCTCGAGTTGTTATTTATTGCGAATCCAAAATTCACATTTCTTATAATACCCCGTATATCACCGTGATCTTCTAGGAGACATATGAACAACCATCGGCCATTCCAACAACAAAACTTTATACCCATACAATGGCAGAAGCAAGAGCCCAACAATTTCGCAGCCTCCACCAGCCCAGCAAGCCAGTGGTATTCGCAAATGTCTACGACGCACCAACAGCAGAAGTGGTAGCCACCCACCCCGCAACGAAGGCCCTCGCAACAGCCAGTTTCGCCATTGCGGCCGTCAACGGACGCGCCGATGACGACCTCGACCTGAACACAAATCTAGCTGCCTTGCAGCGCATCATCCCAATCGCTCTGAAAAACGAAAAACCCATTACAGTCGATCTGCAAGACGGCTACGGCGACCAGCTAGAACACGCCATCGAAAGCATCATCACCCTCGGAGCGTCTGGGTGTAATATTGAAGATCGCGATAATAATACCGGGTGTCTGTTTCCACTGGATGAAGCAGTAGATCGTATTCGCCGGGCTGTGTCTGCTGCTACGAAGGCCTGTGTCCCGAGCTTTGTGGTGAATGCGCGCACAGATGCTGTTATCAAGAATAATGATGTTGAGGAGGCGATCTTGCGTGGACAAGCATATTTGGAGGCTGGCGCTACGACTGTTTTTGTCTGGGGTGGTCCGGAGCGGGGGTTGGCTACTGGAGAAGTTGTTCGGCTATGTCATGCTTTCGAGGGCCGATTGAATGTCATTGCGCGTCTTGAAGGTGGGCTGTCTGTTCGTGAGCTTGCGGAGATTGGTGTGGCTAGGATTAGTATTGGGCCTGCTTTGTGGAGGCATGCGATGGACGCTTTTCGACGGAAAGCTGAGACTTACCTGGATCAACTGGGGGAAGGCGAGTCGAGGTGTGAAGATAAGCTAGGAGAGTAGCTGTTCTTTTGCACTGTGCATGTTCAAGACACCTTTCAAAGCAAGCCTGTGGAATCTCAAAATATAGTGTTGTGTGAACATAATGAGATTTTTGGGGCTCAAAGAATTGGAAGTCTTTATAAAAGTTCATAACGATGAAACGGTAGGTAAGCTTTCAATGTGAATTTGAACTATTGGCAAAGGAATCATGAGATCCATTCGTTTATTAGGATTTTCTACAGTATATATACTCCAGCCGCGTCCACCATGACCATGATTTGAATAACCTGCAGATATTTCTGGCAATTTATATCGCAGACATAGGTCTCATCCTGAAGCCAAGTACCTTTGGAAACTCTGTAAAGTTCTTCGATGAGTGCTCCCGCACAGTGTCACGGAAACTTTCGTCGAAATTGGTCTCTTCGAGCGCATCTACAGCAAGACCTGCTTTGAAGAAAGGCGCAAACAGCTGATTCAAAGGCCGGTGGAACAAGTACTGCCACGCAAAGTTAGCTGGACTACCTTTTTCTTGGAAGGTCGAGGGTGTTGATGACATACCGGCGACTCAGTGTCCCCTTTCAGCACCAACTGTCTCGCGGGAGGAACGTTCAAATACTTGCTGACAACGATAGAGCGGTCGACGCTTCGCTGACCGGTTTCCGGGTCTTCGCGAACCGTTGTCTGACGGGCTGCCCCAGTTGTGAAGAATAATGGGTGAAGTAGAGTAGCGACGAAGCTAGGGGATATCGTTCAGTTTTAATTTTGATTGGTGGTGCCGATGCATATGTTCAGCGCTAGTATCTTGAAACTTACCATCCGTTTGGTTTGAGTAATTTTTTCAAAGATCTTGCCAATGGCTCCAGATCATGAATGTCCATCAAGGCCATATTCATGGTGATCACATCGAAGCCGCCATCCTAATCAAGAAATAGGAGAACATGTTAGAGGCAAGAAAACACACTGCAAGTGCAATTGTCAACTTACCATGTGAATATCATCAATTGCCAAGAACTCATCCCAGGATGACTGGTCTGTGACGTCGAGGCGATGGAAGGATATCTTGTGGTCGTCTAGGATGTACGTTCGTGCCTTTGCGCGGTCTACCATCTTGACTGCACCGTCCGCTGCAATGACCGAAGCGCCTTTCTGGGCTAACCACCGAGCCACAATGCCATTGCCCGTTGCAAGATCTATGGCATGGCACCCCTCTAATCTACCGACCAGTTTCTCCAAGATGGGAAGCTCGAGGAAGCGGAAATAATCGTTTCCTTCATCACCCATGCCTTTGTCCCAGGAGGGGGCGTAGGTCTCCCAGGAGTCTAGCGGGGATGTGATTGTGGAGTTAGTAGAAGCCATTTTCACCTTAAATCAAGTCAAAATTCGGGCAATGGAAAGAGAGTAGCTCGTACGGTGCAGCTTAAGGTTGATTCGACCTAGAGAGATACGGGAGCCCCCTCCTTGGCAATGATGACTCATACAGATACGACTACGGTATCACAAACTACATTATATTTGGTTCGTCTCTTGGTCAAGAAACACGACTTAATTGTTTTCGAGCTCTCCTATCCTAGCCTCAGACTAGCTCTTAAGTGGAGAGTCGTCGTTTCTCGGTTGTTGTTTGATGCCAAGTCAAACAGCACCAATGGCACATCTCGGCCACCGTACTCCTCTCGCTCTTTATATAGCGAGCTCCACCCACAATTTTTTTTCTTCCTCTCATCATTACTGGGGATTCCCAGAGAGCTCTGAGCTCTCTGCCCTTTTCTTCTTTTTCATTTTTTAACAGCTTGGACTGTGTCTAATGTTGGCACATACTCCTGCTGTCTATAAACTCGAGTTCACTCTCGGTGCTGCAAGCAAAAAAATCTCAAAAGGTAAGGAAAAACTTTTCCCTCTTCACCTCACCACCACCACCCCCCGGGATGATGATCATTCGACATGCATAGGCATTCCTCAAACTTAATCACCATGTGGAATCTGTCAAAACTTAGTTTCAGCCTTGTCTGACCCCCAACCACAATACCTCATTGCTTCATTGTCATCATTGAGTGAGCTTTGGCTAACAAGCTTTCGCTTAGGTACATAACACTTACTCTCATACCCATCATTCCATTGCGGCTGTAGCCTAGCATGAAGAAATTTGAACGAACGGGCGGACATAACGAATTCACCATACATGCACCCGAAACTAGCAGAGCGTACAAACTCTGTGGGTGTATGATGGTGGATTACTTGTTGAGAATTCGTCACCTGACCCTTTGCCCACATATCACTTTGTTCATGTCGCCATGACAATTCTTTTGCAGTGTTTCTAACAGAACCTCTAGGTAAATTCACTACTCTTATTTCGCTGCCCTATCCCATCATGGTCATATCTATTATGATGAATGTGTTATTCACACTGTTTGACCTGGGCACTTTGTGTCCGGGAATGAACATTTATACAAAAATCTGATTTAATGAGGTGAGTTTTTCTGAACGAAAAATTTTTTACGTTCCATGCTAACAGATTTTGCAGCCTGACTTAGTTGCCATGTCTTGAACTTGCTATTGACACCTGCATCTTGCTTGAATGCCATTGCTGACTCGACATATAAGTAAATTGATAGGAACACATCCCGTGTAACGGATCTGGCTTGTTGAACGTGAGTGACTCTTCCTCCAAACACCCCTCTTTACCTGATGAACCCTTAATATTTGCTGTTATTTCTTAATCACCTTGTCGATACAACATTATTTCACCTTGGAGAACTGATCTTGTCTTCACCTGCCCTCCATTTCACTCATATCTTGAGATGTCCTGTTGCTAATTCGCGTCACAGAAACCAATGACTACCATATAATAATATTAATGTTAATGAAATTTTTCTTTCAAACTTGATGCTCTTCGTAAATTTAACTCGATCTCGCGTAAATTTCTCTCCCCGGTAGCCATTCGTCAGCACAAGCATAAACATGTTACGCCGACATAGATATGTCCTGCTACAGTCCCCTACTCTCTACTCAACAAAAAGACCATGCTTCTTATGCCACCCCTCAAGACTGTCCTTTCCATAAACCTCATGCACACTCTTCTTCCCTTCCGGCCACCGTGCCCAAGCCGGCTTAAAATCATCCATAATACAAACCATCTCATCCGGCACCGGCAACTCTGTATCAATTGCCGATGCAAATGGATGAATTAGTTCTGGCCAGTGGTGATCCCATACCCAAAGCATAGTACTGCAATTCGAGCAGAAGCTGCGCTCGGACTCACAGAGTTGCTCATCTGGTGTGCCGCGGTCTTTGATCGCCGTGTATTTTCTAGGTGTGTTAGCTTTCTCGATCCTTTGATACATTGTACTTTTTGTAAATTTCATAAATGAAAAAGACAAGAAACGAATATGGAAGCTTGTTGTGTTATGGATGGGTGCGTTCGTACTTGATGAGGTCTTTGCCCTTGGTGATATTCAGGCTGTCTGCGATTCCGCCCAAGTTCACAGCGCCGAGGTGTCCGCCTACTTTACGGCAGATGCTGCAGGCACAGAGCTGGTATGGTACTGGAGTTTGTGATTGGAGGTTGAATTCAATACCGCCACATTGGCAGCTTCCTTCGAGTTTCCTGTTTGCCTGTCAGTGGTCCGGTGATGATATGAGATACAGAGGGTTTGTGATTCAACTCCTCATACATAGGCATGGTTGGGATTGATTAAGAGGCGGAGATGAAGACGGCTTTTCTCAATAAGACAAAAAAGATTGCTTGAACAACTGGAACTTGTTTGAGATGCACAGGACAGAACCTCTATATATATTCCAACCTTAGCTCTCAAAACCCCAAACTCCAAACAGAAGCAAACCTGTCAAACCATGTATGACTGCATAACCCGCTTAATCCAGCCTATCTCGGTCCAATACAATCCTGCATCTGCAGCCCCGAGTTCTACTTCCCCTCCTTCCGAGCAAGATATACATCATCGAACGGATTCTGCGTCTGTGATTGGCGGACGCTGTGTTTGTCCTGTTTGCTCTGTTTGTCTTCTCGCATCTTACGACTTTACGGTCTCGTCTGTAGCAAAACAGACTGCCTTCTTGCTGTCATTTCAAGCGAAGTTACGCTCAAAATACCTGAATATGAGTTTCGGAGCCCCCGGAGGTGGATCGGTGAACTACAAGCCCTCGCCGTAAGTGTTGACTGAAACCCACTGCTTTGCGCAGACAAGCTGTTCCTCTACCAGGGCAACTACCAGGGCAATGAACTCGCCACAATGACCTTAGAAACATACTGACCATGGATGCTGCTATAGACCCGAGCGCGGTAGCTTCCCTCTCGACCACGAAGGTACATCAACCCACAACCGCGGATTCCAATCCCAGTGAACCTAGCAAGACAATCAAACACAGAAACTAATCACAGCATTGAATGCTACAGGAGAGTGCAAGCACATTATTGCGGGGTACTTGAAGTGCATCAAGCTCAACAAAGGCACAAACGACGAGGCTTGTCGCAAATTGGCCAAGGAATACCTTTCCTGTCGAATGGACAAGTGAGTTAGAACCGTTCCGTGCAGGCGCCGGATATACTCGTGTTCAAATCTACGGGGAACCTAAGCTTGGAAGAAATAACATGCTAATTGGTACTGTCTGCTAGGAACCTCATGGCGCCAGATAACTTCCAGAACCTCGGACTGGTGTTCAAAGACGACGAAGGAAACGATAAAGCCCCAGCCAATGTAGGCGCCGATGCATCGAATCCCGCACAACCGAAAAGCTGAGCTGGGACCTTCGGAGTTGGACGAATTTGTACGATATTAGAGATTGGCGCTGGTCTGATGAAGGGTAGTGCTGGCGTTATTCGTGGCGTTGTACATATGAAAATGCATTTGATACCGATTTATTTGATCCTAAAGAGCTACAATCCGCTAGTGTCGACATGATAGTATGAAAGAGCTCCCTATGGACCGCATAGTCAATTAATGTGTAATGCAAGTATGGCGTCTTGCATGGAAAGTCGATCAGTTGTTGATTTTTGACTGCTAGAGAGAACTTGAAAACTCGACGAAATAGATGACATATGCCAATCAAGCCACCTCTTAACAAAACCTATCGAGCAACAAAATCCATGCCCAGCTTGGAGCAAAAGTAGAAAAGTAGCGAATTAACGAGCAGACCGTTGACTGGAGCGCATGCGGGGAACCCGCCCAACCACTCAAGCCTGCGATCTCCAACTCCTCCCCCCGGAGCCCCAAGACACCAAATGTCTTCAATCGCGCGGCCACCAGACCCGTGTCTAGTGGCCATAATCCTGATTGTCCGCTCACGAACCGGGCCCCGTCTAGTCTTCCACTACCCCCCGAATCCGCTCAGCGAGAACCGCATCAAACCCACCAAGGGCGGCCGGCGCACGTCCCACACTCGCACGCGACGAGGCTCGAAGAACACCGACTCCAGTTCAAGCAATGAAAGTGGCCTAAGCTCTGATGATGAGGAAGAGGATCGAGAACGAGAAAAGGAAGGCCATACCGGCAGCAGCTCAGTGCTCGCAGGTCGGCGCACCAGCAACTTCGGCCTTGACGAGCACCTCTCTGTTTCGGCCTCGACAGTGGCTAATGAACCGCACCGCCCCAGCTCTCTAGGCTCTGGTCGAGCTTCCTCGCTGCGAAAGCGCGGCGGCGCGGGTTCTGATCTTGAAGATGATGCGGGGACGGCGTCTGATCGACCGGACGATGGTCCTGGGAGTTCTAGGCCGCCCTGGGAATCGCTTCTGGGCGTGCCTGGGAGTGTATGGGAGAAGCTGTTGAGTCCGTCTCGTTCGTGGCATAAGCGGCGCTTTGAGGTTGGCATTAATGATTTGGCACTTATTGGGTGGCCGGTCTTCGTGCGCGAGGATGGGACATGGCGCAAACAACGACGCAAGAAAAAGAAGAAGCCGCGTGCTGATTGGGATGGCGGCGAATTGGGTCACAATGAACAGGCTGAGGATGGGCAGACTGATGAGCGCTTCGTTACCTCTCCTGATTTGGGCGCTAGTGTTGCGTCCATTGCGGAGTCGTTGACTTCGCCGACGGATAGTAAGCGTGGTTCGACTAGTGGGAAATCGGGCAAAATGGGGGATGATCCTCTTGATCCTGAGGATAAAGACCATATGACTATGTTCAATGTGGTGTTTGTCGTGGACCCGCCTCTTCTGGAGTACTCGATGCGCGTGAAGGAAATCTATGAGAATATCATCAAGAAATTTGCCAAAGCGCTCAAATGGGAGCAGGCTCGCACAGATTATGTATGGAAAGAATCTCAACATATACTGCAAGTTCGACGGAGGGCACGAGAGAATAGTAAGTCTTCTGATGATGGTCGATATCATACTCGAGCTGACATACCTTTTCAGAAACATCGACTCATAACCTTTACTCCGAACTAATATCTCAGTCCTCGCTGGCTCGGGCTATGTACACAGTGTACAGTAGCATATCAGCATCCAAGATCGCATCTATCTCTCTCAGCCCAGATGTGTCTATTTCGCTTCAGATCCCGCCATTGACCTCTACATCATACGTTTCTGGCCCAGCAGACAAATCATACCCTGGTCTTTGGTTAACAACGGCAGACAGTGCAACTCCAGTGGACGACCCAGGAGCGGATGGAAACAATACACCACATCAAGTGTTGGCAAAGCATTTCGCCCTTTTACTATTGGACAGTGAAGCTGCCATTATAAAAGACGTCGAAGCCTCTGGTGGAACTCTTGCACCAGCACTCGCTCATTACATTCGCTGTTCCAAGCCAACCAAATCTTTTGCTCAGATTTCAGTGTCGTCAGGGATTCCATTATCTCATATCCAGATGCTGTCAAGCCACCTTGTGTATTGGCGTCGTGCTCGCGCCATCCCTCCCATCCATCAACGAGATACATACATTGTCTCTCCGAACTGCGACTTGAGCAAGCTGGAAGTGGCTACGATTGCCTACCAAGCAGCATTCCCAACACTCCCCAGCTTGCCAAAGATGCTTTCCACCCTCAGTGGCACCCCTCGCCCATACAGCAACTTCATCCCTAGCAAGGACCACAAGGAAGTCTACTTCACCATCTTGGCTTGGTTACTGCGCGGCGGCTGGGTCACCCAGCTGCGCACATTCGCGCGTATCAAGGTCACACCGGAGATCAAGATGGCGGTGGAATTGGCTCTACGGAAGGAGGAAGTGGACCGATACCTAGCAAAGGGATCTTCCAATTCCATCCCGGTCGACGAAGATGACTCCGACGATGAGGACGATGTCGACGATATGAACTCTTCGTCCTCATCATCACTAGCAAGCCACGGCAGCGGAGAAGAGACACCCATGCCCGGCCGACTCGATCCACACACACAGCTGCGCGTGTCTCACAAATACTTAGATCGGTCAACTGCTCTCCGTCTCTCATCATTCATCCTCTCTCCGCACCGCGCATCCCCTCTTGAGTCCCGCTGGCTCGACGAGATCGTCGCTCGATTTCCCGACCATCCTGGTACAGAGCAAGATGAGGTTAGCACCAGTCCGGATATCACTCCCAACGATCTTCGGACTATACACAAGAAATACTGGCCAGTCTTCCTGAAGTACTTCAATGGTTATGACGCTGTGGAAAAAATTTCCGTACGGGAAAATCTCAAGCGCAAACTTGTCTGGCAGGTTCTAATGCGACTGGGGCTGTTGACCGGTCCACTCGGATCGATTGACTTGGATGCACGTGAACAGGTGTTGGTCACTGTTCGGCATTGGTAGATGCGTCGACAGTATATGGTTTTTACGGTATGGAGTTTGGTGTCTACGGATATATGTAACGTAATTGTTATGCTTCTGTACAGTTCTGGAGTTTTACCTGGCTGGACACTGATATCCTCATTGTCCGAATATTGTTCCCAACCCTATGTCATACTCGATCTATTAGATCACCACTCGAGGCATAAGTGATCCCGTCTCCCGTGTCACCAGGGTAATCCACTCCTGTAATCCGATTACATACCCTACCCACTCCATTCCGGTGGTTTCCGCGTGCCCTCAGCCCTAACCTCTGCCGAAGGCACAACATGTAAATATAACAAGTAGGTAGGCTTGAAGTCAGAATCGGATAGGAAGGAAATTAATCACCGATGAAGAATTTGGGTAGTTCCTCGGGGACTATTTGGCAAGAAGCAACAGACAAATTCACCGTGTACTTCGATGTTTCGTGGTCACGTGCCACCATACATCGCACAAATATAGGAAGTGTAATTGTAATTTTGGGGGTCCAAGTAACGTTCATCCAAGTAGGAAAAGTGCGCAGAAACACAGCGTAAGGCTTGTATTACCCTTACCTCGGGGACTAGGTACCCGAGCATTTCAGCACCGGCTCGCATATCCGAGCATAGATGAACGGGCCAACGGGCGAATATTACATTACACTAAAGTGAGTTCCGATGTAAGGGTAAGAAGATATTAGACTGAATAGGATATAGAGGAGGCTTTGTAATATGTCGACTGTCATAATAAGCACGACCAACACGCCGATTCTCTAGATATTTCATTGTGCGCCAATCGCCAGAGGGGCTCCGGTGGACCCCGCGATGCTCTGTTCAGTCAGATGTACGGAGCGTAGTACGTATTTTTATACTGTAAAGGCGAAGATTACTCCGTACAGGGTATTCGGTCGTTATATGCCTCAATCTTTACAATATAAGTTAACATGGGGGTGAAGATTAACAACAAAGGCTATGTTCTCAGTGGCTGACGACTTTTTAAGCTTGGGACTGAACCCTGAACTATCGCCACTTTGACAGCTAACGTTACTTAAATCGGTCGCGCGACCTCGGTAATCAGGCATCTTTCAAATTTCTAAGGCTCAATTCTCCGGGGGTGCGTGGTATTAGTCGAGTGAACTTCCCAAGTTGAGTTCTCCAAGTATCAAGCAGTTGCTCTATACTACCGAGATCATCAACCTCGGCAAACCAGACACACAAAGATATTTGAGCGGCCCTCAATAGATCAATGAGGTGTTGCCGGGGGCAATATCAGCCTCAATTGCATACAGTAGACACCCTATACACCATATACTCCCTAGTACGCACCTTGGGAGCCCAGGCAATCCCAGGGAGTTCAGTGTGACCAGTGATCAGGCCACCTGGAGGGAACAAGGAGCCTAGTAGAATCCTTGAAGAAAGAAAGTCGATTCAAGAAATGCAAATTCTCTATAAAATTCCAAAGTGCAGAGTAATTAATTACGCAGTGTAAGGAAAACCCCGCTACCACCAGATTCTGCCCTGAACCAAATAATTTTGTTGGACTTCCTCTCTTCCTCTTCTCCCCATCCTCCGCGGGCTGTTTTCTCCCCTTCCATTCCTCCCTTTCCAACCCATTTGACCCTCGCGTCACTTCGTCTTCATTTTACGGTACCTCTCATCGTCTCACGCTTCGAGAGAACCGAAATCCGACCTTCCGAGACTCTCCCCACCACGTGCGAAATCGCGTCGTTCGGTCCCCCATATTTTTTCAAGGGATCGACACTGTCGACACTGTCGCCAGGAACACTGAATTGAACATTCTTTTCCTTGCTTGATCTACCCCCATCGAGAGTGAAGGGTGGAATTCTTACAAGGGAAGAGTTCCTGTGCATCCGACTTGCACCAACAGCAGTGACTGCACGAGCCTGCCGCTCAACATTTCACAGCTTGGTACACGACGTTCACAGGGCAGTGCCTTTGCGTCTTCGGTCGAATTTTTCCTTCGCACCGTCATCTTCACATCTTCGGTCCTTGACAACCGTGGGTTTGCAAGCCACAACCGTTGAGATCCTTCCTCAAAATTCGACAGTTCATTAATCGATGCGATTTGTGATCTAGACGATTCATACGACCGATACCCACTCGATTGCATATTTTTCTTTGTGCGCCGACACACACCCTGGTTTCTTGTATCGCTGCAGGAAATTGTCCGTTTCGCATACACTGTGAGCCTCTCTGAAAGACGGGAAGCTACAGTATAGTGGATTTACGAGAACGTGAGATCTTATTTTCTGATTCTCACCTCTGCAGGAGCCATCTTGCTCACATAGGCGCAGACAGTTCTTCAGAGTCGCCAAAGGAGGTCCGGGAAAAATAACCCGCAACACCACAAACTCGTCTTTCTACACCAATCGCTACGATCAGAGCTACCGCCAGCTTTCATCTCGATATGTCTACCTTTTCGTATGCACAAGCCGCCAAGGGCGCATCCGGGACACCGACCCCGTCCAAGACGCCATCAGAGCCGGAGAAGATCGACTCCAATACCGAGGAACAGCCAACCGAGACTACAACGGAGACCACACCGGCTCCCGCTGAAATTGAGGCCCCTCAAACATCCGAGCAGGTTGCTGTGGAGGAGAACAAGGATGATGACTTCACCACCGTCACCAACAAGCACGCTGCTAAGAAGGCCGTTGCCTCCCGCACATCAAGTCCGAGCGTCCGCACCAACTCCAAGTCCAACAAGCCCAAGGAGGACGACTCTTCAAATACCCCGAACGGAACTGCAGAGGCCACTTCTGAGAAGCAGGCTTCTACTGAGGGAAAGACCGATGCCGCTGCTGAGAAGTCAAGCGAGAAGTCCGAGGAGGCCGCGAAGGACGCTGCTCCTCCCAAGGAGCTGAAGGCTGCTCCTCTCCCGTCTATCAACATCTGGCAACAGCGCAGAGAGGCACAAGACGCCAAGGTCAAGACCTCTCCTAAGCCTGCTGCTACTGGGAAGGCTAGCTCCACCAAGGGTGCTTCCGCAGTCGATGAGTCCCAGCAGGATTCCAAGGCCTCCAAGAAGAAGGGCACCGATAGTGCATCAGAAGGTACCAAGGCCTCCAAGAAGACCGAGGGTGGAAAGGGACGCGATGCTGGTAAGAGATTTACTCACAGATTGTGCCATTATAAACCGCGCATGCCATGCTCATTTGGCTTTGGCATGTGTGATGGTAGCACAATCTTTCAAAATAACACTCAGATGCTGACATATACGGAACAGTTCCCCCAGTTGAAGATTCTACCGCATGGCCCACTCCCCAGGTCGCTATTGGCGAGGAGAAGAAGAAGGCTCAAGAGAAGACCGATAAGAGCCCCGTGATCCGCCCCCATGGAAAGGAGAAGTGGACTCCCGTTCCTTACGTCCCTACTGCTGTATTCAACACCCCCCTGCCCTCTGCCGGCGGCAGCGGCGGCGGCCGCGGAGGCCGACGTGCCACTCGCGGTGGCCGTGATTCTGGCCGTGGAGCCCACGGCAATGGTGCTCCTGCTACTGATAAGGCAGCCTCTGGACAGGCTGCGCAGGGCAAGCAGGCCACTGGAGACCGCGGAAGAAACGACGCTACTGGACGTGCTGCGTCCCTTCCTGCTCAGTCCAGACGCTCCACCAGCACCGAGGCTGGTGTTTCTGCTGATGCTCGCAAGGCTCCCCAAGCCCCCGAACGTAGCCGTGGAGCTCGCAATGGCGAGGAGACCGCCAACAAGCAGGCCAACGGAGACAATGTTCCCCGCGCCCAGCGCGAGGGCAAGTCCTTCGGAAAGAACCAGGAAGCTCGCAATGGCAAGGGCGGAAACCTGACCGTCGACTCGCAGGCTGCCGCCCGCACTAATGACCGTCGCTTTGATGCCGGCTCGAAGTCTGCTGACCCCGCTGGCTTCAACGAGTTCAATCGTGGTGAATTCCGTGGAGAGCGTGGAGGCCGCGGAGGTAACCGTGGCCGCGGTGGTTACAACAACTTCAACGGCCAGGGTGCTCAGTTCAACAATGGCGCTCTGCCCAACCACTTTGCTCCTTCCAAGTCCTTTGGCGGTTTCAACGATCGCCAGCGGTCACAACAGCACGGCCCTCCCAATGGTGCTCAGCAGAACTCCCGTATGCCTTTGAGATCGCCCTCGCTGCCCAACGGAAATGTCTATGGTGTCTACCCCTTCCCCACTGATGTTAACACAATGTACGGCTACCAGGCTATGAACTCTGGTCCCATGAGTGCTGTGCCCTACCAGCCTTACATGGAGCCATACTCCCTCATGCCTTTGCTGTCCCTTCAGCTCGAGTACTACTTCTCAGTTGACAACATGTGCAAGGACATGTTCCTCCGCAAGCATATGGACTCTCAGGGCTTTGTTCCCTTGCACGTCCTTGCCAGCTTCAAGCGTGTTAAGTCCCTGACCGAAGACTTCGAGCTTATCCGCCACGTCGCTCGTCAACTCCGCAATGTTGAGTGCCAGACCGGCGAGGACAACGTCGATCGTTTGCGTGTCAGAGACATGTGGCAGCAGTGGGTTCTCCCCGTTGAAATGCGTGAACCTGTTGCTCAGCACAACGGCACACCCGCCGCCAAGAACGATGAGAACACCCCTGTGAACGCCATCAATGGCTCTGCTCCCCAGTTTGTTCCCAACGGAGTTGCCAATGCCGCCAAGACATCGCTTTCGTCCGCCGCCCCCGAATTCATGCCTTCATTGCCTCAAAGTGCAGTGAACGAAATTGCCAATGTAGGAGATTACCCGGACCCCCCCTTTCGCAAGATGCGGCATCGACTTGGTCGACTGTTTCCTCGTCTTCGCAAATTCCCTTGGATCGTTCATTTTCTGACCCTTATTCAGCGCGCGGATTAGATTCGCATTCCGAATCCCCACCCTCTTTTAATTCGACGTTGGAAAATTCAGTGAGGTATGCCGAATCCCTTTCGCCTCATCCACGGTAGAGTATTTACTGATATGTATTGAAAGGTCTGATCTGGATCACTCTCAACCCAAAGTCGATGGTACTTCCCATTCAAAATACAGACATTGGAAGAGATGGAAATACAATCATTTAAAGAGGATGGGTCGTCCGTCCACAGAAACGTCTAACTATGTCCCTCAACTTTTTATCTTTTCTAGCGATGAACCTTGCGACGAGCAAGGCCGATCAGTGGCCAAAAGAAATACCCCTGTTGCCACCCTGCCTTACTCTGACTGGTCTGAGACCCTGAGAAGAAATTTCGATTCGAACCTGTACAATGAATTTAGGCGTTCAGCCCTTGATGATCTTTTTACACGACACATTGACACTGGATTCAAGGCTCTTATGGGTTTTTATCGGGAGGCTCTCTATGCCGGCCGTATTTATTCCATTGTGATGTTCGACATGATCAATCTTTCGAAGTATCCACATCACGGTCATTCCACCATCGCTTTTGATATGATTCATGACGCCATTGCCAGTGGAAAAATGTATCCGCATAACCAGAAAACTGTCAACAAACAATTCAATACCCTGCACGGCAACCTGCCCCGAGAAAAGTTACAACGTTGAGCCGTTCAAATTTGCTTTTACTTTTGCTTGTTTTTCTTTTCCTTTCGAGTTCTTTTTTTCTTCTCCCTTGCGATCCAGTTCCACTGCTCGTTGATTCGGCATGACCGGCATTTTTTTTACTTCTGTCCAAAAGGTTTCTGCATGCATATTCTCCAACTTTTCTTCTAGAGTGCCAACTTTCTTTGCAATGCGGTTGGGCTTGTTTCTTGTGAAGCCTCGGAGTTTCAACCCCCATTTTCTATCTCATCTCTGTTCATGTCCTTTCTGTTCCTTGCTTTTCAGTCATGGGAGGTTATCAAAATGTTCTGGCGTCCTGGCATGATTTTTACTGGCAGTATCTCTCCCTTTCGATGCCTGCCACTACGGTGTGCCGGGCTAACCAAAATTGTGTTTTCCTTGACATAGAGACTTGCACTTCTATTCTTGCTTCTTTTCTAAGACTGTGGTCTTTATCGACTCAGTGTGTGATCCAGATCCTCGGCTCTGGGTTTTAACAAGTATCAGCATGGTAACGACCCCGACAAAAGCAACGGTCCAATCAAAACAAAAAGTCTCGTCTGAGCTTATCTGTGTTTCTTCGAGTTTCTTCGGTCTGTCGTCAAACGGAGAAAATTGCCTCCATCTTTACATTGTCACTTCCTCGTTCGTGAGAACTGCCCACCTGGTCTGGCGCTGTCATCCCCGGAGCGGATTTTTCCCCTTTCAGCATTGATATGACTTTGTTCATTCTCTGCTCTGTCTTTTGTCTTGCTGGGTTCTTTGCACAGCAGACTCTTGTGTTTCGTGTATTTTGTTCTTTGCATAAACCGGCTGTTTAGTTATTTGTGGAGTAATATGATTGTTATGCATAATATGAGCAATGGACTCTATGATTTTGAAGCTGTTCTCTACGCACGATGTTTTATTAATTCCGACACATTGCTTTGCCTACACCCAATAGTGTTCTTCCAGGTTGTCATGCAACATTTGGAATATGCCGAGGTTTCTGCCTCAGGCCCACAGGCCTCAACCAAACGGAGCACAATCAGTCCCGAACCTTACTCCGACAGCTCCCACTTCCCTCCCCAGCTTTGTTCTGCGCCTCCAACCTCAGTGTGCCTCTTCTACTCTCCTTACACACTATATTACCATCTCCAAATTCACCAGAATGGAGGGCGCAACCCGCCAGACCTCTAGGTTAATCCGGTCTCGTGGCCAGAACCTCCTTCCCCAACAACGCCGCCTGCCACGCTCCAGCACCGGGTCACCCAGCACAGCCTTGAACCAGACTCAATGCCGAGCCCTTTCAAATTCAACCAAAAGCCTTGCCCCAGAGTCCCTCTTCAATAGCCTTAAATCCGGCGGTCCCTACGGCGACGGACCCACCACCTATTTCTCCAACAGACAGCCCCTCCCCGCAAACACTGTCGTGCGATTTGTGCCACAGCAGACAGCATGGATTGTTGAGCGCATGGGAAAATTCCACCGCATCCTTGAACCAGGTCTGGCTGTCCTAGTTCCCTTCTTGGATCGCATTGCGTACGTGAAGAGCTTGAAGGAGTCTGCCATTGAGATCCCTAGTCAGAATGCCATCACGGCGGATAATGTCACATTGGAATTAGATGGTGTGCTATACACGCGTGTGTTTGATGCGTACAAGGCCAGGTAAGTGCATACATAACCCACGTTTCACGGGTGAAGAGTGATTAATCCGTGGATTCTTCAATATAGCTATGGAGTTGAAGACGCAGAATACGCCATTTCGCAGCTGGCGCAGACAACCATGCGATCTGAGATTGGTCAGTTGACCCTCGATCACGTTCTCAAGGAACGCGCCAACCTCAACACAAACATCACAAGGGCCATCAACGAGGCTGCCCAGGAATGGGGTGTCGTCTGCCTGCGATATGAGATTAGGGATATCCACGCACCCGAGAAGGTCGTCGCTGCTATGCACCGCCAGGTGACAGCCGAGCGGTCGAAGCGCGCTGAGATCCTGGATTCTGAAGGTCAGCGCCAGAGTGCGATTAACATCGCTGAGGGTCGCAAGCAGTCCGTCATTCTAGCTTCTGAGGCGCTGCGTGCCGAGCAGATTAATCGCGCTACTGGTGAATCCGAGGCTATTCAGCTCAAGGCCAAGGCTACCGCACTAGGTATTGAGGCTGTTGCCCGTGCCATCGAGGAGGGTGGCCAGAATGCCCAGAACGCTGTTGGTCTCCGCGTTGCCGAGCAGTATGTCGATGCTTGGTCCAACCTGGCCCGCGAGGGTACTGCCGTCGTGGTCCCTGGTAATGTCGGCGATATGGGCGGCATGATTGCCAACGCCATGGCTGTCTACGGAAAGGTCAGCCAGACGCAGGCTCAGAGTATGGCCGCGAAGTCTCTTGGAGTGAATGATGTTCCCCAGTCTCCGCAAAGCTCAGAGCCTAGCGTCGACTCGAAGAGCTTCGTGGAGGCGCAGGAGACGGCTCAGACTCAGGCCCAGCCAGATATCATGAAGGATTCGATCTAGCCAACAAGCAAAATAAATAGGCATCTCTGTCCGAGTCAACCTAAACGAGAACGATGACCTCTATCTCTTGCCCTCGATCTGCTTTTAATCCCTCTTCCTTTTTATTTTTGCTTTGCATCTTTTTACCATCCCACTCACCCCCAGCGCCCCCCATTCGGCACATGGGACTTTTCATTCTTCACCACTCTCCTCCTTTGTATTTCTGATCCTGGCCCACTCTTGGCTTGTGCTTTCTTTTTCTTGGTTTCCTCTTTGATTGGCACTTGTTTCTCCTAGCATTTCTGAAGGAGTCATTCAAAACCCACGCGCGTTGCTACACTCGTCATTGAAGTCGCTGACGAGGCTTCCTGTATGTGTACATAAAGGAATTGTTGACGATATGAAAACCCCCGTGGATGGGGAAAACCTCAATGTACAAGTATATTCTTTTCTCATTGGGGTTGCTTTATGTTATTCGTAGTCTATGTATGATACTGGCTTGGCTGGTTCTAGGTATACTGCGGTCCTTACGTATAAAAATGCAAGGTACTGAGAAAATCCACCGTAAGTAATGAAATTGAATTTGATGAGCAGAGAACAAACACGAAAGACATACAAAAGAGAAATGAAAAGCAAGAGATCTATACATGCCAAAGACCGAACTGACCAAACCAAGCTACCTCAAACCCAACCCGACAGGAATCAGCTCAATATCAAACCTCAAATGAAGCGCATACCCATAATCCCGCCCAGTGTAAGTAAGAATCTTGGAAATATACCGCGTTCCGCGCGGAAAAGCCCCCAAAACGATATAAGCGACAGCCCTACCAAGCCGCGTCCCCAGCAGACCCTGATACTCGGGAGTATCATATCTCCAAACCATATTCGGGCGACGTGGCGACGGCCAGTCTAGCCCGTTTTCTGCCATATACAGTCTATTCTGGACAAACCGCCTGGTGCTAAAGTTAATAACATTTTCGAAGTAGACATGTCCGAGAGATTCTATCGGCCACGCGGCTTTGTAGAGCGCTGTTGCGATTTCCGAGAACGGGGGTCCGTCGTGTCGGTCGATGTCTTTTGCGTAGATGACTCCTTCTGCTAGGAGGATCCAGTAGCAATCTGTTTTGCCTTTGTGCGGGCATGGATTGGTGAGTAGGATGCCTTGGTATTCTTTGAATTTAGGGTTTCTTGGGTTAACAAGGTTGTGGGCTGTTGCCATTGGGGTGTGTTTGATGCTAGTGTCCAGTTTCCAGCCTTGGGTTTTGAGCTCTGCGACTGAGAGGGTTGAGGGGCTTATGGTGCATGTTTTGTCTTTTGGGTTTTCTATCCATTTTTGGCGAATGGCGCCTGCTTCTTCGATTCTGCCGTAGCGTTGGGGGGTTGTTTCGCGGATGGCTGTTTGGGGGTCCTTTTTAGGAGGGGGAGTGTGGGAGATGGTTTTGGGGAGGGTTTTAGAGTGGGATCTTCGCTGCTTTCTTGGTGACATGCTGCTAATGTTAGCTTTGGTGTAAAAGATGGTTGGTTGGGGGTGGATTGAGATTAGGTTAGGTTGATATTGCTTGACTGGGATAATGATTGTCGAAGGTATATGCTTGAGATGGATGTCACTGTAGTGACTATTCTGGTGATTTATATGCTTTTGTAGCGCTGGTGCCACAGTCCGATATAGTACTCTATTATTACTATTGCCTTTGCACAAAGAAGGTAAAGAGACAGAGGATAAAGAAGCCGCGGTTGATTGAGGTGCTGTAAATAAATGTAGGACTTCAAAACGCAGCATACGGGATCAAAAGTTAAGGCTTAAAGCGACAAAGAAACAATTGCTTAAATTTCAGTGGTGTGACAGGAGATCAACAATGTATCGGCGACAAGAGTGTTGTTTGAAACAATCTCATTGTGCGACAAATTTGGTTGATATTCAGAGGCATTCACTGTCGAGATATATGTCTTGCTGGGATCCTCGATTTTGTGAAACTATCACAGCTTCAGATGCATTAGAAGCTGTCTGGTCGTTGAAACTCATACACAATGGAAGAAAGGAAGCATTCTCAAAGCTCAAACGCATCTATAATGATTAGAGACGGCCCTGGCCGTTTTTAGAGCTCCGATTCATCTCTAATGCAACGAGGATTATCATGATAAACGACCACGGACTCAGAACAGGACAAGCAATAGCATGGCATTTTATCTAACACTTCATATTATGTTCATATGCTCCGCATAATCGGAGCTCTCTATTATTTGAGCGTTGAAACATCAGTCGAATTGCAAGATATGCTCGTCCAGCACACGATAGGGCAACCACTACTGTTCTCGTGACCTCGTGACTATGGCTCCAGCGCCTCCAACTCGAACAGCTACCACTACTCGAACTCGTGAATTCCCCTATTATGCCACCGAAGGTGAAATACATGGCACCCACTGACTTGCTTGATAGGGATGGATCCTACTGCTACTCTGACCTCAATGGAACCGGGAGCTCGACCTGCACTCCTCCTTCCGGCTCCGGCTCCGGCGGTTCCAGAAAGAAATATATGTGTGTGATACGTTTATGCCCAGGGAAATCAAGAGATCTGAATGGATATACCATCTCCCTCATAGATGCTTCGTGTTTGGTGTTTCCAAGTAGATCCTAGACCTAGGACATAATCAACTACCTACTTTTTTGTCCACTTGACCTGCTACCGGAACCTAAAAGAGAAGCAGAGCGTAGAAACAAGACCTAAGGCCCAGTAGATGGCCAATAGTAAAGCTATGAGAAGACCCTATTTTGAGTCGCGTACAAAAGTGTCAGAAGCACCCCAAGATATAGCCAGAGAAAATCACACAATGAATCCAAGCAAAAGTACACAGCAGCTTTTTGCAATGTGTATGTTTGATAAGATTTCAATGTAAGCTAGGAATACAACAAAGGCTGCTTGCATAATATAATAGAATTGATGTACCAATGATGGTACCTCCGTTGATGCATAGCTTTCCTGCATTTTTCATAGCTATTGAATAAGCGATATAGACTCACCCCCCGAAGGATATACTTCAGGTCCCCCAGGTTGCTGACTTAACATATGTGACCAGCGGGGATCAATTTAATTTCCCGAGTGATCAGTCAACAAGCCACTCAGAAAGTGATACCTTAGATGTATCGCGAGAACAAGCTCTGGGAGGGCAGATAATAGCTCTGGCAACTATTTCCTTCAACTCAGGAGCTTCGGCCAGCCTCCTTGCTTAGAAGCAAAATATACTGTGCCCTCGAGACAGGAACGAATGACAAATCTTTGTATAGGCATAGAGACCAGCAAATCTCTGATATCCCGTGGCCAAGCTCTCTAAGAACTTTTTTTTGGACATTGGACTCCGAGAAGCGCCCATTGAATAAAGGCTCGATAGGCGAGTGAAACATCGAGACACGCACGTCAAACCTTGGATTAAGTCTCTGTAATTCAGACGTAATTCCAGGGCTAGCTCCGGCCATTCAGTTCAAGTGAGCTTCAGGGTAGTTTTTTTCCGTCCACTAGGTGTCACTTACAGACGAGAAGGAAGAAGAGACTGAAGGGTCTATAACTTATAGAGGGGCAGTATACTAGAGAGCTTTGAGACAGCAAGTCAATAGAAGGAAGGGTAGGATGCTGTGACAGTGAAAGAAATAACTAGTGTTCCAGACCAAAATGGGCTATTAAACATGTTCGAAATGTTACTGCAAGGCCTCGAATACATTGAATACCTCATGGCGCAGCTATAACGCGGGAGCTCGGACCATGCAAATCTGGAGATCGCGACTTTTGGATCGCGCCCTTAATTTCCGGCTCTTACCCCCTCCCCTACTCATCTGTCGCTTGACGCTTTCTCGGATTTCTTTATTCTTCGGATTCTCCAAATTCAGACCCTGTCATGTCCAACGCGAACAGCACCTAGAAGCCCAGCTCTATACTTGATCACGACCGCGCCCCTCCTTACCCTCCCTCGCGCATAGCGCTGATACGTGTCGCTCATCCGATCCTCAACATCCGGACACCCCGAGGAATAAGCAAGCAGCTGTGAATGCTCTCGGGCTGGCGCGATGCACATCATCAAGCCGGTCTGGCTCACACACGGAGGTACGGGCTCAATCGCCATGATTTTCGTTGTCCGTCATCGGGACGCGGACATACCCTTCATATTTGAAACGCCCAATGCTGGACGAATCTACGGATATCGCTAATGTTGCTCTTTCTACACAGGTGAACGCAAGGATTTCGAGGTTTATAGCTGTGATGTTTCGCCTGATGGGAAACGTCTAGTGACGGCCGCCGGAGGTGAGCATAACCCTTCCTGGCATCATTCGGATCGCACAGAACGCGCACGCATGAAGAATTACGACTAATCTCGGAACCTTTACCGTCTAATAGATGGTTATGTTCGCATTTGGTCTACCGAGGCCATTTATGGTACTGGGAATGCTGAACTTGCGGGCAAACCGAAACAATTGGCGTCGATGAGCAACCACTCGGGTACCATTCATACCGTTCGCTTTTCGCCCAATGGAAAATATCTTGCGTCGGGTGCAGATGACAAGATCGTGTGCGTGTACACGCTCGATGCCAACCCTCCAACCCATTCGTCAACATTCGGTATGTTTTAAATATCTCGGCAACCATAGACAAGCCGAAATAGATACTGACAGTTATTGCAATGTAAAGGCACAGACGAAGCACCCCCAGTCGAGAACTGGCGCACAATCAGACGATTGATCGGTCATGACAACGATGTCCAAGACCTTGGATGGTCAAATGACTCCTCTATTCTCGTATCCGTCGGACTGGATTCTAAAGTTGTTGTGTGGTCCGGTCATACATTCGAAAAGTTGAAGACCATAGCAATTCACCAAAGTCACGTCAAGGGCATCACCTTCGACCCTGCCAATAAATACTTCGCAACGGCCAGCGATGACCGAACCGTCCGCATCTTTCGATTCACCTCTCCTGCTCCGAATTCCTCCGCCCACGACCAGATGAACAACTTTGTTCTAGAGCAGACTATTACCACACCGTTCGCCAACTCTCCTTTGACAGCATACTTCCGTCGATGTTCATGGTCACCGGATGGAATGCATATCGCTGCTGCTAATGCCGTAAACGGTCCAGTCAGCTCCGTGGCTATTATCAATCGTGGGTCCTGGGATGGCGATATCAATCTGATTGGCCACGAAGCACCAGTTGAGGTCTGCTCGTTTTCTCCGCGACTCTATGCAACCGAGCCCCCCAGCAAGAAGAAAGCAGATGGCCAAGGATCTACGGGTCAACACCATATCACCGTCATTGCCTGTGCTGGAGGAGACAAGTCTCTCAGTATTTGGATCACTAGCAACGCTCGACCGATAGTTGTTGCCCAAGAGATGGCTGCCAAGGCGATCTCGGACCTGGCATGGACACCAGATGGGAAGTGCCTCTTTGCTACTGCCCTAGATGGAACAATTCTAGCAGTCAGATTCGAAGATGGAGAGCTGGGATGGGCCACGGAAATGGAAGAAAATGAGAAGTCGCTCACCAAGTTCGGAACAAATCGAAAAGGCGCGGGTATCACAGAAACTACAGACAGTCTGCTCCTAGAAGAGAAGAGTAAGGCAGGTGAGATCAAGGGTGTTGAAGGGCGAATGGGTGCGTTGATGGGCGATGCGCAGCCAACTGCAAATGGAGACAAGGCGCCACAACCTTCCAACGGAGCGACCCCTGCTCGTGCCCCTTCACCCGCACCCGAGACCAACAAAGCACAGCCCAATGGAGGTGTTTCAACGCCCGCTGTTCCAGAATCCGAAAAGCCAGATCCTTATCAGGCCAAGCTAGAAAGACTCAAGCAGCGCCCAACATACACCAAGGAGGGTAAAAAGCGCATTGCACCGTTGCTGGTCTCAGGAGCAGGAGCTGGCGAATCATCTCTCCCACAAGCTCGTTTGATGGCCTCGGTCAGCAATCAAGTCAAAGCAGACGCCCCGACTACCATAGTCGACTTGTCAAAACCATTCGATGGTCTTCCTAAAGGTGGTCTGACCACTCTTCTTCTCGGAAACAAGCGCAAGCTGGCCCAGGTTGAAGGCGACGAAGATGGCAGTGTGGAAAAAAGGATCGCTCTTGCCAGTCAAAATGGCGCAACTCCCATTATGGCCAATACTCCTGATGGTCTTCTCCCGGCCCAGGTACAGCCTGCTGCAACCGGCCAACAGCCCACTCCAGATTACATTCGCCCTGCTGTCACAAATCCTTGCATGACTGTTAGCCAGCTTCGTTTGGCTGTTCCAAAAATTCGCAGCCAGATTCTTCGCGCATTGGATACCAGCGGGAAACCCACAGAAGCACCTGGCTCTGGTGCGGATTCAAAAGATACCAAAAGCCGCGTGGACGTGGTTTTCGAAGCTCGAAATCCTTCACCGGCGAGTCTGACTGGCCGTGCCGTGGACCGGGAACCAGTACGCTTGACTTTGTTCCGGGGGAGCAGCCGTTATGGCAGGACTTCTTACCACGGACAGTTCTTCTAGTCACTGGAAATCAAAGCATGTGGGCAGCTGGCTGTGAGGATGGGTCAATTTACCTTTGGACGCCGGCCGGTCGTCGTCTGGTCAGTGCACTGGTTCTCGAAGCACAGCCTGTCATTCTCGAGTGCAACGGACCATGGATTCTGTGCATTTCCTCTGTCGGCATGTGCTACGTCTGGAACGTGAAGCACTTATCCTCTCCTCACCCACCCGTATCTCTCCAGCCTGTATTAGATGCAGCAATTCACACGTTGGGTGCCAATCCAACCGCCGCACCAGCAGTGACAGATGCACGCATCAACTCGGAGGGCCGGGTTGTGATTTCTCTCTCTAACGGTGAAGGGTACTCATATTCTCCATCCATGTTCACGTGGCAGCGCATCTCTGAAGCGTGGTGGGCTGTTGGTAGTCAGTACTGGAACACGACAGACGCACCTGTAAACAATCTACAGGCCAAGGATGCACAGCAAGACAACAAAGATGCCAAGGCAGCTGTTGCAGCTGGAATCATTCCTTGGTTGGAACGCAACACCACCAACGAGACACTGCTTCGTGGACGGGCATATTTCCTCCAGCGTCTAATCAAGGTCCTGCTATCCCGCGAGGGTTACGAGACATTTGAATCCAGCGTTTCCATCGCGCATCTTGAGAATCGTCTTGCCGCTGCTCTGTCCCTGGGTGCCAAAGAAGAGTTCCGGTTATACCTCTCCATGTACGCCAAGCGCATCGGCGCGGAAGGGTTGAAGCTGAAGGTTGAAGAATTGCTGAAGGGCTTGATCGGTGGTCTCTTCGAGGACGATGATACCACCGAGGGAATTTTGACATTGCAGGCGAATGAACGCGAGGGCCGTAATTGGCGCGAAGGATCTGACGACCTCTGCGGCTGGCCTCGAGAGACATTATTGAAGGAGGTCATTTTAGCACTCGGTATGTTCAACCTTGATCTCCCCCCCACCCTAATGCTTTGTTTGTTAACGAATGTCAGGTAAACACCGTGACCTTCAACGTGTGACTGTGCCTTACGCCAAGCTGCTGGATATGGTTGACGGCGCGTCCGAAAATGGTGACGCCATGGATCTATAGTGATCTAATATTTCTCTCTTTCGTTCCTCGTCTATCTACTTTCGTTTTCTGTTTCTTTTTATCGTTATTGGGGGCGTTCATGAAGTCCGGACGGGGTTACCTTGGCAAAAGGAGTTTGCATTATTTATTTTGCTGGGGCGAGATTGGAGATGACATATCCCAATTCGTGCCAGACTTGTATCATAGGTTTCTCTCTGGTTTGCTCCTGTTTATCCTTGATAAGCTGACTGCCACCTTGCTGCAATGCTTTCTTGGTCTCGTTTACGAGCGCCCATGATAATTTCATTTGTAATAGCCTGCGCGAGCAGAATTGCATTGATAGCTATGTTATAAGTTATGATATACATGTGTAAATTGTAGTGTCAATCTATGAGCTGATCGCTGACGCTGCGACCATGCCATTATAGCTTCCTTCCTGCCAATTGCTTCCTAACCAGATCAATTATGATATTTGTATACTTCAACGCGCATTACGTAGGGTGACGTCGTCAGGGCTATGCCATCACGTGGGCGGTCGATTCTTTGCAGGCAGAAAATTCGATGACATCTGGCGCGACCTCATCACTTTTGGTCTTTTTCTGCCATACACGCACTCATTTACTCTCCTTTCTCTCATTGATATTGCCCACTGCAATTGTGGGTGCCGTCATCACGTCTTCCACCTCCTCACTACTTCTCCTTCGTATCGTCGATCGATCCGCAGCTGGTCCTGCATTTGGCGCGTTCCATCCCTGCTCCCGCTTCCGCCTTTCCACCTCCCCCCACCTCCTCCCACCTCTCTTCTGTCGCTTCTACTCAAGCAAGAAGAAAAAATCCAACAAAATGCCTCCCAAGAAGCAAGTCATCCCGGAGAAGGTCTACCTGGGTCGTCCTGGAAACAACCTGAAGAGTGGTATCGTATGTGAGCAGAAGCCCCCACCCTTTTTTTTCCTTTTTTTTTCCAGCACAGTCCACTTTTTAATTCCACACACAAACTATTTAAGCCTCCCCCTGTCCCCTTCCTTTCATCTTTTTTCTCTTTCTTTTCCACCACCATCCATCTAACAATGGCTTTAGGTTGGTCTTGCCAACGTCGGCAAGTCGACACTCTTCCAGTCTATCACTAAGTCCTCCCTGGGTAACCCGGCCAACTTCCCCTTCGCCACTATTGACCCCGAGGAGGCCCGCGTTATCGTCCCCGATGAGCGGTTCGACTGGCTCTGTGATCACTACAAGCCCAAGTCCCAGGTTCCTGCTAACTTGACCGTCTATGATATTGCCGGTCTGACCCGCGGTGCTTCCACCGGTGCTGGTTTGGGTAACTCCTTCCTGTCGCACATCCGTGCCGTCGATGCCATCTTCCAGGTCGTCCGCTGCTTCGATGATGCTGAGATCATTCACGTTGAGGGTGATGTCGACCCTTGCCGTGATTTGACCATCATCAACGAGGAGCTTCGCATCAAGGATATCGAGTTCGTCACTAAGGCTCTCGAGGCTTTGAAGAAGCAGACCCGTCGCGGCGGTCAGTCCCTGGAGATGAAGAAGCTGAAGGAAGAGGAGGCCACCACCGAGTTCATTCTTAAGTTCCTTGAGGATGGTAACGACATCCGCAACAAGACTGACTGGACCCCTAAGGAGGTATGTGAAACTTTTCCCCCCCCGATTCTTTTCCCATTTCCACTCAACCCCAAACTCCTACAATGATGAATAAGAGCTTTGCTCGAATCAAACCCAGCTCTTCGAGTGTCCTCAATATATAAACTCACGAAGAGGGCACCTTGAGAACAAAAGTTATACCCTGAAATTGGAGTCACATCTTCTATTGCATCACTCAATACATTTTGTGAAACCTCAAGCTAACCCACCGGGTTTCTAGGTCGAAGTCATCAACCCTCTCCTCCTGCTCACTGCCAAGCCCGTTGTGTACCTTGTCAACCTGAGCGAGAGAGATTACATCCGCCAGAAGAACAAGTACCTCCCCAAGGTCTTTGAATGGATCAAGACCAACTCCCCTGGTGACCCGATTCTTCCTATTTCGGCCCAATTCGAGGAGCGTCTAACTCTGATGCATGACGATGTTGCCGCTGCCGAGGAGTGCAAGACCCTCGGCACCCAGTCTGGTCTGCCCAAGGTCATCACCACCATGCGCAAGGTTCTCAACCTGGCTTCCTTCTTCACCACTGGTGAGGATGAGGTTCGCCAATGGACCATCCGTAAGGGCATCAAGGCCCCCGCCGCGGCCGGTGTCATTCACACCGACTTCGAGAAGACCTTCATCCAGGCTATTGCGTACAACTACGCTGTTCTGCGCGAGCTCGGTGATGAAGGTGCCGTCAAGGCCGCTGGTAAGATCATGACCAAGGGTAAGGAGTACCTCGTCGAGGATGGCGATATTCTCCTTATCAAGGCCGGTGCTGCCAAGAGCTAGATTCAATTAGAAAATAGTCCATGAATGATATACCTGAATGAATCTTGTGAACAAAACTGTTTTGATTGTAGAAGTATTCGTATACTCTGTACTAAATTATCTTTCGCATATTTCGAAGCTGCCAAATGCATTTACGTCTGCCTTTCGAAAACTTGTGGTGCTCACTTGTTTTGACCTACGCCTGTCACTTATTTCGTTACTTAACTGCCACTTCCAACATAACGTTATGCCTTTCAATCATCACAAGCACTGGTTGTCCCGGTCAAAGAACTGTTTCTCATGTTTTTTTCCCCAGCACAAATAGTAGTAATTATCTTCAAGACACTGATCACTCTACTGTACCTTGACGTCTCCCGTGTAGACAGATGGTATTGATTGTAATCAAACAATATATGGACACAGGCTCACATAGAAGATCAATGCTACACGATGACGGATCTTGAAATCTCGTACAAACTCTCAAACGAGTCCGTGTCAACCTGTTAGACCGATTTCATGATGATTCACGTCTGAGATAGTTGCTCACTATTGCACTTTAAAGAGTCTACTCAGTATAGCCTTGTATAGACGTGGACCTAGAGCTGATATGTTTCCTATATGATATGTCTGAAGGGAATCCGGCTGTGAAGGCAAGAACAGAGTAAGATTTAGTGACTGTGCTGTACCAGATTTTGATATGGTCTCAGGGCAATCAGGAAGCCAAGTTGCACCACAATCAACATTGCCTGGTGAATCTCGACTTCTTCACCCTCATTATTTCTCTCCTTTTTTATCTCTTCACCACTCCCTTTCTGCACGTTGAAGCCAAAAACGCAACAACACGCCTGTCAACTTCCCTACCTTTCCTCCCTCCCTCGACAGTCCACCCTCATCACTCAGGTCATCATGCCACCCAAGCCAAAGTGGGACCGTGAACAGGATGCTAAGGTAAATTCCACAGTTGTCCTCCAAAGGCTATAAACGATTTTAACCTCTTTGGCTTCTCACCGCAATCATGAATCAGCTCAGGGATGCCAAAGTCTCGCTTGATATGAACAAGGTTGCCAATTTCGTCGGATCCGGTACAAGCCATGGACACTTAATCTTGGAAATTAGACCTCGCTGACATACAGAACAGAGTTCACTGTAAATGCCCTGAGAAGCCGAATTTGCGCCCTCAAGAGAATTGCGGAGGGAGGCTCTCCGGAGAACAGCGAATTTGCTACTCCTACCAATACACCGCAGAAAGGGAAGACTGCTTCACGCACCCCATCAAAGAAGAAGCAAAAGATTGTCCCTGACGAGGACAACAACAGCGAGAATACTCCCTCTGACCAGCCTCGTGTTGTTATTGATCTGGTGAAGAAAGAGTTCGCTTCACCCAAGGCCGAGAAGAAAGAGGAACTCACTCACGACTTGGATACAATCAATAAGTATGAAGACATGGGAGAGGAGGAGGAGGACAAGCTGGACGTCAAAGATGAGATTGACTATGATCCTTTCTTTGAGATTTAGAGATTGGTGGACTGAAGAGACGGTGTCTGAGGGGTTCTTGTTGAACTGGTTGCCAGACCCCGCATGATACTCAATGTTAGTAGCAATGACCTTGAAAGTGATAGATTATGAACCAATGTTAGTCTTCTCTTGAAACAATGGAACAATGAAATATCCAAGGTCGATCTTTCGACGCTCCACTCTTGATTTTATACACACCACGTGACCGACCTCCCCGCGGCATCCCACCACACGAGCTTCGCTCTGACAGTATTGCAGTCTCAACCAGCACCATGTTCAAAAAAGAGTGAGTCAAGACTAGGAAAATCTCCAAAATTCTACCCCGAGGTTGCTCTTGCATGACCGAGCCACCTTGACCCATTGGGAGCACACAATTCTCAAACTCGGACACCGCCAACGCCGCGAGAGCTGTCCAACACCTTCGATGGGGCTATAACAGGGCCCCTAGTGACTGAAAAAAAAAGAGAAGGGGAAGGATGGCCTCAGAGAACGGCAAGCTAACATATTCGGTGTCTAGTATCCCCCCAAGCAACCGATCAAAGGTCAAGTCCTCCGTGCAGCGCGGCCTGCGCCAAAAGCTACTGGAGACCTACCCCGGCCTGGAACCCTTCATTGAAGATGTCATGCCAAAGAAGGCTTCACTGGAAGCCGTAAAACTGTACAGTCCCACCCTCTCCATAACCGATACCAGAACATTACTACATCGACCTTTCCACTCGGCCGCAAATCAACACTGCATCTAGCAGTAAACCTCGGAAAGGATCTCAAACGCTAACTGAGAACTTTCCATTTCATACACAGTCCCGAGCGCGTCACTCTCTACACAATAGATTCCACACCTCTCTTCTTCCAGCCCATCGACGGGCCTCCCATCCCTCACCTCCGTGTCATCCACCAATACCCCTCTGCCATCCCGACAATCCAGATCGATCGCGGTGCTATTCGATTTGTGCTTTCTGGTGCGACGCTCATGGCGCCTGGTCTTACCTCCCCCGGTGGTAAACTGCCTGATGCCGAGAATGCTATTGAGGCTGGGCAGATTGTTGCTGTTAAGGCTGAAGGCAAGGAGGAGGTCTGTCTTGTGGGTATGCTGAAGGTTGGCACAGAAGATATTAAGAGTAAAGGAAAGGGTGTTGTTATGGATGAGGGCCACTATCTTGGTGATGGATTGTGGAGGATGCACCTGGATTAAGTGATATGATTGAGTGATTCGTGATCAAGTCATAAAGTGATAAAGTCATATGTTGATTTTAAAGGGGGTTTTAGGGAATTTTGGGCCTGGTTTAGGTCTTTTGATGTTGTTGGCATATACCTCTGGAAGTGTGGTGATGAAATGAAATGAAATGTCGATCCCATAGGCTTGGATGCTGTGAAATTTAAAATATTAATCCCTGAGACAACTTACTAGCCAAGTAGAAATGGGCGAATGAAGAGGACTTGCATTGTTCTATAGTATAAAGAGTCACTTGGGATATTTTTCGAGAAAGTACACCCAGCTCAGGTGCTAAATGATTGCCAAGCGCCCCTATCTTCCACATACGTATGCGACATAAGCCTAGTAAATATGCTTCGACCTCCTCTTCCTGAGCTGCCAGGCAAATCGCCCGCCAATGCGGAATAGCGTCTTTGCCTGCGCCAGTAATCATCGCGGGACAGGGCTCGTGCACCCGTCAAGCAGCCCTCGGCTTAATGAGGATAACCCTGAAACCCTGACTGATCCCCCCCCCAAACTGCCGTGCAATGGGTGTTCAAAAGTCCCAAATTAACACTGAATATGCAGTGATTCTGCAGTAGTAGTCGCAGTTCTTATCTGAATCCTGGGCTTGGTTCAGCTGCACAAATGGGTGCGATAAAGTTCACCAATGGAGAAGCGTCCAAGTAAATGCAGCAGACGAATAGGCGGGACCTAACCAGGCCGCTAACAAGAAATGAAGAGAATGGACTGTGCTTCACCCCTCCATGGCGCCGCGGGTCTTTTTTCTTTTTCTTCAAATTCTCTCCCTTGATTCTACTGTCACTCTTACCTGGAAAGACCTCTCTACGCCCCCCATGGACGTCGCGACAAGTTCCAGCTCGAACAAGCATGATGCGGACAGGAGTGTCAAGGACTATAATAAAGGCCAGAGAGACCCATCTCCAGCAGAAAGATCGATTCACCATGGCGAGTCGGATATCTTGCAAGGGGAGAAAGTCGACGAAGCTCTCGCAGCGAAGATGATGTTGATCAACGACGTGAGACGCAGCTGTGCATATACTTCATGTACACCAAAAGCTAACCCGCGGACTCCTAGACGATCGATGAAATTGGCTTTACTGCTCACCACTGGAAGCTGTTTTGTTTGAACGGATTCGGATATGCGGTCGACTCGCTCATTCTTTTGATCCAGTCGATCATTTCTACACAAGCTAGGCTAGAATTCCAACCTGGCTATTCCACGGGCCTGACAATTGCGGTGTATGTTGGAATGCTAGTGGGAGCCATATTTTGGGGGTTCTCAGCCGACATTATCGGCCGGCGCTTTGCGTTCAACTTCTCGTTGTTTGTTTCGTCGGTCTTCACTATTGTTGCAGGAGCTTCGCCATCTTGGATTACTCTTGGTTTGTTTGTTTGCCTTAGCGCATTTGGTGCTGGAGGAAATTTGGTCTTGGATACAACCGTGTTCCTCGAGTATCTGCCTAGCAAAGAACAATGGCTATTGACACTAATGGCTGCATGGTGGGGTGAGTTTCCATTTCTCACCAGGCCCTGTGCATTAACATTCAGCTAATTTGGACTAAAAAAGGTCTCGGTCAGCTTATTGCAGGATTGTTCGCTTGGGCTTTTCTTCCCAATTACTCCTGCAGTGATGCAGCCACCTGCACCCGGGCCAATAACCAAGGATGGCGCTACGTCTGGTACACATCCGGTGCCCTGGTGTTTGTTCTCTCTATACTTCGAATTACTATCATTCGACTGGAAGAGACGCCCAAATTCCTAATTTCGGAAGGCGAAGACGAAAGAGGTCTGCGAGTCTTACAAAACATCGCTAAAAAACATAACCGTCCATGCAGTCTCACCCTTGAGCGGCTACAAGCATGCGGACAGATCCATCAGAGACAAAGAGCAGGATCCAGCTGGCTGGCACGAGTAATCTCCCCAAGCGAAGTGTTCTTCCATCTCCGTGGACTTTTCGCAACCCGCAAAATGGGCTTGTCCACCACCCTGGTGTGGTTCTCATGGCTGCTTATTGGTCTCGCCTACCCACTGTACAATGTGTTCCTGCCTAGCTATCTTGCATCCCGCGGCGCGAGTTTCGGCGAAAGTAGTCCATACATCACGTGGCGGAACTATGCTATCAACAACACTTGTTCCATCTTCGGTCCGGTGCTGGCTGGATTTATGTGTCGCTCGCCTTGGTTCTGGGGCCGGCGGGGAACGATGATTATTGGCGCCATAGTTACGATGGTCTTCTTCTTTTGTTATACTCAGGTTCGCACGGCGAACCAGAATCTTGGCTTTACGTGTGCTATTTCATTCTGTTTGAATGTTTACTATGGCACACTCTATGCTTACACGCCCGAGGTTTGTCTTCCTTCCAGCCAATCACCACAATGGGTCTCTTTGGCTATTCTTTTGGTATTAACTGCGTGGCAGGTCTTTCCATCTGCCCATCGTGGAACAGGAAACGGTGTCGCTATTGGCCTCAATCGTATCATGGGAATTGTCAGCGCCGTCGTGGGCCAGGCCGCAAATGTATGTCTGAACAAGCTTAACGTGCCCTTTCAATTTGAAAAATAACCTTGGAGAGAGTGGAGCTGACTATGAAATAGACCAGCACAGCTGTACCAATTTACATTTGTGCCGCGCTTTACATTGTGATGGCAATCGTCGCTGGAGCTCTCCCATTCGAGCCGTACGGCCGACGGAGTAGCTGAGCATGCCTCATTCAATTGAGCATTCTTATCTCCACATACTGTACGAGCGAATATTGGACTATCAATGTTGCTTTTACAAACACGAATGGTTCCACAATTGTCTTCGTGGCCATCAATATCCAAGCTTCTGGAACTTGGCATACCTGAAGCTATTAGAAATAACAAAGAACAGTGACCTCATCAACATGACCAAGGCATAAGATTTCAGTACTCAACAGCCTACAATGCATTCTGGATCATCACTCCATCCACAAAATCAATAACCTGCACCTTCTGTATCAGATGGTCGATCTTCCGATCAAGGGCATGGTGTACTGGATCTTTTGAGAGGTAATAATCCCTGTCTTCTACATTATCAAACTCGAGTATGAATGCATGTGTGATGCCAAACTATGAACGAAAGATGAAAGTTATTAGCAATCCTTGAATTAATTTCTAATAGACATCTGTGTACACCAAGACAGAGTGCTTGCTTACTTGAAGTCCCTCAGGGGAGATATCCTGGCCCCCGCGAAGTGATTTGATATAAGGGGCCTGGGTTAGCGGATGTAAACATTGGTCTTTTAACGTCGTTACTATTCTGCAGGCCTATAACGCCTTAGCATAGGAACATAGAACCCATGATCTTCGCATGGAGTGGAAAGTTGAGCCAAGAAGGAGAAATTCACCTCGGCCATCTCCTCGTTGTGGAGGACTGCTCGGAATTGAAACATGACAATGTGCGTCACAACCATTGTAGAGCTTGTTATTAAGTCTGAAGTAAATGAAGCTTTATCTGGGATGTTTGTTGAACGATAAATAATTCGCGGAGTCATCTCCCTCTTATTAGATCAGCTCTGATGTAGAAATTGTAATATTCATCCGCAGCTTGTGAGATGGTACACTCAGATCAATTGAGAATAATTCGACATATCTTTGCACACTGCACTTATGTTGTACCTAGCTGACCTTGCAGTTGATCTTCCGAACAAGATGTAGCGCCTATATACGTCTATCAGTACGTGAAACTGTGCACGACGTCATATACATAAGTCTGCAATGTACAGTAAGAACCCTTGGCCACACAGTTTGCATAATTATATCGAAGTAGGGTTCCCGATAGACCTTGTTATAGGCCGTAGCTAGGATAGAATGTTGAACGCTGTGTAACTCTTACGCGTCCCTGCCTAGCTACGGGCGTGTTCCTCTCTACACCCGGAATGGCGAGTATAATAAAACGCTAGGACATAAATTTCACAACTTGTTAGTATAATGAGCCGTTATCCCTGAATGATCACATAATTCTACATTGTCTACTCTTTATACAAGTCTGACCTCCACCAAGCATCAATTACTATCTAGATCATATCATAAACCCTCTCTATCATCAAGCGATATCGATACAATGTCCACCGTCAAATTGCCCACCTGGAAGACAAAAAACTTCACAGCAGCAGCCCCGATAGAAGCAGAATTACTTACCGAGTTCTCCATCGATGCGCCGCCATCAAGTGATCTCTGGTCCTTCCCAGATTCAACAGCAAAGAACAACATCCCGATGGTGTACAAACAAATACCGCTAGGTAAATTTAAAAGAATGCGTGTCACGCTATCCACCAAAACCATGGCACAATATACCCAAGGGGGGCTAGTGATGATGATGGGGGAAGCAGCGGGAAACGAAAAATGGATCAAAACGGGGATTGAAGTGATGAACGGAGAGCAGATGGTATGTGTTGTGGGGAAAGATCAAGGGCCTGATATGAGTCTTGGTCGTCGGCTCAGTGCAGGTGAATGGTTCACGATTGAAATGGCGAGGAAAGATCATGACCTTGTCATTAGCGATGTGAGCATGGAGAGTGGGAGCGAGACGGGACATGTCTCGATTCTTCGTGAGATTGGGTGGGTGTTTGCTGGAGATTTGGCGGTGGAGTGTTTGTTTGGTGTCTATGCGGCGAAGCCTGGGACTACGGATGAGGAGGGCGTGGTTGAATTTAGAGATCTTGTTTTTGAGGGGGAGGATTTGGATTGATGCTGCTTTGTATTGAGAAGAGCTTGATGATATGGTGAAAATTATGAAATGACTCGTTGTTTTCTTTCTGACTCGATGGCAAGGATATAATGAGTATCGGCTGGGATAGAGGGGGCAAAGTGAGATTTAAAGTACATAGCGTGAAGCCAACCGGCTGATAATGTCATTCCGTATTAGAAGGCAAAGTTGTTCGTAAGGGAAGGAGTATGGGGCTCTTTCAGCAGGTATGATATATCGATTTCTGTCAATGAGCATGCTGCCCAAGTGAAATTAGAGAGACATACTTGAAAGAGTTTCTGATATTTGTGGCAAAACCAGTATTGATAAACTGAATGAACGTGTTTCAACCCCATGTGCGTTCATTCGTGAAGTCTTGGGTCTCCGAAGACAGCGCCCCAGTAGTCCTTCACAGCAGCGCAGATATCGACATAATCTCTCCACGTGGAGAATTTATCTTCCAGCTCACATGCCGTCCAAAGAATCTCTTGCCAGAAGACTCTCTCAACATCGGCTTTAGAACTGAAGTCCTTGACTACATCCTCAGGAATTGTCCAAGCACGAGTGTAGCTGCCATCATCGGCAAAAACAGGATTGACTGCACCATCGTCGAAGACAGTGGCCGGATTAAACTTGGGAAAGTTGGCATGAATGAAGAAAACACTTGGTGCTTGTGCTTCGTCGCCGCGAACTCTCCACTTCCCCTGGCTGGTCAATGCAAAGTCCTGAACGGGGTTAAACTGAGCCATTGCAGAGCCAGCCATTCCGCCTTCAGTGCCATGACCCAGCGCACAAATTGATTCGCTGACTTGATAAAAGGGCTCTTGCGTTACTGATGCAGCGGCCACGAAGGTTTCCTTATCCCCCTCACCTGCGGCACCCTGCGACAGAAGTGGATAGAAATGTGAAGGACCCCAGTAGTTGTAGTAAGTGCAGAGCAGGAGGGTACGCATATGAGTCTTCTTCGAAATGAGTAGCTCCCCGGACTCAGTTGACTGCCGCAGTCCCATCGGTGGAGCAATCTGACCCGTTATTTCGTAGAAGAGAGGCGATGTGGAGGAAGCCCAGAAATCAGGCCATGTGACCATCTTCTTTGACCGAAAAGGCTCTGCCCAGAACAGATCTTCTGGCTTCTCAAGGGGAAATGCATCAGCATCCAGGAAAAGAATCTCTTCAAATGAAGAGAAAATCATGGCGAATGGCTTGTATTGATACTTCTCGATCTTGGCCGGTGCAACGCTCAAAATACGGGACAGAACCAGACACCGTGCGTTGAGCGACGGCAATACTACGTCGCAGATATATTCCTCATATTCGTCTTCATCGGCCAGGAAAACTTCCATGGGTAGCGTGGATCCTGTCCGGCGGAGCATTCGCAGCGAAATTACAAGCACGGGGAGGTAGAAACCGCCTGCGGTTGAGACTACGCCTTTTGTGTCGGGTATGTAGCGGAGTTGAGGAGGTGAATGGGACAATGTGTCCACAAATTTGGTATGTGCGTCTTTCATCGTGGCTACATCATCTTCCGGGATGCGTAGGTAATTCGGACGCGGCCGTGCATCCTTGGGGTTGAATCCTTCTGTAGGGGCCTCTTCAGTTTCGGTTACTGGGACTGTTGTGTTAGGCGCATATTGTACCAAGAGTGTGTGAAAGTCTCGCCAAAACCGTTGATGTGATACTGTCAAGTCGGAGATAAGTTGGAAGGGATTGGGGGAAGTGTTGTTATTCGATGAGACGTACGCAGTACGCCATCGCGAGAGGGTCCAGGTGAGGATGAGAGCTAGAGTAAATGCCGTCAACAGTGTCCGCACACGCAGGCATAATCGCAGAGCCGTCATCGAGAATTCCGAGGCATCGATGTTGAGGGCTAGATGTTGAATACACTCCACTGGTTAAGGTTAGGCTCGGATGCTGGTGGGTCAGTGACGTCGGTGCCTGAGATGGATGAACTGTCAGATATCGAGTCAGAGTCATTCACGTATTTTGACCATTCTGGAGGAATGCAAGAATTTCAGAATGCCAGAATGCCCCTGGTCTACTGACACCGTGGGGGTTGAAGGGGTTGGACACCTCGTCGCCTGAGGACACAAGGCCAAAATAAAGGAAAGCAACGGTGTTGGGGGTATCAGGCTTATATCTCAACACCCACAAAGCATTACTTGAATGATGAAGATCCTGATCTAATATCCTAAGAACAAAAAAATTCATAGAACAAAAAAACATACAACAGTAAGGATTCGCTAGTGGTCACCCACCTAACTACTAACTTACCGGCGTGTGGCTTAAGTACGGCTGAGCGGACGGGAAGCCCTGTTCTCCACACCCTGTGGTCGTATGTACTTAACATAGTAGTGAGGAAGAATAAGTAGCAAGTTGGTAAGAGTGATACTATTGCACGACTACTAGTTAGCGCTAAATACTTTTGTCATAACCCTTGATATAACTTAGTTATAGTCCGTCTGGGATAGAAAAACTTAAATAAATTGACGATATATCGCCGGAATAAAATAGCTTAACTTACCTCATTTTATACTTCATGAAAGTTGACTCCATCTATTCAGAACCACCTTATAAGATCACTCCAGGTCTTCAATTCCATGGGCCACGCTCTCCTCAATATGAGTCCACCTTTTCCCAAAGAACTCGAGCAACAAAGCCTCAGCCCTCTTTGACAATACTACATCAGTCATGTCACGACCTTCGTTCACCGGGGGTTCTGGGATCAATTTATTATTTGGCCTTAGTTTCTTGAGAATCGCGAATATGTCCCCCCAGTTGAATGGCGATGCAAAGGCAAAAATGCGTTCGTTTTTAACGACAGAATTAAGTAGGGCAACCACATGCAGTCGAGCCGTATCCTCGACGTCAACAAACCACTCTAGTATTGTCAGATATTGTCAGATTTATCTTGTTCAGAATGCAAATGAAGATCAGTCGTAATATCACCCGGAGAGGACTTACGTGGAGGAAATGTACGCACAACCCTATCATCGCCTTTGAGAATATCTCTAACCCAGCCCATGGTGGACGTATTGACTTCAGGATGAAGTATCCGACCATACTGAAGGGTAAGAAGCCAATCCAGAGAGGTCACAAGTCTCCGATATTTGAAAGAACTTACATTGTTATTTGGTAAAACCACATTGAACTCGAAGTTGGGCTGCTGTTCTTTTACCCACTCCCAAGCCGAACGTTCCTGCTCAACCTTTGCAGCGGCATATACATGGTATCCTTTTGTCTCGGCAGGTGTTGAGCTATCCCAAGCGGCCTTGACGGATACTTCATTCCAAGAAGCTTTTTATAATGTCAGATATGGGAGACAGAATGAATTCTTATGAACCCTGATGACAATCACATTACCTTCAGTGACCGTTTCTGGGATGTTGGGAGTAGGTATCAATGCAGCGCTGGATGAGGACGTCAAGACAAATCGCTTCACTGATGGCTCATGGCTCGCAGCGTCAAGAAGATTCAGAGTTGCACGCTTTACCCAGGGGATTACTTCGTTAGGGTCCGATCTAAACGTAATGTCCGCTACCTAGTTTCATGAAAATTAATTGTTAGATATTTCGGTGAAATTATCATTCTTCACATAACATACGAGGTGTACAACACCCGAGACGCCGTTCACTGCTTGGGTACAAGCATCTAGGTCATCTAAAGTCGCGAAAATAATTGTTTCAAAGACGCCTTTCCCGTACTTGTTCTCGAAATATCGTTCTAGCCCTTCTTTTTTCGTCCTTGTTGTTCCGCGAACCCGGAATCCTTTCGATAACAAGATGTCGACGATATGCGATCCGATATAACCGTTGGCACCCGAAACCAAGATGAGGCAGCCTGGTGAGATTGCGTATTCGATCATATTTGTTGGATTAAAATCGATTTCCGCAGAAATTCTGAAAAAGGAAACAACAGCGAAAAGATGGTAATAGAGAAACAACGACTATGATAAGGTGAAAGGATGTGTTTGAGGCAGATTTATGGAGATCACTACTCAATAACACCTGGTCTACAGTGTACAAGGGTATTTGGTCACAACTAGCTTTTCAAGTTTTACATAAAAGTTGCATTTATTTGAGCCCTGACTACGCTTGGTACAACACTGACCATACATATGGCTCTCCTCGAGATTTGGATATGACCCTCATTTAGAAAGTCCAGGTTTGTCATGGGAGATAATTACCAGCCGTGTCCCTGGAAATATGAATCTGATAACGTTAGATCTTTTGATTTTACGGTCATGGCGGGCAAATAACTAGGGGGAGCTTTCTCGTCATGGTGGAATTCTAGCCTTGCTATTGGGATGTTGCTTGTAGCGAAGACCATATTGTGCAACATGAAAAGCACAACATGTTTTTAATGAGGCTACGCAGAAATAAAACACTTTCTAGTACCCTTGATTATATATGATTAGTATATCAGTACATTCAGAACAGTAAACTAACGTGAAAAAGTCCGTTACATTCAAATATCCTTCGGGTTCAAAGCAGAAAATCAATCATGCGTGTATCGCGAGAATATGAGGATGGAGTCCAATATTTGTCAACGGACACCCCTCTTGAAGACATGATTTATCTCATGAAACGCGATGGTGCAATAGTTGTCAAAGGCCTAGTTTCGGAGAAAGATATCGACCAGGCAACCAAGGAAATCCGACTCAGACTGGACGAAGACCTCGAATGGGAGGGGGACTTCTTCCCCAGTATGTGACTTGCCTGCTAGTCTTATTCTCGATGACATTTTTCACAGAACATATGATTGACTCAAAGTTCATGATAGAGGAGACGAGAAGAGCACCCGGTTTGATTGCTAGAAGCCCGACTTACACCAAAACCAACCTCATGAATCCAATATTCCAGGCTCTATGTACGCATTTTCTCACAACTAAGAATACATTCTGGTGGGGAGACAAGCAAAAAGAGTCCGTTTCTCTCCCATACGTTCATTCGTGTGTTGCGATCGAGATCGGCCCTGGAGGTACGGCACAGCCACTTCATCGCGACTCTTACATCAACCGTAATGTTCTGGATGAAATCGATGAATGGGATGATGAAAGAGACCGAACACGCGAATCTGCCATGGGCATGTTAGTTGCAGGAACTCGGATCACACCAGAAAATGGAGGAACACAGTTGATTCCAGGCAGTCACCTTTGGTAAGGGCACTGAACATTGCGCTTAACGTGGAGGCTGAAATATGAGCTAACTGAATTTCAAGGAGCACACATCGAAAGACACCCCCACGACCGGAAGACTGTATTGTACCGACCCTCGACAAGGGCGATGCTTTGATATTATTTGCATCCCTTTATCATGGAGGAGGAACTAATATCACGAATGGGCACCGTCTTACACTTTCTTGCTTTATGGTAAGAGGCTATCTGAGACAGGAGGAGAACCAATATCTAGCCGTTCCAAGAAATGTGGTCGAGCAGTACGGTGTTGAAGTCCAGAAGCTCATCGGCTACAGTATGAGTGATCCTGCCTGTGGATGGGTTGAAGAACTTGATCCAATTTTTGTTCTCCATCCCGAGTTAGCGAGAATACAAAAGCCGCAGGACTTTTAGTGGAATACAAATTTGTTGGGAAATTTGGATTGCTTTTCTCCAATTCATCGAGCTACCATGACATCGTCTTTTCGGAAGATTTGGCTAAAATATGAAACAAAGATGTGCAAGTTTGCTTGCTCTTGTTTGCTAGTCACGAATGAAGTGAAGACTATGTAATTTTATCTAAGTTGTGAAGTGGCCAACAGCAGATGCTAATCTATATAAAACCGAACAGTCCAGGAGAACAACCACTCGGTGGAATGAACGAGGAAACATGTGAAAATAGACAAGAAGTACTGACAATAAACAAGAAAAAAAGAAAGTTCGAAAAGCCGGCCTCTAAAAATTAAACCGGGCTCCGCTTAGTCTGGTTCTGGGGCTCCTTGTTTCGGTAGAACCATAGAGGAGCAAGTCCAAACACCATAGCTAGGACGGCTAGCAGTGTGTTGCCCCAGCCAACTCCGAGTTTGGCGTACATTTCAGGCCCAGAAAGTGGTACTACACCACCAATGATACTGCGTACAAGGTTGTTCGCAGCTAGTGCACTAGCAGAGTATGCAGTGAACGCTCCGATCAGATAAGTTTGAACGCTGGTCTGAATAGAGAAAATTTGTTAGAAAATGCTAGCACCATATAGTAGACCAAAGCAGAAAACTTACCAGTGAGCTTGAGAAACCAACACCAATAAAGAAGGTTCCGAAGATTGGAACAAACCAGTGAACGTGATATTGCGCTGTCCAACCATAGATTATCAATCCAATGGGAAGCGAGATAGCGGCAGGAATCAACATCAAGAGATGGTACCTGCAAATAAGACATTAGCATGGGCTCATAGGATAACATAATTCAAGAGAAGAACTCACTCTGCCCTCTCTACGCCGTTGCGTTTTGTGAGCTTCATGTGAAGTCGGTCACTGTAGTAGCCAAGGAATAGTTGCGTTGTACAACCCAATCCCATGCCCAGATACGAAAGACCTGCTAGACCCTGACTGAAGCCATATTTTTCTTGGAATACCACGGTGTATGATGTGAAAAGAAGGTAGAGAATGCCATAGACGAGTCCCATATACAAGGCCATCACAATACTGACGGGGCTGGCGAAGAGCAGTCTCATGGGGCGCATGAATGCCAGAATAATGAGTCGTTGAAGAGGAAGGGGTGACTTGGTCGCAGCTTGAATATCGGGGTCTCCTGTCTCTTTGCGCAGTCGGGCAGCTTTTTGTTCGAGGAGTGTTGGGGCATAGGTTTCGCGCAGGAAAATTAATCCTACAATTGTTGTGATCGCACTCTGCAAGGTTCAATTCGTGATTAGCGATTGTCAATGTCCAAGGTATAGCTTGACATACCATAATGGTCAAAAGCCAGAAGATCCATCGCCAGTTCGCGGCCTGTGATAAGAAACCACCGGCTACTGGCCCTAGAACGGGTGCGAGGAGCATGGCTAGACTGAAAACACTCATTATACTAAATGCTCAATTAGTATACTTGACCAAAAATTAGTCTAGAGCAGCTCATCAACTTACAATCCTCGCTCATGTGAAGGGATCAGATCTGCGATGGTTCCTCCACCATTTGTCAATGGGGCACCGCCCATGACACCGGCAAGCAGTCGGAAAATGAGAAGAGATGTGGTATTTGGTGAGAGACCACAGCATGCAGTGCAAATAGTGAACATGATATTGCCTCCGTGGTAAATTTTGTTTCGCCCATAGATTTCAGAGATTGGTGCAAGCACCAAGGGCCCGAGTCCAAATCCGATAATCTAAGAACCATTGACGTTAGTATTCATAACTTGCCTGAGCAGAAGCTTGAATATTTCAAAAAAGAAACTTACATAGATAGAGACCGCAAAGTTCATCATCATTGAAGAAGAGTTGAATTCATTTTCAATTTGTAACAGAGCTGGGGCCATCATCGACGAGGCAAGCGGGCTGTGATTATCTCTTAGCTTTCGGAAGATGGGAGATTGTTATGCAGGAACCCAGCGTACGTTGTGAAGCGCATTAAACAAACTGCACCGAGGATCTGATTCTTTTTGGATCGTGACCAGTTTATTGGCTTCTCTGGATCATCTGGGCCGTTCCAGTCCACTACCTTTACTAAACTGGTATTTGAGGATGCACACTCAGAAGGACAAGCAGAATTAGGTGGCAACTCGTGAATTGTCGCCTGCTGTGGCGACTGTTTCTCTTCAGCCATGGTGGATGTGACAAATGGGTCCTGCAGGGCAGTCTTGGTTTGGAGAGGTAGAAAATACTGTAAAGAGTGTAGCGTACAGAACGAGTGAGGGAGAATGTAAAGAAGGACCTGGGTGAAGTTAAAATCATAGCCAGACAGGAAAAGAAGCCTATATATGGATGCTAACTTCAGACATACATCCGATATCGATGACATCGCAAGGCATTCCAATGCCCAATCCCTTGCTAAAGAGTACGTCAAGTCCGCACGTAACTACATTTGTCGCCTTGGCACAGAATGGGCCCTACGGTGTCGATCAAACTAACGATTCACCCTTTTTAATAATCAATTGGACGGGACACTCTCATGTTTCGTGAAGGTGGGTTGAAATTCGTATGCACCAGGTCTCGAACTGTGGGATGCTATTTGTGTATGGCTACTCGACAGATATCTTGATCTTCCTCGACGATTGATATTCTCCACATGATATGGACAATAATTGTGAGCTAATCCACACGATCGCGTCAATGAGGGCAGATCGCAGCCCTAAGAGACCCTGATCATCAAACGCCACAGCCGTCACGTACCGCGATGATGAACGAGCCCCTTGGCACTTGGCTTGGCATTTTCTACCGGCACGAACTATTGCATGATCTACCACTTACCCGGAGCCAACGGTCCGCCCACTGCGGGTGGTGATCAATGATCTACATCACAAGCCTCTCTCTAATGCGAGACACCTGCAGCGGGGAGGGCACAAGGGGCCTTGAGTCGAGCTCTCACGGGTCCCTGAATGTGATCTTTAAGATTGGAACGCATCTCGGGATTTGGCTGACGTACCCTATTAAGCACGCAAGATAGTTCACTGAATCAATATTCCACCTTATAAACGCAGAACCCCTGAACATTTCACAAAGCTCTGGGCTCGATCATGGTCAGCTACGAGCTACACATACTGATATGAATTCTGTCCCCCACCAATGTATCAATTTATAAATATCCCTATCTAGAAACATCCTGGCGTAAGTTACTGTAGATGCGGGAACAAAATAAAGGTTGTGGCGTCAGGGATGGATCCATGGGTTGTCTTTATATCTGAATTTTGATTGGCTCACCCTTATAAAGGATCCATCATATTTGTTTTGTTTGTGCCTCCCGCCCGGGAGCCGCGGACCCTGAACCCAACAGCATTTGAGTTTCATTACATGCAAGGTCTGTTGCAGAGATATATACGGAAAGAGGCAAAATAGATTAAGCAAGTGAACCGAGGCACGAGATTGTTCTTCTAACATTCATTTGCCAATGACAATTATGTACACGCGTAGCGAAGTTTCAAATATCAATATCACCGCAGGAAAGCCCTATCAATTATCCCTATCATCCGCTGAATAGGGGTTCTCATCGGACACCTCGCCATCCCGCCCAGTTTGAAGGGGTGAGATCGGCGACGTGGGAGATAGAGAGGACCACGATGGAGATCGAATCGGGAGGTTCAAGCCCAGCCCTTTCACTCCTGCAGATCCAGATCGTGGGGCCGGTCCAGGACGCTGACCATTTACAGGGGACGTGGAGATCGGACGGAGGCCAACTCGGGTGATTGCGCGTCGAAGCATCTCACCCGAGGAATCTAGAGCTATGAGGAAGCGGGCCAGCTCAGCACATAACTCCCAGTCCCCTTTTTGCGAAGCCAAGCCGATCAAACGAACGACATATTCTTCGATACGGCCATCATGACCTTGCTCTTCATCTTCAAAGGCTTGTAATACAAGAAGATATCCAACTGCGGTTTTGAGCGAGTCAAGTCTCAAGGCTTGTTCGAAGAGATCTTTTGGTGGAGGTAGATAGGCGAACAGTGTACGCCATGATCGCAGTTCTGTTTTGCGTGTGCATTGCACGACAATATCCAAATATTCCCTGATGGGGAGGGATGCTTGGAGGAAAGAAATAACCGTTGGGAGCAGTGGCTCGTCGCGTTCGGCTGGGTTCTCGGATTTGCTGGCCTTGCTCTCATTGTCTACTTCGTCATCCAGGACGTGATGAAGCAGAATTTCCAGTCCATGAGCGAAGTACGACAGATGAGAGAAGTGGCGGCATAGCGACAAAGCAGCCGGTGCTCCAAAAGTTGTAAGACCATACTGTAAAAAGTACGGCAGGAAAAGGTGGGTCTAAGGCACACGTTCGTGAGAAGGAGTATATAAATTTTGCAGCGGGTATAACTTACTCGTATAGCGAACTTCAAAACAGTGAATGTCACATCACGTCGTTGCATCATCTCGGACTCAACTCCGAGTACAATACCTTTGTTTAACAACACAGAGAGCGGATAGAAATCCAAGGGAATGTGAAGTGGATCCGGTACCGTTTCTTGCTGTAAAACATCCTGTACATCATTCCAAGCTAGCAGGTCCTTGCCTCGGAACATCCAAAGGGAGTCCCTTAGAGACAGACTGTCGAAAGAGGGCTCAAGCGTCATTCCCACCGAAGGACTGGGGGGCAAAGACTCGTCGACCTGTGGAGCAAAGTTGAATGAAAGCTGGTCGCGCATCAGAATATAATATTCCACATCATGAGAGACTACACGCATGTCATATTTCAATCCACCCGTCTCAGACACCACAGGCTGCAGCAGAACCAAATTGCCATCCACAAGGAGAAGCACCGATGCAACTTTCACATCTTGAGAAGGATCGCCGTTTCCTGTAGTTCATTCAGTCTTTTGATCGATATACTTTATTGAAACAGTGACTCACGCATTTGTTCTTCGGGCAAAACCCAGCTAATCGCTCGAACACGGGATGGCGCTCGAACAATCCCGTTGAAGGCGATTTGTCCAACGGGAACAAGAGTGATCTGAGATTGTGTTGTATTGATGACATAGTGATAAAGAATGTTGTCGAATGTGTAGACCAAAAGGGAGTCTTCTCCCGATGGGCCAATGAACACCACTGGCGAGGGGAGGTATTCAGTGAACATTATAGAGTTGCTGCCGTTGCCGAGAGAAGCTTCTCGCGAATAAAGGCGCACCTACAAGTCGATGTCAATCTTGAGAGAAACAAGCGTCGATTAACGGGGTTGGCATACCTCATATGAGCCGTCGCTCTCAACCGCTGCAATCAGTATGTGGCCATACCAGCACATCCCTCCTCGGACGGCAAATGAGTTCTCGGCATTGGAGTCTTCAAAGACCTTCCATCTACCACTGTTCACGCTGTAATGTGCGAGGCCGCGCCGACCTGCGATTGCAACATATCGTCCATCTTGGGATACGACGCAGGATTTGATTGGCCATTGTGAATGAAGATATGCCGGAGGATACTGGGCATGGTGCCACAGTGAATCCTTCCCAGAAATTGTCATAAGATCTGGCATGTCATGACCACGATAGAGGATGAATTCGGTTCCGGTCTGCAGTAGACCTCGGGCCAAGTTTGCAGAAGAAAAGCAACCAGTTAAAGCACTGCGAGCTGTCTCTAAAATCCACAAGCGGCGATCATTCTGCCCAGAGAGAATTATGTCTGAGCCTCCACCGATCCAACAACCATTAGAAACACCAGTCAGCCAATCTTCCGTGTTTGCTTTTGCCAGCGCAGGATCTGCCGAAAAGCTATTCCCTCCAGGCTTCCCAAAGACACTCCATGTTGTCCAGCCATGTTCATAGCCTGCAAACAGACAATATCCATCCGGTGAATAGCTCATGAAGGTCAAAGAACCAGTCGTTGTTGGCGACACTGGCAGCTGGAGCTTCTGGGAGAAGGGAATGTTACCCATATAATCTTTCGCTGTATAAACCAAGACATCACCATTGATGCAACTCAGGGTTAGCAATGAAAAGCGAGCATTGACTGCCACCTTCACTGCCTTTTCGCCGTCATGCTTCGGATTGTGGAAACAATGGCCATTGAAAAGCTTCTTGGCTGGCTCAGAATCCTCCTGTGCCCCGAATTCTCGTTGCACAGCGAATGCCTGGCCACTGCTCGTAATCCATATTAAAAGGTTCATTGCACGGTCATATACCATGTCAACAATGGAAATCTTCTTTGATATCCCCAATATGCGGCTCAAAAGCTCCGACGTAGTCTGCGTTCCGCCTGTGTTTGGAGTCCATCGAATACACTGTATGGCTGCAGGTTTCACGGTAGCTACAACGAGTTCTTGGTCCAGCGCCAGCGCCTTGACGATCCCTGACTCGATCTTAATAGCCATTCGGAACCGGATACTGAGATTCCTAACCACATTAGCCTCCTCCACTGCTGAGAAGCGAGCAAGCTGCTGGCGGCGATGGTGCGTAGATTGATCGAATCGCTGCTGGTAGACTTGATTCATGGTGTCTAACGCGACCGAGTATGTCAGGAGGTATCCATTAAGAGTTTGTACAACGAGAATTGACGAGTCTGGGTGCATGAGAATTTCGACGTTCGGACCGTATGTAGATAAAGAGAATTTGGACCTAGTGACTGCTGCGACAACTGCTGTAGGCTATAACGACGGTCAACATAAAGGCTCAACCCTCATACCATGACCACCATGATTGTGAACATACTCGAGTCTGCCAAAGAGCAACGGATGACTCTGTCATGGTCGCAAATATTTGGCCAGCCCTGGAAACGCAAACACCCTTAATGGTCTCATCTTCCCACTTAGATGTGCCCGCGTCCGGGGATGGTTCAATGTTTGGCTCATTGCGCTGTGTGTCCGGTATCCCTTGCTGAGCCTCATCCTTCTCGGTGTCGTTTAATGAGCTTGTACTATCGGGTGTAGAGGACGTATCGAGTTCGCGATTTTCGTCTGAGAAAACGTAGGGTATGTCGGGTCCATTGACCGCATAGACCCGGGGAACTCCATGAGGCCAGTACATGGCTCGGTTCGAGATCAGGGGTTAAGACTGACAATGAAGCTCACATGGAGTCATATCCAGCCATATAACAATCGTCAGAATTACAGACAGCCACCCCCAAGCTAAACATCAAATTGAAAGAATCAAGGAAGTCTAGACAGCTGGGGAAAACAGACCGCGGCCGATAAGCTGCGATCACGTGCTGGAGCTTGTCCCCCGCATTGCCTCACCTGTTTTTTTCCCTCATCTTCTCCTGATTGAATTATCCCCCATTCAAAATATCTTTGGATAAATTGCTATCATGGTCAGAATCTCCCGGTATTGGATATGAAATTGAGCTGACAAGAACATCTAGGCCCCAACAGAGAGCAAGAAGCGCTTGGCTTTGGCCGTTATTGATTTCCTGGGCTCCAGCCTAAAGGATGGAACCCTTACAGCCGACGATGCTGAGTCGATCGAAATCGCCCAATCCTGTATCGCCGACACCTTCAAGGTCGATCCCACCGATGAGGCCGCCGTGAAGGATGCCCTGGGTGGTCAGTCTCTGGTTGGGATCTACAGTGTCTACGAGAAGCTGCGCAACAAGTCAACCCCGCAATCGACCGAAACCGGAGCTCAAGAATCCCAAAAGAAGGCCACAGGCGGTGTCCCCACGCCTGATTCCGATAAGCTGAAGTCCGAGGGAAACGCTCTCATGGCGAAGAAGGATTACACCAGTGCCATTGAGAAATACACCCAGGCTCTCGAGATTGCCCCCACCAACCCCATCTACCTCTCCAACCGTGCTGCCGCCTTTTCGGCCTCTATTCAGCACGAGAAGGCTGCAGCTGATGCGGAACTTGCCGCAGCTTCCGATCCCAAGTACTCGAAGGCATGGAGCCGACTTGGTCTCGCGCGCTTCGACCTGGGAGACTACCACGCCGCCAAGGAGGCTTATGAGAAGGGCATTGAGGCCGAGGGCAATGGTGGCAGTGAAGCCATGAAGCGTGGTCTGGAGACATCGACTCGGAAACTTGAGGAGGCCAGTCGCACCACCGAGCCTCCTTCCGAGGACCTTGACACTGCCCCTGGTGCCTCCCGTGGAGGTGGCGGTGGCATGCCTGATTTGTCTTCCCTGGCTAGTATGCTTGGTGGCGGCGGTGCCGGTGGTGGCGGTGGTATGCCTGACTTGGGTTCCATGATGAACAACCCCATGTTCGCTAGCATGGCACAGAACCTGATGAGCAACCCCGATATGCTCGGCAACTTGATGAGCAACCCCCGTCTCCGTCAAATGGCCGAAAACTTTGGCCAGGGTGGTGGCATGCCTGACATGTCTAGCCTGATGAGCGACCCCAACCTTGCCGATATGTAAGTCAGCCTAATATCAAACCCCAAGTGCCAGCATACTGACAGATTATTCACAGGGCCCGGAACATGATGGGTGGCGGTGCTGGCGGTGCTGGCGGCGCCGGACGTGGTGACCAGAACTAAGCTACTGGCACACTGAATGATTGATGGCATGAAATTGAAAGACCAAATCTGATATACCATGTAGCAAAGTCAAATTTCAAGCGTTCTTTTCGGAAATACATATATCCTGGTATATTTCTCTCAGACAGCGTACAAGTGTGGTCAGCCAAATTTCTAGTCACAAGTCTGACACAGACAACCATATGGCTTTGTATTTCTTGGTGGCCAAATGTATATATATTCAGGAACCATCACTCCTTCTACGGCATATAGAAAGACACGAGCCAAAAATTTTAAATCAAAAATCTCTTTTTGTATATTTACACGATTTCGAGATGCTTCATAACGTTGCAGCCGGCGCATGGCTTGTGGTGACACATGGCGGAAACCTGACAACAGAAACCAAAACCAATAGCCCAATGCAGTCATACTGGGAGGCGAGGGGAGAGTGGAAACAAAATGCAAAAAGACGCCAGCAGAACACCTCAAAGCCCAGAGAAATGCCATCAGATAAGAGCCAACACGCGTCCTAGTCTATAGAAAGGATGGAACATTCACTCCCAAGCAAGGCTGGTGCAGGTGTCTTGAGCTCAAGACCCTAGGCGAACAAGCCCAAACTCAACCGGGGCGAGTGAACAACAAGCTGAATGAAGCATTAATACATGAAGGAATGAAGAAAAATCCGATTAACCAGCGAAGGCCATAAAAAAAACGTAGCCCCTGGAATAGGCATAACCGTAAACAAGTGCCAGGTCTACCTGGCTTGATATCGAACAGTCATATTGTACAATTGGAAGGTGTGGGTTCAAGATGCGAGAGGAGATAAAATCCACAAAAGAATATGTCGGTGGAAAAGGGGGGGGGGGGGGGGGAAAGAAGGCGAAGAATATCGAACAGAGTCCATTGCACGATTAGATGTAGTCGCGCGCGGCCTTCTGGAGCTCGATCAATCTCCAACCGCGAGTTTCGGGGTTGTTGACCTCATCGGGAATACGGGTCAAGCCAATGGCGTAAGTAACCAACTGAACCTTGTCCTCCATACCGGCGGCAAGCTCGCCAGTCTTAGCCTTGCGGTAAACGTGGATCTCCTGGGTCCGGCAAGTGACAACGAACACGGGAATGTCACCGGGGTCGAGGATACGGGCGCTTGAAATGTCAACGCCACGGATGTCGAGAATACGACCATCGGACTTGAGGCCGGCGGTGGTGTATTGCTGGGCAAGAGCAGCGTAAACGCTATACTGAGCATCGGAGAGCCAAAGCTTCAAAGTCTCAACGTCTCCCTTGACGTAAGCATCGAGCACTTCAGGGAGCATGTAATCGCGCATCTCCCGCAGGAAAGGCTCCATCTGGAAGTTGGGATCAATCTCGCGGAACTTCTTGATGACCTGGGCGGTCTCGTTCTCGGCGAAAAAGCCTCCAATCTTGTCTGAAATACTGCGAGCTGTGCTGATAAGAGGATTCTCGGACTCATTATAGTTTTCCTTCATGGTGAACAGCTTTTGCATCATGGGGTTGGAGTCTTTGAATTCACGCCACGAGTCCTTCCAGGCGGCGTCCTTGTGAATGGTGACGTGGGTACCGGCGCTATAGGTAAATCAGTCAGACAAACATGCAATGAAGAGCGAATATCAAATATCAAAACTTACTCAGGGTTCTCAACCATCTGGTCAACGTGGCGAATCTTGCCAGACTTGAGGTCCAGCGCCTCGCGACGCTGTCGCTCCTTGCGGCGCTCCTCCTTTTCAACCCAACCGCCGTAGCGGGAACTGCTACCATCATCAATCGCATCCTTGACACTCTTGTATGCCTCGGTCTCACGAACGGGTCGTGTGGCCTTCTCGAGTCCCTCTCCGGTAGCATTGACACCCTTGCGGACACCCTTCACGACGGAAGTGTTCCAGGTCCAAGCAGCTCCCTTTCCAAGAGCCTGACCGGTGGTCTTGAATGCCGCGCCAGTCTTGGTTGTAGCAGCTCCTGAGGCCGACTCGTAAGCAGCACGCGCACGTCTGACGTTCTCGTTCTCGGTAAATTGGTGGGCTGAGGATGCCAGCGCCTTGGTAGACTCTTCCCATTCCTTGGAGGCTTTGAACTCAGTCTGCAAAGTCTCACGGAATACCTGCCATGGGGATTTGTCTCCGTGAGGTGGCGGTGGAGGTGCGTCTTCCTTCTTCTTCTTCTTCTCCTCCTCCTTTCCTTCCTCTTTAAATCCCTCGCCCTGTGATTCAGACTTAGAATCCTCACTCTGCTTCTCCTCGCCTTGCTTTTGGGATTGCTGTTGTTGCCAGAGGGAGGTTGCGACGTGGAATGAACGTGTCAACGGGAGGGCGGCGAACGGAGAGGCAATTTGGGTGACAGTGCGAGGGGCGGGTTGAACAATGGCTCGGGATGACCTAGGAGACAATACTGAGGTTTGAGCTGAGACCGCCGAATATGACCCGGCGCGAGTCGAGAAGCGCTGAGAGGACCGGAGAATCGGTGCCTGAGACCGCAGGGTAGCGGCACGCGTGGCGGCAGACATCTTGGTTGGAATCATCTGTGATGATCAAGAAGTATGAGGTAGTAAATGATAGCGGAGATGAAAGATGAAGGTAGAAGCTAATATAAAAGACGGGGATTCCAGCCCAGCCTGGACGCGATATGTTGAGTGGTGAAAGAGGCGAAGAGATCGGGGAAGGGAAAAAGTCGAGATGCCAAGACTTCGAAAAACTTCCAGCATCTCCTCTGTTCGGTCCGACAACGGGACCTGCGACAACACCCGGGGCTTCACGGTTAGGCACTCCGGCATTGCTCGACTTCTACTCACTTGTTCTTTTTACTATTCTTCGCCTTTCAAGAATTCTGGCCACTGTACACCGTCGCCATGAGCTCCTTTTCAATGAACGCGTTGACCAAGGCATTGCCGTCGGTATGTCGCCAATCTCAGCCTCGAATTCAGTCTTTGCGTGTCACACGTCCCTTTTCGATTACTAGCTCTCAACAAGCTGCACGAGTCGATCGGGACGAAATGCAAAGACAGATTCTGGGTCGCGACTCGCAGGCACCCTCCGACACCTCATCGCCCTCTGACACTTCATCGCCCTCATCGCCCTCATCGCCATTGTCCGCAATCACGCAAATGATGAATGGCGAGAGAGCCCCCGCGCGCCGTAACAACTTCCGAATGGCCGAAAGCTTCGAGGCCGATATGATCAAGAACCCTTATGCCAACCAAGCCCCGGCTCACCACCTGCACGTCTACTGCCACAAGCATAACACAATTCTCACCTTGACACGGCCAAACGGCGACCCTATCATGTCACTTGGCTGTGGTCAGATTGGCTTCCGCAAAGCTGGTCGCTCTGGGTTTGACGCAGCATACCAACTTTCCGCTCATGTGCTTGCTCAAATCAAGGAGAAGGGCCTCCTGTTGGAGATCAAGCGGTTAGAAGTTGTATTCCGTGGATTTGGAAAGGGCCGGGAGGCATTCACAAAGGTGCTTCTGGGCAACGAGGGACGATTCATCAAAGGACTTGTCGTGGGAGTGACCGATTCTACTCGGCTCAAGTTCGGTGGTACTCGCAGTCGACACGAGCGTAGACTGGGTTGATCGGCCCCAAAGCGTACTTGTTATCATTGGCTGATGAAGATGTTATTGTTGGTTTCATTTGGCTTTTGTATACAGCCCAACTGTACTGGATCGCATGGTGTGGGCGATGGAGCCTATTCTTGGCTCTTTACTTTATTTTGTTTTCAAATGGTGTTTGTCGGCACCTGCTCTGTATATTAGATATTCCACCTTAGGAATGAACGCCATTCATCTGCAAGCTGTATATGACAGGGACTCTCTACAGGCTCCTTGGCCATCTGGAGTTTCGGAAGTTGTACTCAAATGACACTTTCCTTGGACAGCTGTACAAAGCTCGACAGAACAAATTATAGACATATGCAAAGCAAATGACGTTCAGAGACAGGGACGCAAATATATACTTGCCATTCTATTCTAACACTATCGTTCCAACAATATAGAGGCCATCGTGGTCATATTTTTGAACCCTTTTCACCAGCTCTAGCCCAATCCTAGATCCTGTTGTTCATACAAGCCAGATCCTTGTACTAAGCTACATTAATCTCTACAACCACACATGCTAGTTAACGTTCACTTATGGGAAGCTGAACAAGAATGTGGGCCCGAAGATATTTCGGTGCCTGAGGTTGCAGGAGGGACACTTACCTAATATGGTATAGCGCCTATCAGCTCGTCGATCACGTTCTCGAATCACCCTCGCGCTGTCGCTTCATCACTCTTTTCTGTTTGTCTCGGCGCTTTGATTGTCTTGATTTTTGAGATTCGCCATTGCCGTTTTTGCTGAAGTTGTTACAAAAGTTCTGTCGACGCGCTCTGACCTCATACCCAAATTGCTGCCTGCAGTTGCATGCGCCGAAGCTCTTCCCCGCGAAATTACACCGCGCACATATTCGGCAAGCTGAGGCGGACGGCTTGATGATTGCAGGAGAATCTCGACTGGGCCGTCCAAAACCGTTTGGATGCACCCTCTAAACCCTTTTCTCCGTGCCTTCTTTCGAAGCACTGTTCCGGGCCAGTGTATACCGGTTGGGAACCATGTAGGTGGAGACTCTCATTCAGTCAGCGGATCGTCCGGAGTGGCTAATTGGTATGATGTGAATTCATTAGGTCTTGCTCGTACCTACGACGGATTGTCTCATCGGCTCACGCGACCGGGAATCAAATCTGCTGTATTCTGATTTAGTCGCGTCGGAGGAATTTCTAGGGAGCCATGTGTTACGCATACCCATCCATAACGGCTCTACCAATTCGAAAGAAGAAAACAATGTGCGAGATAGTCGAGGAAAGGCGAGACAGGTTACGACTTTTAATGGCAGGACGGTGATCATCAAAGATAACTCGGTATACAGCAACAAAGGTAGCAATTCCTTATCGGCGAACGCGATGATTTTGTGCTGACAATGATACGGCACTAGGATTCAAGTCCCTCACACAAGCTCAACTTCTATCTGATGCGCTGTATTACACCCCGTCCAACGATTCGCGCCCATGGCTCATTTATTACATCTCTCGACCGCTGATCGGAACTTACGATCCAGCACGGATCATATCTGCCGCAGTACCCGGAACCGCAAGCAGGGTCATTGTACCTAGCACGGCAGACAAAAAGTATGGAAATGGCGATTCAATGGGTACCCCACAGAAACAAGAGATCAGAACGTTTGGTGAACTGCTTGCGAACTTTCCGATGATCGCCCGGCAGATGCAGCCTGGCCTCGAACGATTATTCCGCGAATTTGGAAAGGAACTTGGAAAGCCACTACCGCCTCCACCTTCAAGGTCGCCATCTGCCTCTGGCAGTGAGCGTATGCACAAGCTCACACGCACCGAGTCATTAACGGATGAAAGCTCTTCTATCCGTAGTTGGTCGTCACGAAGCAGAGGGCGACTACCTTTCAATTCGGAAGAATACTTCGAAGACGACGAAGACCTTATGCGTCGAAGCTTAGAGACTGCCGTCACTGCGGCCATAGATCTATTCCGTCTCGTTGACAAGCAGCAACTGTCACTCCTCGGCGCGACCACCGAACTCACTGGCCCTTTAGTCGAACGTCTCATAGAACGCTATGTCGCCGAGCAGGTTCACGAACCTTTGCTTTTCCCCCGCCTTTGTTCATTTCGCCAACCAGAAGACACAGAGTTGGATTCTCGAATACGACAAATGGAGAGCATTGACGTATCCCAGGTTGGAATCTCAGTGGAAGGTGGACGTGCAGGGAAGCGAGAATTGATTCGGCGATTGGGGCGAGGTGTGGATGAGTTTCGCAAGATCAACGAGGCCCGATGTCCTCACGACATGCTGAGTACTCTTCTTGGGACTGTCAAAGTTATCTCCTATCCAGGAAGCTATGATCAGCTGGATGGCCCAGCGTCCGAGAAGGGAACATCCTCTGTTACGATCAATGCCGATGTTCTAGTCTCGCTGTTGCTAGTTGTTGTGATTCGATCCCAGACTAGACATCTCCAGGCTAGGTTGCTGTACATGCAGCACTTCATCTATATCGATGATGTCGATAGTGGTGAGATGGGATATGCTCTGAGCACCTTCGAGGCTGTTTTGATGTATCTTGTGACCGATTCCGCCGGGCTCCGTCGCGCCAGTGCTCGAAACCGACGTCTATGGCAAGCCACCAAATCAGGCAGATTATCTGATATGAAAGCCATTCTGGAACCAAACGAAGACCCCGAATCAGAAGATGATATCACTCCCCCAGAGCCAGAGCGGAAGTCTGTGTTCTTCCAGACAGATGACATTGAGGAGGCGGACGAACTGCCACTTGAAAACTCTTTCACCAACCACATCAATAGTGGACCACAACAAGAGGAAGCCATCGTTGACGCACCGCCATTGTCTCATGTATTCCCATTCCAAACATGGGATGATCCCTCAATCCTACAAGAACCCCATCGACCAGTCAAGAAAGTGTCCATGGACGTTCGCAGCATGTCAGAATCATCAGCCATCTCATTCATCTCCAGAACCAATACTCTTGGCTCTATGGCGAGTGGAATTGAGGGTGATAGCTCCATCGAGACTTTTGACCAAAACTCAAGACCCTGCCGGTGATTCCATACCAATGATGGCAGTAGAGGGTCGGCAGCCCGAAGCTTTGAGGTACCTGTTGACTTTGGAGGAATACTTCCCATTGGAAGAAATTCTCCAAGATACTAACGCCAATGGAACGACACTCCTGAATGCTGCGGTGCAGCTAGCCCACAACGAGATTGTTGAGATTCTTCTGGACTTTTTGTTCTCAAAGACAGATGCAAATGTCGTTGCGTTCTATTTAACCAAATCCGACATTCATGGTCGAACCGTCGCACATTATCTGTTCAGCACGCCTTCTTTGCTGGATCGACTGGGTAGCATTGTTCCATGGCGCCTGCGAGACAAGCACGGACAAACTCCGCTCTTCGCACTTTGTCGATCCTATGATCATCCTGAGTATAAATCCATGATCCAAACTGCTTTGAGTGCGGCGCAACAGTCACAAGGCGACAACAAACCACTGCAATTGGATGACCATGTCGACGCCAAGGGGAATACCTTGCTACATATTGTTGGCGATCCGGAAATCACGAGAAGAATTCTACAAGATAGCGATTGCGACCCTAATGCGACAAACGACAAGAGGTTCACACCGCTGATGATGGCTAGCAAATACGGGCGAGTCGATCAAGTCCGCATTCTATTCTTAGACCCAAGGGTCGATGTTCATATCAAAGAGGCACGTGGTTTGACGGCCGTTGAACTAGCCAAGGATGACGAGGTACGAAATCGCATCGACGATTTGATTTTGTTGTCCAACCCTCCATCTGGCGGTGGAGACCCCTCAGGCCGTGTTACAACCGTCGTGCGATCATTCTTCGTAGAAGACGCAACAGTTCGCTTTATCCTCAAATCTGGGGCTCCATATCCCCCAGAATCAATGGCATCTTCACGACCTGGATCAACCACATACACGGTGACAACATGTCGCCGCAACTTTTCGGACTTTGAGAACCTGGCGAAGTGGCTTGCAGTGGAACACCCGGCATCTTATATGCCATCTCTTTCGGACTTCCGGAATCCATTCCAAATCCACTCAAAGCCCTCGCGGTCTGTGCTCCATGATCTCCAGGAAAAACTCGACCGCTTCCTCAAGACACTCTTGACTCATCCAACCTTTTCGACCCATGAAATGCTATGGGAGTTCTTCCTCGTTCCAGAGCTTCAACCGGAAATGATGGCCGATCGTTCCCGCCGCAAGGCCGCAGTTCTCACAGAAACAATTGCCGATGAGTACCCGCCTGTTTCACTGGATGGAATGCGTGATACCGAGCAGTTTATTAACCACGCCCAGGAGATGGTGCGCGGAGTACACGTCAATACGCGTAGCCTGATCCGTCGTGGACATGCGCTGCACAATGGAGCATCAGATCTTGCTGATGCCGTGATGCTATGCTCATCTGTCCTCGCGACTCTCCGAGAGCCCACTAACGCGCTTCCCGTATCACACATAGAGGCCTTTGCCCGCTATGCCACATACCTATCGACCTCAAGGTCGGACTCGTCCCCTCTGCTGCAGTATATTGCCGCTCTTTCCTCAGTCGACAATACAACTGCCGCAATCCTTGAATCCCTGTCCCGCCCTCTATCTCTCATGTCCTCACTCTCCTCAACAACCCGCAACATCTCCCGCTCCCGCTCCTCCCTCCTCTCCTCATCTCTTCCCCGAAAATTCAATCTCAACCTACCTGGCTTTGAAGAGTCCCGTCAAAAATCCGTCCGCGATTTGGAAAAGAAGATCCAGGACGCTGAATCTGAAGCCACTCGCCTTGCCAAAGAGGTTTCATGGAACAAAGATGTAGTAGTCAGCGAGCTAGCTGGATGGACCTCATGGCGTGAAAAGGTCGGTCGTGACGCCATTCGCGCTTTTGTCAAGGATACTCTTGTTCGTGAAAAAGAGCGCGGAAAAAGACTCGAACGCTGCCTACGCAGTGTGCGTGAGATGAACCCTTGAGCATGATTGATATATCATAGATCTCAATGAAGGGATTTCCCTCATTTCTTGCTAGCTTTCCTTTTGATATGTACATCTCATGGCGAGCATTTGTTTGAATATCTGCTTTTCCCTTGCTCTCTCTCTTTTTTTGTCGGTCCTTTGTCTGAAGTCTCTGGATACTGGAATAGCGTGGCGCGTGGCGCGTGGCGATGTCCCAATGTATCATTTCGTTCTGAGCATAGCTAAGAAGCTACTCAATCTAAGACAATTCTCATTTCAGATCTTTGATTTTTTTTATTTGGCTAATAATTTAACGAGTCCTGATGAGATGGTATACATATCCCGCAAAAAAGGCTTGTGCTCTGCGGTGTGTCGTGTAAATGACCTGATTGACAAGCTGGGGGCATCTCTTGTCCTGAGGTCTATACACCATCCGGCTTTCTATTTGGGATTCTATCATGCGGTGTGTGTCTTCTTTTTTATGTTGATTTACTCAACTGCGGGTGTACGTTCGAGACGAACTCTGGTAATTCATCCGGTCAATTCTTAATCTATTTGTCTGCCTGTAGTCCATTCGCCTAGATCACATCGATCTCATACCTTCGACTTTGTAGGATGTAGCTTCCTGACAATCTGTCCTTGCCGAAGAAATCTATTGTCCACCGTTAAAATAATACCGATTCATAACGACGAGGCCGTCAGAGACACCTTGTAAAATGAAATGTGCCTGCCTGAGAGCCGAAAACAACATTGACCTCTCATCAGGATGATATCCAACAATTGGCAATGAAATGCAAAGTCGAGCTCGGTAATATTGGTTTGTGTCGGAAATCAACACCTTTCGCCTAGCGATCTTTTCAGCCAGAAGAAAAATCAAGTCCGAATCATCAAATCCAGCTTCGAGGTCAGTGAACTGAACAGTAATCCAGCAGACAGGAGTGCCTTGCTCTCCGAGGTCCTCGTCTTCTCCGAGGGGCTTACCATTCTCTGTGAACATACCTCGATAGTTTCTAGGCTCCATATTGACTGTATCTGAGTTAAGTTCGAGTTCAAGAAGGGGCTGATACTATGAACCTTGTAATGGGGATCAGGTAGGATAGGAAATGGTGTTTGAGTTATGAAGGTAATCATTTTCGAGCGAGGAACTGGCTTATATACGATGAAGAACAAAGACAAAGATAGTGTCGCGTTGAGGAAAAATAGAGTAGATAGATGAAAGCCGGGCTGTGTATGGAAACAATGATTTTATTGAAGGTGGTTGATGGCGTTTATTTCTTTCAAGGACTCTTTGACAAGAAACTTATCGATAAAATTGCTCAATAAGCTGTCTGGAAGAGCTAAATTCGATAGATCATATTATCGAAGTAGCAGCATTCAAAATGCAACGATGGTTATGAAATGTCCATTGCAAGGCACTCAGAATATGGGGCGAGGGATGAAAACCGAGCGTAGGACTGAAACGGTGACGCATTGAGACTTTGTTTACAGAATACGTTACACTTGATGACACTGTCGAATGTCCTTATAGACTTGATTAATTGAGAGTCCATTGTATAAAATGAGCGCGATCTACAAAGAATCCTGTCAAGTAGGACATGAAAACCTAATTTTGGCATCTAGCAAAGATGATCAGCTTCTTTTACTTGTACTATTTTATCTGTATGCATTGATATATGCATTGAAAAGGATCAATCTTTTGCCTTAAATTGAATCATTTTGCGAGACCTTTTTTGGAGAAGTATATGAATATTAAGCAATTCTTTTCATGTGAAGCTGGGCTGATGGCTGAGGGTCAAATCCAGTCACCGGCATCTTGGAGGGATAAAAGTAGATCACGAGGGGTGCATAACACTGGGAGACAAGCGCTCGGAAACACATAAGTCCTGGAGTTTTTGCTTGGTGAGCGATGTGGAAAGAAAGGGTTAGACGAAAGATCAAATCTACGGGCAGAGTCAATGAAAATGTTGCAGGCAGTTTGTTATCACTTAATGGTATTGATCCTCCTGTCACCCTGATAGCACTACTCTTGCATTAGGGTTAGACCTGTACCCACAACGAAGATATAAAAGGAAGCTGTAGCAATAATTCTGCGCAAGGCTCAAAGTTCACATATTTGGGAGAAAAAGGCATCATTTCAGCAGATTCCTATAGCAAAAAGTCCAGTTCGGCCAGTGTGAGGGCTCCGAGAATTACTGCACTTGCAACAGCGAGGCTGTGATATTCCCATTTTCTAGTTGAATGACCGTTTATAATAGCCGAACTGATAAGAAAAGACATGTTTCTGCGTGGGCCACAAATTGGAGACGTTGGTCCCTTTTTACGGAAGTATCCCATTTGGACGAAAGGGCCAACTGCGGCAAGAACTTTTGAAGTTATTTAGCTCGTAAATGGTAAGCATAATGCAAATTCTATTGACTGGCAGCTACGAGAATGAGCAGCAAGCGAGATTCTAAGATTCGGCAGAGAAGTAGTAGTCAGTCCATCTGATGGCTTCCAAGGCCCCAAAACATTTGTGCGGGCTCTGGAAAAGAAGAATTCTGTTTGAGATGACACGCTTCATAAAATGATATCTTTAGGATGTCATATCCTGTTAAGTCAACCATAATAATCGACCAACCAAGTTCGTAAATCCCCAACAGTTGGATATTCTAAAAACAAACTGCTTCTTACAGAGATTCCCAGTTCCTCTTGAAGTCTTTCCGCAATAACCAAGCTCATCAAGCTATCGACACCGAGACTAGCAAAAGTGGAATCATCTGTCAAGTCAGACAGCTCCATGGCGGCTTCATGAGCAATGAGCGCCATGGTCTTGCTGACAACAGAACTTGAAGAAGATTTAGCCACTGAGAAACCAGACTCGGGCTCAGAAGACCATGAAATCGCCGAATCAGCCATTGAGCCGCTTTTCACATGGTATTCTGCGGCTGATTGCAAGCGGGTTGGTCTTGGTATTTCTGCGCAAGACTCAGGGGAAGGCTCAAGCCCTGGGTGAGCAGGATTGTTGGTGTTTTTAGCATTTGAGTTATCCGAAGAGTAAGATTCTATATCGGAAGAGGAAAAGAAGCGATTGAGTAGTATGCGAGGGTACCGACGGAACTTCATGCCTTGCATAACACCCGCAATCTCGTCACCTTGCAACACATAGACATCACCTAGATATATTGATGGGTCCTCTGCAGTAGGAATCATCTTCACATAGGATCGATAATTGGTTCCGGCAACCAGGCGACGGGCCATGCGAAGGGATCTCCAGCCGGGAGTGACACAGAAGTTGTTCTTCGTGTCCATGACATCTGAAACATTCATCACGAAGCCAGCAAGATGACACACGCTATCAATGAAAGAAGGAGGAACAGTCCATGTGCCACTCATATCAGTTGACTTGATAGTAACATCGGCGAAAGCCTCCAATTCGTGGAGCACGACCGAGCGCATGCCGCGATACTTTTCTGCATAATCCACCAGTTTATCGGCGAAAAGCGTGTATACCATGTTATGCGAAAGTCTGTTTGCGAGACCTTCATCTGCCATTTGTGATAACGTCTCAATCCGATTGTGAACAAAATGGAAAAATGGAACCCAATTGGTGAGCCAGGTCTTTGCGTTTCCATAGACAATCTGGGCTGTCATGATCGGATCTCCGCTTGCCAGAGAATCCCCGTTATCAACCACATTGTGTATCTCAAGGAATGCTGGTTCAGAGTGAATGTCAGATGTACTGATAGAGATCTGAATCAGTTGCGAGGTGTCGGTTTCTGTTTGTGCCACTAAGCCTTTGTGTACGACGAGATCAGATATCTCTATGTCGGAGACACTCTTGTCAGTCTTTTGACCAAGTTTCTCTAGCAGATGCTTCCCAAGAGTCCATGCAATATCCGCATGTATGGACTAGATGTTCGTAGAGTTGTTAGCAGGTATTTTGCGAAATTGGAGAACACATTTTGACTTACCGATGTCACCACACCGACTCCATTCATCTTGTGTCCCCATGCTGCAGCTTGGAATTCTTGTTCCATCAGATCAGACTGGACAACGACTCGGCCAGCGGACCCTGAAAATTTCTCTTCAACGACTTTATGAACCAAAGATGTTCGCAGCCTAGAGATAGGCGCAAGACGTGCAGGAGTTTCAGAACTCGTCCTTGACAATGTCATCTTTTTGAAGTCGCATGGAATGTTGCCTTTAGTGAGACCCCAGTTGCCAGTGTATTGTATCCAATGGTTCTTCTCATTCCAAGCATAAGTCGGCAGGTCCAACAGCCGCAAGTCCTTTTCGAAGGGCCGGTGGAACTCGTTCCAATTAACTTCGACACCAACGCAGTGAAGAAGGGCCAAGCTCCGCGACAGGGTGTGCCAGTTATTCTCATCTCGATGGAACGATGACGCTGCAACACCCATCGGGGACATGATTGATTGTGCAAATCGAATACAGACAGGGTGTGGGCCTAGTTCAATCCATGCCATTGTTTCATCCACTGTTGAGATGCGGATTGCCGTCTCTACGGCGCCCATGAAGTTAACTGTCTCTCTCGTCGATCGGCGGATATAGTTGGCATTGATTGTTCTTTCGTCAAATATGACTTTTCCGAGCAGAGGAGAGATGATAGGTAGATTTGGGGGATGAAAGATGACGCCTGCCCTAGCGATGGCTTCTAGTTCATCAAGAACAGGATCCATTTGTTTTGAGTGGAAGGAAAATTCCACACCCAGTCGGAAACACTTGACTCCAGAACTCTCGAGCTCTGTCACCAGAGCCTCAATTTCGCCAACTGTCCCACTCAGAACTGTGTCTTTTGGTCCATTGAGGCAGGCTATCTCGAATGGTATTCCATTTGCTCTGAAAATGACTTCCTCGAGTGATGCTCTGACTGCTAACATTTTGTGACTTCCAGATTGACATGTCTTTTCAAGAAGCCTAGCACGCTGGCCCACAAGGAAGATAGCGTCATTGACAGAAAGCACACCAGCTGCATGCAAAGCCGCATACTCTCCCAGGCTGTGACCAACGACAACATTTGGTTTAATACCTAGTGACTCCCAATATTTGATCAAGGCAATTTCAACACAAACGAGTGCAAGTTGTGTGGCTGTAGGCGAGTGCGAGTGGCTCTCAGAGCAACTCCCATCAATGACAGAAACAATGGATGGAAATCCTTGAGCCTGGCATACTTCATCCAAAACCAAGATCTGGAATTGAAAATAAGGAGAGTCTCGGAAAAGTTCGAGATTGCTAGATAGGTGCGATGCTCCTTGCCCTGTGAAGGCAAAGATCACTGACGTCGGTCCAGATGAGGAGATTGCTTGATGAGATCCCGCTGACTGGAGACAATTCTTCAACTGCCTTATCAGATCTCTTGTATCTGATGTTGGCACAGCTATACGGTGATTGTGATGGTGGCGTCGAGCGGTGGTTGTATAAGCCAAGCGTGATAGCGAAATGTCCGGGTTTGTTTCCATATAGGCAATGAGGCGCTGAATATTGTTCTTCAATGAAGACTTGCTCTTAGCAGATACAGTAATGACATGGCTGGAACGAGGATCTGCATTGCAAGGTGTGTTCGGCACTGGTGGCTCTTCAATGACAATGCTCGTGTTTCCTCCCGCAGCACTGAAGTTGTTCACCACAGCGACACGCTTCCTATTCGAGCTCCTCGCCCAAGGGATCCTCCGATACGGTATGTATATATTCCTCTCATTCATGTCTTTCGGAAAGGCTGGATTGATAGCAGTCTTGATGCCAACATGTGGTGGAATAATCTCTTTGTCAAACATGAGCAACACCTTAAGCAGCGCTGTCGTACCAGCAACGGCTTCACCGTGACCAACATTTGCTTTGACTGCACCTATATATAGTGGATTTTTAGAGCTGCGGCGTTTTGTATTTGTTAGCGGAGCAAAGACATCGGTGACAGACTTGATTTCTTGAGCATCACCAGCTTGAGTCCCAGTTCCGTGCATTTCCACATAGCTGACATCCAAGGGATCAACCCCAGCTTGGGAGAAAATCTGCCGCGTGAGGTAAGATTGATGACCTGAGTGAGGATGCGTGATGGAGATTGCCTCCGCCGAGTGATTTGTTCCAGCCGCCAGAATTACCCCTAGAATGTTATCGTTGTCGGCTTGGGCATCTTCCAGGCGTTTTATGACAAGTGACGCAACGCCATCAGCTCGACAGTAGCCGTCTGCTTCACAGTCCCATGTTTTACATGCATTTGGTGTCTTCGACAGGAAGTGACCGCTGCTCAATCCAGCGAACGCGTCGGGGTTTGTTAACACATTCATCCCCCCTGCCACTGCCATATCCGTGTCTCGGTTCCAAAGGGAATTACAAGCAACCTAAATTAACACGTTTGTAAGCCATTTTGCAAGTTCCACTTTTTCGCACCAGAATTGTGCCACTAACATTTATTGCAGCCAGTCCCGACGAGCATGCTGTATCGACGCTGTAGCTGGGCCCCGAGAATTTGAAAAAGTAGTTGATACGACCTGGACCGAAGGCGCGGCAGCCCCCAGTAATGAAATAGGTGTCTATTTCCTGACTTGTATTGACTTCACGGTAATCGTCACTAGCCTGACCGTAGAAGGTACCAATGCGATGTAGGTCTGTTGATGCCGTGCGGTTTGCAACATATCCCGCTCTCTCCAAAGCTTCATAGGCTGTAACAAGTGCCAATCTTTGCATCGGGTCTGTTTGTACAGCCTCGCGAGGCGACATGTTGAAAAAATGAGCATCAAATTGGCCGGGTTCATGGACAAAGCAGCCGTACGGTGTATGGCTGGAATTTGCACGCTTCCCAGAGGGATCGCAATGTGTTTCAACATCAAACCGATCAGCGGGTATCTTTTCATGTACATCAAGCCCCTCATTTAGAATATCCCAGAACTTGTCGGTGGAACTCCCACCTCCGGGCATACGACAGGACATGCCCACGATGGCGAGCTTTGCTTGTTGAGCACCTCTTGGGCGCTCTGATGAGTTTTCTATCTTGTAAACCCATTTCAGGAAGTCTTTTGTGCTAGTCCGGAGTCTATTTGACTCCAGGTTCAGCACTTCCACCAGGTCACGAGCTGGTAAAGATAGACCCGCGATCAGCACCTCACACTCAGGCACTCTGGAATCTTTTGCTCGTTCTGTAATTTTCTGAATAGCTTCGTCCCATTGGATGGGCTGGGTCAACAATTCCTCGACCGCGTTGTGAAAAATCTCACTAGGACTTGTCGCTGGAAATGGGTTTCCAGTGCTGGGTGAATACAAGCAAGCACGCAACATGAGCCTCGAATCCAGTCGTTTGATTGTCTTGGATTGAAGAATCTGATCCACATGTTCCTTCCTGTAAATATGAATTGCGTGGCATAGGCCTCCATAGACTGGGAGAGTAATGAACCTGCGGTCGCGTAGGAAGTCGGATCTCAGGAAAATGTGCTTCAGTCGTGCGGGTGGTCCACTGACAGTCACTGATTCTCGACCCCAGCCACTGATAAATACCTTGTTCCAGATTGGAAAGGCCTTTATCTCATATGAAAAGTCAGTAAATCGATCATTATCCATAGAGCAGTATTTTGCAACGAACCTCCACTGCTTGTATCGAATCAAGCTCGTTCTGCACTTCTTCGTGGGAAACTCCAGGAATAAAGTACGCCCAACTGTCACTAGCATGAGCGCCGGTGCACGAATGTAGGCACTGAGATATCTGGTGGACAAATACGCCAAGTCTCAATGCTAGACGTACAGCCTCGGATCCAGCAAGTGGCAAGTCTGCCAGTGTGTGGGAGATCGAGACGGCGGCAGCGGACAAAAGACCTGTCCCCAGACCAGCTGTACATATGTTTGCATCCTGAGACCAGAAGAAGCTCTCACTACTGCATTCGTAGTATCTATAAATGCATGTGGTCAGTAGGAGTCTTGCCCCAATATTCTAGTGGGTTTTATCATACCCGATAAAGGTTGCAAGTTGAACAACACAAATGAGCATTCCATTCACACAGTCGCCAAGAGGACCACTGCGTAGGTCGGCATTTTCCGCAAGGCAAAATACCGTCTCGAATGGGGGGAATAAGATTCTCAACTTGGCCGGCAATGATTGAACCTCCTCTCGAATGGCCAATGTTGCGGTTTCGATAAAGTTGGCCAGAAACATACATTTTTTGTGTTTGCTGTGGACGTGAAGCCGACGAAAGATGTCATTGATGTCACCGGGGGAAACTCATTACCAAAATAGGAGATCTTCATACTGAGAAGGCTGTCTGAGGTCTCGGCGATGGAAGATGGGGTCATGGTTGAAAGATAATCCATAGGGTTGGTTCCTATACACCCCATTATACGACGCTATGTCGCGGTAGAAGACATCTATGGACATCAATCAGCACATTCAGGTTGCATGGTATTTCTCAAGTAAAATATCCCAACACACATGGATGCAGGTTTCCAGAAATGGAAAGATAACGGGCTCTACCCGTGGACTGTATCAAGCAAGGGGTCATGAACGCGTGTGATCAGTGATCAATCTGCGCCTAATCACAGTCGGATATAGCCAAGTGTGGACAGAAACATAGATACTTGAATCCCTATTGAGGCTTTTTCAACGGCTAACCTGGTAGATGATTTGGAATTTGTATTAATTATCCCGACTTCGGGGGATTGCATTGGGAAAACATATCAGTTCTCGAGTCTGAATGCCTTTCGGGATATACTAGTAAACGGCGTGTTCGCCTTGCCACCCCCTTACAGGCCACGCTTAATTGCCCCTTGCACATGCTGTGATGCTCAGCTTCAGTTGTACCAAGCACTGTGAGTCGATTTGAAATAAAATGCCATCTTCTTGCATCAAGATGGGGCATTCAACACTCGCTCAATACTCGTTCAATATGGTGTCAGACAAGGGAGGCTATCGCCAAATTAACAAAACTTTGGATATCTGCATCTTTGCCGATTATCTTGAAGTCCAACAAAAGAGAATGCCAAAGTTGTTAGATGTGGAGCAAATCAGTCCACGAGTAATCCGTATTCTGGGGAAGAATCCCGGAAAGGTGAGCCTAACTTGTCGTCAGCTTCACCATGCTTTTTCACAACTTTCAAGACGCTAAACATACAACACTGCATCTAGTTCACTCTTCAAGGAACGAACACGTATATCGTCGGCACTGGAGCAAAGCGTCTTATCATCGACACAGGACAGGGAATCCCAGCCTGGGCAGAATTGATCGCAGAAGCATCAGTCATTCAAAACTTCTCACTATCAAAAGTCCTTTTAACGCATTGGCATGGAGATCATACTGGCGGTATTCCTGATCTTATTCAAATCTACCCGCATCTCGCTGGGTTTATTTTCAAACACACGCCGAGCAAGTCCCAGCAACGTATTATGAACAACCAGATATTTACTGTTGAAGGCGCCACATTGCGAGCCATCCACACACCAGGACACTCTGACGACCACATGTGTTTCATTCTGGAAGAGGATAATGCTATGTTTACTGGGGACAATGTGCTTGGCCAGGGCACCACGGCGGTTGAGCACCTCGGTACCTGGATGGAGACATTACGGACCATGCAGTCCTATAGATGCATGAAGGGCTACCCGGCCCATGGCAGTGTGATAGTCAACCTCGATTCTAAAATTGCAGCAGAGTTAGGAGGAAAGTTGAGACGTGAGCGCCAGGTGCTACGAGCTTTGAATAATATTCAAACTGGTTCTCGAGGTAGACGGTTATCAACCAAAGAAGTGATTATAGCAGTTCATGGGGAAATCAGTGATCATCTTATGGACAAGGCGTTGGAGCCTTTCGTGGATGAAATCCTCAGAAAGCTCGCTGAAGACGGCATGGTTGGATATGAATTGAGAGAAGGTGCGAAAAGATGGTTTGCCGTCACTTGAACCCTTAAAACTCTGAGCTCTCCTACCGAGATAATACATCTGTTTTATTTGGCTCTCATATTGATGTATCTTAATTGTCATGTAGCAAAGAGTATAGCACACTCTCTATGAGCCCTAGCATTTTAAACTGGGTGTAAATTATCATCCATGGTAAGTTTACCACAAACATCTACAAGACTCTATCGGAATATATCCGAGAAGTCTATAACACGGGGCAAAATCGGGTCGCCAAGGATTTGTAACCTGCATTATTTACCCCGACAATAGACTTGGTACTCGCATGTATATCCAAGCTAAGCGCCTTAAATCACTCTACATGGCTGGTCTACGGGGTGAAATGCACGGTAAGCAAACCACATATGCAGAAATACCAGTAGTGCCGGTGGTCGGTACGGAACTGCACCCAGCTCCCAACACTGAGTAAGCGCATGTCCTGACTTGAATCATCTCGTAGGTGTTTAAACATGAGTTATATCTGAACAATTTAGCGGCTCAGTAGACTAGGCCGTTATCTACCGCGATTAAAATGCCGAGATACAGCGATGCAGAACTATAGCCCGATACCACGCTAGGGAGGGTGGATACCCCCTTCGACATCACCTCGCAGGAAAGAAGTGCAGCTACAAAAGTCCGTTCATATGACCTGTTAAGCAAACTCCACGCTTTTGCGCAGACGTCTTGACGCAACTCTCGTTTCTCTCTTTTTTCTTCCAACCCCTCGATCGTGAAAATGACGATAGTGCAAGATTCAGAAATCCCGGAGATCTCAGGCCCAACTGCTACTAAGTTCCTCTGTCTAACGATATGTGGTTACCGCAAACCCGGAATGAGCGAAGAAGACTATCGCCACCACATGGTCAATGTCTCTGCACCTATGACAAAGGGACTGATGGTCAAGTACGGTATCAAGAGGTGGACCCAGGTGAGCAGTTTTGTCTTTACATTTTGCTGTCCTCAGACTTTAAGACTTGAACAATCTCGCTCTAGATCCATAATCAAAAATCAACCCGTGCCTTGATGAGCCAGATCTTGGACCCTCAGATGGCGAACATTGCAGACTTTGATTGTTTCAGCCAGGTCGTCTTTCGGAGAATTGAAGATTACAAGAATATGAAGCAGGATCCTTGGTATAAGGAGCACCTAGCTTATGATCACGAGAATTTTGCCGATACTAAGAGAAGCATGTAGGTTTGTATAATATTATATTCAATAGTCCTAACTAACTTATACCAGGATCACCATAGGCTGGGTCGAGGAGTATATCAGAGATGGAGAGATTGTTGATGGACTTGACGATTCTTAGATATTACGAACCACCAGAGCGTTATGATCAATCTAGTTTCCCTATGATCATCGGTTACGAGTAGATCCTCGTAGGCAACCCGAAGGTTCTCATCGCTCGTAGATCGAGTTAATGGCATGGTCAGAAAAAGTGCATACATCAAGCTATTCAGGCTAAGCGCAAGAATACACGTAAGAAAGTGATGAAGTGGGGTAGCTTAGATTGGTATGCAGGCTCCTGCACGGTTGCTGTATGAAAGTTGCGGTGAGAATCAGAAAAACTGTCTGGTTTCACAGAACCACATCATCCTCTCTCGGGAACACAACATTCTTCATTCAGGTCCATAGGAAAATAGTCGATCCGCTTCTAGCAGCTGCATAATTTGTTTGAAGCATCTTTGTGCTGAGCACTTCGTCCCACCACATCATAAGTGCCCTTGATCGGTGAGCGGCCACTAGATGAAATAACTCATTCATAATTTGATAGTTTATAGTATTATTCTGGCATTCAATTATCAGACATGATATGGCTTGAAACAATTCATTCTATGCCAGCGGAATATTCCCAATCTCCTTATAAATATTATACAAATGACCCTTGGAGGGCATATCGACATTCTCAATTTTAAGCACAGACGGATCCGCGCGTAGGAGTGTTTTCGCAAGAACCCAGAACTCCAGCGCATGTTTCATGAATCCCAGCATCTCGAGCTGCGCCTCATCAGATCTGCTCTGTAGTTCATCCCATAATATTCGCCATCGATCCAGTGCCCTTTCAAGTACCTGACGCATATACGGGATAGAATGTGTTGTCTGCGCCGAAAAGATAATCGAATGAAGCCCTGTTTTGGAGTGCGTTAGTCGGGCCTCGATTGTGGACTTGGACGTAAAACCAAATTTTCAATCCTGCAGGATCATGGAGTGGTTTAATAATGATGAGCCATTGACGTACCACAGATACCGCCGAAAAGGCCTCGTGCGTTTAAACTAGAGAAATGGCTGCTATCTGACGAAGAGGGCTGCATGAGCAAATTGATTAATGAGGATAGAGATAACGCGGGGCATTCATGCGTAGAGCGAGATGGAATTTCCATCTGTGATCGATCGGGTGTATTGGTGAAAAGTTCATCGGGACATGGTAAATCACCGGTCATTTCGGTGATCGTGAATCTTGGTGGTGTGCGGAAGAAGAGGACGAATTGGATGTCTAGGAGGAACGCCATCCAAGCAACTCTGAAAAACCAGGCATATTTAGAGTTAGTGATCGAGTAGGTAAATGATTGCATCCAAGTAGATACTCCTTGTAAGTGCTGACTAGAAATCTTACCTGATCATTGCTTCGTCTTTAAGAAATCGTTTCCAGGTGGATGAAATGTTGATGCTCGAATCAAAATCATACTCATCGCCAGTAAAGGAGTCATATCTCCGTACTTTCGTCAACGAAAAGCCTCTTATAGCAGAAACAAGTTTCAAAAACCTCGATATGCAAGTACTATGAGAAATGGGATTACTTCTCGTAGCAACTTCAGTACAAAGCATGATAAGGGCAGCTTGCAGAATTTCTAACGTTTCATGGCTGAGAGGGGATTTGCTCAAGCCACAAGAATGGGGGTTCCGTAGAGGGGCTTGATCAAAGATGAAATCTTGAACCAGCTCGAAAAATTCCGAGGACGAGAATGTACTATCCACTGACGGTAGGAGCTGACCACCGGTCGCTATGATGGCGAGAAGTAGATGGCTAGAGGTGGTGTGAATGTTGAAACATGAGCGGCCTATGATCGGGGTGTGAAGTGTAGCATAGTCAAAGTAAGCTCGGATTAGAGAATCAAGGGTAGAAACCGTGAGACTTTTGCGCATCTCGGGAGTGATTGGACAGGATTGGTTGAGGGCCTGTGGCTTTGTGCGAGAAATGTAGAGCTCAAGTTCCCGTAGAACTTCATCAATCCGAACTTGTACAGCATCTAATTGTTGCTGGTCTTGACTGTTCCACAGTGGCTCAGATTTAAACGATGAGTCGGGATTATCTGGAAAATCGAACAACCCGCAAAGTCCTTGCAAAAAGCTCCATGTAGACAGATCGATGCCCAAGTCCAGAGTTGGCTGGTTTTCTGTGACAGCAGACGTAAGATTCTTTTCTTGGGAGCATTCGACAGAACGGGCATTTGTGGCGATCATCAGGTCTTCAAAGGATGCTTCTGGGTTGACGTAAGATAGCAGGAATGGTATACTGGTCTTTGCATATTTTCCATAAGATGCATCTGCATGATTCTTATGGCTAGACTTTAAGCCAAGACTTGGTAGAGAGGTATTTTCAGCAATTATTGTGTTTGCTGGACTTGTATACCGGCACGGAGAGTGGGAATATTCGCATCTGGAACATGGATTTGCCTTATCACAGGCCACTTTCATTCGAGAGCATCGCACACAACACCCTTTCTTAGGGCCTCTTCGCGAAACCTTTGGGGTTTCCCTCTGTGCTCTGTTAGGACATCGGTGTGTATGGCGGCGCATTGCATCTCTTTATAAAGGGTATTAGCGTCTATCATTTGGATATGGTCGAATATCTTTACATTCTTGCAAAGAGGCTGTCACAGAATGGACAGGTAATTGAGGCACCGTCATAGTTGTGATCTATTTGGGGGGCCCGGTTAATTTGAGGCTTATTTAACAGTGCCTTGGTCAGAATCCTTACGCAGAAGCCGTTCATGACGGCGTAAATGACCCTGAGAGGAAAAGTCTTTCTCGCAAGCCGCGCAGCGGAGCGAGGTATGATTGTTCTCCATCGGGTTGCAGGATGTTAATAATTGATCCTGTCTGAATATTGAGACAGTGAAATTCAAAGGCCCCTTGATGCTTTGGGTAACACGCATAGCATTAGCAGGTGAGTGGTGGCGAGTGTAAGTCTCGGCCCCTAGGTACGGCCCCACATCGGAGGTTGTTCACATCGGGGGTTTCTCACATCGGAAGTTTCTCACATTGTATACCGCATATTTCCCACATCCTTTTTACTGGCAAAATGAATCTAATCCCTAGGTTTTGCTACTTCGTAGACTCTACATGATTCCTCATGTCTTTCTAACTCTCCCAGAAACATATCCATTCTGTTTCCAAACCCAGACCATGTACGTCGATCTTTCAAACAAGACAGTAGTACCTGCTGACCTTTCGTCTTGTCTTTAAGCCGGCTTCTCGACTAATCGTCTCAGACCATCAAATATGCTACTTGTGCAAAAGAGAATATCTCTGAGTTCAAACCTCTTGACACAAATCCTCTCGCGGAACATATCTCAAAACATAAAGCCTGTTTCAGGTACACTATCTCCTCGAACCGGTCGGCCACGCACCGAGGTTTCAATTCTCAATCAAGAGAAGAGCAGTACTGCAGTTGAATATGCTTTGTGAGTGAAGGGGACACTATCCATCGAGACTTCATTTCTTACACATCTCTCTTTGTCCAGAACTACAGTGGATAGCGTTGCGAACTGGGCTAGACAAGGATCCCTCTGGCCAATGAGCTTCGGCCTTGCCTGCTGCGCCCTTGAGATGATGCATACCTCTATGCCGCGCTACGATCAAGATCGTCTGGGTATTATCTTCCGTGCTTCGCCCAGGCAATCGGATGTCATGATCGTGGCAGGCACGGTCACAAATAAGATGGGACCGGCACTACGTCAGGTCTATGACCAGATGCCTGAACCACGTTGGGTTATTAGTATGGGTAGTTGTGCAAATGGGGGAGGTTATTATCATTACAGCTATAGTGTTGTGAGAGGTGTTGATAGGATTGTACCTGTCGATATCTACGTTCCGGGGTGTCCGCCAAGTTCTGAGGCCCTGCTTTTTGGCATCTTTCAATTGCAGAAGAAGATGAGAAGGACTAAGATAACTCGGATGTGGTACAGGAAATAAAGAGCTACTTATATCATATTTGGCATCTCTGACTCGTTGTGATAATCTATAGTGGTTAAATACACTGATGGCTAATACATATACGAATGTACATGTGTCATCTGGATGACAAGCTATACCGAATTCAGTTGTATTGCTTTCAGCTACTGAAATTGCGTAGGCCTTAGTGTATTTACGCCAGACACGGAAGGGCCACCTAGTCGTTCTTCTCCGCGCAGGCCATGAAACGGACAAGGATTTCAATTTGAGTTGGCTTGTTGAGCCCTTGTGGCGCTGAACATCGAATAGACAGAGATGCTCTGTCTCTTTTTGTGAGCTGCTATGGAAGATAATTGATCAACTCCTCTGGAGGAAGCGTATTGATATCAAAAGTGTGGATCAATTTGTGCCATTGTTTCCGGAATATACAACCCAAGAAGACTTTTCAAAAACAGCCGAATTTATCAGGATAATGACCTCGGTGGACAACCTCTGTTGGAAGAGAATCCACGGTCACTATTCCCCACGTTCGTCATTGTTCTTCTCGTCAAAGCAAATACATAACGCGGCAATCAGTGCTGCATCCACACCAGGTGCCACGACAACGGCATAGGTCTGCTGGCCAAACACAAGGTCGCGACCGCTAAGCAGTTTCCGGTCAATGCGAGCTACTGTTTGCCCGCTTTTATCGTCGACAATATCGGCAGTATGATCAAACCAGCCACCTTTCATTTTGAGAACTCTAGCCTTGCCATTGCTATCTGTGAAACTGGCGGTGGCTTTCGAGCCCATCACTACTGTAGTCAGTAAATTGTAAAGCAAAAAATAAGAAATCCGCTTCGCTGGATGGTCTTGAATCACAAGAAACGGTGCTTACATGTGAGATTGCTCTTCACCTCGCAGGCCTTCTTGCCATGTGTGTCTTCGATCGCGTACGTCGTATGAATATGTAGAAGCTCCTTAACAATATCAAATAGATGCTTTCCAAGCGCGTCTTCGACCTTCTTGCGACCGGAAATGGAAATCCAAGCTCCGTGCACTTTCAAGAGTGGCTGGCCACTGGCCAATTTGATTTCGAAGCTATCCCCAGAGACGGAGAGCACCTTTTCTTTTAGAACTATTGTCTGCGGCTCCTTCGCGACAAACTGATCGAATATCGCGATAGGCTCAGCGACAGGGTCGAGATTGTGATGGCCGAAGATACCCATTTTAGAAGATGTAATCAAAGCCTCGGGAGGGATAAATGTTCAATAGTGAGCATATGGAAATCGACAAGAAGAGCGCGGGGTCGGGCTGAAGCCGATCATCGGGTTATCAATAGCACGTGATATATACACAGGACCCATGACGTCATCATATTTTTCATTGTTCTGCATGATAGAGGATCTGTTTCTCTATATTCAATCGTCATATCTTGAACATTTCTCAACCTGAACGTCTACAGGCAGAATATAACATGAGTGACAGCATACATTTATAATCGGGCCTGCCTTTTATAATGAATTGCGAGCCTTTTCTTGTAGGATGTGTATGAATGTTGTATTGTTGATATGTTAAGCAAGCATATATTGATCGAGGTACTTAATATATTATGGGCTACAGTCTACAACGTGAAATATGGGTTGTGTCTGCGGCATTTTACAATCTGCATCCCTCCGGCCAAAAACAACTTCCAGCACAAAGGTTGCACCGAATCTTGATCATTCATATCTTCATGCTTGTAAACAAAGAAAGAGGAGGTGAACTTTGTCCTATTTTTAGGCGAAATTCAGAGTTTTCGTTTGTTGAAAGCAAAAGTTAACGTTATGTGAACGTCCGAAAGAGGAAACTAATTTAAGTGGAGTTCGACACCTTGAGTTTCAGGCTTTCGGCCCCTTTTTTTTGCGCTCGGGTCGCCTGTTGCCATTGATCTGCTCCATGAACTACTGTACTGGATGCAATATGAACAAAAGGGATTCTTCAAGCCCGAATGCCAAATGAAGACAAAAAAACCTCTTACAGTACATATCCCACAACCTCTTCTGCTCTGCGTGAGCCCTCGCGACATTACACACACCTCCAAAGCTGCCGATAACATTCAAAATCAGGACTGGGCTTGGAGCGCTTTGACTGTTTCAGCACTTCAATCGATATATGCATTGTCCAAATAGCCTTCTGAACACTACAGGCCTCTTCCTATTTGCAAATTCTTCCTGATTTGCCCCACTTGTCGAAGAAAAAAGAAAAGACCCTCTCACGCAAGGGGTGTTCAAGTATGTCGGCGAACGATACCTACGCAATCCTGGGCGCGACAGGAAATTGCGGGACAGCCCTCATCAGAAATCTTTTAAACAGACCGAAATCGCGAATTCATGCATTCTGTCGGAACCGCAATAAGCTCCTCCGTCTTTTGCCCGAAACAAAGGGGAACGGGCAGATCGAGATTTTCGAAGGCAGCATCCAGGACCACAAGCTTTTAACAACATGCATCCGCGATGTCCGAGCTATCTTTCTAGTCATCTCGACTAATGATAACATTCCAAATTGCCGTCTTGCCCGCGATACTGCCGACGCTGTGATCCAGGTCCTGTCGGATATACGGGACTCCGCCAGTCGTGGTGGTGCCAGCACCAAGAGCATGCCCAAGATCATTCTTCTGTCGTCGGCCACGATTGACGAGAATCTTTCTCGGAACTTGAATAGCGTGTTACAGTATCTGCTACTGCGCTCGGCCTCTCATGTCTATGAGGATTTGATAGAAGCTGAAAGGCTGCTTCGTGCTCAGAAAGACTGGCTGACTTCTGTCTTCATCAAACCTGGAGCTTTGTCTATTGACGTGCAGCGTGGTCATGCTCTTAGTCTCGTTGATGAGGAAAGTCCTGTGTCTTATCTGGACTTGGCTGCCGCCATGATCGAGGCGGCTGACGAAGACCAAGGGCGTTATGATATGAAAAATGTCAGCGTCGTCAACACCAATGGGAAAGCAAAGTTCCCAGTCGGTACTCCTATGTGTCTGGCTGTTGGACTTTTGAGGCATTATTTTCCTTTTTTGCATTCTTATCTACCCCTGAATATGGGCCCACAATGGCCTTTATGACCAAAGGCATCCATACTATAAGTTAATAGACTAATACGATATCGAAAGAAGGTTCTGTGGGAATTCAGGCGTCAAATCAGAGGGAATGTTACTCCCCCGATGCATTTTTTTCAGCGATTTTGTTTTCTTTATATTGCTTTTGACTGTTAATGCTCTTGTTCGAACCTATAAGCAGAAAAATACCTGGCAAATTTTGGCTTTCCACTTTTGTTCTAGTATTCACCTCTTGTCGCTTTTTCTCCTCACAAGTAAAGAGCAGCGTGCAATGCTCACTAAATTGCTGGATGTCGATTTTGGGAGCAATCCTACAATACACAGAATTCGATCATAAGTGCAAGTACGTGTTATTGTCCAAATTTTCAGTCAATCACGGCTACAATCCACGAACTTGATGGGCTGGGACTGCCTTTAGAATTGTGAAGTAATCCCATGCTTGCCCTTGCTAGATATTGATTTTGTTTCTGTCTGATGTACGATATGCCCCGTTTCGGAAGGATCGACACCATGCCCATCTATCATTCGTTCGGTGTTTCAATTAGGAGAAATGACATAATAGCAAGTTATCTTAGGTACAAGCATTTAGCTTAGGCGTGAAATGGTTGACGCGCTATCGTGCTCAAGACCCCGCTCCCAGCGACATGCAGCATTGTCATCGCATCGGGATAGGGAAAAGCGGACAAGGGCTCCTTTGTAGCCTAACTGCTGTACCCAAACTACGGTCGTTGATGTAGCGAGAGTCAAGCCACAAAAGCTATAAGAGTCAAAGCCGCCATTGCATCACCACTGACCGCGGGAGTCGGTCAAATTCATGGCGGCTTGAGCAACTCGCGCTCTAGTGCGTCGTCGGTCTTATATAAAAAGCCTGGGTCAATAAATAACTATTACTCATGATGAATAAGGAAGGACGTGGGTTACTACCAATGCTTATTACATATCCCGTGTCACTTTTAGCTTTATTTTGCTTTATAGCGCAGAAAGAACACGAGAGGTTACTACCTCCCCGGCCCATCTCAACCCGTATAATAACTTGGTTTTACAGGCTACTTAAGGAAGTTGATTCAAATTAAAGGAAATAGAGATATCTAGCTAGGGACATGATCCTCTTCTATCACAAATCTTTTAAGCTCGAGCCCTCTTACGAAACCGAAGACTTTGATGTTATCGCCCCATAATGCCTGACTATTTCAATGTTGTTCCATGCATAATAGGTATTACTCATATTACTAATGGGGTAGGATAGTCAGAAAGTAGGGTTATCTAGACATGATCGACAGAGTAGCTATCACGGAACAAACAGGCTATAGCGTCCGTCAATTTTCATTATGGTCTATCTTTGCGCTGGCCAAATCAGACGGTGCTCACTTGATGCTCAGAAGGAATTATCTAGTGTGCAATAAGTAGCATGCCTAGGCACTCACTTAGCACCTGGGTACCTGGGCAGCCTCTGGGAGCCCCAGAGCCTCTGGAGACAATCATCATTAGTCATCAACTATGTGACGACATTGAGCATGCCCAAGTGGTTGTCATGGCTAATGAAATCTAGGGCTTGGCGTATATATTGGTGCTGTCTCATTTAGACATTTGTTTTCTATGACCCTTTTTGTTAGATTCATTTTAAACCGCGTCTTATAGCCGAGCAAGTCTGACAGAAGTCGCCGTTTTGGCATGATCACTGAGTCTAAGCCCAGGTTAACGTCCACTCGGTGATCCTGGGTGAGCTCATCAACGAGGCGACATTCAAATGAGGAAAAGCTGCACCTGCAGACTATATGATGTCTACAGTATATAGATGTATGCAATAACGCCGAAACGCGAATTTGCTTTTTTGGTTATGACGTTTCGCTGGCTTAGGGGGATCCTAGACTGAGAATAGATTTGAACAGCGTCGAATGTCGCAAGATTAACTTTTTTACATAATATTACTGATTGAAGTGTTGATAGGTCAAATATGTCGCCGCACTGTGACAGTTCCTTGCCCTACAGCTCTTTCATTCTGCCTTTTCTTCAAACTTGGTATGTCCTGTTGCTCATCTAATAAGTTTATTCTAATACCGCTGGAGTTTCCAATAAGCCCGATCGATGAGTAGCTCCTCGATACCACTTTCATCAATACTTCTGCCTTCATACGAGCACTGTAGTAATGTCATTTAGATCCGAGGAACAGGAAAAACTTGTAGGAGGAAGTACTTCCAGAGACCAAACAAGGCATTCTTGTCAATTCATCAGCTCAATAAACGGGCACTATTCAATGGGTTTTATTTGATTTTCTGCCGAGGCATCACTGGTTGCCTGGAAGCAAACAACGAACACCTTATGCCTCAGGCATAGGTAGGCCGATGATGTAGCAATGTTCTTCCGAGGCTACCGGCTGAATGATATGAAGAGTTTTATTTTTTCTTTTTGCCGGTTGACTTGGTCGTTTCCGGCGTTTTGGTCGCGTTGCTTTAAACGGGGCATGGCACTCGTACTGTATTTGACCTTGCTGTTCGTCTACAAGTTAGTGTATTTCAAAGAATATTGGTCGTAGTTTCTTGCGGCCACACAACAAAAATAGCACATCATATGAACCCTCGTCTTAAGGTCTGTTATGACGAATCTCTCCAAACCCAAGATTTATCAAATCTATCCAAATTCAAGATTAAACCAGCGCGGACGATCCATGGAAGTCCTTGACGGCCCGAAGGGGGCACGGATGTGACTGCCAGCCAACCAGAACGTTTGTTTGGAGGTCCAACCCTACATATTCCCAAAAGACTAACTGCACATGTACAAGCGTCGTTTTGATATGAACCCAGAGCGATTCTACTTGACTTGAGGCTTCCCACCGCTAGAGTCGTGTTTTTTTTCTACTTCTTGTTTTGCGCTCTTCCGTGGCACTGCAGTCTGGCTGGTTGCCAAACTGATAGTGACCATGAGTGGAAATCCACGCAACCCTCCCCTATTGTCTCCACAACCGACGTCTGATCTTGTAGACGACGGGGCATTTTTCAACTACGACGGGAATTCCGCGGGCATCTTGACCGCGGGCATCTTGAGGGAAAGTTCATCCGAACCATCTTCTAATCCTGCCTCCGAAAGCTCAAATCTCCTCCACGAGTCATCCACCGGTACTGCGTGGCAAGCACCCAATCCGAAGATTGCCATTCCTCGGGTCGCAAACACGAAACAATCATCCAATCCAGGCAGAGTTTCCCGAGCATGCGTGACCTGCCGAGAGCAGAAGGTGAAATGCAGTGGCCACCGTCCTACATGCCAGCGATGCCAAACGACTGATGTGACATGCATCTATGGTGACCGAAAGCGGGAGAAAATGGTCAAGTGCGTGGTTCAAATAAGATGGAGATAAACACACATCTGACAGGGGATGTTTAGGCAACTTGATGATTTGACAGCTCAGGTCGAGACGTACGAAACCCTCCTTCGAAACATTTATCAGTATCCCGATCATCACCCCGACACGTTTGTCAATCAATCCGGCGCAGCAGAAGGAAATCCTCAACCACCCAGCCAAGTCAATACATTATTCCTTTGAATGACACTAGTTGACTGACGGTATTTAGATTTCAACTGCTTCTTTGGAGTTGACACTTCCGCTGCGAGGATCGGACAATAACAACCTAACGTCTTCTGCCATAGGACACGTGGACTTCGTCGATGAAGACTTCAACCGTGATTCAGAAGCGCAAGCTACTGGTTTTATCGGTGGGAACTCAGCCATCAAATGGCTGCACCAGCTCAAACGTTTCTTAGAGCAAAGAAACTCTGAACCGGGCAGTCCCTCGAAGGATGCGGGCATCGAATCACTTTCATTTGCAAACTACGTTTCTGAACATTCAGGGTCTTTGATCTCGGAAAATGTGGCCATGATGGAACGACCTTCGCAAGCGATCGCGGATCAACTTGTCAAAACCTACTTCAGTGTCACACACGAGTCTTTTCCCTTTCTGGGGAAAGCCCTTTTCATAAGGCAGTGTCGAGCTTTCTATTCAAATCCGAATCTACAACCAGGAAGAAGGTGGATGGCTGTGTTGAATATGGTGTTCGCTATTGGTGCAATGCACCATTGCCTTGTGTCATGCCATGCTCAGCATGAGCATGATGGCCTTGACGAACATGCAGTATACTTCTCACGAGCTTGGCAGCTTAACACACATGATGTAGCATCATTCAGCCATCCCAATCTTCAACAAGTACAGGTGGAGGCTCTGGCTTCGTTTTACCTTCTTTCGCTTGGACAAGTCAACAGGTGGATCTATCTCCTTGCTTATATTAGGACAATTCATTCACTCCAGCAAATACTGATATCTTGTATTTCTTCAGGGCATGGAGAATGAGTGGTATCGCGGTACGCTCGGCGCAGGCCATGGGGATTCATCTCCGTGATGGAAGTTCCAATACCTCGGATCTGTCAAAGGAAGCTCGTTATCGACTATGGTGGAGTCTTTTCTTAATGAATCACCTAGTTTCTGGGATTATTGGTCGTCCACCTGGTGTGTATAGGACATACTGTGCGACGCCCCTTCCAGTTCCATACAGAGAGGAAGAATTTGGAGCGGAGCATGTCATTCAACTCCTCACAAGCAGTGAAGCTCGGCGCATTCTGATGTCGTCTTTACAATTTCAACTGCCCAAGAGTGACAGACTGGACAGTCCCATGAAGGCAAGCCCCATCCATTTCGCATCTAGAGAGGAGATACGCAATGAACAGGTTCGGGCTGCTGCGGCACAGTGCCTGTCGATGAAGGCGTCCCTATACTTCACATACGCCATTGACTTGGCGTCAATCATGGAGGAAGCAATCAGTACGCTGTATTCCCCAATAGCCGGTCCGAGGTCGTGGCTTCAAATCGAACTCGCGACCTCTGCGCTATATGAGTTGACGGAACGCTGGCTCTCTCGGCTTCCCGTGTCGTATCACTTCACAGGCGCTGAAATATATAGACACGATGTCTTGCAGCACACAAGTCTAGCCTTCCAGTTCTATTCCACCAAGCTCATGATCACTCAACCATGTCTGCATCGTGTGATGTACGCAATGCCAGATGATGGGCCGCCAAGCAATCTCTGCAGTACAATGGCCACCACTTGTGTTCAGGCAGCATGCCAAATGCTCGATCTTCTACCAAGTGACCCGGATACCACCTGGCTTCATGAAAGCTCTCCGTGGTGGTGTATGCTTCATTATATCATGCAATCAGCTACAGTGCTAATGATGAACCTGGTGGTCCGGCCAGAGGAAGGCACAGCTGAAAGTGCCAATATTGATGCTATGATCAGAAAGGTCCTTTTGTGGCTGAGCACAATGGCTATTAACGATTCTTCTGCCATGCGAGCTCGGCTTCTGTGTATAGATATTCTAGCACGACATGGGTCGAGGCTTGGCATGGAAGTTGATGTCGAGCTTTAGGACATGGTTCTCTTCCGCGACCACCAAGTCTTCATAAATGAAAAACGTGAAAACTCCGGGTATGTCCTAATCCTCCATAATAACCTTTTGACTACTAGGCGAAAAGTAAACTCTAGCTACTTCACGCACTACCATGTGCGATTTTCCCCTTGCAAGAAAAAAAAAAAAAAAAAAAAAAAAAGGACGTGGTGAAAGGGGAAGTTTCAATAATCAATTGACGACAGCGTTGGAAACGTGCACAAAGCAAAACGAGCTTGAGCTTGCGTATTTGCATCACCTAAAGAAGACCAATATTCCACCACAAGGCAGTGCGGTTAGACCTCAATTTCCCAACAAAATCTGAAATGGGGGCTTCGAAATAGTAAATGTAGCCTTCCGGATTCGTATAGTCCTGCGTCAGTAAGGGGGTGGTTAGTTCCTTGTCGGCGTCGCTTTTGCATTATGCCCACACTCCAGTAAACCGTACAGTAGCACTGACCCTTGGGACTGATTCATAACGAGCTTTCCCTTGGGCGTACAATGGAACTCAATTTCATGAACAAGTATTAAGTTAGACCTTAGGTTATTGTTTATGAAGCTCTCAGGGCCTGGTCACACGAGATCTGGTACCACCGGATCTACCCGTTTGATATTGGATCGGCAAAGGGCCCGAGCTTGAATTGATGAGCGCTAATGCGAGTGCCTACATATCGACTCATGGGTCTTTCCTAATAAAGAAAGTTATCAAAAGCAAATAGAGAAAAAGCAAAACTAGATTCTACTTTCGGTTTCCTCTTTTGGTTTGTGGCTTGCTCATCTGTCGATGCAACATGGCCATTCAGCAGCGAGATTACTATACATTCTGGCCGAAGTTTTGTAGAAATTAGGGCCCTGTGCGCATTCTTATCATGAATTGACTCATCTATTACATTTTGCCGAAGCAAATCCAAGATTTCTATGCGTGCCTCAGAATACCGATGAGATCCGACGACAAACGTGACAGGCAATTCTGTAGGTCTGTCTGCATCTGTCTCAAGGCAGCAGCGGAGAAGTCTTCATGATTCGTTCTTCCCTGCCAATCATTTGCAGGCTCAGAGCAATATTCAGATCCTGTTCCCATTCCAGGCTCACGTTCATCCCAGTCGATTCGCAACGAAAGCCTGGCTAATAAGACCTGCAATCGATGCAGTTCACCAAGAACTAGTTGGGATGCTATCTGTTGGGTGCGACTGGTATCTCTTGAACTGGCAGGGCTGCTTGGCTGCCTGCTTCTGTGGCTTGCTGCGATCCTGTACGGTATAGATTGCCCCGTCACAGTGTTCATTTGCGCTGCTGCACGGTATCGCTCCAAAATCTTCAAAATGACCGTGCACAGCATCGCCAGCAGGTAGCCCCTTTCCGCGCATGAACATTGGAGGATATTGCTCACAGCCTCGATGAACTGCTTGTTCTCCATGATGGCTATTTGAGTGCGCTGAAGAGGCAACATTTCCTCCGTATCTGTAGTGTCATCACGCGTGATGATGAGATTTGATCCAGTTGACAAAGATCCAGATCTTGATATGAGAGGTGGAAGAAGTTTGCTCAGGAGGCAGAGAACATCTCCCATGCAATGACATCTCGGCTCTAATGCTGGGATGCCACTTGAGGCTTGGTTCAAATAGGCTGGTGGGTCTTGTCGTTCTGTTGCAAAGGATGACAAGTCCAGGGTGATATTTTGAGCTTGAGAGATAGGTCTAGTGGATGTCTCCGGGCCACCTTCATTTGAGATATACAGCTCAGCAACATTGTCAACGGCTTGATTACAGCTGGAAAAGCTACAATCAAACGACCCAGATTCCGAAAACTCGACTGGAGATGTTAAAAGACCGCTGGGATTTTGGCTTACTTCAGAGCCCTCTAGAGAAACTCCAACTTCCGGAGAAGTTATAATGTCCGGAATCATCCCTGGACAAGAGGATGCCTGAGTCACGCTAGATAGTCTGGTGGAAGCTATCAACGACGCGTTCAGATCCGGTAGTGTAGCCGATATATCTGGTGAGTACCAGGCCGTAGCAAGCCCACTTTGGATAGTCGGAGTTCGTGGATGTCGAATTCCAATGTCACTTTGATTGCAGCTACTCTCTCGCTTTCGTCCAGGTCGTTTGGGCATGAAGTATTCACATGCAATGCCTCTCTTTGCACACCGTGAGCAAGATGGCTTCTCTTTGGGACATTTTACTTTCGACAAAGCACATGCTTGACAGCTATCTCGAAGTTTCGATGTTGTCGACGTTGGCTTGCGTCGTGCGGTTGCGCCGCTTGACATCGTGCTTGGGGTTGAGGTAGACATAGCACTACATGAACTGATCAGTTTCCTGACCAATGGTCCTCTGATGGAGCATTTCATTTCTACGGGTGTCTTTACCAGATTTTCGAGGCCTTCCTTTCAAAGTATGAATATGAGTTGCCCCACCTGGCTTCGATCTGGCTTCGATCAGCCTTCCTATAATTCGAGCTTTGTTGCGGTGTGCCCTGGCTTTGCCTTTGAGCTCTGAAACAGCCAAGTGCCCGAGGCAGTATTTGTCAAAAGTTTATAGCGGAGGAGCAATGTACTGATCAGGTTCGAACAAAGAACTCCCTCATTTTAGCGCTTCCAGGGGTGTTGGTGAGCCATACAGTAGGTACCAAGTTCAGCTGAAACTTCGGTGAAGCCTCACTCTCATCCTGGTCTTCCAAACTCAGAAATTCCATAATCATCGCGTACTAGGCCAAAAGTGGTCATCGGTCGGCTATCAAATAAACAGCAGTAAACAAAATGGGGGGACATGTTTCCTTCTTTTATTGTGATACATTGCACAGCCTTGCATTGTACAGCCAGAGAGCCCATTCCGCGAGTGATATACATGCTTCGCATAACGTTATGTGCAAGCCACGCACGTCTGGCATAGTTACAAAGGGCCTGTTGGTCAGTGCCTGTAGGTGGTGGGTAGCCTTTGACCCAGCAGCTGAGCGTCCAAATTGGAAGATGATCTGCTAATAGATTCAAATGATATCCTAGTATTGGCTTGAATAGGATTTTTCAGCAGCGTCCTTTTAATTTGGTAGTTCCGATTCCTCGTTCTGCTAACTAATGTTCTGCGGAGGAAGATCTCTGGCCTGAAACTTCAGGCCTCCAGATCGCCAAGTGACGTTCAGTGGAATTCTTCCTTGTCCTGATTTCCCTTTCCTGATGGACAAGTACTTCACGTAAAATATCACTTCATCGTCGCAGGTCGCAGGGCCAGAATGGTCGTCCATGGGGCTGATACGCCGACAGGCCCGACATTTGCCCAAGATTGTGCACAATATGATACGTGGCCAGACACCATGCCCATGGTGATGCTCTCAATTTCTCAATCTTAATCTCATCAGTCAAGGAGAATCTTCATTTTGCAGATGTTGAACGAGTCAAAGAGCACTCGGTTGCTCAGTTCACACCGTGGCAGACGATCGTATCCACTCGCAGCCGAATATCGGGGCACAAGTTCGCGGGTCATTCCCCTCTGTGATTATGACTACCCATACACCCTCGGCGGATATAGTTCACATTGTCAAAACTCATCTGATTAGCACATGCTATATTCGAGTCCGAATGGAAACAACACTACATGGGTATCTAGAGACCGATCGAGAGCCACCACATTAGATGCGCCCTCTGCACGACAAGCAACTACCCCATGATCAAAGTCAATTGAAGGAGCATGTTCATCGTTTAACCCCGCATCAGGACGATGGATGAGTTCCATAACATCCCGGGCCGGGTGAAGTCGCTCTATATCGGCAAGTTACGTGAGAAGCCACGCAATTGGCTGATCTCGAGGCTTCGGGGCGTTCCGATGCGCGGAAGAGCTCTTCAATTAACGAATTGACGTAATGAGACTTGGAAACTTGAGCAATTGCTCGAAGAGACCCGCAAATTGAGTGACTCTCATTTGCTTCTTGGGACATCGTGATGGATCCCGAGAGAGCCCCGGCCCGGCAACGCGGGGTCCCCAGGCCGATCATCCTCCTGGGGAATGGGGCCAACCATATGGGGAAGTCCAACGCGATGCAACATCTCGTCAAATGGGCCAAATAGCCCCATTCTTGTCTTACAACCCCAGATTTCAGTGACTCTTCCTCAATTGAACCGCACCACCTCCCCCAGATACTCGGAAATGACCTCGGACGAGGTCACCAGCATACAAAATGAGTCGAGAACGAACAAGAAGGATGTCAAGGAGCCAGATCTAATAGCTCCAACTGGTGACCAGGATATCGATTCTGAGGAGAAACATAGCAATGGGGAGACACACGAATTGCCCGAGCTGCAACGCAGGTTGAAAAGCCGGCATTTGCAGATGATTGCGATGGGTATGAATTTCAACACGCCAACATTGGGTAATCTTCTGACTCTCAGGCAGGTGGTGCAATTGGAACTGGTCTCTTCATCGGCAGTGGTACTGCAATTGCAACAGCTGGGCCCGTGGGAGCCTTGATTGCCTTTAGCTTCGTCGGGTCCATTGTTTATTCCGTTATGACAGCCCTGGGCGAAGTAGCCACATATCTACCCATCCCGGGAGCATTCGCTGCTTATGCAACACGACTGGTTGATCCTAGTCTAGGATTTGCCATGGGTTGGATCTACTGGTTTTCCTGGGCTTCGACATTCGCTCTTGAGCTGACCGCGACCGGTCTGATTATTCAATACTGGGACGAGACGATACCAATGGCAATCTTCATTGCTATCTTCTGGGTCGTTATTATTATCTTGAATATGTTCCCAGTGAGCTGTTACGGTGAAGTCGAATTCTGGCTGTCAAGCATTAAGATCATCACTGTCGTCGGGTTCATGATCTTTGCTATTTGCATGAACGCTGGCGTCGGCAAAGAGGGATACATCGGCTTTAGGTACTGGGTACACCCAGGACCCTTCCAGCCTTACCTGATCACAAACCCAGAGCAAGATGCTCTGGCAAAGTTCGTCGGCTTCTGGGCTATTCTCATCAAAGCAGGGTTCTCATATCAAGGAACAGAGCTTGTTGGCATCGCCGCAGGAGAAACAGAGAACCCAAGCAAAAACGTTCCATCGGCAATTCGCAAAACATTCTTCCGAATCGTATTCTTCTTCATTTTCACCATTTTCTTCGCCGGTATCGTCGTTCCAGCCACAGATAAACACCTTACATCCAGCGACGGCAACAGCGCCGACGCAAACTCGTCGCCTTTCGTCATCGCCGCAAATCGCGCCGGCGTCAATGCCCTACCGAGCATCATCAACGCGGTCTTACTGACAGTGGTCCTCTCAGCAGCCAATTCAAACGTTTACAGCGGAAGCCGCATCCTAGTCGGCCTAGCAAACGAAGGTTTCGCACCACGCTTCTTCCTCAAAACAACCAAGCACGGCGTCCCATACGGAAGTGTCCTTTTTACAGCAGTCTTTGGTCTACTGGGATTTCTGAACTTGAGCAATTCGGGAAGCACCGTCTTCAACTGGCTGGTGCAGATTGCGGGCCTGGCAGGCTTTATTACTTGGTCTTCACTGAACATCTGCCATCTGGCATTCATGAGAGCGCTAAAGGCCCGTGGTATCTCGCGCGATACTCTTCCCTACAAAGCGACGTGGCAGCCGTACCTGTCATGGTACGGTCTGTTCTTCAATGTCCTGATTATCCTCACTCAGGGCTTTACGGCTTTCTTACCGTCGTTCAGTGTGACGGACTTTTTTATCAACTATTTGAGTCTGATTCTGTTCGCTGTTCTATATTTCGGCCATAAGATTGCCTTCCGGACAAAGTTTGTGAAACCTATTGAGGCGAATATTGATACGGGCAGATATGAGCCCGAATATGGTGCTTAGGGGTTGGATTTGGATGGTTTTTCTTTGGCATCCTGTTTGTCTTCCCAATGCTGCAATCTTCGTAGATACTCTTTGAGCCCATACACATATATCTACCAATTGTATTGGCTTTTCTTTTCTTGTTTGGGGCTATTGTAGAAATACGTTTGTGGTCAAGGACCTGGTGCAGAAACCATGCACCGAACTAACCTTGAAGTGTCTTCTTTGGTAATTGACTCAAGTAGTCCGTTATGAATGATGCATTAAATATACAATCATTTAGATTGTTTGTCCTTCGTCGACAACTCACAGGGTATGTGACATTTACATAAGACTTTCACCTGAGGGCTTCAGATCCATCTTGGTGGAAATATATATTCTCTTGAATCACGCCAAATGACTCTTTGTTTGTGATTCTTACCATGGTCGCATTCTTGAAAGTAAATGACTCTATATAGAACCAATTGACTATTCCGAGCCCTATTGGGTACAAGCTATTGAGTGCTACCTGGCATGATTCTTACCGAAATCCTTCGAAACAATCTTCTTCTTCTATCCCTGATGTGCTGTCCACTAAGTTTGGCAGAGCCTAGCACTCTATTAGCAACCTTTACTAGGTTAAGATTACTGAGGATCCTAGCTATTCGTTGTGTACAAGACAGTGAAAAGTTCAATACAAGTCATTCATACAAAGAAACCAGGAAAGTCAAGTACAAAACAGTATGAAAGGTATTAAGATAGTCTCGACATATGGTATTACGTATCTAGCCAAGAATACAAGGATAGAAGACGGGAAAAAGCAAGCAAATTATCAATCCCCCGGAGTTTATTCATCACCATTCCACCATTGAACTCATGCCATTAACAAATCATGAAACCCAATCCTCAGCAAACCTCACACCAACGTTCCAGGTCAACCCTTCGCCTAACTCTCAATCAATTTACAGACCGAGAGCAAGCACACCAGCCAAGATACCGGCAGCAACGGGGGCAGCGCCGAGAGCGACACCAGCACCGGTGGAGGGGGTAGCAGAGGCGGCAGCAGTGCCGCTAGCAGTGCCTGACGCAGCGGTGGTCATGCCAGAGGCGGTGGAGGTGCCGGAGGCAGTGGTGGAAGCGTCGGTGGCGGTGGTGGTGGAGCCGGACTTGGTAGAGGTGGAGGTGGAGGTTCCTGTAGCGGAAGTGTGAGTTGTGGACACAGCAGAGGAAGAGTCAGTGCTGCTTGCGCTGGAAGAAGTTCCAGAGGTGGCAGCACTGGAGGTGGAGGAGGATGCACCAGTAGAAGAGGAAGAGCTTGAGGCAGACTCAGTCACGTTGAACTGGTTGGATTGGGCGAGGATGCCGGTGTTTTCCTCGGAGGTCGACTCCAGGTTAACCTGGTAGCCCTTGCCGTTGGTGACGTCGGAGAGGCTCTTGATGGTGTAGGAGCCCTCGGAGGTCTGGACGTCGGAGGCAACCTTCTTGTGGACGGGAGGGTAGACGGCGTTGTTGGAGATGTAGATGTTGACGCTGGAGGCGTCGGTGCTAGTTCGGGTTAGAAATCGGGGTTTTTAAATTGGGCGCATTCCGAAGCTATATGCCGGATCAATGCTAATGGGAAGTAGAAAACATACTTGACGGAAGTCCACTTGACAGTCAGAGAGTCGGAGGTGTCAACCATGGCACCCTGCTCAGGCTCAGTGACCTTGAGAGCTGAACGTGGTGTTAGTCAGATCATGCGATCTCGGATAATATACGGAAAGAAGCTTACCAGAGACGGAGAGTGCCATAGGCAGAACAGACAGAGCGAGTGACAGACGCATGATGGCTGATTGTTAACGAGTGAATGTGAAAGCGAGAGACTTGGGAATCAAAAGATGATGAGGATGAAGAAAGAAGAAAGAAGATGAGGATGCGAGAGGATGTTTATATTGGGCAGAGCTGATCGACGAGGACCCTGATCTTAAATAGGAAAGCACCTATAAATCTTTTCTATATCTAAGACTCTGATGGTCCGTATACCTCCCACAAAACGGCACAAAAATACACGAAAATAGAACCAAGGAAATCGCCGTCCCCAGTATCTAATAATATCTAAATCAATTACTTGAGAAAGTGGGATGCAACTGAGCCCTGGAGTCGCAAAACAGGGTCTTACTGCAAGCTAGTCTCAGGGCACCGGAGTTGCGCTCATACAGAGAACAAAGCATACAGAACATACAGAATATACAGAACACAAAGCATACCGAGCAGACTCCGTACAGAGCATACACTTGCACCAACAATAGTATTGGCCCGATAAAGCACAAGCTAAGACAAGCCACTAGTTACTCTTGGCATGGAATTCTATTTATTTTTTACCGTTTTAGTTCGTACAGTGCAAATACACAAAGCCGTTTACCCATGGACCCTGGTACTGCGTATTTGCAGAACACAGCCCCCGTATTACGCCATAGGAACAAGCAATCAAGGCTAAATTCCGAAAGATAAGGCCCATGCAACATAATCCCAGTAAGGGGTAAAAAAGCATTCCCACGTGTACTGCATTGCAGATAACGATAGCATGGAAAGATAGAAGCGAGAAGAAAAAAAAGTCAGCACATGGCCAAGACACGTTTTTGAGGAATGTCTCAGAGCCAGTTATTGATAATCGATTATTGATTTAACTTACCGGTACGGTGAAATCGATTTCGAGTTCGGTGTCTCATTGAATAAGACCCCACAGATCCATTGTCGGTTTTCTCAGGGTTCATGAGACATTCAATTCTCGCTTGACATGTCAACCCACTGTCCAACTTGGGTACGGAAGAACTGTGCCGGAAGGTAAGGGAGAATTTTCAGACCCGCTCTCATCCCACCCATCAAAAAAACCCACATCTTACATGTAAGTCTTATACACATGTAACATGGTAAGAATTAGGCAGCAGATGTCTCACGCTCACCGAGGATGTGCCGGATGAATCCGCGCTGGTACCGTGGGCCATCATTAGTAATTTGATGATGCGGATTGCCTCTCTAAGGCGCCACATCTGCTTATGCTGTGCTGTACTATGGTTGTTGGGTGGCCTTGGCGTGCCATATACCGGTATTCCTCTTTTGGGATTAGGAATTGATATTTTCTTTTTTCTATTTTGAGGAAATACGAGACCGGGTCCTGCCGCACGATATAATATGTACGGAGCGTGTAATGCGGTTATTGTACAGTGAGATTTGATTTTCATAGCGTTACAGTATTCCAGTCGAGCATTGGGTATTATGGAAACAGAATTAGTTGTAGATGTTCACATCACTGCCACATCAGAGTCAGAGTCAGCCACCACCAAAAGAAAACTTAAATGCATTGCCGAATCCAGAAAAACCAGGGAGAAGGAAAACAGGAAGGAAAGTAAAAGAAAAGGGGAACTTACAAATCGCGCCTCAAACCATCCCTGCTCAAAGCCACCGCCTCAACCCAGATGCTAGCGCTCATTGCCGCAACGGTGAAGTACCCATACCCCTTCTTGTTAATAACGACGGGCTTCACATCCGGCCGTAAAATGTCAACCCATTCCTCGTACGCACGTTCCCTTCCAACATACATGCGCTGTACTGCAGAGCCAGCATTGCTGAGAACGCAGGCAAGACCAGATGTATGACGGGCGTTACCGTAGCGAACGAATCCTGTATTGCGGTCAGCTCTGCCAAGGCTAAGGGATGGGACCCTCCTCGTGTTCCCGAATTGTGTAAATGAGATGAAGTGGATGGGTGAGACGAACCTATGCAGTTTGGTTGGTCGAAGTAGTCCTGTTGTTCGCCGTAGGCGTACAATTTGCGGGCTTGGGTTAGTAGTGGTACATTGCCATTGCAGGCTGGTGTCATGAGGTCTTGGACATTGGCGCGAATTCCGTAGATATCCCCGTAGAAGACGCAGGGGTGGCCTTCTTTGCGGAGAAGGATCAAGGCGTACGCTAGAACCTTGAAAGATGGGGCTACGGGGGTCTGAGGTGGCTTTGTTAGATTGGCTGGCTTTCCGGGGGGCCTAGTTGACTCACCTCGAGCATTTGTCCTGGTTGCTTTCGGGGAGTTAGATGAATATGAAAGCCACAATGAATTAGTCGAATCGTCGAGTACTTACCGTATCGTGATTTGAAACGATGGTCTTAAAAAAAAGTTAGCATTGACCCTTGAAATTGAACATGCATGAATTGGAATTCAACTTACCACAGCATGGTCCGGCCGACACTGTACCAAAGTATCCTTAAAAATGCCACGAAGATCTGGAGACTCTTGATGGGACAACTTGCAAAACTTCTCAACAAGAGGGACATCATATGCCGCAAGGCTATACTCCGTATCCTTGAGGTACTGCAAAAGAGCCTTGACGTTTCCAGTCCAATACTCACCAATCACAAAGAAATCCGGATTGGCCGTTTTCCGCACATGCTCCACGAACGCACGCTGAAAGCCAACAGAAAAATGCTTGGCTGCATCCAGCCTCATGCCACTCAGACTCAATGCGTTGGTGATCCAAGTTCCCCACTGTAAGAGATCATCACGAACCGCGGGGTGCGCCAGGTCCAGATCGGCGAACATGAGATAATCGTAGTTCCCGTTCTCAGTGGAGACATCCTGCGCCCAATCCTTGCCAGGGCCGGTAATCTTGAAGATGGCGTTTTCCTTGCTCTTGTCATCCCAGTCGACACCGCTGAAGTGTTCCCAGCGGTATTTCATACTGCTGTACTTCTCGCCGCGGCCTTGAAAATCAAACCCTGTCCAGCCATTGACTTCAATGGGCTTGGATAAATCCAGATCTCTCCCTATGATGAAATTAGTAATCCTCGTCAGAAAACAAAAGAAACTTAGCTATGCTCACGCTTGGGATCAACCTTAACAGCAGGGAATGCCTCAGGAAAATCAGCACCAGCCTTATGATTGAGAACAGCATCCCAAATAACACCCATGCCAAGCCCACGCGCCTGCTCTAAGAACGACTCAAGATCACCCCTAGACCCCCATTTCGTAGGGACAGCACCCTTCTGATCAAACTCTCCGAGGTCATAAAGATCATAGATGTCATATCCATTGCCATTAACATCCATACCCTTACAGCCAGGCGGAATCCACAATTGGTCAATGCCGATGGCCTGATAACCAGGTAAGGCGTTTGCCAGACGGCGCCAGTGCTGGCGGTCTGCCGGGACATGCCATTCAAACGTCTGCATGATGAGTTTGTTATCTGGGGCATTCCATGACGGCAGCGATTCCAGATTAGAGGCTGATTCTGTGCGGATGGTTAGCTTGCTCCTTTTTTGGAGCTGTTTTTCTGCCTTGATGGATGGACCGCTATTCTAACCTTCTATCTGTCTCCAGTGCGCTTTCTGCGCGCGCCGGTGGGCGCCAGTACACCATGCCAGAAAAGAGGCCATGACGGATTGGATGGTGTCAGTTGTCGCGTTGAGGATGTGTCTCCGTAAGGAATGGGGAGCCATTTCCCATTTGGGCGTAAGCGTCGGATGCGAGAAAGAAGTGGGCCCGGCTATTTTTGGCCGGCGATAGATACCGTACCTAGTGGTAATTTGCTTACCGTATCGGTGGATCTTTGTCCCTTGCTCCGAAAGGCATCCGAGACTTTCGTACATATAATCCTTCGGTGGGGATTCCAGAAGGTCCACTCGGTCTCACAACAATTAAAAACGGTAACGTTGATCATTGAAGCCTAGGAGGCTACCGATTCCTGGTTTGGGTATGGAGGTGTTGATCGGTACTCGATCAGTCCGGCTTGTGACTATACAAGCCTCCCGTGATTTAATGCTTGGCATCGCAGTTGAGTGTTATGCATGTTTAAGGTACATCACTTGACTGAGATGTAACTTTATACTGTGCGGTTGGATTTTGGGTTCAAGCTTATTATGAACCCTATGTACAGTCTACTGTTGTATCGGGCGTGGTCTCAGGCCATGATTATATGTCTCCCTGCTGTGCAAGCCACTTTTCTACTTGTTGGCAGAATATATTTTGATAATAAGATGCTTCGTTTTTCGTAAGAGATAGCAACAACAAGACCACAGCACTGCGATCGATAGACACTTAAGAAATAACAATGACAGAAAGGACAGTGTGAAAAAAAGGTGACAGGCTTTGCTATGTGACCAAAAAAGAAAGATGTACAGCGTGTAAAAAAAATATGCTACAAGAAGGGATATCGTCGCAAGCCCAAACAGCGGTCGTTAAAAGAAACCGACGCAAAATAAACACCTTATGATTCCGTTTTTCGAACATGCTCAAATGATCATCACAATACTCGTCAATGCCAGACACAGAGAGGCCCACGCCGTAGTGAGTGATGTGGATGCGATAAACGAGGAAGCAGAAGAGGCCACGCCATTCTTCAACTGGGCCAAGGTAACATTCTTGTTCTCGTAACCACAAAGACCACTGCCATCCATGAATTTCGTAGGCCAGAACACTCGAGGCTCGCCCTTGTCCATATTCACAGTAATGGAGCCATAGTCATCCGGTGTGTAGGTTTTGCAATTGAGAATTTCCATGACTTCGGTACCGGCGTTGTAACTGTTGCTTAGAGCCACGTTGTAGGCGCCACTTTCCGAACCTTGCGTTGAGAGCATCATGATGACTTGTCGACCTTCGACACCTTTCGAGAAGGCGAGTTCACTAGCGCCTTGATAGACAGTATGTGTGGGTTGATCAAAGTAGTCACTGCCAAGCGCGTTGACATGTTTGCGGAGTTTGTTGAGTTTGGCGATTAGTTGGTAGAGCTCCGAGTCGGTGTTGTATTTTGTGAGCCAGATGGCTTCTCGGTCGTATGGTGGATCGGCTCCTTTGAGGTGTTGTTCTTGACCTTGGTAAATCATGGGAATCCCGTCGAAGAGGAGTGTGAAGACCAGGACGTTTTTGGCGGTCTGGTAGTTGGCTGGTCAGTAAGAATGACTTGCATATGCAAGGTGGAAGTACATACCGCCGTATCATTAGACATGCTGCCAATACGAGGCTTATCGTGATTCTCGGAGAAAGAAACCAGAGCGTTGACATCTGGACAAGCCTGTTTCATGGCCTCCACCTCGAGGGCTAATACACTAGTGTTTCCCATCGTAAAGGCCTGCAACATTTGGAAGTAGATTGGGTAATTTGGCATACTACCGATGTAGTTCTTCTGGTAATTCGAGATGATGCTTGTAGCACCTTCAAGAACCTCTCCAGTACTGAATACACCGATAGCGTCGGTAAATGCCTTCAGGAACGGGGCACTGACGTGCTTTGCAGCATCGATACGAAGGCCGTCAATGGAATATGTCTTGATAGCATTCTTGGCCCAGTTGATGAGAAGGGTTTGAACATCTTCATGTTCGGTATAGAGATCTGGAAGTGGGACGTTGAGATCACCAGTCTGACAGAGTTGGGCGTCGGTGAAATTGTTCCAGTCCGTAATTTTGCAGTAAGGGTGAAAGTAGTCCTTGTTGTTGAAAGGGTCGAAGACTGAGTAGTCAAGTTCCTTTCGTGGGTCGGTGCCGTTGGGAATGATTTGGGCCATGTTGTTGATCACCGTATCCATCATCAGATACATACCACGGGCGTGGACGGCATCACTGAGATCGAGCAGATCCTGGTGCGTACCGAAACGTGCGTTGAGGGCGTTGAAGTTGACTGGCCAGTATCCATGGTAGGCTTCACCGTATGACACGCGACCTTTGATGTTGTCGATGATAGGTGAAATCATGACGGCATCGAAGCCCATGCCTTCAATGTAGTCGAGCTGATTAATTGTTCCCCTCCAGGTACCTCCACAATAGAGGCCATCCTCGGTACTGCAGGGAGAAGTTGTCGAATTATCAGTGCGGGCAAAACGATCTGTCATGGTCTGGTACACGGCTCTTGGCTTCCAGTCGGCCGTTGACGCGGCGGAGGTCAACGAGACCAGGCCCAGCAGGGCCAATACAAATGACATCATGTGAGGGTGAAATGAAAGAGCGAGAGAGAGAAAGAAGGGACGACCTTATCTTCAAGGTCACGGAAAACGAACGAGTGACATGTGGACGGATGAAGCTGGAAAGAGGAGAAGGAGCAAGTTCTACGGGCAAAAATGGGGGAGCGGCCCTAAAAGTCCTGTGCAAGTACGTCGATCCATAGAAATCCCTTTTGAGCTAGCACTAGGCTATTCACGCCGGTTATCCTGCTCCCCATTTCAACTCTGTTTATTGGCTTCATCCTTTGATCCCCCGCTACCTAGAATAGAGTGGCGTACATGCTGAAGAAATTCCCCATGCCCACCAGACGGCCCCCCAGACTATCCAGACATGTAGCCTAATATTGCTCTCCCAAGGCATAGTTGAGCCGGCTTTCCACACTAGACACACACTAGGCAAGGGTGGAAGGAAGAGACCCAAATTACCTCGGCCATAGGTGGGGATTATAATAGAGTGTGCCGCGCACAGGGCAAGGGCCAGGGCTGATAGTGATATATTGAACGGACATGCTACCGTTGGCCCTGCCTACACCAATAACCTTTGAATATTCAATTGACCAAAGTTCTACAGTTACATTGAGACCGAGTGACTACCCCTGAATGCCCAAGCACTCGGAATAGTTGATTTGTTGGTGCGGAAAATTCCATGTTCGGTGGCTGAGACATCCTTGGGCCCTAATTTCAGAAGTAGCAGTGGTCACATCTCCATCACAAAGAGTGGCCAACTTCGGATGGGCCAATGATCCGAGACAACGTCCACTACTTTTGGCACTAGCGGATTAATCCTCCCCCACACAGAAAACCGGGAATAAGCGGGATAAGGGAACGACTGGGAAGACGGTACGGAGTACGGAGTAGTAGTTCGGGACTTGGCAGATTTGATGGGCAGTCAATGAAAATAGGCAAATTCGGAAAAGTCAGAGAGCGAGACCGACTAGGAATACTCGAGAAGGCCTTTGCGCAGTGCAATTTTAATCGTATTATGGGGCGCTGAGTCCGGCCCGGTCTTAAAGATTTTAGCTTCAGCGATACTGCAGTAGCCAGGTACGAGTGACCAATCCAAGAAAACAAGGCAAACACGAAAAAGGAAAATGCAATCTCGAGAGATAAGTCATGTCGTTGGACCGCAGATAGATAACTGGGAGGCACTAAGTCCGGGTGGCTGTACCAGTGGCTGCCTTTGGGGATTTTGACAGGTAGGGTCAAGGTTGAAATAGGAGCAGTTCATGCGTGTTTGCAACGGTTGGATATATTAAAGCGAGACACTGGGGCGTACCTGGCATTGTGAGTTTGTTCCTGGGAGTGGAGACTGGAGCAGAGATTTTTATGATCTTATTCACTTATCCTTCTATCTCGTGGTTTTGGTATTGAGGTTTGCAAAATGACCAGAGAATCTGACACGGTATTGTGGTATTGTGGTATTGTGGTAACATGGTACTGTGGCTGATACTGATCTGTCTTATCGAGCCACTTACCTTGCTTGTATAGGGACATTCACATCAACACATTGACTAGTAGACTTTAGACATGCCTACTGTATACTGCACATGAATGCATGCATAGGTGCAAATAATAGAGATTACTGAAGTGGTCGGTGAAATCTCTTTCCTCGGGTCCATGCCACCAATGCAGGTTAGGCAATTGCATCGGACCTCAAGCGACTGAAAACTTGAAGGCATCGGGCGTCTTGGCATTGGATTTATCGGAAAATGTGGATCTCCCGAGATAGCCGTCTAATCAGGCTGTGGGATGCCCGAAACCCTGCCAAGACTTAAAAATACCAAGCTCCGCCGCGCTAAGCCAGATGGAAAGGTGGGGGGTCTCACTCACTGACCAATCGGCGGAGTCGGTATCGTCGCAAGGAGGGTTGTGATCCGCTTATCGGGGCGCTAGTAATTCGCGTAAAACATGAGTTACAGGTTGTCTCAACTGTGACTCGGGCCGGACTTATCGGCTTCGTCTTACTTCAATATCATGAAAATCATCTTTTTCCAGATCCAAAGGCACCGAGTCTCATGGATGTGACAGGAACTGGATAAGCATGCAGAAAATGATCTCCAAAGACATTCAGGGTCCAAACTCAACTCTATGGGTCTGTTCAAAGAACCGAGCCCCGTTATTGAGGGCCCCATATTTATCTTTCCAGATCACTGGCCGAAGGCTTTCTTACTCGATCGAGCAAGGCTGCCTCGGTAATTTTCTTTTCTCGTATTCCCATACCTGGCAAACAGGTCGAATCTCTGCAGATGTGACGAATGAGCATGGGACATTAAACGAAGGCAAAAAATGAATAATCCAAAAAAGAAAAAACATACCAAAGAAAAAGGCAAAAATACGGAGAAGCCCGTGTCTGGAGTAGAAGGCTGAGAGTAGAAAAAAGAGGTCTGATCAGCACGAGCCTCAGCCTGTCTCAATTACTCCCAAGCTAATTCCTGGTTTATTTTTATCGAAGAGCTTCATTACCCCAAAGCCACTAATTGTAACCAGCCTCTTAGCTTCGGTTGATGTGACTTGGTCTCTTTTTCTTCTCGGCTTATTGCTTTCTCCTTCATCTTTCTCTCGTTTTCATCTTTCTCTCGTTTACTCTCGTCTCACCTTTTGTCTCTCGTTCTTGCGTTGGCATCTCCCCGCTCTTCTTTGATGCCCGGTCTGCACACGCCTCTCGACTTCCACCAATTCGATCCGCGCAACTTCGCTCATGGCCAGTGAGAGTAGCGTAACCACGACTCTCATCTAGGGTGATTTACACTCGCTTCCTCGCTCAGGTCGAATCACGACTGTCAGAGGCGCACATTGATTCCCCCGCGCAACCATGAAGTGGTTGTGCTCCACCGCGCTGATCTCGCTCTTTGCGACGACGGTGACGAGCTGGCCTTACGACGAGACCTTTCTTGACTACAACCTGAACACAAACAAGGAAGCAACGAATCCAGCAGAATACTCTGGAACATACCCTTCTACATATCACCCTTCTCCTACCAACTGGCGTTTCCCGTTCTACACTCTGTTCTTGGACCGATTCGTCAACGGTGATCCTGAAAACGATAACATCAACGGTACTCTGTTTGAGCATGATCTGAATTCGAACCAAATGCGCCATGGTGGTGATGTGGCGGGCTTGGTCGATACTTTGGATTATCTCCAGGGACTGGGAATTAAGGTACATTTCTCTCGTTTGACGACCCAGAGAACAATCACTGACCCATTTTAGGGTATTTACATCGCGGGTACTTCTCTTATGAACCAGCCGTGGGGATTTGACGGTTATTCTGCCATGGATACGACACTCTTGGATCAACACTACGCTACAATCAAGCAGTGGCAGGCGGCCATCAAGGAAATTCACGATCGCGGCATGTACGTGTTGTTTGACAACACCATCGCTACGTAAGTTATTCTCATGCTCATCCACAAGGAGAAAACTGACAATGTCTCTACAGAATGGGTGACTTGCTCGGATTCGACGGCCATCTCAACAGCACGACTCCATTCTCTGAAAAGGAATACCAAGTTCAGTGGAAGTCAGCTCGTCGTTATGTGGACTTTGAAATCGGGAATGACTACAACGCCTCTTGTGACTACCCCCGGTTCTGGTACGAGGATGGAAAGCCAGTCAATGCATCTATGACAGCCGAATTGGTTGGATGCTACGACAGTGACTTCGATCAGTACGGTGACATTGAAGCCTTCGGTGTGTGGCCCGATTGGAAGCGTCAGCTGGCCAAGTTCGCCTCCGTCCAGGATCGTCTTCGTGAATGGCATCCAACTGTTCGCCAGCGTCTCATTCAACACTCTTGCATGATCATCAAGACTCTCGACATCGATGGTTTCCGTTACGATAAGGCTACCCAGTCCACCGTGGATGCACTTGGCGATATGTCTGAGGCTTATCGACAGTGTGCCCGCGACGTCGGCAAAGAAAACTTCTTTATTGCCGGTGAAATTACTGGTGGAGATACCTTTGGTTCAATTTACCTTGGCCGTGGTAGACAGCCTAACCAGAAGAAGAGCGGAGACGACGCTGCATTGGAAACTATGAAGTTGACAAACGAGTCTGATCCCCAGTGGTTCTTACGTGAAGTCGGCAAAGAAGCAATTGACGGTGCCGCTTTCCACTACTCGACATATCGTGCGCTGACTCGCTTCCTTGGTATGGATGGACAGCTATCAGCTGGCTACGATGTGCCTGAGGACTGGGTTTCTGGATGGAACACCATGTTGGTTACGAACGACCTGGTCAACGCGAACACCGGTAAATTTGACCCCCGACACATGTTTGGTGCTACCAATCAGGATGTTTTCCGCTGGCCTGCAATCCAATTTGGTGTCGAGAGACAGCTTCTGGGTTCCTTCATCACCACGTTGCTTCTCCCCGGAATCCCACTTCTCCTCTGGGGTGAGGAGCAGGCCTTCTACGTCCTTGATGCGACCGCGTCCAACTATATCTACGGACGTCAATCTATGTCAGCAGCGACAGCCTGGAAGACCCACGGTTGTTTCCACCTGGATTCGTCGCAGTACTACCAGTGGCCTATCGAGAAGGCCAAACTTGGCTGCGAGGACGATGGTGTCGCCTACGACCACCGCGACCCTTCTCATCCCTTGTACAATATCTTCAAGCACATGTACCAGCTGCGTGAGAACTACGAGGTGTTGAATGACGGCTATACAATTCAATCCTTGTCGAAGCAGACGGAAGATGTTCTCTACCCGGGTTCTAACACCACAGTCACCGAGACTGGCATGTGGTCGACTCTTCGCGATGCCAACACTCTGGTGCAGAATCTTACCGATACTCAATCAGTGTGGTTCGTCTACCAGAACAATAATGCCACAAAGCACTGGACCTTTGACTGCAGCAGCACCAACACGTCAAAGACATTGATCGCACCTTTCGCAGCCGACACCAAAGTCAGGAATCTGTTTTATCCTTACGATACGCTGACTTTGGAAAAGGGTGCAACCAAGCTCGGTCTTAATGGATCTACCGAGTACAACGGTTGTCTTTCCAAACTGTCGCTCGATAGGTATGAATTCCGTGCCTATGTTCCGGTCGATAAGCATATCATGCCTCGGCCCATGGTCACTGAATTCTACCCCGGTCACGATACCCCGATTCACTCCACGGTGAAACCCAGTGCGGATGAGAGTGTCAAAGTCGCATTCTACTACTCGGAGGAGATGGACTGTGACTATATCACCGAAAATCTCAGTTTCAACTCGTCTACCGAGTCCCTCAACATCCCCACAATCAACACCAAGAGTGTCAACTGCTCTGTCATCCCCGCTACTGACGTATCATATGTTGGTCAAATCCCCAGTGTTTGGATGTGGTCTGCCAATCTTGATGGAGTATACAACGGTGTCCACCGCCTGAGCGTGAAAAACGCGACGAACAAAGCCGGGACTGCCTCAACAAACTCGGTTGACCATTTCCTTCTCCGTATTGGTCAGTTAGATAACCCGATGGTTTTCGGCACTGCCAATTATTCTAGCAGTTTGTTCCACAAGGATGATAATGGTACTTTCTTTGTTCAGCACCACGCCGCAGGTGCTGACAAGTGGCGCTACTCCACTAACTGGGGGACGTCTTTCTCCGACTGGAAAAAGTACACCGGTGGCAATGACACCGTCACAGAGCTGCCTTGGTCGGGAACCAAGAAGCAAAGATGGGACGGTGATCACGTCCGTGTCGAGTACTGGAGCCGTTGGACCGGCAGCAGTGATTACGTGCAGCAAGGCGATGTCGACCAAAAACAAACCCCTCGTCGTTTCCCTCATCTCTTCTTCAATGGTCCTTATAACCAGTATGGATACGATGCTGGTTTGAGGAATCAAGTCGATCTCAACGATGATACCGGATACTGGAACTACCATTTCACTTCGGAATGGCCCGCAGTTGGACAGCTTAATGTCTGGGGTATCAACCCTGACGGAAAGCCTGACCAAAGTATGGTGCTTGGTGACGCCGATGGTGACAGTATTCTGGACCGCATGCCGCCATCATCCCTTTCTGCTACTCTGATCAACATCACCAAGGCGCCTATTGATGGTCACCTGGCATGGAAATTCTACATCAATGATGCTACTCTCAAGTACACCCTGATCCCAGTTGGTGACCAGAGGGTTCAGATTGCCATGTTCGTCCTTTTCTGGATTATCCCTCTTCTCACCGGTTGCGCATGCGTCTACATCTTTATGAAGTCATTCTACAAGGTCAAGTTCAACCAGGTCGGTGTCAGCGAGAAGCACAGCTTGGTTCCTCTGGCTTTCTGGAAGAAGCTGAAGCCTTCTCGCAACGGAGATTCGTCCCTGAACCCTCTCATGCGCTTGGCGAACAAGTCTGGATTCATGCAGAGTACCACAGCTCTTGGCACACTTGGCGCTGCTGGAAAGCGCCGTATGGTCTTGATCGCGACTATGGAGTATGATATTGAGGACTGGGCCATCAAGATTAAGATCGGTGGTCTCGGTGTCATGGCTCAACTTATGGGTAAAACGCTCGGTCACCAGGACTTGATTTGGGTTGTTCCCTGCGTTGGCGGTATCGATTATCCCGTGGACCAAATTGCAGAGCCCATGGAAGTCACTATCCTCGGCAGCGCATACCAGGTCCAGGTCCAGTACCACGTCTTGAACAACATCACCTACGTCCTGCTTGATGCTCCTGTGTTCCGTCAGCAGTCAAAAACCGAGCCTTACCCTGCTCGTATGGATGACTTGGACAGTGCCGTTTACTACTCAGCTTGGAACCAGTGTATTGCGGAGGCTATCAAGCGTTTCCCTATTGACGCCTACCACATCAACGATTACCACGGATCCCTGGCCCCTCTCTACCTCCTGCCAAACACTATTCCCGCCTGTCTCTCTCTGCACAATGCCGAGTTCCAAGGCCTATGGCCTATGCGAACCCTCAAGGAAAAGCAAGAGGTCTGCTCCGTCTTCAACCTCGATGAAGAGGTCGCTCGTCGTTATGTCCAATTCGGTGAGGTTTTCAACTTGCTCCACGCCGGAGCCAGCTACCTCCGTGTTCACCAACAGGGTTTCGGTGCTGTCGGTGTGTCCAAGAAGTACGGAAAGCGTTCTTACGCCCGTTACCCTATCTTCTGGGGTCTGCGCAAGGTCGGCAATCTGCCTAACCCCGATCCCTCTGATGTCGGCGAGTGGACTAAGGAGCCTACCAAGGACGAGGATATCACTGTGGACCCTACCTATGAGGCTAGCCGTGGTGATCTCAAGCGTCAAGCCCAGGAATGGGCCGGTCTTGACCTTAACCCTGATGCCGATTTGCTTGTCTTTGTTGGCCGCTGGTCTATGCAAAAGGGTGTTGATCTTATTGCCGATGCGCTGCCTTCTGTTCTTGAACAGCGTCCTAATGTACAGTTAATCTGTATTGGTCCCGTTATTGATCTTTACGGAAAGTTCGCCGCCCTCAAGCTGGACCACATGATGAAGGTTTACCCTGGTCGTGTGTTCTCGAAGCCTGAGTTTACTGCTCTCCCGCCATTCATCTTCTCCGGTGCTGAATTCGCCCTGATCCCTTCCCGTGATGAGCCCTTCGGTCTGGTTGCCGTCGAGTTCGGTCGTAAGGGTGCTCTGGGTATCGGTGCTCGTGTCGGTGGTCTTGGTCAAATGCCTGGTTGGTGGTACAATGTCGAGTCTATCTCCACATCCCATCTGCTCGTTCAATTCAAGCTGGCTATTGAGGCAGCGTTGACTTCGAAGACTGCCACCCGTGCGATGATGCGTGCTCGATCTGCCAAGCAGCGTTTCCCTGTTGCTCAGTGGGTTGAGGATCTTGAAATTCTCCAGTCTACTGCTATTCAGGTTCACAACAAGGAAGCTGCCAAGGGCCACGGTCGTCCTGGTACTTCATCTGGAAGCACTTACGCTGGTACAATGACACCCCCTCACGCAATCAGCAACCCTATGAACGGTCTGCCTTCGCCTGGCCTTCCTCCCGGTTTCGCCCATTCTCGTGATAGCAGCTATTCATTCAACCAAATGAACGATCTTGGCTCTCAGAACAAGCACATTTACAGTGCTGAGCCTGATGTCAACGACACTGAGAAGCCCAAGTCTGGATTGAGCAGGTCTCTTTCTCTTGGTGTTCGCTCGGGTCCTGGTCACGCTGCTCGCCGTAGGGCTGCCGCCGCAGAGGGCATTCCAGAAAGCGATGCCGATGCTGAAGACAGCAGCGATGAGGACATTTCTCACGTTGTCTATGGCGATGATGAGGAGTACACTCTTACCCCGGCCCAGGTTGAAGCCGAGCGCCGTGCCCAAGCCTCCCAGAGGGAGCGTGGTCTCGCCTCTCCTGGTCTTGCTTCTCCCGGCCTCGCCTCCCCCGGTTTCGGTACACCTGCCAGACGTCTCAGTCAGGAATCCATGCACCCCCGATTCGCCCTACCTCCTACCAGCCCTGGAACACCGCCCAGTGCTGAAAACCTTCTTTTGCCTCCTACTCCTTTCGGTGACTCCAACCGTTACAGTAACGCCTCCGTTCTCTCGCTTGACTCCGTTGTCGGACAGAAAAAGGACTTCAAGCTGCAAAAGGTGGATCCCTTCTTTACTGACAGCACCGGCGAGTACTACAAGACCTTCGATAAGAGATTGGACAACCTCAATGGGTCCAACTCCGAGTCCCAGCTTTGTATTGAAGAGTTCTTGATTAAGAGTGAGCAACAGTGGTTCGACAGATTCCGCAATGCCAAACTTGGTCGCCACACCAAGTCTCCCACACCCTCGATTATGCAATCCCGCAATGCCTCGCCTGTTTCATTCTACGATAATGACATTGCCTCGCACCACCACGGTAGTCACGGTAGTGAGGAGAACATCACCGATGACGAGTTCCTTCTTGGAAAGGACTACGTTCCTCCTACTGGTCTGAAGAAGTGGATGCAAATTAAGCTGGGTGACTGGCCTGTCTACTCCATTTTACTTGCTCTTGGTCAAATCATCGCTGCCAACTCTTACCAGATCAACTTGCTCACTGGCGAAGTCGGTGAAACCGCAGAGAAACTGTACGGCATTGCTACCACCTATGCCATCACGTCTATCTGCTGGTGGCTCGTCTACCGCTACTTCAAGTCTGTTGTCTGTCTTTCGAGTCCTTGGTTCCTCTACGCCATTGCTTTCCTGTTCATTGGCTCTGCTCACTGGGTTTCCGATGAGTTCAGCCGTGGTTGGGTTCAGAATGTCGGCAGTGGTTTCTACGCCGCTGCCTCGTCCAGTGGATCCATCTTCTTCGCCTCCAACTTCGGTGACGAAGGTGGTGCGCCTGTTGAAACCTGGATCTTCCGAGCTTGTGTTATCCAGGGTCTTCAGCAAGTCTATGTGATTGGTCTCTGGTACTGGGGTTCTACACTTACCAAGGCCTCCCAAGAAGGTATCCTGTCCGACAACACCATCGCCAACAGCTGGAAGATGACTGCGATTTGTTATCCAATTGCCGCTTTCCTCTGCATTGTCGGTCTGCTCCTCGCTTTCGGTCTCCCTAACTACTACCGCCAAAAGCCCGGCAAGGTCCCCTCCTTCTACAAATCCCTGTTCCGCCGCAAGATCGTCATCTGGAACTTCATCGCCGTCATCCTGCAAAACTTCTTCCTCAGCGCACCTTACGGTCGCAACTGGAGCTTCCTCTGGAACTCAAATCACACCCACCCCTGGCAAATCGTTCTCCTCTGCATTCTGTTCTTTGGCGTCGTCTGGTGCATTTTCCTCTTCATCGTCAGCAAGTTCTCCAAGCAACACAGTTGGTTCCTTCCCGTCTTCGCCTGCGGTCTTGGCGCCCCAAGATTCATCCAAATCTGGTGGGGTATCTCCGGCATTGGCTACTATCTCCCCTGGGCAGGTGGTCTCACATCCGGTGCCCTGGTGTCACGCAGTGTGTGGCTCTGGCTCGGAGTCCTAGATTCCATCCAAGGTCTAGGCTTCGGTATCATCATGCTGCAGACTCTGACGCGTGTGCACATGTGTTTCGCGCTCATCGCCTCGCAGGTGCTCGGTTCCATCGCGACTATCTGCGCCAGAGCCTTCGGTCCCAATAATACCGGACCGGGCCCTATCTCGCCAGATGTCACGCAGGGTGTCCATGCCATTGCTAATGCTTGGTTTTGGGTTTCCCTGTTCTGTCAGTTGCTGATCTGTGCTGGCTTCCTCCTCTTCTTCCGCAAGGAACAACTTGCTAAGCCTTAGGTGGTTTTCTCATCCCCGTTACCACTGCTACTGGGGCTTTTCCCTTATTCCCATCCCTCCTTATCATAGACTCTCGACTTTGTACTTTGCGATTAATGTCGTATATGAACGATCCTTTTACATAATTTCTTACGCATAATTGAAGCATGTCGGCCTTACCATTGTCTTTCTTGTCATCTGTGTCATCCATTGAATCTGCTTTTTCTGAATACCCTTGTGGAAATGGCCACATTTTGTTCTAGGCTCCTTTACATCATAATTCATTGTCCTAGTCAATATTTTCTTCTTTATTTATTATTAAAAACACCTGCGACTAATATTTCCTGATACATCTCCCTTGTAATAGCCTGAGTAAGAGAGCTGTGCATCACGACTCAGTTTTGTAACTAGACGGCCCCTCGTAAGGTGAAAATTCAAGGAGAAAATAAACAGAAAAATGAGACCAAGCAGGGCTTAAGCGATCAAGAAGACAATTCAGAGCTTGCTGGACTTGGTCGTATCTGCCTTCTCTAATATTTCTTCGAAGAGCAGCTTTTATGGTCCCGATTAGACAGAGCGTCGGAATGCTCGGAAAGATCTGAAGGCTTTCCATGCACGTGAGTATACGAATGTTCTATACTTATCTCTAGCTAGGAATCTTCATACTCGAAATGAAAAAATCATGAGCACTAGGGATTCTATTGTAGGACATACATTCTACTGTGTTTCGGGTCACGTGTCGCATGTCCAACAACATCTGCGCAAACCGACAGTCGCCGTCATGGCTTTGTTCCAGTCATCGCGTCGACTTTTTACCCTGAGGGTAACAAAATCCAATTGAAGCCTCTTCTAAAATGAAAACTTCACGTTATATCAGCTCAAGGCAGAAATCTTGCCAGCATTGTTCAAATGCCAAAGCAAGGTGTGATCGCAAACAGGGGCGATGCACCAGATGCACCCAACGTGAACTCTCATGCGTATATCCTTCGCCGGAGAGGATACGACACGAGAAATCTTGGGGTGAAAGCTGCTCGCGTGTGTCGGCTTCGGGGCCCAGCCCAGAAGTTCCTAACCCTAATTCCGACCTTTCAATCAACGGCGAGAATAGAATCTCGCCTCTACCAGATCACACAATGGACACACAGACTGTAGTCAATGATGTTGGCTCAAACATACCTTCTATTCCATCTACTATCGCACCTGAATCTCTTTTTTCAACATATTCAAATCCAATCGTCACTGGCGGAGTTCCAGAGAAACTAGGCGCTTTTGAATTCTCTCATCTGGATTTGATCTGTCCCATCAACGTGGAAGATATCAGAAACCGCTGGCTGAACCCTTTTATCCCTGATTCCGATCAGGCAGTCAAAGAGTATCCAAAAAGCGTCAGTGGCTTTATATTCCGAATTTTGAAATCTTACGCAGCCGTGGCTGCCCGTAGCCATGCTACACTCCCTTTCATCCACCCTTCACAATTGACGGCATCGAGCTCCCATCTTGCCACATGCCTAAGCCTGGTTCGAATAAGCGAAACCCCTTTACCCGGAAGTGAAGATGCTGCCGCCACAGCTCTCCAACGCGAAATGGAAACTATAGCGCAAGAGCATGACAATCATAATGACATGTCCCTACTCGCTAGATTCCAGGCCTACCTAATATACACCATGGTTCTATTCTTTCGGCTCAGGCAGGGACCGAGACCATTCTTTCGCAGTGCCATGATGACTCTCCAGGAACTTGCTTGCTCCTCATCCCGCGGAGGGTTAGTCTGCACGGCCGATGCGACCCATACACGTCCAAGGTGGGAAGAATGGATTGTGGCCGAGGCGAAGAGACGCACGCTGTACGTGATGTACCTTTTCGACAGTGTACTCTCAGCTCAAGAAAGCCTCCCTACTTTTCTCGGCAATGAACTACGTGGCCTGCCCGCACCATCAAATAAGTCATTATGGCAAGCGTGCAGCCGGAGCGATTGGGAGAAGCAATATAACATTTTTCTGGTTGAGTGGACAGGGAAATATCTCACTATCGATGAGCTTTGGCCTATTCCCACCGAGTTGGGCGATGCAGACATTGTCCGAAGGCGAAGCAGGGTGGATCAATGGTTGGAGAATCTCGATGAATTTGGGACTATGACCTTTGCAGTAACGAGTTGTACGCATGGTGGCTGATCGAGTGTATTGAATAACCTAAATAATAATGTGACGAAAGTCAAGTATGAACTCACTCTCGATATTCTTGGAGCCGTTATACATGAGCAAATCTATTTGTGACCCGGCGCCTGAATTGCTTGATGTAGAGAAATAGCCTGAGAGTTCATTTCCAATTCAACAGAAAAGTCAAACCGGGAAGTAAAAACAAGGAAATAAGTATACTAGCTTCTACTCCGCTATCTACGAGGATCCTAATAGGAATAGCCCTATTATTCGCTAGCCCGATCGGAGTAGCCTCTAGTGCCGTTACGGCTGTTCTTACTATGGGTCCCTATTTTTTAGTAGTTCGATAGTAGTAGCTTTAAGGTCTAGCTTCTTATTAGTATATTAGCCTAAGATATATCCTTTGTCAAAATCAGCATAGTTTTTCGATTGGAGTTCAAATAGATATGCCTGGTTTGACAGGGAGACTGCACCGAACGGTACGTGGATGTTACCTGACGGAGTGCGCTACTTAATGTGGTGGGAGAGCGGACTGCCTGACGGCAGTCATAGTAACCCTTTGGTTCGGGGTTTATGGACCAAGCTGAAGGCTCAGTCTTTCATCTGTTTGAAGTTCGGGGTTTGACGGGGAAATCTCAACTCTGACACTTGCCACCTTTCTTTTTTCTACTTCGGAGTTGAGCCGGAGTTGAGCCTCTCCGCGTAGCGCCGGACTTGAGACTGCCTAATGACGGTAGAGAAGCGCCCCTCTCGTTACTCAGTTTCTCCAATGAAGTCTCCTAAATCCGCTGCTAACTTCCCTTGATCCAATCCAATCTCGATGTCAGCTCCGGGCAGCCTCGCTCAACTCCGCCATTGTAATTCACCTCGAACAGCGGAATTCATCAAGCGACACGCCTGGATTTTCAAATGTTATAAGAGCAATACCTGTTCCCTGTATTATCCCTAGATAAAACTTTTATTGATCACATCTATTCATTAACGAAAGTCTATCATCATGTCCGCCTCGGACTCAAAAAAGCAGCCACAGAGCCATGATGCAGCACCACAAACATCTATTACTCCGGAGCCACCTTACACAATATTTGACAACAGACAGAAATGGGTAATCGTTTGCCTTGTCTCATTTGCTGCTACTTGTAAGTCACACCACAGGGCACGTTCCGATAGCATCCAACGTTATCGCAGGATTGACAATAATCTCAGTTTCTGGCTTTGCATCGAATATCTACTTCCCAGCATTATCAACCATTGCAAAAGACTTGAATGTCTCCGTGGAGCTCGTCAATTTGACAATCACATCCTATCTGATTTTCCAAGGAATAGCACCAAGCTTTTGGGGCCCGGTTTCCGACGTTCGAGGACGTCGAGTCGCATACACATGCACTTTCCTCGTGTTTCTCGGCGCGTGTATTGGACTCGCGGAAACCAAGAACTATGCGACGCTCATTGTGCTGCGATGTCTTCAGAGCACTGGTAGTGCTAGCACGATTGCTATTGGGTCCGGCGTCATTGGCGACATTACCACTCGCGCGGACCGAGGAGGCTTCATGGGTGTCTTTCAGGCGGGTCTTCTGGTGCCTGTTGCTGTGGGACCGGTTATTGGAGGTGGGATTGCCGGCACTCTAGGATGGAGGGCCATCTTCTGGTTCTTGACTATCTACAGCAGCATCTTTCTTGTTTTGTTACTTTTCTTGCTACCGGAGACTCTCCGGTCGATCGTGGCTAACGGGAGCTTGAAGCCATCTAATTGCTTGACCAAATTTCCTCTTGGTACTTATCAGAGAACCACCAAAGTCGAGTGGAATACTGAAACACCACCGCCGGAGATTGGCGTGAGAAAGAAGATCGATATCTTGGGCCCATTGCGCATCCTTACCAGCAAGTTCGCCTTCCCTATCATTATCTTCCTCGCCATATACTATGCTGTCTGGCAGATGAGTATCACGGCCATGTCTTCACTATTCCAAAGTCGATATGGCCTCAGTGAAATCCAGATTGGTCTCACATTCATTGCTAATGGCGTGGGCTCAATAATCGGAACTTTGATCACCGGCAAAATCCTCGATCTGGACTACCACCGATTCAAAGCTAATTTTGAGTCTCGGTCATTCGATGCGGGTGTTGAAGTCAGAAACAGGCTGTCCGATATTACAGTTGACCAAGAACAAAGCTTCCCTATCGAGAAAGCTCGACTTCGACTCGTTCCTGTGTTATCCTTGCTTCAATGCCTCTCGATTATACTCTTTGGCTGGACCATTCAGTACCCTCAGCACGTTCACATCGCCGTCCCGATAGTTTCCACTTTCATTACTGGCTGGGCTGCTGTCTCGATGCAATCGGTCATCATGACCTACCTCGTGGACATCTTTCCTGATCGAAGTGCTGCGGCTAGCGCAAGTCTCAACCTTGCAAGATGTTTGTTTGCTGCTGGCGGCACAAGCTTTGTGATGCCGATGATTGATGGCATCGGGGCTGGTCTCACTTTCACTGTGTGTGTCGCTGTACAGGCTGTCGCGCTGGTCGGTCCTTTGGTGCAATGGAAGTTCGCTTGTGGTTGGAGGAGAGAGGCTGACCGGAAGAAAGCTTTAGATTCTGAGGCTGAGGAATCCTAACTTTTGCAATTTTGATTCGACGACCCAGTGCAAGCCTTCAGGAAGTTCGTATTGTCTATTCCAATGTTTTATTAAAAGTGAGTGTAGTATTTCCAATAGTCTGTTCTACTGTAGAGACCCAAGTGAATACATTTGTGTGTTACCATCGCGGGTGCCAATTTGAATCGCTGGAATTCTGCTATCGTTGAAAGCACATCAGTTCTAAAATTGATGACTTCCATATTCTGTCACACTAGGAGCAAACCTTTTCTCTCTTTCTTTAGTGGGGAGATGCGGGGAAAGGTCCGATTATTAGTCTCCCATGCATTCAATTACTTTCAGGACATCTAAGGTTAGAATATATATGTGTGGAAGAAAATATGTATATTTCTCATAGGTCATGATACAAGCTAAATTTAAAAGACGTTATATCATCAACAAGATTCCCAAGCAGATGGTGAATAGCTCCATATACTTTCATTACATTCAATTTGCGTCGCTTGATGGTCCTTTGTTGGTACCATAAATTTCCGTGAAGTGAACAACACTTAGGCCAGCTGGGTGTCGACCTGCTGCGGCTTGCGCCCCCTCGGAAGCGCTTGACCAGATTGCTCGTGTTCAGCGCAACCAGCTTGCTGGTAGGCATCAAGAACAGCTCATCAATCTCCTCAAGAGTCTTGTCTTTGGTCTCAGGCATGAAGAACAGCTGGTAAAAGAAGCCTAACGCGGCCAACCCGCCGAAGAAACCGATCGTCAGGCCAGTGTAGGTCATGGCTTTCTGCATGCCCTCAAAGTTGTAGGTCACAATGAACGACCACAGATACAGGAAGGCAGAGCAGATCGCCATTCCCTGACTGCGAGTGTTGAAGTCAAAGCTCTCCGCGGGGACAACCCAGGTCAGACATGAATACGCTCCGAAGAACGCCATGTACAGAATCAGACCGGAGAAAAACAGCCCCAAGGCAATTGACTTGTGCTCATTGAAATAGTCCGTACCGTGGTTGGTGTAGAGATATCCGACGCCGACCAGCGCCAGACCCACGATGAACATCAGGATATTTTGAGCCCAGACGCGACGTCCGAAGCGGTCCATCGTGAACACGGCAGGAATCGTTCCCAAGAACAGCGCGCCGCCGCCCACCATCGACATCAACACCGACTCGCGGTCATTGAAGTTCATCTTGGCCATCAAGTTGGACATGTTGTACATGACCGCATTGATACCGGTCATCTGTCCGAAGAAGATCATAGCTGTGGCATAGACAAGCGCACGTCGGTTGCGCGGCTGTCTGCACACTTCCATGTACCGCTGGTACCATTTCTCGTCCGCGGACCGTTCGACATCATGTTTGACGGTAACTTCCATCATGATATACTCGTCCAAGCTTTTCGGCACCGACATGTCGCGCAGCGACTTCCACACCTGCCACGCGCGCCCGTACTTGCCCTTGGACACCAACCAACGCGGGGACTCCGGCAGGAAGCACATTCCCGTCAAGAGAATGGTCGAAAACAGAAGAGACGAGCCCAGCATCCAGCGCCAGCTGCCCGATTTGACTTCGAAGAATACGCCGCCGGCCGCATATCCGATGATCTCACCGAATGCAATCATCAGCTGGTACACGGACACCAGGTTACCACGGACCTCTGGCGGCACACACTCGGAGATGTAGATACCGACACAGCCGCCTTCGATTCCGATACCGATACCGAGAATGAACCGGCCGGCAAAGAGCATGCTCACACTACGGGAGCCGGCACAGAGGCCACCTCCGAGGGTGTACCATAGACAGGAAATGATGATGGAGTTGCGACGTCCGAAGTAGAAGTTCAGCGGGGTCATGATAAGTGCGCCGGCCATGGCGCCCAGCGGCATGAGCGACGAGATCAGCGAGATGTCGGTTGCTAGTTTCGGGTCGTCCATGCTGGCCCACTCGCCTGAAGCGATGAAATGCTTGCGGATACCCGGCAGCGCGCCCGAGATAACGGACTGATCCAATCCACTCAGCATACCGCTGAACGCCGCGAAGACACCCAGCGTGATGACCAGCATGCGAGGGCTCCTCATGTGGATTGGGATCTGCGCGAACGCCATGCGGTCATACATGGATTCGTTGTCGAGATACTGGCGGCTCTGTTCATCGCGGGCCTCGATCTCGTGCTCACGCTCCTCGGGCGTGAGTTCATCGCTGATGAACTCCTTGCCCATGGCGTCAGGCTTTTCTTCGTACTTTTCGCTCATGGTGTGTCGGTTGAATTCAATCAACCATATAAGAAGGGTTGGGGAGGGAAGGGAGGGATTCGGAGGAGAAGAAAGAAAGACGCAGACGAGACGGCCCCGATGCCCCCTCTATATAAGGGCGATTTCCCCCCCAAAAGTTAGTTCTGCGGGATATTGTACCTCTTCCCAATTCCCCGACCTCCATGCCCCAGACTCCACAGGACCCCATGAGGACGCGCCAATGAATGGGACGATTTGTTTCTGGAAAAAGTCTGTTGCATGTGTATCACCCCTGTATTACTGTGGGGTTGTTTGTGTATAAATACAGGGAATGCTGCTGCATTGCCCAGCCTGCAGTAGTTACCCTGGCTTCGCACATGATAGGAATGCGCCCAACGTGTCTCAGCCCTAACCCGGAGCATCGAGTAGGGTTCTCTCACAGCCAGAGGTGAAGTCCCAGTGTGAGAACTGCCTACAAAGCCCATAGAAGTCCCAAGTAGCGTCAGTCACCAAAAAAATACAAAATACAGACATGAAAGGCTAAATGCATACCCCTGTGCTGCGCATGTCATTGGTATGGCCGACACCCCCAGCGCCCCGTCTGTCTAGCTCAATCCAGTAAAGGATGTACAACGCCTCTGACCAAGAAACCTTTGTCGCCCCCTCCAAATCGGGCGGAACCGGCACGGGATGAAGTAAATGAGATTCCAGCCAATTGCCGGGTCGGATCAGCCAGGCCGGGGTCGACCGGGGTGGAACTGGGGCCCCGACCTGTTTTACCCCGACTGTTTTCTCCGAAGACTTCCCGGTCGGAACGCAAAACCCTGGGGAAATCGATGCCGGCAACGGCTGAGGCATACCGAAACACACTCTGGACCGATTCGAGTCGGCTCATTTTCCACAAATATCCCGCCAAGGATTCCGGTTGACTGCGCGTCGGTCTTGCAGTACACGTTCAGGACGGGACCAGAACTACGAGGTAGATCACAATACCCAAGCCCTGGACGGGATTTTGCCTCCGGAAACTTAGATGTTGATGCTTGGGTCAGTAACTTATACTCTACGCCTCCTCGCAACTCACTTTCCGTTAACCATATTACCCTGCTTGACCATGGATCCTCCCAATTAAAACAAAATTAAGTTAAACGTTAGTAATGGACCACAAAGCAGAGTGTCACGGCATCATGGCCAACGCCACGAGCTATGGTTTCGCCGATGAAATTCCGAGTGACCCCCACGCGAAGAGACATACATGACGCCCATGGACATCCCCTGCCAATTTCGGTCAAAGTCCGCGTCAGCCCACGCACCTCCGCAGTCTCGTTTCCTGCATCTGAGCCCCGGAAAAAGACTAATCCCCCGGTTTCCTCGGATCGAGTTACCTGGAGCGGGGCACTTGCTTCTGTATAAGAACTAGATTCGAGGGATTTTTTAATGGCTTGGATTAAGAATTCTGCTAAGTGAATATGTCACCAGGTCTCTGGTACTGAACTAGTCTGAGGTTCTGGGAAGGATCCGGCAAGGGCTCATAGCATGATAAAACCGGCTCCACGGGGAGTATATGTATTACACCCACGCTGACACCTCCTGAAAGCTGAGATCTAGCTCACGTGAGGTTGACAGGTCCATCGTGTGATCCTTAAGCCCTGGAGGGGTTCGAGAGCCGAGTCAGCATGTATGTGGCTGCCATGGACATCGGGGGTTTCTGATGGTCTCTATAATCTCCTTGGCCTGGGTGGTAAGGTGTAACCTGCGTCGAAAACTGACGGGCATGTATCACATTACGTTATTTCAGTCGGAGTGGGCTGCCGGTTAAGCAATGAAGCCGTAGCAGCATTGGTAGAAAGCCCCACCTCGCAGACACTACGCTTATATAGGAAGCTGTATCTATACGTGGATCTCGGTTTAACAAGTGACGAGGCAAGACACTAATGTTGCTCAGAAAGGCAAAGGTTGAAGATTCTATTTCTATATTCAACAACTCTACACTGGTGATATTGTCTATCTATTTCATTGGATTTCATTCGTAAGATAAGTAGGTAGATGGATGCTATTACCCAACACCTCGATTTGTTAATAGATCAGACGACTCGGAGAACCGAAATCGCTTGCAATTGGAGAGAATTTATAAAAAAGTATTTTCTCTCGTTGGTGGCTCACATTAATTGCAGGATGCTTCTCAAGTCTGCTTTACCTCCTATAACATGTTCAAAACGACGCTACTTGCCATCTCATTCTGATAGATCATGCACACACCAAGTTTGAACCCAGGGCAAGCATTGAAGACCAGGAGTAGGTCAAAGCTAAAGGATCCATTTTGGTGTCAAGTCTTTACTGAGCGGCACCTTCTGCAGAGAAATGCAAGCTGACTGATCAAGCAATGTTGCAAGCGACTACCATAGTTGCAGCAGGTGATGGTCCATAACAGGGTCAATATCTTCTGCCAGCATCGCCAGTTTATGGCTCAAATCCCCGCTGAAACCCTAACAATGCTCTTTGTCAAACCTGAAAGGACATCGACCCCCAACCTTGTCCAAGACGGAACACAATGAGCTTTGTATCTTTGATTGTTTCTATCGTTCCACTGCATCACGACCTACTAATGAACTCCAATCTAGCAACCCTATAAAACCAACCTCGATATACCAGACCATAGAATTCTTCGCACACCCATTGCACACCGTTCACTCATTAGATCCACCGACTCAGCCAAACAACTGTATCAACCGACAACATGACCGGACGTAAGCAGGAAGCGCCACCGGCCCCAATGGCCACGCAGATGAGTTCTCGAGCAGAGTTGCTTGGAAAGTTCAACGAGGAATGCTTCCGGTTCAAAATGGGTCTGCGGATCCAGATTGCTCGGCTGGATTGTTTTGAAGGGATTGAAGCCGCCACCGGCGATCATCTCATTCAGCTTGCCGAGCAGGCCCGCCTTGTCAGCGGGCTTTCTTTGCAAATCGCAGATGCCTTTTCGGGGCACTCGGTTATCCAGGGCAAACTCATTTACCACTACAGTCACCTGGTGCCTACGCAGACTAGGTCGCTCGTGGAGATTTTACAGGAGCTTGGTGCGATTCTCAGAGAGGATAAGTCCCGTGGTGCGCGTCGTGTCTCGAAGCATCTGAAGAGTTACCTGGAGAAGGCGCTCTATTAGTTTGGCTAACTTGATTTACTAGATTCGCTGTTTCCTAATGATTCGATTTGTTTCGGTTTGACTTTCGACAGTATTGATTTTTTTTTTCTTCTGGTTCGCTTCAGATAGTAGGTTAGATACAATAGAAGTTTTCTTTCACTCATATGAAATATGGACTATGCATTTTCTAGCTACCATAGACAATAAAGTGATGATACAAATTCAATTTCGGCAGTTTATCTCGTGTATAGTGGCTTTTATAGAGATAGATCTGAATTGCTGGACAAGTTCTAATATCGATATAGACAACTAGCATGGATTTCCCAATCATCATTAGGTAGCCCGTAAATATGATATCTTGGATACGATTCTGAATTTGCAACACTACAGCCATCTTTGAATCATGATGGGCGCTAGTTCCATCATATATGGCCACAAATGAGGTTAACAGACTTGAGATCTCTGATATTTTATGGCGTTCGATAGGATATCGACCACAAACATGGCTAGGTTGCAATATATTATTTGTGGCATCAACGATGTCACCAGCAATAATCAGTCCTAGGGTAAGTGCACACAGGGATATTGCTTTATCAAGATCCTGATTACACTTCGCAGATTGACAAAACTTACATCTGCAAGCTGATAGACAAAGTTTGTTAATACAGTATCTAGAACTCACTGGGGCAGCAATATGGGACTGAAGACCTATTTATAGAAGATCTTATTTATTTATTTCATGTCATCTTTTTTCTTTCTTCCGCCATTCCTCAATCATCATTATGTCTTCCTCGGCGCCTTATTGTGAGAGATGAGACGATCTTTGGTCTTCTAATAATCCGCGGCAATGCAAGTAAATCTTTCCCGCTCCCTCTCAGCCTTGACACGGGCTTTTCTTCCTATCTCGGTTCTAAGGGCAATATGTTCCCATCAGACGTACTCGTCAGCAGCGCTAGATGGTTTGCCGCTACAATGTTGACTTTATGAATATTAACTTGTATATTACACCTTAGTATCCAAGCACGAGTTCCTTCCCACAAATCAACAAGAAAATACCAAAGAAAAGACCGAAGAAAAGAAGTAACCTTGGAAGATGCAGAGTGATTACTTTTTTCTTCATTCAAGCACGACATTCATGACGCTGTGAAAGATACAAGTGATTAATTTGAGACCAACAGAACAATCTTATACCGAGGCTTTGATTCTTGGGGAAGAACCCCAAGGACTTACAGGGCCAGCTAGGCCGTTAAGTGCAACCAGACAGACTGAATATAAATATGTGTAGTCTGTCCGTAGGGGAAAAGGCATTACTAAAACTAATCGATTGATGTTGAGTATCCGTTATGTTCATAAATTTGGTAAATGCTTCACAAACACCATGCGCGCGTGAAAATGCGAAAGAATGGAAATAACATGAGAGCGAAAGATAACAAAAATCCAAGAATAGATGGTGAAGTCAAGTAGTGATTGTAAGAGGGATGAGACATACTTCTCAATAATACCTACCCAGAAGGAGGCAGAGTTGGAGCTAGCAGTCCATTTATGCATGATGCTTCTTGTCCAGCCAGCAAGAGACCATAGTCTTAATGAGAGCCAGAGTGACCACGCGCCCTTGTTCAATATTGGCATCTTCGGATGCGCCAGGGACATGAAGGAAGAGGACGTTTCGGTCATGGCCCTCACGAAGAGCTAAAGACATGCTGGTATAGAAAATGAAGTCACACAGATAATGACCAGCATCTTTCGACAGACGAAGATCTGACTCCGGGGCAAAGGACTTCCAGGTATCCAAGAACTGCTCGTCGGGTTGGTAGGGCGAGGCAGAGGATGGATCATCAGTCACACGACCAGGTGTCAAAATGGCTGGTAGATCTAGCTCTCTCCATCGTTTCTCGCCATCAAGATACCCAGAGCGGCCCTCAACATCGGTGATGTTGTAGTCATCGCGGTGGGCCAAGGTTTCAATGGAATAGTATGGCCGTGGAGATGCTATGCCAATATGAATGATAAGATCGGGTCGGCGGCCATCATGGGAAGCGGCAAACTCCTCGAGAATCAACGGGAGAGTCTCCCGGACCGTGGCGTAAGCCACTGAGATAGGTGTGGGGTGGACATGGAGAGAGACTCGACGCGGGTCCGCGTCCTGGTCTTTGGACGGGAAGATGAACGACGATGGAAGGGAGGAGGCGATCAGGTATGAGGCGTTAACAAGGTTTGTCTTGAATGGCTGTTACACGTTAGTTTCAGTGTTCGGAAGACACGAGCACCATTCGAGGCGCCGATCATACCCCAAACCCCGTTATCAGGACGGATATCTCGTTAGGAGAAGCCGAGGGCTGCGGTGGATTCCCGGCTCGAGTGGAGCGCAAAGGTGGAACAGCAGTTCCGTAGTCACCCATCGTGAAGACGAAGTCGAAATGAAGAGAAGATGAAGTGTCGCGGGGGAGGTGAGGAGACATGCTGAATGCGGGGTCTTGGCGCATGCCGCCCATGGATCCTTGCCCTAATCATGTCTCTATATCCAAGTGGCAAATCGAGCATTTGCATTCTAAGCATTTGCGTTCTAAGCATAAATTATATCCTTCTGTAGACTTCATTTTCTTCAACAATCATGGTTTGTCCCCCGTTGTAGCGCCAAGACTGTTGTACGACAAATTCGTATCAACGATTATATGTCGGATCTGGCCTATCCGACTGGGGCACGCACTGTCCAGGGCTGTTCGCCAGTCATTAGCATACTAACAGCTTTGACAGCATCTGCAAGCTGCAAGTGGATCCCCAGGGAAAAGCTGATTGTTCTCGAATTGCCCATTTAGGAAACAATTGCGACAATCTTTCGTTCTCGCATTCTCGCATTGTCAATGCACACAATTAACCGGAACTTTGACATCCCGTCTGAACAAATTGGTGAGCTCATTTTGCAGGTGGATCGCTTTGATTCGGCTGTTTTAGTATCCGATAATCCGCAACATGGCGTGCATCAGTCTTGTGTGGGGATTCCTCGCCTACCAAGAAAAGCATGAAATACAGTACCTGTGACTGGTCCAAAACCTAAGATTATTATAAATAGGTCGACGCTCCGGATAAGTGGCGTTCAAAGAGTCCACAACTCTAACATTACTGATACAACTTGGCCTGATCATGGGCGTTCTCAACGAAATTCTCCAAAGCCCCTATGTGGTACAGGGCGTCTGTGTCGCCCTTCTGGTGGTGTTCATCACTAGCATATGGGGTGATCTAGCAGACGAGATCCCCTTTCGTCGGGTACCACTGGTTGGGAAAAGCTGGTGGGAATTAACAAATAAGAAAGCCAGGTCGCGCTTCACTCAGTCCGCGCGTGCTTTAATCACCGAGGGCTTCGCGAAGGTGAGAAGCGAACATACCAGCCTATGATATTTATAGCTCAACAGGCTCACAGAAATAGGGTTCCAATATATTTCAAATCATAGGAGACACCCAACCCATCATTCTTGTGCATCCGAAGTATATGGATGAGATCAAGAGTCACCCAGACTTGAGCTTCGAAAAAGCAGTGAAGAAAGTAGGGTGTCACGCTTGGAATGACTTTACCTAGTGCTTTTCACTGACGCCAGCAGACATTTTTTAGTAACCGTATCGCTGGCTTTGAGCCATTTCACAATCCAGGATCCTTTAACATCACTGCCGGTGTCGCGCGCACTCAGTTGACACAAGCACTCGGTACAGAATGCTGATAATTGCCAGAAGAACCTGAAGGCTAATAGAAACTTGACTAGGATCTCTTTCAATCCCATTGTCAAAGGAGACAGGCGCTACAGTGAAAGAGGCATTCCCTCCATCAAATGGTATGCTATTATCCCTCACATTACTGCAAGGGCACCTGCTAATACTCGTTTTGCTGCACAGAGTGGAAGCCATATAACTTTTTCCACAAGACTCCATACATGGTAGCCCGAATCTCATCTTTGATTTTTCTAGGCGAAGAAATCAGCCACAACAACGAATGGGTGGATGTATCAGTCAACTATGTGATTGATGCCTTTGAGGCTATGCGCGAGCTGCGTGATTGGCCCTCAGTCCTCCGCCCAGTTGTCCACTGGTTTATGCCCACAGCACAAAAGCTGCGGAAGCACATGGAAAGCGCTCGATTAATTATCGCTCATGAACTCGAACGACGGGATTTAATTTGCGCCGGCAAGCTTCCTGAAGATGACCCGCCTCGCCTCCGCGATGCCTTGGACTGGTTCAAGGAGACGGCCGAAGCGAGCAACTTTACCAATTTTGACATTTCCCGGGCTCAAGTCGGATTGTCGCTGGCGGCTATCCATACCACGTCGAACTTGCTTACCAATATTATGTACGATCTCGCAGCGTACCCGGAGTACATTCAGCCGTTGCGCGATGAGATCTGTGCTGTTGCGGCCGAGGATGGAGTTTTGAAGAAGACGAGCTTGCTCAAGTTGAAAAAGATGGATAGTGTGATGAAGGAGTCACAGCGGATGCACCCATTAAGTCTGAGTAAGTCATATGTGCCGGTTCCTGCGGCATGAATTAAGAGAGCGATATGCTAATTACACTGGACACAGCTGGCTTGAACCGCTACGCGACCCGGCAAATTACCCTCTCCGATGGTACTACAATCCCCAAAGGCGCCACGATCGCCGTGTCGGCTCATACCATGATGGAGAATGGCATTATCTATGAAAATGCCAGCACTTACGATGGATTGCGCTTTTATAATATGCGCCAGGAACCAGGCAGTGAACACCGGCACCAGCTTGTTACGACAACACCTGAGCACTTTGCCTTTGGTCTTGGCAAGCACGCCTGCCCTGGTCGATTCTTTGCTGCGAACGAATCGAAAATTCTGCTGTTGCATTTAATCATGAAGTATGATTGGAAGCTGCAGTCGGAGGGTCGACCTAAGAACTATGAAAACGGGTTTGAGTTGATCACCGATCCGACAGTGGAGATGCTGTTCCGCTCGCGCGAACCAGAGATCGACCTGTGTTTCTTGGGCGAGTAGTGTGGGGTTCGCATACGGACTCGGTATTGGGTTGTTGTTGGAGGACCAGACTTACTCTGTGTGATCCTTGATGAGAGTCGGATTTATTGATTGTGGAACAAGCTGGTACTTGGGGTGACATGCACATTCAGACATTACGAGCTCGTCTGAAACTGATTGACAATAATTTGACTTGGTTGACTTGAACTGACACCCTCTGCCCAATACTGAGTCATTATAGATCAGCGGTGAGACTCGGCTCCTCGAAAGTGGGTTTGTATCGGCCATCCCGACTGTGGCTACCCACTGTAAGATGAGAGTAATTATTCTCAATCCAACCAAGATGAAATATTTAGAGCGACGATGAAAATGAAGTTGAAGTTGAAGTCGAAGCATACACGTGACGGGTAATACATAATACACATGTGACCGTAAGATACAGCACGCGCCTCACGCGTCGCGCGTCAGTGGAGAACCTCACCTCCTCTCGATGCGCGAATGGGGTTATATTGGCCCTTGGGCCTTGGGGTCCCGTTGGCTCTTCGGGCCCCAGACCGCACAATGAAATCTGTCCCGCTAATCCTCCAAGGCTTTTTTTTTTTTTACGCTTTTTACACAAACCAATTCTCTCTGAAAGAATAAGAAATACCCTGGACACGGCCCGAGCCACGACCACAATGTATAATTGGAGGGAGAAGTAACCAAGTAAAGACGAAAATCTGTGCAGGGCACCATCTGATGCATGACCGTTCTACAGTATAAGCAACCTCGAGGCCCTTGCAGCCAAGGAACGGCTGGAGACACTCTGTATTTGTGTCTGGGTCTGCTTCACCTAACCGAAACACCTTATAGACCTATACTGTCCAGCCTCCCGTCTTTCAGGAACAGGTCCACGGGCTCTGTTTATCCTTGCCTATTTGTACACCTATTTTTACTTCTTCCTCTTGTCTGCCTCTTCCTACTCAGTACCGGGGACCCATCCTTACCTCCTCAAGTCCGGATTCTGGTGTGCGTCAAGTAAGGTCCCATGCAGCAAACCACCTAGGAAAGACTCGAGAAAATCTAAACAAACACCCTATGAAAGTGGAAAATAAGTCCAGTAGTATCGAATTAAAATAAAGAACCCGATTGTTTCGCACAGTTTTTCGCGAATCGTAAGTCCAAGATTTTCTCAGTGGGCCGTTGAACCACAAGTACCGAGTACGCTGTTCAGTGAGAGTTGGCCGCCGGAACCACAGGTACCAGGTACCCCCTCGACGCCTCACCCTACGCCCAACCTCCCCCATCTCCTCTTCCTCTTCTCTCCGGCTCTTCTCACCTTCTCTCTCTCTCTCTCTCTACCACCCTTTTAACCACTTTCGCGAGATCCTTTCTCGCTGTCTCCATTTCGGAGACCTTATTTTCTTTTGTGCTGTTCTGGCGGTAATGACGAAATCTCCCTCCTACTAGACGGGATGGAGCCGCAGATGTGATCTGGTGATACCGATTTCGCGCATTCCTGAGCCTTTGATCACACCGAAACCTCGGTTTTTATTTCGTTGCCTTAACTCCTTTGCCCTCGTTCCTATTTCATTTCTCATCCTCTCACGATATTACGACTCTTGACGCGACTTTTGCGCGTTTCTCGCATCCGCATATTCACCGATCCACTCACCCTCCGACACGACTTCTACCCTCCTCAGATCGCATTGACTCCACATTCTGCGGTTCGCAATACCGCCGGATCGCCAGCATGGCTCAACGCCAGCTTTCGCGCACTCTGCCGAAGAACTTCACGTTTCCCTTCCTAGATGACGACGTGCCCAAGACCCCGGAGCGCCCCAGGACCAAAATTCAAGTCCCGCCTCCACCTCGTCACTCTATCTCAAGTTGCCGCTTACCGCGAGTTCGCCCTCGCTCCGGCACCGATGTTTGCGCTCGCATGGATCTCGACCTCTTCCAATTCCGAGGCTCAGATGTCCCGCTTCCCTCGATTGAGTTCCCGCACTCTAACAGCGCGCTCGAAGCGCCTTTCCTCGGCCAATCTCCTCAAGATGAGGGACTGCTTGCGCCACCTCGCACGCGCATGAATTTCAAGACACCCCCTGCGCAAATCCGCGGTACGCCTTTCGAAGCTCGCGAGACTGGAAGCCCTTGGCCCGCATGGGATCAGACTCCTGGGCCCATCAAGCGTCCAGAGTCCGTCTGCTCAAACCTCTCCGACTCTTCTGTGGAGTCCATCGAGACCTTTGCCTCGCGACCTTCTGTTGGAAGCTGCACTAGTGTGGAAAGTGACCTATTTGATCCATACTTCCCACTGGAGTTCTCGAAAGAAAATGAAGTCGAGTCGCCCTCGCGACGCAAATCATCTAGCGTTGTCAAGTCCGCTTCCGATAAGGGCTGGACTCGCGAGATGGATAATCATTTGTGGAACACTTATCAAATTTATCTTCAGGACCCCACTATGACTCCATTCAAGATGACCCCGGGCAGCATTCCTCCACTGGGTGTCACTTCGCGTGTTTCGCGCCGTGCGAAGAGGACATGGGAAAACAAACGCAGCCGCCTGGGTCAATTTGTATCGATGAAGTCTGCTGAGCCTGGAACTCCCAAGGCCACAGGTGAAGCATCAGCATCGCAGCCAAACTGGCCCAAGACAGACGCCAAGACTCGACGTCGTCTCAAGGCACTTTGCCGTCGCAAGTTCTCCATCTCTCCTCATTACCAGCGCATCATGCAGTCGCGTACCCCAGAACCCACGGAAGTGTCCGCGCCTGCAGGTACCCGCCCTCAAGCGTTCGCAGATAGTTCTGCCTACACTACTCGTGATCTCGGTGTTTCTCTTGTTACCCCGAATGAGCCAAATCCCATCGCCCTTGTTACACAAGATCTACCACCGTTGCAGCCATGGAACACGTACTCTTTCAATGATCCTGTTCCAGCAACTGTCGAACCCGAAATTGTTCCAACCCCCAGCCAGCATCTCCGTGTACAATCCGCTCACAGTATCCCTCGTCTGGGATCACCCTTTGTGTACAGCACCTGGGGCCCGGGCGGATCCAACCGCCAAATCTCAGCTAACAGTACGCCCCGCCGTGAGACAATCCACGCCCCGGGACGTCGTACTCGCCGCAACACTTATCTGGAGCAGTCTATTCGCAACGCCGATGACGTATTCACGAGTGCTACGAGTGACAGCAAGAACACCGATGATGTCGACCGTCGCCTCCAAGACTACCTTCATAACAACAAGCTTCAGGACATGGGTCATGGCCGAGTTCGTCTCCGCAACCGGGGCGCTACGACTGGCGGAGTTAACCCTCGAGATGTTGTCGATCAGCTTTTCTCCCCGCCCTCGTCTCTCAACTCAGGGCCAATTGAGCCAGAAGAGACCCCTCCTGTGGCGAAGCCACCTGTCAACGCCTTCTTAGACCTTGGTGAAAATATCAAACGCCTTGGCTCACCCTTCAAGATTGAAGGTGCATACAAGCGTCGTGAGGCTCCGAACCGGTTCATAAGACACGCACCCTCGCTGTCTGATCCTTTCTCGAGTGGTGGCCCATCCTATGTGAGACCCACGGACGATACGTCGCCGATGCAAATCTCCCCTACACACCAACCTGAGAAATCGTCGGCCCCTCTACCTTACAATGCATTTGAAGAGGGGCTCTCTGATGCCGAGCGAATCCGCCGGCAAATCTTGAACATGCCTTTCACGCGCAATTAGATTGCGCTTTTCTGCTGTCGACCTTTCGAGTATCCGTTCTGTTCCGGTGTTGATTCCGCGAGTTTTTATCCCTTTGCATAACGACCTGAACGAGATACAGATGGGGCCTAGCTACCGCCCCTTTTACCAGCCTTTTTTATGACAGCAACGGCATTCTCAACGACTGTAATGATACGTTTGTGACTTGTGTCCTGTTTTTCCTCACGCTCGATCACCTTCCCCATACTCAACACCCACAAACAATGTGATAGGGTTTTCACTTTCCATTTGTTCATCGAAACCACGCATAGCACATGGAAATCTAGCTTCTGGTTACCTGGTAGCGAGCTTTTTGCTCGTCTGCATTCACAAGAGCAAATGCTGTGTGTGACTTTCTTCGAACCATCCAATTCTATTGGCACTTACTTTCCTTACTTGGTGGTACCTGTCTCGACTTGACACACCTCCACCATTCACTACACTCATTGACAACTGTCTCTATTTTTTCCTTCTTCTCTCTTCGAAAAACAAGAAAAGCAAAAAAAACACTTCAAACATCGACCCGAAAACCCGAAAGCTTCTTTTCTACAATCACTCGCCAACTTTGCGACCCACGTTCTCTACACATTTCCTTTACTTTTCTTTCTCGGGCTTTGTCCAGTCGTCGGCTTTATCTTTACATAACGCCTTGCATATTTCCACGCTCCAGCATGATGGAAAGCCACGCGACTTGGATAATTTTCTGCCTATCGAATTACCCATCACACATGGAAACGACCTGCGTCCATGTTGACCCTCGTCAAACCAACATGGACAGCATTTACACACACTTACCTCCCCCAAAAAAGCGAATGTGCAACGATACATATGCAAATACCATAGACGAACCGAAACGAAACGAACGCGCATGATACTGCAGTTGACCAACGACATCCCTGATACGCAAGCGAGGTGTTTGGTTTGGTTATCTTTTGCCAGCGAAACTTCATTTTTCTCTCATAATTCATTTGCATTTGCCGGATCTACATGGATCATTTTCGACTTCAATCATCGAGCAATCCACAACTCGATCTTTTCGATTCTCGATCTACTGATCTCTGGATCCCCCGATTTCTTCATGCCTTCGATTCTCCCGCTCTGATTCTGCTGATTCTGCTTGTGCTTCACATGATTCCCCTCAAGTTTGTGGCGATCTTTATTGGCCTTGCATTCCGAACAGTCGCATGTCATTTTTTCTTCCCACTTTCAGTTCATTTGCTGCGTTGCTTTTTTGCTGCGCCGCTTTTTACATCTGATATCTTATCTTCTTATTTTTCTGATCTCTTCTGCGTTTCTCATGACGTACGGATGCCTATCTTTTCTTTGCGAGCTTATTATTCTTACCGGATCTTGTTTGGATTCTGTTTGTGCATAGTATGCCTTGTTTTTATTCTTTGCCTTCGTGTTTGCTATGAGCGCGAACCCATCAAGGAAATCAATTATTCTTATTCTCCATCTACCTTAACTGTATGGCTTAAATCTCTCTACCTGGGTGAAGTTGACATCTTATCATTCTGCATATGCTCGCTTAATTGTATTTTCCACGTCGTAGTCCTAAGCAGTTAGTGCTCTCTCAAGATCCACCCGAGGATATGCTTAATTGAGTGGAGACCCAGTATGGAGACTCAATCTAATTACATCGTCATTTGCACGTGCGGACCAGTCTAACTCTATCTATTCATAGTTTGCCCTAATTTGGAATCGAAAGGGAAGGGCGGATCTTTTCGGATTTTGTACGGCCTCGTCTTAGCGAGAATCTTTCCCACATCAATGGACTGGATTAATAGAACATATCATCTACACCGAACATGAATATTCACAAAAGATATTAAACAAAGGCCATGGGACCTGAGCAAAAGTACTGAGTAACATGAGTAAAAGAGATAGGGGTATCAGGTATCATACGGAGGAAGAAGTCACAATACACGCATTCCAGCAAAAGGACAAGCACAGCAACCACAATCACTTCTCCAGCTTCTTCTTTCGTTCCGCGAGAAGGTGCTCAACCTTGCGAAGCTGAAGTGCAAGACCCTTCTTTTCCGCATGAGCAAGAAGCCACTCTTCCATGCCACGGCGGACATGGCGCATGGAGTGTAACACGGGAAGAATAGGTGCTGTAGACAAAGCCGCTTCTGGTGGACCGTTGTCGCGCTCGATGCGCTGCCAGCGCTCCGCACCCGGATTCAACAGGAGGTCAAAGACGCTGGTCCACAAGTCACGGTCCCAGTAGCGCTTGAGCGATTCGCGGATACGGTATGTGCGAGAGGATCCCGGGGGCGAGTTCTCGTCGTGGCTGTCCACTGGGGTGGACTCGACGTATTTACCGAAGAGGAGAACGTGGATGACACCGGCAATGCCGTATAGGTCGATTTGATGGGTCCAGGGTCTGGCCTCCCGAATCTCATTGCATTCGTGTGTACCGGTTTCCCAGTCCGCGATAAATTGGACATTTGGGGAGAATGCTTGCATGTCGATACCGCGACCAAAGTCAATCAAGGTGAGACCCTTTTGTGTCCAGCCGTGAGAGCCACTCGGGGAATAGTGGGGGCCTTCGCGGGGGTCAGTCGGAGTATCACCTGCGCCGAGATCGAGGAGGGAAAGACCCTTTGTAGGTGGTTCGTTGTGGTTGGAGTCGTCGAGACGGACAAGGCAATTGTCAGCTTTGATATCGCCGTGAAGTACTCCGGTGGCGTGGAGTGCTTCGACGGTTCGGAGTAACTCAACGGAGAAAAACATTGCCATTGCTTCTTCAAGACCACCCTCGGCATGATTATTGGAGGCAATGGACTCGTTGCGAACGATGTTGACCAAATCGAGCAAGGTTCCTTGTCCACGATAGTCTTCAATCAAGAAGCTCTCACGCTTATGCACATGCAACTCGTGGGCACGGACAATGCTGTCTGTAGCACGTGTATGATCTACAGATTGTCGGAGACGTTCATAAGCGGCGCGGATCATGTAGAATTCCCAGGCACTGGATGGTCCGTTCTCCACCTTGACTGCCTCGAAGGGGTAACGGGGTGTGTCATAGGCGTTCACTTTGGGGCGAGAGCCTCTGCCATTCGAACTGGCACCGTTGTCTGAATCAGAGTCGTAGGATTCAAGACTGTCCACGCTCTCTGCAAGATACACTGGAGCATATGCGCCGGCTCCAAGTTCCCGTCGGACAATGTAGCTTCGTTCGGCCCCTGGGAATTCGAGAATTGGTGTATCAAACGCTTCATCGCCACTCTTAGATCTTCTGGTATTGCTCTTCACAAACTTCTGGATAATCGAGGCATAGTTGCTGTCTTTGACGTGACCATGATACCCAGTGTATGTGTCAAGCGGCGGTTCCAACGAGTTAAGAATCGTATTGCGTATCCCTTTGTCAGTCGGATTACACTGCGAGTCTCTGATGACAACTTCCCGTCTTCGAAGCTTAGGTGCAAGCGCCTTGAAAGCCGTTGGGCTGAACGGAACATCCGCCGTAGAGGCGAAAGTATGATCCTCTTCTAACGGACTATCAAGAAGAAGATCGGCAGCGGGTGATCGAGGCTTAGAAGGTGTTTTCGCATTGTACATGTTATTGCGAGCGGCTGTCAGAGAAAGTATGGAACTTTCTGTTCGTTCCACAATCGGTGTCATAAAGGGAAGTCGATTCTGGGCCATGACAGCAGGGTCACGGTAGGTTCCCCATGGTGGAGCATAATCCTCGGGCATCTCTGGGATGAAGCCCTTCCGCTCTGGTGTCCCTTGCGAAGAAAGAGTTGCTTCCTCGCCTGCGACAGACTGAGACGTCAGCTCGGCATTGTCGATACTAGGAATGTCGCGGCCGGGGTCGAATTCTGTCCATTCACCCCCATCAACACTATCAGCCCTGGTGGTATCGGCGTATTCGGTATCATCGTAGGATTTGTGGAATGTTGTCTGAGTTTCATCGTCGCCAAAGTCGCTCGATGCCGCTGAAATATGACCTGTGCCGGTGCTATCGCAATCCTCGTCCTCGTAATCACTGCCGCAGAAGCTGTCCGCATCTGCCTCGGTTTCCGCCTTCAATGGCTGGTTAAAGATGCTATAGATCTCATCAGTCGCTGCCCGCGTGTGCATAGTCATTGTCGGCTCCCTGGTGCTCTTCCGCCGGGATTTCGATTTTGACTTGGACGGTGAGTCGAAATTCATCTTGACTTTATAGACTATCAGATTAACCGAGTCGGTAAAACCATATGGACAATCACCTTACCTGTCTGGGTCTGCGTCGTTTCCCCTTTAGCCTCCGTGCGTCTAGGTTTGCTTGATTTGCCCTCATCCCGATCGTAAGATTGCGAATTTCCAGAGATTGTTAGGTTCTCAGCCAGGTGCTCCGGTAGATCCTCCGTTGCATTGGCATTCCCTGAAATTTGTTGCAAGGGCTCTTTCTGTTTCTTCCAGTTCTTGTCCATCCACCCACGACTAATGGATCGGAGCTCTTCGAAACTCATTTCATGTGCTGGATTTTTGCGATCTGGGTATACTGATTCCAAGTCGACAAATACGCGCTCTCGACGCCCGGTGCGAGGGTTTACCGCTTCCCTTACATGATGTTCCGGCAATTGCTTGGGAGGATTTGGTTCTTTGGTAGGTAAATCTGGTTTGGACTGGATACATAATAAAAAACCATAGGTTATGCCAGCAATTAGTCCTGTGATCGTAAATATGTGGAGGTTCATAAGGGGAAAAATCAGCCCGTAGTGAACACTTACCTCGTCCCTGAAAATCGCCATCTTCTGTGATGGCGCAGCCTTCTTGCCAGCCTTCAAGGTTTCACCAGCCCATGGCTTAGCCTCCACTTCGTTCTCCTTCTTGCGATCTCGAATCGATCCAATGCTGTCCCATCCCTTTGTCGCTCCACCAGTCGCTGGGCCTGGTGCAGCAGAATCAGTATCTGAGAAGATGGCCATCTTCGTTTTCCCGGATTTCGTCTTGGGGGCAGCTGCAGGCGATGGTCGTGCAGCCTGTGGGTCAGCAGGGCTTTCTGATGAGGCGAAGGGGTTTGTTTTCGCAGCTAGGGCTGGACGGACTGCCGGTAACGCGGGCGAGGATGGACCTGCGTCTTGTGGTCGCTGTTCATATCGATCTTGGAACTCGCTGTACTTCCGCGCCAGTCTCTCGACAGGTCGCGCTTCACGGTCCATACCAAGCCTATAGACCTCGTCCGCTTGTGCCCACCGTCCTGCACCCTCCAGCCAGCCGGCAAAGTCCTCGTAAAAGAGAGCTAGGCTTTCACCAATGCGGTGACGGGCGAGGAATGCAAATGTTTCGCGCGGTGCGTCCGAGAAAAGTCGAATATAATGGAGCCATAACCGCAAATACCGAGGGTCGTTTCTGTAGTGTGATGATGAGAGGAAAGATTTGGTGGCCCGCTCCAACAAGGGAAGGAGACCGGACTCTGGAGTCGCTTGTGCGGATGGGTAGGCGTTCAGGGTCCATTTAACGTAACGGTCGTAAACATCCAGCGGGTCATCTGATTCTCCAATTGAGTGCAGTTCGCCTTCAAATTCTTCACGCACGGCATCGTTAAGGGTCCTGGTCGCGTTCGGAGACGGTGCTGGAATCGAGTCACTGTTGCTGCCCGCTGAAAAGATGCGGGCAAGCTCTCTTGCCGATCGGCCACCTGGAAGTGTTTGAATGTTCTCCTTCTGGTTCTCGATAATGTCGAAGTCGACCGGGTCGTCGAAAGCCGCCATGACGACAAACAAGAGATCTGAGAAAGCTCAAAAATTGCCGAGACGAAGTGACAACTTTGTGTGGAGGGGAAGTTTATCGATAAACATCACATGACCGTTGCCCCGGCGATACGTCAGTTCTCTGTCCTTGCTGGATCACATTTACAGCATTGGACAGATACGCGAGAAATGATATATCGGACAGGATCTGAGTCTATCAGCACCGCATCCTCTGCTACAGCATATCTTTTTTCCTCGAAGTTGATACCGTAGGGCCAAGTCTGATCTACACAAGGCTTGGCAATATCAGTCAACCTCTTCGGGTCTTCGATCGAGTATCCACTCCGGAAACCTGCAACACTGTGAAGAACAACTTGAATACTATGTGCTGCAAATCTCCTGAATCGCCGCAGCGCTACCAGTCGGAGTCCAAGGCCAATCACAAAAGAAATCTGAGTGGTGGCACGTCTGATGCCTCGCCTATGAGAAGATCCAAACGACAGAAATCAAACATCAACCTCAAGGAACTGTCTTCCCCAGAGCCATCAGATACAGAAACCAAGGACACTGCTCCTGCGGTGAAAGAAGAGGCTGTGGGTGAAAGTGCCCCAGCTGCTGTTCCCAAGGGAAAACCAAAGAAGGCCCCGGTGAAGAAAGAAGCCAGCGAGGGCACCGATAGTGTCAAGCCTGTCAAGAAGGCGAGGAAGTCCAAAAAAGATCAAGAAACCGAAGCTATGCCGCTGGCAGCTCGGACTCAAGGTCTGCGTATGTTCGTTGGAGCACACGTCAGTGCTGCGAAAGGTCAGTGCTCGAATCGGTAGAATTGCAGCTTGATTTTGATTCAGAGAATATTGAGCAGGCGTCTTCAATTCCATTCATAACAGCCACAACATTGGGTAAGTTTCTTCTTTCATCTATTCCTTCGGCCAATCCCAACTAAGTGTTGAATTAGCGGTAACGCTTTTGCCTTGTTCTTAAAGTCGCAAAGAAAATGGGACAATCCAGCGCTACAAGATGACCACCGTGATCAGTTCCGTCAGCTATGCGCAGAAAAGGGTTACGATGCATCCAAGTACGTTATCACAACGACTTCCAATCATTAAAACAGACCACTCATTCTCAATCCAGACACGTTCTCCCCCATGGTTCCTATCTCGTGAACCTAGCCCAAAGCGACAGTGCCAAATCCAAACAAGCATATACTTCATTCCTAGATGATCTCCGCCGCTGCGAAGCCCTTGGAATTACACTCTACAACTTCCAGTAAGTCAACCATTCCTACTATCACATTCTTACTGACGCCTCCAAGCCCGGGAAGCACCAACCAAACCCCTCTCCCAGAGGCACTCGCCCGCCTAGCAAGCACCCTCACTCAAGCCATCCAGGAAACATCAACAGTGATCCCAGTTCTGGAAACAATGTGCGGCCACGGCAACACCATCGGCGGAGCCCTCTCGGAATTCCGAGATCTCCTCGCTCTCATCCCGAAAGAACATCATTCCCGTATTGGTATCTGCGTTGATACCTGCCACAGCTTCGCAGCCGGCTACGACCTCACCTCTCCAGAAGGCTTCAAAGCTTTCCTCGCAGAGTTCGACGAGTTAATCGGCATCCAGTTCCTCAAAGCCCTGCACCTAAACGACTCCAAAGCTCCACGCGGCAGCAAACGAGACCTACACGCCAATATCGGCACCGGCTTCCTCGGCCTGCGCGCATTCCACAATGTGATGAACGAGCCCCGGTTCGAGGGTCTACCCATGGTTCTCGAAACACCTATCGATCGTGTCCCAGGGAAGGCTACAGCCGATGAAGACGCCGTTGAGGGCACTGAAGGAGAAGATGAGAAGCCGAAAAAGGGTGCAAAGAAAGGACCAAAGCGGCCTGCGGCGGCTGGCGCAGCTACTGTTCAGGATCCAGGTGTCTGGGCACGCGAGATCAAGCTGCTCGAGTCTCTTATCGGGATGGATCCTGAAAGTGAAGAGTTCAAGGCTCTTGAGGCTAAGCTCGAAGAGGAGGGTCGTGCGGAACGCGCTAAGCATCAGGATCAGTACGAGCGAAAGCTTGAGGCGGATGAGAAGAAAAAGGCCAAGGGACCTCCTAAGCCGAAGGGGCAGAAAAACCTTATGGATATGATGAAGGAGGGTGCGAAAAAGGAGTAGATGTATTGATAGTGATTATAGGTAGTGCGTACGAATGCATACTCCTCTGCTACACGTGTGTCTCGTTGGCGCTTTGTACATTCGGAAACACCAGTTTACGTAAATTTCATGTTTTGTCCTACGCTTACAATAGTGTCATCAGACTAAAGAGGAGCTCCAGCAGCAACAATAGACTTTGAAAACGGTGTATAAGTAAAGGAAATTTGATTGATGGTATCAGTGAAGTCCAAGGCAAAAAGCCAATAACCGCCTCATGCAAAAAAAAAAGAAATTCATATCCGGAACAATCCAGATCTAGACCAAGGCATATTTAAAAGGGATATGCAATCCAAAAGCACGCTTCAGAATTTAGACCAGCCAACAGAAGAGATACGGGTGGCATACAACCGTCACATGAAGGGGAATATAGGGTAGATCAAGATAAGAAGGGAGCAGAAGGAAATGAAGGTGGCAAGCTAGTGATGAGCGAGGATTTAATGCCGCACAGGCGAAAGAGACGAAGTTGACAGAGCATCTGGTGATCCCTCGCCGTTAGAGGGCTGCAGATGAGGGAATCCCGCTTGGGCCATTGTGGTTATAGTGGGAGGGGCGGATCGTAGAGGAGATGGTGGACCGTCGTCTTCGGGGATTGTAGATGTGGAAATAGAGAGAGCGCCTCTTTTGTGTCTGGAGCCGCTGGCTCGCACACGGAATGAGCGCCGCTGATCACCAGCAGGAGATGCATTTTGATCGTCATTCAACTGACTACCTGGCGCAGGGCTAATAATGCTAGCATCCTGGATCGCAACACGACGGTAGTCTCCTTGCCGTTGCTGCTCACCGCCACTGCTCTGGTCGCCATCCTCGGTGTCTGAGAGTGGACTCGACTCGCGACTCCAGGCTTCTTCTTGCGCATCCTTGCGCATCTTTGAAATCTTCATATAGTTGTATGCCCCAATACTGCTGATTGTTACGAACAAGCCAGTCAAATTGACCGCAGTGAGCTTATCGTGGAAGATAACACCCGCTGCGCTAATTGTCACGACCTCCTTGAAGATACCACAGATACTCAATGTGACAACCGATGAGCGCTTAAGGAGCGCGAATTCTGATGAAATCATGCAGAAGGCAAGCACGCCAGGGAAAATGAGAAGGAAAGCGCCTAGCAGGTTCCCACGCTTCTCAGCAAGCACAAGATAACCTTGATATATCTCGACAGGCCCTTCCACGGATAGCGCGATGACGATAAGAGTGACGAACATGACGGGTGTGAGAAGGAAGAGTGTCGCAAATGGATTTGAGGTGGCCGGATGGCGGAGCAGAAGAATTTGGGTCAAGGCCCATCGGAAGCCTGAGAAGAATGCGGACGCAATGACAAGCGCGAAGCCAAGTGCATTGAAAGCGGTCTCTCCTGCGACCATCATCACCACACCGATTGTCATTGTAACAATAATCAAGATCAACTTGACGGAAGGCGATTCGAGGCGGAAGAGGATTGCGAATAGGAGAACGAAAGCAAGTGCAGAAGACTTGCACATTGTAAGGAAAGTGAGGGATATGAACTTCAAGGACATGTTTCCGAGGCCAATGTCTAGCGAGGTTGCTGTACCACATGGCACAAGGCGAGTAAAATAGAAAAATTTGGTCAGTATCGGCGGCTTTTCTTCAGGGCCATCCACCGGGGATGATGCTGCAGACACCGGAGGATGTTGCGGTCGGAGCGACGGGAAGATCCATAAAATTATAACGGAAAGCGTGAATTGAACAAGCATGTGTAAGCTCGTGGTGAAAAGAGGGAAGGGGAAGACAACATCGCTCTCGGAGAACATCCATTTGTTATACTAAGCACGAGAAGAGTCAGCTCAAAATTCCAAGGAAATACTGGACAACACCACTCACTATTGAGATGGACAGCGAGAAGAAGTACCACATCAAGATCAATGCAGCATTAACGCCCAATCTCCTAACAATGCTGCGGTCCATATCAATGTCGCCTCGGGATTTAGTATCTGCGATTCGGGCATCGAGCTTTCGTCGTTGGTTTCTCCGTCGGCGTCGCTGGCGTTTTTGGCTCGATGTGAGTCCCGTTTCCTCGTCATATTGGTCGTCATCGGAACTCATCAAGTCTAGCTCCAAGCTCTCTGCAGCGGACGACATATCGGACGCATCAGTATCCTCTTCCGCTGTCAATGGCTCTTGCTCTTCGCGCTTGTGATTTCCTCCATCGGCATGTGACCAGAGGCTGTCATCTCTGCGCTCCGTGGACACTGGCTGTGAGACTCGCCCTGTCCCGGCGAGCATGGAGCTTCGCCGACGGTGGTGGCTACCGGCGGTGAGCCCCATTGTGAAGACTGGGACAGCTAGTTGAGAAGGAGAGGAATGTAGATGAGAGCCGACTTCCCATGGACTTGTGGAAAAAGGGCGTCACACGACAGTGCACGAGGGCAGTTGAGGTAGGGAGGCGATGCTGACAAAGACAGGGAGGGGAGAACCGAGTGTGGAATGGGTGGAACTGAAGGTGGAACTTGGGTCCAAGGGAGTGAATGTTCGGGAAACAGGAAAAAGGGAAAAGGGAAAAAAAGGAACGAACACGAGAAGCAGCTGAAGCAGGGAAAATGAATCCTGAGGGATCGAGTGGCAGATCGAGGGTCTTTCAGGGCGGTCGCTTCACTAGTCGCTTCAACTTCAGCTCTGACTGGTTCCACCGATCTTTTTCCGCTCCACTGTCCGGTCGATCCGGGGTCAACACTGCCCTTTTGAAGAATGCAGTTGTTTTGTTTATCGTTGGGGTGGTCTTTTTTGTTATTGGCGGATTGAAATCTCCGGCCTTGGTAGTCATGTGTTGTGAAGCTATACAAGGCGTGGGTATCTTAGGGGACTTGAAAACTCTCCAGCTAATCTCGGCTATTAGAAAACGCGTATCGGTCGATGCTGAGAATGTCTAAGAAATACACCCATTGCGAAGCTCGTCGCTGATGAAGCTCTGGATTCTAGCGTCATTCTTGGAGAGAAGTCCCCATCTACCGGCATAGCTATGACCTCAGACCCCTGATACATTATCATCATCATGTCGTGTTTTTTCCATAGTCGTCGGGCCATGCGGATAATGGATGTCGACGGGGATTATTGCGTTTTCTTATGCTTTTGACTCTGTTTCTCATCAATCTTCTCGGGTTGATGCTGCCAGAAAGCATTCGATCTGTATCTAAAGTAATCGTGTCTGGAACTTGTATCGGACTACCTGTGATCACTCATCTCCATTGCCATCATGACTGAGACTTCGTACAATGCCATTGAGGACTACGGCCTGATCGGAGACATGCATACCTGTGCCCTGATTAGCAAGGCTGGTAGTTTGGATTACATGTGCTGGCCAGTCTTTGACTCGCCTAGTGTCTTCTGCCGCCTGCTGGACGATAAGAAGGGTGGATTCTTCTCGGTGACCCCCTACAAGACTGTGGTCGATGCCCATAGCAAACAGCGGTATCTACCTTACTCGAACCTGCTTGAGACCAGGTGGACCAACGAGGATGGTGTTGTGACAATGCTGGACTATTTCCCGGTCACTCCCAAGAAGGTCGTCCAGTCTGCTAGGTTGTTGTCCGGATACTGCCCATGTAATGAACCCGGCACCAATCGGTTCAAGTCAGGACTGCAGCACTCAGGTCTGATCCGAAAGCTGGAATGCAGCCGTGGGTCGATGGAGTTGCAGGTGGAACTTTTCCCGGCCTTCAACTACGCACAAGACTCACACAACGCTCGTGCAAAGCTGGAGAATGACATGACGAAACACCGGCTCCAGACCATCCATTTCGAAAGCGAAACGGAAAGGCTGCAGTTCGAGATCTTCAGCGATTCGCGGGAGCCGGACAAGCTTGGGTTCCCATCGGCGAACCTGAAGCTGGAAGATCGCCCAGGAATGAAAGGCCGTGGATTGGTGGCCTGGATTAAGTTATCAGAGGGGCAGACAGTTCATCTGGTCTTGCACAGTCCGGAAAAGGCTGTCCCTAGCTCGGCCACCATGGCCGCCTACCTGTTGAAGATGGAAGAGGAAACATCTGACTACTGGACTAACTGGACTCGCAAGTGTGCCTTCCGCGGTCATTACCGGGAGACAGTGGAGCGCAGTCTTCTGATCCTCAAGCTGTTGACATACAAACCCACCGGTGCAATTGTCGCGGCGCCAACCTTCTCGCTCCCCGAAAACGTGGGAGGTTCGCGAAACTGGGATTATCGGTATTCTTGGGTGCGTGACACAGCTTTCACGCTATACGTCTTCCTGAAGATGGGTTACAGTCAAGAAGCGGAAGCATATGTCAACTTCATCTTCGATCGAATCTTCCCTCATGCTGCCAAGGACATGGACAAGGATAGCAAGAGACCATTCTTGCCACTTATGTTCACCATCCGGGGCGAGTACGATATTCCCGAGGTGGAACTTGATCACCTTGACGGGTACAAAGGTAGCAAGCCTGTTCGTATCGGCAACGCAGCTGTCTTCCACACGCAGTTGGACATCTACGGCGAACTGTTGGACAGTATTTATCTGTACAACAAGCACGGCAACCCCATCACCTATGACCAATGGAACTCTATCCGACGCATGGTCAACTATGTTGTTACCGTTCGGAACCAAAAGGATATGTCTATTTGGGAGTCTCGTGGACAGATCCAGAATTTCATCTACTCGAAGATCATGATGTGGGTGGCTTTGGATCGTGGTATTCGTCTTGCAGAGAAGCGTGCCAGTTTGCCCTGCCCGGATCGCTTTGAGTGGATCAAGGTTCGTGATGAGATGTACGACGAGATCATGACGAAGGGATACAATACCGAGCGTGGTCATTTCTGCCAGAGTTATGAGAGCCCGGATGTGTTGGATGCATCCATTTTGATTGCACCCTTGGTCTTCTTCGTGGCGCCCAATGACCCCCGGTTTATCAGCACCCTCAAAAGAATTCTGGAAAGTCCCGAAAAGGAGGGACTGTCTAGCGCGAAAATGGTGTTCCGGTACGACCACCTGAGGGCGAATGATGGTAAGTTGCTGTTGCGTCCTTGAAACCTTGCCATTGGAGTTTAGTAACTGATATTCATATTGCACAGGTGTGGGAGGTGGTGAAGGCGCCTTCATCATGGTGACATTCTGGCTTGTTGAAGCCATGGCTCGCGTAAGTTCCAATTCCATCTCTTTGAACTGGGAACCTGACCCTTTGTTTTTCCCCGACTCTTAGGCTTCTAGCTACGATGTGCCCATTCCCAACATTTGGAAGCTCGCACTTTCGCACTTTGACAACATCCTCTCCTACTCGAATCACCTGGGCATGTTCTCAGAAGAAGTGGCCATCTCCGGTGAGCAGATGGGCAATACCCCACAGGCGTTCAGTCACTTGGCCTGCATTAGTGCGGCGATTAATTTGGAACGACTCGGACGGAGAGGATGAGAGTAGAGCTCTTACCTCGTAGTGAAATCCCCAATGGGAAAGAAAGACAGAAACCTTAGGCAGTGCTATAGATTGATTTGAGATACTGTTTGTTTTTGTTGTGCTGTTTGTTTTGATGAAAAATAATGAAATTAGTCCTTGTTCTTGATAAGATACTCTTAATATTGTGCCCCAACATTGTTGAAAAGGTTACGATGCAAGTAGGAATGATGACCGGTACGACCGTACAATATAGATAATTTAACAATAGATTACCGAGGTGTTTAAGTCTGGAGATTCTCATTTGTGTGAGAATATCCTTATATACCAGAAAACTCTGCCTTTAGCTAGTTCTAATTAGGTTTCCCAGGTGATGAATCACTACGGTTGCCGTCATGGCTTATTCATGGCATAAACCATGGCCGGCCACCATAAATCTCAACAAACATGTGGAGATATATAAATGTTGCGTTTCCGGTTTCCTGTGATGTTCAAGTGCAGATGTCCCCCAAACCACAATTCCAACACACTAAGAAGAAATCCAGTGATTATCTCATCATGAGAAAGTCCCGACTGAGAGAAATGAGAGAAATACGAGGTCCGAGTTGACTCTATACTGGACGCCTTGCCATCCAGGCACCCATGGCAGGTGACGACAACACCCTTACGTAATGTAGATGATCCGAGCTCAATACCCCAGAATAGCTTCCCTTTGTTTGCCAACATAGCCAAAGTGATCAGTTACCCGGAACTAAGAAGCTTGTTTGGTATTTTGTTCAGGGATGGTCTTCGTTCTCAGCCGCGCTCCACAATAATTGCGATTTCGCGCTAGGCATCCGCCATCTGATGGCCAACATGGATGCCGATAAGCCCGACATGATGTCGTCAGACGAGGAGGGGTTCGTCTCTAGCGAAAGCACCGCCTCAATGGAGTTCGAATCTGATACCAAGAGAAACCTTACCCTCGCCCTGGGCAAGCTACGCCTGGAACAAGAGGACGTGAATCGATCATCCTGCCAGGGCGCTACCCCATCGACCTCCCGCCCGGAAGGCCGAAGTCAAACACACTCCGATCTCAAGATGCCGAAAAAACCTCGATTACTTCTGGATTTACCTCTGGATGTGTTGAAAGAGATTATAAAAGAGGTATTACATGTCTTTCTCGTAGTCACTGCGCGAGAGCTTACACTTCCATACTGTTAGGTCACGCATACAAATGATTTGACATCGCTTGCCCTGACATGCTCCGCTCTTCATGGATTGGCGATTCCGCATATGTATTCACGGTTTGACATCGTCTGGCCGGAGTCACTGAATTCCACAACGACAGACTACTCGGGGGTGGATGCGCTGTCTTATGGTCTTTCGACATTGGTGATGGGCGAAGATGTGTTTAGCCGGCTACCAACGTTGCCAAATGGAACATCCGGTAGCTGTAAACATTGTGGTTGTGATTTCCAGTGTCGACGGAGTTCTCTACATTCGGACAACCAAGTCGGCGGACGATCGCGAAGAGGCAATCATTATGCGCAATACACTCGCACCTTTTCCATTGGAAATGGTCCGTTAAGCTGGGTCCAAGAATACTCAGTAACCAAAGAAGTTGGCAAGATGCTAGGAACGCTTGTTGCACTGGCTGTTACGCGGATGGTCAACCTGGAGGCCTTCGTCTGGGACATGCCAACTGGAGTTGTTCGTGAAATCTGGCTGGCACTTGCATCTTTGGCAGATCAGCCTGGCCACGAATGTCGCTTAGAGCGTATCTGGGTGCGCTGGCACGATAATTCAGAGAATGCTCTACGCATTCTATCTGCACCGACAACGAGGACTTTCCAGAAATACAAACACGTCGAACACCCTTCATTGTCCGTATTGCCTCCGCTCAAGAGTGTGGCTGTTCTCGACATAGATGAACCGGCGTATGTGGAAGAGCTTGCACTTCTCATTGAGAAATCGCGTCAACGCCTGACTGAGCTCCGCATTGGCATTGCCGGAAAAGCCCACATGAGCACATGGCTACTCTGTGGAACGAACTCGGATTATCCATCAAGTTGGCCTCGTGCAGATGGTATCTTGGGAATATTAAAACGGCGCAGTTCGCTTGGTCATAATGACGAAGACATTTCAGCCTCTCCTATCATGGCTTCGATGCCACCAGAAGTTTCAACCGATGTTACCCCTAAAAGGTCGACCGCTGCTGAAATTGAGGAACTCGCTTCTCCAATAGGGCACCCAGTAACCAGCATTAACAAGGAAAAAAAGCAGCCACATGATCTAAATTTGCCCAGTCGGACGTCTCATTCGCCTGCAAACTCCTTTCAAGCTGATTCTGACATGCTGAGCCTGAACCTTCTGGAGTTAGAACGGGTTCCATTACATGTGCCCACTCTTTTGCCAGCTGTTGATTGGACAAAACTCAACACGTTGACTATAATGCAATGTGTTGACCATGAGAAGCTGTGGCGAGCTCTTCGCAGAAAATACGCACCTCCCGCAGCACCAGCTAAGCGTCCTTCTAACTCAGACACCCGGTTCCCTGAAAGCCAGCCTGACTTCCCGCTGAATCTAAAACACATCCGCACAGACAATGTTTCGCCTTATCTGATTCTCTTCATCAAAGATGCATTAGCACCGAATACCTTGGAGAGTGTCTTTTTGCATGAAGCGCCGGCACACGAATCCTCTGTGCAAATCGACGCCATCTACAGACACATCCTGCGAAAGCATCGCAAGAGTCTGCGAAGGGTTCTTATCGATGGCACTGATCGCCAGATTGGCAGCGGGTATTCCAGTACGCGATGGTATAAGTGGATGCTCACTAATGACATGATCTCGTTTGTCACGAGTGGAAAAATGCCGCAGCTAAAGGAGTTGGGAATGGCGATGAATTATGCAGATTGGGTAAGTGATTACTTCAATGATGCTAGTCAGGACTTTGGCTAACGTAAATCCAGCATTTCTTCCTCCAGAGATTGCCAAACATGCCTCAGCTTCGAGCTCTGTACCTACCGAACATCTTCAACACTGTCCATCGTGATCTGAAAGAGTTGGCTCTTCAAGTCTTGGACATTGTCAGCATCCGCCCCGACCTCAAAATTGCCTACCTCGGTCTCCACATTAAGTGCTTCCAAATCCTCGAGGCCAGACACGATGACAACCCCGCCGATTTCGACGACAACCCCACCGTGGACTTCTCCCCACCGAATACCGAGGACGAGGAAGATCAAAATCCCTCGACCGTCGGCACCAACGTCACAGAACACCACAACGATGACGACGAGGACGATGACGAGTCGTTTAACGGAGATGTTCTTTCGAGCAACCCCGACGACTACGATACTGACCCAGATGAGGATCAGAATACTTCACGCATCCACTACAGACTCCAAGAGATTTTGTTTTATGACGAGAAAGTATCCATTTTCAAGGCGCGACATGGTGTTTTATAATTGTTTGCATTTTACTTGCGCATGAGCCAATGGGGTCATTGGCTGCATTGGGAGACAAACACACCGGGGTTTTTACTATGTCTATAAGATACCATTACTGCTTCGCTGAGTACTTGCTTGAATTGAAATTTTATCATCAAATACATTATGTGTACAGTAAACTGTGGTGTGAGTTCTCATGCAGGCTGTACAGTAATTTGAAGTCCGTGCTCTGGACCCCAGCATTCTATGTGGGACGGGAGTACCCGGCAGATCACCCGAGCACTGAGCCGCACGTGCCGAACAACCAACAATGGTGAACAACAGGCAACAATGCTTAATAACAGAGAACAACCAGAACAATGGGATCGAGAACAATAGGAGCAAGAACAATAGGAACAATAGGATCAATAGAGTTCCTGTAAGTCCGTTTGACTGGGTCTAACCTGAAGAGGCCGTTGATCCTGTTATCTCATTGGCCGGTGACTTTCATTGTCCTGCTGCGTTGCCTGATTGTTGTTTGCTTCTTGCCCCAAATTGACCAATAGAACGCCAGGATCAAAAAGCTTGTCTGATTCTGACGTGCGCGGGTGTCCCAGGATCAACCAATCGAATCACGGCAGGTTGCTGATCTTAAGCGTCGCTCCTTCTCAGGTCTGCCTATAAATACCCCCCATCTCATCCTCTTCCACCTCTTCTCTTTCTTCTTCCTTCATCTCTCCTCTTCTGTTCTGGTGTGTCCACCGTCCACCATCCACTGTCCATGATCCATGATCCATCATCCATCATGGGTCATCCCACATGACAACATACCTTGATGGTTATGTGTTCCACTTCTACATGGTGAGTTCTTCATTGCGATGTGGGATGCCCATATCGTAGTCCCCCCACCGTAGGCTGCCGCACTGGAAGTTAGCCTCACCAGCTTTTGGGCATCAAGCCGACGGGGGGAATGTGTTTTGTCTCTCCAGGTTCCAGGTCCATCCACCATCCACGGTCCATGATCCACGATCCACGATCCATCATGGGTCATCCCACATGACAACATACCTTGATGGTTATGTGTTCCACTTCTACATGGTGAGTTCTTCTTATGTGATCAAGATGCCCACTTTTGTCTCCCCCCTCCTCCCTCCCCCCTGTTGCATTTGAGGTTAGCCTCACCAGCTTTTGGGCATCAAGCTGACGGGAGATGTTTTGTCTCCCATGTTCCAGAGTCTGCACTGCGTCTGCTGCATTGACGTGTGCATCTGATTCTCTGACTCTACTTGAGTTTCGGGGTCAAGGTAAGTATTACTTATGCTTGAGTTGACCATAGTCCCGTCTTTATGTCTCACCAAGGCTTGACTCACTGGCTCTGGGAATCAGCTGAGAAGGAGATTCTTTATCCAGGCTTCACGATGCCCGCATGCCTGTTCCTTACCTCGTCTCGTCCTTACCGCCTCCACCGCATCCACGTTCACTGTATCCACGTCCACTGTATCCACGTCTGCTGCATTCATGATCCACGTCCACTCCAAAGCTTGACGTGATTTTCTCAAAGACGATATGGTGAGTATGTCTCCTGTCTCACTGAAGATGGAATCACCAGCCTTGTGTACCAAGCTGATGCTTACTGTGTCTTACAGGCTCTACAACTCCTGATTGCATGCACTCCAGACCTGGATGTTCGCCATTCGACCTCGCACGCAACGCCATACGACTGTTCATTTGCTGCTCTCCCCAAATCCTTCGTTTCCTTTGCCATCCACGCCCCTTCCGGTACTGAATGATGACGCGAAGCCCCGCTTAGTCGGTCAACAAGATTTGTTATATTCCTGTGCCACTAATGCATATTCGCGACTGTGGGATTGGTCTTAGGACTGGGCCCACAGACACCCTGACAGCCTCTCCCCCTGCCTTCTTTTGCCCTTGTTCTTTCTCCTGTTTTGTACTTAGTCCTCCATGTCTTTCAAAAGACATCGGTTCTTGGGTAGCTCCTTAGTGAGTGCTTCATGCCAAGCAGACAGTCGACAACATGCATCCTACCTACTCCTGTCTTGCAAAGCTTTCCACAACACAGTCTGTCAAATCCATCCATTTTCAAGACGGGTGCAAAGCTTTCATTATCATTCAAAATGACCTTCTCTCGTAAATTATATTATGTACAGAAAGCATTATTTCAATCATAATAATGTACAGCAAATCATCTCTCTTCACTCTTCATCTCAATAACAACAGTCTTGGTTATATCCCCAAGCCGCGTCACCTCAGGCATGCAGTCGGAATTATTTCCTCTGGCATGCACACAATCAGGAACAGCCACCACACTCGAAACCTCACCCGAGATCTTTAGCACATTGCCAGCCATATCCCCTTCCAATGTCCCACCCTCAACACAATCACCGTCCTCCAAATCTCTCATGACAAACTCAACACCCGGATACGGATAATCATGCGGTGGCAACGTCCTCCGTCGACTGGACCCAACAGTCCCAGTGACCACACCCTCCCCCTCACCCTCCCCATCGCGGAGCTTCCCAGACCGATCATAAGAAGAGCCTCGAAAGACCGAATTAAAGAGTGGCCGAAGCGACGGCGCAGACGCAGATATAATGGCAATGTTGACTTCAATCTGTGTCCAGAGCAGAATCTGGATCGCGTCGTATGAGACGTCTTTCGTTATCATGTATTTGTACAGTGCACTGAGGCGCACGATTGAAGCTGCCGAGGCAAAAGTTCCTGTTAGGAAAATCGCTACCAGGGCGTCTGTTGAATGCGTTAGTTCGGGTGGGTTCTTGGGCTCGGGAACAGGGAAAGAACTGACACTTCTTCCGCCGATGGAGATTGAGTTTGGTTAGTAGTGGAAGAGGCATAATGAGAATGCTTAAATCGGTTAGGATATTGATTCCCGCCATTGAGAAGTACGTCGCGGAGATGCTATTGCAGCCGCGTGGGTATGTGGCTGGGTCCCATGCGCGCCAGGGTTTGGTGTGACATTCGAAGGCCTGGATTGTAGGTGTTAGAGCCGAGTGCGGGCGAAGAGAAGGGGAATTGCTGCAGATAGACTGGACTCACGTTGACGAATATCACAATGACTGTGTAGAGGAAGACGAATCCTGCGACTGCGGCTGTTGCGATTCGGAATCCTCGTACGGGGAAGATGCGGTAGTATTGGGCCAGGATGCTGAATTTGACAAGGCCGATTGCCAGTGGGTAGACTAGCTGGTAGGCATACCAGTGCTTGAGGGTTGGGATGACGATGGTTTCGAGGTCGAGGTCAGCCAAGTGACGACTAGATGGGGTTCGTTAGTGATCTGCAAGAGAGCTCTGAAAGCGATTAAAGTGCGCTTTGGGAAAAAAACAAAATAAAAAAAAAAACAAAGAAAGAACTAACCCGGTGCCGAAGCTAATGAGAAATGCATTCATCACACCCATAACCATTGTCACCAACAATCCAGCTACTATGAAATAGTCATCTGGTCCAACCTTGTGAACCAGTGCTATTCGACAGTAAAGTCTCAGGCCGACACTGAAACTTGATAATAATAACAAGCCAATCATGACAGCAAGGAAGGCAGGCTGGAGAGAATCATTATCTGCCGTAATATAGGCCATGACAGGCCAAGGATAATCATCGGACCTGGCTATCGATAATTGATAATTGCAGTGTATGCTATTTCCTTAACTTGAGCGAGCAGGGGTCTGTGAATTCTTTATAACACAGGGAGAGGCACACTGTGCGATCCACATATTTGCGAAAGGAAGCAAGGCCCCGCCGAAGCTCCCCGGACCGTTGAATTCATGTGCTTCTTTGTAACCTGGTTGAGTTTGGTTGTTATAAAGCAACTCCATCAGTACCTTCCACCAGATTCATGATATCATATGTATCTGGCCGTGAACTCGAAGTTGCGGTGTCCGGTCTCCCCGGCAGTTGGAATCTAGTCCTGAGGGCAACCATGGGTTGACGCGGGTGCTATGTAAAGCAGCTATTAGATGACGATCACGGGCTGTTCATTGGTCGGCTTGGCCCCTTGCTCCGCGGTCTTGGCAATGAGGTTCCGCCGAGCTCGGGGGACCCCCAGAGCCCCAGAGCTCGGACTGTCCGCCATTTTGATTGAGATCTGGGGTTCGATGGGGATCATGACTTACAAATCTCGGGTTCCTTGTCTTTGAACCATTGGCATGCTTATCGCTCACAAAGAAAGAGACAACAGCGCCATGGTTCGGCATTCTTTGGCCCTCATATTGTACTCGAATTCTCCTATTACAATTGGTGGGGCAAATTTATCCCCGGCGACCGACAGGCCCGTCAGGCCCGACATGACCGATAGGGCCGACAGGGATGGTTTATAATACGAACAGAACAGCAGATGAAAAAGCCGAACTTTATCCTGACCCAGAGACATAGAGTAGTCGGGGCCACCTTTTCCTATCCCGAAAGAACTATTAAACTCAAGCTTTGTACATTAAATCATGCGCTTCTCCAAGCTTTCACTTGGAGTTCTCCTTTTGGTCTCGGACTGCATCGCGGGCATTTGCAAGAATCCCCCGATACGCAAAGAATGGTAAGCCACAACGTTATGCTTTCCCGTCTTTGCGCATGATTGACATTGTGGCCACATTTCCCAGGAGACAACTAGATCTAGATGAGCGTCGTGACTATATTGGCGCAGTCCATTGTCTGGCGTCTCGCCCGGCGATAAGTGGTCTTGAGAATGCTGTCACGCATTTTGATGATTTCCAGGCTACTCATAGTGATCAGACTCCGAGCATACACTGGGTGGCAAGTATCGCAAATTGCTATTGATTTATAATTATCAATCGTTCTGACCCTTTTAAATCAGGGTCATTTCGCGCTCTGGCATCGATACTTTGTCGCGACTTACGAAAAGGCCCTGCGAGAACAGTGCGGGTATAAAGGCGCACAACCGTAAGTTCGACCCCAAATAAGTTATTTCATAAAGAAATGTCAATGGAAGTTGTCGATTTAATTACCCTTTCAGATATTGGAACTGGTCCCTGGACGCCTCCTCAACGAACAACCTTTCAATGACAATCTTTGAATCAGATGTCTTTTCCGCAGACCGCGGATTCGGCGGAAATGGAAAATACCTCCACGTAAATGCCACCCAGAACCCATTCAATCTAACTGGCCGAACAGGCGGCGGATGCGTCGAAGATGGCCCTTTCACACCGCCACACTTCCTGCTCGCTGTCGGACATCCAAAGGGCCAACCAGATTGTCTGCGGAGAGACTGGATCCCCTGGATCATGAACTACTTTGCACAGCAGAGTCTTGTAGACCACGTCCTTGCGCAGCCACATTATACTTCTTTTGCCCGGGTGCTCGAGAATATTCCTAGTTTTTCTGAGCCCAATATTCATGGCAGTGGCCATTTTGGGGTTGGGGGTGCTCTTGGGACTTTAGGTAATTCGGCTTTGAGCCCTGGAGGTGAGTTCTCCACATTCAGTGTGCTTATATTTCATCGTCCTTTTTGCTGACCCTTCAGATCCTCTCTTCTTTCTTCATCATGGTAATCTTGATCGTGTCTTTTGGGAATGGCAAAATAAGGACCTCCCTGCTCGCTTGCACCAGGTTGGTGGTCCTATTATGCCGTTTGATTATGGTGGAAAGAATATTACTCTGGAATTCGAGGTCAATATTGGCAGACTTGCACCACATACTGCGGTTGGAAATTTGCTTAATACCCAGGGCGGTACTTTGTGCTACACTTATTCGAACTAAGATGCTCTTTTGGGGCGTTCAAATATCAGAGCCTACAAGGATTGCAAGCATTGCAAATGACCCGACGCACCTCGCTTTGGTACTCGGGCTGGGTATAACAAAGCAAAGCCTGGCTTTGACTTGATGCAATATGGTCTATTGGGTATGTCCATCAACAGGTGGTAAAAATGTAAAGATGGAAAATTAACCAGCTCTCTCCAGTGAATCAAATATCCTTTTGCATGCACCGACAGCCAAGAATTGAATCTGCAAAAAATGCCAAGCACGTGAAGACCGATGAGCTTCACTCACGTTGACAATGGTTGAAGTAAATCACATCGCATGTGGTCTTTTTGATCAACTGCTTCAAAGGGACGTCAAAGTCCCTTTATAGATTCAGGTGTGCACCTGCTTGTGACTCGAAGTAGCCGATTTACAGTCGGCCCTAGGGCTAATTCCCGCAAACCGAACTACTCAGCTCGACTCAGATGAGGGTCCCGCCCGCATAAAAGTTGGACGGCAGGTATCCACACTGAGCCATCTATCTACAGAACCAGAACAAGCTGTATCTCACGCGTACTATCTGTATGAAATGTGAAAATTCATTGTGGCGAACGTCAGGGGACACAAACAGGAGACTCTGGTTGATAGCTGCAGTTATACGTAGATCACTGATTCGGGATAGGATTGGAAGGTATGCTTGGAGGGTACTGGATAAAGTGGTTATACGAGTAACAATAATTATGAGAATAAAAACATCGATTAGACAAACTTCGCTGGCTAAAGGTGCTATCAAACACATCGCCCTTCTATGTCACCCATTAATTCGAATCTCATCCATTACTTCCACTTGAAGAAATCCCCAGAAAAGACAGACTATGAAATGCAACATCAGCCTTGTACATATCAACTCCAACTCCAACTCCGCTTGAGCTCCATCCAAAAGCTCAAGTTACCGTTCCCATTCATACAATCAAAAAAGGATCTTTCCCGACGACCCGATGAGCACGTCGCGAGTGATCATCTCTGTTGTCCTTCCGGTTGAATGCCCTGTTGCAGTCTCTATGGGGGCATTTGAAAGACTTCGGATCGACATGCATTGTAGAGAGGTGTCGCATCACAGACCCTTTCGAGGAAAATACTTGGTGGCAATTTCCCCATTGGCACGGGATAAAGGCGGCGCGGACACTAGATGAAACAAGACCTCGTTAGCAATGAAAAGCTTGCGGGTTGAATGCTTGACCATTGAGACCTACTCAGAGCTGCCTATTGTGCTCAAAGATCTGGTGGAAGCCTGGCGCTGGAGTACTTGGGTGTCGTTGCTCACTTGCCCCATGAAATCCGCTGAGGCCATGTATGGCAAGAAGTGGGACGAAATGCCCCCGGAGGTCGAGGAATTTGTTGCGTCAAATTCCATCGATCGGCAGGGGCTTAATGAGGGATAATTTGGGGGGCAATAATTGGGTTGATAGGACTCAATCCCCACTGGACCCGTATGAGCATATCCACCAGACTGAGGGTGTTGGATAGGTGGGTCATACAAATGGTTCTCCGTATAGAGCGTGGGTAGCTCGGAAACATGGATTGATGGAGGATATCCAACGGGGCCGACGTCCCCATCATACCCCGGATACGCAAGGTCCTGACTAAATTCACGAAACATCCGCTTCTTCCCCAGAGATCTATTGTGTGACGCGGCCATGGAGATATGATTTGATTTGGAAGAAGTACCGGAGAGGTTACAGGAAAGTATGATCACAGGGGAGGGGATTTTGTGGATCCCAAGGCTGCCTTTAAATGTACTGCAGAAGAGCAGACCGGTGTTCAAACAGAACAACACACTCGACGCCCAAAAAGGAAAAAAACGCCAATCAAAGAACTTAGAGACCCTCTACCCCGGAAAGGTGGAGAATCCACAACAAATCAATAACGATCTTGGTCTTTGGTGACGCCGAATGATAGGCGCCACAGCCCCATCTTGAGTTCTCCGTTTCCAGATTGGACATGCGACAAAAGCCAGCTTTCGGATACGCCGGCAGTCCGTGGGGTGGATCCTGCACCGGCCTTTTTACTCAATCAGCAAAGCTCAAGCTCCCTTTTGTTTTGGCAGTCAACTGCTTATTAAGAATCCGCGGCAGTCCATGGCCCGTCTTGATTGGTGTGCTGGAGGTTGGATGCTTGCCCGGGTAATTCCAGGTTACACCTCAAGTACCTCGACCGCAGCAACACCCAAATGTGGCGTGTCTACATGCCAGCGCGCTACCCAAGTGCTACTTCCAGAACTGCGCCCCCTGCTTCACTGCCAGAACAGTCATAAATCAAGTTGCCGAGATCGCACTAAGCCCAGGGATTCCCGCTAGGCTTAATTCAGGTGACAGCCTACGCCTAGCTGAGCCTAGCTATCTTGCCGAGGTCTGTTCATGCATGGCCTGTATCAGGTGATACAGAGGATTAGATTAGGTTAGATAGCATCATAGCATGTGACCCGTAACCGGACCCATCAGTGTATATAATATCCCCGTTGGTTCAAAAGAATGGGGATATATTGAAAACCGGTATAGTATGTTCAATATGCAACTATAGAACTATATCCATTCTGCTCCAACATATCCCAACCAATCAACGACTCAGCTCAACAACAACGGCCTCGCTAGATCCAACTTCAAGCCCAACAAGCCCATTCTTCACCTTCAAAGTTTCAACCTCCCGATTTCCGGACTCTGCAAGCCTTCCATCTGTATAATTCCAACTAATGCCACCCCAAGAGATGCCTTGATCAGCACTAGCCCCCGGACCAGTAAGTCGTCTGGCCTCAGCACTTCCCACGTGCTTAGGCAAATTTAGCTGGACCCGCAGATGAGGTCTAGGATAAGAGGTCGTAGCATTCCACTCATCAAGATTGATCACCACATACCGAGCCAGTATCTCAGACTCATAGATCGCATAAGCGGATAAATCCTCTCTGCCCAGATCAAGAGATTTCACTTGGACAATGGGATGGTCTCCAATTGCATCTGCTGCAACGATCTGGCCGTAGAGTGGCGGGCGAACATGAGGGGCTTGGTTGTTGTTTTCAACTGGTGCCCAGGCTGCGTAGCCGAACGTTGTTCCTTGAATTAAGTTGAATCGGGTGATGTTCTGAAAATGGATTAGTATTGGTGGTATACCAGATAGGGGTGTTTTTGGTGCGTTTCATGCGTACAATACTGAGTCCGAAGAGCAAATAATCAACAAGCCAGAGTGAACTTCCGAAGACACCCTCTATCTGACTCATATTGAGATTGACATAGTCACTGTTTGTTTCACCCAAGAGGAATGTGATGTTTGGATCGTGCGCATGGATGAGGCTTATGTCGTCGGTATATTGGGTTAGATTTGAGGCGATTGCAGTGTGGGTCATGAACGAGTCTAGATAAAGAGGTGAGAAATATACCCCATCTTGATAGATAGAAAGGCAGGGGTCATTGCCCGTTCTTACCTTGAAGTCTAACCCACGCTTGATTGCCAACAGCGTATCTATACCTTGATTAGACACTGTAGTGAGAAGAATAGGGATGGGTGATGCGAACTGGTGCCATGAAACTGATTTAACATGTCCATCTGCGTCAATGCCCTCTTCAAACGCTTTTGCGCTATTTATCATTAGCAGAAAAACACAATAACGAAAAAGGAAAACGGAGGGTGAAAAAGAACCTACGTCGTAAACCCATTCATAACAAAAACAAAAGTCAAAGCCTGGAACATCCTCCACTCTTCCAGCCCATAGTCATTCCCCTCGAGAACATGTGTTGAAATTGCATCTGCATATTCTCTCCACTCACGCACATAATCCGCAACAGTATAGTCCAGAGGCCTCACATCTCCAGGATATAAATCAGGCTCATTACCAATCTCGAACGCAAAAAGATTTCCCCGGATATGACTCAAAGCCACACGTGCCTCGGCAATCGCATGTTCAATCCGGTTACTTTTGTTGTTTGCCAGATTCACCTGGAACGTCCAGGGAGTATGGGGGAAATTCTCGAACCCTTCGAAGAAGACAGGACCAAGAGATACTTTGTTTGGAATTCCATTATCAGATTCTTCGGAGAGGATTATGGACTTCTCTTGGGTTGTATTATAGATTGCGCGGTCTCTAGAGTGACATTAGTATAGATGGACCTATGCATATAGTGAATGCTGATCTGATCATGTCTTTTGTTGAGTGGACTCACGCTGATGTTCCTCCTACTCGGATATGCGGATGTGCTCCCGTTTTTCTGTATAAAAGATTGACTATATCTTGCGAAAAGTGGTTTGGGTGGCTTTTGTTTCCTGGATTATCTCATGTTCGTCAACATATATCGATAATGGGATGAATGTTCCTCACCAGCGTAGTCTGCGAAGAAATGAACAGGCCATGAAAAGGAAGCAAAGGCATGATCAACGGGCTTAGAAGCACCATCAGGTAATTTCAAAGGGGCTTTGAGCTCGACTGTATGCCTTGCTACACTCAATGAACATAAGGAAGCTAAGGCCAGCCATTTTTTGATGGAAAGATAATGCATCTCGCTTGTTGTATAGCTTTGGTAACTCAGCTGCATGCACTTGAGTTTAATGTAAAGCTCAACTTCATTTCAGGTTGACATACCCTTTTTATATATCCTTATTTATACAACTTTCCCCAGAAATCTAACCCGCAATTCCCCATAATACAACCCCATCGCATCATAGTTTCGGTTCTCGCCTGGCGCTGGCGGGTCTCGGTACGGATCTCGGCCAAGCAGCTTTGGGCTTGAGCCCTTCCTATAATAGGAATCCATACTTCAACCGAACAACGATTAGAGTATACTACACTGAGGGGACTGATAGTTCATGAAATCGTCATTTGATATTTATAAGAATCATACTAAGTTACAAAATGGGTATCTGAGAGCCTTCGCTACGAAGCTCTTTTACAGAGCGGAAAGTTGCTCACGCAATTTCGCGGTGGGCAACCTCCTGCTGAGCGCGAATCAGCTCGACCTCAATTGCATGTCTCTTCGCCTGGTCTGCCACACTGGAGTTGTCCTTGAAGACATGGTCCATTTGCTCTAGCGTGCGGCCCTTGGTTTCGGGTACGAAGAAGAAGGTCCAGACTCCGGCCAGGACACAGAATACGGCGAAGAAGACGTACGCTCCATAGCCAGTATTCTGAACGAGAGGGGGTGTGATCAGGCCCTAGAGTGGAAGGATTAGCTTTCTGTCTTGTGGGGAGAGCGGACTGACGGAATAGACCCACGATGATAAAATTGTTCAGCCAATTGGAACAGGTTGATAGAGCGACACCTTTGGCACGGAGAGAAGAGGGGAAGATCTCTGAGGATTTCATTAGTGGCATGTTCTTTCGAAGTAGTATAGGCATTGACATACCAGATGGCAGAGCCCATGGAATAGGACCCCAAGAAGCTCCAAAAGCAACCATGTAGAACAGCAGCATAGCCACACTAGCCCATCCTTGAGCGCGATGAGCTGGCCAGTTGTTCGAGAACTTGCCAACCAAAATTGCTATGATAATGTGCGAGATAGCCATGAGGGCCGCGCCAACGAGGAGCAGCTTGCGACGACCAACTGAGTCCATGGTCCAAATGCTAGTGGTGACACCCACCAGCTGCAACACGTTGAGCACTCCAGACATGATGAGCTGCATGCTTGAGTCGAGACCCATAGTCTTGAAGAGAGTTGGAGAGTAATAAATGAGAGCGTTGATGCCAACGAACTATATCGCTATTAGTCGAATTAACCAAATGAGTTCATGAAGGGACGAACCTGTTGGAAGAAACCTAGTCCAACACCGATATGAGTCCGACGCCAACATCCCTTCTTGAAGCAATCAGCCCAAGAAGCCATTTCCAGCAAAAATGAGTTCTTGGCGCCCTTTTCTTGCAGATCTGGGTGCTTTTCCTTGTTTGTTTCCTGGTGGAAACGCACTTCAGCTTGAATGTCCAACATTTCCTGACGAACACGTCTATCTGTTGGTGGTAGAGAGCGAAGTTTGCTGAGACTCATGAGTGCTTCTTCGTTGCGACCCTTTGAAGCCAACCAACGGGGAGAAAACGGTAGCATGTAGACACCGGCGGCGAGGATGAAGCCTGGGATCATTTGCAAAAGGAACGGGAGACGCCACGCCCATTCGCTAGGCATGTAACGCGTTCCATAGGTAATCCAGAAGGCAATCACGATACCGAGGACGATACACCATTCCTCGAGGACAAGTAGAGTACCACGGCATTCAGGGGGGCCTAGGGAAAAGCCAAGATAATCAGCAACGTATTCCTGTATATCAAACCCACTAAGACAGGAAGACTTACTGATTTCGGAAATATATAACGGGGCGACCATCGACAACATACCGATCCCAAGACCACCAATAAACCGAGCAACAGTTAACATGGGATATCCAAATGCAGCAGTTTGTAACACAGAGCCAAGGGTAAAGATAGCAACAGCAACCAAAATCGAGTAGCGACGCGAAATCTTATCCGCAATCCAACCTTGATTCAATGCACCTATCAGTGCACCCAATTCGATCATGGCAGTCAAAAGTCCTTTCCAAAAGCCTGACCCTGATGCAGTATCCGAGACTCGGGGGAATTCAGTCAGGAAACGGTCCATGACGAGAATCACTGACACAACACCCTGGTCATAACCAAATAGCAATCCTCCGAGTGTTGAGCAAGCTGCACACAACAACACAAACGGATTCGCCACTAGTCCGCGTATACCAGGAGGCCCATAGGGCTCGCGGTCATGACCAATGTTCTCGGCATGGTGTGAGAAGCCATCGACCACGGGATCGTGAGATATTTCCTTCGTCACTTGGATTTCATCGGCCATGCTTGACTGGAAGACCGAAGCCGAGGTATAAAAGAGATGATTATTTTGGACTGGGAGACAGAACTGAGCACGGATTATCACGGAAAGTCTCCATGGTATTTATACTCGCGTGTCCACTACAGGCATACTAGGTTTAGATATGACCCGGGGCAACTTGGGACTTCGGGCAGCCTCCGTAGTAGACAATCAACCAATCAGTAGCATCCCGGGAGCCAAGTCGGGATTGAATGATGGAATCCTGTACGCATTCATTAGAGTCTACGGTTGGACCCGTGGGGATGCGGAGGGGAAACATGGGGGTGAGATCGGCGCTATGCTTGCGGGGGACAGGGCTTCAATTGGTGATCTGGGGACGGCTATTCTCGTAAGTTTGACCGTTTTACCATCTAGGCACTCGGCCTTTGAGGGCCAAATTGAGAGTTTGGGTTGAGATAGAGGTTTCTACGTCGCTCGGAATGCCCTTGTAATACGCGATCTCGGACAGGCTGATCAATGAGACCCGCTTGCTCCAGACTTTGATCGCCCAGAAACCCCTCAGATTTGGGCTGGCTCCGTTTCTGACTGGGCTCTTGGGTCTCCACTTGATATGTGCAGCCATAGGAAGTCAGGAAGTCTGGGGAGTTGTAGATATCCGGATCATCACGTGGTCCGTATAGTTGGTCATCTGTAGTTGTTCTATCTGGTCACTGCAGGAGGTGCTTATATATTCATTAATGCTACAACAATAGGCCCGGTTGATTGATTTCGGCTCTGGACATTGTTCACAGAGAATTCCAAGCCTGCTTAGCATGGATATATGCCAAGGGCACAAGTTTGGCAACCAGTTTCAGGTGAGATGTACAGCTCGGCCCGGTGGTAGCCAGGTCACTTGGAACTCTATCGTCCTGTGACGAGAATGGACTTCACCTGATATGTCTCCTATTATCTCACGGGAAAATCAAATAATCCTATAAAACAAGACTCTCCATCAAGATCCATACGGAATTCACCTACCGAGTGGAGCCTGAAAAGCGGTCGGCGTCTGCCAAAGCCACAATCTCACGGATTCCAGTTCCCGACTCGACGTCACCTTCAACACTGTTCCCCCAGACAATCTCACATTCAATATGGTTTCCTTCATGGAGGACCTGTGGTCCAGCATCTTCACCCCGGGCCCCACCCCAACCCTGCTTATCGCAACCAACGTAACCTTCGCCGCCCTCCAACTCGTCTTCTTCGCCCTCCTCTTAGCCACATACAGCCTACACTTTGTCGCACTGTCCATCATCAGCGCAGGATTATGGTGGTCCATCAACTGGTTCGCCGCCGAGGTGCGACTTGCCCAACTCGCTCAGGAGGCTGAACAGAAGAAGGAAAAGGAACAAGAGGACGACCCCCGCGTGCGGGGAGTCAGTGTTGGAAGCGATACTGAGACCGAAGTCCTAGCTTCCAAGAAGGATAACAAGCGTGAGGCTGTCACAACTGGAAGCGCTGCCAAGTTGCAAACTGCCGAGCTGGATTCTAGGAAGAGACCCAGCACTGGCGGCGATGGCTCCGGGTACGGAAGCACCGACAGCGAGTGGGAGAAGGTTGATGACTCCCGCTCCTGAGTAATAGTGGCGTTGGAGTGTTTGAAGCTTCTACCACTCATGGAATAATGTCCAGTTCCTGGCCTTTTGACCAGTAGTGGGTTGGTCACACAAGGCCGGGGTTGGGCTGTTACGCGACTTTTATACTCGCGCAACACTCTGCTCTATTTTGTCTCGATACCCCATACTGTGTAGATGGTACAACCTACACTGTCATTTTGTTAAGCAATACACAAATAGATTCATGGAGAATATTTGAATATCATCTAAAGTGGCACCTGAAGCTATACCAACATCACGTGACCGCGCGATAACATCTAAACATTCCTCAACTCCAGTCCGCAGACCACCCCAACGGCGCATCACACGACCAAAGTCATATCTCGCCATGTCTAATGTTTAATGGTGACAATGCTTTCAACCGTTCCGCTCAACGTGGGGCGCAAACGCGTGTTTGGCTCCGTCTTTTCCCCCGCGTCCCTAGAAGCCCCAACGAAGTCGAAATCAACCCCGAAACACGAAACCGAACGGACACCCACCAGCTCCTTCCATAGCTCGACAGGCTCAACTTCGACATTCAAGGCAGATTCATTCGCCACTGTTGCAGGTCCGACAGATTCACTGGACGAAGAAACATTGGAACAGGCGCGGCTTGCGGCGAGCGACTTCTTGTCTGTTCCCAACCTCGGCTTCCAACTGCTGTATGACTACCGGAATACGGATGGGAGTGAAGTGCTCAAACAATGGAATCGGCTTAGTCCACCGTCAAAGGAGACAGCAGAGGCCCTGGAGTGTCTAGTGCGGAACTGTCCGTGGACGCTGTTTGATTGGTATGGGTGTGATATTCGGAAGCATTTCTTGGTCAATTTGCGTGATGGACTCTCCCAGGTAGGTCGCTTGCTGAATATGCCGTTCTTGCTATATATGCTAACCGTCTTATAGCTTCTTCGAAGCTCGGAGAAGGAAGGCCTTCTCCGGACAATAGTCGATTGTTTACAGCTTGCACGTCGAATTTACTTGGCGCCTGTCGTGCACTACCTGCTTCCATTGATCCCCTCACCCCATCAAGCTGGTTTCCTGGCTCAATTGCACCGAGCCTTTCATACAGTAGTTTCATACTCGCTGCCATGGCCGCAGATATCACCGCTTCTTGCAAGCGAAATGACGCGAGATGCTGTCACTATTTTGGGGATCGACACCCTGGATGATGACTTCGATATGGAAAAAATCAGTGTTGATGAGATGGAGGTGGACCGGACATATTCCGTCTCGTACAGCGACTGGAGACAAGAAACGACCGAGGCGCGAGCACACATGATGGTCGAGGGTGAGGACCATCGAGTGACAGTTGCCCGCGACAGACTTCTCGCTTTCCTCAATGGTCTCCAGCTCGTTGGACTTGGTGCCGAGAAAGCCCAGAAGGTATTTGCGAGGGTGATGAATGTGATGATGTCGGATTTCGTTTCAGCTGCGTACACCGGACAGTGGGACACGCCAACATCGGCGCCGCAGCACCTGCGACAATGGATAGAGAATGTCTTTGCCCGTCTCGCAGTACAGGTCCTGGCTATCATTCATTCCGAACAATCAGGATCCCACTCTAGGGCCTTGGATGTGAGCTTTGGTGATGTGGAGAAATGGCAGGAAATGGGCATAGCTCGCTTGGGTGCGCTCCGAGTGAGTGAGCTTTTTGACGTCGTGGTTGAGTGGCCTGCCAGCAGTGGAGCGGTGGAAGATCTGCGACATTTTACTACGCATACTACATCGAGAACCCATGTTACTCAGTCATTTATCAACATGCTCCAACAGCGCTTACTGCACCCTGGAGCTTCGACTGTCGAGATCTTGCAGGTTTACATCTCCATCATTCGAGCCTTCCATCTACTGGACCCTAAAGGCGTCCTGCTTGACCGTATCGCTCGACCTATCCGACGTTATTTGAGAGACCGCGAGGATACTGTTAAGGCCATTGTTGGTGGTCTTTTGGCAGATCCATCAGCGCATAATCCAGACGATACTCTGGCAGAGCTATCAACAGAGTTGACCAAAGTCCACCAGCACGCTATGCGGAGCAACAAAGGCGAACTTGACTTTGACGACTTGAACTGGGTACCTGATCCAGTCGACGCCGCTCCTGACTACCGAAAATCAAAGAGTGCCGATGTCATTGACAGTCTGGTCAGTCTGTTTGAGTCGAAGGAGACCTTCGTCAAGGAAATGCAGACTCTACTCGCAGACCGCTTGATTCAGAACCGCAAAAACTATGACCAGGAAATTACAGTTCTGGAACTTCTCAAGGTCCGATTCGGCGACTCGGCCCTACAAGCATGCGAGGTCATGCTCCGAGATATATCGGACTCGCGACGTCTCAACATCTCCGTACAGAAGCAAAGCCACACAAAGCCTCGCTCAGCGGCCATGGCAAACAGAGTCGTGCAGCCAGATGACACAGAACTCCACGCTAAGATCTTATCTCGCTTCTTCTGGCCGGAAATGCAAGAACAAGAATTCAAGGTCCCCGAAGAAATCGTCAAGCTACAAGAGAGCTACGCCACAGGCTTTGAAACCCTGAAAGCTTCACGCAAATTGAAGTGGCGCAACGGTTTAGGCCAAGTCAGAGTCGAATTGGAACTAGAAAATCACAGTTTTGCCGGTGAAGTCACAACGTGGCAAGCAACGGTAATATACGCCTTCAACTCTGACACCGACACCGGTTCCAACGAACCAGCCACAAGAACAATCACCGAATTATCCGACACGCTCTCCATGACTCCAGCCCTAGTCCGCAGCGCTTGCTTATTCTGGGTAAGCAAACGCATTCTAACGGAACCGCACCGCGACACCTTCCGTGTCTTGGAAATTCTTCCCAGCGAAGACGAAGTCTTAGCCTCCGCCACTAGCGGTGCCGAAGGCACAGCGGATGAAGACGCCGATGGTGCCAATGCAGCCGTAGCAGCAGAAGCAGCAGCAGCCGCAGCAGCGAAAGAATCAGCCGAAGCAGCTGCTATGGAGAAGATGAATTTGCATTGGCAGTTCATTGTCGGTATGCTTACGAACCAGGGTGCTATGCCTCTGCAAAATATTGTTATGATGTTGAAGATTGTCGTCCCCGGCGGATTTCCATTTAGTAATGAGGAGCTAAGAGAGTTCCTCGGCGGCATGGTTTCGAAAGGCAAGTTGGAGGTGGTTAGTGGTGGCAGCTACAAGATTGTGCTTTAGGTTACGGGGACTGTTACTGATACTGTATGTTTTGGCGTTTGGGATGGTGCATGGTGCATGGATACCCAGATCAATGATTGATGATTTTATTTTTTTCAAGTATTCTGTAAAGGTTTCTTTGAATACAGCTTCATCGCAGTACTGCTTGATACCCTTGTATACTGAGACTGGATAATGTTTGCCGTGAGCCTTTGATGTGTAGATTTTGAGGCTGTGGTCGTTTTATGGGGCTGAGTACAGTGGCGTTACAAGAGTATTTGGCCTCGAGTCCTTCGGCCCAGGGTATCTAATCACTACCAGCTAGAAACCTTCAGAATACATTCAATTTGATAGCTAGTATGCCTTCCGTCTTAATCACATCTGCTACCTTGTGAGACGTTCTTTTCTGATGTATGTTTCAATATTCCGATATCTAGACCTTCCCATGCATCCTGAGCTGTATCAATAATGCATTAAGCGTACATAGATTCATTGTCTGGAAGGCGTAACATCTTTGGATACCGCTTCAGGATTTTGGCTTTGAGCAGCACCCAGAGCTTCCCAATTGGCATCACTTTGGCGACTTTGTCGGTTCTCAGCGTGTGCAGGCGTTACAGAAGCACGCTTTGATTTCTTCATCTTTCTAAGGCCCATTTCATGAGTGAGACGCCAAATTGACGAACGGTGGACCTTAAAGTCAACATCTTCGAGGATATCCTTAATTAAACTTGACGGATTTTGTTGTAAAGTGTCATAGATTTGATCCCGTTCCGTTTCTGATAGCTTCCTAGGGCCGCCTGGTCGTGGGAGACTTTCTTGATTTTGACGTTTTGCTTCTTGGGTAAGCGTATATTGAATGGTTGAGCGTGGAATATCGGGAAAGCGCTTTTTCTTGATAATTGTAGCACCCCAGCCATTTGTAGTATGTAATTCGCAGATCCTTGCCCGAGTAATGCAGTCAAGCTCTGGGCCTCTTTTTCCACGGACAGGAGGCATGGTTGTAGCACGATAGAGAGAGAGAGAGACACGTTGAAAATATAGTATAGATCCTGGCGCGTTGTTATGACGGAGTTTGATGTATTAGGCGGTATAAAAGGCGGTCAGTTTATAATCGTGACTATGTTATAGATTTCAGTCCGGCAACAGATGTATCACCTGACCTTAGCTTCACGTGTGGGGCTCCTAATGCCGACCCGCACTTCATACCATTCCTTTCTCGGTGCGGCACAAACTCTAATGATATCCGCGGGATCGTGAAGTAGGTAATCTTAATTTCTTAGGCTGATCGATGATTTTATGCTCTAACTAAATTTAGTCGTTACTTCCACAGATGACCGGAAATAGTTCGAATCTCTTCATTCTGCTTCTCGTGGCAACATTTGGTCTCGCCAGTTCCATGTGAGCCTTTCTCCCATATACGAGGCAGGATACGAGGAACTGAAAGTGGTCTACCACGGGAATCTGGTGGTTTGATTTCACTGAAAAGTCTCACCATGGAAAGCTGCCGTTGGCATTGACACTGGGACTATTTGGGGCACGCGTATCATCTCATGAGTGCACAAGCTATTCATTACGTCAAGAAAGGTAGTAGCACCATGTGCAGAGGTTTAAAGCCGGACTGATCCCCAATACAAAGATGATAATCACATTTTCCTGTCATATTCCAGCATGATGGCTTTTCATCCAATTGACAGCTCTATTGCAACTGATTTCCCCTCCCTAAACTTGGGACTCAGTGCTGCTGGGGCCCAGGATCTTTACGTCTGTCTGACGAACGGTACTATTGCACTTCATGACCATGACAAAGAGACCCCAGTAGCTCAAATTCCCCTGAAAACCGACACTCAAGTATGGCCTGACGGATTGGAAGGCTTGGATCTCCTAACTTCAAACGAGACTCTGCTTTGTCCAGACGTCTCTGGCATGCAATCCTATACGCTGCATAAAAGCCCTCACATCATTTATATCCCGAATTTCGTTTCACCAGACGAGACAGCGCACCTTATTGACGTAACGTATGATTTCACTTATACTGGTATTAACATTTATTAATGTGTTCATACAGAAAAGACAGTTTCTACCCCTCAGTCGTCTACCGGGAGGGTGTTAGTGAGCCCGACAACGATTTCCGAAAGTCAGAAAATGCATGGCCACTTCGTGATAATACCATAAAATGTGTTGAGCAAAGGGCTCTACGATTCCAGACCTGGCAGTCCAATTTGAAACTGGAACAGCTTTCGCTGCAGCGATACTTCGAAGGCGGTTTCTTCACTTATCACCACGACTATTTCAGTTCACCGCCGAAACGACTGAACCGGTATTCAACTTTCAATGTGTTCTTACATGGCAACTGCACTGGTGGAGGAACCCATTTTCCACGTATTCCTCGGCCTACTGATCCAATGTGGTGTAAGTACATTGATTGTGAGTCATCCGAGGATGGTGTTATTTTCAAGCCTATCGCGGGTAGTGCAGTTTTTTGGATTAATATGCGCAATAATGGGTCTGGATTTGAGGAGACGTGGCATGCTGGTATGCCTGTTACGTCTGGAACAAAAATTGGTATGAATATTTGGAGCTGGAAGTAGGACTGTTCATCAGACGGCTGAAAGATTGATATTGATCAAACTATTTACAGTGAAACCCTTATTTTCAGCCAATTTAATTACCATGATTGCATCTCGATTCACTGTTAGGAGGCTTAGCGTGAGGAGTAATCTTCGTTCTACTGATACGAAGACCTGCTGTGTGGTGTCGCATGAAGTGGGAAGGTCCGTGAGATAGGATCTCAACTCAATCTACAACACTTGTTCGCTATTTCGCTTCAAAAGAAATGATGCTGCGCCACTAGTTGTGGTCTATCAATGATATTTTGAGAATCCGACGATAGTTCGCAAAAAACTGGCTTCTGCATGAGCCAGAATTACCTTGGCTCATATGAGAATCATGGGACAGGTAAGGTGATTCCAATCTGGCTCTCGCTATTACTGCCGGAAACAGCTCAAAGCTTTCACAACTATACCCCGGATATGCCAGAGGGGCCAGTTGATCGTATTGTAGCTTCGTGCTAGTTGGTCTGGAGTCCCCACCGAACGGATTGCCACAGCTACAGAGCCATGGAACTACCCAAATCGGTGTTGGTCAAACCACTGTGTTGCATGCTGGCAGAAGGTATCTAATCGTATAACTTTATGTGTAGTGATTAATTCTCTTGGCAGATGGGACGGATCACTCAATCCATAGATCTCGGTCGGTTCGCAGATCTTGGCAGTCCCTCGTAATTTTTCTTCCTCTCTGCCAGCCAGTTGCGGAAGTCTTGGCAGATAATACGAGTGGCACTCAGTCTACTCGGGTTCACGTTTGCGAGATGATATCAGCCGAAGTAATCCGATGCCGCTTTCAATCCATGCCAATGGCCTCTTGATATTTCGCATGTGAGGGAAATCAAAAACTCAAGTAGGATGACACTTCTTCCGAACACCCCTTCCAGTATAACTGACAGGGGACTCTGACAAGCCTTATTGCGAACTGACGTTTGGAAGTAACTCCGCGGACTACATAAGGGACCGAGCGGGAAGTTTGAAAACCGGTCTATGCAGTGAACTAGCGCAGCCCTGGTAGTCTCATATCTTTTGGATCTTATACGAGAAGATTTGTTTTCAAATTCTACTTTTGATTGCCTTTCGTATGCGATTTGGTCATTGACTCAAAGGCTATTTTTGCTTTCATTGCGTGTGAGATACTAATTTTGGCATGAATATTGCTTTATACCATCTTGTAGTCACGAATATCATGAAGCATCTTTCCCTGAGAGACCTGTGACACTAGGTACATAATTACGAACCTTTGGGATAGTCCGTCAAGGAACTTATCGCCCGCCATTCCTCAATCGCCGCCAAAGTCTCAGATGCGGCCTTGCCAATCTCCTCGCTGGCATCACTCCCCAAGGGCAAGAAAGCAGGCAGGGGTTTCCCCTCGGCGACTCCCGTGGAGGTGGTGACGTCGTAGATAACTTCCGCGCCCTTCACAGGGTTACCCAGCTGGGCGCCGTTAAAGGCGGCGAAGTTGGAGTCCGTGGCGTCGTTTACCTCCTGGTAGGCTGATAGACGCGAGGACTTCTCAGTCAGCGTAAGATTGGCTGACGGATTCAGTAACTCGGTGCGAAAGAAGCCCGGTTCGACTAAACAATGGCGGATACCGAACTGGGAGACTTCACCCGCAAGCCCAAGCCCAAGCCAGCGCAGAGCGGCCTTGGAGGCGTTGTAGAGATTGCAGCCAGCCATGGGGTACCAGGCGGCCATAGAGCCGATAGTAACCAAAGTGCCCGACCCCTTAGCACGTAGGTGTGGCAGTAGGGCGCGGTAAAGGTTCAGAGGGCCAAAGGTATTAGCCTGGAACTGGCGCTGAGTCTCTTCTGGGGTGGCCTCTTCAAGTATGCCTGTCTGCACGTAGGCGGCATTGTTGACAACAATGTCGACTGTGCCATAGACAGCAAGAATAGCCTTGACCGCTGCCTGGATCTGGGCTGGGGGCTCGTTGTGGTCTAGATAGACAGCCTTGATCTGAGGGCTGGTTGACTCGAGCTCGGCTAATTTATGCGGACTCCTTGTGGCGGCTAACACGCGATCCCCGCGCTTCGCGGCCAGTTTAGCCAACTCTAGGCCAAATCCGGACGAGGTGCCAGTGATAAGCCAGATCCGGGAGGTAGTAGCCATACTGAATGGATGAATTGGATGGATGGATTGTTCTCAGAAGATGGTGTTGAGATCAGGAGGGATGTGTGCTAGTGTGTGCCAGTGTGTGCTGCTGGTTGGAGGCGAGGAGGACATCTATATAAGCCCTCAGTTAGAGGTATACTCTGATGTCATTCAGTGCTTGGCCGGACCTGCGTAAATGAGGGGTTGTCAGCTAACAGTGCGAGTCCTAAACTCCGCTAACTACGAAACAAAGAAAATGTTCAATCCTAGACGAGATAACGTCACCCAGCAGGTAATACAATGAAAAGAAGTGGGCTCAGTAACAGTTCATTAGGAGATGTAAGAATAAGAGGAAAGTCGCCCGAGACTAATACCAATACATCCATTAATAAGCGCCCTCACACCCCTAGGGGGATTGCGGTTCAACTCAGGATCGAGAAATTGCTTCCACCGCTTGGCGCATTCTGGCCCATCCAGCGGTCAGCCATAGAACTGAATTCCATACACATATTTTTAACTAGAATGGCAACACACGGTCCGCGTTTCGAGGCTTAATCGCTGTTGCAACGACCGTCCAGCTGAATTAGATAACATTGAAAAGTCAGCTTGGAGATATTCTTAAACATAATTCGTCGACGCTTGATAAGCTGCTCACCATTTACCACATGTTTTGAGCGCTTCCGTCAGTAGTCCGTCAGTGGTTTGTCCTCATCCTGCGTCCAGTGGCCTTTATTCACTCCATTTGGCCATCGCCTTCTACAATCTTTGTTAGTACGGCCTGGAAGCTTGGCCGCAATGCACTGCCAGTCTTTCACCGCTCCCTCCGCCACTAGGGGGCAATGAATCACCCATGATCAGCAAGTCGTGCTCTCTGTCAACTAGACTGCATTTTTGCCGTCAAATGTTTTTAGACATATATTGGGTAAGCACTTCTCTTCGAAGTAGATTATTTTCGGCAGAGTTCCACCTGTTTGGTGGTTGCGGCATTGTTGATGTATGTATAGAAACGTGGATGAATGATAAAACGGATCATCCCGCACAGTTATGGAATTTCTTGTCGGGAGAGGGGGGAACGCCTTATACCCTTCATTCGGGGATCTTGAGAGAACAGCTGTTTGGCAGGGATAGGTATGTTGAAACCCAATCAAACAAGGCCCTCGTAGACCATCGTCTGTACATATCGTACAGTATGTGATGTAGTGATCCATCCCAGTTAAGCCCTCTGGATTAATATCGAATATTTGCAGGCTTTTCGGTGGATTGAACCCTCTGGGCACTTCACTCTGGTCGGACCTAGGGGGCGGAAATTGTGAAAAGCACCACAGTAGCCGTCATACATACAGTAGTCTCTGAAAATGATTATGGGTACATAACTTAGTTCGTACCAAAGTACCTCGTATTCTGCCAATCTCTGCTTCCTTCTCCCCATTCTGAGAAATATATAGTACAGACCCAGGGTTCTACTTGCAAACACTAAATAATAACCTCTAATGATGACTGCAACCTCCACAGCATCTATTATTATTGACCTGGAATAGTGGCAAATCACCACGAACACTGGATTCAGTTTCCGCGCTTCCTAGATCTAAATAGTTTAGTTTAATCGTAACACGATTGAAATCATCATTTGAGAACATCTCAACATCACAGCCGAGGGGGAAAATAGTGTGGATTCAGACGGAGTTATATAATAGGGCTGAAAGTTCCAACGAGGAACGCTGCCTATCCCCTCCACCTGTGGGTCGACCTCCCATATATTAAAGTGATGTGACTACTCCTTATATTAGCAAACATTTCGGGAGGCTGTCGGAACTAGCCAGATAGCGCGGGCCTATGGGCGCCCCATCTCCCGGTGGCTTATGCACAGTGAATCACCTCGCCTCCCAAGATACGCAGGGTCAAACGGTGATTTGGTTGGCGTTCTGTGGAGACCGGAAGGATTTCCATCTATTGCCACTGATCAGGTAGTCGCATTATGGGAAGCCCAGCGGATTATGACTGTCTATGCAGATGCCCAATTGTACAAGGATATTTGGTGGAAGTTCCGCACATGGATGAAGAATTATTAGGATGTCGAGGGCTTTTACGGCTTACATTGTAACATGCCGATTACCCCCAGACAAATCACTCAAGGAATACTCAAAGGGACCAATGCGCTAGGGTTGGAAAACGCTGGAAACCAAATGCTGGGAAGTAAGTAGTGGGACAATGTTCAGATGATGATCCCCAAATGAATATCAGCTAACATTTATTATAATTCAGTCCTCTACTTTGGAGTCACCTTCGACGACAAAGCAGATGCCGATCGAGTATTGCCAGATCACGACGTCTTTTTTCAGGAGAAGAAATTGGCTGACAGTCGTGGTCTTCTCCATCCCTACCTGTTCATCACGCCTGCCTTTCCGTGCCCATTTAACCCTTCCTGTTGTTATCTCAATAATTGCTAACGTGCGACTCTGGTCTAGTATGCTGAATTACTCTGGCTGGAACCAGCCGGTCTTAGCAAGCCATGGAGAGAAAAACTTGGCTAAACTCCACGCGGTCCAAGCAATCTACGAACCGACTCATATCTTCCAACGTCTGGTTCCTGGGGGGCAGAAACTACCTGATCCCAACCTAGCATCAACCTAAAAGAATGGGGGTCTTGGTATAGTTGTGCAGGATACATCTAGCCGGCTGAGATAATGTACCTGGATTTGGTTTCATCATACTGAGGATGGTATTGAGTATTCATGCCTCCATATCACAATATAGTGACAAAGGTAGATATATTGTCACAGAGTTCGCTTCCGACGGAAATACTACTGCCGCAGATGACGGAACTATCTCAAGGAAGTGGACGCCTTTAACAGTATATACATCGATCAAAATAACCATGTTTATACGAATTTCTCATCTCGATTGTGCTACATCTTATATCTACAGTTGACTGTAGCTTTCCTTGATATTTTCTCTCCTTTTTAGAACAAGCTCATTTTCTGTATTGGCATTATTAGGCGCACGGATAAGTTCTTGCTTCAACTAGGTGAAGCGCCTCTATAGTTATTACGATACTAGTTAGGCTGCAATAAGCTAATTGAACTTGAATCGATTGATTGATTGAAGCATTCCGTTAGCTTGTAGGCTTTAATCTCTGTCTCTCTGGTTCATTGCTGAGTCGATAAGACAAACTAACATTTCTTTGCTGGATAAGAAGTGGTCATCATGGAAATTTACTTCCAATAGTTTCAGCTTAGGTAAATTCAGAAAATTGTCTCATTTCACCATCCATCAAAGCCATTAAACTAATCTTAGAAAGGGAAAGAAGATGGTCTTCAGCTTTCCGCTCATTGGGTCATGCGATCGTATTCGAGAATGACTATTAATAAAGATCTCTCAATAAATCAGATCCTGAGTCAATTTGGACCTTGGTTAATACCAATAAGGATGTCAACCCTGGGAAGCAGGTTCTAGGCGCGCCGCAAGTAACAATAGTACGCTTTATACTCCATATTGTGCCAAGACCCCGTACGGCCTGAGATTCGCCTCAACACGGGGAATCTTGGCATCCAGAGAGCTTTGCAACTCCTCCAGTAGTTAGTGGCTCCTGTATTTCCCATCCAATGGTCAAGGAAGTATTTCCGTGCCAAGATACTGACGAAAGACTTGGCTTCGGTTAACCCAAGAAGTTTGACACCTTGGGACTTGCCCTAGTTCGTGTCCCAAATATCTAAACTGGGTTTAATACGAACTATGCAAAACATTCAATTGGTTTTGTTTGAACTGAGACAAATATTCTTTGATTATAGGCTGAAACTAGGACGAAAATATCACAGTGATCGCTTTTGGGAGTCATGGGGTGTCTGTGAAGTGCGTCATGTAGAGCCTAGAATTAATTCATGAAGACGATGAGACCAGGTATCACAAGTTTGGAGCAAAGCTGTGTTGCCACAGGATTGGCAATATAAAAGAAAGCTACCTTTAGCCTAGTAAAGTCAAGTTGTAAACTGCGAGAGACTCACTCAAAACAACACGATATTCACTCAACTCATTTCAATATGAAGTCCCCACTCTACATTTTGACTGTTCTGCTTCCCTTCTCTGCCCAGCTGGCCCTATCGGCGCCGACTGTGGATGATGAAGGAACTTCCATTGAAAAAAGGCAAAACCCCCAGCCTGGCAAACCTCCAGGAAACCCGCCTGTTGCCAATCCTCCCGGTGGCCCCAAGCCTGCTGTAACAGGAAAGGATCCGAAGCCAACACAAGAGACGAATGATCCCCCTTCCCAAACTAAGGATGGTGGGAAGACTTCCGAGACGGGTAGCGCAACCAAGTCCAATGAAGAACCGACCAATAAACCTAACGGTCCAGGTGCCCCTGGCACTCCTGGCATTCCAGGCGTTCCTGGCACTCCGGGCACTGCGGCTGCGGCTGCTGCGGCTGCAGCTGCTGCAGGTGGTGGCGATGCTGCTGCAGCTGCTGCAGCGGCTGCGGCTGCAGGTGGAGGAGGTGGCTCCGGCTCTGGCGGCGGTGGTAGTGGCGGTGGCGGTGGAGGAGGAGGAGGAGGAGGAGGCGGTGGTGGTGGTGGTGATTGTCGAGTGAGAAGGCCATACTGGTACTACGAGTATCCTTGTGGCAACAGTGATCATATTGGTAGAGCCGAGAGGGGCACTAGATTCAGACCATTCTGCAAGTATCGGTAAGTTCTCAGTTCACATAACTCTTTTACAAGGAACAAACACACTCACCTCTGCAGCAACTGGTACAACACACCACGAGGATGGGTTAGGGCAGAAGATAAGCCTCGAAACTGCCGTGAGCCTCTCTCCTTCCATGCACTATTGACAACGTGATTATACAGATTAAATAACGGAATTTATAGCTGTCCCACATAACCGATGCCATCGGTAAGTTCATATATTCTTGAACTTGAACGAACGAACGAGCACCGCCTATAGCAGTGGCTCTGACGGGTTGAACGTAATCCTCGTGGTTTCTTTTCCTCTTATGTTCACTGATGTTCTGCACTCTCCGATCCAAATTGATGACTATGTTTCAAATCGGGGCTTGAAATTGTTCGTATCTAATATCTTAAAAACTAATAACAATATGGCTTTTGCAGCATCAAGTTATATCATTGACTATTGAAAAGATGATGGAGGTTCTAAAACAGCATTGTTCGCGAGCATAGTCTTCCAGAGCCCAGGCAACTCACTAATAGCTTCTTTCACATGGCCGACATTCTGATCCGGCAACAAGATATGTCTCGGCTCCCCTAGCTATACGATCGAAGGACATGTGCCAAGGCAGCTAAACGAAATCAATTCGAATTCCATGGGTTTTCTATCAAAGACGGCCTATTCGTATCAAATTAACCTCGAGAGATCCAATCAAAGCTTAGATACTATTCTATCGTGTTTGACTAAATTACCAATTGATATTTAAAACAGACGATGAAAATGACAATACTTTCTTCTCACAAATGCAGTCTCCTGGCACTCAAATAGTCGTAATCTGGCATTGCACTGTGCACCCAATCTTCCATCTGCCTCCCAATATCCTCACCAAACTTCTTTCTCCATTTCTGTGCTTCTGAAGCAATATCAACCACGGTCGGAGTCTTTTCCTTCAACAAAGTTGATAAATTGTCCAATGTTGCCATCATTACCCCCTCTGGAGTTTTCTGAGCAGTCTCATCTGAAAGTGAGGACCCATCTTCTGGAACTTCCCGATTCCATTCAAACTTCAACTTCGTTGGGTCCATCCCTATCAGCTCGCAATACTTTGCCACCACCTCTGGTGTATTGATGACATCTTGTGCATCTAGGAGAATGGGAGATTGTCTGCTGTCATTGTTTGCAGAAGATAAATTTGACCCACGCTGGTCATACCAGTCATATATCAATCGAGTCCATTTCAAAGTTGCATGCAATTTCAGCATTGGCTGAAGCTCGCGAGGATCTGCAAAACCTTCCTTTTCCAGGTCAAGCGTGGATCGATACATCGAAGGAAAGGCTAGCGCGGGATGTCGTATAAGAAATGTCGGAGTCCATGTTTGCAAATACTCATCGGGTAGAACATTCAAATTGTTCGAGGAGAATATTCCTTCAGAACTAGAAATGTGTGGAGCTTCGATTTCGAACGGCAGTTTTGCTGGACCATCATGCCCAGAGAGATATTGGGTAATTGAGGCAGGGTTGAGAAACCATTGAATATGTTCCTTCGCAAAGATAAGCTTTCCCTCGGATTTAGCCAATTCATGTTTCTTCTCTAGCGCATTCACGCCTTTCTGAAATTCTCGCCGAATCCGATCAGTCTCTTCCGCATTCCATTGCTCAACTGGTTTGTATGTTAACCCAGTGGCTCTCCCGGTCATGAAAGCGTCCCAGAAAAAATAACCCCCTCTTTCGTTCGAGACCACGGCTGTTTGAGAGTTCAAGGAAAGCATCTTGACCAAAAGATTTGACGCAGTGCGAGGATAGGTGATTAACAATATTCTCCTGCGCTGCTCCTCCATTGCTTCACTAGGGTCTAGCCTAACCATTTCCAAAGTCTGTCGACGATCTGATAAGAATAAACGGGATCAAGTAGTATAGACACTGGAAGATTAAGTGGCAATGTCAGATTGAACCAAGGAGCTGCGTTGTCTTATAATTAATTTGATCCAGAAATTGATCATGCCAATGGGTTAAAAGTATGGTGGCGCAGGATAGGTTAATATTATCAATGGCCGTAAAAGCGAATTGGATTTCACTCCACATGATGTCACAGTAGACCAGAGTCTGCTAACATCATTTGAACCCCGAAGGAACCCAATAAGAGTTCTGCGGTAAGAAATCCTTATCTGCGGATCATAAGTCTAGGCTACTTCAAGACTTGCATGCCGCGGGTTCTTTCAGCTGGTAAACTCAGTTTCTTTCATTCGATTCAAAAAAAAACTCAATTTCGTACTTTCTTACAGTTGCCTCCTCGGAGAAAGAGTCGAAGACAAGAGTAAAACTGATTTAGAAAATCACAATGTTTAACAACGTATAAGGTTTTCTGTTGAGATCTAGCAGACTACTCTCAGCTGAATTATCATCCTCATTCGTTTTTGTCCCATTTTCTTATGCGGTCATATTTGATGGAGCCATGGCCGAAATACTGTACATCTAGTGTCACGGGGAATTACCTACTGCATGAAGTAGCGGTCTACGGATGACTTAGGCGTTTGTGATGTATCTAAGACCTCTCTTCGCATAGTGAGCAAGACAAACACAATCTTCTCTGCAGACCACCCCTATATGCTCTCCTTTTCTACTGTATAGTCCTACCCGGCCTCTTTTTAGGTTACTCTGCTAGCGTCAATTTGTCTGCTTGGCCAGAATGCCATCGCGCTATTCCCATTTCACTAGATGGTTATGCCAATGATGGTAATTGAATCCTTTTGCGGCTTTGGAGGTGTCCAACTGGTTAAATGATTACGAGATGCCAGGCTAGACTGGGGTACTAACAATTCAACCTTTTGGAATTCATTGCCAAGCTAAGGTGTTCTCAGATAGGGTGGAACCTTTAACCGACAGCACCTGAGTTTTCTTACCAGCGGTTCGAAGTTCGGATCCGGGGTGAAAGTTTCGGACGATCACGATCGACCGAACTTCACGAACATTTTATTTCTTTCCCGTAGTCCGACGATTTTTGGGAGTATGTTTTCTTCAATATTGAAATGATGCCAATAGAAAACAGATAATGTGGTCGTCGTCTGGAGCCCTCTAGACTGAGAATCTGACTCTCTTGATGAAGACTTCCAGGAACTCGCACGATATTTAGAATACCCAAGCATTATTCATTGACATTTAACCTTTCAGATTGGTTTTATGGATTTCTCGATTGGCTTTTCTTGATGTATGGCTTGTAATAGTATGCTACCTGCCGTTATGGAACAAGGTGATACTTTCACTCAACCAAAGCTCTTTACTACACTATCTGACTTGTTTGTCAAAACTTGAGAGGCTACCGTCCGAGGCCTCGCTACGCTTACGATGGAATTGTGAAATTAAGCAGTAATCATAGCACGGATCTCAAACGCCGTGAACAGAATGTTCGCCATTGATTTTCACCTAACTTTTCGCTCCCCCAGAAAAATTAATACACATAAAATAATAAGAGGAAGCAAAAGAATCTACCAAAGGAGGGTGTGTTGGGACGAGAATGACGAGATTGTACACAGATCATACCAATCCTTCGCCGCTATGGTGTCGGGAGATCTGGTATTAAAAAATCCATGTATTTATCCAGAGCCGCCTAAGGGCAGCGAGATTCCCAATTACCACCTTTGGCATAAGTTAGCAAAAGCTTTCATAAGGGAGGTAACAGAAACATACGGCAGTTGCGAGGCTTGTCGAAGTCATGAACCCAACCCTTGCTGGTCTTGTACCAATTCCTTCGAAAAATGTCAGCATCGTCTTTCTTGTATGCTATAAGTCAGCTTGAGACTGATTCACTCACCTATATCTGCAGATTGCGTTAAACTGGTCACCTGGGAATTGCTGGGTCGTTCTATCGCTCGAGTCACACGGGTACTTCCAGTACCAGTACCTGTGATTGATACGACATTGTCCTCCTCCGCCTCCTCCTCCGCCTCCTCCGCCGCCTCCTCCTTGGCCCCCGCCGCCTCCACCTCCTTGACCTCCAGCCCTTTCTTCAAGAGAACCAAAATCAGGCTCTGCAACTGGAGAAGCTGTCGCCAGCTCAGTGGCCAGAGGAAGGAGAATGGTAAGGATGTAAAGAGGGTTCTTCATCTTGTAGGTCAAAGTAGAGCTTTTTTATCTTGAGCAGTGTTTGATGGCTAGTCGCTTGACTTGTTCTTAGATCTGGGAGGAAGAGTAGAGGATAGCTCATGGTTTAAATAGACTATCGTGGCAAAAGCGCGAGAGACAAGAATGAACTGCGCCACGGGCTGAACTTGGCTAAATGATTCTAGATTGAGAGTGAGGTTCATGACTTTCCACTATCAATTGTGTTTCTTGCCTGCGTGGAGTTGTCAAGCTGTCTTGGCACTGTCTTGGCGCTGCTTTCCATCGCGTCCATGAAGCTCTAGGCGTACATCATCTTTTGGATGTCGTATCTGCATGCCATGGAATGGAGATACACGGGGTCTATTCTTGTCTGAAAGCTTGGCATGGTAGCTGCCAATTGATGTGAGTGCTAATTCCCACCGACTTTGATCTAAGTGTGCAGTGGTTAAGAAGTACAATTCAGGAAAATGGATTTGGTGATTGTTATGAAACAGTCTTTCGTTGAAGTCAGATATACTAGACTCTAGTATAATAGGATACGCAGTCTTGAGGAGAGAGGGTGTGTGGTCATATTTTATGGGCACTGTGTTGTTTCCGGACTCGGCTCCATTGCAGGATTGAGTGATCCATGGATAAGTAAAAATCCCATCATGGCCGCTCTGCTTCCTTAAAAATAACTGCAAGGCCATAGGATCTTAATTGCATAGCTCGACGGATGTGGTAAACGGTCATGTGTGGGGAATTTTAGGTTTCAGCTGATCCGAAACTTTACTTAAATATTGAATGCGCTGACTGGTAGGCTAGGAAGCGGTCGAATCAGAGTGACAATATTCAATAGTCTCGTATATTTGACCCTTTCTTCAGGACAGGATGGTTGGCTTTATGTAATCCTTTTTATTTTATTTGTTTTAACACATGCCTACCCTGCTCCTTCGGTGACTATACACTATTTCAGTGAAATGAACTATGAAATCCAGTTCCGAAATAGCTTCAATTTTCACGACTGCAGTATGAATAGTAAGATATCAATATTGTTTCTCGATCAATTACTGAACAATTCAAGATATTGATTGGCAGTCATTATCCCGGATATTTAGAGAATACGAACCTCCTCCGAGCCTGTAGTACGCGTTAGGACACTAGAAACTTAATAACACGAGTTGCTGATGATCTCATACGGGACTCACAGGCTGTCTTCCTGAAGTTACGCCAAGTTCTCAGTGCCAAGTCCTCCGCGGAAAAGAGGGACTGGGCATGGAACTTTGGTTCAAATTTTATGGGTGCATAATACGAAGTCCCTCTCTGTCAAAATACGTTCCTTGATTGGCTACGTCTTTTCGGCATTTGACTGTATTACTTGTGTGCGGTCTAGCCCGGCCTGAAGTCTAAAATGACCACGCGAATGAAAGCCCCGTAATGGTAAATTATTATGATCCTATTTGAGCTTCACATATTGCCTCTAGTAGATAGGAACACTATAAAGACACCTGATGTGAAATTCGATATCACTAGTTAGTCCAATTGAGCCTGCGACAGCAATTCTATTATTTCCTTGGACAAGTCAAATTTAATTGGGGCTCAATACAAACCCTCTGATGTAAAAGGATAGTTATCCTAAGCTTTGTTTAAAATAGCATTCAAACTTGTGATCAACGCTAACTGTGGACAGGTACGCCACATGACGTATGTCGATTGACCTAGTCTGTAACCCTACCCTTAGTTCATCCCTATATTCACCAACCGTGGTTGCGGATATCTGTCACCCGCACAGGACTGTAGTTGAAGTTTTCACCATCATTGGCGCAGACTGATGGGCCTACAGTGCCTAAAATTGGAATCAACCATTGTGACAGGAGTTCAGCAACGCCAGATCATGGGCTAGAACGATCAATGGATGGTTTTAGAAAGTGAAATTAAGAATTGTGCTTGTAATAGTTTCATTTTTAATTTCGAGGAAATATTTCGTATCAGGGTGGTAATGTTGTGTCTGCTGTGAAGCAGATGAATTACTTCATTCGCACCGAATAAAGTTGATGGTACTTCAGGAATTGCATAATAGAGATTCCACTTGAGTATCTTGCAAAATGAAGATGGTTAAACGGGCATTAACAAACAAAGTCAAAAAGCCAATCGATCAAGATCCGATCCCGGTCTCAAGACGCGTTATACAAGGTTCCCACTTTGAGTATCTCAAGAAGGAACTGCAACATTCACCACCGGTGATTTTCTCAGACTCGAGCCATCAGAACCGATAGCTTCCGCATATGCGCGCGAGTAAAACTGAGGACTTGTGTACGTAGTCTGGAAACCCTGCTTGCCAACCGTGACCAGCAGCGCAAACTGATCAGAACCAGATTTGGCTCCAAAGAATCTCCAACTAGTATAGTCCGTTGCTCCATTCCAACTAGCCCAGAACGTAGTCGCGCCATTCGCAGGAGCCTGCGCAGCCAGAGCTGGGGCATCAGATGGTGTCGCGGTCCAATTGTACTTGAAAGCGCGGTAATTCATCGAATCAGGGTCCGTCAAGGTCGCAAAGTAGATTGGTGTTCCGTCTGGGGTGTGCTCTGAAAAAGACGGGTTGCTTCCCCATCCGATGAATGCATGTCCATTTGACAGTAGTTGGGTGTTTCCTTGGCTGGTGGAGCGGAGGCCTGGTGCTGGGGCTTGGAATCTTGTGAGAAGGTTCGAGGTATTGGTTTGGCGATCGATCGCGACGATCATACCAGACGATGTAAGCGAGGTGTTTCTGTATCCGTTACTTCCGTTATCGAATAGCGACAGCACAGTATGGGTGCTGTTTTCTTCGTGGACGCGCGCATCATGCTGCGAAGAAAAGTTGTAGTCGGTCGTTTGGATGGTCGAGTTGGTTCCGCCTAGTTGCCATATCACCGCGCCGTTTTCACCTGAAATTCGGTAGATGCCGCTAGTGTGTCGGGCGGAAACAATGTAGTCGCCGTTGGGGAATTTGTCAACTGAGTTGATGTGGAAATAGTCCCAGGCGGTGAGGTTGCTCAATCCATTTCCCACGACTGGATTGATTCCTAGGGGAACGTAGCTCTCTGAGAGAGGAATGTGGTCAAGGGACCCCCATTCGAATAGCACATCTCCGCTCTTGATATCAACCTCCTGAAACATACCATCCATGACCCACCCGTTTGGGGGCTGGATTCCGTATGCTGAGAGATCGTATGGCTTTGGCTGGTAGATCGTGAATAGCATGCGTTCCCCATCGAGGACTTCTAGCTCATGCAAGTCACTTGGCTCTAGCCCATGGCCGCTTTGTACAGTTGCAGCGAGTTGATAGTCATTGTTGAGGATCAGATTTATGCCTCTTGCATAGCCCTCGATTTGTTTCCCTTTGAAGTAGCACAGATGGTCGGTTCCTTGGAAATCGCACACATGGACATCATGGAAAAGCTCGGTGGTTGAGCCATCTGATCCACTCCAAACGAGGTCCTAATGATCGTCAGATGAGCTCAACGTGGACAGATTGAATACACACCCCATCGCTAGTATAAATATAAGGTCCTGGTCTTTCGTTCAGATAGGGAGCGATAAAAATATAGCCTGGTGTGACCAGGCCAGCGTCATTGATGCTCACGTTGATTGAAGGAGCGCGGATATCGGGCCTCTGCGATCCACACACTCGTTATTTCAACTCATGGGCTGTTAAATGAACGAATACTGACGGATTGGAAGGACTTCCAGTCTGCAGATTGCGCGATTCCAAGATTCACATAACCGAGTATCATCCCAAGGGCATTCAGCCCACAAACAATACGTGATTTGCTTTGGCCAAACATCGTAGACAGAAACTTACTACTAACAGATGTACCGCATCTGAAATAAGGAATCAATTGTCTCGATACGTCTCTTTATATTATGCCTATAAACCGTGTGACAATCCAGCTTGACGTCAAGACTCGTTCCCAAGACCGTGGCCAAGACGAGGTTGGCTGGCCAGCATTGGGCTGGTAAATATACAACATACACTGTAAAGTGAACATTGCAACTTGCTCCGCGTACGGCTACTGGTAAACCTAAATTCCCCCGCTTACCAGAGATCGCGTAGAATCAAGGTCCGCGGTTCGCGGTCGTTAAGAGCTGTTTGAGCCGGAACTGGCTAAAAAAGGCTAATAGTGATTGCCGACGTCAGTTCGTGAAGCTTAAATCAAAGCCACCAAGCCACACCTAGTTAGACAAATTATGCGAGGTATGATCTACGTTGGAGCACGTGCAGATTATACTGATTTTACAGGCTTCAATATAATTGAATGATGCAAAATTCGCCTTTCGACTGAAGAATACGAGGAATTTGAAAAAGAAAAAACTGCCCTTTTCCGGCCTAGCTGGTAAGTTATAAGTTAGCTCTATCTTAAAGTGCCAACTTGTACATCTCTGCCAAGTTAGCGGGATACCATTATCCCATTTCCACTCAAGCATTAAATGTGCAAACAACTGTTCGGTTTCATATTGAGGTTCCCTCCGCTCTTGTTGCTATGAAGCAAACATGGTCCGTTGTAGAATGGCTGGTTGATGTTCATGCCAAGCTTCGTTCATTTTACCCGACCACTCACAAGCTTGATCGGGTTAGGGGTCAACCAGTGATATTGGCTTGTCTAGACCGTCAAAAGCTGCAAACGGATTGAAATTATCCATGGCAGAATGAGCGTGAATTTCACTTATGAGACTTGAGTATCGGGAATTTCAAGCACATAATGAGTAGGTCGCGCCTAGTTAGCCAGAGTAGATTGCTATGTTAGTGATTATTTTTATACAATGTATGCTAAGTGATTTGAAGAGCCTTCGAGAGCGACTTTACTGCTTAAGATAGAGAAGGGTGCACAGTTTTATTCCGTGACCCAAAGGCAAAAGCCAAACCAATACAGTAAGAAAAAGGTATCATTCTCATAACACAAACATACAAACGTCAACAACATGGAGTCATCCAAACCTACTCAGCATCCAAAGGCGCCACAGGCGCCTGGTCATCAACCTGAATACCACCCCTCTTCTTCTCATTACTATCCCAAAAAGGCAACCTCCAGCCGCCCTCCTCCTCAGGCGTCGCCAACCAAAGCCGCATCAAATGCCGACGAGGCCTAGGCGGCGCGTGGTCGGTATAAGCAGTGCGCGCATGGAGAATATGCGCATTAGAAAGGAACTGAATATCACCAATATCCAACACCATATGCAAGCTCAACCTGACACACGTTTCCTCCAGAACCTTCAATGCCTCGAGTTGTTCAGCGCTCAGCGGGGGGATGATGCCCGCATCACTGAAACGACCAAGCGAGCGCACATAGTACGGATCCCATTTTGTGTAGACGCGCGGCTGGACGCCTGTTTCGGCTTCGCTGCGTTCCAGGTAGATGACGCTTGTGCGGATGAATTCTTCTTGGCCGGTGGAGGTTTCGCCTTTGCGGTCGAAGTACCAGATTGGGGAGGTGAGGGTTTTGAGCACGTCTGGTCGCTCGGTGGCGAGCGTGTTGTAGACGTTGTGCGAGGAGACTAGGTCGCTTTCGCCGCCTTCGAGGGCTTTGGCGATGCAGAGGAGGCCGACTATGTCTGAGTCGTCGGCGTGGAAGTATTGCCTGTGGGGGGATGTGGTTAGTGCATGGTCTTTCTTGGGTGGTTTCAGTGGATGGGGACTGGTCACATACCGAGCATTGGTGCGGTAGATTCGGACCTTGTCGATCTGGGTTGAATCCTCGCCGAGGTCCTTGACGTGGCCGAGGACATGACCGCGACTGTTTTGGCTGACGAAGTAGCCGAGGTAGGTTCCCAGACCCATGTATGCCACGGCGGACTTGTGGTTACCCCATTTCTGCACAGGGAAGCCCTTGAAGAGAATAAATCCCTTGCCGTCGATCAGGTCGGCGCGCAGCTTGTGGAGGTAGCCTGCTAGATTGGGGAGTTGGAAATTGCTCTATACAATGAATCGAACCATGTTAGTCTTGTCATATCTTGCGCCTAGTCTTTCCGGATTGTGAATCTCACCTTCGAGATACCAGTCAACGGGGTCTTGGACGCAAGGAACGCATCCGCCGCAGCACTCAGCTCGGCGACTTGTTCCTCATCGAATGTATGCGTCCACTTCTCTGGACTCTCGCGATAATCCTCAGGCTTCCAGACCGTCGGACCTGTAATCTGCTTCGGGAACTGATCAAAGGAGACGATTTCGTTATAGAGAGGAGGGTGTTGGCCGGTTGTTTTCAAGCCATCTGGGAAGATGTCCTTGGAAATAGGGCCGAGCTTATGCGGGGCTGTTGGGAGGGCGTCTGTAAGTGCCGGTGCCATTTTGAGGATTTGAACAGAGAAAGGAGGATGAGCAGATCAGTGTACGAGGGGTGGTGATTATTTATACATTTGCAAAACTACACAAAATCGTGAGGAATGAAGTGGATTGTATGGCGTGCGAGATCCACCGATCATCTTCAATTGCTGCAGTGAGGAAAGTGAATGTTTGGTGATGCACGAAAGACAGTAACGTTATCCGCTGTGAGTTGTGATTGGCCGGTTTGGGCGGAGATGGCGCAATTTGCGGGGGTTGATGTTGTGATGACCAGAGCGGATGACGAACTTTGCAAATACTGAGTCTGACAGTACCTGGGAACTACTGTTCAAGTGAACGCTGACTTGACAAGGTAAAGCTGAGGATATTGTTCAAGGGGTTAAATGTGATAAGTAGACGTTAGATCTAACACTATACGATAGTAACTTATATCGTGAGCCGTCATGAAGACTGACAACACCCACCTCAAAATACCCTACACAACAAACATATATACTCGGTACGCGTTTATCCTTTCGCGCGCAATTCTCGGCCGATAACTTCATGTCTCCATTCCATGAATTCCCGACCTTGGCAGCAGAGCGAATCAATTTTCCGACGCTGACGATGAAGTCTGGGTCTTGGTCTGATATACACGCTGACGGGATGTCCCAGTCTGCTAGTCCCAGTCTGCTAGTGGTCGGGAATAGAGCAAAGTTAATGTCTAGTCTATACTAGTCAAAGTCATTATCCCTTGTTGGTACGAAGATAGGGCAATGAGAAAAATTTTGTCAGAGGTTCCACTTTGTCCAGTACTGAATCGCGCATTTTCTGCTCGCATCGTTCGAGAATTTCGAGTTGATAGCGACAACAGACTGCAGTAGTAGGCACAGAGGTTTTCAAAAGTATATCGTAAGTTCTTTCATTTGACTATAAAGATTGAATGAAACGATGTCGAAGCAGTCTGTGAACCCGCCTCTCAATAACTTGGCATCCTTGAATGATCCAGTTTCATCATTATCTTCTACATTTTGATGATGTATGACCTTTGCTTGTCATGCTTCCCACGGTTGTTGACAGCTTCCTCCGGCTCAGCCTCGAGTTTTGCCAAAGGCCTTTTTTTTCTTCTGACGATGCGTAAAAGAAATGCTCTTTATGACGGGGGATAAAGGTGGTCCTGAAGAAGAAGATACTTTATATTGAACATTTGAATTGTGGTTTTTTGAATTATGACCATGCTCTTATTCGAGCTCTTTTTCGAGCTGTGTTTCGAGCGCTTTTTGCGGTAGTGTATAGCCCTATATCGCCTTGTTGACCGCCTCATATACCACCTTCCAAGGTTTTTATATTACCAATTCGTACGAATGGCCGCTAGGAGCCCAGATGGTTTGACATGGAAACTGTGCTGAATGGTACACGGTGGCCGACGTCACGTGTAGCCTGACAGAGTGCGTTACTTGATATGGTGGGAGATCTGACTGCCTGACGGCAGTCATACCTAGGTAGTAACCTTTTAGTTCGGTGTGTCACTCGCTAAGCTCTCCCACTGAGTCGTAGCACCCCGACACCACTAGTTAGAGAGAGTCCTAACATACTATACCTAGGTATATTGATCTAATATTAACTTATATTGGCTTGTTTCAAGGTGACTATGAGTGGTTATATATAATTATACTCTACCTTCTAAGCAATGATCGTATTGAAAACCAAGCAATTCGTACAGTATATGTAAATAGAATCATTAAGTTACAGAGCCAGTACACTTTAGATACAGTTCTTGTGGATGAAGAACTAGAATATAAGATCTGATTTATCCTCAGTCATCGTGGAACCCCCCCAAAACAGTATCTCGTCAAGTGAGACAGACATCCTAATCCTAAAGCTACCTGGGAAGACCCAGTCACTGTTGCAGATACCGAGGCTCTCGATCACTACGAAGATCTCCTTGCTACAAAATCTACAAAGAAAATAAATAAGAAGTAAAAGAAGTGAGATTCCTAGAAAGAACTAGTAAACCTAGTCCAGAGTTCACAGAGAGCAAGAGGACAAGCAAATCGGTAGCAACATGAAAAGAGAAAAGAGAGCAACATGACTATCAGGAAACATGAAGAGAAGAGCAATTGACCCAGCTCCTCCTATTTCTTATCCTTCTTCTCCTTGTGGTTTTCAGCACGAGAATTGTCCTTGACGGTGCGCAGAAACTCATCACCAGATGTGGAGGCAGAGTTATTTGCAGGAGAACTATCAGCAAGATCTTCAAAGTCCACGGGTATATAGGGAGGACATGACAGCTAAGGGGCATGGAACGCAATTGCGATTGCGATCAGTGCAGTCATCACAACAGGGCACATGTGCAGGGTCTTTCCGTTGGAATTCTTGGACCAGAAGCAGGAACGACCCATACCAGAACAAGTGTTTAGAAATGAAGCATTAAGAAGCAATTGATGGCAGAAATAAGGGCACGGGCCTTTTAAGCTAATGTCCAGGAACTACCGTAGCTTTTAGAGCTCTACGTCGAGCTCTTTTTCGAGTTCCGTTTCGATCTCTTTGTCGAGTTCTGTTTCGATCGCTTTTTCGAGCTCTTTCTCGAGCTCTGTTTCGAACTCTTTATCGAGTTCTTTGTGCTACTTTGTCTACTACTTTGTTTAAAATTGGGTTAATTTATTGAATATTAAAGTAACTGGTCTTTCATTTCATGTGTTTGCATATATTTATTGGTCATGAACCGTGACTAGCCCTTTCCCTTCCAATGAAGTCGGGTTCCTATCACCCTTCAGCCCCTGTGCTGCTACAGACTGGTAGCGCGTCATGGTGCACCCGCTCAGGAGTAAGTGTGATACCCTACGCTCCACCAGAGAATCGCTTATCTCCGATCATGTTAGATGAGCCTGCTGTTGAACTAACGCTGGGCCTTTTTCCCAGCATGAGCGTTAGCAATAGGCGCTAGACGTGAATTCCACCCCCCGGACGCCATTTGAGGCATTGTGAACACTAGACAGTGTTTTCACTGCTATCTGAGACGAATGAGATCCCCCTTTCGCCAGAAACAGGTAATTCCCGACGCATGAGCGACATGCTGGCTCACTTCAAAGCAACACGAGCTGTGATACGTTATGCCGCCTCAACAAAGCGTTCAGAGTGATACGAGAGGCCAGCGGGGTGGTTCAGGGCTTCCTGCACATGTTTTATCTTCCCTATCATGGATTCGTTGGTGTGTGGAGTGTGCGGCATTCCTATCTTGTCAAACATGCATTCTTCGGTATCCATGTGGACTGCGCGCAACTGCTAAGAAGGTTGACTCAGTAATGGGATGGATGATCGACGTTCTCACTTGTATCTTCAACATTATCAACCCATCAATTAATCAATCAATCAAAGTACAAGTAACCTGTTGCGGCCTAACTAGTATCGTAATGGCTATGCAGTCGCTTCATCCAGTTGAAGCAACAGGGCTGCTACATGAACGAACGGGTCTTGTTTGAAAAGTTTGAGGTCCACGGCCTAATATATATACTAGCACCCCTTAGTGACTGCTACTCTGAAGCAGCCCGAAGTGGTGGTTGTAAAAACCTACAGATCCTAGCACCTACCGAAGTAGCCATACCACGAAGCCGCGCACCCCAGAGGCTACAGTCACTTAACCTCTCGGCAAGACCGTTCGCTACCTTTAAAGTTCAGAGATGCCAATGATAGGGACGGCAGTGGTTCTTGCAGACCTAGTGAGGCAACGCCCCCGGTATGCTCCAAGCCTATTTGAAGCACCTATCTCCCACAGCTGTCTGTAGCGGCCTTAGGATCATGGACGACCAAGACTGAAAGCCCCTAGGATCTAAGAGACTCTTCGGGCCGTGCCGCACGGAAAACTGTCTCTACCACTCGAGGTGGTTGATACCGGGTGATGAGTTTATCCCTCTGTTCCTACCATCCAGCCCCAACACTCCAGTCTAAATTGTCATACATTTTATTTTCAATAACTATTCGCTATGATCAGTGCAATAGAAACCGCCACATAGTCTAGTGGTCGACACCACCTTCCCAGGTTGAATCCTGTGACAAAGAGAAGAAGTGACCAATCAGAGGATTTTCCGACAAGGATTCGTTCTCCCGATTAGGAAAGACCCACCAGACTTGGAGACGTCCCCATGCGGTATGCAGATGCGACGCGAGTGCTTTCTCAGCATTTCATTTTCTTGATGTCTTGATTCGAGACATCTGAATACCCTCATCTAGATACATTACTTATGGCGCACAACATCCACGTCGCCGTGCTAGATGCAGACATCCCCTGCCTATCAGTATACCAAGAGCGAGGTCTATACAGTTCCCAATTTCGCACCCTGCTCCAAGCAGCAGCAACACGCCTCAACAAAAGCGCAGACACAAGCCTCCAGTATGGACCCCTAGCCGTGCACGTCACGGCCTTCGACGCCGTAGGCAGAACATTGCCGCCACTCTCAACTCTCCGAAACAGCCCAAAGACAACAGCAGAGCCTCAATCCGGCAGTCCCCTCACCCTCATCGATGCAATCCTAATCACAGGCTCGGCATCTTCAGCCTACGAGGACCTACCCTGGATCCACGAGCTGCAAGCTTTCATTCAAACAGTGCACGCCGACTACCCGCACGTCAAGATCTTCGGCTCGTGCTTCGGCCACCAGATCATAGCCCAGGCGCTCCTCTGCAAAGAGCAGACCTCGCTGCAATCGTCATTCCATGTCGCGAACGACCAGGCCGGCTTTGAAATGGGCATCCAGCCCATCATCCTCGACCCAGAATTCACGGCGCGCTTCCCGCCTCTGGAGCGTGCGTCTCGGCTGAATCCGTTCCGCATTCAGCTTGTTCATGGTGATAGGGTTGTTCCTACGCCTGAGGCAATTGCCGCTGCCATGGCTGCTGGGAATACTGATGTTTCTTTGCCGGCTCCTTGGTCTAATATCGGGAGTAGTGCCCAGTGTGCTATCCAGGGGCTTTATAATCCTGGTCGGGTTTTGTCGTATCAGGGTCACTTTGAGTTTGATACTTTTGTAAATGCGGAGCTTTCTCGCGAATTTGGAAGGAGGGCTAATTGGCCTGTGGAGGTTGTCGCTGGGTTCTTGCAGTTGATCAATCGGTCTTTTGTTCCTGAAATGGATGATAATGATGATTCTAAGGCTGCTGCGGAGGCTGTGCTTTTGTTCTTTGCTGGAGAAGATTTGAAGGGACAGGGGGTTGGGCTTGGTTTGCCTGGGAGTGGGTTGCTTACTCCTCCTTTGGGTTGAGGTTGTCTGTATGAATGAGTTAATAGGGCATGGATAACATAGAGATAGACTTTTTAATGATAGATCGCTGTATCATGTTTCAATTTTTAGTATTTAGCGCTTTGAACGGACAAGTCATTGCTGTATTTTCCATGGTAAATGACCATTGTTGCGCGGGTCTTCAACTTACTCACCAACTCGACAGATGAACCCTTCAAATCTGTTTCAAATCGTGTGACTTGAACCGCATCCACCGGTCCTGTACATTATCGCTTATTTTCGCATTCCGACTCCGTTAGCAAAGACCCCGACTCAATTAAGAAATAGCACTTCTCGTTCTCCGTTCGAATATGTGCAGAACACTCCAACCCTGAGCGATATGATGATCCTTGGCTGTGACAGATGCGTGCTGCACTCTTAAACACTTTAAATATATCCGCGACAGATCGGCCAAAATTCCGCACGTCCGTCGTTTCCAAGTTGCGAAAAGCTTGTCTGTTTCACTAGACCGACTCCTCGATCCCACCGACGAGTGGGTCTCTGCTCTCCAGCTGGAAAACAAGGGCCGTTAAACTGGGTCAATATATTTGCATTTACACCAATCCCAGCACATTCAACCAGGTCAGCTAGAAGACGCGTCGTCGCGCGATGATCTTGACAAAGCCGGGCTCATGGCCAGCAATTTATCGGTTTTGCTAGAGGAATTTGACGATACGCCCAGCGAATTCGTGTCAATTTTGCGCTAGGCGGTACTAACATTCAGCCGGTTCGTCCACTCTTCGCAGTGGTTCCTGTGGTTCCTCGTAGTGGGTTCCATCTCCAGCTAGCACTAACCCCAAACAGTATCATGTCTTTCGAGGCGATATCGTCTCAGGAGCGGAAGATCTACAAACTCTTTTGAGCGACAGTCTAGATCTGGCATGAGCGGTCCGAGGGCAGATCGCCGGTTTTGTTTCTCTTGTTGTTTTGGAGTTACCAGTAGAAGGGGCCAAGCTGTTGGTGGGTGCAATGAGAAGCCACAATCGTCATCCCGTGCGGTTAAGCTCACAGCACGTGAATTGAAAGGAGAACCCATGCGATATTAGGATCCATAGCCTTTGTCTTTGAAAACTTACGCCGATGTCTTAGTCCAAATCGCATACAGACGGCAATTTAGAAATTTTGCTGCAAGTTAATCGGTGTTTTGTGGACAAAGTAAAAAAGCAGCTGCCCCAACTCATTGGCTGGAATAGCGGAACATACATGCAGTCTCCGTAGTTTACCCACTGTCCTCCACTTGATCGGGAGAATATGTGACGATCCCTACGATTTCCGATCCATTAAGTCTCCTTTCTGTTCGCCGACTCGGGTTCGTATGAGTTGCCGATGTGGTTATTGTATGCTTGCGGTGTTAGAGCCACTGTTAGCGCTTCCATCTCTCCTGTAAAGATGCAGCCCGTGGGCCTCCAGGTGCCCAGGAGACGCCACTCCGAAAAGGAGCGGTGTGAAACTATTGGAAGATCAGAACTGTCTGTTGCTTTTTCACTGGGTGCCTCAGCGGCACAGATTACAAAAACCATGCATTGTTGGCACGGTCGCTCGGCCCATTTCACCTTTCCATACTATCCTTCTACGCTCCGTAGAACACATATAACCTTCTCAGGGGGAATCAATCTTCTCCACATCTAATATCTCTCTCTCCACAACTTCATATTCACAGCACAGTACGCACTTGACTCCCTTCACCCTGATAGAACCATATTTTCCCTTCTAACCAGCTAGCTAGTCATGCCTCAATGGCTCGGGTCCATGACCTACCAGGACGATCAGTCCCTGGCTGGCGTATTCAAGATCGAAGGCGAGAAATGGGTCTTTGAGAACCCTCGTTCAAAAACTGCCGCCCCCTTTCAACATGCTCCGGCGGTTGTGAATATCCCCTGGAAGGAGGTCGAAAGCATCCGACATTCCCTCCGGACGCGAGAGCCTTTTACCGCGACTATCAGCGGGTCTACTATGGAGATTACCTGGTCAAATGGGGTCCGAATCACAGCCAATGTGCCGCATTCTGGTGATTATGGGTATTTCTCTGGGGAGGGTGGTTGGCGGGCACAGTGATATTCAGTGATGGCAGCGGGACTTGAAGCTTGTTTTCTTTTTTTTTTCTTTCCTTTTTCCTCTATTTTGTTCTAGCATGATGGCTTTTGTGAGCCTTGGTCGCTTGGGTTTCTGTACTTTTCGGGATAATGCATATAATAATCCAGCTTTGCATCTCCTATTCATTGTCAGTGTCGCCTAGATTGGACGGGTTTGAGGGAAAGTCGCGGTCGGCACCTGGGCTATACGGATCGCTACGCTGAAGCAAAAGCAAAATGGCGTTAAACCCTGTATGGTACACGGCAGGTGGGGTATTGGGCTACCACATCAGCACTATACAATATGGCGCCTCTGCAGATCTACACAATAGTCACGATGCATCGTTCTTCATACAACTGTGTATGGCTTGGCTGCATAAATCTCGAGCACATATTCAGAAAAGAAATCTAAACTCTTCCAAGCAACCTTGTTGTGTTGATTAACGCGAGAACATCTTCTAATTCTACTTCGTACAAAAGGATGTTTAGAGTATGATGTTGAAAACCACTGGACTAAAAACGCCACCACTTTTCTTCCGAACATACTGTCAGCCTCAGTTTCAAATCGGCCTCAGCTTTGATAAATTTTTAATCCCAAATATCTGTGCTCATATCCCATGATCAATTGGAATTCCAATCGATCGAGATGTTGTTATTCTAGATCCACAAAACAAAATCCATGTCCGTCAAGGTGTACCCAGGAACCAGAACGAGGGATATCAAGCTCTAGTACAATGTCAAAACAGTTTCGATTTTGCTTCAATAAAGTTTAGGCATACTCAGACTTCAGGTTGGCACTTGCACCAACTGATGCCTACCATTTGAGTTACTCATCTATGCCTAACTCACATTTTCAAGCTACACTCGGCTCGGGCCCCAGATCTGCAACTGTGCATCTTGTCGGACCTATATTTACTGATCTAGCTATATAATTGACCGATCGCATTGAAACTAGAGATTGGAATTTGAAGTATACATGTGACTGCCTGTGTCGGAGTGCAGTGCAGACAGAATTGGTGTCCGATGTTCAGAAAATTAAATCCTCACGATTGGCCGCAGATAACCAGATTGTTCATCAGATCTACTATATGATTCATTGTCTCAATTAGAAGAGACGTCCTATTATAGTTGAACAATCTGGGTGTCGCGGACTTGTGACGTAACAGCAAATAAACCTTGCTAGTTGCTCCTACCAAAATTCAATAAGATAACTCCAGAGTAAGTTACTGATATGTTAATATAAACATCAATAAATTTAGTAATTCTTTATTGATAGGCATTTAAACTGAAAATTGAGGAATCTCGTTGACGGACAGGCCAAAGGGGGTAATTAGTGAAGAAAATCGAACTTCTTTATCCCTCCAACTAACCATTAACCCTAATCTCAAGCTAAATGGATGGTTGAAAACAATCTATTCCCGGTATCGGTGGTTCCCTTTCCGGTAAACTTGTTCTGCGAAAGCCGAAGTGCAACGAAAGACAGCCGTCGAAATCGACTAAGTTCATACGCAATCTCGCTCGAAGATACACTTTGCGCCTGGACTACACCAGCAACCACCACAATGCGAATAGCGGAATCTAGGCTCCGGATATGCTGTATAAACTCCAAGATTGATTCGCCAGTGTTGATCACTGAGTCAACAAGTATGACAGTGGCGCAATTCCGTAGATGATCGGTTCTGATATCACTCGTCACCTTCGCATGTAGGAACATGGCAAGGGGAAAGGCATCATTTACTCCAAAGGCCATTGGCTCGCCACCACGCATCAGGGGCACAATCAAGGTCTCTTTCTCGTGCATAACTTGATAGCCACTGGTCTGGTGGCCCTGAACATGATCGATTGGGTAGTTTTCGATGCCAAGAATCTGCGTGCAATATTCTATAGCAAGGTACCATCCGACTCGGCGATGAAATTCCCGTAGCACTGGACCCGATAGCATTGCATTGCGCATTGGAGTCATGAGCAATTTGGCCGCAGAGGACTCTGTAGCATGAAGAACATGAAGGGGTTGGCGGCGAAAGAACAGCGAAGCCATGAAGAACTGCTCTGTCAAGTATACCACAGGCAACCGAGATGCATCGAGACGAAGCGCTGTATAGGGGGGCAGAAGAACCTGTCGCGGTCGAAACCCGTTCTTTCTGATGCACGCCGCTAAAGCTTCGTCCATACTGCGGCTTCTCGTGTTTTCTTGACCCGTCACGACGACAGCTTGGTGTGCCGCCATTAGCATTCCTAGATCTAGTGGACTATCTCCGAATGCCCAGATATACATTTTACCATGGTTCCGCAAGCGTTCCACCAGTGCCTTTTTCAATGCTGGTGTCATAACAATTCCATCCGATATGCGTCCTCCGCCAATGACTTTTACCGTCTGCGATATTCCCTCTGCCTCGAGGACTTTCTCCCAAACTCGACGGAGTCCACAGGTAACCACAAGTGCACCAACATGGGTCTGGCCCTTTACTAGCTGCAACAGGTCCACGAACTCTGCGTACATTTTGATTTTGGCTGCCACTTCCCCACAGCGAGTTTCGAAGACGGTGTTGCTCATCGCTGCCTCGTACAGTAGTGTCGCTTGACGGAATGCAGTGTACGAATACTGCAGAGGGCTGCTGAAGATCTCCTTCAACGGGGAGCTGCCGGCTTCCATGGTAGGAGATTTAGGGTCCCGCTCCCAAAATACGATGCCGCTGTCTTGTGGAGCCAGTGTCTTATCGGCATCGAATACTAGCACTGTCTCTGGTGGATTGGAGCTAGTGGTAATGAACTGGTCTATCTGCTGCTCGGCGAGCGCGGTGTTGAAGTCTTCTGTATGCTTGTGTAAGTCTTGAAGGAGAGGGATAAGGCTGTGCAAAGATGTCTGGTATTGGGACAAGGTCATGAAAAGGATCTCGTTCGATCTGCAAAGGCAGAATAAGTTCTCTTTCTCGGCTTTCTGCCATCTAGCCAAATGAGCGATTGAGGCATCTGGACGGTTCCGTCTCACATCATTCATCCGATATTCCGCGATAACCTCAGGCGGGATATCCAGATACAGGATGTGAGTATACGTCCTGAGATCAGCTGGCGTGCAAACCATTTGACCATCTTGCTCTTCCTCGGCCCAGAACATCGAATGCCCGGCGACTATGGCACATTTCCCAGTCTCACAACATTCCTGTTTCACCTTGGCCATGGCACGCTCGCGATACTCGATCTGCTGATCTTCATTCAAGCTTTTGAATGTTTCGAGGCCTCCTGGAGTCACAGCTGCAATGACCTGGCTGCCATCATGACATGTAAAGTTGTCATTGAGGTTTCGCCCCAACTGAGCTAATAGAAATGATTTTCCAGACCCCGGAAGACCATATAGACCTATAATGACCGGCTTTGAATAGTTTGCCCCCCGAAGCTCAGCAGCTGATTCGCTATCTTCACCACGCCCATCATGGCATCGTACCTGGCTAGACTGCATGGTTAGAAACTCGGAGCTTAGACTGGGAGGATAAAAATAAAAGCCTTTCGGTATGAACTGGCTCGAGTCAAACAGAAGTACGAAGAGAATGGCAACATGAGCTGATAAATTCTAAGTTTGAGGTGTGTACAGCAATGGAAACGATTGTTCTGTGGGATATATATCTAGTTTTGACACAAAGAAGAGCTACACGGATGAAGTATTTGCTATGCATACGATCGCCCTTATCGCTCTGCTAGACATGCTAAATGCTATATTTGCAACTAAATCAATGTTTTAGTATAGGGATGTGGATACAGGAGGCCGTCAATGTCTAACATAACGGTATATCAGGCAATGCTTGTCAATATTTGATCGTTGATCATTGGTAGCCCATTAACTATCTCATTGACCATTATTCATAGCAAGGCGCTCCCTTTATGGATATCCACGTATTCAATTGCATTTCACATGTCGCTAGAATATCTTTAATGGGTCAAACAACCTTCTCATTAACGGATCACGTAAACGAGTGGTACACCTTGAGGCAGCTAGAACACCACCTTCAATACCAGGTTTGATAATCATATTGCTCTTATTTTCCTAACAAATTATCAAGTTTTATAACACCCGGTGTCATTCCAGTGAAAATATCGTCAGTGTAGAACTTGGAGACTGCCAGTGCTCGTATTTAAGGTGGTCTACAGTGACGTAGCCAAAGTGCCACGTGCCTCCCCGTACTATGTATGTTCTTTGTCTTTCGTACTTTTTCCTCTTTCCTCTCGCGATTCTCAATTGGCTATTGGCTCTAGAATCCGTGTTCCGCAGCTTAGCCTCTTTAGAACCCAATTGCCTGTTGCCTGACAGTCCATGACCAAGGCTCTTACGCGGCCCGACTCCATTGCCACAAGTGGCGGTGCTCAGCGCATCAACAGGTTTCAGGGTCTGGAACTGCTCGGGTCTTCGATGAACCCTGCAGATCGGGAGTTTGGGGTTCTGTGGTCCAGTTTGGAGAGAGCAGCTCTAGAATCTGGAGCCCTCACAATTGAGGCAAGGGACAAGACCGGATCTCCGGCCACGAGGTAATCGCGTATGGACATTATCTGGTGGAAGTATAGGCTACTTAGGACGGTCTCTGATGGCTCCAGGCAAATAGCCTTGGTACGCTGATTTGGGGCTTAATTTCCGTGAGAAATATGACTCCAAAATTCCCACTCCATCCTTATTCATCTTTGCCTTTCAAAGCTAAACGAGAGCGCGTGTAGATCGTCGCTCCGTAGAGTTGGAACGGTAGCCGGTACATCTGGCTTCGTCACTGCCAAGCCTCTTCCCCCCGTTGCAGCCACACTCCCCTCTCCTTCTCACTCTTCCATCTTCCATCTCCATTACCCTCGCTGTTCAGAACACGACTCAGAGTCGGCTTACCCTAGAAGAGTCACTTTGCCTCCCCTGACGAAACGGGAGTTGAGAGAACGCGCTTGACCACCATCTTGGGCCGCGATTCGGAGAAAGAGAGTCCGTGTGCTTGGCAGTTGAACTCTCCGGCGACAATCCTTCGCGTCGAATACTTCTACGCTGCGACTACGATCCATTACGTCTATCCCCCATTTCCTGCAACTGTACAACCGACACCATGTCCAAAGTCGTGCGCAGTGTGAAGAACGTCACAAAGGGGTATTCCTCGGTGCAAGTCAAGGTCCGAAATGGTACGAGCTCTCTTATTCCTCTCGAGTGGCTGGATGAACAGAAAAGTCTGGGCGCATCTGCAGAATGGCTGTATTCGTGGCCTGTCCCCCTGTTTGCCCGGGGTTGCTGCAATGCGCCCCTCTATCCACCCCGCATGCAATAGACCAAGGACGCTGATTTTCATATCTTACAGCCACAAGCAATGACCCCTGGGGTCCTACGGGAACCGACATGTCCGAGATTGCTGCCATGACTTTCGGGAGGTAAGACCGATCTGCGCCCAATTGTGTGGGTACCACTAACGTCATTTGTATAATAGCCCGAACGAGTTCTACGAAATCATGGACATGCTCGACAAGCGACTGAACGACAAGGGCAAGAATTGGCGACACGTGCTGAAGTCACTCAAGGTCCTGGACTATTGTCTTCACGAAGGCTCAGAGTTGGTGGTGACATGGGCACGGAAAAACGTCTATATTATCAAGACTCTGCGTGAGTTCCAATACGTCGATGAGGAAGGAAGGGATGTTGGCCAGAATGGTAAGTTGTCTTTGCGCCCGGAGAAGTCGCATTACTGACGTGTGGATCATAGTTCGAGTGGCCGCAAAAGAATTGACCGCCTTGGTATTGGACGAAGACCGACTGCGCAGCGAAAGATCCGACCGAAAGCTCTGGAAGACTCGTGTTAGTGGGCTCGACGAAGGCTATGGAAATTCCGGGGGCGAACCCCCACGCCGGGAGCGACGCCGACGCAACCCAGAAGATGAGGACGATACCGAGTACCGTTTGGCCATTGAAGCCAGCAAGAACGAAGCCGAGGAAGAGCGCAGGCGACGGGCCAAGGAAACTTCGGGAGTCGAGAATGACGAGGATCTGGCCAAGGCTATCAAGCTCAGCAGGGAAGAAGAAGACCTCCGCAAGCGTGAATTGGAGGAGAGCAACGCGCATTCTCTGTTCGACGACACTCCAGCCCAAGTCCAGCCAACCGGTTATAACCAGGGCTACCAACAACAGGGTGCTGTGGATTGGTTCGGCAACCCCATCAATGTGCAGCAGCCGATGACGACCGGCTTCTTGAACAATCAGTATGCCCAGCCAACAGGATTCCAAAACCAACCTACCGGCATGAACAACCCGTACGCCAATGGCTACCAGCAGCAGCAGCCCTCGGGCTTTGACCAGAACCCGTACGGCCAAGCTCAGAACAACTTTTTGCAACCGCAGGCCACTATTCAGCCTCAGCAAACCGCATTCAACCCCAACAACCCTTACGGCGGTGGTGATGTTTTCGCGCAGCAATCGCAACAACAGCAGCCCCAGGAGAACTACCCGTCGGCCGGAAGCAACAACCCATGGGCTGGCAACCAACAGCAACAGCAAGCGGATGCCTTGAAGCCCATGCAAACCGGATCAAACAACCCCTTTGCCCAGCGTACTCAGACCCAGTTCAATAACCCTGCGCAGACTGGACCTCCAACTCTCAACTCCTTGGCAGAGGACCACGCAACCAACCAGTTCAACCAAGCAAACTCGAACCAGTACGGTATGAACAAGCCGTTCAACCAACCCTCCCAACACAACCCAATTGCCAGCTTCCAAGCCCCACAGCCACCCAAGAGCACTCCCCCCATGTCGCAGGATCCTCACCATGCACGTCTGAACGCACTTCTCGGATCAGGCGAAGGCCAGGACACCTTTGGAAACGTGGGAGATCTTCGGATTCCCGCCCAGCACACGGCTCCTGGCACATTTGTCAACTCTGCCGGTCAGGGTCTGGACCGACTACACGCAACGCCTACCGGAAACAACCCATTCTTTGGTCAGCAATTCACAGGCATGCCCCAGCAGACCGGCTTTGCCCAGCAGCAGCAGCCTACCAACAACCCCTGGGGCGGTCAGCAGCAGCAACAGCGTGGAGGTAGCTTGATTGACCTGTAATCAAGCCACCTGGGACTATCTCTACTCATCCTTGACTTCGCGAAGGCCTCACATGCGGATACCACCAATCTCTTTGTTTTTTCTTTCTTTCTGTTTTCTCGTTCTATCATTCGGGGGCTTGGTTTCTGGTTGCGTTACCCCGGTCTCATTATTGTCCTTCTTCGTTTCTCTCCCTATCGTCTCCAAAATGATACTCACCACAATCTTCCTACATCTACGAACCTGTTCGAGCTGCGTTGTAAAGTGAAGGCTTCTCAGACATTCAAGGCTTTCCTCGCTCTCCCTCTGATGTTCTACTTGGGACATTTTATCACTTCATTGTCTTGTGCCTCTTCGAGACTTTTTCTTTTGTTGTTTGTTACCTTTGCCATTAGGATATCCTTCTCATTTCAAATCAGTCTTTTGAGATCTCTTGTTCTCATTTACTCTTGCTACATAGTTGTTGGTCTTGTCGAACTGTAATCTATCGTACTCGAACCAGCATATCTTCTAATATTCATCATAAATAAGCATAGACGCTGGAGGCTGCACGCAAAGGCATGGTGCGAAGTGGCAGTGTCAGAAATCTTTAGTTCATCGGCAAATTACCTTTGACTTGCTGATAATATCCAAGTCACTCTTTACTATGCCCCCAACAGCTGAAATCCGATGAGTAAACATTGAAGAAAGAATCATAATTTTGGTTGCACATAACATGGTATCTACTCATCATCACTTTCCTCCTCTTCACTCTCCTCTTCCTCACTGCTCTCCTCCTCGGCCTCAGCCAACCACTCGACAAACTGCTGAGCCTGGCCACGCACAGTCCGCATCTCCTCAGTAGCACTGGACCGCTCATCATTCCACCACTGGTCATAAGCCTCCTCGTCAACAAGCTCAAGCTCATAAAGACTCTTGGCAGTAAACAGCAAGACAGTATCGCCCTTGGAGCGATGGACAAGATCCTGCTGAAGCAAAAGCAACAAATCAACCTGATCCTTCTTCTGCTCCTTCTGGCGATCGAACAGCGTCCGCTCCACAACCTCCTTGTACTTCGTAAACACCTCACTCACAGCCTGACCAGCGCCCTTGCCCGCTTCCATCACCTGCTGGATATGCTTCATGAACGAAGAGACAATAGCGCGGCGGACCTGATTGTCCGATGCGTTGGCTGTCATGCGCAGACTGACAAGCTCGAGCTGGACGACGTCGGCGGAGACGCCTTCGCGCAGACTGTCGAATACACTTGCCGAGGCGTCGTGGTGGAAGTTATCTTGCTCTTCATGGTCTGTGGAGAAACTGCTACGGCCCGAGTGTGGCCAGGATCCCTGTGATATTTCTGAAGATAGAGTTGAGATGGAGGCGGATGAGAGGGAGAGGGCAGGCATGCGGTAGATGAGTCCTGACGAGGCGATGCTCTCGTTGTCTTCGTCATCGTCGTCGCTGTCGTCCTCTTCGCCGTGGACGAATTCATAGCCTTCACCTCCTTCGCCAACGACGGCGGGGTCGGTCTCGGCTCTGCTGCCGTCCATTTTGGTTTTCGTGATGCGCTTGCCGCTCTCCACGGAGATGCCGTCTGCGATCTTCACGCCGAAGGAGATCAGCGCGCCCGTTGCGATGTTGCAGTTCTTGCCAATGACAACGCCGTCGGCGATGATGGCTCCGCGCACGTCGGTATTGTCGCCGATGACGACGTTGTCCCAGATGTACGCACCGTCCAGCTTGACGTTGCGGCCAATCTTGCAATTGCGGCCGAGAGTCGTGTTGTAAACGGTAGTCCGGTCTCCGATGCTGGTTCCCTGGCCGATGACCGTGCGACGGCCAATGAGACAAGAGCGCGCAAGTGTCACGCCCTGTTCTTGGTACAAGCTGCCCTTGCGGAGGTTGTAGCTGTGACCGGGAAGTAAGTTCGTGTCAGGACAGAGGGGGTAAGCCCAGCGGGAAATGACATCCTTGCTGATAGCGTCGTAGGCCTTGAGGTTGCGCACACGCGCAGCATAGTTGTCATTGATAATGTAAGTGTGAAGAGTCTTGCCGTTCAGCTCGTAATCCTTCAGAACACCGTACAAGAACTGTTTCCGAGGAGTCTGGTAATCGAAACTATCGGACCACAAGCTGAGCACGTCGGGGGTGCAGATATCGATGCTGCAATCGATCAGATCCTGACGGATGTCTAGCTCGGGGAATTCTAGAATGGTCTCGGCTTCGATGGTGATCCGGGCTTGCTCGGTGCAGTCGGGACTGCGGTTAATCTCCTCGTAGTGAACGCATCGGTTCTTGGTAGGGTCGATGACAAACACGGGCGAAGTGGAGGTGGACTTCGTTCGGTGGTTGCGGCCGGCTTCTCTTAGAACCATGGTCATGATTGCGTTCTTGTCCGTTTCCCGACGGGCCCTGTGTGCAGCGAGAGCGCCTTCAATAGGCAGGTTGCTGATCACATCGCCGCTTACCACGATGAAGTCTCCGGTGATGAGGTGCTTGCCGTCCAAATCACGCATCACGTCGCCAACGGAGGTGGATGTGGATTTGAGGAAGCTCAGGTGCTTGAAGGGGGAAGAGAGGGCTCTCCATTTGGAGGCACTAGTCATATGGGTCAGCTGTGTGTACCAGATGCAGTGTGCAAGGCTCGCCGTACTTGATGTATTTCTCTAGCTGGTCCGAATGCGCTCCGCCGTAGAGGAAGACCTCCTCTACGCCTGCATTGGCCAAAAACTCAAGAGTATACTCGATGAGGGGTGTGTTGGCGAGCGGCAGAAGACACTAGCAATTTGTTTCGTTATTCCTCAGGTCTTGCGTTCATGGGTAGGTTAAGGGTTCATACCCTAGGCTTTTCGCGGGTGAAGGGCTCGAATCTCGTCTCGAAGGTATCGGCAAGGACCTAATAGCGTCAAAAATGAGTATTCCTGTCGCGATACCGGTACAGCGGGTTCAGCGCAAACACCGCGTCGATTTGCTTGACATACCACGGCCTGGAAGGTCTCTTCCACTTCCTCCGCCGCATTCGCCTTAGGCTTTTGTGCGCCTTTCTTGTTGGGAGCCATGGCTATAAAACGAGCAGTCTGTCAGCCAGGCAATCACATGCAATCGCTATCTCAATCGCTGGTCCCTTCGACAAATTCAAGAATGGAAACGAACAGGGCTAACGTACCTCGCAGAATCAACGCTTAGGAACCAAGATGGAGCAAAATAAAAAGCTGCGCGCTATCACCGGAGACAAAAGGCGTGCTTTGCGAACCAAGAATAATAATAGACAAAAAGAAGCACCGATCTATCAAAGGGAGGGCACAAAAAAGCATCGGAGTCATCCTGCCCACCTGTTTGCTTTGTTTGCACTTTTGTCAACTATAGCAAATCATGCCTCAGGCAGACATTGCTGTCGGGCATAAATATCAGGCATCAATATAATCCGACCTGCCGTGATGTTTTGAACAATCGATAATTTATCACATCTCCCGGGTATAATTTAGCCTTTTCAGATCATGAAAGTATCTCTATCCCATATTCATCTGTAGATCTGTGACCTGTTGACGCGAGCACACGAATAAGGCTCACTTGGATTATGTTGATACAATGACCCCAAGAACAGGCCTAATAATATTGCATTTCTTTTCTTCCTTCTCTTCTTCTTTCTCTTCTTCCTGTCTTTCTAGTGCTTTCTTTCATCCATTGTGTCACGTCTTTGAAGCTCCACTGCTGTGGTCCCAGTATCTTGTTCAGCCCGTGAGCTGGTGATCAAGCACTCAACTTCACCTCTTCCACTTCAATCCAAGACTGGCCCCCTTTGAAGCTACAGAGGAAGTACTGCCGATGTTCTAATTGATTGAATTAACGATGGCTTCATCGCCGAAGATTACAGAGTGGACGGCCCATGCATGTGCTCTCCATTTATTATTATCGAGAAGCTCACGAAAAGATCCAAGCTGTCTATTCGGAGAGAAAAAGAACCAGTTTCTAAAGTGGTCTCTAGTATTATGACAAGTGACTGGATAAACGGCCCTATGCTACATTCCTTTGAGCTACTCTACTAGTCAATCCCGGACCCAAACCACTCACACTGATATTCCCTCCGTCTGGCGTTGGGAAAATGTCCTGACAGAAATCACAAAATTTATTGATTTCACCGATGTTCTCACAAAAGGATGTATGAGCGTACAGCCTCCAACGGCAGACAAGCCTGATCCAGCTATCCTCGTCCCAGTGGTTATGGAAAGCGAGCGAGAATTCCGAGAGATGCGCGACATTGGTGTCAATGTCCCGATTCATTACAAACCGTCCACAGTAGCCGTTATGATTTTGAGAGACGATCTCGTGACAAAGTCTAAACCAGATCATCTAGACGTTGATCGCAAATTGCTAGATAGAAAAGTCCGAGTCAGTGCAAACCTTTCAATCAAGAAAGTCCAGCTTGAAACACGACAAGCTGGGAGGCTTCATCGAGCTTGAATTCGACGACGCAGACTCAGAACCGATGATTCTCAGTCTGACTTATTTCCACTCTATTCACGATGACGAGGGAGCTACTACCTCTATTAAGTCCATCTCATCCAATCATGCCAACATCACTTAGTCTCCATTCATATCTTAAAATCATATCTCAAAATCATATCTCAAAATCATATCTCAAAATCAACTCACTCCTATCTAAAACCATTCAAACAAAAAACCCAAAAAGGCCTAAACCTCTTCTCAAACGTACCAGAGAACTAACTTGCAACCTCTAAATCCAACAACCACCCCTCCACGATATAAAGTTATCAACCCCATCCCAAAGCACCCCAAATCCCAGATATACGAAACAAACCCCAGAAACCAAGAATTCCCAAACCAGCCCCGAAAAAAATCAGCAATATAAGAAATGGACCTCGGAAACAGCCTCGCTAACCGCACTCAACGACGAAATCGCCAAGTTCAATTCCAACGCCCATCTAGGCTCTGTAGTCGCTGATTCTGGGGATACAGGGGTCTTTGGTTCGGGGTTGGGATGGGGGTGTTAGGGGATGATTACTAGGTTGCTCTGATACAATGGGGTTACTTTCTTTTTACTTTTGTTGATGATTTGTTGGGGGATGTTCAGGGGATGACGGGGGGGGCTAAGGGGGTGCGGATTATGGAGAGTCGCTGGGTGAGGAGGTGGAGGAGAGGGGAAGCTTAGGGTAGGGATGCTAGGGGTGAGTGGTGGATCTAAGAATAGGGTCTTCACTTACTCAGGGGTCAGTTGGAGGGACGAGAAAAGAAAACATGCAAAGGGGAGTTTATGGTATGATATGAGGGCGTGGAAAGGAGTACGGTGCATATTGGATTTGATACGCAGACTTGAAAGAACTGTTAAAGTCAAGTTAAATGCCAACTTCATAGTTCAGAGGTGAGGCAGTGTTCACCACTCACCACTCTTCTATACAAATAACCTCATCAACCCTAATTTATAAACCGCCCAAACCCTAATACGCCACACCCTTCCACCAGCCACAGATCCAGTCGCGGTCCAGAACTCCCCGCGTGGTCCAGGCCCTCCGAAAATAGTCGGAATCTCGACGGGCCTAGACTCTGATTGTTTACGCCGATCCATTCTGGAGAATTAGAGATCCGATGCTTAAATGCTGCGGTGTTTGGTACTCGGGATCTCGGGTGTGAAAATTGCGAACCCGCCGACGTGGACTCCGTACACGCGGCAACGCCGAAAGATGAATTGGAATTGTCAATTATTGGCACTGAATTATTGGGTCGAGGATGCATATGCAGACGAAACCCCTTATCGGATCCAGGTGACCCCGATTGTACAGTACTCCGTACTAGTGTGGTGATTTGCAAGGTACTGTATGGCGTGTCATGTCTCATGCTATCCAGGGATCTCCAAGGTCCGAAACCCGACCCCCGACCCCCCTACGCCGACGCGGTCTTTACGTACTGTACGCATCATCTGGACACAATCAAGTGACAAAAATATGTTCGTAAATATATGTACCGGGCGAAAACAATCTCGTAGGAGGTGGATGTATAGAACCCCCCACGGTGGATATAGCAGACGCAGGACTCCAAAGTCCGCAGCGGGCTGTTCGCAATTCGAACGCCACCCCAGAACCAGTAAAGCAAAGCCACCAACGCCGTAACCTGTAAAATGGGGTGGAGAGACAATGACAAGATCCGCTAAAAGCGGCCAATGTACGACTTGGAAGCCTCGTTATAAACAAGTGGGAATCGTGAGAGATAGACAGGCGGGAAGGAGAGAGAGAGATAGAGAGAGAGATGGAGCGAGAGAGAGAAGGAAAGGAGCAAGGGAAAGAAAAAATGAGGTGGATAAATCAATTGGTCGTGGATTAGATCAGATCAGCCTGGACGGCCTGCTTGCACAGCAAGCATGGGTTGAGGCTGTGGGTACATCCGTTGGCGTTTGGGCATGTTGGGGTTTTCTGTTGCGCTGGACATGTCTGAGATTTGGCGGCGATGAGGGGGCCGAGAGAGGGGGGCCGGCTGTGGGCACGGCGACTGGCGCTGCTGGGTATTGGATGCCGTTTTGGTCGACGGTGTATGCCGCTTGAGGTGCTGTGACGTATGCGCCCTGCACTGCAGGCATATTTTGTGGAACGGCTTGCATGTTTTGAAATTGGCCGGGGGATTGCCAGTTGCTCATGGAGCCTGCAGGCGATTGGCCTGGGGAACTATCTTCCTTGATTGACTGAGTGGCCGAGTTTTGGGCGGCAGCCATGGTGACTGCGGCGGCTGATGGTGGTACCTGGTCCATGGGACCGCGTGGTGAGGTCTTGAGATGGTCCAGGTGTCGTTCCAACATTTCAAGGAGACTCTTGCGAGTGAATGGTTTCGGCAGAACGTCGTCCATGCCATGTTGGAAGTAGAGCTGGATGTCGTCACTTCGAATGTTGGAGGTCATGGCAATGATAGGAGTGCGGTCGAATTGGCGGATCAAATGGCATGCGGAGACACCATCCAGGTTGGGCATGATAATATCCATCAAAATAAGGTCGTATTTGGAGCCGCCTTGGATTTTATTCACAGCTTCCAGACCATCAAACTGCCAACTGATTAGCCAAACTCGCTTTCTTGCCTCTCCGAAAAAGAACACCTACCGCGCTGTCAATCACGCAATTGAAAGAGTAGAGGAATTTGCCACCAATCTGCCGGCAAGTCGAGTCGTCCTCAACCAGGAGGATCTGCGGGCTGCGCACCCAGCCAGGGTCCACATTCGTGCTCTTCTTGCGGTTATCAGCAAACTGCCGACGAGCATCTGAAGTATCGATATCCTGCTTAGCCGGCATGGGGTAGGGAACATTATTGATGTGCTCGCTGTACATGGGATCGATGCCGTTGGTGGCGCCGACCGGGTAGACCACTTGCTCTAGGTCGCCAGCCATCTTCGGGTAAACGAGTGCTTGGTTAGCGGGCGCAGTTGTCGATGTGCGAATGGATCCATTTCGGGAATTTGGGTCCATTGTAGGTGTTGAAACGACTCCGGCTTTGGGGGGTTCATTCATCGAGTCGACGCCACTCATGTTGAATTGCATTTCGGCATTCATGTCGCTCAACAGCTTCGACGCATTCTGCAGTGGGGAAGACGGATCGTCATCCACGGCTCCCACTTGGGATGGGCTCATGTTTGTGCCGGCTTGGAACGCGGCGGCCTTGTTGTCCCCCCGACGCTGGCGATCCACCGTGAGCAGGTGCGCCATCACCTGGTGGATGACATTTTCGTGATTCAGAACTGTTTTCTGTACCCGCATCACCTCCTGTAGCATCAGCTGATGATCGACTGTGAGTTGGGCATAGCGGTCGGAGAGGTGCTGGATCTGCTGTTGTTGGGCGACGATCTGCTGGTTGAGCAGGTCGATTTGTTGGGTAGGCACGGAGTCATCGTTAGTCTGGGTCTGTTTCCGCGGCGCCGGTGCTTTTCGGCGAATGTTATCGAGAGACTCTTTGCTGTTCGCCCGGAATTCAGGGTGCTTGAATTCCCACGCCTATTCTGTGTGAGCGGGGGGAGTTGCGTCCATCGTGGCATAGGGGAGCCTACATTCTGCCCGTATGGCGACTGGCCATTTTCCTCGTTGTTTTGGCGAACCTTGTGGAAATCGTACTTGTTCAGTTGGCGTACAAAACTGGCAAAGTTACTGTGCTTGAAGTGTTTCGGTAGGATGGTCTTGGTGAATTTCTCGCACTATTCGACGTTGCGTTAGCCTCGACCTCGCTTTTCATCACATGCCACGGGCGCATTACCTCCAAGACCACGAAGCTATCTCCTTCGTCGCCCCAGCGTACAATCGACGCGTAGGTCGGGTCCTCCAGCATTCTAGACTCATCATTAGTATAACTGGAGACCCCCAGCCATCCAAGCGACTCACTTGTATAATTTGCGTACCTGGTCATGTTAGCCGATAACTTACCTCAGAGGGGGGGGGGGGATTCACGTACAAAGTCGCTAGAGTTCCCAGCGGGGGCGGGATTGGAAGAGGTCTGGCCCTCCATGGCTAGACGGGTCGCGACCGGACAGACAGGTCTGGTCCCCTCGAAGAAGTAAATATAAAAAAGTGAAGATGGGTGAGAGTGTGGAAGAAGAGAAAAATTGAGATGGGGGAGTTTGGCGGTAGAGCCAAGTACCAAAGTTACTGTGGAGGTCCTTTTTGGGGGGGGGGGGGGGGGACTTGCGATGGACTTTTTTTTTGAATCTTGGAGATTTCTCTTAGTATTTGACATGCAAGGAGTCGGGTTTTTCTATTCAGGGACCAACGAGGGGCAAATATCTGGCATGTTCACCCTTTTCCCTTTTTATTCTACACGGCTACAGGCGATGGATTTGGGTTTAGTTTTTCGCAGAGGACCATGCCCTCCGAATGAGACCAAATGGGTGCCAAGAACGATTATTAAGAAAGAACTGGTTTGCTTTGTCTTGGACTTTGGTTCTTAGGTTGAATCTCTGGCAGTTTTTAATCTCTGAGGAACTCCTTACCCACTTTTCAGGTTCGGTTTCAGAGCCCTCGGATCCTCATATCCCATAGACAATGGACAACACATCTCTCGCTCACCTCCTATCTCCACTTCAAGCTCAAGATGACTGCATCCTCATTAGAGAACGGACATCGACTGTGCAACAGGCCACGGATCCACTGCGTCATGGAGGAATAGGAGATGACTTGGTATCATCCGATTCGAAGAGGCCTTGTCCTCCCTGTTCTTAGTAGCGGTTCTGATATACTCGCGGTACCTGCGGTATAGCCTCCGTAGGTCGCACTGTAGAGACCAAATCGGGTGGTATTATGGACGAGTTCGAATCGTCCATCAACGTATCCGTCAATAGAGCAGAAAAGCAAAAACAAGAGAGAAAAAAAGCAAAAACAAGGCTGAGACCTTGACGGGAGCAATGCAAATAAAGGATTATGCTATGCGGAGTTCCTTCACTATGTGATGGTCGAGACACATTCCATTCCCGGTGGCATTTCATTGGCACTGGCACTGGCACTGGCATTGGCACTGGCACTAGCATTGGTACTGACAACTGACAAGCAAAGCAGCCCAGTCAAGGGAATCCCAGTGCTTCGAACCCTCGAGAAATGCCTGAGACGGACTATGCTGAATAAGGCAAGTCCATGTCGATCCAAATGACGAAACCCCGTCCAAGCTCCCTTTGCTTCTTTTCTCCCCTCCAGAACCTCTCTCACACCAGATATCCATCATGTTCGCTCGTCGTCTCGCAACCAACGTGCCCCGCGTTCGCGCGCAAGCCTCTCTCTTCCACAGCACCGCGCCCGCGTTCGTGCAAAAAGGCGACGCCATCCCCGACCTCGACTGTCTCGTCGAGAACTCCCCCGGAAACAAGATCAACCTGGCCAAGGAGATCAAGAACAAGGGTGTCATTATCGGAACCCCCGCTGCCTTTAGTACGCCATGCTCGGAATCCAAAACACCCCCGCCAAAGACGTCCAAAACTGACATTTTCCAGGCCCTGCTTGCTCGAGCACCCACGTTCCTGGTTTCATGAACCACCCCAAGCTCAAGGAGGCCGGTCAGGCTTTTGTCATCTCCGTCAACGACCCCTTTGTGTAAGCGGAACCTATCGAGTGGCACTGGTGGTTCGGACATTTGTTGACGGTGATCTATCATATAGGACCAAGGCTTGGGCTGATTCCCTCGACCCCCAAGGCAAGAGCGGTGTATGTGTTCTCCATCAATTGGCTTCAATGAGGTGGTAGGGATGTGACTGACATGGTTTGAACAGGTTCGCTTCCTGGGTGACCCCTCCGGCAAGTTCACCGAGGCTCTGGACCTGAGCTTCGACAGCGCTGCTATCTTCGGTAACGACCGCAGCAAGCGCTACGCTCTTCTTGTTGAGAACGGCAAGGTCAAGGAGGCCTTTGTCGAGCCTGACAACACTGGTGTGAACGGTATGTCCATGTTACGAGATCAAAAACTATATCGAGACAGAGTATCACTAACACCCTTAAGTTTCCACCGCCGAGAAGGTTCTCGGTTAAATAGACCAGTCTAACATAGATATATCCCTGTACAACGCTGGCAAAATACAAGTAAGCTATGTAAGAAAATAAGAAAAGTTGACACATGATTGCCCACGGCCTAAAATTGGTTCCATCTACTATACTCGTAGTACAAGAACGATTAATGTACAAAAGTTGACTTCCATTCCCTTCCAACCCGGCCAACGCCCGATAACCCGATGCCAGTAACCACGAACCAAGGACGACGCTGGATAAACGGAATGGACAATTAAGACGGTTGCTCCTCACTGTCCGTCCACTTCAATAACTTTAATTCCTTCCGAGCAATCCTCCGAGCGGGGACCCTGGGAGAAGGAAAGAAAAAAAAAGTGTTCATGGTTCGTCAAATTGCATCTCCAGCAGTATATGTACTCCATGCAAGTTCAGATCTACTGCGCAAGGGCCTGCCACTGCTCAGGGGTATAGCACTTGGGAGTCCAAGCATGGATAGCAGCAATCTCATCCTTAAGCGCAGCGTTAACAAGACGGTGTCGCGCAAGCATAGTCTTGCTCTCGAACTGGGGGGAGACGATGACGGCCTGGAAAGCCTGTCCACAGCCACCTATATAACGAAAAAAGCACGTAGAGATTAGCCCAGAACCGATCCCAATGGATACTGTAGCCGAACGGAAACAGTCTCTCCAGATTATGACGCCATACCAGACAGATCCTCAACCTCGACGTGCAGCGCCTGCAGCGTTTCAATGAGCTTGATCTTCAGCGAGTCGGCTGTGATTCCAGAAGTATCGGCCATGGCGTCGAAAGCGGCGTGCGAGCGCGCGGTTAGGGAGAACGAGGCCCGTTGAGTGGTTGTGTAAGGAAGCGAAAGCGAGGTTGCCCGGCTGGGGCTGAAAGTGTAGGGAGAGCGGAGAAGATAGCGACAGCTTCTGCTCAGTGCGGTTAAGGAAGAGGCGCGGGAGAACATCAAGGTTGGTGAGAAGGGGGTAATTGAAAGGCTGTTCCCGAGGTTCACACTTGATGTATGAGTTTGGCGTTTATTACAAATTCAGAGGCTCGCGCTGGCTGTGGCTGGTGTGGCACGTGTGTGGCGTTTATCTTTTATCGGGGCTCTTTTCTTGATGGTGGACGTACTCCGTACGTTGGAATCTGATTCACCCTTGATGACTCTCTTTGGCACTGCTGTGAGGCGAGCTTCTACCATGTCTATCCTTTCGATGTCTAGTCACACCTCTTATTTCACCCAGGCTGTGGTGGCCTCGATGAGGAAGCTGTTTGTTCTCCCCCGCTTCGTTTGAGAGCTCCCCGCATTGTAATGAGCTTGGTTGACTTTTTATGCAGGTACCCTGAAGCATTGGCTGACAAGAGCTTTGATAACACCGGATGTGAGCTTGTTCTATTCGAGCCCTGGTCTTTCGGTTTGCTAACTCTTGCTCTATCGCAGTGCTACTCGAAGCTCCCTTCGACTCGTCCCGCAAACAGAAGAACTCCGTCCTCCTCGCAATTGACCTCACAACAGCTGTTGCCGACGAGGCCATTGGAAAGCAATGCTCAGTCGTCGTGGCATACCGTACATACCCCCACATATCCCCCATTGAAGAATATCAGCCACGATCGACTAACCCAGCCCAACAGACCCAATTATTTTCCGCGGCCTCAAGTCCCTCACATCCGCCGACACCCAACAAAGATCCCTGCTCCGTCTAGCCCAGCATGGGATCAGCGTCTACTCCCCGCACACAGCAGTCGACACCGTCCCCGGCGGAATGGCAGACTGGCTCTGCGACGTCGTGACAGGCAGCTTCAAGCCCAGTTCCACAACAAACGCCACCATCGCCAACTGCACATCAAGCATGTACACCGCACCCTCATTCCCAGAAGCCCCCATCCCAGCCGTCCACGCTTCTTCCCCCCAAGCACCCCAACACACCCGCAGCACAATCCACCCATCCCCACCCGCTTCCATCCCAGAGGGCTTCGAATCAGCCGGTGCCGGCCGTCTGGTCACCTTCACCGACGCCCAGCCCCTAACCACCCTGATCGACAATGTTGCCCGTGGCATCGGTCTGCCGGGTGGGATCCCCATTGCCGTGCCGCAGGGCCGGTCAGTAGACGAGATGCAGATCCGGACTGTTGGCATGTGCCCCGGCTCTGGATCGGGCGTTCTCCTCAAGGGCTCCGGGCCGATCCCTGACCTTCTTTTGACGGGCGAGATGAGCCACCATGAAGCGTTGGCGGCTACGGAGCGTGGATCAGTCGTTATCTCGCTTTCGCATACGAACTCCGAGCGGGGCTATCTGCGTTCTGTTATGCAGCCAAAGTTGCTGAAGGATCTGGATCAGGGCTGGGATGCTTGCTTCGAGGAGGCTTCTGGGGCTGAGAAGGGGCTGGTTTCGGATGTTGTCAAGGAGTTGTATACTGCCCAGGGGAAGGCGGAGGTTCTTGTTAGTGTTGCTGATCGGGATCCCTATGGGATCATGATCTGGCGGGGGAATTAGAGGTTGGTTCTTGTTTTCATTTTCGAGGCCTTGGTTTATAGGGCTTTGATGAGAAACGATGTAATTGAAGTGTTTGATGAAGAGTAAATGGATATCAACAATCCATGGATATTCAGTTAATCTGACATCCAAACCCAGGAGCAAAAAATAAACATCTACACATTGCTCAATCCTGTATCTATAAATAAACAAAACAATTCATGAAATGGATTGCTAATCTTCAGTCAACACCAGATCTTGAACCACCAGATCTCAAGAAAAGAAGACCCCATCGTAAGATCACAAAGATACATGGTCATTGAAAAGTTAAGAAAAAAAGAATCGCTGAAAGATACAAAACCAGAAACAAACACAAACACAAACACACACTCACACACAAGAACAGGGAGTCTCCCAATCAATAAAGACTTTTTTTACCACCAAAGAAAAAAGATCATCCCCGTGAATGCCCAAGACCCCCAAGGATCCAGCCTCTCCTAATGTATATCCTCAACAGACCTATGCACCGGATCTCATGATCCCAAGCGGCGAACCAGCGTCCAATGGGGGAAAATAGAGAAAAGGGCAAGAGGCGAGATGCGGATACACCAACAACGAGATAGCTAGATAGACACAGACAAACAAGGACGGTAGAGTAAATGAGAAAGATGATAAAAAGAAAAAAGTAAAGAGATAAAAGTAAAAAAGAGAAGAAATGATCAAGAACGTTTGTACATGTAGATGGAAGATCTGATTAAACAGCGTACCGGAACCGAATAATAAATCAAAGATCAAGATCAACGCTAGCGCTAGCGGCAGGCAGATGGATGTTAGTTTGATATATTCCCCTTTACAGGCGACCAGATCACGGACGATCCGAGAAAGAACTCACCCGTCCACGTCTGCCTCCTCCCGGCTGGCCCTGCACGGGTTGGGCCTGGGCCTGGTTGTAGTATTGCGGGGGGAACTGCGCATACATTTGGGGAGGGTTGGGACCGGGGCTGAACTGCTGGTAGTTCGGCTGGTTGAGCATCTGGCCGGAGGCGGACAGTTGAACGGGCTGCTGGGGCAAGGAGCGCAGGTTGTCCATCGCTGGTGACCCGGGGTATCCGTAGGCGCCACCTGGAGCACTAGGGTAGGTGGGAGCAAGGCCACGGGCTTGGGCCTGGGCGTTGATGAAGGCCTGGTATTGCAACTGCTGGTACTGGTGGTTCACGGGGTCCTGGTTGGGGTGCGGGAAACCGCTCAGGTGGTTGCTCAGTCCGTTGCTTGCGTAGGGGTCCATGGGAGGGTTGGCCTGGTCGGCGGTCATGGGACGGGAATCGATATTCGCAGCAAACTGTCCGTTGTACTGGCGGTCCATGGAAGGTTGGGCTGGGTAACCAGCTGTGCTTCCTTGCCGGGAGGATTGACGTTGCGACTTCTCGGGAGTGGCGTGGCCGGCTCCGTGCTCTCTTCCATGGTGGTGCTCACGGCCGCTGCCACGAGAAGAGAGACCCACCTCGTCCATAAGACGCTTGTAGCCCTGGCTCGGGGAAGCCTTGAGCTTTGTGAGAACCTTGGAGACGTTCTTGACAACTTCGGATCGCATCGACTCATCAAAGAAGGGAGTAGTCAGGACCTTGAATATCAGGGTTGCACCAGAGGTCTGGTCGCTCAAGATCTTCTCCAAAACTTCGTCACCAGGGCTGAAGAAAAGGGCTTTGAGAACAATGTCGCGGGCCTCTGGCTCATTGCGCTGGTTGATCACCTTGAGAACGGTCAAGTAGGCAACCTTATGGGTACAGAGGTGGACAAGGTGGGGGACAAGTCTCGGGGCCAAGACAGTTCGGCGTCGGGGGAATGTACATGTATCGAGGAACCATGTGAGAAGAAGAGCTCCGTTGGCATTGGTCGCCAGCTGTACGCTGTGAAGAGCAATAGCAGCGGCAAGCATGCGCTGCTGATCCTTGGTGGCGTGGTGGCTTTCCAGACAAGCCCGCATAGCACGGGCACCAAATCGACCTTGAGCAACTTCCCACATGCGGCTCAGCATAGATTCAAAGATGAAGCTGTTGAAGGGGCTGCCAAATCGGAGGCAGCATTGTAAAACGTAGTTTCCGTATTGGTCCAGGAAGAGTGGAACAGTGTAGGGACGGAGGGCATCAATGATCAATTGCATCTGCGCAGGAGTCTTTGCAACATCAATAATCTTCTGTGCAGCCCAGGTACCATTCTTGTGGACACCAATCTCAGCAAGATGGGGAGAAATGTGAGCCAACATCTGTTCCTTGGTGATCTCGGAACAAAATTCGAACAACTTCTGGACAACAGTGTTGCCCAGGTAATCAGACGCAAGTTCGGCAATTTCAGGAAGCATGGCCTCGGCAGTCTCTTCGATCTCTTGGATGGAGCAAGCACCATTATCAATTCGCTTCCGAATGTCACGAAGACGAGGTGCATCAAACATCCGGGACTGACTAGGCTCTGGGATCGAGGGGATCTCATCTTCAAAGTCTTGGAAGGCGATAGAAGTCTGAATGCTGGCAGTGATATTTGCGGAATCCTCTTCACCGGCACCAAATTCTTGCACGATTTGCACCATCTCGGGAAGGAGATCAGCCAAAGCGGCAATCTGGGGAACGCTGCTGACGTTATCCACCCGATCCGTTCCATCTGCAGATGCGAGGTTTGAGCGGAAGTGGGGGTCAGGGGTAGGGGAAGACTGAATGCCATTCGCACCAGGGGTCCCTGTGGCCGAAGCACCAGGAACCTTGGCATAACCAATTCGGACGGGTCCAGCGCCTGGGAAGATCTCCTTGCCGTTCAGCAACGACTTAGCCTGAACCGCACTGTCCAGACGGTCAAAGTTGACGAAACCACAATTCTTGTGCGTGAGGACACGGGTAGATTCGATCTTGCCGTAAAGTCCAAAGATTGCTTCAAGAGATGTTACAGTTGTAGAAACGGGGATGCTGCCAATCCACAGAGCCCGAGTAGGACCGTCCTGGTTGTTCTCGTCCAGAACCTCACCTTGTCGTACTCCCATGGCGTGGGCTGGACCACCGAGTCCCATCAATTGAACAGCCTCGGAGAGGTCATCGTACTCACCATTCTCCGGGATTCCTAGATCAGCAGCACTGAAGCTGTTGTCGAGGCGAGAGGGAGTTGCGAGATAATTGCGGATGTTGTTTCGCTGGGAAGGAGCCTCCAAGATACCGGCAGTCCGAGCACGAGGTCTGCTCACAGATGCGTGATTGGCAAATGCCTGGACGGCAAGGTTGTGCTGATGAATTTGGGCCTGGGTGGCAGCAAGTTGAGCGGCAGTTGCAGCAGCAGACGGAGTCAGAGTACCAGAGGGAAGTTGAGAGTAACGGCTTTCATATTCGAGATCCTCATCGTCGGCGTATTTCTCCTTGGCGTTGACAGAGTAAGAGCGGAAGCGATTGTTGTTCTTCATCATTGCCAACTCAGCCAGGAGTGGCGGGAGCGCAGAGGCCTGCTGTTGCTGTTGCTGCATCAGAGATTCCATTGAGGGGCGCGCAAGAGAAGCTCTCGCCTGTTGAGGGGTCTCAGCAAGTCCAAGGTAATCCAGCGTCTTAACATCGGTATCTGCAAGTCCGTCCCTGGAGAATGAAGAATGACTGGGCGAAGTCGGTCCTTCCGAAGATCGAATACTAGTCAAAGTGGTAGCTCGCTCACGACCCGTCGACCAGGTGGTTGAAAATAGGGATGGGCCGAAAGGACCGGCCCCTCCCAAGAAATTGCTTCTCTGCGGCATCGAGCCAGCTCGAAGGCGTGATAACATGGCCGGATCACGGCCAGCTGCGGTGCTCGCAACCTTATGACCCGTATCCATTCCAGAGACAGGCGGTCTAAAAGGACTAGTCGAAGGTGTTGGTCGTGAAGTCTGCGAGAGCAAAGGCTGCTGGACATCCAATTCGTTGAGTGTGCCCATTGGGGGGAAGCGAGAAGGCACGGTTCCAGCACGAGCGCGGCGTCCGGGGCTGTTCATTGAGCTACTGGTAGTAGGCATCAGGTCCGGGAAGCTATCCTGGCTGGGTGATTCGGGAATGTTTTCTCGAAGTGGGGTTGAATGGCCGCTGGTAGGAGGACCCCAGATGCTGGGAGAAACACCCTCTTGTGCTTGAATTTCGCGAGCCCTGCCGGGAAGTCAGTCAAGTCCCGTTCGTTTCCACTGAAGCCAACCTACCGCTTTGAATACAAACGCGCCCCCAAATCGTGTGAAGGGGATCCAGCCCCCGGCCTCGAACTACCAATCGATCCCGGAGCAGTTCCGAATGGTGTTCTTCCGCCCCCAGATCCAGAGCCAGACAGATCACTCGGGGAGCTGCGCCCCGTCGAGGTACCCGACATAGGCTGGGTAGTTGGGATGTAGTTGAAACTCATTTGTTCAGATCGCGACACCGGTAACATTATGAATTATCCTTCTGGCTTCGGTTGGGCAGTGCCCAATTCTTTCCGAATCTAAGACGGTTGTGTCAAGTTGGACCAGCAGGTTACGTGGTAAAATTTCCCGTTCCAGAGTCCAGCACGAGCATAGAAAGGGTCACAAGACTCGAGGGATCGGATGATTCTGGGAGAAATGTCGCGTTGAAGGATCGAGGAGAGTCTGAGGATGGAAAATTGGGGTTAGTTGACGTTCCCAAAAACGGTGTTTTGCGATGTTTGGGGAGCGGATGGGAGGGGTTGACGAAGCACATCCACCACGCCAGAGACACGGCGAACGATGAAGGAATGTGGGGGAATCTCGTACCGATGTTGAGTGCTTGACAAAAACTGCAGCTTCCAGGGCCCTGGATGATAATCTCACCGTTTGACTGTGCGTGTATGACAATCTGCAGGTGTCCCGAAGCGATCGAGTTAAGCCAAGAAACGAGCTTCTTCTATGGCGCAAGTGTTCAAAGGCTCAAAAACGAAAATGCAGGCACAAAGCCAAAAGAAAGATGGAGGATGATCCGCAAGGGATGGCTGGATGGAATTAGTTGAGGCGGAGGAGGGAAAAAGGTCCACCAACAGAGAAAAAGTTGAATTCGTCAGAATGCAAAACAAAAAGAAAGAGACGTGAGAAAAGTCAAGGGAGGATGAAGGAGAGAAGGAGAAGAGAAGAGAGGAGGCCGGATGCCCGAGGAAGATGTGGTTGGTGGAGTTGGCCCTCTTCAGCTTCACCCACAATCCAGTTGTTGATTTGGATGTGGGATTGTTTGGGCGGTGGGATCTACAGGCACTTGAAGAGGTATCGTATGACTTTGCTCTATAGGGTGCTCTACGGTCTGCTCTATGGTAGATCACTTTCTCTCTACTCGTAGACCATTGACCTCTATAGTCCATGCTATAAGTTACAGTATATCGGGGTTCGGCAGAAACAGAGGCAATTGACACAGCCCCATACAACTTCCGAGACGGAACCAGGCAACCGTCTCTGAAACACCCCATCTGGGAGGATAGAGAGTCAATCCCAAGAGTCCAAAGAATCTATAACCCCGCCCGAGCAGACTCAATCCAAGCCTTTGTTCCGAAGTGTGGAAGCGAGAGAAACACGAAGCCCCGCATTCCGATGCGTCATGTCTTGTCTCTACACACAACTTGAAGGAGATGTCAACCCCCGGGGTATACGATATGATGCAATCCACGCAAGGAGAAGGTGTTTGATATGAGAGTTGGTACAGTTGATGAAGTTGGTTGGTACGCGCAAGGGATGGGCCAGGTACGTGTCCTCCCGGTCTCAGTTCTAGCCTGTTCCTCACTGCCAAACTATACCGGGACGAGGGTTGTTGATATCATGGCCAATGTTGAGAATTGCACCGGTCATCAGCCCTGTCAGGTTTCTGGGAATCGGCACAAGCGGATGAACCGGGAGGTTCGCGCGGTCAGAGCTGTGGAACCTAATAGAACATATGAGTCGTCAGTGGTGGGGATGATGGGAATGGAGAGCTGTGAGCATGAAACAAGATTCAATGAATGCTATAACAGCCCAGGGAGATGAAGTGTAGTTGAGGTCGAGGGTAATGCGAGAGAGTAGAGAGACACGTTAAGTTTGGTCATTGGCTAGGAATGTCGTGCCTGAGGCCCCAATTTCACTTTCGCGTTCAAGCTCCTTGACTTGGCGCATCACTTTTCATCTCTTACTTGGGTGTAGCTTGCCACGTTAATTCCCTATAATCTCCTTGATATTTCCAAGGTGCACTCTATCGTGTTTCCTCTATCCGATGTTGAAACGACCATCCTAAACTGTGCGCTACCGGCATCAGCAAAATGACCGACATAATGGAAGAGGACCCATCCTCTGGGATGCAGTCCTCTGAGGAGGAGGTACCCGTGGAGTCCCTGGTCAGAGGGCGCGCGAAACGAAGCACGGCAGGACTACACATGTCCGCTCTCCTTGAAGCGGCCGCAGACGACGACTTAGCACTATTGTTTGAGGAGGTCGAGGACGACAACGAATTCGCCGACGAAATAGACCCGGAAGTTGAGGAAGATGAAGGATTGGAATCGTCTGACGACGATGACGACGATCAGGGACCTAGCGCGACGAATGACTACGAGGGCGAAGAGCAACTACAAAAAGACGAGCGCAAGAAGCGAAAACAGCAGAATGACCTTCGGTTCCAGACCCTACGCAAACGAGTCAAGATTGATCCGACCGCCATCAACGCCGTACCGGCCGCCCCTCCTCGTCCGAAGAAAAAGTCGGAGCGTATCTCATGGATTCCCACAGTAGAGGATGGGCCCACCCGGCAGTCTTCGCGTCGTCAGACGATGGTGAACAAGGAAATGACGCACGCACGTCTCAAGGATAGCCAGGAGAAGCGGGTGCGCATTATCGCTACTATGAAGGAGGCCGAGAAGCGCAAGGCCCATCTGAAGCCGAAGAAGATGACACAGGAGGATCACCTGGCGGAGGCTGCCAGGGTGGAGCGGCTCAACAGCAAGAGCTTGAACCGCTGGGAGCAGACCGAACGAAGAAAGGCGGATGAACGACGAGCGAGAATCGAGGCTCTTCAAAACCGCCGTCTGGATGGTCCGGTTATATCCTACTGGAGTGGTGTGGCTACATGGACCAATGGACGTCTTACTCGGGTCGGCAAGATGGATGTCAAACCAAAGCCGGACAAAGAAGAGGCCAAGAAGAAAAAGAAGGAGAAGGAGGACAAAGAAAAGGCGGCAGCGGATCAATTGGCCCTGCAGTCTATTCCTGTCTTCGGGCCTGTGCCTTATCCGGGTCCAACACCACCTTTACATAACTCGAATATTCCTGCCGCGGGTACTGCTGCGCCTGTCACACCGGGAGTACCAGCGCAGCAAGTTTCGACTTCTCTCCTTTCCACTCCTGCGATTCCAACGCCGCCCGGGGACAAGCCACCAGGAGTCGTCCCAACCCCGACTCCTGAACCCGAACAAACACCTGCTGTGTCTACTGGGACAACTGACAATGTTGACACGCTAGCAGAAACACCGGCAAGTGTAGTCATTCCATCCGAGAACGACAAGGGCAATGCAGCAGAAAAGCAAACCCCAGATCAAGAGACAAACTTAACGGCACCGACTTTGGAGAAAAAGGAACAAGCGCCAGACTCGACGGAACAGCCAACTCAGTCTGGACAGAGAAACTTTGCCGTGGAAATCCCAGTTCGCCGTTTATCGGGATCTTCAAACAATGGCTCTGCTCAAACAGTGCTGAACCCAACCTTTGCCAAGAATGACGGTGCTATGGATATTGACCAACCTTCAGCGCCTGCTGATGTCCCCAAAGACCTTCAAGCGCAAGAAGCGGTCAAAGCAAACTTAATCCCCTCCGATAATGCAAGTGCCCAACCAATTTCGGCACAGGAACCCAAAGCAGATCCAGCCGGAGCGACTCCTCGTGAACAACCGTCGGCGGGGGGCGCATCACAGCCTTTGGAATGTGCCACTTCCGTCGGCACTGGAGCTGCACTGGCCCCTCATATACCGGCGACTGCTGCAGTGAGTTCAGCCACGGTGCCCGAGAACGCCCACCTCCAAAGCCAAAGCCAACAAACATGGCAGCCCGGATCGCAACCTTCAAATGTGATGGGGCCCATTCAGTCAGGACAAGTACAGCCAGTACAGCCATTACCGCCATTACCGCCAGCGATCCCACCACCTCCTCCAATAATCGAACAGACCGGGCGCACATTGACCGTCCTCGAGAACTTCGACCATGCGACCGCCCACAGTCGCAAATACAGCATGTACTTTAACGCCAAAAAGCCACCGCGTCTGACAAGTATGTTGCACCACATCCTACACATCACATAATACATGGAACCATAAGGCTAACCTCTCCAGAAATCTCGTCATCCCTCTGCGTCATCACTTCCATGCCATCACGATACCGCGACTCAGACACCGGCCTGCCATACGCCAATTCCTACGCCTATGGTCAAATCCGCCGTCTCCTCTCCGAAGGGTGCATCTGGAGCTCCATGCTAGGTTGTTTTGTAGGCCCAGCCGATGGTGCCGCGCGAGGCGTGCCCGAGCGATTTTCAGGCAAATCAGGGCCGGCCTCCGTCGCAGTTCCAGTTTCCAATCCCGTTCCAGAACCACTCCCGGTTTCCGGTCCAGGCCCAGGCACCGTCCAACCCCCAGCCCTAGAAGGAAGCGCCCAGGGAGACGACCAGGCCCAAGGCCAGGCCGCGTCGATTCCAAACAAGGCCGTTGCCGCCAATGGCGATCTCCCCACAGCCCAGGCTCCAACAACGGAGCCAATGGACGTGGATAAATAGGTCCCTTATTGTATGATTTACTAGATACCCACTCAGGATCGAGACCAGAATCCCATTCAGACAGACAAAGACATTCACGTCGTCAACATCATTCTTGCTCCACTTTGTGATCATAGACTTTATTTCGCCGAGGTTTTCAGTGTATGATGTGTTGACAGATGTCATCGACCCGACCCACTCGGTGAGCCAGAGAACAAGACACATTGGAATAGGGCTCCTCCTTGTTCGGCATTTGTGATTAGGTTCGAAGGGAAAGGGAAAGTCCTCGTCTGACGTCTAAACAGTGCAACCATGCCACCATGCAGTCTACCTACCGGGACCTTGAAGATTCTGCCACTTACTAGATCCATTTATGTAACACCCAATGAAGTAAACCCGTAGCCCTAGACTTACCCACCCTACAGCCTACCGACAGGAGACTGGAGCCAAGACTGGAGCAAGCGTGTCCACGTATTTACGTATACAGTACTACGTACTTAACTTGGGCCACGATTCTCCAAGTCCCCAGCTTCCCCCCATAGATCCGAAACAAAAAAACACGGAAGATCGACAATTAGTATCTGGCCAGAACAGAGCAACGTGTCAGTGTCGAGTGTGGCAGTTAATATCTTATCCACAGCCGATCTATTTTCGTGATTGTCGCCTTAGCCGGCACGTTATTGATTTGTTGCCCTCGTTGCGGATTCTCATTCGATCTTCCTCCTCTTTTGATTTGTTTTTCTTTTTCGCTCCCTTCCGATCTTCCTCTTGCCTCTGGAGGTGGGGTATGTTTCAACTAGAACATCTCGGATGATGTATGTTTACCCACCAGTTTGTGCCCTCTGGGTACTCTCGCGGCATTAATGGCGTCACTAGGGTGAACGAACACCGTAACCATGGTCAAGCACAATAACCTTGATTGAGGCAAGACAACCATCGACGATGAGGAACTCCTGTGGCCAGATCCGAGCCCCTCCGGAGATATGCTCCCTGCGCTACTGCAGCTCATCTGCAGGTAAACCTGGCAGCGAGGGCACGTTGCAGAATCTGTGCGTTTCAGGTGGTCAGAGAGTAGGTCCGGGATTTTCGTAATATTGGCATTATTATTCTCAAAGCGGACAAATCTAGAGTCGATTTTCGTTGCGAGGAATCGATCCAAAACGGAATGTAAGAATAGAAATGGGAAACAATTGGACGGGGAGGGGACCGGGGGGGGGGGGGACCCGGGTACCCACGAGGTACTCTTTGGGTGGTGGATTGGACAGCGAGTGACTTCCAGGGTACCCGGGTTGGAGAGGCAAGTTCTAGATCTGATCGTCTCATCCTACCGCAACAGCACGTTCTTCCACTTTTTCACTTTTCTTTCTGTTTTGCTCTATATAAAGTCTTCTCATTCCCCTTTGGAACGACCCTAATTCAGACACGATATCCTTCTACACCACTACCCTAACCCTAACCCTAACATTATACCATTATCACCATACATCGCAGGTATGTCAAGTGTGCAGATTCCCAATGTGGCTTATCTCCCCCCACTCACACCCGCAAGATAACCCTCCGGGGGTTCTCTTGTTTCTATGTCACAACTTGAAATTCAAGGAAAATATTAAGTTAATGTCTGACCTTATCATCGTCTAGTCATTCTTGTCCATCCCTTCAAAAACAAGCGGAACTCCCTTGTATTCCCCCCCCATTCCAGTCAAATTCAACACTTTCTCAGGCTGTCACAAATCCCTCAGTCTGTGCTCCCCCAAAGGGGTTTCAAGATTGTGATCCACATGATAAGATAGTGAGGCATTTGAAAGAAAAGTCTCACCGCTATGACTCAAACTCCTGTCCACCGCCGTTCTCCTTCTTCTCCTCATGCCTCAAAACCCAGACGTCCAGTCTTACATCGACGGGGAACATCAGGTGCCACCGTCTCCATTGCCAAATTGGGCGCCGGAAGGGGAACTAAGCCTGCCGACGACGAAGACATGGCCAGCTTCTTGAACTTCTGGTATGTCGAGCAAGATCGATTTCTCTTATCTCCCCAAGGACTATCAAGGATTATCAAGGATGATCCAAGGATCATTTTCCAAGGAGTCTCACATGCGAGTGTATTGTGTACACCAAACACATACACACCGACCGTTGAAGTATAAAGACTAACACCCTCCAGCGCCATGTGCGAAAGACAAATTACCGTACCAAACAACACCCTATTATATTGCAGCGAAAGGTATGTAGGCCAGCGCCTCAATTCCCAACTCCATCCTTATCAAGCACACCCTATTTTGGGACCTGCATGTGAAAACAAAACCTACACCGCACCTCAAGTCATACAGAGACACCTATCTATCTATCTACCTCTCTTTCTATATATACATATACTAACCCATCTCCCAGCTGCCGCCGCAAAGACTCCTGCAAACCACTCTCAGCATCCCTCCCCTCAATGCCACACTCCTCAAAAATGACCACCACACCACCCACCTCCCCGCCTCTCTCCCCACGCACCATCGTGGCCCCAATGACACCCACCCGCATCCCCTCCATCAGGATACCAAGCACATCCCACACCGCCAAATCAGATCTCGACCCAACCGAGTGGAAGCCCCTATTACACCGCTCCAGCTCAGCCCTCGCTTCCTCCGAAGCCTGGTCGTACCTCTCCCAATTCCACGGCGAGTCTGGTCCTAGAGCTACTGGCACTTCTACTCCAACCCGCCCAGTCAACAACCGCAGCGCGGCAAGCCTCCCCGCCCTGGTCGGCGGCGTGCCCCCCGCCATCGGCACTGGTGTCGACGGCAGCCATGTCCCCTCCTTGACAAACACCCCCTCCACCGTCTCCTCCTCCTACAGCAGCGCCGCCTCCGACTCCCTCGGCAGCATGTACATGCACCTGTACGAGTCGCGCCCCCTGCCACCGCGCCATAACCCGTATTTCGCGGGTACGAGCGTGGCCAAGGGCGTCGAGCTGGTCGTGCCGCGTATCGCGTCGGATTTCGATGCCGATGTCGATGCTGATGCCGTCCATGCGGATTCGGGGTCCATCTTTCCGGCTAGTTCTGCTGTCTGGGGCGAGGGACAGCGGTCTGCGCCTATCTCTATGAAGAGGGGTGTTGTCTGAGAGGCTGGTGTGAGCTGGCTTGAGCTTCGGCTTGAGCTTGACGTTGCGGTTTCGGGTTTGGTTCTGTCTTGTCTGTGTTGTGCTTGCTTTTGTTTTTGATTCTTTTTATTTTTGAGTCGAGTCGAGCGATCGGACTCTAGCGGAAAATATATATGATGTGATGCGCTGGATTTTGGACTTTTTTTTTTCTCTCTCTCTCTCGCGTGATTGATTGAATGATTGATTTGGTTTGCCTGGAAGCAAATTTAGACTTTTCTAATACCTTTTATCCTGGTATTAAGTTAAATTAATGAACTGGAATTATTTCTCCACGAATTTTCTCTGACTTTTCTCCATGACTTGTTTTGATTTGTAAGTTCGAAGCTGGAGGATACAACTGTCAACTTAGTAGATCCAGGCACTCTGCATGGTGGAGTTGGTCCACTACCTACGGGCTCTTTACTAAAGAAGTTATAGTCCAGGAACTAATCTACTAGATTGACTCTAAATCAAGCTTAAATATAGCATGAGCTTTATTCGACTTAGTGCCGTATGTGACGTGTGGGGGTGATATATATCTCCCGTCGTACCCCATACTTCAATTGTTTCAGATATAGAATCTTTGCTTTGCTAGAAATTGCCAGGAAGTGATATGCTCACATGTACAGTAATACATGCAACTATTTCAGTTTCAATTAACTCAATCAAATAAGACGCAAACTTGTCCGTGTATTTAGTTCGATTGATAGTCGCTCGCCAGGAGATGTCGATCTTGTGTCTGGTATGTGATATCGAAAGATCATCATTATATTACGTTACTTTACTTCTCTTATTTGACAGTCAATCCAGTCAATAACTACGAGATTCCATGCATGAAATAAAGATTACAGCTGCATAGAGGCAGGGCACATGGAGGTCGCACTATTTTCATAATGATTGCGAGTTATCGTCGTTGAAACATGTTTACCTACCAGCAGAGTGAAAATGCATCTTTATCAAGGAGATATCCCTAGCCAAGATAAATGGAGTAAAGAATGGATTTGAAAATCGTCTATAAGCATACCAAATGTTCTTTCCCACTCCACTTTCACGGGTCCCTATTCAAATCACATAGTTACAAGTTACCACTTGCTTTATATATCGCAGCATCGTTGTTCACTCTATTGTTATATAATGAACTATCTGCTCCAGGTGTCATGATTCATGATCAATGTGATTTCTTCCAAGGTCAGCGACTTCCTGTATGACTTAGGGCTTCCTTAAAGGTATACCTTGCAAGCCAATACAATGGCAACTTGTGAGATGTCCAGTTTAGATCCTGGTATTGGCGGCATAGTCTGATTAAATAGAACCTTTATTTTATGCTATGAATGGGTGGAAATTTCAAAGGGCAGAGCTGTTTCGCATTTCATATAATTAGGGCAGGGGAGGGGGAGGGCCTAGGAATGGATTGTTGGAAGTTTGCGAGAGAAAATAAATAGTGATTTATAAATGAGCTTCTTGACTATGTTTACTGGTGATTTACCGTCGTCGTTGTATTTGGTTATTGTAGATCTCGGACTCTTTATCTTTGGTGTCTTGTAGGTTCTTAGGGTTAATCGCGATCGCCACTTTTTAGCCATCTACTCTGTATGGTTAGACACCTTTTGAAATAGGCTTTTCCGGGGATGCTTAGATACAATAGGAAGTGTCGTGAAGTTGATGATTCCATCTAGCAACTGCTAATGAGTTCGCTCGGTAAGAACTATCACCACCTGAGGCAGCTAGTTATCATCTAGCAGAGGTTTCACCACTACAACACACGTACATATAAATAGTGCACATGCCGCACTATCAGCAGAAGAAAAAGGGAAAAAAAGAAGATTATGAGCAACATGAAATAATTTCAAACAGGAAGCTCTCAAAAGAAAGGAATACCTCATCAACCACAGCTAGAGGATAATCTAAAACTCCCCAGCAGTAAAGCAACACATGTAACAGCCCTTGGACTTTTGGAGAATAGGCGACGACTGGAATGAGAAGAAGAAGGTTAGTGAGTCAGATCCAAGATATGTAGGAATCAAATCCCTTTAAGGAAATAAGGAAGAGGGAGTACTCACGAAAGGTGGCGGACAGTTCGCATCGGCTTCATTTGGATAACAAATTCCCGAGCAGAAAGCATTACCGATATCCTTGCCGTGTTTCGGGCCGTCGTCCAAGGTAACAGGGGCAATATTCGAGCCTGGCTGCATTGCGTCCACGGGGGCTACGTCGCTGGCTGGGACGTCATTTGCTGGTGGGTTTGTGTCGGGGCCTGCTGGGGCTGGGTTCTGCTCTGGGGTTTGATCATAACCATCGTTGGGGGTGGGAGTCTCAGGAGTTTCGGGTTGGGGTTGGGGTTGGTTGTTTGATGGGGGTGCTGAAGCAGGAGCTTGAGCAGGAGCTTGAGCAGGAGGAGAGTTCTGAGTAGGAGCTTGCACTGGGGCAGGAGATTGAACTGGAGATTGAACCGGAGCAGGAGCTGGGGCAGGAGCCTGCTGAACAGGGGGCTTAGGGGATGGAGCCGGAGCTTGCTGCTGCTGGCCCTGAGAAGCGGGATGAGGAGCAGGAGCAGACTCCCATCCACTTGACTCTTCCACGGGTGGAGCTGGGGCGGCAGCTGGGACAGCAGCCGGGGCAGGCTCGGGCTTAGGATGGGGAGCAGGAGGAGTTTGCGCAACAGCAGCTGGGGGAGCTGGGGCAGGAGCTTGCTGAACAGGTGCCTGAGATTGAGGATGAGATTGAGGTTGAGTCTGTTGAACAGGAGGCTCAGGAGCAGGAGCAGGAGCTTGCTGAACAGGTGCCTGAGGTTGAGGTTGAGGCTCAGGCTGATACTGGGGAGCCTGATACTGAGCAACAGGCGTATAAGTAGGCCTGGGAGTACCAAAAGCAACAGGAACCTTAGAAACACTCGGACTAGGGTACGGGTAAGCATAACCGGGAGCCGGGGAGTGAGCCTGAGGGTGTGCAGGGACGGGTGCATGAACGCTTGAGTGAACCTGTGGCTTGGGAGCAGGTGCAACAGGGGCATATGTTGAGGTCATTGGCTCGTATACTGGGGCTGCTGGAACATGCGGGTGCGAGGGCGCGGGTGCCGCTGCGCTGTGGATCATGGGTGCTGGTGCGGCACTTGGGACATTCTGAGCTGGAGCCGGAGCTTGGGCTTGAGGCTGGGCGTCAGGCTGGTTGTAGTGGTTGCTTGAGCCGGGGCTGTTGCCGTAGCCGTTTGAGCCAGGGTTGTTGTATTCATCGTTGTGGTCGTCGTGGTAGTTGTCGCTATAGTTGTCACTATAGTTCTCATGGTAGTTGTCGTTGTAGTTGCCGTCGTAGTTACCATAGTTCTGATGGGCGTTTTGGTTGGAGTTCTGGCCTTGGTTCTGACCCTCATTTTGGCCTTGGTTTTGGTTGATACCCTGTCCGATATGCGTCAGGTAGCCCATTTGCTCAGGGCCAGGTCCGAACTGCTGGCGGGCCGAGGCGAGAGTGCTACCTAGCAGGAGGAGGGTTGGGAGGTGCATTTTGATTACTGATGCCCTTTGACACTTGTCCTGAGTCTTTTTTGCGTTGTTGGCGATGTATACTAGATGGGCGATTGGTGATTGGGCGTGGGTGTCGTGATGCTCAACAGTCGCAGTTGTCGAGTTGTCGAACTGTTGAAGGCCGCTCGATGGACGGATGTGGCGTCAACCTGGGTATTAGTATGCTACGCGTTTGATTGGAATTCTCGGCATTTCATTAGTTGCCTCGCGCGAGGTGGGCTATGTTTGGGGTTTGCAGCATTCTCGTGCGCGTGTGGAATGTGAAGTTTTGATATTGAGCTGACGTAATGGAAAAGACAGAACTCTCTATGCAGAGACAAATATTGTTCTTGATGGGCTGTATAAAACCGGATGGTGACCGATTTTGCTACATATGTGTGCTTGGTTGGCAGTCAGCGGGCGCTTTGCATTTGGCGTCGATTCGTGTGGTTAGGGGCAAGATCGTTGCTGAAGATCTGCATACCAGCCTTTAGGGAGTTGTTAGTTTACAAACAGACAACACTGAGGCATATTCAGCAACTTGTGTCTAGGCTGGTGCACACGTGAAATTAATGGTAGATAATGATTCGTGGTCACCATGTGTCGTCGATGTTGCCCAGAGGATAGTGAGCGTAACTATATTGGTCATACATGGATTTGATATGCTCGATCTTTATTCGAAGAGAGGAACAACACTTGGATCGAAGGATTTCTTATTCCTGATTGCTCTTAGCGAAGAGATGGGAAGGTGTGGCAGGTTCTCAAGTGCCAAACTGGGTAGTCCACAGGGTCCACCCGTGGACGGGGAAATTGTTGATTAGTAAGTTAAAGGGTCAACCCCAGAGCCGACATACTACAAGTTAACCTAAGTAACTTATGGCTTGAAGATGAAGACATCTAGAACGATCAGAAAAAAACCTGTTAGTACCATACATCGCTCTCGCTTAGGCTTTCATGTTTTGAGTAGCCATGGTACAACAAACCTAGAGTCAATGTCGTTCTGCGAATTCATGCGTCAGTTTCACGTCAATCTTGCATCAAACTAGGAATGACAGGATAGTCAAGTACACCAAGAAAATTGAATAAAATGATAGAAGAGATAGACAAGAAACTTGGAAATCTGAAGTTAGTGGCAGGTTTGTTGCGCATTCTGTCCAGTCCAGAACACGAGCGTTGATGGCAATTTCCTAATAAAGCTCATGTGTGGTTAAAGTCAGCCACTGGTTCGCTCCGCTATACAAGGGCAAGCCGCTGCCACAATCAGTATCAGACCGTGAATAATGCATTGAACATGCAGAAAGACCGACCAAACTGCAAGTCTGGCTGCAAGGATTTATCAGTCGGGGAATCTATTTCCGCCTCCAAGTCACGAATGAGCACGGTCCACGATGTATAGACTTTTCACCCAGTCGTGGTGGTCTGTAAGAATCAAAAAGGATCAAATTTGAGGCCAAATCCAAGCCTGTTACCTCAACATTTTCATATCCTATGGAATGTTTGTTTGCCACCATGGCGATACCTCAGCCTGAAGCCACTGACGCGTGGATTGGCACCAGGGATTCCAAGACTGGAAGTTCTGGTAACGTTTCTGCATGGTGTGTACAGTGCAGAATCCACGTCCCATCGCAATGGTTCCCTATCTGCTTCTTCTTTCGCAGACAACAGAGTTGGTCCCTGTCAGTAGTTCCACCACGGTACACTTGTTAGTCTTTGAGTATTAAAATGTTGGATCAACTTGAGAATATCGGTGTTCACAAGTGGACCAGTGTCATGCCCCTTGGACCGATCACAAATTATACCGAGCTCTTCTTCTCGGCTTCTTCTATTTCACTCGAGAACAATTTCGAAATAAGATGTAATGACATCTGAGGTTATCCATCTGAAAAGAAATCCAAAAGACCTGGTCCGGGACTTTGGGTGAAAACTGACGCTGTCGGTCTGGTGGAGCTCCAATAATTTCGCAAGGAACACTTTTCCTGTGGCGGGTGGATCCAACTGGCAACACGGGGTGAGTCGTAGGGCTCTCTCCCTTCGAACCGTCTTCCCTCAGACTTCAGACAGACACCCCCAACTGTATGAGCTTGAACAGTCAATAGTCGAGGAGCCTGTGAAGAGTCTACTGTCATCGAATCCTCGAAATGACCAGATGCCAGACCCGGTTCATACCCGGCACACCGATGGGTCACTCGGACTCAGGGTCGGGTTCAGGTCACGCAGTAGACACCGGCCCTGCCTGAGTCTGTTGTTTAAATGGTGATACGTAGACATCACCGTTGAAGGGAGGAGTTCAAGTGATACCCAAGGGACAAAAGGGTTCCAGGGCCACACTCAGGGTGATCAAACACAAACGGATCAAGTTGCTGACATGCTGTGCCCCCTAGGTGACTGACTTGTCACAGATCGATTGGAGTCTTCGAGCTGTAGCAAGCGACAATCATAAAACCGGGGCTCAATGACCCTGGAGGCAGATACCAATCACCGACCCGAACCGTTGCCACCGCGGGTTGCAGGCGCTAGATCGCTCGTCCTCACGAACATGAATCCGAATCCAAACGATTGTATATCCGAATTTCAGGTTGCTCACCGTGGGAAAACTCACCAAGACCTGGTTCAACATGTCCGGTTCGAGCCACCATTGCTGTGTGACGATGGACTGATCACGCGACGACGACGTTCAGCTCATCAAGCATGGTTGAATATCTCGAGTCAGTAATAGGGACGAGAAACCAACGTAATCCTTGGAATACAGCAACACAAGGCCGCAGATCGACGTACAGCCATCAATATCGCAACAATCACGCGGATCAATCGAACAAGTACACGGGGGAATTACCTCACACCACCGGGCGAATCGGGGGCTCAAATATCTCAATATAGAGCTTGCCAATACCAGATACCGAACGAGTACCCCTAAAAACATCATAAAGCGCGCTGGGGTTGTTCACGACAGGGCTGGGTGACCCGATGACCCAGAGCCCTAAGCCGACTCAGAGCAACGAAGAAGTCCATATTTTATGTGATCCTGTACCCGGAAAACTGCGTTCAAACCCGCATCGCATTTGATACGAGTCCCGGACACCGCTATGTCGAACACAACCGACCAAGTCGTTGATGGGCAATTTTGCCTCATGTCTGTGAAACCGGTTGACCTCAAATATTCCAATTGCAATATGACTGCATTTGAACTCTTGAACAGCCAGGTATCTCTTGGGTTGCCATTCAGTCATGGTGGTTGACCCCCAAAGGCTCTGGGCACGTTGTCTCTTGAGAACAAAACGGTTATGACCAGAAGTGATGTTGTCCAAAGCATAGCATCACACCCAAAACAGCGAATACTTGCTATTTGTGGCAAAGTTGCCATGAAGCAAGATCGATTCTGTTGCTAGGGTGCGTCCACATCACCAGTTCAGAGCCCACAAACACGTACAAGCATGTCGCCGAGGCCAACTTCGATGTGCATGAAAATGACCAGCAGTTCTCCAACATGAACGTTGTTTTCTCATTTTTCCCGCTTCGAAGGTCGCAAATTGAGCCGCATGCTTGGAGCGTCGCACTGTTGAACTAGAGGCCATGCCTAAACGGGTCGGGAAAGGAGAGGAGGGATCGAGTGAACATCCGTCAGATATTTTGGCCCTGTCAAAGAAGAAAAGAAGCTGTCAGCAGATTTATCAAAAGTTTCAGGAAGTTGCGACGTAGTGCCTGTCCACTCTGTCCCGTGGGGACACAGTTGGGACAACAAGGCCATGCATCCCGTGTACGTCCACCGTTTTCTCGATTCTTTAGGCGGAATTGGCTGGATTCTTGGATCTCGCTCTGACGAATAACACTAAAAGGACCGGTAAGTTGAGTCTAACGATAGGTCATCGTCGTGAAGGTCGCGTCTTTTCGGGGAAAGAACCGGGTTGGTTCAAGCTCAGAGAGAAAGAGAGAGAGAGAAGGCTCACACATTCACCACAAATCGATACAATACCTAACCAGCATCTTGCTCAGTCTCTGCAGATTGATCTCGAGTACTCTGTGAGAAGTTCATGAAACCCGCAACTGGAGGCTGTTGAGCTGTGCCACCTGACTCTCCTGATGCGTTGCAGAAGTGACCAACAAGCGAGGGATGACCCATTTGCCCCATACCAACTCCATCGTGTGTTGTCCACCGCAGAGATGCAAGACACTCCGAACCAAAGACACAAGAAGAAATCCATGGTCCAACATTCGGGCTTCAATGCCTCCCCCAGGTGACGCCCCAGTCGACTCGTTCTTCAACCCTCAACATCGCATCTTTCAACTGGATCCTCCTGAGATTTCGGATTAGAGGACACAATAGTAAGGTTTTTCGGCAGTCGATTCCCAGGAATCATGTCACGGCCAGGAACAAAGATGAGATGAAGTTGGAAAGATATCTCCGTGGAGAAGCAAAGGTTACCACGATTGGCTGGTACTTTTCTCCGAAGCGGATTCAAGCCTTGCGATTTGTGAATAGCGACCAACTTGACATAGATTCGCCTTCTCGATTCCTCTCCTTCCATTCCAATTATCATACCAGATTTTGGGTTATTTGAGTTATGGCAACTGTTGCGCCTTTCCCGAGCCAGATCACAGGCCTCGAAAAGGTTGCACCCTTGAGATTTCCCTATTTCTTTGCAAAACTACTTAGACTGGCGGCAAAACAATAATTAGTCGGTTCGATCGGATTCTCCCTTCTTTCTTCTCTCCGCGTCGAATTAATATCTCTCTACTGAGTTGCTATTTCCCCTATCTGGACATTCTAGCTAGTACACTCCTGGTATGGCCGACCGTTTCGCACACTCTCCAGCCTCAACACCCTTCCCTCATGCTCAACATCTGTCAAGCATATGGAGGGGCTCTCTTGACCCCTCCCAATCACCTTAGATCCCACCCACCCCATCTTGGTTCTTCCCTGCTGGGTTACTGACCCAGTCCTAGGACATAGCACCAGTCCCGGTATCAGCACCGGGCTCTGATCTGACAGCTTCAGGTATCTCGAAAGCCACTCTCGAACTCGAACGACCCTTATAGACGACGCCCATCGTTCTCACGACTCCAGCAAACATGGCAGACGGCATCACCAACACTCAGAAAGCCCACGGTCAAGGGTCTGCCGGAACTCACAACCAGCCCCAGATGAAGAAATCCTCGAGGTGAGCAGCTTGCTTCCGTCCATGCCAAGCACTGGTTTGCCCTTTCACTTGTTATCCATCACCCATCCGATTCCATTTATCTTCCATTTGAATCTGCATCTGCATCTGCGTCTGCATCTTCGTCTGCGCCTGCGTCTGCCTTACCCCTTCCCGAGAGTGACCACAGAGCTAACCCTAGCAGCTCTAGCAACAACCGCACCCATACATCAACCATGGCCACCCTCATAGACGAGTTGGACTACCACCGCGAATTTCTGGACGACATGGTTGCCGTCATGCGTGATGGCAACGCAGACTCGGTCCAATCCCTGGTGACTCTTATCCGCTCGGGTGTGTCCAAGCTCCAGATCCACCAAGCGGTCCAGAAGCTCAAGAACGAGGATCCCCACGCCTAGAGGAGTCGCCCTGATCGAAATTCAATTTCCATGCTTGCCCTGCTAGTGGTACAGCTGAATGCCGTGTCGTGATCAGTGTCACATTTGCTAGGGACTTGGGTTTCTGGGTTGACTCCCGAGAAAGCGGGATTGAATTGAGAAGTTGGGGCACTTGTTGATCCATCATGATGTCCAACGACCATGAGCGAGTTTCTTTTTGTTTCCTCTTGATTTGCGTTGCTTGTGTTAGTCCCCAGACTAGTGCAGAAAAAAAAAACCAAAAAAAAAAAATTCTTTGGGAGCAAATATGAGAAAAAAAAAAAAAGGCCAACATCAGAACTGACTTCTGTCATGGGGTAGATCGATACACCCCGGCATACGTATTTGATCACAATACTTCTGCGGGGATAGTTATCCACTGCGTCGGATATGCATATCCGGCCATGGGGGTTGGCTGCGTCGATATTGGGGATCCATATATGAGTGTCCAGTGGAAGAATACCCCGACCTTGGCTTGTGCCAGGATGCATCAATCATAACAGAGCAGGGAAACAACACCGTTAAAAAAAGTGTGTGTGGTGGCGATGACCAGGGACATGGGAAACTAACACGTTCAGTATCGCCATCGATGGGGCTTGATACCCCAGATAGGTAAGAGACAAAAGACCAAAGACCAAAGACCAAAAATCCTGCATGGACCAGGGACCGGACCAAACTAACCGAAATGCACACGCACCTTTCATATCTTCGCCACTATCTAGTGCGGATCAAACTGAAATTCGGCCAGAGGGGCAAGGGACGTCATGTCGACACAGTGCCAATCAAGCAAGAATAGAAAAGAGACCGGGACTTTACTTCGGTTCTCGTGAATGGAGAATGGATACTGTAAACGCCCTGTGTTGCGAGGGAGTTAACGTTAGTTGCCCTCACCATCTTGTGGAGAGAGAACATAGCACCGCAATATCACCATCACGAACATCAAGGTTAATACTGTCACTGGGTCAGGTTCTGTTTCTATATTCAGCATGAAACAACTCTGTTCATTCCCATAAAGATGAACCCTGCTGATATCCAAAGGGGTTAGGTGGAATGAATGACAGTGGGACTCACGGATTCTATCTCCGTGTCGGTTCGTGCAATGGCAAGCCAGCCCTTGATGTGGACCGGGAAGCCTTTTCCTGTGAGACGCCGAGTCTGACCATCACCTTTGAAGGAAGATTCATCACTGACAGACGGTGTTCCTGATGTGTGATGGAGTTGTGGAGCAGGGGTTGAATCCTGACTTGAATCCTGACCTGACTAGGGCCACAGAGTTCTCCCCCGTGACCTGGACCATGACTCCAAGGCTGTCTACACGCGCACTCCTGGCAGGCTCTACCTTTGATCCCCATTCTTTTCTTTCCGATTCGATGCCATCTTCTGCTTACCCCCCCCCCCCCCCCCCCCCCAAGCAGTCCTATACTGGATTGACGCATAACAGTTGAGCGTCGGGGCTGGAGTCTGACTGACCAGCACCAACACAGACGAACAGACCAACAAACTGATCAATCAAAATGAGACTGGCCGAAAAAACACCACCTCAACCCTCTCAACAGCATTCACATATTGACCACCAGATCCAGCGTGAACCCGGACACCATATCACACCACCGGACCGAACCAGACCTGGCGAGAAAGGAGGAAAAGAAAACAAATAGAACCACAACAGTCGAAACCATCGCCTCCTTTACAGTACTCTCGCTTATATCTCATATTCTCTTCTCCCTGTTTCATCCCACCGCCATCCTCGTACAGACCACATCACCACCTCCCTGAAAAGCAACAGGCAAACAGGCAAACTCCCAGAATTTCCCCCAAGCCGCAATCCGCACATTTTACATCCAACAACGCTCATCCGATCCACTCTCCAACACACATAACCCCTACCTAACCAGAGCAGTCCCATTGCAAACCAGTACAGATACACACCCAGCAGGAGGGAGAATGGATTCGGTCTCGGTCTGCCATGCACGACAGGTGCACATGATATGCATGATCCCGTAGATGATTCTTCAATTCCGGGATCCTGGTGTTGGGGGTTCGGGCTGGCTTGGCACGGGACTATGTCTGCAGTAGTATCAAGATTGGATTGGATTGGACGGAGAAGATAGGAGATGGCGGTTGAGGAATGTGATGGATTTGAGAGAAGGGGGAGAGGGGATTGTTCTCTTGAGGCTACTTATATGGGACAGGGGGTTTAGAGAGAGAAAACATTGAGCGTCGATGTTGAGATGAGCATTGATATTGGTGCTGTTATGTAGAGCCGAAGAGCATATTTATGCGTTTGCAAGTGCCATGCTAATCCATGAATATGTAGGATATTATCAAAGGATTGGAAGTAACAATAGTCATGTTACGGTACATACTTGACAGTAGCAAGGAGTGAAATACCAGTCTATATTCTTCAAGACAAGAAACGAATAACAGTATATAAAAGTTCAGAAAGATTTCATTCTCATACATCAGCAACCAGTTTTCGTTCTACCAATGCCTAACCCTATCATGATGCTTATTTTTGTGCTAAATTTAAGGAGTGCAACGGCCAGTGTAACGGGGGTACAAGGAGCAATCGCGGACGGTGTAGCGAGCGCACAACCAGGCGAGGAAACGCTCCAGACCGAGTCCGTATCCACCGTGAGGGGAGGTGCCGTACTTGCGCTGGTCTGTGTACCAGTAGTAGGGCTTGGGGTCCATGCCCTCGTGCTTGTAGGCGTTCATCAACTCATTCCAGTCGTCCATACGCATACTTCCACCGACAATCTCACCAACACCGGGCATGAGCACGTCGACACTCTCGGTGACACGGCGGTCCTCGGGGTCCTTCTTCATGTAAAAGGCCTTGATCTCGGCAGGGAAGTGAGTCAGGAAGATGGGCTGGTTAATGATGTCGGTCATGCGGCGCTCAGCAGCCTCGGCAATATCATCACCGAACTGGTGGGGCTGACCCTCCTCGTTGGGGATTTCGTGCTCGATCAACCAGGCGATAGCATCGTCGTACTTCATGCGACGGAAGGGGCGGGATGGGGGCTTGAAGTCGGGGTTGAGCTGCTTGATGTAGCCGGCGATCTCAGGCTCGGCGAGAACGTGATCAATGACAGTGCAGATCATCTCCTCGAGGTGGTCCAGCAGATCGGTGAAGGTGATGAAGTCCAGCTCGGCTTCAATGTGAGTGTACTCTGACAAGTGACGGCGAGTCAGGGACTTCTCGGCACGGAACGATGGGCACACACAGAAGACATCACCCAGGGATGGAAGACAAGTCTCCAGGTACAGCTGGGAGGACTGTGTTAAGTAGGCGTTCTCGCCGTAGTAGTCGAAGCCGAAGAGAGTGCTACCACCTTCGACCTGGGTCTGCACCATGGCGGGAGGGGACACCTCCAGCATGCGGTGGCCCTCGAAGGCCTTGCGGAAAGCGCGCAGAGTGGCGGCGCGCACCTTCATGACGGAAGACGAGGTCTCACCGCGCAGGACAAGGTGGCGGTTGTCATACAGAGTCTGCGGGTCGGCGTCCGGCGCCACGCGAGTGGTGATTGCTTCCTTGTCACCAGCGGCGCGGCCGATGATGGTGAAGAAGTCGGCGTGCAGCTCACGGTCGTTGGGAGCGTGCTGCTTGGCGGGCACGGCGCGCATCTCACCGTGGATGGCCATGGAAGTTTCGAGAGTGAGGGTCATGATATCAAAGGTCTTGACCATGTCGCCGGTCAGGATACACTGGAGGTATCCATATCCGTCGGTCAAAGTGAGGAATACGTAGTCCTTCTGAGCGCGCATGCGGTGAACACGACCCAGGACGCGGACACGGGTGCCAGGCTCCTCGGACTCGGGCGAGCGCAGCTTGACGATCGCAGGGTCGGTGACATCCAGGCGAATGCGGACAGGCTTCGCGAGAGAGGTGTCTTCCTTGATGACAACCTTCTTGGCGTCCTCAAGGACCTTCTGGCGCTTGTCGGCCTCGGCCTTCTCGCGGATAGCCAATTCGTGCTCCTTGGCGGCCTTCTTCTTGCGCTGCTCCCACAAGTTAGTGGCCTTCTTCATGGCGGACTTGGTCGCGGGCTTCCACTCCAGCTTGGCAGCGGGGTCGACATCCTCGCCGGCGGCATCGGTCTGCGACTTGCGGGTGAGGTACTGGATGCCGGCGGTGGTGGGCGGGTGCTCCAAGAAGGCGTGTACGAGGGTCTTGTAGGGAGTGGTCTCGGTACCGTTGGCAGGAGATTCGTCTCTGCCGACGTCCTCGTCGATATAGATGTTGGTCGACATTGCGGTCTTTCCAATCCTAAGTTGGGAACGATTTCGGTTCGTTCTGTTTTACTTATTAGTAGGGCCCGAAAGGTGAGTCATAGATGCCAGGGCCAGGATAGATCACAATTCTCACCTGATAAGACACCACAAAGAGACCTCTTATCTCCCAATTGCAAAGTGTTCAACGCAAGGAGAAGCACACACATTGTGGAGGGGTAAATTTCCGATCTGCGGGATTCCCCACGGATGCCTGAGGCGACAACGATATATGAGTCAACGCCAATGGAGGTTGGATCGAACTGTCGTATGTAGTTTCATATTGGTTGTGTTGAAATCATTCAAGAGGACTTGAATCTTTTTATTTATTTCCTTGTTTTTCTTTCTTTTAGTGATATTTTTTTTCTAGGCTAATAATTGGTCTATTGTATTAAAGACATCAATGGGCGTTGGTTATATAGGCTTTCTCGTATCCCGAGACATGGCATCATACACCCACGTTTTGCAGACATGCCCAAGTCCAAGGTCCCGGTCAGCAGACAGCAGATAGTAGATAGCAGACAGTCCATAGTAAGTAACAAGTCACTTAGTAGCTAACCGTAGACTGATATGCTCCAGGTCACGGGACTCCGCTCTTGGCATGCAGGGAGTCAACAGGAGGCTAAATTGTGCCTTTGCAGGTTCCAAGGTTGCTTTGCCATATAACTCCAGGGGTAAATTGTGTGGCTGGGTCTGCAGAACTGGGGAAATACACAGTCTCCAACACGAATTGTAGTTCGACCCCTTAATCCACTCTGACGATTTGCCCCTTTTATGTGGTGTTTTTTTTTTACTCTCTCATACCTTACCTGGATTCACTTCCTTACCTTTCATTCCTTTAAACCCTGCCCTTCTTTTCTTTTCTTTTTTCCTTTTGCCTGTCCAATTTCTTAATTTTTAGTCCAGGTAAGTCTAAGTCCATAGGCCCCCCCCTTTTTTTTCTCTCGTGTTTTCCCACTTCTGTTCCCACTTATCTCTTTCCGGCTAACTGTTTGTAGCTTCTCTTCTCCTTTTCGTCTAATCGCATGGCCAACTGAACATAACGCATTCTCGGAGAAACGGTTGGTCTTCATTCCCTTTTGACATTCCTTTCATTTAGCCACACCTCTATTGTCTTTCGGTTTCCTCCTTGTACTCTTTCTTTGCCTATCTTTACATTCTCCCCTTTTCTGAACACAACCCCCCCCCCCCCCTCAGTGTGGAGAATGACCTCCTGAGATCTTGAATGGTGATCTGATAATTCCTTTCTTTTTCCTTCTCAGAGCCTCCTCAATCTGGTAGTCGTCTCGACTTCCTTAGGACTCGACCTCGCCATGCAAACCTCGGATGTATCAAGCATCTCGAACAACTCGCGTCTAATCCCTCCCGGGTCCAAATACGCGCTGAACGGCGACACTGGATTTTCCCACGGAGCATACAACAATAATCACCCTCACTCAGTGCAAGGATTCTCGGATCGAAACGCCCGTCGCGCCAATATTCCCGCTATAAACACAAACCCTGGCCACCAATCCGATATGGCTTCCGGGTTCGATATGAACTTCACCCCCCTTTTACCCTCCCAACTGCTGGTGGGCAGCCCCTTTCAACCGGGAACTCCCTCGGCCTTCCAGTCGCCTCAGTTCGCCAACTTCGGTGGCTTTCCCCAGGTCAATGGCAATGGACACGTTCAGAACAACCAGAACCACATGCACAGCCCAACTCAAGGAATGCAGAACCATGGTCTATATGGAATGATGTCGCCAGACAGCATGGGTGCATCTCAGATGATGGGCCCTCAGTCACCCATCAACGGTCTTGGAGGTATGGGTCATGCGGCTCTGGGGAGCCCCCAGGCTTCAGTGGCCCCGGGCATGCTGTCAGGGACCAGCCGCACTGTTTACCTAGGAAACATCCCAGCTGAAACATCTGCCGAGGAGATTCTGAATCATGTGCGTAGCGGCCAGATTGAGTCCGTCCGTCTGCTCCCTGATAAGAACTGCGCGTTCATCTCCTTCTTGGACAGCAGCTCTGCTACTCATTTCCACTCTGATGCCATCTTGAAGAAGCTGGCTATCAAGGGAAATGATATCAAGGTTGGCTGGGGCAAGCCGTCTCAGGTTCCAACCTCTGTAGCCCTGGCTGTTCAACAGTCGGGCGCGTCGCGTAATGTTTACCTTGGAAATCTTCCCGAGGAGACAGCCGAGGATGACCTCCGGGAGGAATTGGGCAAGTTTGGACCCATTGACACCGTGAAGATTGTCAAGGAGAAAGCCATTGGCTTTGTGCACTTCCTCTCCATCAGTAATGCGATGAAGGCCGTGACCCAGCTCCCTCAGGAGCAGCAATGGCAGGCGCCAAAGCGAGTGTTCTACGGTAAGGACCGTTGCGCGTATGTATCCAAGACTCAGCAGCAAAACGCTGCTCAGTTCTTGGGAATCGCGCCTGGATACGCACATGTCCTCAACACTGCGGATCGGGACTTGATTTCCAATGCGCTTGCGCAACAGTCCGTGGCTGCGGCTGCCGTGGCCACGACAGCGGGCGGTGTCAACAACCTGGGTAACCGAACCATCTACCTTGGTAACATTCACCCTGAGACCACCATTGAAGAGATCTGTAACGTTGTTCGTGGAGGCCTGTTGCATCACGTCAGGTATATTCCTGACAAACACATTTGCTTCGTCACGTTCATCGATCCTACCTCGGCTGCCTCGTTCTATGCCCTGAGCAATCTTCAGGGTCTGATGATCCACAACCGCCGACTCAAGATCGGCTGGGGCAAGCACTCTGGTCCTCTTCCACCCGCCATTGCGTTGGCAGTTAGCGGAGGCGCATCGCGTAACGTATATATCGGCAACTTGGACGAGGCCTGGACGGAGGAACGCCTCCGTCAGGACTTCTCGGAGTACGGTGAGATTGAGCTGGTCAACACTCTGCGCGAGAAGAGCTGTGCCTTTGTCAATTTCACCAACATCGCCAATGCTATCAAGGCCATTGAGGGTATGCGCAACCGTGAGGATTACCGCCGCTTCAAGATCAACTTTGGTAAGGACCGTTGTGGAAACCCTCCCCGCCAGGCTGGCAACAACCAAAATGGCCAGGGCCGCAATGGATCCGGCTTGGAAGGTCCTCAGTCGCCTACCCCCGCTCTCAACGGATTTCAGCAGAACCTCAGCCAGTCCGGCTCTCAGTCTAGCCCGACTCGTCCCGCTCTCTCCCCAGCACCCGGCTCTACGGGCTCTCAGAATGGACATCAGCGTCACCCCCTGCAGACTGTCTCCTCCCCCTCTGGCGTCCTTAACGTCGGATCTAACAACCCTCTGACCATGTACCTGAACCAGATGTCTGCCCACCAGACGCAGGATCAAGAGAACGGTCTCAGAGACCCAATGGCCCTGGCTGGCCTACAGGCACAGTCCCAGATCCAGCCTCAGCAGTCCATGTATAACGGAGCCTCCAACGGCGACCTCTCCAACGGCAGCATGGACCCACCAATGCACCCACACAAGTCCTCCAACAACAGCTACCTGAGCGTGGGTAATGGGTCCGGTCATGGTCACCACGCTAGCACCAGCAGCCTGAGCGTGCCCCGTGCCTCACACTCCCGAGCCGTCAGTTTGCCTTCCTTCTCCCAAGAGCCCTTTGGTCCTATCTCCGGCCAGCAGAGCCACCGCACAGGGGCTGCCCACCAGCCCCAGAGCAGCTTCTCTAGCTATGGTTCGGCGCTCGGCGGCCTCAACCACCCCGGATATGGATTGGCCATTCAGAACGAAAACTCCCTGCCCGGCTGGGCGGAAGAGGAGATTGGAGCCAAATAATCATTTGCATCAAAGCATGCATACCCGGTTGATGCATATTTGACTCATTGCCCTCGGTGAATCTAATGCCATTTCTTCTCATTTTTCATACATATAGTCCCTTCTTGATTGTCATGTCCTTTTACTTCCCCCTTCTGATTCGTTTCTTGTATTGGTCATAATCTCCTTTTATTTACCTTGCTGGCTCTTTGCCATTCACTTCCACCCCCTTTTTCTTTCTTCTCTACTTTGGCTTCTTTTGGCTTTTTGGATTTTGTTCCCCATTTTGACCGAACATACTCAGTTCGCCGCCAATGATTTCTATTCCCCTTTTAATTTCTTTTCATGCCATCTTTCCCTTCTTCATCACCATGTATTGCTAGCTGGCTCTGAGGCCTTTCCTTCTTTTCATCTTCCATTTCATCTTTTTATTCATTTTATTTTGGTCTAGAGACTGAGCACACCGCATGTTTCACTGGATGATCTACCACAAGGGAGAGTGCACCCCACTCGGACCCTGGGTGCTCTTTCTCACGGTCTTTTGGTTAGTGCCTTCACATTATCATCTTTTTGGGCGGGATGTATATCGGTGGTCTGATTCGGTGGAATTATCAGCCCTCTGAGCTCGCCTGCCTTGAATATTTTGGTTGCAAAGAGGATGCAAGTAGGGCTGCAGATGTGTAACTAGTGGGAATCTCCCGGGAAAGCATAGAAATGAATCGATGAAAATACCCATTGCGATACCCAAGCCAGTGATATCTTGATCGAGCATTTTAGTTCTCTTGTAGACTTCAACACAGCGAGCCAAGTGTAGTCGTTCGCCTTTCACGATATACATATCACGTGCCACGCTAGACCCAACTAGGAACGGATCAGATGCATCAAAATGGAGGCTTCAGATCACCAACTCGCTCTCCTATCCCTCCATTTCAACATCAATTTTCTCATCGCCGGATCAACGGAAGGCATCACAGTATGGCGCTTCCACCAGAGCAGATCAATATCAAGCGCAGACGCGAGGAAGAGCCCGTGGAAACCCTCTGTAAGAAAATGCTCCCCTTGTTTTTTTCCCCGCGATGTAAACCCCTCCAAAAACATGCATAAGAGCCTATCTCGTACCCTGGCCCTGAAATTCCAATTAAAACAATTGGAAACCACCCGCTTATCAGATTACCAGATATCCAATCGGCACTCCACCAAACCAAAAGACGATTCACAGACTTTGTCTTCCACAGAGTAACACTGAAAGCCAGCGAAAGCTCAGATGCATCTTCAAGTCCGCCATCAACAGCGCACCCAGCAGCGCACCGTCTCCTACGCAGCCCGCGCTCAGTAAGCAGTCTACATGTAAACCGCCGCCCACCGGCATCGTCAAACGGAATCGGCATTGGCAATGGCGTGCCCACAGTCCGAGCAACCTCACCAGGCGCCGAAATCCGCGAGGCGCAGCGCCTCGCAGCTGCGCGCAAAGAGCTTGAGGAAAAACGCCGCCACCTCATTTACTCGGGCCAAGCTCCGCCTTCGCCAGGACAGCCCAGCCCTGCAGCTGCAGATGCAGTAACCGCTAGATCTGGATCCGGGTCTCGATCCAGACCCAGTACCTCGGACTCGGCATCGGCATCGGCATCGGCAAAAGGTGAATCCAAACAAGCATCCCGAAACGCATCACCTAGCCGCACCCAGTCCCTCCGCCGCTTCCAGATTTCGCGATCAAATCTTGGTTCTTTGCGCAGCCCTGGCGGAGTCCAGAAACGCCGTATTGATGGACCCGCGCCAGGAGTTGCTGTGCTAGTCGAGCAGTTGCATCGGCGCACGCATTCACGCAAGACCTCCATGGTCTCTGATATGGTTGCGCAGGCGCAGCTTGGGGATCGCGGGATCTCGCTTCCGCCGAAGGAGATCGTGGAGGGTTCGGCTCCGGCGTCGCCTGTCAAGCCGCGGAAGCGACCTGTTGTTAATCAGGCTGAGCGGCGGTGGAGAGAGCAGCGGAAGGGGTCGATTTCTGCGGCAAAGGATCGCCTGAGTGAGACTGTTGAGAAATCTGCGCAGATGACACCCCAGAGTAACTGGGAGGAGGAGTCTGAGCGGCTTGCTAGGGACTTTGAGCAGGTTGCTCTCGAGCTTCAAGGTGATGACGATGAGCAAGAGCATGATATGAATCTTGATGCGCGACTTGCTGAAAATGCAAATGTGAATGTGTCGGCTCCTTCGATTGTTCGGCCTGTGAGCTCTGCGCCTAAGTCGCCATTGAAATATCAGCCGAGGCTGCCAAAGGAACCTAGGATCGCTCCTGTTCAGCCTCAGTCTCAGGCAGAGTCTCCACTGAAGAATGAGGAGGCTGTGGATGATGCGCCTGAGCCGGAAGATGATGATGGCGACTATGTCTACGATGTTTACATTCGGCGCCCGCTATCGGAGAGCGAGATGCTCCGGAATCCTCTTTCTGAGTATGAATCCGAGCAGCAACAGAAGAATGCTCCCAAGGCTCAACCTGGTGTTGGTGTTATTGTTATCACCGAAGAGGATGAGCAGTACTGGGAGCATTTCGTCGAGGATGATGAAGAGGAGTGGGATAGTGAGGATGCGGATTCGAATGGTAAGGTTCCCTTGGTCCTTGAATTGCGATGTTTGGACTCGTGCTAATAGACTTCCCAATCCAGCCGAGAACAATCCTGCTAATGACTACCCCGACGAGGAGATATCCTCTGACGATGATGGCTTTGATTTTGACGACTCTGCCAGTGAGGACGGTTTTAACTCTGGTTACGGATATAACTCACGCTATGGTGGCCAGGGTTCGGACTCTGATGATTACTGATTTTCTACTTGTATTGATGGGTAGCCTGCTCTATTGCCATTGAAAAGTCATAACTGTGCTCTCTTTTCCTTGCTCTTATCTGGGTTAGCGGGTGCTCAATATCCGTTTCATTAGTATACACCGAAAAACATCCCGCTGATGCATTCTTCTGTTGATCTCTCTGCTTCTGGGCCCTCTTTCCATATCACGGCCCTACAGAAGCACACGAATTCACGTATTCGACCGTTACTAGTACCCACTGAGCAATGGCTCCATCCAACCCATCCCACACTAGACCTACATATCGCAGCCCTGTACATTTCCCTACCTAGGTTAGTAGATATCTAATCATACCCCGAAACGCCTCCTGCAAAACGCATGTAACCTGGCAACGGCCATAGGCAAGAACATACCCACAGCAGAAACACCCGTAACACGCCCACCTCCATCAACCAGGAAGGATTGACCTATGTGCACCGAATTCCACCCTCGCCATCTCCATTCACTCACATATGCACGTCGATAATACGACCCCCGACCCATTACCTACTGTGTCCGTACCACCACAATCCCTACCCGCCCAACCTGACACAGCCTCTCACCTTCGTCCTGGTTTTCCCCATACGAGATGAATGTCAACACGATGAGCATTCCGCGCATCGACCATACTGCACCCTGATATGGTATATGGTAATACTCCCATACAATACCGTACACACTCATACCACAATACCGCCATTACAATCAAGACAGCAAAACCCACAATCCACATTCGGATCGCTTACTTCGCTTACACGGAATCTGCAGGCCGGGATTGGTGGAAATAGATTAAGCAGGCTCCAATCAGAGTGTGCTTCAGGGCGCCCCTCTTGCCTATCTCATTTAGTGCTGATGAGATTCGACAGCGACAGGGGGGATCGGGTGGACTGTGGCCTTGTTAGGGCGAACTATGGCGCCGGGGAAGTTCGTGCCGAGTGGGGGGGGAGGGAGGTGCTTGGCTTTGTTTACTAGTATACCGGTGCTTGTCCTTCTCTACACTGTATAGCGGCTGTTAATTTCTGGTAAAATTTCCCGTTATTTTCGTGTTCGTGTGTTCGGTGTATGCGGAATACACCTGGGGGGCATCTGTGGCATGTGTCATGCAGTGTCAATTCCCGAATCCTTTCTGCACGAGCGTCAGCCTTTGAAGAAAAGTTGAATTTCTAGTCTGACTGTGTACAGTCCTCTATACCGTTCTCCCACGATATGCCTATTCTAGACTGTGGTGAAAATATAGTCACTTATCTGCTTGGAAATCGGTTGAACACTTCCCCACGGAACGAATATCGTATCTTTGCTCTCAACCATTTCACCTTTTTTTTCACCATTTCCCCATGTCATCGGTCTAGACTTACATGACCAGTGCAGATCAACATTCACAGTCGTTCTGTTCCAGCCTATGTTGGCCCTCTGAGCCCGGTACAGACTACGGTATGGATCTCGGTTTGGTCCACCTCCGATTTCCTTCCCCAAAAGTACTTCTCCAATCCCCAAATTGGTCGAGGTTGAAGCTAAGACATTGGGCTTCACGCGAAGAGATCGGCAAAGAGAAAAATTAAAGGCGTCCGCGGGACGGTTCCCCGATCCCGACGCTAGTCTCCATTGTCAGAAGAGGATCTTGATGCGATCCAATGCCATTGCAGTCTGGCCGCTTCTGCTGTCTACTGTACTGTTTCTCCGGTACTTGTTCGTTCATACTATACGGTAGACCGTGTCAGTTCAGTGAATTACACCCATTGAAGATCATTATCCTCTTCTCCCTTGTTCCAGTGCCAGACCGATCCGTCACCCACTTCGAATCCCAAGACATCCCACCAGCATACATATAATCAAGAGCGAGAGCGAGTTCCAAAATCAAAATTAAATAGGAATAAAAAAAAGACCAAAGCATCCCCATCCCAGATAAACGTTAAACGCAACAAAATGACATCCTAACGGTGAGCGCTTGCGCGCGACACATCCAATCCACCCCCCACCCCCTATACAGTACAGTCCATTACCGCTATACATATCATGTACAGGACAGAGTCAACCACTGTGACTGGCACGCCCTCGTCAGAGCTGCGCTTGACTCCTCACTTCTGCCAGACCTCCTTTCTCCGGCTCCCGGTTCCTCTGCGTTTGACCAGGATCTCCGAGGCGTTCTGCAGATCGCCTACGCATATGTCCAGGAGGGGATGTACGTTATATGTGTCTCATCTCATATCTCATATCCAACGCGTCTATTCTACCGCCGATCGACGGTGCCCATGCAGCTAGTTTGCTGCACTGCGAAACTCAAGCGCATTTTCTTCTTTTTTGGTATTTATATTATTATTTTTTTTCTTTTCTTTTGTGTGTGTATGTGTTGGTCTTGACTGGGGTTTGTGGGTGCTTTGACCGACTTTACAATTGCTATTGTGATGGCTTGCCTGGTTTGGCGGGTATTGCATGTCCGCGGCTGTGGTACTGTATGTGATTACTGGTCCTTGGTCACTGATCACTGTTGTCGATCCTCGATCGTCTGAGATTGATTTGGGGGCCGTCTGGGGAGGGGAGGGCTTCTTTATTTTTTGATTGTGTGTTGGTTGGGTTGGCAGCCACGGGTGGCCAAAGTGTGTGTCCTTTCAGGATTGATCCTTCGCAACGATTGACATTGGGGGCTGCATGCATTTGGTAGACATGAGGCGATATTTTCGATAATTGAACCAAGTTTATAGTATGACGCAGAGTTTGAGCCTTGTCTAGGGTCCTGGCTCTGCTGGGCTGCTGGGTCTCGGAACGAAGGATTGGACCCCACGATCGACGAAGCCTGGGGACTCATTTCATTCGTTGATCTTTTACGCTCTTGATAGAACAAATCAATCAGGCTGTGGCTACTCGCTAGTCTCCAGCGGAATTCAGATTACGGGCTGGGCGGACTATAGCATATGGAAACTTGGTATTCCAAATGCTTACGAGTCATGTCCCGCAGAAGATTGAATTTGAATGTGAATCGAAATTTGAGCTTGAGGTTCGTTCAAGCTGTTGATAGCTATTTCTGACAGGATTGCTCCGGGTCACGATCATATAATATAGTGTAGTAGACATCAAAAACAAGTCAGGGAGTGAGCATCCTGCTGCAAAACAAAACACCCTGTCAACTGACAGGGGTCACAACAATAGACCTCCCACGCTGAAAAACGAAACTCCAGTGAGGTATCTTGAGAGAGAACAAAACAGAGCAAGAAGAAAAAAAAAAAAAAAAAGAGACAAAGCCACCCAAAGTACAAAGACAAGGACCAAAAAATGAGAGTACCTCCCAACCCAACAAGTGAACGAGCGCAAACAAAGAACCCAACCCAAAAGTCTAGATAACTAGGCAACAGTAAAGAGAGAAAAAAAACCCCCAATAGAAACCCTCCCAAGAATCACAACCTCAAAATCTCTTCCCGACTCTCTCTCATCCAAGGATACCAAACCTTCCCCCACTCAATAACCCCAAACCGCGGTGCCCCAGAATCAGTCCCACCCTGAACACTCGTGCCCTCGCGAAGGAACTCGCCATCGCGCATGCGACGCTGCTCCCGTAACGTAGGACATTTCTTCTCCTTAATGAAGCGATAGAACTTGCACTGGATGCCCTGAAAGCCGCGTCGTTGGCGATCAGGGAACTGCCGATTAAACGCCTCGCGCACCTCCTTCCACTCCTGACACAGATCAACGCGATGGTACCAGATGAAGTACATCTCCTCCTCCTCGTACTTGGGCCGCGGAGGCCGGCGCCGGTCCGCGTTTGCGCTGGAGCTGCTGGACACGCTGTCGTAGCGTTCGCGGCTTTGGGGGTGGTAGGGGTCTGGGGAGGAGTTGGTGGAGCGGGAACCTGGGCCCGAGCCGGAAATCGAGCCTTGGTTGCTGGCGCTGTTGTGTCTTGCGCTGGGGGTTGCGCTCATTTGGTTGGAGGGGCGGTAGGTGAGAAACATGTGTTGGTTTTGGGCTTGGCTTTGGGGTTGGGGGTGGGCTAGCACTGGTCCTGGTCCTGGTCCCGGTCCTGCTTGGCTATGGCTATGGCTGCTGCTGTGGGTTGCGCTGGAGTGTGCCCCCGGACTGGTGTCGTGGTATCCTCCATACCAGTAGTTTGGACTTGGGGGGAAACTTGGCGAGTGTTGATAGCTGTGGATAGATGGGATTGAGGTGTGTTGCGAGCGAGGTGAGTCTGTGTAGCTGTCTCCTTCACCTGGGTTTAAGAGGGCATCGATTTTCATGCGACTTTGCCGTGTTGAGGGCAGTTGTGCGTATTCTGTGCGTGTTTCCATTGTGAATGTGTCTTGTGGAGAGAGTCCAGCGAGTCGGTTTATGATTTCATAGATCGAAATCGATCTAAATCTGGCAGGGGAGGATATGAAGTGCCGAGCTTCACGTTGCTTTCGTTGTTTTGGTTTTTTTTGGATCTCCAGGTGGTTGCACAGACCAAAGTAATTATAGTGGGGAGGAAGTAGGAGAAACTCCGTATATCAGATCCAAATCATTGGGAGATATTTGGAATGAACATGGGTAGAAGTAAGGGAGGTGGGATGAAGTATAGCTGGGGTACCAAGCCAAGGTTTATAGATCGAAAACACAAAAAGATTTAAGGGAAAAAAAAAGCAGATCAGAGCCTTAAATGAGAAACAGAGAAGAAGCTAACTGTCTGCTCCTTTGGCCCCCTGTATAGCTCTGTATAGCTGTGTATAGCTGTGTATAGCTGTGTACCGCGGATACACAAGGCTACAGGGGTGGTTTGGTTCCACCCCCAGAGAATAAAAAATAATTAATCGGTGAACCGGACAGGGTGCTCCGTGTCCGGTGGAGAGAGACATTTCTTTTATTCTCTTTTATTAATCTTTTTGCCACTATTTAAATTGATATCTTTGAAGAAAGGTGGCGATCAAAGTTCTCCCTTTTCGCGGCAATGGGAGGAGATTGACACCTTTACCCTTTTACCTTTTACACTATTAGCGCGAGAATGACAAATTCTATAGCCGCTAAAATAGTACGGAGTATGGACGTATGCTCTGTCTGGCTCTTTCACCTCCCCCCATTTCATTGTTTCTGTTTCGGTACAGCTGGATTTCCTATACAGATACATGACCGTGAAATTAAAAACCAACACAAACGCGCGGCGTCTATTGGTAGACGCAAGAGTCATCTGTTGCGACGTACGCCATGGCCTTGGGACACCACGAACGAATGAACGTGTCGAGCTAATGCGGGCTCAATTCGGCGAACTGCCAACGCATTTTCCAAGGTTAGATGTCCGAGAGGATGTGGCACAAGCTCTTCTCTATCCTCTTCAGTCTTAGCAAGATCGGCATCTATAGGATACACACCTTCTCCATACTATATTACCTACATCACTGAAACGGATTTCCCGTCAAGAGACCGCCCATGCTGACGGTCCAGCCGAGCTGCATGATCGGCCTCCACTCTCTCGTATGGTAATTTTGGTCCTTTTGCGCCATTTTCTCCCTAGATCTGCGCCTTGACCAAGATCGTCGGTCATCTGCATTTGCCGCCAACGGTTTTTGGGATTTTCGTCAGGAGCCGAAGCCCAAAAGAGGAGATTTCATATGGGCGCAACTAAGCGCCCACGTTCTGCCTGTCGGTCTATCCGTCTATATTGGTCCTTAAACGCGGAATGGACAGTCCCCAAGTGTGAAATGGTCACTGGTAAAAACCCGAAACCCGAAACAATCAATGTAACAGAAGGGGAAAAAAAACAGCATGTTATCTGCGCGGCGCAGTCAACTTGCGCAAGCGCCGTCTCTCTGGCCCAACAGGGAGGGGGGGACGTCATCTGTCGACGCTGTATGGTCTGCTGCTTCCGAGACCCCTGGCAAGCCTCTCACTCAGGCGCTGAACTGGTCGTACAAGTCCCTGAAGGCCCCGATTCCGTGCAGATCAGATCAACACGGGGCTAAGCCAGCTCCTCCCCCCGCTTCTCTCTTTGTTTCCGCTCCACTAGATCCAATCATGGAAAGCGTTGGCGTTCGTCAGTCGCGTAGCCGCAGGCGAGGTCAATCACGTGAGGGCCTAACTCGGATAATTTGAGGTTCAAGGGAGTTTGGAAGTTCAAGTTCAAGTTCAAGTTCAAGTTCAAGTTCAAGTTCGGCTAGTTGCCTCTCTCTCTCCCTCTCTCTCATTCTCTAGTATGTGGTTAATATAATCCAATCAAACGTTCCTGACCCGCTCGAACCAAATTGCGACTCCTTCCTAGAAAGATAGCCCGTTGGGATTTCCATGGTGCAGGGTTATGTATTCAAACCCTTGGCCTTTTTACGAGTCATGCTGTGCATACTTAGTCTCGCCCAAAAGAAATTCCAATTAATGAAGGAATGAGGCTGTCCGAACCAATCATGTCGCTGATGATTTCATATTCTTTTTCTTTGTGTCTTTATCTCGTTCTTTCTTTCGTTCTTTGTTCGCAGATTGGATGTTTGGATGTGTCGAAACTCCAGTTTTTAGCTGTTTAGGGTTAGAAATCCAATTTCGAGCATGGAGCCCGCCACGGACGCTATGTCCTGGTGCTAATCATTAGCGATAGCCGCCAACCGAGCACGTAATATGAGGATGGTGATAATTATTAATCTCGGAGTGTCGGAAGGTGGCATCTGAACAATCTAGACTTCATCTACCCATTGGTACCCGCATTGGAAACGGGAATCTTCCGCCCAGGATTTGACTATTCCGGTATACGCATAGACGCGCCAAAGCCCGAGTTGGGGCCAAATGCATCAATTGAACCATGGGTCTCCAATTGAGGCTCGGGATGAATCAAACTCTTGGATCGGAGACGATCCCCCGAACTGCGCCGAACTGTCAGATCGTGGCATGATGTAAATACACTGATTTGGAATCCGGGTATCCCTGTATTGAGCACCTGACAGTATACATCTGCATGCAAGATGCAACATTGACTCAGTGTTGGGAGGCGCAAAGCCCGGCGCCAAAACACGTTTACAACACATCATAAGTTCCAGAAATTAAAAAAGAACTCGAATTTTCGCTTTTCAGAGTAATCCTTCAAGCCATTCCTTTCTCGGGAGAATGAAGCGAACGTCAAACAAAGAAAGACTTGCGCCCCCCTCTTCCCCCCTTCGTCTTCAACCGAATCAATCTCCGATCGTCGGATCCGACTCCCATCTATACACATACCCTAAGACACAAATCAAACACCCCTCCCGCCTCAAGATGTATGTTTCAGCCGCATGGTGATAATCATGCAGAAATTATCCGCACTAATGTAGATACGACACTTACATTAGTATAGAAAAGCACTCTGCTGCGCATACGTTGTAACTAGCGCGATGATATACAAGACACACGTAGCCCAACTCCGCTTCTTGGACCCCACGCCATCGATGCCCTAAACGAGTCTCGGGGTAACCCCCCAGCTCGTGAATGGCCGTACGGTTCACCCTACGGAGCAACATGCGCATTGCGCATGCGCATAGACGACCTAATCCTCTTTCTTGCTAGCTCGACGTACTTGACATGGGGGTTTTCCGCGCTGCAGCGCTGCAGCGCTGCAATCGCCAGGAAGGGGAAATGAAGTAGCCCCAACGGCGGCAGAGAAAACATGTACTTTGTTTCACTCCGTTCGCCTAGCTATGCTATCCATACTGTATACTAGTCCCTGTATATAGCCGAACCCGAGACACCCATGATCATGATGTCCGTGACCTCACATCGGCTGGGAAGAGAACAGAGATGCCTCTGCCAAGGAGGTGCCCAATATACAGTATCTACTAGCGCGCTCCCAGCTTTTCCTGGATTCAGCCTAGGGCTGTGACATTCCAGATGCGACCTTGAGGATAACATCTCGGGAGAAAGGAAAAAAAAAAGTCTCCGTCTTCTGGCGTAGTTCTGGAATTCTTACAGAACAAAGAAATGATAAGCGAAACAGCGAATGAAAACGAGCCATTCATATTGGTATTGTCATCCCGATACAGTGTTACACCTTCACCACCGTACACGCCTATTGACTGACAGGGCTGGATTTCAAATACGACCCCTTCGGTAATTACAATACGAATCAGGCCATGAAGTATGAACGGAGTACTCCGTTAGGAATATCGCCCTACAAACTCCGCACTCCGTACCTGGATTTGGGCATCGAGAATGGAATCACTCCGAGTCTCACGCTCTCCCATCTCCACCTGGTGGATTACAGTCACGCCTATCTCTACCTGCGCGGATCATCTTCACGACGCGGCTTGTGATCGGCGGAGCCATGGTCTACTTTGGAGGAGTGATGTCTCATCCTGCTCTCGCGGAATACCTTCCAGACGGGTTAGTCTTGAAGGGGTGGCTGACGCTACGCCGGCTCATCAGAGCCACTGGATCCCTTAGCTACGCAAGCGCACCGTTCTAGCAGGGGCCTCTTCCGCACTAGGGACACGTGGTTTTGCGTGACGATTACTTTCTGACTGCCGACGCTTGCTTATTTTCGCACTTGGACGATCGCGGGCTTGCGTTGATTACCTCACGCTTAGCAATAAATAAAAGTAACGATACTGAGTGTGCAGACTGTGTGCTTCGACGGCTAGTGCGTCTGTACTGTAGTTACTTGCTTTGTCTCTCTTCAAGATACAGTAGAAATATGTGAACTATATGCATGCCTGGGTAGATTGTTGTTGGTCATCAATATGTTCATTTTCCACGACCATAATCATTTACCAGATTGCATAGCCTGCAGATACTCGAACCCTCTTCAGTTCCTTGAACCTGATCTGCCTGGCTTACTAGGTCTGTGCAGCAAATAGCCCCCCGGGTCTCAACCCCATTACCCATTACCAGCATACCGACATACCGGAACTCCGTACAGACCTTAATTTAATGGAAAAGCAGAGACCCACTAACTGCCCCGTCCATACCGCGTGCCGTGATAGGCCAGCGCGTATAAATGCCGCCAATCATATCCCAGAACAGATATAGTGGGGGCTCTATGCGGGACAACGTAATTCGCTACATCTGAAATTATTCATGTTTAGTCCTCTGTACCCTTTTTTTTTTTTTTTTTTTTTTTTTTTATAACTTGGAGAGATATGGATACTAGAGGTGAAGACCCAAAGTGGAACTGTACGACGACAATAGTACTACATACTAACTGTACATGCGCATACGGTGTTACTCAACCCTATGGAGGGATCACGTTACTGTCAACTTACAGGGCAGGTGATCCGTACGCGAGATACGGGGTAAAGTGCGAGCAGGATAGTGGGCCTACGGTGTTTGGTATGGATGTCGCCATACCGACAAAGTACGGACATGAAGAGAAAGAGCTGCAACGGTATTTACGCAACTTGAAGGATTGGCACTGCAAGGTTGGGAGTTGGGGGTTGGGGATGGGAATGTGGGTTGGGGCTGGACGTTGGAGATTGGAGGCGTTGAACGGGTGCAGGATTGACCTGTGTGTCCATGTACGGCTATGTATGAGTAGTGGGATGTGACATGAAGAATCCTTCGAAGTGAAAGGGCCAAGAACCAACAGTAAATGCGCAGCAAAGGGAGTTTTGATTCGTTGATGTAGTGGGAAGGGGCGAGCGAAGAGTCGGAACAGCCATCATCCCTGGATTGCTACTGTAACTTGCATACTCGTGGACGGCAGACGAGGACGACATATGTCGGTGATCATTAGCGACCGGGCTGAAGTGGTGATGATCATGACTATGGCCATGAGGTGCATGGCACGCCTGGATCGCTGAGTACTGTATACTGGTGTGTATCCGTGGTATCCTCCACTGGGATATTTTATAACTATCGGTGAGAGAGCGATCAGGTCAATGCCCACACGTGCACCTTCCTTCCTCCCTCCATGCCGCTCCAATCAAACCCCAGGCATTGACGACAGAGGCAAGGACTAATGCTCCGTCATCACACCGAAGCCAGAGCCTTGGGTCCTTAGCTCCGGGATCGGGCCTTGTAACGTGGACTATCTCTTTGTTAGGGTGTTTCACTTCGGCCGATGACTGGAGTCCTGTCTTGGATGTCTAAACTCATCCTCAATCTCGGACGTGTGAGTGGCCAGTCTGGAGCAACATGGTGTGTGGGATTCGGAAGAGGTCGTATTCACCCTCCAGTATTTACCCGTGGCTTGATGGGTCTGACCTTTGACGGATCTGACACTGACGGGCACTCAAGACTATACCCAGAGCAGTAAGTGATTCGTATGTTCTTTTCTTCACGGGAGAGAATATCTCCGAGGTTTGGCCTTCAACCAGAAACGGAGTCTCAGCCCTGAAACTCTACATGGAAAAAGACCTGATCGAATGACAATCTGATCCGCATTTCGCCTACTTCGGCAGGTCTTTGCCTTTTTCTCATTTTACTTTGCCTGTCAGAAAGTATAAACCCGGCACTATCGTATAGCAGACTTGGCATTCTTCAGTGTGGTGTTGTGGAGTATACGAAAATCCGACTATCGACTCTTGATTCTCTGGATCCGCCCTATCCTAGCTTTTATTCGAATCCATAGGCTAGAAAACCGCGCATTTACCTTTTGGTCGACATCCGTGACCGCTCCTAGTTCGGACTTCGAGCCCGGCCACCTCTGACGACAGCTTGCACATCTTAACTCAGTGTGGCGACTCATTGGGCAAGCCGGGCTTCTATGAGCGATGTGATGAGCTTTGATGAACAGACTGGCTCGGCATGCGACGTTGACTTTTTTAGGTCCCCAGTCACAGTCCAATCCCGTTGTTGGCATCCAGGAGTCCAATATATATCAAATATCAAAGCTCTACGTCTACTGTACTCCGCGGAATCAAGGCATGTCCGAGTGTGAAAGTGGCTGAAGGATCCGAGTCAGAGCACTCGATTGGTAACGAAAAAAAAAAGTTCAAATTACCATATTTCAATACCTGTATGTAATAACACGGTTCCCAAAAATACAAGTGCGTCTTGCAGAGCCTCACCTATAGAGCTCGGAATCTCCTCGCTTGCAAGGTCCAACCAGCATGGAGTCATTTGATTTCAAATAAAGGGATTAACCATGGATCCAATCCACTTCGGGGTAGCCGAACAAGTGGAGCAATAGAGCAATAGAGCCACGGAGATTGGAGAATGAAGAACGGGGGAACGGAGAACACGGACACGGGAGGATGACGGAATGATTTTCTTCACGGAAACATGATTTGCTGTACGAAGTATGTGCTGTATTGACTGATTCTACAGCAGAAGCAGGCCATCGAATCTATCGCACGTTGAGAAACGACGCGGGGCTGTCAACGGTGCATTCCACGTTCTATTGCCTTGCTTTGTACAAGTCAAAACTATGCCAAGTGGGGAACGTCGGTCCTTTGTGCAGATATGCTGTGGGTAGCCTTTTGTCGTGGACGCCTTGCTGCGCACTGTCGGTCCTGTACTGTAGCATCCATTGCTACTGTACTGTAGGTACTGTAGTGGTATAGTATATTATAGCCTCACGCTAGATATTCATCGCTGTAACCCCCACCTCCCCCCACCATCATAATGTACGGTATTGGATATCCACTGAAGGTGACAGTCCTGCTGAATAATGTATCCCGACAGCATTGGAACCAACAGCCCACGCCTCGAATGACTCGGATGCGAACCAGGCTGCCAGATTGGCTACCGCCAGATCGCCGAATTTACCGCAGTGCAGTAGCAGCAGTCTAGCGCCAAGCTAGCCACCACTATAGGATCGATCTCCTGAGCTTGCAGCATACCTGCAGAGCAACCTGTTTCAGGGTATGCAGCTAGACCGATTCGTTATCAAGTAACGAACAATGGTGGGAGTCGTTACATGCAGTATACATACAGTCTACATGGTGCTAGGCTGTACGAGGCAGTTACCCAAATTAGCACCACGCTGCCAAAAGTGCCTTTGTCCTTGGAGGCCCTTGGATGCACTTGGATGCCCTTGGATGCCCGTATCTGTGTTATTGCAGCATTCATGCCAGTGCTTCATTTTCATTGAGTCTTGCTATCAGATCGGCACTCACCGACATCTTGTATATCACAAACTATCCATCATCACATACACACACACATGACCAATGTGCCCCGTACCATCCAACACTTCGTCACTGTCAACATCTCAGTTACCGTGTTAGGCATAGTCTGGTTTTCGAGTTCTCCAATCCGATGAAGCCAACCGCAACTAGCCGACCCCTGCACATCTCCGAAAACGATTCAGCATGACTTCATTTGCATCATTTACCCCGCATAACCCCCTCCATCTCGCGTTCAATGCACAGAGACAAATTACCACGTGGCGGGGGTATCTGTTCGTTTTCCTGTTTCGATGTTATTCAAAGCCCCCCAGATACAAGGCGTTGAGCGCTCTGCAGCTGGTCTGAGGGGATGATCGGAAAAATTGGGGGGCGTCATCTAAACCTTACCAAGGACTCTTGGTCGCCGGGTATGGCCTTTATCCTTGTCCACCTTCCTTGAAGGGATAAGTCCCGGACATTACTGCCATCTCTGAATTTGGTCTCCTAGGCGTAGGCTTGGAGTGCTGAGACGGGTGACATGGTTATTGCCATGAATTGGCGCTGTTGGTTGCGGTCTTTTCTTTGACTGGCTGCTGCGGTTCATGAATACGTATGTGAGTTCCACAGGGAGAGGTGCCGTATTAAGATCGGCAGTAATTTGAGCAGAGAGGGTTTCAACTCAGGTGAGCAGATGGAAACCTGGGGGGAGAAGAGGGGAGGGTCTACGGAGGATTGAGCCCTCGGCGTAAGTAGTATCAGATTGAGTCAATGTTGGAAGTGATGTTTCATTGAAAAATACCCAAGCTAAATATCTGGGTGTTGGCCAGAGACAGCCACATGGGATTCCTGTAAAGGAAAGAAAGAAAAACAGAAAACAGAAGATATTCAACCCTGCAACATTAGAAAACGGATATCCCTCATCTCTGAAGCACATGAATGAGATAGCGGCAGCAGTAGCTACTGAGGCGATGGTACATGGCTATGCGTCACCTACTCTGCATTCGCAGCGACAATGGCTCTGAACATCTCGTTGCGCACGTCAAAGAAATGAAATTCATTCGCCAGGGCACATCTACTCGTGCATATGGTGAGAAAATGGACCTCTGAAGAGATACAAGCGCATAAATCAAGCAACTCACGGGTCAGCCTCAAACTTCGGAGTGCACTCGTACGTGCCGTCCTTGATGTTGTGATAGAATTCCCAAGCATCGTGGAGGTTGAAGAACAAGACATGGACATCAAGATTGCCCTTCATTAAGCCAGTGAGTCACTCAATATCGACGGAGTTAAGTTTGGGGGGAAGACCTACATCTGCGCCATACTCGATCAGGATTTGCTCAAGCTCCTTGTTCTTCCACTTGGGCTGAGAGACAATGCCGAGAATAGATTCAGCATTGTGTCCCATCAGGGCAGTTGGCAGGCCAGAAAGGTACACGAGACGCGAGGCATCAGTACTGACGCGGCTTGCAAGCTCACGGTGCTCGTTGTCATTTTCCATAAGCTCAATAGAGATCTGGATCACATCATCACCGTCCTTGATGAGTATGCCCTCGGGATACAGTTCAAGATATCTGTTGCAGTTGTCGGCATCGGTGAACTGAACATTGACCTCGCCAGAGATCTCAGTCCAGGCACGCTCGATAGCACCACCCCAGACGAGGTGCAGAACGTGGGAGATGGTCGCCCACTCGGGTAGGTTTTTGAACAGTAGGCGACGGGGAGGGCCAGGCTCGGCAGCGGCAGCGGCAGCGGCGGCGGTGGCATTGGCGAGTCGCAAAGCCCGGAAAGAACTCATAAAGTCCTTAGCAGAAGCAACAGGACGGAAGCCATCATCATTGGTGTTGCCACGGGTATTGAGTTTGTCACTTTTGCCAATCGCATCATCACCTCCAGAGCTGTCAACGAGATCGGCTTCGGTAGCTGCAGCTACTTTTCTGTAGTTGGCAGAGGCATTTTCAATAGCAGGGTGAGGCTCAGTCTGTAAATTATCAACATGAGACATGTGCTTATGAACACAGGTAAAAAGAAAGAAGGAGAGGCGAGAAAAAGCAAAGTAAGCATGTGAGTAGATATTATGGCAACGTACCAAGTTCTGGGAAACAACCGAGTGGTGAATCACCTCAGTGGAAAACGAAGCTAGAGGGGAGACATAGGACCCATAAGCGATTTGCCAGTTCGACTCGCCTTTCCAGGTGGGCACGGAAGCATGAATGCTGTCATCCAAGGTCTTCTCACCGGTTACCCGAGCCCAGATCGCAGCAGTTTGATAGCAGGTCTGCTGCCCGTCGTGAAGCTCGCTGGTGCGATCCTCACTCACCTGCTTCCAGGGAGCAGAATTACCGATGATGGTAGGCATGGTGGCAGAATGAGACGGATGTTTTGATAGTGAAGAAGGAAACAAGAGAAGAGCAGAAGTGGAAAAGCAAAACAGTTGGGATGGGGAAGGAACACAGTGCCTGCCTATTTGGGAAGTGAAGAGGCAATGAGACATAAGTGACGCTATGATTATGTGCACTGCCTGCTATTGTACCTCTGACTTTAATTCGAGTTTAATTCGACTTATATAACTCGTTTTTCTTTTTCTTTCTCTATAACGAGCCTCGATTCACAAGTATGGGCTAATGACGGATGACGGACAGATAATGGGACATCAAATATACTAGCAATTTAATATGAACAAGTGACATTACATATGCGTGTGCGCCATGTAGCTTTCTTTTGTCTTGAGCGGGATATAAATTGACTTAGCCCAGCTGATTTCTTTGTGTATGGCTAGGTGCTTGCTATTGAAACGGACTTCGCAATGGTGTATAGCTTGTCATTTCTGCGCCTAGACAAACCATATCAATGTTCCTGCGCAATCACGCACAACAAAGAATGTTTCTCTTCGATGGCTGGGTACAACACATGAAAGAAAAAGCGGAAGTCATTGTATGACGGACATCAGGCATCGGATAGATCATAGAACTAACACCCGCAACTATATCTAGATCTCGCGTCTACAATATCCAGCTTGGAGGATAATGACAATAAGGAATAAGAAAATAGATTGTGTGGGTATCCAGCGTAATTAAGTTAATCCATTACATCCATCCGACGACCAAAGGTATATATGTACAGTCTCTCAGTAATCCGTAGTTGGAAATTCTCCATTGAAGTCAAGAGCCAAGTATGTTATACACAAGACCTAGCTCGAACCGTCCAACGAGCCATATTCATTTCGCATGCTCATGCCAGGGAGAAAGTTAAGCCTCTCCACCAGCGCTCAAAGTATCAAAAGACCCGATGGAATTTCTGCGGTCCTTGATGAACTTGGGCCAAGTGTTGGTGAGCACAAGGTATTTGATAGACGACTCAGCAGCATCGAAGATTGAAGCATCGAAGTCTGCTGGGATGTCACCCCAGTACTGCACGCGATTCTTGATAGCATCGGTCAAGGACTTGGTTGACGATGTACTCTGTTTATCGGAACTACACGATAGAGTAGGCGATGGAAGATCGAAAGTGAACTTGTCGAAGGGGCTAGTGGGATCGACACATTCGCGCTCCTCGCCGTAGATCAGACGGGTCGGGTGCTCGAAGATGTTTTCGAGATGACGCAGATCTTGGGACGAGATGTTCACGGGGAACTCGGCGTGGCGGACACTGATGAACTCGGCGTAGATGTGCAGGGCACGGTTGAAGTGGTCGCGGATTACGTCTTTGCTGTTGCCGTCACGGGGAAGGTTGCGGTCACGCAGGGTTGCGGGCAGCGACTTCTTCCACTCGGCCAGGCTGGTGAGGAAGACAATGTTTTCACCGGAGAATTCGCGAAGGGCAGAGAATTCCTGTAGGGGGGCAGGGTTGCGCTCCAGGACGTGCTCGAGTGCACTCATGGTCAAGATGCTGTCGCGATAGCTGTTCTCGGTCTTGACTGACTCGTTGGTGGATTTCCAGCCGGAGATCCTGGAGCCAACCATGGTGCTCTCAGAGTGGAGAGACTTGGCCTCGGAGCCGGCAGACTTGACCTTTGACTCCCAGCGCGCAATCGAGTCGAGAGTTTCTTGTTGGAGGGACTGGTGACGCATCACCTCCCAGCAGGGGAGGAAGACGGTGAAGATTTCCATAAAAATGATAGACAGACAGATCCACTGAGGTGGGACGAAGACGGCGTTGACCGGAGCCATACCAGGCACGTAGAGACCGATAAGCCACATTGGGGTGGCATGGAGATTGGCGATGGCGCAGCCGATAGTCTGGAGTCGCCAGCCGTGGGTGTCGTGGATGTTGCGAGATTTCCAAAGAACAATAGGGGCGACAATCCAGGACCAAGCCAGTTGCCAGGCTACACCAGGCCACCACTCCCATCCTGCGCCCTGTGCCGTCTTCTGCTCCATGATAGTTCCGTGGACTTCGGTGCCGGGAATACCCCAGGAGCTATGCCACTTGCGGGAAATAAGCCACATAAGGATAGTGAGGAAGATCTGAAGGAACATTCCGATGCCAACGATGGTAAGCATCTTAGTAGAGTAGCTGAGACGGTGGAAGCGGGCGATCAGGCCCTTGGGCTTCTCTTCGGGGGTGGGGGACATGAAAAGGCGCTCGCCGTATTGAGCGTATTTCCGTTGGAGCTTGGCGACGTGGAGGAAGCGAGCGTTGGAAGCGTGGAACAAGGCGATACCACAGGGCAGCAAGGTGCCCATCATCCAGTACTGGCAGTCTCCTGGCAGCAGAGGGCCGACCATGGTGGCAAACTGGACCGGGGCCCAGTATAGATGGAGAAGAACGATTGCAGATAATGATAGACCGAGGCCTCGAATTCGGAGGGTAGGCATGTTGCGATGGACGATGAGATAGGCCATGCCGCACACAACGGCGATGGTCCAGACGCATGCCCAGACAGCCCACCAGATGGTGACAGGGCTGAGATCGATCTCAGCCTTGGAGTCAGCAGTGACCCCCAGTTCGGACCCCATAGTGGCTTGGAGTGCTTAAGGAAAGTGAGTGAAGTTGGATAGCGCTTACTATATCCGTTGCTTGGGTCAGTCCTTCTTTTAAGTAAATTGAACTGCAGTCACGATCCGACTCAGGCACCAGCACGAGGGAAGTGGATCCCTGACCCGAGTTCAAGTTTTAGCCCTCTGTAGATCACCCTTCGAAATGACTTGGAACTGATAGTTTCTAAGTTAGGGTTAATTGTGGACCCGTGACCGCCCGATCGGGGCTTCACATTGGCCCCATCGTTTGGTCACCATAAGTATTTGTCAAGGTCCGTAGACTGTCATTGGCTAATAGGGACGTCCGTAAGATTAAGATCTCTTGGCAGACAAAACTGCCTGAGCCACAAACGTAGAGATCGGCTAAACTAGTGATTTTGTGAAACTTTCACAATTTCACTTCATCTGTAGATGATCCCAACCTCAAGAGGAAGGTTGGCAGTATAAAGCATGAGAATACGAGCATGTTGTCTATGAATATGGAGGCTGTGTAACTATGCTTTTTCTAGTGCATGTATGGCTAAAGTATGACTTCAATTGAATCCCTGCTGTTTCTCGTGTGCCAAAGGGTTCAGGAGACAATACGATAGATTTACAAGTAAAGTAAAGTAGCCTAAAAACAAGGCAATCTACTTTCTTTGTTCTTTCTTTGGTTCCAAAACAATAGTCTGGATAGTATACAACTGCGGTCAATATTTACAGGATATCACATCTAGAGACTTACCCTTCCCTGGGTAACCATCTCACACCACCTTCTTCATATGCTACACCCCATCTAACGCCCACGAGCTGACACAGTGGACCTCGGTGACGGTTTCTCGGGCTCCACTCCACTATAAGTGGTCCGATCAATTCGTCACGTCTTTGGCGTGTTCCACTGCGGCCCATATCTCGATTTTTCTTTCCCGCTTCTACGCCCCAGAGCCAATTAGCTGGGATGACGCTACAGTACAGTACTGTACCTGCAGGGTTGATTAAATTAGGCCTCGAAGCCACGGGCTGATGCAGTGCATCGGGATCTGATATCTTTTAGGCTCAGGGGCAACGCATCGAGGATCTCCATCTCACAGGTAGCTATTGAATCTTCTTTCCAAGGTCGCCTTCCTGTTCCTGAATTCTCTGCAGCGCATTGGCTTCCCAGAGACCAATGCGTCTATCCGCACACCCGGTTCTGGGACATTCACGTGTCGATCGCCTGTGATATCATTTTTGGAGTAAGTTGAAGTCAGATCGAGATAGGTAAGTCATTCGCGGGATAGTGTAAAATATCAGAGTCAATCTGCCCCTTTGTGAGACCTTTGGCTTAATACTTGCTAGCAGAGGGGGCATTATTGATCCTCGGTATTGGAGATCTCACGATTTCTCAATAAGCGGTCCTCAATAAGTGGTCAACATGTGGATGTGGAACCGGCACGAGGAAACGCGTGAATGTGATAGATGTGCTACAGTATTTCAATAAGCAACACTCTATCGGATCAAGCACCGAATACAAAGCATTCCATTGAAAGTATTTGATATCTTGAGATCCTCGTGTACAATAACTGATCTATTCCTCTATCCCTGTCACCGAGTCAGAGCCCGATTGGACGAACAATATTTTCCGTGGCTTTCCCGGTCACCTATCCCAGCCCTATTGGTCCTTGGGTAAAGGATCGCCTGCTTACCTGTGGGTGTTATACCGCCGAGCACTAGCCAATGCGCACTATCGATGACCTCGTACCAAACATTAACAATATAGCCGCGAGCTGCTTGCACTTGCATGCAAGCCATCCGCTGTCTACAGGACGCCACAAGCTTATGCTCGGTCAAACTCCTAAGACCGAGCCCCTTTTGTATCTTCCACTTGGGGCCTGGGGCTGGGGCTGAATCGAAGAAACCTCCAGATTGAAAGATGCAATCTAGCTACTCGGTCTGGACCACAATCTGAGGTCAAGGGGCGCGCCAATCGAGAGCGTAAGGCATCCTGACACGTCACGCTTGGGTATACTGTATACCGGGGATGTATAGGAGACCAACTAATGATTTCCCTTCACCGGCGCTAAGCCCCTTTGACGGAATCTCAAGTGCAGCACTGTGTACTCGGCCGTAGATCGTCCATACGTCCCCCACCTTTACTCCGACTGCGGTTCTCTCAAGGTATTCGCCGGAGTGCTTCTCCGGGCAAGTGTACAGTATGACCCGAAACCTTGAGCTGGGATGATCACAGGAGATTCAAGAGATCAGGCAGTACCTCCATCAAGGGGACGATAGCCCTCTGGCTAAATGAACGTTCGGTGAACTCACTCGGTCGAAAGGCACTATTCAATGTAGATCGAATGTGACTTCTTCATCGACGTGAAACTCCTCATTCTCCAGTTTCTTCCAGCTACTGCAGTGATCTTCTTCTAATCCATCCTTTCACCCCTCCACTCGTCCGTCGGATCACACGGCCGTTCAATGAGCGATCAGAAACCAAGTGAACAAGTCTCATTCAACCTTCTTCTGTAGATCTAGCTCTCATATACGCTCGACAGCTCTGCGGTTGTATTCATATTGTGACCATCACTCAATCAATCGTGGTCTTCAATACAGTAGCTGGCATAGTCAATACTGCACACTCGGGTCGGCTACTCTGCAAAGACGACAGTGGAGATAGCATCTATATATATACACGTACCCACGCACCCACCATCCCTAATAGATACTCATGCCCATTTGAAACGAGATGCTGCCCATGGCGCGACGATGAACAAAACTTACTTCAAAGCTCCGCACCGACAGATTCAAACCGTTCTTCTGAGGGAGTCGTTGTTTCGGACAGGAGGCTCCTCGTCTCCCCCAAATTTCTGTCAGTGGGGACTAAGGTTACGGAGTGCAGTGGATATTTTCAAGGTGAAACGGCGTGGGGAAAGGAATTGGGAAAACAACAATACCAGTGCTTGTCTCTCCGAGGTTGTGTTTGCTTTCTCGGAGAGGGTTGAATCCCCTGTCCTCTTAAGACGTGTCAGTATCACTACGGTATAAGTGGACTAGCGTGCCTCCAGATGAAGCCATTTCAATAAGAGTGTCCCGTGTCTCATCTTTAGGATCCTTGCGAAGAGCCAAAAAGCCCCCTATCGTCTAGTTTTGCGGGAGTTTCGCTTGTGGGTGTGGCGTCGATAGTGGTATGGGGAAGGTATGGATTGGGGATATAGAGTAAGACAATCTAGCCATCACCGGAATGATTGCTTTAGCTGAAGGGGGATTTTGGTGTTTGTTGGCTCTTTGAATGGCACTCAAGGGCTAGATAGATTGTTTCTGACATCTTTGAGGAATCGTCTCTTGAGCAATGACTAGATGGGCCAGACCGAGGAGGTGTCGTAGAAAAGCCCGCGGTTAATTATTGAACTTGAAAGAATTGAACAATATCCCAGGGACTAAGGAATATTCTACGCTGGTTGAGGGTATACAACGGAGATAGACGTCGTCATCCAAGTGAAGAAATGGGTATCAAATTCTCAAAAATTATGTCACTCATGAAGGAACGGGGATATTTTCAAACCCCTTCTGTCCAGGCTTGCGGTCTTCAACAATGACCTGTAAACCACGACGACCACAATAACCATCATTGCCAGCGATGCGATCGACAGTCTGGAAAGCGCCACCGCCATCCTGAGCAGCATCAGGAATCCAAACAGTCTCCTGCACACTCTGACCAGGGACTTCAGCTCGGCGTGGATTGTGCCAAGGAAGGCCGACGATATGGTTGATGAGATTATGAAGGAACGCGTAGAGCCTTTCCCAACGACGAGTTACTCCTAGCCATGAAAGAGTGCGGTGGTCATAGGCGACTCGCACGAAAGGGTTCATGTAAATGCCTGTGTCGGTAATTTCATCAACATTGGTCTGCGTGTCTTGAATATCGGCGTGGATGAGACAGCATTCAGACGCCTCCCAAAACAGATCCTTTCCAGAACGGAAGCGCGCTGGGTTTGGAGTTGAAGGTGGGGAGCCGGACTGGAAATATTTGGCGTCAAAGGCTACCATTCCGCCCCAGCAGCTGCGTACTCGTACGGCATCTTTTCCGGCTAATACATCTCGTCGGCTTTCGCCTTTGCCGGATGATGTAAACCACGGGTAGAAGGGAAGGCCCATGCCGTAGCCCTCCAAATCGCGCGTTGCGTACGTGTCGTAGAACTTGAACGGGTTGTCGAAGTCCACGGCGCAGGCTGCGCGGTATTGCGATACGCCGTCCTCGTTGGCGTTGGTTGAGAATAGAAGTTGGAGCGTATCGATGGGATCGAAGAGTATGTCATTGAGATAGAGAAGCTTGTCGTACTTCACATCCGGGTTTTCGGTCAGTGGCTGTAAGGCCTTGTTGCGAACTTGGGCGAGGTATTCGATGCGCTTGACTCGGTTTGATCCGCCGGGTATAGTCACTGTCGGAAGAGTCTTCGGATCTAGATGTTTCTCGGACACAATTGCTTTTTGGCATTGCACTTTTTGTTCCAACTCGTGTAGCGCACGTTCTCCATCTTCGCCACTATCATTCTCATAGATGCTGAGGAATACATTTTCATTTCCGAGCAGATGTATCAACTCGAGCAGTTGTTCTCCCCATTGTCCATTTGCTAATTCTCCACCGTTGTCATAAAGACTCGCTGCGATGAAGACCTTCTCATTCCGTAGGTTTCCTCTCCCAGAGTATGATTTCTCCAGTACTGACTTGCGAAGAGTTGCGTAGTGCGCCGGCGGGTGTGTGTAGGAGGGGAATAGTATAGACGTGAAGAGTCCGAGCACGAAAACGATACCGAAGACAACATGAATATAGCAAAAGCGGCGGAGCAAGAAGCGACGGGAGCAGTTCGGCCGTGCCGAGCCCGCGAAAGCCGGTCTGGAATTGGACTTCAGGCGGCGATAACCCGCTGACGTCGTTGAAAAGAGCCGGGATAAAAAGGGCAGTCGATGTCTCTTGAATGGGGATGAAGAAGGAACTTGGGACTCAAAATCCGCCTCGTCGAGGTTGAAGGTTCCTTGTGAGTCGACCGAGGACCTCGAATTGAGCTCCCATTCATCAGGATGTAGCAGGCGGGTAGTCATGGCTGATCACCAGTTGGGGGTCCCCATCCCAACAAAGAGGTTAGATGCAAAAGAAATGAACGATTGAAGTGCGTCGCTGCTTCTCTGAAAAGGGGGCCTCGCTGTCATCTCCAGATCGAGATGTTTGGCTTGTTACGTCATCGCATCACGTGCCTCGAGGTGCGCCGTTCAAAGTATATGATGATATGATGCTCAACGGCTTTGGACCACTTGGATCCAGATAGCCGTTGGACATGAAACTGCATGTATAGCTAGAATAGGTAGTCGATGGTGTCATATCTGTTGGGATTTCCGTTTCTTCCGGGTATCCAGCGCCTCTCCCAGCAGGGTAAAGCGTGTAACACTCCCAATGTGTGAGCTTCGGATTACACTCTTATGTAGTGACGTAGCCGTGTGTCCCCGGGTACTTCTTCTCCTCATTTTTAGCTTCCTACTTACCCTGCTCTCTCTGGACTTGATTCTCACATCTTTCCTCGGACACACTGGTTTGTGGTGTGGCAACTGAACATACATTACCTCCCAAGTATCCCCCAGCTTCCCCGCAGCTGCATATATTCTCACCATGTCGCAATTCAAATTCGTCAACTCGAATGATCCAGTGCCAGGCGACGGCACCCCTCCTGCCCAATTCATCATTAATGCCCCAGCCTCAACAGACATCTGGGACAAGCCCCCTTCCACGAGCCGCTTCTCAGCCCCGGTCCTGTACCAATCCATCCCGCTGAAATCGTTCAAACGAGCTCGTGTGGCATTCAACGCTCTTTGGGAGAAACAATATGATCAGGCTGGTCTGATCCTTGTCCTCAACACTGTCAATGGTGGCAAGAAGTGGGTGAAGAGTGGCATTGAGCTCACCCATGGCAGACCTCACCTGAGCACCGTCGCTAAAGACAACTGGGCGGACTGGAGCTTGCAGGCTGTGCCTTCTGGGGGTGGCGCAGCGACCCTTGAGATGGTGAGAGAACAGGACAACAGTCTGTGGATCTATTTGGTGGAGGGTCTGCAGAAGTCACCGCTTCGGGAAGTCACTTGGGTCTTTGAGGAAAAAGGTGTCCAGGACCTCTGGGTTGGTGTGTATGCCGCTCGGCCTTCTAGCGAGGGTGGACTGCTTCCTGTCAACTTTGGACATTTGATTATAGATCAAGCATGATTTTGTGGGATATCGATGATTGGATATTTTGCGTGATAGGTGGAGGCTTTGCGAAAGAGTCAATGAGATCAAGATTTGTTCATGCTGCATTGGAATTGAATGGATGTAGCCGGTCTATACATTGTATGATCAATGTATAGACAAGTCCATGAATCTGACAGATAGTAGACAGTCCGTGTATTTTGTTGTCTGCATGTCATCTTGCCACATCGAGTCGAGATGGCCCGGGACTACAGGTCTATGACAGCAGATGAGATCGAACCGGAGCTAATTGATCTGATAAAGAGATCGGCTGGCAGTTTGACATGAGCCCAGCTCCACCCGCATATGCCACAAACGATATACCGTCGATCAGTGACAAACAGATAGACTTCAATCCCATTACAATTGATTGGTAGGTCCACGGGTAACTTGATCACGTCGCGTGATCCGACGCTGTCAAGTGCATTAGTGAAAAGATCAACGGGCTTTAATTTGAACCTGAAACGTATAGAATTGTCATACTATATTACACTGTACAGTAGTCTGCCAAGTGGAGACATTCTCTCTCGGACCTCCACCAAATGAACGAAATTGACTAGACAAGGGAGTAATTTCCTCTTTGTCTCCTGGTCTTTTGTTCATTTGTTCACTGGGCATACAGTAGTGCCCCGATTAAAGTTTATCAGATTTCCCTCTCGACCGTGTCACGGCTTGAACCCCGGCGTAAAGCTGCCGAGGTCACACCACTCTATAACCTAAGCGGCTTCCAGTGCACATGTGGAGATTGACTCTCATCGTCAAATGTAAATTAAAGGGAAAAGTCATTTCCGGTCCGGCCTCATCGGAACTGCATGGCATCCATGGACGGACATATTCCGTGCTAGATTCTCGTATACTCCGGACAAAAGATCGGCAACAGGGTAGCAATGCAGGTTAATGCCAGATAGTGGATGTGAGAAGTTATATGATAGATATTGTCTTGCTTTTTTTTGCTTTTTTTGCTTTTTTTGCTTTTTTGTTCTTATGATATACTAGTAAAAGGATGAAATCATAGAATACACCCCACTTCACACACACACATACAATATTCCATAAAAATCCTCAGGCTGGAAATCAAATCAAAGGGCGGTAAAAACCGCCGAACCGAGAATCAAGTTTTCATCTTATCGATCAAATCATATCTGATGGTCTGAACCACAAAGTGACTTGGCAGTACCAATCAATCAGCCCATGCCACCATGTGAACTGAGGTACCGTCCGGGTACCGTTCGGGTACCACTCCGAACGTAACCCCCTCCGGTGCCTGACACCGCCACTCCACTCCCCAATCTGACTCTTCTCTTTCTCTTCACTACCCAGTCATGTTTCCGATCTTTACGAGAATGACTATATGACGGGATGACGAACGGAAATGACCGGCTGACAAAGACTGACAAGACTGACAAGAAAGCATGACTCCGACTCGCCTGACTTGGAATGTCTGAGATCGGACCTCAGCCTCTCAACTCACGCTCTGCTGCCACTGACCCCATCGACGTGCATAAGTGCGACCGACGATCGGGCTCGGTGTCATTTACTGCACTCCAACCTATTCAAGGCCTGCTTTCCCCTTACAGCCTGGGCGCCCCCTCCAAAGGCGGATCTACCCATCCGCCCCATAGCTGCCTGCCGAATTCTGCTACGTACATAGCCCTCCATGAGTTATCGACCAGGCAAGCGCGCTTCATCTTTTTCTTCCTTATTTGCGCCCCATATTTCTCGTCTCTTTCGCTTTTCTGCTCCTGACTCGCTCTCCGATTCGCTCGTCGTTGCTTTTTCAAGTGGACCTGGCTGGCTCAGGCTAAACAGCCCAGTACTTGCTTAGTAGAGCAGGATTTCATCCCTTTTATGTGATACGCCCCCGACGCCTGATGTTGCATGAACTCTTTTTGATGGTCCGTTCTGTTGCTTAATCAACACTGTTAAGATCGTCCTTTGTATATGCTTCTATCCAATCTAAGACCGATCTCTTGCTATTTGGGCCAGCAACCACTTCTCCGTTGAGATATCTCGGTGCGCATCACCGACATGCCCCTTCTCGATCCGCGCTCAGGACCGTCCTACGGCACCATGGCACCCGAAGATGATCAAATGGACAACGAGCGGGAACAGCTGTTACAAGATGACTTTGAGGTGGAGGCTCAGCCCAGTGGAATCTCCACGCCGGATGAAATGCAGGAGGGAGTCGCAAAAATCGAAGCCATAAACTTGACCTGGACAACTCGGTCTTTGATGATTGCCTACGTCAGGTGCGTGTGGCTTGCAGTCCCGTGCCTTTGTTAACCCCTGCTGACTTGGCGCAAAGTATATTCCTCATGGCATTTTGCACGTCGCTAGAAGGCCAGACTGTGATGTCGCTGTCGGCGTATGCGACGAGTGCTTTCAGTAAGCACTCGTTGATTTCGACTGTCCTTGTCATTCAGAATGTGGTCAATGGTAGGATTTTACTTCCCCGCCTTCAGCTTTGACGATGAACAAACGTTACTAACTTGCAATAGCTGTTATCAAACCACCGATGGCAAAGATTGCTGATGTATTTGGTCGCTTCGAGGCATTCTGCGTTAGCATCCTTATATACATGCTGGGATATATTCAAATGGCTGCCTCTACGAATGTCCAAACCTACGCATCGGCTCAAATATTTTACTCTGCCGGCTCAACAGGCCTGCAGATCCTCCAGCAAGTGTTCATTGCCGACAGTAGCGATTTGCTGAACCGTGCCTTCCTCGCACTTCTTCCCGAATTCCCATTCTTGGTTACTGTATGGCTTGGACCAACTATCGCGGGCGCGGTACTACGCAGCAGCTCATGGCGGTGGGGCTATGGCATGTGGGCCATCATATTGCCTGCATCCTTCCTGCCGCTGGCCCTGTCACTACTGTTCAACCAGCGTAAGGCTCGAAGACTGAATCTGATCAAGACACGGTCCAGGCGACACAAGGACCTTCTCAGCATTGTGCGTCGGACCTGGTATGATCTGGATGTCGGCGGCTTGACTCTTTTGTCTGCCGCTGTGACATTGCTTTTGGTGCCTTTGACTCTCGCAGCCAATGCCAAGGGTGGATGGATGAACCCTAGTATCTTGGTAATGATGATTTTCGGTGTCCTTTGCTTCATCGTGCTACCGTTTTGGGAGTCTTCCCATAAATTGGCTCCCAAGCCTTTGCTCTCTCTGCACCTTCTCAAGCAAAAGACTGCTCTTGCAGGCTGTGCATTGGCGTTTTGGTATTTCAGTTAGTATTGTGCTGTCACCACCCTCGAACATTGTTACTAACTTTCGCCAGTGGCCTTCTACTTCTCCGTTCAGCCCTATTTGTACTCCTACCTGCAAGTTGTACAAGGGTACGACGTTGCCACAGCAGGGCGCGTCACCCAGACCTTTGCCTTCACTTCAACTATTGCCGCCTTCAGCGTGTCCCTTCTTATTAAGTATACTCGCCGCTACCGCATCTACGTGACTATCGGATGCGTTGTCTACATGACCGGCCTGGCCCTCATGCTTTTATGTCGAGGCGAAGGAGCCTCCCACCTCCAGGTCTTGGGGACCCAAATCATCGTCGGCATCGGCGGTGGTCTGGTCAATGTGCCTGTCCAACTAGGTGTCCAGGCCTCCGCCAGCCACCAAGAAGTCGCTGCAGCCACAGCCATGTTCTTGACCTCCATGGAGATGGGCGGTGCTGTTGGCGCCGCTATCTCAGGAGCCGTCTGGTCCTCTGCCATCCCACATAAGCTTCTTCAATACCTCCCTGAAGAAACCAAAGGCCAGGCTGGAGAAATCTTTGGCAAGTTGACTGAAGCCCTGTCATACCCGATGGGATCTCCAACTCGTATTGCCATCAATCGCGCCTATCAAGAGACTATGAACCGACTCTTGTGTTTGGCTATCCTTGCTACCCTCCCCCTTATTCCACTTAGTCTGATGATGGTGAACTATAAACTTGACAAAGTGAGTCCAACCCCGGTCGACCTCGATTTGATTTCTTCTAACCTGGATATAGATGGGCTACGGCAACTCCCCACCCCAGGAAACCCCCCAACCAGTTGAGGCAGAACCTGACACCGAGGACGAACACTCCAAACAAACCTAATGCCGACGGGTAATCCTTTCTTCCGTGTGCATCATCCATATCACATGACCTTATGATCTGACGACCGAGTATTCTTCTTTCGTGTGTTATGTTCTTTTTATTCTTTGTGGCTTATATCGCAATTGCATTTTGATACAACCCAGCAAGCGGCGTTATGGATTACTTCACCATGTTCAAGACATTCTCGATGCATTTTGATTTCTGTTTACAAGCTTGTCTATACAGTACTGGACAAAGACCCGGGTCCTCATTTGCATTTGGCAGGACTCCTTCGTGGTCTGTGGGTTTCTAGACGTTTCAGATAATGTACCAGTTCCATAGATCTGCACAGTGGATTTCAATATGAAGCTTTGGAGAATTGACCCTGCATTCTTACCCGGCAATCTTGACTCGAACCTTGTACTGCTCAACTTGTAAGACCATCGACAACGCATCACTCGTCGCTTATACCCTATGTCCCATCTCCCGCCAGCCCTAGACTATGGACCATGACCAAGGTACAATAGACTCATCTCTTCATCGAGTCCCCAGCCCAGTCTAGACCCTATGCCACCCTGCAACTCTCCAAATCGACGTGTCAAAGTAGCAAACTTCCGACCGGGACTAAAATCGCATTCCGATACGGCCGGCTTGCCGCTCTGGGTTTCTTTCTATGCTAACACTGTACTTGTAACAAGCACGCGCCCTTCAGCCCTGTAGTCATCACCATGATGGTATGTGGGCCCAGTTCATCTCCCTGTAACAGCCGTTTTCTGTCAGGGAGCGTTCATCTCGCGTGTTGGCACAGTAACCACCACCTCCTAGTACTGTACCGTACTGTAGATATCTGTAGCCTCCAAGCCGATCTACTTGACCAACCGAAGGAAAACGTCCTGTACAGTAGACCTCGCTGAAGACTGTAGCTGTCTATCACCAAAACCCACAGCTAGCAGACAGCCCATTCCCTGCCCAATCCGATATCACATCTAGTCCAGCCCAGCCCAGTCCGGTGCAGCTCTACAATCAACATGCATACCGCCCCTTCCTGACTCTACAATGCTGGACAGTACGACAGTGCTGTCCATCATTCTCCCGCCAACAGAGCCACGCACCGAGCAAACATGTCCAACTCATATCCGACCTCCTAGCCCCTATCATCAACGCCTCCCCTATCCACCCACTATCCCGTATTCAACCACGTATGTAGATAGCCCGTGCATGTACCTGCATATGTATGCATGCACGCATACCAGGCACCACCGTTTCCCGAGTCCTATTGTACCGTATACTTTGGGCTTTAATCTATTAGGCATGATCCCAAGCCCCCCAGTCCATGTCCACGCCCACGCCAGAGACCGGAAACCGGAGCGCGGGAATGCAAATGCAATCTGTTGGCGCTAACGTTAGGTTGGTACCTACATGTGTCAGCACTGTAAGTTGAGTTGGCTCCAGTCTTGGTCTTTGGGTTATGGATCGGGGATATGTCTGGATATATATACGGAATTACACGGTATGTGTTAGTTGTTCGGAATGAGGCATTGGGTGGAGTTTTTGAACGGTTGGAGCTGGATCGGGCCGTTTCAGTGGGAAAATCATGGTGATTAGGGGGAGGGAAAGGGAAGCTGAACATGTTCAAAGTCGACATCGTCGTGCATTTACTTCGGGTTGAGAGGAATCGAGGTTGAAACCAATTCATCGGGGGTCCAGAACCGACCTAAAAACGGCTTGAAAGGAGAGAGCCCCCTCCTCCCCCCGTGAAACGCCTTGGAAATTGCCCATTTTAAGGGGGCAATGGAATTCAATCCCCCCTAAATTCAGTCCGTATTTCAAAGTAGTCGAGTTGGAACCCCAAATAGCGCCAACCGTAGCTTAGACAAGTGAAAGAGATCTCGCTTGCATTACAAGCCGTGCCGGTGTCTAGACTCCATACTCTGCGGGTTGCCCCATTCAATCCAGACCACAGCTTCTTCCTCCCTTTTTGTCTCCCATTTTTCTTCTTCCCCCTCCCCCATCCCCAATATCTTCCTTTCACCAGTTACAGTTTCAAAATGGTCGTCGCTACCATCAAGTAGGTCTCCTTCGCTCTCCTTGACGGTGTCCCTCTGCTAACTGACCCCCTCTCTCAAGGTGTGTCGTGGTGGGGGACGGTGCTGTAGGCAAGACCTGTCTGCTCATCTCATACACAACGAACAAGTTCCCCTCGGAATATGTGCCCACCGTCTTTGACAACTACGCTGTGACCGTCATGTAAGTGCTGGAATCTCGTTCTGCTCACAAACTCCCCTACGTCACAAATCTGACCGTGTTGCCTTGAAACCAGGATCGGCGACGAGCCTTACACCCTGGGACTGTTCGATACCGCTGGACAAGAGGATTACGACCGTCTGCGACCCCTCTCCTACCCACAGACCGATGTGTTCCTCGTCTGCTTCTCCGTCACCTCTCCCGCCTCCTTCGAGAACGTTCGCGAAAAGTGGTTCCCTGAAGTCCACCACCATTGCCCCGGTGTCCCCTGCCTCATCGTCGGCACCCAGACTGATTTGCGCGAAGACGCCGGTGTGCGGGAGAAGCTGTCCCGCCAGAAGATGCAGCCCATCCGCAAGGAAGATGGTGATCGTATGGCCAAGGAGCTTGGTGCGGTGAAATACGTCGAGTGTTCCGCTCTGACGCAGTACAAGCTTAAGGATGTCTTTGATGAGGTATCCATCTCCTCCACTTTTTGCTGCTCGATGTTGTCCCCCCTCTACACCGCCGTTACTGACCTCCACTTTCTCTAGGCTATCGTTGCGGCGCTTGAGCCCGCGCCAAAGAAGAAGTCAAGGGGCTGCCGTTTGCTGTGAATCACTTCACGGTTGAATTTTTTTTCTTGTTTCGGATCAGGTCAGATCCGATTGCGCGGATGAACTGTCGCGCGTCGGGTTGCCTGGTTGACGTGCGCCTCGAAGCAGCTACGATGAAATGAACCTTGTTTATCGCTTTTTTCTTCTTCTTTCTTGCTCCTTTTCACTTATTGGGAGGCAAATATTTCTGGCTGGACTGGGTTCTTTGGGATATGAATATGCAACACCACCAAAAAAAAGGGGGAAGGGATCTTTTGTTCTAGCGATGCTTTCTAAAGCGGTTTTCATATCCATGTTTCCACTTGAAAGTGGCTTGTTCTTTTGATCCCCTATTTCCCTCTTGTGTTGGGCATTCCCGAGACTCCCAGCTCTAGCCTCTCTAATTCGCCGTATCTCCCTCTTTTTGTCTCCTTTCTCTTTGCTTGTTTCTTTTCTGCGATTTGCTTCGCCTGGCTGCGTCTGCTGTTGAAATTCCGATATTGAGGTGCCTTGCGTGTGCTCCTCATCCTTCATTTGACGTCACTTAGCTCCTCTCTCCTTCACGACTTCAGCGACAGCAATCTCGACCCTTTCCTCCCTTCTTTGTCGTGTCGCTCCAACCAACCCCTTATTACCCACTTCATGCTTTCACATGCTTTCAAACCTCTCATCGTCTCTCCGGCGTTGGACGCCAGGGCGTCGTGTTTCTGGTTGACCGTTTTCGTCTTTCCCCAATCCCCATATCTCCCCAGTTTTGCCTTTGCCGCTGAGATATTTCCGTCCATTTACCTGCACCTGGATTCTGATTTTGATATTGATGTGCCTTGCCTTGCCTCGCAGATTTGGCTATCTCTGTCTATGTTTTCTGCTTCCTGTCTGTTGACATGACTCTTGCGCTTTGATATACGCATCTGCTTTTTCTCTTGTGCGCTGGATTTCTTGCGACATTGTGGATTTAGAAAGTCGGAGGTCGTGGACCCAATCAGACTGGTTCTTTGAAATGACTCGTTGTAGACGGTAGATGGACTAAAACAGCTAGAAGCATAGTAGATCTATCTCTTGGATCGATGTAGTTGATTGTAGGTTTCTCTGTCATATGCAGATCAAAGCATGGGCCAGCTACTTCATACTTCAGACCCTCACACCAAGGACACCAATACATAGTAGTCGTCAATCTTCACTTCATTCAGCATCAAATCATCTATATACACCAGAAGAACAACCCAACTAAAGCTCATCCTTGGTAACTTCCTCGGCAGCCTTTTCAGCCTCAAGCTGCTCCATCCACCCATACCAACCGCCAAGCTCCTCATCAACACCAGCCTTGACAATCGAAGTAATAATCTCAAAAGCAACCTGCGCCGCCGCAAGAGCAGTGGTCTCACCCTTATTATCATAAGCAGGCGAAACCTCGACAATATCGGCTCCAACAATATTCAACTTCTCCAGACCCCGCAGAATCCGAATAAACTCCCGAGTAGTCCAACCACCAGGCTCCGGAGTACCCGTTCCAGGCGCAGTCGAAGGATCCAGAACATCAATATCAACTGACAGATACACCGGCTGCTCGGGATCCAGACCCGTGCGCGCAAGAATCGTCTCCACAACACCCATAGGGCCAAGCTCATCAATATCATCCGCATGGATGCGAATAAAGCCCTGCTCAGGCCCGGGGTTCGTATAATCGCCCGCATCCACACCAGTCAGCCGCGTGCGCAGACCAGCATGCGCGCTCGTCGCATTGCAAATCAGTCCCTCGCGGCTGGCCTTGTGGAAGAACGAGCCGTGATTGAACTGCGTCTGCTCGCTCTGCCAGTAGGCGCTGTAGCGGACCGGGTTCCAGGTATCCAGGTGGGCGTCGAAGTGCAGCACGGTGATGGGCTTCTGGTAGATCTGGTAGAGGGCTCGCAGGGCGGGCAGGGCGACGCTGTGGTCGCCGCCGAGCGTGACGAGCTTGGGGTGCGTGGCGCCGATGCCGGCGTTGGCTTTCGGCGCTTTGTTGACGATCTTGCGCGACCCGAGTTCGAGGAAGGCTTCGTACATTTGGCGCTCGGCGAGCCCGTTGTCGAACGGCGTGATTGGGATGTCACCGCAGTCGGTGATCTTGGCCCATGATTGGTATGGGTTTATGCCGGCTCGCGTGTTATAGCTTGTTGCTGCCATTTGGCGGGCGCTGGCGGCGCGAATGGCGCGGGGTCCGAAGCGGGCGCCTGTGTTTTGTTAGGGCTTTGGTTTCATTGTGGAGTTGGATTGTTTTGTTTGCGCTATTTCTTGTGGGAAAGGGGGTTTGTGGTGTAGTAGTAGAGGTTGGGATGGATATGGAGAGGTCATACCAGGGCGGTAGCTAACAGCGGTATCGAACGGCGCGCCGATAATAGCAACATCGTAGTGTTCGTTCGGCTCAATGAGACACTTGACGGGCTTCAGATGAGCGAAACTGGCAATTCCAGAGAACGACCATTCTTGATCCCACTTCTTCAGCAGTTCGGCCCGTTCGTGCTCGGGCACAACCTCGCCGTCATTGTGGTGCGAGCAGGCGGCTGCAGAGCTGGCTAGAGCCAACGTGAGCAAAGTCTTCCAGGCCATTGTGTAGTTGAAGGGTTGACAAAAGGAAGAAGCGGAAGCACTATTCAAGCAGTATCTATATCTCTCCGAACTTCCTATAGCAAGATAGCGCCACCCGGTCGTGCAGACTTTCCTTTCTTGGCTGTGGCCCGCTTTTTCCTCTCCCTTCACTTCAACTGCATTGTATACAACACGATTCCACTTGGCTATTCTACATAGCTATATCTGCAATGCTATGCGGCGTGTCGTCGTAACGGGTCTTGGAGCGGTCACTCCGCTCGGTGTAGGTGAGTTGAGATCTTTCTCTTTTTTTTTTGGCGAATAGCCGAAGCTTTGGAGCTCAAACTCGCGCGCATGCCGGCTTAGCTCCGAGTCAACAAATCTAGCAATCTGCTCTCCAAGTCTCCAAATGATCCGGTGCCCATGCGCCTCAATTGCTCTGATTGCACTTGCTTTGGCCACTCGGAGTTGCATGGCGTCCCCCGGACTCATATCTTTGGGTCCCCACTCCACTCCGGAAAGGGAAAGTCTTGCCAATGGCAGCGCAGCGGAGTATTGTCCGCTTGTACATACGACCGCATGGGTGCGCATTGGTAGTGCTAGGATGTGACTTCGAGTTGACATGGACTTGGAGCTCTGAGGCCTAATTCCGGATTGGAATGGATTTGCTAATTTGGGTGACGTGACACCGTGTAGGTATTCGGCGCTCCTGGAAGCGTTTACTGGATGGTCATTGTGGCATCGTCAACGTGAAAGAGCGTGATGAGCGTTTTGCCGAGCAGCCTTGTCAGATTGCTGCTGTTGTGCCCAAGGGGAGTCGGGAGGATGGTGGGTGGATGGCTTCGGAGTGGTTGGGTAGGGGAGTATGTGGTTTCGCGGTGGGAATGTTTTCTATTTACGATGCTGATGGCTTTTTTTTATAGGAGGAGCGGAAGATGGCGCAGTTCGCGCAATATGCTATGGCTGCCGCAGAGGAGGCACTACAAGATTCTGGCTGGAAGCCCGAGTCTTTTGAGCAGAGAGAGACTACGGTTGGTGTGGCTTGAACATGGAGGAGCTCTTGGATTAATACTGATCGATCATTATAGGGAGTCTGTCTGGGGTCAGGCATTGGAAACTTTGACGAGATGTACAACACAGTTGTAGCTTATGAAAAAGGCGTCAGTTGTTCATGCTTCGGGGGAGATCATATACCTAACTCGTTGTATAGGGCTACAAAAAGGTCAATCCGCTATTTGTACCGAAGCTCCTCATCAACCTCGGAGCCGGACACATCTCCATGAAATACGGGTTCATGGGCCCGAATCATGCCGCGACAACAGCGTGCACAACGGGGGCACACTCCATCGGAGACGCAGCCCGGTTTATTGCCTGCGGTGATGCCGATGTCATGGTCGCCGGCGGAGCCGAGTCCTGTATCCATCCGCTAGCCATAGGCGGCTTTGCCCGAGCCAGAAGTCTAGCAACAGCGTTCAATGACACACCAGAGAAGGCCTCACGGCCATTCGATGCTGACCGGGGAGGCTTTGTAGTAGGTGAAGGTGCAGCAGTGATGATCCTCGAAGTATGTGTGATGCGAACAGCGATTGTTATACCTAGTTCTATACTAATGCTTGGTACAGGATCTAGAACACGCGCTTGCAAGAGGAGCACAGATATATGCCGAACTCAAAGGATACGGCTGCTCTAGCGATGCGCATCATATGACTTCGCCCAAGGAAAACGGAGAGGGCGCATTCATGGCTATGAAGAAGGCACTCAAACAAGCGCAGTTGCGTCCTTCTACGGTTGATTATGTTAATGCGCATGCTACTTCGACTATTGTTGGGGATGCTGCTGAAAATGTTGCTATCAAGTCACTTTTTCTTGGTGAAGGGGGTAAGGAGAGGGCTGCTGATGTGAATGTCAGTAGCACGAAGGGTGCACTTGGTCATCTCCTCGGTGGTGCTGGTGCTATCGAGGCTTTGATCAGTGTTCTTGCTATCCATGAGGTCAGTGGTGCTGTTATATCCCGGTTTACTCGTTCCAGATTGCACTGACAAGATATAGAACACTATGCCGCCTACTATCAATCTGGAACGCCTGGCTGATGGGTTTGATTGCAACTACGCGCCAAAGGACCCTCAGTCTCGACAGATCGATGTGGCTTTGACCAATAGCTTTGGATTCGGTGGAACAAACAGCAGTCTTTGTTTTGCCAAGTACTCTTAGCAGCTCTTTCCTGCCCTGTATAACAATCTTTGATTCTCCCGGCGTTGTTTTGTTCCTTGTTAAACAGCTTGATGCTACAATGGTCCCTAGACCTCATTTATCACTGACGCACTATTGAAAGACCCCTTTAAATAGAGATCTAGTTCTTTCATGCCATGTTTTTTGTCGATAATAGAAGTTGAATCAATAAAGGGCTATTATTACTTGAGAACAGGAACAATACAATATACATAGCACGTGACCCATCCTAATGCGGAGCCCCAGCCCGACCTTGACTCCGGATGCTGGACCTGATCCTAGATAGCCACCCCCACGTTTTGTACAGAACGCTCGTTGTGTGAACCAGAGAGCGTTTTGTGTTTCAAGTTATTCTTATTTTGCGCTCACCATGGCGACCAATGGTGACCCTGGTCGAGGTAAGTTGTGCCGAATCTGAAGAAGGCGCATCGAACTGGAGCCGCTTTTGATCGCAAATCAATGCGACTAGAATCTACAAAGATCCTGAACTAACGATATGCTGCCCTGTAGGATCAGGAAGTTTGGTTGATGCGTCCGGTTACTCCTTCACGGACAAGGACACCAAACCCGGCAAGATCAAGGTGAAGAAGACATCAAAGGCGTCGACGAAGAAAAAGGCAGATGGTACAGCTCTCCAGACCCAGCATCTCAGACAAAACTGACTTAGAAACCCTATTAGAACCCAAAGATGGCCCTGTCGACCCTTCTCCAACATCATCCCCCCTCCCTACCCTCGACAGCAAGATCGTCTCCGTGTTTCCAACTGGGAAACCACGCGAGGAAGACCTGATTGAAACGGTCATTTGCAAACACTGCAAGCGTCCCACACTTAAGCAGACAGCAGCCGAGCATGTTCGTGGTTGCCTGAAAGCGAAGCAAGAAAAGGCGCGCAAGAAGAAGGAGGCTCGCGACGCGGCAAATCGTGCAAAAGCTGGCGATGACAAAGATGACGACCCTCTCGACAAAGAGAATGAGGGCAATGCTATGATGGGCCAGAAGAGCTCCAAGAAGAGTGCTGTCAAGAGTACCGATGACAGAAAGGGCAAGAAGCGCAAGGCCGACGACGACGACAAAGGCGAGCCCAAGAAAAAGAAGAAGAAGGACGAGCCTAAGCCGAAAGCTGCTAAGCCCAAGGGTCCTGTGGATGTCGAGAAACAATGTGGTGTTACTCTACCCAACGGCGCGCAGTGCGCTCGCTCTTTGACCTGCAAGAGTCATTCCATGGGTGCTAAGCGGTCCGTTCCTGGCCGTACCCTGCCATATGATATGCTGCTTCAGCAGTATCAGAAGAAGAACCAGGCCCGCCAGCAGAGTACGTGCTGTTTTGTTTTGTTTTGTTTTGTTTTGTTGTTCCCCAGGAGTTGACTAACCTTTCAATCCAGAGGCCGCAATCGATGCCAATGCCCCTCTACAAGAAGATATCGAAACCAATGGCCCCATTGACTCGGACGAAGAAAGAGACTCTGTCATGGCGGCTATCACTCGTTCTAACCCCCAGCCTTTGGTTCAACATCCCCTCATCACTACCAAATCCAAGTACCGCTACGTCCGCATCAAAGAGCAGATGTCGCATGCAATGGGAGTTCGCGGTGGCGGTGGTCTTTTCTCCGCAGACGACAGCCAGCCTCTATTTGGTGGCCTTCTTTTCCAGTCCGTCACCGGTGATATGGACTCCTCGCCCGTGGTCCCCAATGCAGAGGCTGATGTCTCTGGTGCACTCAAGACCTCGGTGACCGCTACATAATCTATCCGGCGCATTGTTTGATGACTTACGACAACTCTTTCTTGTGTTTACGCTTGGATTTGAGTTCCCTTGGTGTTTTAAATATTGGATGCTGGCGTTCATCAGCGCAGGGACTACTTACTAGCGCATCCTCTTCATTCATTTCTTGTCTTCTTCTTCTGCGATTTCCCTGGACAGTCCGTGGGCCCAGGTTGGTTCTGTTTGGTTTGAAAGGTGACGACATGATACCCCGGTTGGCGCGATATATTTGAAGCTTGGAAAGTAGATTGCAATTTAATCCTTTCCATAATGGTCTTTGTTCTTGCTGTGACACTAGTAGTATTTGACGATATAATGACAAGTAAGCTTTTTCTTGCTGCGAGACTAGTATGCAGTTGAAGCTATTCGGATTACGTTATTTGTGGCCTGAGTCATCAGGCCACAACTAGTTAACGTGGTCGGCAAGCGAGTGGGCCATGTAAGCGAGTGGGCCACCCAACCACTTTTTCGCATCCCGGTCTATCTATCTGTTTTCTATCAACCACCATGCCTCCAATTCGCGTCAGATCGAGCCAAAATTCCGTTCAGCAAGAAGGCCGTATCCTACTTGCTATACAGGCTATCAAGAGTAAAGAGATTAGCACTATTAGGCAGGCCGCAGACCAATTTCAGGTCCCCCGCACTACGCTCACGCGTCGACTACGCGGAACTACAAACCGCGCTGAATCTCGCCCAAATTGTCATAAAATGACACAAATTGAAGAGGAACTACTTCAGCAGCGGATACTATCGCTAGATCTACGTGGAGCAGCCCCTACACAAGCTCACGTACGAGAAATGGCGAATATCCTACTCGCGAAGCGTGGTTCTACCCCCATCCAAACCGTCGGCGAAAAATGGGTATATAACTTCACCCAACGCCATCCAGAGCTTTGTTCTCGCCTTTCACGACGATACGACTACCAGCGGGCACAGCAAGAGGATCCAAAGATTATTCAAGAGTGGTTCAACACTGTGCAAGCCACGATTCAGCAATACGGTATCCTTTCGGACGATATCTATAACTTTGACGAGACTGGCTTCGCAATGGGCCTTTGTGCGAATCAAAAAGTGATTACCCGATCAGAATACTACGGTCGGAGATCAGTTTTACAGCCAGGAAACCGTGAGTGGGTAACTGCAATCGAGTCAGTTAACGCTTCGGGGTGGGCGCTTCCACCGACCCTTATTTTTAAGGGTAAGCAATACAATCAAGCGTGGTTTAAAGACCTTCCACGCGACTGGCGTATCGAAGTTAGTGCGAACGGGTGGACGTCCGATAAGATCGGCCTTCGCTGGCTTCAAAAGCAATTTATTCCGTCGACAAATAGTCGTACGCATGGAAAATATCGACTCTTAGTCCTCGACGGACACGGAAGCCATCTTACGCCAGAATTCGATCAACTTTGCGCGGATCACGATATTATACCAATCTATATGCCAGCGCATTCATCGCATCTTTTACAGCCTCTTGATATCGGATGTTTCGCGGTTTTAAAGCAATCGTACGGTACCTTAGTCGGCAACAAAATACGGCTCGGGATCAACCATATCGACAAGCTTAACTTCCTCCTAGCATATCCACAAGCTCGTGTCAACGCATTTAAAACAGACACAATCAAGAATAGCTTTCAAGCAGCAGGATTAGTACCATTCGATCCTCAAGAAGTGCTATCAAAGCTCAATATTCAACTTCGGACGCCGACGCCACCTTCCAGCCGTGGCAGTGACACAAGCGCATTTTACCCACATACACCCGCGAACGTTAACGAGCTTCTAAAGCAAGCATCCTCGATCAAAGAGTTCCTTAAGCAACGCTCAAATAGCCCACCCTCGCCTTCACAGGCAGCGCTAAACCAGCTTATTAAAGGCTGCCAAGTCGCAATGCAGAACGGTATACTTCTCGAGGAAGAAAACAAGCAACTACGTGCCGCCAACGCTACACAAAGGCAAAAGCGCGCTCGTGTGAATAGATGGATAGCCCACGATGACGGTTTATCAGTACAAGAAGCATTAGAGCTAGAGGAAGCTCACAATCAGTTCTTTCAGCCAAGAACAGGACCGAGGGTAGCGCTGGCGCAGGCTACGCAAGCACCGGTTATGCGGCGCCCACCTAAATGTGGTAAATGTAGCGAGATAGGGCACAAGAAGAATGCCTGTCTAAGAAGAGATTAATCAATATAATAGCGTTATGGTTGAGATATATCGATAAAAGTGTAGAAAAAGTGGTTGGGTGGCCCACTCGCTTACATGGCCCACTCGCTTGCCGACCACGTTAACTATTCGGTTCGCCGATCAGTCATTGTCTTTGAAACCCGGAGTCGTCATGACAGTCGCAAGCAAGGTCTTGATACTCTGATATTCTTTTGCACTCCATCATCTCACAGCTTCCAGCTCTTAAGCGCCCACTTCAATTAGTTGCCATTGCGGGCGAGCGCCCTCTGAGCTATCATTTCACCTAGCTCTCCGAGACTTATTGATCGCAACACGGTCCCCCCTCTTCACCGTTCGAGGGAATTATACGCCTACTAGGCATCTTGGCCTAGCTATCGTTCAAAATTTACGGTCCTCCATACCCCCTCAAAATTTCAGCATGAGTCACGCGGTCCCCGATCTAGATTCCATAGGAATCAAAGCAGAGCACGACTTGGCCGACCAATTCCGCCGCGAAGTCGCGACGCTCCTCGGGCGCAACAACCTCAACTTCCCCGGCGCACAGCCAGTCAGCTTCTCATCGAAACACTTGGAGGAATTGCAGCGTGAAGACTACTTCGTGTGCGAAAAGACGGACGGCATTCGCTGCTTGATGTACTTTGCGCGCGGAGACCCAGAGTCTGACGCGCCGGAGATTCACTACTTGATTGATCGCAAGAACGACTACCGCTTCGTACCTGGTCTTCATTTCCCCTTGCCGAACGACGATACCTTCCAGTCATACCACGTGGACACCCTAGTCGACGGCGAGCTCGTCAATGACACATACGAAGATGGATCCCGACAGCTAAAATACCTCGTCTTCGATTGTCTTGTGCTGGACGGACAGAGTCTCATGCACCGGACTTTGGATAAGCGACTGGCATACTTCAAGGAGAAGGTCCTCCGGCCGTACAATGCCATGTACCGCAAGTTCCCAGAAGAGAAGAAACACCGCGTCTTTGCTGTCGAGGACAAGTCTACACAGTTTAGTTATGGCATTGAGATGATGTTCCGCGAGATTATTCCCAAGGTTAAGAAAATCCACGGCAACGACGGTCTCATTTTCACTTGCCGCAGTACTCCGTACCGCATTGGTACGGACGAGCATATTCTGAAGTGGAAGCCGCCAGCTGAGAATACCATTGATTTCCGTATGCGTCTTGAGTTCCCCATGCTTGAGCCTGATACCGAGGACGAGTCTGAGGGTATCACTCAACCCTATGTGGACTATGACGCTATTCCGATCTTTCATCTGTTTGTCATGCTCAATGCCGGCGAGTACCGTCATTGGGGGGAAATGTTCGTTGACGCAAAGGAATGGGAGGATCTCAAGGCTATGAACGTCCCACTAGACAACACTATTGTCGAGTGTGCGAAGGATTCCGAAGGGCGATGGCGTTTCCATCGTCTCCGTGACGACAAGAACGACGCCAACCACATTTCCACTGTTGAAAAAGTTCTCGAAAGTATTGAAGACCGCGTCACCGAAGATGATCTCATCCGCCTTGCACCAGTCATCAAGACTGCCTGGAAAAAGCGCGCGACCAACATGGCTGCCGGAGATGCAGACAGGCAACGGAGAGCTCAGGCACCGAATCCAAATGGTGTCAAGCGCAAGTTCGAAGAGTGACAAGAATTAAAATTGCCGTCCTGCTTTGACACGTATCTTTCACATCTATCTCGTGACTCTCAGCATACCTCTTAATTATCTGCAAGGCGCTTGGCGTTGGGTTGGATTGTTCTTCATCACTTTACATAAAAAGACCATGTCACGCATGGCACCAGGGAATCGGAAAAGAAAAGCAGATACAAAAACAAGAGACGGTGCTATATTATTTCCAAGGCCATTTCCATGCTATAGACCATAAACAAAATAAAACACCCTACCTCAGACACTGACATAGTTGTATAGATGATGCATTGTTCCCAAAAGCGGAACGGCGAAACTCAAACTCCCGGATTCCTCCCTTTCTCATCTCAACCCATGAACGCATCACTCAAGTGATCGATTAACAACGCAAGTTCATCAATTTTCATTTCGGATATTGCTTCGTTCGGTCCTACTGCCATTCTAGCAAAATGGGCGTCCGAGATTCCCATGGGGAGGCGACGGGGACGCCCGACCCTGTTGAGAAGGGCATGGCTACCCTTAATACCATCCGGTATGTCGCTTTTTATTTACGAAATAATTGCCCTTGGGGTTTCCAAGGGCACTTTTCTCGGTCGCAAATGCTAATTTCTCCCATAGAATCGGTGTGAAGGCCATGGTACAGAAGGTTGGTTTTGACCCTTTGTCCGCAAATTCTGGTGGTCACATCACGTGCCGGCTGGCGTCTTTGGGCTACGTGAATTGTCTAGCCCTAATACTGACTGTCTTTCGTAGGATGGCGAGCTGCGCAAAGCTGAAATTTTGTCCATCAGGCAGCGAAAAGATGGCCCTTCTTTCTAGTATGTTTGAACTTGTTCTACCTTTTGTACTTCGAGTCAGTGCTAATATCGATTCCAGCGTCCACTATGTCGATTTCAACAAGCGTCTTGATGGTGAGTCGTGCAACGACATTCCCCTCAATGTGTCTGCTTTGGTCTAACATACGTCTAGAATGGGTTGTGTCTTCGCGTATCGATCTCTCTCATGAGGTTGAATGGCCGCAGCCTGAAAAGGCTGACAAGAAAAAGACTGCTGCTGCCAATAAGGCTCCCAGCAAGAACACGAACAAACGTGCTCGGGCCGACAGTCGTGATGTTTCACAGACACCCGACGCATTGGGTGGCAAAAATGTAAACGTCGGCAAGGCTTCGCGGCCCTCCAAAGCTGGAGGGAAAGAGAATTTCGGTGTTGAGACACCGGGTGATACTTCGCTGTTCCCCTCAGAGGCTGTGTCGACAGTCGGCACACCAAAGACCACAGATCCAGAGGACTCGGAGATGCCAGATGCCTCTGCAGAAACTGGATCACCCAAAGAAGACGAAGTCAAAACGGCGACGGGCGAGGTCATCACTCGTGGCGAAGAGATCGAGCGACTGCGCACAAGTGGTAGTATGACACAGAACCCAACAGAAATCCATCGTGTCCGAAACTTGACTCGGCTCCAAATGGGCAAGTATGATGTCGAACCGTGGTATTTCTCGCCATACCCGGATTCCTTCTCAGACGTGGATCTAGTCTACATCGACGAGTTCTGCCTCAGCTACTTTGACAATAAACGTGCCTTCGAACGACATCGCGCCAAGTGCACCCTAGTCCATCCACCCGGCAACGAGATCTATCGCGACGACTACATCTCCTTCTTCGAAGTCGACGGCCGCCGCCAGCGGACCTGGTGCCGCAACCTGTGTCTCCTAAGTAAACTCTTCCTCGACCACAAGACACTCTACTACGACGTCGACCCATTCCTCTTCTACTGCATGTGCACGCGCGACGAGACAGGCTGCCACCTTGTCGGTTACTTCTCCAAAGAAAAGGACTCCGCGGAGGGATACAACCTGGCATGTATCATGACACTGCCCCAATATCAACGCCGCGGCTTCGGTCGTCTGCTCATCTCCTTCAGCTACGAGCTCAGCAAGCGCGAAGGCAAACTTGGTTCCCCCGAGAAACCACTCAGTGATCTGGGTCTGCTTGGCTATCGTCAGTACTGGCGCGAGACACTAGTGGAATTACTCATCGAGCCAAACCGGGAAGCAATGAGCGAGAATGAGCTCGCCGTTCTTACATCCATGACTGAAAAGGATGTTCACGAGACTTTGGTTGTGTTCAACATGCTCCGGTACCACGTAAGTTTTGATCTTCACTATACTAGGCAGTATGCATGGATGAAATTGCTAACTAGATCTGCAGAAGGGTAACTGGGTCATTGTCCTAACAGACCATGTCGTCGAAGAACACGAGAAGCGTCTCAAGAAAGAAGAGGTCAAGGGTGCGCGCAAGGTCGACCCTACCCGTCTCCAGTGGAAGCCACCGGTCTTCACTGCTTCCAGCCGGACCTGGAACTGGTAAGGCGAGCTTGTGCTTCTTGTCTCCTGTTTGCCGTCCTTTTGATCTCTTGGGTGTTTTTCTTTTTCTTTACTGGGTATCTAATGGGTGCTGGGGGGTTGGACTGGTTATGGTTGGTTGGGCGTATTTTGAGCAAATGGTGTTTATGGGGCTCGTGTTTCTTCGGTTGATACCTATTTTTCTCTCTTATCTTGTACAATTATTCATTCTACTTATTTTCTTTTTCTACTCATACTTGAAATATTATCATAGATTTGAGAATGATCAATGACTTGAAACTGGCTTTGTCTCTGTGCTGACTCGCGTTCGGTGCTGGATTCCCCTTCACGTCTTCCTTCTTGTTGAGGTTGTTTGGGGTTTTGATCTCGATCGACCTTGCAGGGTCTTAGTCGCAGCTTGTATCATGATGTGAAATTGAGGGGCGCAACCTTGATGTCGTCTGACCTTCCGGGCAGTTCGAGGAGTGGCTTAGTATGAGTGGATGGCGAAGATGTTGAGGGGAGAATCAACAAAGGTCGCTATTTGGAAATAGACATTATCTATAAACATGAAATCTAAGTTATTGAAATCCTACAAGTTTGTACAAGAGATGAAAATTGCTTAATGATGAATTGGCAGTGCTGAAATCACGTCAAGACTAGCTGCGACCGACTAGCTCGAAACAGAAATCGGAACCTGGAAGACTGCTTGTTATAAAGCAGACGCCTTCGCGGCGATTGAGGGTAACATAAACAGGGCATCCGGAAGAAGCAGCACAGATATCCACACATCATAGAGAGGTGCGGAGATTCTGAAGGCTGGAGCCCTGATTAGGAGGGAGGTGGGCAAAGAGAATTGGGAAAGTACATAACACGAAAGAAACGTGAGGGTATGAAAGGAGAAGCCGACTCTGAGCAAGAAGCAAAGTGGGCGATGATCACTCGAGGCTATTGCTGATTTAAAACATGAAACTGGGCAGGACTGATCAGATCTTGCTGTTGAAACATGACACAGCTCTCAGAGGTGAAAAGAGGCACCGAGTATCCCATGGGTCAAGCATGCCATTGCAATGCTGAGTTTCCTTATTTGGTTTCAGGGCTCCAGCCTCGGTATCGTGTTCCAGAGGGGCCTTGAGAAGAACCTTGAGGGGGGGCGGACTTCTTGACACCCCCGCCAACAGCATCGCGAGACTTTATATTTGTCTTGCGAGTTTTGTTGTGGTTGACGGGGTTGCGAGGACGGGGAGCAGGGGTTCCAGCCTTCCTAGGAAGCAAAACATGAGTAGGAGTGCCACCGGGGACACATATGGTAATGTGAGTATTGCCATGACGGTCAATGTCACTGGCTCCAACAAGGAAGCCCCACATGGTTTGGGCGTTTATTGGCTTGTTATTCTTGAAACGGGACTTGACTGGGGCCCATGCCATAGGAGGTGCCATAGGAGGCACACGTACAGCAGGCAGAGAGCCTGGCTCGCGATCTTCAAACATTTCATCCTGCTCTTCAACCTGGCGGACAGCGAGATCACCATCTCCAGGCTGCGAGTCGACGACGACTCTTGGCAAAGAGACAGCGGCTCCGGAAACGTGGACAGGGAGGGGCTCCTTGGAGGCGGATGTTACAGCCAAGACACTCTTCTTGTCGGGTGGCGTGGACTTTCCAAAGAGGTCATCGAATCTGGCTTGCCACGAGACAGTATTCAAAGCGGATGGGGCAGGGGGTGCAGAGGGTGCAGCTTTTCGTGGCGGAGCTGCCGCCATGGACGCGAAGGAAGGAGCCGGGGCTGCAGCAGCGGGAGCGGGAGCGGGAGTGGCAGCGGCGATAGTGGCAGTGGCAGTGGCGGCAGCGGCAGCAAGTGTCTTAGGGGGCAGCTTCACAACAGGCTTGGGAGGCTTCGGGGTGGGCAGATGAACAAGGGGACGATCCGAGTCTCCAAAGTAAACTGGGTGGTGGCTGGACACTTCCTCCGGGGGAGGAGGAGAAGGGCTGCGTTCTTTCTCGGTAACCTGGCGCCTCTGCTGTTCGGTGCTCTGAGGGAAAAAGCGCGAGCTACGAGCGGGTGCGGCACGTGCATTGGACTCAGCAGTGACAAGGCTATCCGCGGGAGTATCAAGCTCAGTCAGAGGGTTTGAGGGGGTAACAGAATCCTTAACATTAGTATGGGTTCTCTCGGTGGTCTTGATGACCTTGCGCGAGCCGTCCTCGTTGACTCGAACCTGATTCCAAGTCTCGTTGAGAATGATGGGCCTCGTGATCCCCTTCTCACGTTTTTCCTTGAATTGAGCCATAAAGTTGCGGGCTGTCTCGGCTTCTTGTTTATTCGCAACCTCATGGAAAGTGTTCCAGGCCTTCAAAGTCGCTGCGTGGTTCTGCTGTGAGCTCGGGGGTCCAATAGGACGAGGGCGGCCGATAGGAGTCATCTTGTCAAGAGAAGGATGTTTAGTCTCAGGCGATGGGAGAGTAGGAGCGTTTGGCTCTTGGGGGCCAGGGAAGTTGGGGGCAGGCATCGTTGCTTGGTCTAACCCGAGTTGACTGCGCAGAGGAACTTCGCGTGATGCGAAGCCCAAGGGTTGATCGAAAATACCGTTTCCGAGTGTTAGAGTGCGGTCACTTCCCAGAGGCTTCCAAGGGTTGTTGACAGAGGGAGGATTCACCCCGATGTTAGAGTTTGTGGACCAAGGCGAGTGAGAAACGTTCAGATTAGCACGCCACTGGGGACCGTGCTGCTCTTCAGGTTTCGCATCAGCTTTGCTTTGAACTGGTGACTGAGGCTCGGTTTTTTCTTGGTCACCAGGTGCAGAAGGGGGTTCACGCTTCTGTTGGTTAGGTGACGGGATGCGTCGAGGATGATGCTTCTCCAAATTGCGATCACGATCGTGAGAAGCGACGAGTTTCTTGACCGAATCAGGATGATGTACTTTCATCATACCATACTGCTTTGGCTCGCCGGATGGCTCAGGGACTGGGGGTTTGGGAGGTGAAGAGATAGTGGAGGCAGGGTGGTGATGAAGTTGGGAGGGAGATGACGGGGGAGGATGTTGAAGAGAATGAGGTTGTTGGTGAGAGTGAGGGTAAGAAGTGCGACTTTCTGGAGCCTTTTTCTCGGGTGCAGGGCCCATTGCTTCGAGTCGCTGTCTTATCCTCTCCTTCTTGGCCGCATCCTCCTTCTCCTCTTGCTCGATTCTTCGTTGCCGTGCCTCTAGACGCTTCTCTTTCATGATACGCTCTTGCATAGCAACAGGATCCTCCTGAGGTACTTGAGGAACTTGTACTGGCGCCTCCACGGGGGAATCACCTACATCAACAACCGAACGAGCTGTCCCGTTGGGACCGGATGGAAGTATCTCATCTTTCCCGTGGGGCTGCTCTCGGTCAATCAAGGCCGGATCATCCATTCCATTCACCTGCGAGCCTCTTCGAACATCGTTGAATCTGGGGGGTGCTTCGGGTCGACCAAAAGACATCCTACGACCATACCCTCCACTTCCACCGCTCGCATTTGAGGATGTTCGACGACGACCCCAGCCTGGTCCATCCTGGTGACTCGATCTGTGCGTTTGGAATGCAGCAGATGGTTCGGCTGGGCCACCTGAGTGCTCATTCGCTCTCTGCAACACAGCAGGGGTTCGGGCATGCTGGTCAGGGCGCCAAGATGGTCTCCGAGTCTCTGCAACTGGCTCATACCGGCCGGATCGAGAGTTGTAGAGTTCTCGAGGAGCCCCTGACTGGGTATCTTTCCACGTGCGGTTGAAGTCGTCTGCTGCAATCTCCTTTGGCGGTAATTGACCATGGTAGCTCTCGTCTCTCGGACCCTGAGAATGGATCATAGGCATGCGCGGCTGGTGAGGAGGAGGCTGCATCGGCGCACTGACTGGAGAAACTCTTTCAACCGGTGGTAGGGTGGCCCATGGAGACTTGGAGGGTGGTGCTGGGCTTGTGGAGCTAGATGGGGCTTTGTCATTTGTCCCCTTGGACGAAGCACTTGCGGTTCTTGCTTGACGTTCAGCGTTTGCTCCGAGTTTGAGAATGGTAGGATTTGGGCCCATGGAGGTCATTGGCTTCGGTGCAAACTTGAGAGGCTCTTTCATAGCAGGTGGTTGTTCCGCAGGTGGCGCTTCCTTGAGCTCTGGTTGATTGGGAGCATTGGGAGCATTGGGGGCACTGGGGGCATTCGGTGCATTCGGTGCATTGGGAGTATTGAGAGTATTGAGAGTATTGGGAGTATTGGGAGCATTAGGAGCTGGTGGAGGGTCAGTGTGAGTAAGAGTAACCTTCGTTCCATCCGTCCACTCGATTGTCTCGGGGGCCCAATCATCTTCATCATCATCAATGTCCGCCCATTTCGCTTCAGAGCTTACAGCGCCATCTTCTTGAATCCGCGAAGTCATATGAATGCCGTATTGCTGTTTCAACTCTTCGTCGGTCAAATGCTTCGGTGGAGGAGGCTGAACAGCTATGCAGATATCAAAGTTAGTTCAGGTTTCTCCCGCTCGGTCAAGCAAATACATACGCCGGTTCTTGTTCCAAACCTGGCTTGGATCAGGTCCTGATCCACCAGTATTGGTTCCGCCTGGCCCAGTCTTTGAAAATGAATCACGCATCCCCGCAGTGGTCTTTGCGACAAGTCGTGGTCGAGAGTTTAGCTGCGGGGTACCGAGTGGTGTAGTTGAAGTTGAAGGCACTAAATAGATCAGCGATTATCATCGAAAGATCTTTGACAAATAACATACCCTTCTCAGGTGCCTTAGGAGGTGTTGAAGCTCCCGCAACCTTGGGTACTGAGAACTTCGCGAAGGAAACGGGCTTAAATAAACCTGGCTTTTTGACAGAGCCACTTCGTGCATGGTGTCTGCTATCCGTTCGACTTGCATCGGATTCCGAACCACCTTGTGACGCTGTGTCATCTCCGCCATCTGATGCCGATGCAATTCCGTTTAGTTCAAGAACCCTTGTCGCGACAAGTCCGGCGCCCTGTTTGTTATTGTCCTGCGCCCAAGTCAGTGAGCGCTTCGCGGTGTTTCCATAAGCATAGCTCACCGTCGCAGAGCCCCCAAGATCTTTGTCGTTTCCAGTCCGTTCCCCTCGTGAATCAAGCATGTCATTCGTCTCGTGGTTTGCCTGGTCCAAGCGTGAATTGTTTGAAGTAACGTTGTTCATTGCGATATGTTCGGTCTTCCCTGCGTCCCCTCCAGCAGATCTATTGTCGTTGGTGCTCGCAGGAACGTCGGAGGGCGAGGGCTCGCCGCCCGACAGGGTCTGATCTACCACATCGCGGCTGCTCTGCTCTGCCATAACAATACTCGAATCTGTTTCAAGTAGCAATTGCGAAGAAATTAGCAAAACGCCCTGTGCGATGACAGCATGTTTTCTGGGGAGGGGGCCCGAAGGGCAGCTGCGGATCGGCCATGCGGGTTGCCCAAGACATACCTATCGTCAGATATCAAGGATCGCCACGGTTGCACTGCTAGCTCGACTGGTTTCAACCTGAAGAAATGGGATACTATCACCAGATATGGGTCGGCCAACAGTCTTCGAAAGCTGATGGGGTGTGTCAAGTCGGTGGAGAGTCCAGCGAAATCGGAGGGCGCGTGCGTTAGGAGAGTCCGCAGCGCAAGAAATCCCAGAGACGGGAGGAGGTCGAAGAGGGCGACTTTCTGAGTGAGGAGGGTTGATGGTACAAGAATAGGGAGGATGGTACAAGATTCAAGTGTCAACTCGGGTTGAAGCTGAGGGTCGCTGTTTTCGGTTAGCGTGGCCCGAAAGTTGTGAGGTGTATCTGCCCACACACCTTGCTTGATCTCGCCCTGTTTGCGACTGATCGGAGGTTTAAGTCTTTGGGTATGGTTGTCTGCAGATGGTTGACTGGGGCAAACCCTTTTCGAGCGTGAGGTTAGACCATATTCTCATGGAAAAGTGAGGAAAGTGCCTGCCAGCTAGGTTTCACCGGATTCCATACTCTACGTTTAAAGTCTACAACTGAACAGATCGGAATAAATCAAATATTGAAACACAGTGAGATTCTAAGATTCTCGCTAAAACCAAGACATTCCCTTGCACTGAAACTGAGGATCAAAGTATGTACATCAGTCCTCCATGCTTTGGATCAAAGGGAAAAGCTTAGTGAGGGTGGTTCTTGTGGTGGCCTGTTGCGAAAAGAGTCAGTTATCATTAGAGACTCATGTATTGAGAGCAAAATAGTTGACTGGGAGATCTTACGCAGGTGGAAGTAGTACTCCATGCTGTAACCCAAGATCAGGATACCACCAATGGCGTGGATAAGAGCTGCGTCAATCAGTATTCGTGCGAGTATAAATCAACGGTTGGGGTATACGTACGGACACCGGAGGCGTTCTTGCCGCTAAAGTAGCGGGCCTGGTAGCGGCCGATGATACCGGTGGGCTTGACGGTAGGGGCAGGACCACGGGGAAGACCGGCGTAGAAGTTCACAACGCGCTCCATGCGGGCGGCATCCTGGGCGGCACCGATAGCCTTAAAAAACGTCAGTGATCAAGTCGAGAAAGATTTGGAATTGAACGATGTCGATGGCTCGCACGAAAACGACATCGGGGCGGGACGGGTGTAGACGGGGTGCGCAAAGTCAACGATGACAGCGAATGGGTAACTCACGTTGGGGGAGGCAACCTAGGGAAAGAATTAGCATCATTTGCAAGGGTGTATGACCCAAGTAGTCATCACTGAGGGTGTCTTTACCTTGGGGGGAATCAAGGTCGAGAGACCTCGGCGGGCGATGTAGCTCATCTTGTCTGGGCTGGGGAGTGTCAGAAATTGGTCGCACAGAATAGAGGAGCTCTCAATGAGTAATCGAAAGACCGAAGAGTCGTGTACTTACGTTGATTGCAGCGCAAGTGAACCAAAGAAAGCTGATGGAGGAGGAAGGAGGAACAAACCGAGCCCTGCGGGTGGTCGGAAAGCCAAGCCCCGCTAAACCGTATTCGGTGGTGTCGTGACTTGCGAATTGCAGCCAAACCACACCTTCAGTACCTTCTCTTTGGCAACGATCATTAGCCACATCCAAAACACCGTAATGTCGCTTTTCAGAATTGGGGGTTCCGCCGCCCTTCGCGCTAGCAGAATTGCTGCGCCCGTCAATGCGCGTTTCGTCTCCAATGGCGCCAAGGGCGTTCCCTCCGTGAAGACCACCCCGTCGGAGGCTCCCACCACGACTCACTCGAGCAGCTCCTTGATCAATAAGGAGAGCCCTTCCGAGTCTATGGCCCGTCACCAGCCCGACTATGAGGCCACCATCGACCATGGCACCTCGTACGACCTCCCCTTCTGGCTCCATCGCAGATCCTTCCACTAACCTTTTGGCGTCAAATCTAGGCAATTCTCCCCAGTGCCCAAGCGCGTCATGGATGGCAGTGAACCTGGTGATTCTCTCCCCGGTGCTGTCCTCTCTGGAGCCCCCACCGATCTCCAGGCCCGCACTGTGCGGTATGTGCTATAAGTGTCGATACATCGCCTAGCTTTGAAATACTAACTGTGACAACAGCATCTACCGCCCCACTAAGCCCGCAACACAATCTGGCACCTGGCACCAGCACCACTGGCGCATGGACTGGGATATCCTGCAGCGCGGTCACCGCTGGGAGAACCCTCTTATGGGCTGGCAATCGTCCGCCGACTGCATGCAGGGCACTAACATGAAGTTCAATTCCAAGGAAGATGCCATTGCCTTTGCTCAGAAGCAGGGCTATGAATACTTTGTCCAGGAACCAAATGAGCGTCGCTTCGTGCCCAAGGCCTACGCCAACAACTTCCTTCACGAACCCAAGAAGATCAAGCACATCAAGACCAAATAAGTTATTTGACCTTCGTGCCCTATAATGTACATATTTGCCAGTTTTTTCCCTTGAATTCATCCCAAGCTTCTCGATTTCAAAGCAAAGACCATAAATTTTTCATACGATGTTTCGGGTAGAGAATTAGAGGTGAGCAATTCTGTTTTAATACGACTTCGAAGCCAACATTTGAGTCCTTTCTATATGTAGACTCGTTGCTATGGCGAAATCAATTATACCATGTTGACTAGGGCTGGATCACTCTCAATGTGTTGCTGGTAACCATTTGCCGGTATGCTTGTCCGCTATAGTATGACATTTCCTGCCCATTCCAAACATAATCAAATTGATCAAGTCTGTGACTTGTTATAAATGGCCTACCAAGAGCTCTTAATCCTCAATTGCTACTGTTGAGGGCAAGTTGGTTTCTATGTATTCCATGCGCTCGTTATTTTGTTGAACATGCCGCCGGGCCAGTGGAACTAAACAAGGTTCGAATGATTGAAATGATGTTAGTATTGACACAGCAGTGCTTTAGTCATTTCGATTCGGGAGCAACTTAATACAATGTTCTGGTGGCTTTGATATAGCAATGGTGATTGATTTACTTAGGGCAAATTCGATCTATAAATTTTTCAAGTTGTGCCCTTTCTCGCTTTGGGCTAATAACTCTGGTCAAACATAACATCTGATAGGAGTTTACTGATGATACAGATGCTTACTTTGAGTTAAACATGCTCTCCTTAGCTTTTAACTTATATTTAATGCACCAGGAATGTACAAATTGGGTCTACAGTGGATATGCGGAACCAGGACCAAAATATATATCGGCAAGGAGCAGTGTTTCAGAGTACGAATCTAGAATACCTCAACGCCAGCAGCAAACAATCGGATTAAAATAGCAATTGGCATAAAGCAGTCTCACCGGAAGCACGGAAAATACCAACGTACGAGCAAAAAAGTATGCGCAGCTAAAGGCCAAATCGGCCCCGCCACCCCCCACTCTAAAAATTGATAAGATCAAAAAGATTAACAACTTTTTCATTCCCACTTCGGACCCTCCTCGTTTACCACACCTCCAAAATGGCCGAAACAGATACCACCGTCTCTACCCTCCGCAAGGTTCTTGTCGCGGAATCTGAGCCACTTGCGCGCCGATTCCGTGCCCTTTTCTCCCTCAAGCACCTAGCGTGCCTGCAGCCTCCCACCGAGCAGACCCTCCCCGCCATCGAAGCAATTGCCGCTGGCTTCTCCTCACCCTCCGCTTTGCTCAAGCATGAGCTTGCTTATTGCCTGGGTCAGACCAAGAACACTGGCTCTGTCACCTACCTGCAGCATGTGGTGAAGGATACCGAGGAGGATGCGATGTGCCGCCACGAGGCCGCAGAGGCGCTGGGCGCTCTCGGCTACGAGGACAGCTTGGACATTCTCAAGAAGCTTAGAGATGACGAGACAGAATTGGACATCATCCGTGAGACTTGCGATATTGCTGTCGACCGCATTATGTGGGAGAACTCGGAGGAGCGCAAGGCCGAAAAGTTGAAGCCTAGGTACGTTTTGCGCGTCATACTGCATACCACATACTGTGAAGAGATTATTGACATTTTTATCTTGGATCTACAGTGATTTCACATCCATTGACCCTGCTCCCCCCATGCCCCTGGAGGCCAGCGAACCCAACATTCCCGAGCTGGAAAAGACACTGCTTGACACCAAGCTTCCTCTGTTCCAAAGATACCGTGCGATGTTCGGTCTGCGTGATCTCGCCTCGCCCCCAGACCTCCCCACCGCAGTTGACGCAGTCAATGCGCTCGCCAAGGGCCTCAAGGACCCCTCTGCCCTCTTCCGTCACGAAGTTGCTTTTGTCTTCGGACAACTCTGCCACCCCGCCTCCATTCCCAGTCTCACAGCATCGCTGAGTGACTTGTCAGAGGCTGGTATGGTGCGACACGAAGCAGCGGAGGCTCTGGGCAGCCTAGGTGAGGAAGAGGGTGTAGAGGAGACATTGAAGAAGTTCTTGAATGACCCCGACCAGGTTGTCAGAGATAGTGTCATTGTGGCCCTTGATATGGCAGAGTTTGAGAAGAATGGTGAGATCGAATATGCGCTGTTGCCAGGAAATGCCGAGCCCGTTTCGGCTGCATGATGGATATATCCAAAAATTGATTCGTGACGTCGTGATTTTGATACTCTTGCCCCGCTAGTTATACAGCTTTTCTTCAAAAATAGACCAATTTCCACATCTTTTGTACAACTCAAATGTCCAAACTAGTTATTCGAAGTTTCCCTGTTAAAGTAGTCAATATCAGCGACAAAATTAGGACTTGAAGTGGGCTGGCATACTTGAAACCGCAAACACATCTGTAGAACACAGTACTTCCTTCATCGGCACTACGCAGCTGCACTGTAGTCCAGAACATCTCTTTCCGTCCACAATCTGGACAATCACGTTCAATGATAGCCTCGGTCATGCGATCCGCCGCTGACAGGGTCTGGACTGCCGATCGTTTGGCTCTCAGTGCCGAAGGGAATGCAGAAGCCTTGGACTCGGAAACAGTAGTTTGGGGAACAGTGTCTGTGAATTCAGGTTAGAAGAGAAGACCAAAATTAGAATTATAATCTGTTCACCTTTGTTCCGAGTGCCGCAGACATCACAGTGAAGGATCGCATCCGCATTGCCGGTAGACTCTCGTAGGAGATTACCGCAATCTGTGCAGAAAATCAAGGAACCAATGACAGACATTTTGATTGAATCAAAAAGAAGCAATTCAAATAGTAGTCCAAAATATGTATGAGTCCAGAGAAAGAGCAAAGTGACGAACTAAACAGGCATTGAACTGCACCGACATGAAGCTGCAACTTTTTTTTGGTGCACGAGCCTCCGCCAGGCGGTCACGCGCGGCAATAGGTGTGCCGTCACCCATATGGAATTGATGAACTTACGTGACTGTAGCTTGAACAGCTATCTCCGAATTTTTGTTGTTTTATGTTTGAAAGACCCAGGGATGTCATAAGGAGTATAACACACCCTGCCATGTCTCTCTCAGGAGCATGTCAACCTTCTTATGATCAGCGCCTACTATCTTTGATTTAACCGCAACCATGGACCAGAATGGACGCCCAGTCGTTCAGGTGGTTATCAACAACTATGACCAGACGCAGGCCTACATGTCTAACATGCAGCGCCAGAATCAGCCACGGCCACTGTCTGTGGATGAGGCACTGCAATACTCTTCTATGTCCAGCGCGCCTGTCTTTGGCCTAGGTTTGTCTATCCGAACCCTACGCCTCAATGCCCGCCTACTTACTGATGGACTTTTCGCACAGACTGTATCATTCGACCAGACGTTGGGCGACCCTCGAACACCACTTCGATCAACCATGTGCTACAAGAAGGCCGCAAGACGCTGGGTGGATTGGACGCGGAAATCCAATCCGGCCAGGATGAATCCAGTCACTTAGAGACTTCCCGGGAATACCTACAACAGTTGCTTGATGGGCATGAATTAACAGAATTGTGAGAACCCATTCATGTCATAAACATCACATCTCACTCACCATCCTCAAGCAAGTTCAAGCTTCCCCGTGCCCCGGCCCGCAGTCGACAACTACGACCAAATGCCTCAGATGGAACGCCTTCTGGTCGCAACAGCCTGGGTTCTTTTGCCCGCATGATGCTTGACTCTACCGACATCGCATTCAGATGTAAGATCTAGTCCTGCCCAATCGTCTAGACTTGACCAATTGACACTTCGATATCAGACCCTGAAGCTTTATCCACAACCAAACTCGAGAGAAAAGATTCGAATCCAAAGAAAGCTACTTCCTTGAACCAGCGTGCTCACCTTACGAATAACTCGGTCTCAGCTTCTTTTGAGCCACCACGAGCTCCATCCTCAAGCCAATTATCGGTGGTGATTCCAGTCAAACCCCTACCTTCTCATAACGATCAGATGGGTACGGAAAAGGCTAAATCGAAGACTGAAGGTGAAGACGCGAGGGCGGCGGTACGAATGAAGGATCAAAAAGCGGAGGCAGATGCGGCTCTGTTAAACCTGCAAGACTTTCTTCATGAAGTTTTCGAAGCAGATGGTCAATTAGAACCTGATACTGCAACTCATTTTGCTGCCGACAACCCGAACCCTATATTTGCGCAAATGAGATCATTAGAGGTGCACGGAGAGGTGTTATCCTCAGATTCTCACATTCGTCTCCAGAAAGCCATTCGGAAAGTCGCAAAATTTGACCGACTCCAGGACATACCATCCGATTATCTCACCCGGATCCAAAAGTTGTGCGAAAAGCCTATTTTTGCAGCACAAACCCCTGATCTGAGCTTGAATGATTCATCAGGTGAGAGTGAATCTCAGGAGTGGCTGGGGAAAGTCGACGATATAATCAATGCACTTCTTGCGATAGGGACACTGCTGCAGACCATGTCTGGACGCCAAACAGAGCGTGATCTCTGCCCAGAAGATCTCATCGAGGCTATCCCGAATGTCCTCAATCAAGTTTTCGATCACTGCATCATTCCTGCAGTGGAATCACGCCCTGGTGGCAAGGATGGCCAGCATTTCAATTTCTTCTCAGCCCAAAAGCGGATCATTGGAAGCCTTGTTCACCAGAGCAAGAAGGTCCTTACACTTTTTGCGGATTTCCTGTCTCGAATTGACGTCTCCGAAGGCACGATCACGGCTGCCGAGTTCTTTGCCTCAAAATTAATATTTGTGGAAAACGCACACAATGACAAAGAATCGGCACTGGGCCATCAAAAGTATGAACCCGCAAGACGCGGTGCAATGGAAGTGCTTGCGAAGGTGTTTTCCAAATATCCCGAACAGCGACCCTTCATCCTGGACGAGATTTTAGTCTCACTTGAGAAACTTCCGACAACACGCCAAAATGCAAGGCAATTCAAGGTCGCAGATGGAAAAAATATTCAGCTTCTGACCGCACTTGTTCTACAGCTTGTTCAGACAACGGCTTTGGAGACAACCTCACGATCAAAGGCCAAACGTCAGATCAAACCTCAGGCCGATGATGATGACGACAAGCTCATGGGGGATGGTGAAGACGTCAGGAACAATGATTCAGATGACGATGTGTCAAACGAGTCATTGGAACGCCTTGCGACCAAAGCCAACAGACTTTATGATAACGCCATGCGCTCCGCACAATATATCGTGAAGTTCATCGTTCAGCGAGCTATGAACTCAACCAAGACTGGCGATCAGCCATACAGGAACATCCTTGATCTTTTCACTCAGGATCTGATCAATGTACTTGGATCTGCTGATTGGCCGGCTGCAGAATTACTTCTCCGAATAATGGCATCTCACATGGTTGGCCTTGCTGATCAGGACAAGAGTCCGGCGACTGCGAAAAGCATGGCACTTGAGCTTCTGGGCTGGATGGGATCTGCCATCTCAGACTTGATAGCAACTGCTCAGCACATGCTCCCGGCTCTGGAAGATTCCGATTCGGAACTCACCGACTACCTCAAACAACAATTTGAAGAATTCAATTCTCGAGCATTGCACCCGCAAGACCTAGTTGTGCCGACTGGTCCATATAGAATGGCGCTCGAACACCTTTTGCAGGACAAACAATCTGATAATTGGCAACTGATCAGCGCACGAGGCTACTACTTGGCTCAATGGGCCAAGACCGTTTGCACTCTCTACTACAACTCCGAGGACCAGGACGAACTGGCACATGACGATGTGACGCATGACTTGGTTGTCCTCTTGACGAGATCATTTTCAGACCCCCGCTGGCTGGAGACCCATAAGGAATTCGACAACATCACCAATGCCCATGGGAAATTCGCCTACATCCTGACAGTTTTGAACTCGGGATTTGGAAAAGCATTTGACACTATTCTCAAGGTACTCTTGAACTCTTTTACTGGTGATTCGGCCAAGGTTCGCAGCCGCAGCCTGAAAAGTGTCATCTACATGCTCGAGAAAGACCCCAATCTTCTTGATAGAGATGCTTCTGTTTTGCGCGTTATTTTGCGCTGTACAACAGATGCTTCGCCCATGGTCCGGGACTCTGCTCTTCAATTGATTGGCCAATGTATTGCCTTGAAACCTAAGCTTGAAGAAGAAGGTTGTCGAAGGATTCTGGCCTGTGCAGCAGACACTACCGCTGGTGTCCGGAAACGTTGTATTGGGCTATTGAAGGATTTATACCACAAAACATCTCGACGGGATTTGAAGCTAGTCATCCTTGACAGCTTCCTTCAGCGCACAGGCGATCTTGAAGATAGCGTGGCATCCTTGGCCCGACAAACCTTTGAGGAAATATGGCTCGTTCCATTTCATTACTCTATCAATTCATCTGATGGCCCGAAACTCAAGATTGCTCTCGGTGAACAGGTGGCCCTCATTGTTGGCTTGGCCGAACGAAGTGACACTGCATTAGATTCTCTCGGTATCTGCCTACAAGCTGTGCTTTCGGATAAATCCAAGTCCACTGCATTGAACTTCAAGGTTTGCAAGGCTATGGTTGCTACCATGTTCGAGCAACTTGTGGAAGAGTCAGATTCAAGCAAAGAGTCCCAACAAGCTCTTTTACAGACGATCACTGTTTTTGCCAAGGCAAACGCAAAATTATTCAGCCCAGATCAGTTGGAAGCCCTTCATCCCTACATCGGAAATCTTTCTACATCAGATGACATTTTTATCTTCCGATCAGTGGTGGTCATTTATCGTTGCATTCTTCCCTATTTATCCTCATCACACAACACTCTTCTTAAGGAAGTACAGAATGATCTCTTCAAAATCATCGCCAGGCTTCCCCGCGGCGAGCTCAATGAAGTCATGGCCTGTTTATGGACGATCAATGGTGTTATTCAAAACACCATCCGACTGGTAAAGTTGACACTTTCGCTTCTGAAACCTCTGAAGAAGTATAAGGACATGGACCTTTCTTCGAGTGAGCATACTTCGGACCTGAACCGTGCCAATAGTTATATTCGCATTGCAGGCTGTGTTGGGGCCCATTGTGACCTTGATAAGTTTGCATCACAGTTCAAAAACGACTTCCCAAAATGGCCTGGAAAATCTGTGGCAGGGTTGATGGTTGATCTTATAGTCCCTTTTTCCACGAAAACACAGCCCTTGGATCTGAGAGTCAATGCCCTTGAAAGCCTGGGGTCTATTTGCCAATCATGGCCCGGCCAATTTGGCCGAGAGTGCATCCGGCAGACATTTGCTCAAACCTTCAAGGAAGACGCTCCAGCCCTGCAAAACCTTGTGCTTAAATCATTTGCAGCTTTCTTTGCCATCCACGAGGGAAAGTCCGAGAAGGCTGTCATTCCAACCTCAGAGACCGCTTCCCAGGAAGATACAACTCGATTGGGCGGATCTTTGAAGGCCAGTGACAATGACGGTGCCGCTGCTTTGATTGCTCAACACTTCCTCTCCAACATGATACAGATGGCACAATCGCGCCAGGACGCTTACGCTTTGACTGCCATTCAGGTTATTGCAAGCATCAATCGACAGGGTTTGGTTCATCCGAAGCAATGTGCCGGTGTTCTTGTTTCTTTGGAGACCTCTACTATGTCTGATATCGCAAAAATTGCGTTTGATACCCACAAGGCGCAGCATCAGCAGTATGAAACCATGTTTGAGCGGGAATACATGCGAGCAGTGCAAGAGGCATTCTATTACCAGCGTGATATTGTTGGTGATTCAAATGGGGCTCGCCAGCGACCTTACATCCCGAAACTTGCCCCGTTGTTTGAAATCGTCAAAATCAGCAACAGTCGGTATCAAAAGAAATTCCTCGCGAACCTTTGCGCCAAGGTCAACTTTGAATTGAAGAAGCTTGACATGACGGGATCTCCCCCGCAACACCTTTTACTGTCACGGTTCATATCACAGAACCTAGCATTCTTCGACTACGCTCAATTGGCTGAACTTGTGCCAACCATTTCGTGCATTGAACGCATAGTTTCCTCAACTGGCACCGTCGTTGCACACGCTATTGAGACTGAGATCTCTTCCGCCCCGATTGGCGCGCCCCAATTCGATACGATGACCGGAATGATGACCGGATTTACGCCTGAGATGCAGCCGTCGACATTCATGTCGCGACCAACCAACCCCGCCACCTTGAAATTACTGGCAACTGCAGCTGCGTCATTGTCAATGCTTTGGGAAGCTCGAACCCACCTTCGCCGTGTGTACGGACTAAATTCCCACAGCAAGACCAACGGAAAACCTGCTGCAAAGGATCTCAACAAAACCGCAACCAAGGTGCATGGAGTGACTGGTGATAAGGTCTGGGAAGCGATGATCAGAAACATGACTGCCCTAGACAGCGAAGAAGCAATGTACAACAAGTGCCGCGAGTTTGCAACCTTGCTCTCCATCGACGATGAGTTCAAGGTGGATGCTGACGAGGACGCAGAAGGGGAGAGTCTCGACGCCATTGGCGAAGATGACACGGCAAGTGGCTTGGCCGGTTCTCGGCCCCTGAAGCGCAAGAACTCTGTCTCCAGCTCGAATCTCAGCAAGCGACCCAAGAGCCGCAAGGGTTCCACCGGAAGAAAGAAATCTAGTGAGCCGGACGACGAACTTGCTTGGGATTGATCCTCCACACTTTATCCACATCATCATACAGTATTCCCTTTTTTATTTGCATGTCAAGCGAGGCCGGCGTTTATTTATATTCCTCTCATGGTGGCTTCCCCAGGGAGTGGTGCTTGGGCTCTGTTTTCCGGAATGAGTGGGTGGATACCTTTATTTTTGCTTTTCATACATAGCCTGAGCTTGGCTCAAAATCCCGATATCCATCCTTAGCTAAGAGTATACATACTAGAGATCCACGAATTCAAATTCAATTGGCACCCGGTGGCGTCTTCTAGAAAAAGTGGTCGGTGAATATAGAACGGGAGTTCGGCTTGTCGTATGAGAACTGATTCTGGATGCCGGCTTCCCGATGCACGTGACTGCCGCCAAATGACGTCGCCCTGTAGCATCGCACCTTGACTTGGTAGGACTTCCCGTTTAGTTTTACATACATTGTGATTCAATTCTAGATCTTTGCCAGGTCGCTCGTTCCTTCAGAGCACAGAGACGGGCCATGAGCTGCTTCGTCTCTGTTTACCATCGTTAATCACTTCTCACACTTCCCTTTCCGTCTGACAATGCTGAACGCGATGCTCCGGAGCCGTGCGGAGGGCACGGCTCTGAAATCACTGGGCTCGTTACCACCTCGAATGCATGCCTCAAAGGCATTTACAGCGCCAAGACTGTCGCTATCACGCTCGATACACACTCCTCGTCGCCGACCAGCCCCCCGATGCACCTTGGCACAGGTACTGCTGGGCTCAGTGCCCATCCGGTTCAAGTCTGAGCTCGCTGCCAAGATTGTACCTGCACGGCAATCTGCCCTTCTGGGGGCTGCGTACAAGGTTTTTACGTGGTGTGGCTTTCTAATCATCTCCGGTGGTGCTATGGTCGTCGCCTTCTTTATCTACGATGCTAGTACATATCAAGAATCGTCAACTGCGACCGATATCCCTGTTTCGGAATTGGCGCTTAACCCTCGAATCGGAGGCCCAAAGAACTTGCCTATTGCCGATTACCTTGTTGGTGACTATGACTCGGAAACAATGCTGGAGCAGAAGGACAAGCCGCGTCTTGTCATCCTTGGCACGGGCTGGGGTAGCGTTGCGCTTCTCAAGAACTTGAACCATGCCGATTACCACGTTACTGTTGTATCGCCCACCAACTACTTCTTGTTTACTCCTATGCTGCCTTCTGCCACTGTGGGCACTCTGGGTCTCCGCTCGCTGGTGGAGCCTGTTCGACGTATCATTGAGCGGGTCAATGGACACTTCCTCAAGGCATCGGCTACCGATGTTGATTTCTCTGCGAAATTGGTGGAGGTTTCTCAGGTTGATAAGGATGGAGTTAGAAAGAACTTCTATCTGCCTTATGACAAACTTGTTATCGGTGTTGGTGAGTTACCTCGAGGGTGAAATCCTTTATATCGCAGAAGTGCTAACCTTATCATATCTAGGTTGTGTAACCAACCCGCATGGTGTCAAGGGCCTGGAGCATTGCAACTTCCTTAAGACAATTGACGATGCTCGTCGCATCAAGAACCAGGTGCTGGAGAACATGGAGCAGGCTTGTCTTCCTACCACCACCGACGACGAGCGCAAACGTTTGTTGTCCTTTGTCATTTGTGGTGGTGGCCCAACAGGCGTCGAATTTGCTGCTGAGCTGTTTGATCTTCTGAATGAAGACTTACTTCGCTCTTTCCCTCGCATTGTTCGCAACGAGATTTCCGTTCACATTATCCAGAGCCGAACCCATATCTTGAACACCTACGATGAGGCACTCTCCAAATATGCTGAGGTATGCTTCTATTCTCTAAGAGGAATCCTGACAACCATTCTAATTTCGATTCCTAGGGCCGATTTACTCGTGACGGTGTCGAGGTGTTGACCAACGCTCGCGTCAAGGAGGTTCGCAATGACCGAGTCCTGTTCTCTCAGGTCGAAGACGGCAAGACCATTGTCAAGGAAATTCCAACTGCTTTCTGCCTTTGGTCTACTGGCGTGGGTAAGTAGACTATGATTCTATATAGAGATACCCCTTTGAGTTACAATAACTAACACGATATAGCTCGAGCTGAGATTTCAGAGACACTCTCCAACAAGCTGGAGGGTCAGAACAACAAGCACGCCCTGGAGACCGACTCTCATCTCCGTGTGATTGGCGCTCCCCTGGGTGACGTCTACGCCATCGGTGACTGCTCAACAGTGCAGAACAACGTTGCAGACAACATCATCCGGTTCCTCCGCACCATCGCCTGGGAGAAGGGTCGCGACCCCGAAAAGGTCCACCTCACCTTCTCCGAATGGACTGAATTTGCCACTCGAGTGAAGAGACGCTTCCCCCAAGCGACCAACCATCTCCGCCGCCTGGACCTCCTCTTCGAGCAGTATGACAAGGACCACTCCGGTACCCTCGACTACGGCGAGCTCTCTGAGCTCTTGCACCAGATTGACACCAAGCTTACTTCCCTGCCTGCCACTGCCCAGCGCGCCAACCAGCAGGGTGTCTACCTCGGCCGCAAGCTGACCAAGATTGCTGCGGCTCTCCCTGGCCTCAGGGCGAACGAAATCGACTACGGTGACCTCGACGAGGCTGTCTACAAGGCCTTCCGCTACAGACATCTTGGGAGCTTGGCTTACATCAGTAACGCAGCCATCTTCGACTTTGGTGGTATGAGCTTCAGCGGTGGTGTCATTGCTATGTACCTCTGGCGTAGTATCTACTTTGCGGAGAGTGTGAGCTTCCGTACCCGGTGTATGTTGGCCATGGACTGGGCCAAAAGAGCTCTTTTCGGAAGAGGTACGTCTTTCTCCCCCCTTCACCCCCTCCCCCCTATGTGGTTTTTGATTGTCAGGGTTGCTAACATCTTTCACAATTCTAGATCTCATGAGCTTCTAAGCTGCTCGAAGTACTTCCAATCCATAGCCCGTCGCTGGCCGATCATGAGATATCCGCGATATCTCCCTTAGAGTTTATTTTGCTGATACAGTATTGAGCGGGCCAGATAAAGTCTGGGAATGTTTTCTTCTGATACTCTTATTTTCGAAAATACCTACACGCCTTGTATCTTGTTGCTTGGTCTTTTGGATTCATCCTGTTGGACTTGATGCATATTTCGTGGGCTGTATGAATTTGTTTGCGTTCACTAGCTAGCCTTTTTTTCGTGTTGTGATGCTCGCTACATAAACGCATTAACTGTAAACTATAAAGCCACGATAGATTGAAGAAATTTAATCCGGCAATCAAGCTCGCGCTGGTTTTATTCTGTACGGGGACTATCATAGGTAGCTAACGGACTAGTGCGCTGAAGAGCGGATAGAAAGTGGATGTCACATGAGTGAAGCGAAATATTCATTGCATTGCAATAAGGCTCAATAGGCCAATAGAAGAAACCAGCGATGGAGCATCGCACGAGTGAACGCCTAAGGATGATACACCAAGACGCCGCGCTAGAAAAACTCGAAGGGTTAAAGCAGAAGTCAATGCCAGGAATGACGGATACAAGACCAGATCAAGAGATCATTGGGTCGACGTCGCTGTTGTGAGACATCAAGATGTCGGAAACGTTAGTAGCAAGATCATTACTAGAGTTCTTGTGAGAATCGCCGACCAAGCCAATATCAAGGGTGTCTGGAATGTCTCTTTTGGCGTCTCTGGCCTTTTTCTCGGCAAAAGTGCGAAGCTTCACGAGATTGCGCAGGCGGGCCTCTTTGCGAGCTCCCTGACTCTGCAGAATCGCCTCGTTTACTTGGGTTGCAATATCTTTACGAAGCGCGGGGTCCAGAAGACATGCAAGCGACGGGTCCAGGTTGTCACTGGGGAAAATCAATAGGGCAAGCGTTCGCTCGAGGTCCTCCAGAAACTGTGGGTTTGTAGGGGCTCGAGGTGCAAGTTGCAAGGTTGCGAAGTCCAACGCTGAGCTAATATCGCTGCCAGGGACAGCCATACATGAGCGGATCAACTCAACCAGCTGCAGACGCAACAGAGCAAAGTGCAAGGATGGGTCCTCGTCAAGAATCTATTGAAATCTTGTTAGCAATGGCACTTTGCAAAAAAAGTGTGATGTGCTGATAAGATCCAACTTTGTAAGTTGCTCATACTGAGGACTGAAGATGTTTGTTTTTCTGCAAAACCCCGGAGGGGATTTAAGAGTGGTGCATGAAACTTGGTATAATCATAGCAAGAATAGGGGTGGAAAATGTGGATTCGACTAGTGGGAAAAATTTTCTTACCTGAGGGTTGAGCTCGTTGATTTTCTCAACGGCCGACTGGATATCACCGGAGTAAATCGCAGTCCTAATTTCAACTCGCTCCTGAATAGACTCGAGGTCCGTTCTGAGTTTGATATTGGCCTCTACTGCGAACTTGTTCGCAGCAGCGGGATAGCCGTTAGTGATGAGGTAGTCCATGACCAAGTAGTTGATATCCCTGTGATAACAGTTAGTAATCGCTCGGATCAAACTGTGGAATGCAATTTATGCAGTGGTGACGCGAATCAGATAGACAAGTCAATTGTTTCTCCTCACATGTTTTCAGAGAGATTCCCAACTTGATTTTCAAGAACATCATGTCACGAGGGCGGAGGGGAGGAGAGTGGAGATAACTCACGTCTTGGAAGGCTTGACCTCCTCGAGCTTCCGCTCGAACTGCGGCCATGTGGGCGTCGCAGTTGAGGAAGTTCGGGACATCTGCATTGTGTCAAAGGCCAGCATCCACGGGTTTTAAACCGAGGGGCATACTATGGGACCGGATAATATGAGCGGAATCCCCAGTCTTGAATCTGGTCTGAAGCTATCCTCAAAGCTGAATGGGGACCCAAAAAACGAGGGCCATGGGAATGGGCAGTCGCTGTGTGGGAGAAGACCGGTTGGGTGGATGGAAGAAGAAGAGAAAGTCGAGAAGAAAAAGCTCGGAATAAGAAGAGCTTAAGCGAACGTAACGCGCTAAGCCTAAGTCAGTCGCTGACAAATATCTGCATCAGCGACACATGACCAATCAGAAGCGGATCCTCGAGCTAACCCGCATCGGGCAACTGTATTACATAAATCTGCCAAGCCCTCGAGGGCTCTTGTCGAGGAATTGCATTTCAATCCAAGTTATATTGTCCAGTGGGGGGGAACAGTCTTAACGGACAAGTCTCTTTGCCATGGAATCGATCTCACCTTTTGTCTCCTCCAGCCCTGCGGTGCGCTACGCTCCACCATGGCAGGACTTGAGCATCATTGGTATCGCCGGCAGCTCTGGCTCTGGCAAGACCTCTGTGGCCATGGAGATCGTCAAGTCTTTGAACCTACCCTGGGTAGTAATCCTTGTCATGGTAAAACTTCCCATATCACTCGGTATGTATCTTGCTGTGATCCTAACATTCGTTTGACTAGGATTCATTCTATAAGACCTTATCGTCCGAGGAGCACCACAAAGCTCATGCGAACGAGTATGATTTTGACTGCCCGGACTCGATTGACTTTGATCTGCTTGTAAAAACCCTGCAAGATCTGAAGAAAGGGTAACTTTCCTCTATCTGCGGTTCTAGGTTCTTTGCTTTGCCTAATCAGGTTGTGTACAGAAAGAAAGCCAACATCCCAGTCTACTCGTTCAATGATCACCAGCGCCAGCCCAACACGACCACTCTTTACTCTCCCCGAGTTATCATTCTGGAGGGTATTCTGGCGCTTCACGATCCTAGAATCGTTGAGATGTTGGATGTGAAGGTATTGACTTTCTTCCCCGCTCATCAAACATGGCTAACCCCTCAATGTAGATTTTCGTTGAAGCCGACATGGATGTGTGTCTAGGACGCCGAGGTAGGTCATATTGAATCTTGAACATGAAAATTATCACTGACGGAGATATCAATAGTCCTTCGGGATGTCCGCGAGCGCGGTCGAGACATTGAAGGTATCATCAAGCAGTGGTTCACTTTCGTGAAGCCATCCTACACTCGATATGTGGAGCCGCAGCGTCCCATTTCAGGCAAGTAGTCGCATGACTTCACAACAAGGTTGAAGAACTTTACTAATTATTATTCTCAGACATTATCATTCCACGTGGAATTGAAAACACGACCGCTATTGGTATGTACTGCTCATGTCGTTGTCCTAATAACCCGATGCTTATTCAATATAGACATGGTGGTGAAACACATTCAACGCAAGCTGCAAGATAAATCCGACAAACATACCGAAGAACTTAACAAGCTTGGTTTGATTGCAGCAGAAGTTGAGTTGCCTTCCAATGTGCATGTTTTGCCCGCTACTCCGCAGCTTATCGGTATGAACACTATTTTGCAAAACCCAGCAACTGAGCAGGAGGATTTCATCTTCTACTTTGACCGATTGGCCTCCATATTGATTGAAAGGTATGATTTCTGTACTCTGAATCCCAATTTATTCTGTCGCATAATTAATGTCATTGCCAGGGCCTTGGACATGACATTATATGTCTCTGCGAATGTGGAAACACCACAAGGAAACCAATACGCTGGCTTGCACCCCAAGGGCACTGCATCAGCTGTCGCTATCTTGCGAGGTGGTTCTTGTATCGAGACTGCTCTCAAGAGATCTATTCCCGACTGTGTCACTGGTCGCGTGCTCATTCAAACCAATGAGTGCAATGGAGAGCCAGAGTTGCATTACCTGAAACTTCCACCACAGCTTGAAGAACATGCCACAGTCATCCTTATGGACTCGCAGATGTCCAGTGGAGGTGCTGCACTTATGGCCGTTCGCGTGCTTCTTGATCATGGAGTGAAGCAGGACAGCATCGTGTTTGTGACATGCGCAGCAGGTGAGCTAGGTCTCAAACGCTTGACTGCTGTGTTCCCCAAGATTCATGTGATTGTTGGACGAATCGAGGAGGAGGGAGAACCACGATGGATAGAGAAGCGGTACTTTGGATGCTGAAGTTCACAATCGCTGCTTGTTATAGTGAGACTAGTACATACGCCGACCATGACATATTCCGTGACTACGGACGCATTGCATTATTAGGAGTAACACCGCACAATGACAATACTTTACTTGCGCATATATCAAAAATTTCTCATTAAATCAACATATACTGACCCAGAATACTCAGATACCCGTGGACTCTGTATTCCATTTGTCGTAGCTTGTCCCTTTCGAGAACCTCGTGCCTGACCGCCCACCCGACCGCCGCTGGCAAAAAAAAGAAATAATCTGCCGGTCGAGTATTTTCACTCGTTGAATTTGACGATCTCTTATCGATACCCAGGTTTTGAAAAAAAAACGCCCAGCTCTCAGTGACATATCACAGAGCTCAAAATGGCAGGTCTTGACAAGAAAAAGTCCAAGGCCGGAAAGGCCAAAGGCGAAACCGGCCCGTTGATCAGTATGTACAACCGAAGCTTGAGATTCAAAGAGTCCTATGAGCCGTGAGTACTGACTTTAATTACAGCCGACCCTCGTTTTGCCAGCATCCAATCCGATCCTCGCTACCGTCTTCCAAGCAAGCGCCAGACACACGTCAAGCTTGACAAACGTTTTGCACACGTGCTCGATGACAAGGACTTCTCCCGCAACGCTGCTGTCGATCGCTACGGACGCAAGCTGGCGAAGGATGATACTAAGAAGCAATTGAAAAAGTTCTACCGTCTCGAGGACGACGACGAGGACGAGGAGAGTGGTTCTGACGACGAAGAAGAAGTCAAGAAGGAGCTGAAGCGCATCGACTCTGCTTCTTACGACCCTGCACGTGATGGCGGCTTCGAGTCCTCATCATCCGAGGAGAGCTCCAGCGAGGAGGAAGACGACGAGGAGGAAATTGAGGGCGATGTTGAATTCCCAGATCAGCAGCAGTCCAATGTGCCGCTTGGTGAAGTGTCGAACCGGATAGCAGTCGTAAACCTCGACTGGGACAACATTCGAGCTGAAGATTTGATGGCTGTCTTCTCCAGTTTCCTTCCTCCTGGCGGGCGTGTGTCGAATGTCACAGTGTACCCTAGTGAATTTGGAAAGGAGCGCATGGAGAGAGAGGAGGTCGAGGGCCCCCCGAAAGAGATTTTTGCGCCAACCAAGAAGAATGGTGGTAGACATGATGACTCCGATGTTGACTCGGATGAAGAAGAGGAGGAAATCAAAAAGTCAATGATGAAGGGGGATGATGGTGAAGAATTCAACTCTACACAATTACGGCGGTACCAACTCGACAGACTGCGGTACTACTACGCCATTCTCAAATTCTCTTCTAGGGACGTCGCCAAACACGTCTATGATCTGGTTGATGGCGCCGAGTACCTCTCTAGTGCCAATTTCTTCGATCTCCGCTTTGTGCCTGACGACACCGACTTCTCCGACGACAAGCCCCGTGACGAGTGCTCGCGAATTCCCGATAAATACAAGCCTACCGAGTTTGTTACTGATGCATTGCAGCATAGCAAGGTCAAGTTGACATGGGATGCGGATGACAAGTCAAGGAAAGAAGCGCAGGCACGTGCATTCCGAGGCTCGCGCAAGGATATTGACGAAAACGATCTGAAAGCCTACCTCGGATCTGATAGTTCTGACAACGAAGATTCAGATGACGAGAATGGCGGTGTGGAAGTTGTTGACAACACCGGCGGAGAAGCTTCCACTACGAAGCTTTCCAAAAAAGAGGCTGAAAGACAGCGCATGCGTGCGTTGCTGGGCCTGAGCGCTGAGCCTACCCGCACCAAGGTCGACGGCCCTGTTGGTGAAATGGAAGTCACTTTCACATCTGGTCTGGCTGGTGGCCACGGCAAGGACACCATTTTCGAGAATGAACCAGTGATCGAAGAAAGCACACTCGACAAATACGTGCGCAAGGAGCGTGAGCGCAAGAAGCGACGAAAGGAGAAGCTCAAGGCTACCAAGCAAGGGGATGAAGAAGGTGCCGAGGCTGCGGACAGTGAAGATAACGAGCCTGCTCCCGCTGAAGTACAGGAGGAAGCGCAAGAAGATGCAGGCTTCAACGATCCATTCTTCGACGACCCTACTGGCAAGGCCTCCTCCGCTGCCCGGCGCAAGGAGGAGAGACGCAAGAAGCGTGAGGAGCGTGCCGCTGAGGAAGCCGCCTCAGCTGCTCAGCGGGCCGAGCTTGAGCTTCTCATGGTAGACGACGAAAAGGCTCACATCAAGCACTTTGACATGACCGAAATTGAGAAGGCTGAGAAGCAAGCGAAGAAGAAGGGCAAGAAGGGCAAGAAGGGCAAGACCCAGGAGGTTGCTCCAGCAGATGACTTCGAGGTCAATGTCAGCGATCCTCGTTTCTCTCGCTTGTTCGACAGTCACGACTTCGCTATCGATCCCACCAACCCCCGCTTCAAATCTACTTCTGGTATGAAGGCCATGTTAGATGAGGGTCGTAAGCGCAGACGCACTGGCGATGAGGAGATGGAGGCTGTGCCTGAGACCAAAGAACGCTCGAAGAAGCAGAAAAAGGCCTCCAAGGAGGCTGGTTCAGAGGATCTGAAGCGCCTGGTTGACAAGGTCAAACGCCAGTCGAAGGCATGAACATAAAGTTGAATTGTAATGAATTTGGAGCTATTGCAACGGGACTCGGTGTATTGAATTGAATTGTGTGCATATATCTGTGGCGTATTGCCCACGGCGCTTTCAGCTATCTTTTTCTCTGTGTAACTGTAGCCTGCAACGAACATGGTGTAATGTGCTTCTTCATATTCTTTTTTTTTCTCCCTCTTGTTGATATCGATAACCTATCTGCACTCTCATTTCCTTCTATCGTCTTACAGTAGTATCGTGTGACTCCTCTCAAACCTGATTATGTATGATACCTTACTTCCTCGAAAAAGCACTCATCATTTCACAGGCAGCGTAGAAAATTGGATGTTTTCAGAGCTCTCGTGATCGGTAAGATACTACATTCCTACAGCTTGTCCCACCCCAGAGAGCGGATATACAACCAGACCATGTGGCGATGGCCATGCCCGCCTCCAGCGACCATATCAATCACTTGGGTCAATCATACAGAGTGTATGGGTCCTCTATCAGCAGCCAAGATACATCACACTGCGTCTAGTTCCATTGGAAGATCAGTAATATGCCATGTCCACCATGCAGCTAGATCCCCAAATCAGCTGCAGGCAGAAGCGAAACCCCGCATAAGATAGTGAGGATGATTGTATGATCGACACTTCATTCCTACTGTAGGGAAGACTACAAGCATGATGCTGGTCCCACACGAGGTACGATTCACGGTGAAGAGCTGTCATGTGGCCACTCTGGGTAATCCATTGGATATGACAGATTCTCCTCCAATCCCAAATTGATCTTCGACTCAAATATCAGCCGAGTAACACGATTACTTCCAATCCCAGCTATGCGGTGACACGGGCGCGGTCGAGGATAGTGACACGGAGGGGCTAAACAGATGTAGTAGAGGGTAAGCCTTTAAGAAGCAAGTGAGATATGCTGTTTTTATTGTACGGAAAAATGAATACGTAGTCATATTCAGAAAGCTCAATGTAGAAAAGTGATCTGACGTTCTAAGAGAGAGAGATCAAGTATCAAACAGTTCATTCTCTTATAAGACGCGCACTGCACCAGACAGTTAATGACAAGAGATCACTATGGCTGACTGTATCTAACGACCACGTGACCCATCTCACCGCCTCTTCCGTTCCCAGGCCGTTTCCCCCCCCGCCGGCCGTTTTCTTTTGATGATCTGGATTTCTCGGTCTCTTAAGAAGCTTGGAATTATTTTGCCTGGCCTTCAAGCACATCTGAAAAGACTGTGGAGTCTTTTCGGTGGCCAATTCCCTAATCTCCTGCTGAAAAGCCCCACTGCTGCAGCTCATCCCACCTTCCCTTCCACTCTTCCCACTCTTTCACTCCCCTCTTCCGACACTGTCGACTTTCCTCATCGCTTGATGATGGTTCCTGCTTTGAATTAAGCTATGGGTGGATACAGCCTGGTTTCCCTAGCTGTCTGCTACCCATCGTTGTTACACTGCGTGATTTGATCAGTCCATTTTCTTTACATCTCCCACATTCCTGCGGGTCTTCCCGGCCACCTTCATCATGCTCGGTCGACTCTTGAGTACCGCCGCGTCGACTCTAAACCCCGCAGCGTACTCAACACGCAACAATGGAACACCCCTCGAGTCCGTCACTGAAGAGGAACATACTTCTGGCCTTCTTTTCCCCGATGCCAGCCTCCTCCGACGTTCCCATACGCATGCCTACCCTTTGCAAACAACGTTCAATTCTCTGAACGCCTCAACCGCCGGAGCCTACGACGACCGTGGTGGACTAGAGCTAGATGCTATCAAGGATTTCCGGGTAATCGTTGCACAGAATGCATTGGGCGACCGTGATGCCTGTGTCTTACTTGACACTCGTGCATCCGATTCCCCCGCCGGCCTCGGAAATGATCCACAAGGCAATGATCAGTCTGGGCCTAGACATACACGTGCAGTATCTAGTCTCTCTCGTGGAACACGTCGCAATATTTTCAACCAATCTTCTGTCGTTGAATCAAGCCCTCTCTCTGTTGCTGCAGATGCACGGAGGTCATCACCAGCAGGTCCCGGTGCTTTTTCCCGGGCCCGAGGTCGGAGCTCAACGCTGGCACCATCGGCCACAATGCAAGACACAGGTCATTCTCGACATTCCCCCGACTCAAATGATACTGGCCTTTTGAATTGCATCTTCGGTAGCAGTGCCTTCAGCTACCGGGGGTCGTCTACCAAAATGCACATCATTTCCGCCGATGACGATACAGGACCGGGCATCAATGCCTCATCACCTGCTGCTCGTAGTCCACTCTCTCGTGCCTATACCACAGGCAGCCCAACAGGCCTGATGGGAGGTAGAGGAGTCGACAATAAGCCACCTGCCAAAGTCACTGTCCTCTTGACTCGCATGTTCAGTGTGAATCTCCCCGAAGGAGCTGAGGCATCAGCTGAGCGACAGGACTATGCAAGTGCTCTGTACCAGGAATCTTTGCCTGAAATGGGTGGCTTCCCCTTCCCGGATGTCTCCAAGCGCAAAAAAATCAAAGAAAAGAAGACACCCATGTACGCTGTTGCCATTACAATCCAGATTCCTTTACTGGCACGCAATCCTGGACGACCCGTTTCCAGATTTAGCACGCTTGGCCCTGATTCCCCTCGACCGGGCTTTTCAAGCTCGCTGGACTCTGATCACCGCTGGCCAGGTGGGTTCTTTGACGACAGCTTGTCTGCAGCATCTCCACCTGCTAGTCTGGATGAGCGCCTGGACTTGCTCGTTGATCATTGGGATGTCATCACTCGTACGCTCTCTCATCTTGAAAGGCTTGCTCGGAACGAAGTACTTTTCCTCCTGAAGAAGGTGGACTCCTTGTCGGGACCTCACCCCAAACCTGCCAAACCTCCTAATATGCAGCGGACTAACCAGACAATTGTTCACCTTCCCGCCAACATTCTATCTGTCAATTCCAAACTTAAGGATGAGGCTATACGCAGCTCTCGTCGGATCAGCCTGGCTCTTCAAACTCCTTATGTGGTCACTGGACAAAGTCGCTGGGGCGTCTGGCGAGAGGAAGGCCGTTCAATCGTCCGTGGATTGGGCGATAAAGAGCAGAATTTCTTCTTCCTGGTAATTCTCACGGCTTTCTTGGGAAATCACACTGAATGGCTCAATACCCTTGGGCCAGAATGGTATCGCCGGCGCCATAACATGCAACAAAAGTCCCAGCAAGATGGTGAACCCATCCTTGCAAACAGAACAGTCATTGTCTGTCCAGACAAGATGACTGCTCGTCGCCTTGTCTTCTTGCTTTCCGCATTTTTGCCATCCAAGCAACGCTTGGAACCATTACCCTCGCCGCTCAGACCCGGTACATCCACTTCAATGCGAGCCATCTCCCAAAGTCCACCTACAGTTCCTGTACTCCGCCAGGAGTCCCTTCGCCGAGCAATTGAAAGACGAGCTCGGGCAAATCGATTGAACATGGGCGAAGTTGATTATCATCGACGTTCAGTGAGTGTTTCGTCACAAGATACAGCTCATCGGTCGTCTGATGGTGCCGACATCACTCCCCCTGCGGAACCCTCCACAGCCTTCGCCCGCAGAGGATCTGATGCTCGTTCTATCAGGACCGTCGGTGTAAAGAATGTCCCGAAGGATCCTCGAGCTAAGAACACAAGCGGTGCAACTATCTCGATGATCACTCAAAGCAGCACTGTTCCTGTTCCCCACTTCACATCCCAGCCAAGCAACTCAAACCAACTTGCCGCGGCTGCAGGCAATGACAGTCTTGCATCAGAGACCCTATTGAAGAACCTCCAGAGAAGCGACAGCTCTGTTTTGACCTCGAACGGCAGTCTTCCGTCAGCTGGAGGTCGCTGGGGAGGTATCTTTTCCGGTCTTTGGAGCTCTCGACAAGAGTCATCCACCGAAAGCAGCGAGCCCTATTCACCAACTGATCGCCGGAGATCTGTCTCCACAATGGCCGGCCCCGCTGTGCGTGGCTCTACTACTTTGAGCCAAATGGTCAAAGAAGTCACCGAGGATGAAAATGAACAACGGCTCAAGAATATGACCAGTGGAAACATCTCTATCCCTGCTGTTGCCGCCCACAGCGATGAAGCCGGATTGCCAGAACCCTCATCCCTGACTAGCCAAGTTCGTGAATCACCCTTGAAGATGTCAGTCCATGCCGAAGAAGGCGTGATAGACATTGATCTCCCTCTTCCAGGATTCATGTCGCTGTCTTCCTCCGGCGATTCTACCATTGCTTCACCGAAGAAGACACGCACGTCAGTTACCAGCATGGATGCAATTGCGTCTACTCACAGCAGCGGCTCTGGATTCCACAATGTTGGAAAAGACAATGATGGTCCCGGTGCCCATGTGGCTGGCTGGCTGAAGCAGTTCCACGAAGATTTCTCGCTTCAGGCAGTCCGACCTTATGCCCTCCTTGAAGCAGAGATCAAGCAGGCCATGCGGGCCGAACCATCTCCACACATCCCCTCCACCCCCGATGTGGATGGATCAGAGAGATGGGTCGATGTCGCCACGACCTTGATCGCAGACACCAGGGCTTCAACAGTGAAGCGAATTCGCTTGAGACGCAAGATCATTGTGGGTCACGACTCGCCCACCCATTCCCCCGTTTCACCGGCCAATGGGCTTTCCTCGGGTACCGCCTGCAACACCGGTGAATCTCGCTCTTCACATATACCTGGTTTTTTCAACGGACCAGATAAAATTCCCGCCAGTTCAGCACCCGAAGAGCATGATCACAACTACGTGGAAGAACGATTTATCGAGGAACCTGTTATGGATCTTGACGGAGTTCTTGTTGATGCTGTCGAGCGTGTGTTAGGACAGAGCGGTCACTCGTCTTTGGCCCATTCGCGTGCTCCGTCTCCCACTCGCTCTCGCAAAACCGAAGACCATAAAGCTCCCCCACGAACTGATGAAGCCCCACCTCTCGAAGTTCCCCGTAGCGAGTGCCGCAAAATGGTACTAGGGGCTCTGGAAGAAGTTGTTCGCATCGTTACTGCTGAGCATTGTCGTGAAGACGTGGATAGCACCTTGGGACTTGCTGATCGTGAGCGAAGAAGAGCACTAGCGGGTGCAGACAATACATTGCGTGAAGGAATTCGCAAATGGCTCCTTGACGTCGAAGAAGCCTGGTGATCCATTTTACCTGACTTTCATCTTCCTACACATTTCTTTTCTTTCTGCATGGTTCGTTTCTCACACGTTCTTGCATCCCACCAATTCCTTTTTTTGTTTCTTGCCCAATCATATTGACTCGGGCTTATTGTGGTACCAGTCCTAGGGCAGCGACTTTTGTTCTTTTGCCTTCCTTGCCTTTCTTGCTTTTCTGAGTTTCCGTTGCTCGCTGCATTGTGACACTTTTCGACTATGATACCCACTTCTCGCCGAAGTTTAGTTCTGTTTGCAAAGGCTTATCCTTCGCATTTTAATATGACCCTTGATAATTTGACTCGAATGACATTCTGTTTTTAAGTATTTCCTTTGAAACGAACTACGCAACATAAACCAATTTCACAGGGTGCCCACTGGCTTGGACCTTCCCATCGGCAGCAGGAGACAGCTGAACGGTCTCCAAGACCTCGTCTGTCTGAGCTGAATTGACAATCTCGACCGTTGTGTCTCCGCGCAAACGACCATTGATCAGCAACTCAACCCCAGACAACGCATCATCTTCAGGAGTCTTGATCGTGGGGTTGACGACGGTCACCGAACCAGGACGAATCAAGATGGGCAACGTATCAAAGTCATGAGTCTCAGTATACCACTGACCAGACTCATAGGACTTCGAATGATCAAACCACGAAACCCATTTTCCAGCCTCATCATCCTCAGACCGAGGCACATAGAAAGTCACCTCGCCCTCCTCCGAGAACACCGGCGCAACCAACAAATTAGGACCGAACATATACTGTGTATCGACAGCATAAGTAGTCAGATCCTCAGGGAACTCCAAGAAAAGCGGCCTCATCAGCGGTGTCCCCTCCCGATGCCCCCTCAACGCCTCCTGCAGAATATAAGGCGTAAGCAGAATCTTCCGCTTAACACAATCCCGCAACACATCCGAGCAATCCTCGCCATAAATCCACGGCACACGGAACGATGACGATCCATGCAGACGCGAATGCGATGACAACAGCCCAAACTGAACCCACCGCTTGTACAACGCTGGTGGCGGCGTCCCCTCAAACCCTCCAATATCAGACGCCCAGAAGATATACCCGGACAGCATCAAGCTCAGCCCTCCACGCAGTGACTCGGCCATTGCTTCAAATGTGCTCTCGCAATCGCCGCCCCAGTGAACGGGGTAGGCCTGTCCGCCTGGCGCGGTACTGCGAGCGAAGAGCAGACCCTGGTTGCGTCCCACGCGTGTGCTGAGAGTCTCATAGACGATCTTGTTGTAGAGGAGAGCGTAGTAGTTGTGCATGCGCTCTGGGTCGGCGCCATTGTGGTACTGTACGCCTTTGACTGGGATGCGCTCTGCGAAGTCGGTTTTGAAGCTGTCCACGCCCATTTCCATGAGTCGTTCTAGGTGGCTGTTGTACCATTTGCAGGCTGCTGGGTTGGTGAAGTCTACGACTGCCATTCCGGCTTGCCAGAAGTCCCACTGCCAGACGGAGCCGTCGGTGCGCTGGGGGGAGGGTTAGTTGGCTGATTTCTTGCCACTTTGGGTTTCTTGGCTTGGAATGCTTACCTTGATGAAGTAGCCGTTCTTCTTGCCCTCGTTGAACAGTGGTGATGCCTGTCCGACGTAGGGGTTGATCCACACACTAATGCGCAAGCCACGCTCTTTCAGGCGCTTGAGATATCCCACCGCATCGGGGAACATGTCCGTGTCAAAGTCGAAATCACACCAATGGTACGACTTCATCCAGAAGCAGTCAAAGTGGAAGACACCCAGTGGGATATCACGATCTCGGAATCCATCGAGGAATCCAGTGACGGTCTCCTCGTCATAGTTCGTAGTAAAGCCTTGCAGACGTCAGCATACATCACTCTCGGCAAAGAGAAACTGCAACTCACTGGTCGTCAGCCACAGATTATAACTCCAAGACGGCACAAGACTCGGCCGTCCAGTCAGAGAAGTATATCGATTCAGAATCTCCTTCGGTGTAGCTCCATACACCACAAAATACTCCATCTCCTCCCCAGCAACCGAGATATTCACCCTGGTAGTACGCTCAGACTGCACCTCCAAGCTGACCTTTCCAGGATGATTGACGAACACACCATATCCGCACGAGCTGATATAGAACGGGATGTTCTTGTACGCGAGCTCTGAAGAGGTGCCGCCGTCTTCATTCCACATATCCACCACCTGCCCATTCTTAGCGAGAGGTCCGAATCGCTCGCCTAGGCCGTAGACCTTCTCGCCAACGCCCAGATCCAGTCCTGCCAGCATGTATCCCTGCTTCTCGGCGTAGATGCCGTCTTCATAGCGGTGTTTCTCGGTTCGTTGGTCGCGGACGTAACCAATTGAGCGGAAGGATTGACCGGTTAGTTTCTTGCCTGTTGGCGAGCGGAAGATCAAGTCGAGTTCGTTCGCGGCGGTATTGATGTCTAAGTCTAGGGGGCCGCTTTTGTAGTTAAGTTTGTTTTCTTCTTTGTTGTGTTGGATGGCGATGTGGTCTTTGGTTGTGTTGAGCTGATAGTGTGGGCCGTTGTCGTTTTGACCAGCCCTAATGGAATGGAATCAGTATTTGTTTTTCGAAGAACAAGATATCTTACCAGTGCACCAGCTTTACGCCAATGATTCCTTCGGATGGAGAGGTGACTTGGGCGGAGACAGTTGCTATAGATCTCTATTTAGTTGACGTTTCGAGGGGACAAGGAAATGGACCACATACGCGAGTTGAGAGTATCTCCTCGATGTCTCTGATACTTGTTCAAGAGCAAATTGACCGACTCGTCTTCGACGGAGAATCTCTCCACGTTGCTCATCCACTCAATAGCAACTCCCTCCTAAATATGCCCGCCATTAGCCCATGTCCAATGAGAACCACCCCGTCCCAAAGGCAACAAACTTACCTGCAGACACCACATCCCCGCAGTAAACTTCATCTTGACAAAAATATTCTAATCAAGTCAATTGAAAAAGTGATCTAGAATTCAAAGTTCCCAATTCCGGAGAGCTGCCAAGTTCGATAGTAGAAACCCGACCTCTCAGCTCCAAAGACAACAATGAAAGCCAAAGAAAGAGAGAGAGAAAAAGCAAATGAACAAGAGGGGAAACGACCAGAGCTATATGAGAATCACCAGCAATCATCGGCTATAGCTCCAAATGGCCTTATTAGACACGGACATTCGTCCGTGGCCTGATTCCGAACCAGAGTCCAGTATGCACTGGGGGAGCTCGGCATTAACCGCTCTGGAGCTTGGGGTAATTGACCACTTCACTACTTCACCTGGTCAGGCGGGGCAGTGGGGAGGTTTGGATTGAGTCTGGGCTGATATATCCACCAACCAGCAGTGCCGGGTTGGGATATCGGCTGAAATGGGGACAGATCAGGCTAAAGAGCGTGGTGGCTGAGCGTTAGTGTACCGAACCGGGATGGGATTGGATATGACGGGGTGCTTTGTCTTTTCCCGTTGAGATCTGGACAGGGATTGAGAGAGATTAGGTAGTGGGCTATAACGGTATGGCTTTCACAGTAGTAACTTCTATTATGAGTGATATGACTACGGGATGACTAGATGGGCTTGGATGTTGATTTAGGGGAATTAGGTCTGGAACGAAAATTGGGTATCTTGCATTAGATCAAAGGTCGCAAACTGCCACTTCGAGGGCTACCCTTATAGCTGAGACTTTCAGCGCGAGCCCTAGCCCGCGTAATCTCGGGCGACTTCAAGCTGTCACGCGAATCATGCGTCACACGAGATGGCAGTCCCGGCGGCGGAGAGATATGATGACTGACTACGCTAGCTGGAAGCTCCAGTGACGGGATAGATGCATCCATCAGGTTCGTCGTGGCAGGCTCCACCTTTGTTGAAGCGGGACGACCATGCGACTCCGAGTAAAACTGCCTCAGCTGGGCTTCATCGCCACAGAATTCAGCCAGGCTGCTGAGGATGTGCTCCGGGGCGCGGTAGAGACTGGCAGAGTCAATACTGGAGGTATGGGATCCGAGCATCGGGCTGCCGATGTCGTGCACAGGCCGTGTGACTGGGGACAGACGAGGCGAGAGTCGGTCCAGGTTATCGTGCGTGGTGGTGGTGCGGCCTCGGAAGTCCGGGCGAGTGTGCTCGAAGCGATTTGCGTCGCGACCGGCTGTTCCGCGCGTGCTCACGAGTCGGTTGGCGAGTAGGAGGAAGTCGCCTTCGTTGGTGATCTGGGCTAGGATGCTGCCAGTTCGGTGGATGAACTGTGGGTACAGGTAGTCTGGCTTTCCCCATGAATAGGAGACTTCCACGTCTACTGGGAATGCGGAGCAAGCTTCGAAATCTAGGACAAAGTCGAACTTGCGTAGAATGGCCTTCTGATAGAAATGGGGGTCTGGGGGACCTGGTTGCGCAAATGAAGCGTTGTTGAATACGGTGTGAAGGGGTGCCTTTGGTGGTGGGAGCTTCAATTTGATTTCGTAAGGTTTGCGGAATGGCTGGGTTTTGTCAATGGCGCAGCCTTCAGAGATCGGTACTTGCACAAGCTTGAGGCCGAATTTCTCGGCGGTCGAGGCCCATGAGAGTATCGTGTCTTCAATCAGCTTGGGAGTCGTGCTCATCCAGCTAAGCTCGATGTGGAAACAGTTCTCAGGATTGTGCAATCGGTCATAGTGAAGATCGATGACTTCTGGTCGGTTGGATCGTTTGCGCGGATCGACATCATATTTCATAGATTTGGACAACATGATGGCGACCTTATTCTTGGCCTTGGAGGGAGTATTGGGAGTTTGTGGTATACGCTCGTCTATGCTGTCAGATCGCGCGTGGAGACTGGCAGGAGAGTCCTTTACAGTTCCAATGGCTGGGGTGGAAGGTATCGACTTGTCTGCTGCTCTGAGTTGAGGGAACCAACTTCCTCGAGATTCTGGACGAGTGACGCGGTAATCGGCGCAGACCTGATAGAAGTAATTGCCATCTCGGAAATTATGTCTCTTCTCCACATGCTGGAAGAGACCATGTTTAAGCAACTCGTTGCCGAACTCGACTGCTTCTTCGCGGGTATCTATATCTCGGAAGTTTTGCAAAAGCCAAGTGGTAAATTCAAAGCCGATAAAACAATTGTAATGCAGTCTCCAATGCCAGCGTCGATCCATCATGCGTACGCCCTTCTCGCCTTGGATAATTTGGGCCAATGATGAAAGACTAATGCATGATGATCTCTCCAGCAGCTCCGACTCGGGCAAGAGCTGAGCAGGGGCGTTGTCAAGACCTGGATCCGTGAGAAGCAATCGATCCAGTTCTGCAGTAACAATTTCCGATGGATTGCGTGTTTGATACATGATATTAAGCGGGTTTTGGTCTGTCTTGGGATTCGAAGTCTCGAACAGCTTTTCTTCCGGCGACACGTACTTGTACCGTTGCCAAATATGGGTCAGTTGGTTGATACCAAGCAGATGAATCTCTTCCTCGTTGTCCTCATTATAAGACTGTAGATGGCGTCGAGAACTGGGATACAGTTGGAGCGGGATGAGCACATATCGAACTCGCCAGAAATGCAGTTGTTGTGATGGATTCTGGAGGTAGTCTCGATGACCAGCCACGTAGTTGTCGGCGTAGTTCCAGTTGTACTCTTCTGCGGTTGGGTCTAGTTTAATGTCTTTGATCTCGTATTCCGGGCTTAATATCGTTTTCATGGCTGGTTGGTAGAGGGTAAACGTGGCTCTCTTAGGCGATATGAGCATAGCAGAGTTTTGATGCGTAAACCTTGTTACTTCAACCTCTCCGCCTTGAACGCAGACAAGTCGGTGAATAGTGTTGCCCTTGGATAAGAACACAGTCAAGCCGTCTCGCTCTAGTCCTCGAGAATCAAAGACATTTAATGATTCAAGGGCGGGCTGTCCTGATACCTCAGCTACCTTCTTTCCAACGACGATCTGGAAGCCATGAGAGAGTCGCAATGAGATCATTTCTCGTATGAGAACACCCCGTGTCTTGGGTGCTTCTATACCCTCGGAGTCTTCATTCGGAAAAACACGATATGGAGTCTGCAGATACTCCGAGGCAAGCACACTCGAGGTTGGTAGTTCCTCAGTTGTCAATGGGAGCACTGCAGGTGATTTCAAACTTTTCCACTTGACAACAGCCACATGTGGTGGCCGAGGATAAGCGTGTTGCCAACGGCCAAACCAACTAGTGTCTCTCAGCACATCCCTGGGAGTGTTGCAAGGATTGACCGAGCGAACCCAAGGGGACAAAGCTTTACTTGATGAGTTGCGCACAAATGGCTCGCGTGGATTGTGGTTGACTTTGATCTCAATCTTGTGATCCCGATAAGAGCCTTCATTTTGATCACGACCTACTTCATGGGCCGGTATCTCTGCTGTAGATGTCGGCACTGATCCATGTGTCCCCACACGCTCTGGTCGCTCTAATTCCTTTGGCGGATTTTTTGGGGGTATTTTGATAGAAATTGGCTTGGAATGAGGCTGTGAGGGCTTTCCCGGCGAAGGGGGTCTTGATCGTACATCAATGGCAGTTTGAGTTGACATTGTTTCTGACGGACTCAAGGAAGTAATGCTCTTTGAGTCAGAGATTGACCCAGCTGGAGTTCTGGATAATCCCACAGCTGGCAAAGCGCTCGCATGCTCCACATTGATTCCTGTGCTTGCTTGGGCTCTTGGGGGAGTGGAAATTAAACCCCGAAGCGCGAAGCTAATGGTTTTAGAAATCCGCGAGGTCTTTGGTGCTGGTGCCTTCTTCAATGCCGGCTTCTTGGGAGACACGGTCGAGTCCGGAGCTTTAGGTGCCGTCGCTTGCATGGAATCAATTCTTCGAGGTCCCGGCAGCGAAGACTCATCGTCCTCCGCTGGGTTTGTTTCATGATCACGGAGTCGCATAATCGAGCGAGCGGAAAGTCGTTCGTGCACTCCAGCGGCAGCGGCTTGGACCTCTGTTTCACTAGGTCGCTTTTGTTTGGTTGATCTGTGAATTTGACGCTTTTTTGGGGAGACATTATAAAGATTATCGTCGTATTGATCCATCCAAGCCATTACGGACTTCCGTGTACTCTGCGGTTCTTGTGTTTGTGAATCTGCCGTGTGCTGAGCGGCATTCTGGATGAAAGATCCTGGTCGTAAACTTTCACCATATGGCGCTTTCAGAGGCGATAAGTTGGCAAAATGAATATTCGGGAGAGGCCAACTTGACTGGCCATATCCGGGCCAGGGAACACGAGGCCTCAATCCACCACGACCTTCGACAAGATAAGGGATTGAAATGTTTGATTGTTCACTTTCCATGACACCCATCATTTGAATCTCATACATCCGTACTCGTGGAGTAAATGCCTTTGATAGCCGAGTGACAGTTGACGAAATCGGGGCGTTCGGATCTTTTTTCAGGATTCTTCGGGCCTCTCGGTATGTTTCAGGGTTCCAATAGGATATATCAAGCCAATGTGGGATACCGTAGCTCCACTCTTTGGTCTGAGGAGTCGCACGTTCCCTCATTCTCGTTGCAGAAAGATATGAGCTCGGAGAGAGGTAAGATGATCTGCTCAGAACACTCGACAGCGAATGATGTATCTCAGGTGAAGGGAGATTCCTTCGAATGTCAATAGGACTAGAATCCTCCGCAACGCCAGGTGGCTGTGGCTGCTCCACGGGTTCCTTGTATTTGAATAATGGCACAGAGTGAAGAGGCATCGGACTCAAACAAACCAAGTCAATGGCTATGCCACGATTTGCAAGTGCCTCTGTTGTAGAAGCCAATGACTCGTAGGAGACCTCGAAAACACCACTACCAGGTGTGATGACGATAATTGAAGTGCCAGTGTGTACCATGTCCCGATCGATGTGATCGAAAGCCAAATGAGCAGAGGCAAGATGGATTGCCTCCAAAATATTTCCTCGTAATGCCATAGTCGGACGTCCAGCAATGGTTGCCATGTGCGGTTTAGAAGGTATCTTGATTCCACTTCCAGATGCAGCCTCAATGTCATCCGATTTTAGGATTGAAACATCCCGCAAAAAGGTTCTGAATTCTTTTTTAAGTTCATCAAGAATGGTCGTCCAGTGACCACTTGCCATATCATTGACTACCACACGATAGAAGTCACGAGTGGGATTCTTGTTCGGCCCAGAGCTACTGCTCACATTTCCAGCGCTGAGTTTAGCCATGCTTGGGTGAGTGGGCGCATCATATTCCACTCGAGTGAACAAGACAATAGTCACCAGATGCTTGGCGTCAGAGTTCGCCCATCTCTTGAAGAGCTCCGGCAGAAATCCGTTAATAACTCGACTGAACAAGATGTCACCGGTGCCTTCAGCATCAAAATCCCACATTTCCCTTGACATCTGAATGAACAGGACATATTTGGCAGACTCGCTTCGGAAGACAGGGATAGTACACGGTGCAAAGTATCCGGAGAGGCACTTCTTCTCTCGGATGAATATGTTTTTAACAGTGGCTTTAATGCTTCCCATGAAGATAACCTTTTGTCCCTTATAGACAATTTTATCGGCTAGCTCTGACATGACGAGTCTCCACATATCAGAGCGAACCATGTACTGGTCGCGAAACGCGATATCAACATGAGACGTCGCACATTGCTCGCGATCAACAATTGAAAGTAGAACCTGCGTCCTGTTCTTGAAGCCAAAAATATTGGCAACACTGTTGGTCACAGAAATTTCAAGCTGCGGATGACGAGTCTTGATTTCCGGTGGGAGCGCTTTCACCACGAAGAGACAACGGCTCTGCAAGGGAGTCTTGAATTTCGAAGGACCATCCGCCTGAGATGATGAGTTGATCTCGGTGTGGCTTTCACGTGTAGATTTTGAGCCCACCTCGGATTTGAGAGAGTAATTGCCCATATCGCCAGGTGCCCGGACGGGCAGGATCTCGACAACATCTCCGACTTGGACCCCAGATTCGCCGCAAGCCGATGGGTTCAACAAAACCTCTTCACGCGAGAACATTTCATCATGAACCCAGAGAGCACATTGGTGCCGAGTGAGGCTGGTTGTAGACAGCCGGACGGTTCTCTCGTCTGTGGTCGTATCATTGTCATCGCAGTGATGAGAAGCCTCCAGTGAGTGGGTGGAATTGCTTTCCAGGCTCGCCGCGCTGACCTGCCGGAGATGCGACCGCCGCATGGGGCCGCGCAATGACATGTTATCTATGCTATCATATCATTGGTCTTGGGCTCAGAGATTTCGAATGCTTCTATGATGTCGATCTCAAGGGGAGGTTATCTTGAGGCTTGCGGAGATAATCTAATCATGTGATACTTGGTGCCTGAGGCACCATATGCAACGACGACCCTTCGTATACTAGGATATCTTGATTCGATCAGCGCGTATATAGAATGGTCCTGGATAACTGTTGTTCCATTGAAATGTCTAAAAATGAAGATGAAAAAGCTTCCCAGAAAGAAAGCGATCACATCATGTATATAATTCTTTTGCTTAGATAAAAGACTCGCTCAGATGTTCACTTATTCTTTTTGCTAGGTCACGGATATATCCATTCTCAATAGACACTTGGAGGTGAGTATTCCAATCAAGTTTGAAGCTCTTGGGCGTTGTATCAAACCCCAGTGTGGTCGATAGTGGGCATCGATGCGGTAAGAAGGCCACGTTCAGTAATGTACTAAGCTCATGCGTTCGGTCTGGTCATGGTTGAATGCCTGGTGCCTTTGTCTTAGTGGTCGATTGATATCGGAAAATACTTCATCGAATTCGGCCACTAGGACCCAATCCAATTCAGATGTCCCACGAAAAGCATCATCGATTTCATGAGTGGTGGACCCAAATCGCGGGTTAAAATAAGACAGGAAAGACAGACAGAGAGTGTGTGGGCTCGTGGGTGGCGATTATTGCAGTACTGTAAAGCCTAATATCAGGGGTATTACTCCAGACATAGCCAATTGATGTTATTCGTAGCCATTCGGCGAATAATTGTCAAAAGCCTGCATTTAACACCAAATTTCCCGGTCAAATCCATGGTCAATTGATGGTCGAATCTTTCTCCCCCAAATTGTTGCGGACGGAATGTCAATTCGAATCAAAGCAAACAAGTGAATTCTCTGGTCGAAGCAACAGGCATCCAACATCCGTGGAGGAAAGTGTAGAGGTTGAAATAAAACCTCAGCCCGCTATGTCATTGAGATACTGTACCACACACATTGATCAAACAAAATGCGATCTGGTCAAATGTTGTGAGGACACTGGAAGGGATTTGATAGGCGAGTTTCTCGCGCAGGTAGGGTAGGGAAAAGCAGAAGCTTGTTGAAACCCCAGTAAAATTCAGTGGTCTGAGTCGCATAACCAGCCCTTTCCCCCTCCCCCCAGTCTGTTATCTCCTCAGATCTTCTTGGAGCCCAAGAGTATTTGCACGATTGGGCGAATTTGAGGGTGGAAAGGGGAAGTTCTTGCAGGACTGAATGGGGCGAACATCGGGCGCTATTGGCCTGGACATTGGCGGAATCGATCTCCGGCAGTACGCCCGCGCTTCTCTCAACTCTCAACTCTCAACCCTTCCTGTCTCTCTCTCTCTCTCTCTCTTTTTCTTGACTGGGACTTGAATCCCTTTTGCTACCATCAGAAGGGTCGGGTGGTAAGGGGATTTAAAGACCTTCGGGACACCCAGATCAGGCAGTAGAAGCCGGTCGCGGTCTTTGTGAAGAGCTCCTCAACTTTCTCCTTGGCTAACAATCAGTGGCTAATTTTCTGAATTTTGTGCCACGGTGACCTGCCTTCATCGAAAAAAAAAATCACAACCAGCCCGATCTAACGGAGCTGATCGACTGTCTTTATTAAAGATCAAGGAGGGGCGAAGCCCAGGGCCTCTGAATTGTCACGCGGACTGAGAGACCCAGCGTGTCGTGTCATCCTGGAGAACCCTGGAGACTTCAAGTATATCATGAATAGGCTGAGAATGCCGACCATGAGATGAATGTATGCTCCATTATTCAATACCCCCTTTCCTTCTCCAGCTTGGTGTTCTGTGCTGATCCTGTTCATTGTGCTGCAGTACCAACCGTCGATGCAACGTGACCGGCGGCGTGTCTTTTTTTTAAAAAAAGAAAAAGATAAACAAATTAAAAGCTAGACGCACATCGTCCCAAAAGAACCCCATTCCGTGGCTTCAAAGCTCACTCTGATCGCCCCCGTAGCAGGACCGAATTGATCCTTGTCATATACGCCACGCTTCTTGGCTAATCATCGCAGCTTGCACTGACTCAAACAGCAACAGCACCCTTCACGATTCAGTACCGACTTCCCTGCTTTGAGTTCTTCCACGAAACCAATACCGAATCCTCTGATGAAGTTTCACTTGTCCAAGTCCATGGAACCTGTTGAGGTATGGTGACCTTTGCTCTCAAAATCTTGCAGGTCATCAGGCAAGTTGAGAAACGCCACCCTGTATGTATGATTCTAACCGGGACCTGGGATGAGAGTTGTGTGTCCTGGTCTGTCCAGACATAACAGGGACCACTCATTGAAACCATGCGCCACACTTCGCCACTTGATCTCAATACATTGTCAAGCTCGCAGTATGTCCCTTGGTCCCTCAAGTCCAGAGCTTGACCATTGTCTTAATTGAATATAATCGTCGGAGCATTTATTGCATATCTCGCTGCAGCCGTCCGGTTGAATTGTGTCGGCAAAGGCACAAACACCACATCGACCTGTTTCGGCATCTTCGATTCACGCAATTCCAAATATTCCAATCTTTTGGATGTGCTGGACGGATACTGACTAGTTGAACGCAGAAGACTAGCCATATCCGATGATATGAATGATGATAGTTGCCGGCACAAAGGCGTTCCGCAAATTCCAGTTAACAGGGCGTGATGTGTTGCTCGTCAATCGACTCATTTCATATTTGAATCATCTCAATGAGATGGATCTCATTGCAGAAAGGTTTGCTCTGTCTGTACCGTGTTGCGTCCTGGTCGAAGGTGGGATGGATGTCCGTGTGGGAGTCGCCGATCATGCGCTCGAGGAGATGACCTGCCGCCTCGAAAAAGATCTTTCATTGCGCCTAATTAGTTATACTCTCGTCAAAGCCCGTGCATCAGAAATGAACTAACTTGCTATCACATCTTTGTGTCAAGGTCGCGTTCCGGGACCTCGCGGACGGCCCTGAAGATTTTGCAGTTTTGACTCCAGTATGATCGTTTGGTGTTCGAAAGCCATCGAGATCTTCGGAATCAGAGCTATTCAAGATGAACCTGACTGTTGAAACAATTTTGTGACTGGATCAGCCTAAACAGTCGAGAAAGAATACTCACTACCCTCTTCGAGAGGAAGCATTCAACCTGTAATGTTGAGTGAAGACATCCGGCATTAGAGACATCTTTGGCCCATGTTTTCGCTCCCTGGCATTGCGAAACAGACATTTCACACTTCTATCGACTCTCGAAGGATGGAAAGGAAGGGTGGGAGAATCTGTGGGGCTTTGCCACGACGAGGGTGATCAAGTCCCAACGCTTCGCGATGGGGCAGGTTCGGTCAAGGAGGGACTCGGTCAGGGAAGGACGACGTTGTCGAAAATCATTGGGCATTCAGTCCAGCTGCGTTCTGCTCACTTGAAAGATCAGTAAATCTGTGGAGCTGAAAGCCCAGCCACGACTTCCAAGACCCTTGAAGGGAGAGGAGATCTCAATCTTCGATCTCACCTGGTTGCAATTAAGCGTTGACCAAACGTTGACCAATGGAGCTGTTGTTTTCGATTCAAAGGATTCATCAGGGTTCGCGGCAGACTTCCAAGCAGCTGACGGAGACAGGACAGGTCCAAACCAACCCTTAAAAGACACACTGTCTTGGTTGAAATACCATAACACACCTCCCAAGAGATTAAGACGACCCGGAACGTGCGACGTCACGGCGACCTCGTTACCAATACGAGACTAACAGTTCCGCTATGCTTGCCAGCTTCTCAGACGAGGCTGTTGAATGGATAATCCATTCGAAACCAGAAGTTTCTCGACCCAGAGTTGACCTTCGGAAAGAACTGTACGATAGCTTCGGGGCATTATGACAACCAAGCACGCAGTTTCCGAGCCACCCAATTTAAATCTCAGTATGGAGTGAATACAAGGGTAAAATAACCAGACATGCAATACACATGAGCTGATATCGCAGTCTTCTGTGAATATCTTCAAATCCTAGAAACCGCTTACTGGAGGCGGCAATATATGATGTGAGGGTGGCAAAAATGAACGGGAAAGACATCCACCACACCAGAGGCACTTCAGCCAAACCAGTTGAGATGATTCAAATGTGCAGCACGAGGTCATATTTACTGGACATGGGGTATTTTTTTTAGTTTTTCGCAGTACAAGGGGCAAAATCCCTCCACAATCCCCCCTCCCTCGGATTTTCTTAGCGCCCAACTGGATTTCCCCTTCCTTATATCGACACTAGCTATGAGTGCTAATTTCGGTGCCCCGTCCGATTTTGAATACCCCGAACTGGTGGATGAGTCGGCCTTGTTCAATACCGACTGGACTGTGCCCAACTATGCCCTGCCTGCCTTTGAGCCGGCGGTCCCTGAAGAATCCTTCACACCCCCAGGCGATCGAGTGAATGCCAAGGTTGCCATCCCGCGCAACTCTCAGCGCCCCAATTGGACAGTTAGTGGCCGGGTCAGTCGAGCCTGTGAAAATTGTCGAGATCAAAAGGCCAAATGCAGTGGCCATCGTCCGGTTTGCCATCGGTGTCGAGATGCTGGTATCGGGTGTTCTTATGGTGATCGGAAGAAGGAGAAAACGGCCAAGTGCGTGCCACCCATCACCGTAGCTCAGCAGGCTTCTGATTGGGAAAAAACTTAAAAATCAATAGGCAGTTGAACGACCTAACCTCACAGGTGAATACGCTAGAATCCCTGCTCCGCGACATCTATCCCAGGCTGGATGGTTCGTCGTCCCAGCTAGTGGACCAAACGCTGAAAGAAATGAGCTCTCGGGCTCCGCCCCTCCCTGCTGCACCTAACTTGCCCATTTCATCCTCCCAGACGCAGCAGACGCAGCAAACTCAGCAGGCAACCCCTTTCTTGGCGTCTACAGATGCTGCCATCTTCCCGTTTGGTCCTCTCGACTATACCGAAGAAGACTATAATCGTGATGACAAGGTACAGGCTATGGGATTCGTCGGCGAACACTCGGAGATGGCATGGCTGTACAGACTCAAACGCGACCTGGATCAAGATAGCTCATCACTCATCAAAGAACCTTCTGAACGCCCTACGATTTCCTCCGTGAACTACTTCCAAGACGACTCGGATATTTCAGTACCCGACCCTGTTGATCTCACACACTGGCCTCCCCAACACCTTGCCGACACCCTCGTTGACGCTTACTTTCACGTTGTGCATCCTGCATTCCCGATATTTGGCAAAGCCACCTTTTTAAACCAATACCGATCATTCTACTCGAACCCAAACTCGCGACCTGGCAAGAGGTGGCTGGCCTTACTGAACTTGGTGTTTGCTGTTGCCACGAGACATTCACACCTCATCGATCAGCTTCGACCGAACCAGGATGACCATCAGACGTTTTTTGCACGAGCATGGAGTCTAAGCATAGGCAGGGTCGCCTTGTTAAAACACCCTAATCTACAACAAGTGCAGATCGAGGGATTGGCTGCTTTCTATCTTCTCTCTATTGGACAAGTCAATAGGTTGGTTTCTCGGATTCTACATGCCTTGTTTTCAGCGTGCTAGTATCTGATACACTGCTGTAGGTCTTGGCGCATCATCGGGATCGCGATTCGATCGGCGGTGACAATGGGTCTGAATCTTCGGAGCGAGAGCGAGTCCGTCCCACACTTTTCAAAGGAGGTCCGCTACCGGTTATGGTGGGCGCTATTCATGCTGGATACTGTTCTGTGCGAAATGACCGGTCGTCCTCTGAGCATGGGAGATATCTTCTGCACGACTCCTCTTCCGGTGCCATTCGGAGAAGAGGACTTTTGGGATGATCGGGTAGTGCAGCTCATCACCAGCCAAGAGAAGCGAGGTGCATTCTTCACTTCCTTGCTTTCTGGCAGCACTTTGACTCCACCACAAGATGGTGCAAGTTACAACAAGAATTCGACCCAACCGGAACCTAGTCAACCGGGACCAAGTCAGCCCGAGCTAGAGACCCGAATCTCCCAAGCCATAGATGAGGGTCAGATACACATTGATGGCCTAACGCCAAACAGTTCACTTAACTTCTTATACGCAGTGGATTTAGTTCATCTCCTACGAAAGGCGATTTACATTCTATATGCCCCAAGAGCAACACGAATGTCATATCGCGAGATTGAAAGCACAATCTCCACATTTAATGGCTATGCTGATGACTGGCTTTCTCATCTACCGGTCGAATTCAATTTCGCAGACGCAATCGCAGACGCAAATAGAGCACGTTCGTTCGCACAACAGCGTGCTAGTCTTGCTTTCCGGTTTTACGCCACAAAGATTATTATCACGCAGCCTTGCCTCCGCCTCTACCAGACTGCCATACAGCCAGGTCTCCTAGGAGCAACATCCGCCAGCATGGCGGCGATCTGCGTCCAAGCCGCGTGTCAGATGCTAGAACTCCTCCCCGATGAGGCAGACACCACTTGGCTGTATGGCATTGCTCCGTGGTGGTGTATTCTCCACAATATCATGCAGTCGACGACCATCCTCCTGGTTGAGCTGTTCACTCGTACCCATCTAGGTACACCCAAGGCCGCGAGCATCATCCAACGAATTCAAAAAGCAACTCGATGGCTGAATGAGATGTCCGCTAAAGATCCTTCCTCGCAGCGTGCCTGGTTGCTCTGTGTGGATATCCTCTCGCGGCATGGGTCGAAGTTTGGGTTCGAGGCTGAATACCTTGCGCCTAGCCCTGTGTTTGTGCGGTTCTGATACATTAGCACATGAGATCTTTTCTTTTGTTTTCAAATTGATCATGTGCCCAATTTGCTAATGTCGGAATCATTCTATGGCGCATTTCTTTTCCTTGGGGATGAGTGGCATGTCTACAGCGTGGGGTGCCAAATTGAGTATATGGCCAGATCTGAGTTTTTATTACAATGTCGAAGATAGCCTCAGTGCGAAATATCATGACATCTAGCCTGGATCAAGGCATTCGAGACACCAAATTATGTAATTGCAGCGAATTATCACTCACGCGGCGCGAGATATGCGCAAAACTTTCCATCTATGCAAGTTTCATAGAAATTGCCTCGGTCTACACTAGCCCTACAATATGTCGTACAATATTGATTGTATCCCCAAATAGCCCTGTCATAACTCATGACATGTATAAAGGTTCTCCGCCTCACTAAAGAAAGCATCAACAGGATGCAGCAGGCCCAGATCGATATCAGACTGCGCCAAGAAGTCCTGCATCGTCGGTTCTAGGAACGCCATCTCCGTCGTATACCCACTAACAGTATCTCTTACCGGAAAACTGTAAGGGACACCCGCTTGGCTGTGAGCTATCTGCCCATGAGGAACGAGCAACTCATTCGACGTCGGGATCATCGATGCTGTAGAAGACAATGTACTGAGCGGTATCGGGGTTGACGTGGGCAAAATGTGCAGGTCAGACGAAGTGGCTGAGCCCGATCGTATCACCGATGGTATTGTCCCAGTTCTCGATGCTGATGCTGACGCTGACGTTGGCCCAGCTAATCCCGGTGCAAGGCCTCCAGCACTGGTATGAGGCAGAGTCGCACTAGCACAACCACCATGACCATAGCCACTACTCCCTACAGCTGCCATATCCGGCCGAGTATTACCCTCTTGTCGACGCGCAGTCAACCCCAATCCCCCAGTTCCAGTGCCAGTGCCAGCGCCAGCGCCAACACCGGCTCCAATCCCCCGAAAAGGATCCAAACAAACCTTGACCTGCTCGAGGTTATGGTAAAACTCAGCCGCCGCTAAATTCCCATTCTCGGTCATGGACCTGAGCAGGTCTAGTGCAGAGTCGAAACAGGTCATATCTGCAGGCGTCCCGATCGGGACAAAGCTGGACATTGCCAGGATTAGCGCCGAGGAGAAGAGATAGTGGGCGTGAAAATAGCCGAATGTCGGCATGGTGCCATTGATCCAGCGGGTTAGGATCATGGAGTGGGAATGGCGGGCGGCGTGAATACAGGCTTCACTCAGGGTTAGAACCGGTTGGGATACTGATATCGGTGATGGGGCAGATGCAGAGGGAGTTGCCTCAGCTGCAGGAGAGTGGGGATGTTGATGGATGTCCGCATCGGTCTCGGTCTCGGTCTCGGGCTCAATGTCCTTGTTTGTCTGGCTGCATTGGGGATGAGGGTTGGTATGTGTTCTAGGTCTGCATGACACGTTGCTCTTCGGCACAGGTTTGTTTGGTCTGAGATTCATTAAAAGGTGTAGGAGGGTTGGGCGTGTCGTTAAGATGATGCATTGGTTGAACGCCATATGCAGTGAGACGATGTTTTTCTTGCTTGATTCCAGGTCTTCCATGTTGAGTTTGAGAGATTCCGGCAGGGTCTCGACCCAGTTCTTGAGTGCTTTGAGGAGCTTTTGCACGCGCTGTAGGAATGTTTCTTGGTATTTGCGTCGGCTGTAGAGCTTTGTTATTGTTTCGCCGACTATCCGGGCTAGCTTGATGTTCGCTGTCATGTAATCGGTGTCGGAGAGTTCTTCTTCGTGCCGCCAGCGAGGCGAGATTGTTGATGGCATGTCGACGTGAATGTCTTCGTCTAGGATTTGCATTGGGAGGCCCATTTTGGACCCCCACATTCGGTCGAACATATAAATCGTCCACCAGATGCCGATGCGGTGTTGGCGTTCGACCGGGTCTATCAGCTGGGATTCTGGGATATTGTGGTTGAGTCCAATGGTCAGGCCCATTCGCATAGCATTCCCAATAAGGATATATGCAGAGTGTCGCCGGTTGAGATAATATGAGAAGAGACCCTTGACATATTGTCAGTTGATGGTGCTATCAGGGAATACATGCTGTATACGCCGAACAACTTACCAGCAAAAGCAATGTTTCCAGGTGTGTAATGCTTGTTCTCTCGGGCAATATCTGAACCAACCCCATCGATCGAGCAAAGTACGATGTACCGGGTACTCTGGACCCGGAGTGTGGCTCTGACCGAATAGAATACGCCTGCCCAAAAGCGAAAAGGGCAAAGAACTTGCACTTATTAGCAGTGCAATCAAATTCTTTCTTCTGGTATATCTCCTCCAGCTTATCCAGAGTCGATTTGCGCATCATGAGGTGATATAAGTGTCCAATCTGATGGATTGCGATCCGAACCAGCAACCGCGCATGATGAAGACTCGGCCATTGAATATCAACTTCATTGGATGCAGCGATGATCTCTTCAGACTCGTACTGTGTTCTGGGAATATGCGGCATAGCACTATTTCCCATTAAGAACCTTCTGAACCGAGTTGCGAATGCCGAACATGCCGCCTCCCCAATATAGATGGGCGGCGAGGAGGGATCGTATCGGTGGAACCAGGCACGATCTCCAATAATCGGATTCTGGATTCCTGTTCCATCTGGTCCATCTGCTAGTCGTGATGGGCCTCTATCGTTGCGGTTAGTCTGTTTCTGGACACTCCTCAAGCCGTAGAGGGATCTACCTTTCTGAACGCGTGGGGTCATTGGCCTCGGCGACTTGCGCCGAAGTAACTGATTGCTCCCTGAGTCGCTGGTTCTCTGCTAAAATCTGATCGAGATAACTGATTGTATAAATTTTGTCAGTGTCTGGACTAAACAAGCTCTGTTTTCAACCATTGATATAAGAGGTGGCTTGCTCGCGTACTTCTCGCTGACTTTCACTTGACGATCTCGAGACGCATATGCGCATTCATCGGCACACCCTACAGCACAGCATTTTCTGCACGGCTGGTCACCAGAACATTTGATCTTATGTGTGTGGCATCGTTGACAACTGTGAATAGTGTCAGTGCTCGGTGACTTGGGCGTGGAAAACTGCGTGATACGATACGCACGCAACAAATTTCCTCTTTTGTGACCCTTTGCCTTCCTGTTCTTGTTCAGACGAAGGTGCACGTCGTTTTCGCACCATTTTCGCAAGCTGTGTGCCTGTGAAGGGAGGAATGGCGTGCCGAATGCAGTCGGAAGTCGGTGGATCTCTACCGAGAGTTCGGCGGTTGATGGTCTTCGCCGATCCTGACTAATGGGACCTACCCCGAACCTGGAATTTGGCGCAGGATATTCATACAGATATTTGTTAGTATGGAGTTAATTGGACCAATGGTCTCTACTTGGTGTGATTGTAGCCAGGTATATATTCTCTATTGGCTATTATCTCTAAATCATAAGTCATGTCTATCGCACTCTAGCAATCATTCGTAGGCTGATTCATATGAGGATGCAAAGCTATAAATGCAAGTCAAAAGTGAATGTCGTTAAGCTTTTGTGTCGAGGTTGAACTTCCTCTCAGACCATCGCTGCATATCGATGCCCCATTTCGTAAGGATGAGGACGAAGATGCCGCTGATTATAGCGAAGAAAACACCTAGGATCGTTAGACATGGGATATAGGCAAGGTCTCCGCGAGAAAGACTTACAAATGGTGAATGTCCATCCGACACCAATGACACCGATCAATGGGTCAACTGCAGCAGTTGCACCAGCCGCAAAGATATACTGCACAATGTACTTGCAGCTGATAACCTCTGAGCGGTGCTGGGGTATCATCTCTGCGACTTTATTAGTAAACAATCCAAGAATTGAGAGTCGCAGGCATGAGAAATTGACTCACCAGCTGCGTATGTATTCAAACCATTGAAAACTCCCAAAAGTCCCATACCTGCAAAGAAAGCAGCGATAATGGGCACTACCATCCCGCCGACCTCTTCCTCCAAGGTCCAACAGTATATTAAAGTTGCGGTTGGGAGAACGAAAAATAGCGTTACAAGACCACTGGTGAGTCGATCCTGGGGCAAACGCACACCGTTGCGTTTGATTATCCATTTCTTAACGGCACGATCGGATAGCTTGCCTCCGACCACACTGCCAAGCAAAAAGCCTATACCCGGCGAGAGATAAAAGAGACCACTGACGAGTGGAGTTGTGAGGTTGAATCTTGGGTTGAAGATTGAGCGGGCCGAAGTGAGAATGGCGTATTGGAATGTCGCTAGTAGACCACACGTGAAGCACTGTGAGTGTCAATAGCTGGATTGTATAGCGTGAATAAGATAAACTTACTGCAAGAAAGACATTCGGATATATGAAATGGCGGAAGATGCGCAGGGGATTGAATAAGCCGACGACATCACAGAATCCGCGACGCTTGTCCAGGGCCATGACTTGCTTCTTTTCTTGGATACTCGGCACGAAAAGAAGAGACAGAACCAGACCAAACAACGTCATTCCAAACTGCAGCCAATAGATGATGCGCCAGTGTGCAAATGTGACAATAATACCACCGATACAGGGTCCTATGTCACCACAGTCAGTCAGCATCTGCAATCTCTCTTTCCAGATCTAGATCCAACATACCAATAGCAGGACCACTGACAGACCCAACCATGAAACAACCAACAGCCGTTCCCCGTACAGTCTATATAGATCGTCAGCAACAGTACACCACAACAATCAACCCAGCAAGAAACACAAACCGGCTCGAAGATATCAGCCAGAATAGTCTGCCCAGCAACCATGAAGAAGGTGCCGGTGAATCCACTCAGAATGCGCATCGCAATAAACATATGCAAATTAATCGACACAGCAGTGCCCGCGGAGCAAGCGCAAAGCACCAGAATGGCAGCATTATACGCATTGCGCCGCCCAAACAAGTTGGTCATGGGACCCCAAATACAAGACGAAAAGCCCATGGCAATCAGCACGCCTGCATTCGTCACATTGAGAATCTCCGACGTGGTCGAGAACTCGGTTGCGATCTCCGGTGTTGCGGGTAGCAGAGAAGTACTAGAGAAAGTCACGGCGAGAGTCATCCAGCTGACGACGAAGAGGATCAGGCATTTGCGCCATGTTGGGATTCCGTACGAATTCGAGGGCTGTGGTTTCAGTGCTAGTTCTTCTTCTTCTGATGAATCGTGGGGGGAGTCGAGTTGGGTGGGTTGTTTTTGCGATTCCGGGTCTTGTTCTGTTTGCATGGTGGCGGGGTTTAGAACGGGTTTGATGTGGATGGATGTGTTGGTGATAGGGGCATGTCTATTATCGGCTAAGTCGTTGACAAGATTCTGGATGTGGGATTTGGTTCTTTTGTATGAAGGTTGCTTCGGCGACTTGGACATGTAGCCGAAGCTCGGTTTTTCGCCCGTGGAACTTTTGCTCTGATGTGTATCGGGCTGACGTGCCGATCGGCATGCATGGCCGAGTAGTTACTGTATACTGTGGTAGGGTTGCATTTGCTATTCTGAGTCATTGCAAAGATTCACAAAGCAGGAGTGATTGAGTTGGGGATTTGACAAAGGATGGTTGGCGGGTGGCTGAAAACAGCTACGGCATGCCGAACCCGAACCAGAAGTAAAATATCAACACTACTATGACAGGATGGCTTTGCCAAGTTATGATCGTATAGAAAGTTGGATAGCATTGATTGAGTCTGTTCTCGCCAAATTCTCAATCTGTCAAATATTCGCCTGCGGTATGACAATGTGGATGGGAGGTCAAGCAGAGTAGATGATAGCGCAACTACACGGAGAATCTTCGGACATCGCTTTCATTGGTAGTGGACATGGATGCTATACATAGATAGGGCTGCATTCTGGGTCCTCTGGAAGAACAGACTACTGTCATTGACCTGAGTACGTGCATATACTCCCAACCTTAGTCTAACCTTCGTACATCACCATTCCTTACTCTACTCCAAATAAATCTACGTATATCCGCAACAAAATGACCGCTCAAGAGGAAAACTGAATTAAAAACTAGCCAATCAGGCATAGCATATGATTATTTCAAAAAAAATCAAGCAGTTCACAACAAGTGCAACGCCAGGCTATCGTAAACGCATGCCGAGCTCAAAAACAACGGCGAAGGCAGAACAGTCCGCCCAGGCAAAAGAAAACCAAACCCAAACCACAGACCAAAGACCAAGGGTAATCCCAAGAAAAGACCTAATCCAACCTGTTCCTAAGAAAAACAGCCCGGCCCTGCAGGCTGCAGACGGGAAATTAATCCAAGCCCATCCCAAACTCGCTTAAACAGAGAGAGCATTTGCATTTGAATGAAATGAAACACCAAGGAAACGAGATAGAAAGAAATAAATTAGGCATTTCAGTTCAGACCTCCTGAACTGCCGGGTAACGCCTTGCGATTGGACAGGATGATGTGGGTGATGAGAGATAGAGAAAAGTGTGAGTAGCAAACAGCATAGCAGAACAGGGTACTGGAGAGCAAAGAAAATCAAACAAGTGAAACCAAAAAAACAGTAAAGTAACTCGAGAACGAGGTCGCGCGCTGGGTATTGATAATCAAATCTTCGTAAACCCGTTTTCCGTGTTTCCATTTCAGTCCTGCGACTGGAGGTATAGAGAAGACCTCAGGATGGATTGGACTGGAGGTGAGGTGGTGACCAGACTAAGAGAGAGGTGGATGGATTTGATCGGCTGAGGGTCCAAACTTTTCAGTTTGAAATCTCGAGTTTTGTGTCGCCAGCGATCAGAGAGAGGTAAAGAGATAGAGATGGTCGTACAGTACGTAAGACGTAACAGACGGGGAATTCGTAAAGTGTAATAATACAGTGAAGCGGACGTTTTGCTTCAGTGACTTCCGCCCAGAGAGCAGATCGGATTTACCGGCCGAATTGCGACCAGACTGTGCTGAGCCAGCCGGCCGGAATACCGATCTCACAAGGTGCAAGCATGGACAGCTGGGTCCCTTCGCCGCCATCCAAAAAGGCGAGAACATCGTCTCCACCGAGGCTGGTGGAGAGTAAGCTCGAATCCGGACCTTCAGTTGAAGTCAGAGGCGGCGATGGGGCCAGCTGGGTGACTGATCCCGGGGGTGGGAGAACGGGAATTTGGTGTGACGCGGCGGCATTGATGGGAGGGAGAGACTGAGAGTATGGTGGAGGAGGGGCTTGTTGACGAGGAAGCCAGGGATTGATCGGGTTCAGGCGGTTGCTTGTTGCCGTCAGGTATTGGGATGGAGATTGCGTGGTCGCGGTGATGGAAGGCAGACTAGGTGAGGTGGTGTAGATGGGGCCGTCGGGGTGATGTTGTTGTAGGGATGGAAGGGAATAAGGAGAGCCCGATGGCATTGGGCGGCTGTTAGGAAGGGGAAGGCTTGGACGGCGATCGCCATCGTGGAGGGGCAGGCCAGGTGGAAGGCCAGGGCTGTTGACCGGTACCCATGACTCGCGACGACCACCAGCGCCATCGAGCATCTGGTCGCCAGGATCCCCGGTCTCACTTCTGACAGCGATGCTGCCGGCGTCGCTGAGATTCGTGCGTTCAAAGACTGACTCGTTGGCGGGAACAGCGATCCCGTCATCATCCATTCCAGATTCTGGCAATTGATCCTCGATGCTTCCAAAGTCGAGGAAGAGCTTCTCGAGCATCTTGAACTCCTCGAGACCACCGCCAAACCCGCCATCGCGAGGATGGCGAAGGCCGCTAGGAGCGTGGTCAGAAGCATCGGACATGCTGTCCAAGCGATTGCGAGAGATCCGACGGAAATCGCGCTTGGTCTTCGAGAAGTAGGTGTGAAGACGGTTTAGAGTACGGAACCAGCCCACAGCCATCTTCAAACGAGGACGCATTTCCCGCATGATATCCAAGGCCTTGCGTGCCTGTACAGCGCCAATCTGATGACTGTCATGGCTTGCTGGGGGCGGCTTGGGGCCTAACAGCCCATCGGGGTCCATGTGTTGGAAATGAGTACCATAAACACCGATGAAGGCGGCATTGTAGATAGCAAATCCAACCAAGGGATTCTCAACAAGAGCACCGCGAACTTGGCAAGTTGCAACGAGGTCGATCATCTGGCGAGCAGCTTTGAAAAGCTCGCGAGCACTATCACGCCAGAAATTCTCAGGTGGGCCATTGACCTTGTCAGTGGGGAACAATGGCTCATCAAGGGGACCGAGAGGTTCATTGCAGCGAAGAGGCAGGAATGGGATATAAGAACGGTGAAGAACGATGACAGAAAGGAAATAGACAACATGCATCACAGTATATGAAGCCAACGTGGTCTTGTACATAATGTGGGTGTCAGTATTTCGCAGGGAATATTGCAGGTTGCGAGAAAGGCTATCTTGGAACTCGTTCAACTGCATTCGGAGATACGCGAAGCGAGACTCGGGATGCCAGGGAGGATATTGCTCAGTTCGTCGACCGCCAGCACAAGACCACTGCGCGATGCTGCCCCAGATGCGGATAATCCGGATCACCCGACTGAGAACCGACTCTTCGGCACCAACTTCCCATCGATCAATATCCTCTTCACTAGAATCCTTACGGCGCGAGATGGGTGACCAGGACTTGCCATCCGGCGTCCCGTTAGGGCCCGGAAGTTTTTCATCACTGAAACCCCCAATACTTTGACGAATACTGGGGATTTGCATGCTCTGCGAGCCAAAACTCTGGGGCCGACGCACGGTCGGCTCATTGAGTCGGGCCGTGCGAACACGCTCGCCAAAAGCAAAGGCATTATCACTCGGAAGTTGGATTCCGAGCTCCTTGACTCGGACCATCCGGGGTCGATACTTGCCGCTACTGAGGCATCGATCGAGGATAAAGCACGCCCAAAAGGTGCGACGCTTCGTTTCTTGCGCGATGATATCGTCGGACGTTGGTTCCCTGGGCTCAACACGTCGGGCCAGACCGAAATGGTCGGCCTCGGTTTTCAGACCTGGGGATAGGCGGGATCCTGGGGCAGAGAACTCATTGTCGAGTTCGAAGGGTAGACCCATGGCCTGTGCCAGTCGAATAGCCATCCCCACGTAGACCCAGGCGCTCTTGCCTCGACACATCCCCCATTCGTGTAACGCCAGCATCAAGAGCGCCTGGACGCGCGCGAGGTCTGGTTGAGCGAGACTGGCACCATCCAAGCCGGCCAGCCGGCTGCGAAGGGCGGTCGCATAATATTCCGAAGCGGTTAACGGGTTGGACGGAAGGCCCGGCGATACCGGGGAATGGAACGCGACCAGAGGCGGATGAAAGCGAGCCGTCAGGGCCAGTACGCCCAGCGGGATCAGGGAGGAGGAAGGATCTTTCGGCACGGTATTTCGGGCATCTTGTCCCTCGAGCGCCGGACCCGGTTGTGATAGCTGTCGAATTTGACCGAGAAAAGTCGCGGGATGTAGAAAGGGCAGCAGGGTGGCGAAGTGCGATTGAAAGAGATCGAACACGGCTTCCCAGACTTTGGTGGTTAGTATTGAGGCATCGAGGACATCGACCCCTAACTTCGAGCCGGCCGAACCGCCCGAGATTGTCACTTTGCGCGAACGGTGTCGTTTCGGGCCATCCCAGTCGCCATTTCGATCCTCCGAATCCAGGGCCGCTAGATCTCGTTTGGCGCCGCTCACTCCAATGGCCGGGGTTGGGTAGACACATTCACGGCCAGACGACTCGCAAGCGCGACAGGTAGTATCGATGCCGGCATTGACGCACTTGATCTTGCTGCGGCGGCACCTTGCGCAAGCGATGCTAGACCGCATGATGTGAGAAGGGAAGATATAGTGACTATCAAGTCAACATGAGGGGGAAAAAGAGAAAAAGAAAGACACGCGGAATGGGGGAGTGTGGGGGAAACTTAAAGGTCGGGGCACCGGACCGGAGCAAATTCAGTCGGGAAGGAACGGGGGGTCTCGACCGGGAAAAATACCAAACATGGAGCCGAAAGAGAACTGGGGAATTGCGGAGGTTGTGGAGCCCCCAGTTTCCGGCTGCCGATTACAATACGTTACATCTCTCTTGATACTGATATCTCCATTGTGATTTCTACTGGTCGAGTTTCGAACCCTTTCGGATGGGCGACGAGGGTGGTATATACCCTATCCTCAGTCTCAATACCAATGTCTCTCTCGGCGTGAAAAACAAAAAAAAATAGAAGAAGAGGGAAACAAGAAAAAAAAACATGTCGGTGAATAACCTAGGCACCCGGTCGGCATATGATTCTCTTCTCCCTCGGGAACTCCAAAACAGGT